GCTGCTGTCAGCGCAGCGCCCGTCATGTTTTTGAACGCGCTGCCAGCGGCGGCCGGCGCTGGGGACGCTGAGTCTACGCCGAGCTCTCCATCTGCCACCTCATCAGTTTTGGCAGGTGACCAGGGGCACGGGAGCATGTTCCAAGCTCCCCCAGTGGAGGCACGCAGTCCGCCGGCAGCCTTGCAGGTGCCAGAACAGGCTCCCAGGGGTGATAATGCTGGCGAAGGGGCCCTGTCGCGCCGGGAGCAGTTCAGGCGAGCGGTGGCCGCGGCCGAAGCCGAGCGCCAGAATAGGCTGCAAACAGAGCCCCTGTCAGCACTGGACGCCAGCACCCGTGCATCTGTGCCGCCTGCATCGCCGCAGCATGAGGAGGGAGCAGAAAATTTGCAGCAGGGGAGTGCACAGCATGGACAGGAAGCCCAGCGTCCATCTCCGGTGAAGCATAGTCGCGGTGAGGCAGTCAGCGCGTCGCAGAGCCTGGATGACATTGACGACAGCAGCTGCAGCGCGGCATGCGATGTGCCCACAGTGGACGGCTTGGCTCTGCATCAGACTTCATCAACATCCGTGGACGTCGACTGCCCTGACTTTGTGGCAAGTCAGGAATCCTCGACCAGCCGAGACGGCGCAGCAGACTCTCTGCATCCCAGCGAGGAGCAAGGGCACCTGCCATCCTTGACAGATGAAAGCGATGCAGGCTGTCTTCCGGCCTCAGACGCAGCAGACGATCATGGCAAGCTGGTGCAAAGCCAGGCTGCAGCAGATTCGCCTACCCTGATCGGCGATGCAGAGGTCCTGAGCGTTGCAGAGCTGCCTGCAGACACTGCAATGTCCCCATCAGGCAGTCTCCCTCTGCAGCCTTTAGCTGACCTTGAGCCCCCATCGACCCACGAAGAAGCTCGCGCATCGGAAAGCTCCGAGCCGGCAGCAGAGGCGGCAGTCATCGCTGCCCCGCCCTCAAGGCGGTGCAGCAGCCCTGGCGGTCCACACCGAGGGGAGTCTCAGACGCTAAAAGACACACCTGCAGCCGAGGTTGGGGCGGGGTTAGCCCAGGGGGTGGAATCAGGGGTAGTCACGCCACGGCGGCAGAGCACGCAGGAGCTCATCGCGCGTTTCTCAGCAGGCGTTCCTGATTCAGCTCGGCCACCGCCCACATCCCCGCTCCAGTTCCTCCGAGCTGCCAGAGGTGTACACCCTCCACAAATGCGCACACCATTCCTTGTCTGTGCAATGAGTGGCGTGCCTTACCCTGTCGCCAGACTGGGCTACTTGGATGTGTGCTGCAACTTGTCCTTAGTTCTGCAGTCATAAACCTGAAAGCTAGATCAGGGTCTGATGTATGATATGTCTGCAGAGCACCGTTCACCTCAGCAAGAGGCTGCGGCGTCGACCGCTGGTCCAGCAAATGCCCGTTCAGACCAGCCAGTGGGTATCAGGACAGCTGCAATTACATCGCCGGCCGGTTACCTTGCCAACCTTGGCCCTCCGGCCGCACGTGTCACTTACGGCGCCCTCCCCCGCAGCCCACTAACGTCAGGTCAGCACTTACCTTCAGTCATTCAGGCTTGCTGTGTCCCTTGTTCGTTCATTTTAGCAGTGCACGCTGATGCACTGCAGAGCCTAGCCGGTTAAGACTCCCAGACATTCCTCGACTGCATACCCAAGCATAACACAAACTCAATGTTGATGCAGCAGGCGCTAATGGGCTGCCGTGGTCCCCTGAGCGGCTACCACGGCTGCCGGCCGCGGCAGAAGGCCCGGCCCCGGCCCTGGCCTCGGCGCTGCCGCTGCCGCCGCCACAGCTGACGGCTGCGTCCGTTGGCGTCCCGACTGGGACGTCTTCGCCAAACAGCTTCCCGGGGCATCGCCTGCGAGATATGGAGCCTCAGGCGGTGGTGCCTGCTCTGCGCCGGCTGTGGTGCGCTGCTTTTAGGCCACGATGCTTAATTCTGGCGTGCCTCTATAATGACGCTCCACACTGCTGTCTCAGTGCGCGTGCATGGCAATCTGGCTCTGCAGGAGCGCTTGTTTTAGAGATACCGTCCATGTTTTGCCAGATGTGGTTTTTCATTGAAGGGGTGGAAGCAAACTCATCAGAGCGCAATTACATCTTTGGAGGGGCCACTCTGCAAGACCTTTCCTGGGCACTTGGAGAGCTGAATTGCTTAAAGGCAGATTTAGAGCCGGTAATGATGAAAGATGTTATGTTTGGCAGGGGGCATGCGGCAAGCGGGGAGGGGCAGGGCGGTCGCGCACAGCAGCGCGCCCACGTTCAGCGGCTGCTGTTCCCTCTGGCTGGCAGAGCCGAAGACTCCAGTGACGGCTTTGGGTGAGCTGCTGCTTGCTTAGTCTCATAGCAAGACCCCTGCTTTGCTGTGGTACTTCTTTTGTACAGTTGAACCTGCCATGCCTTTGGATTGCTCCTGACGGTGTAGATTTGAGCATGCTGCATGAGCTTCCCTGATCGAGCTTTCAAGAACAGAGTGCAGTGTATTTTGACCGCGAGTGCTGTTGGGTGATTCTGCAGGGAACAGCAGGAGCGGCCTGACAGCAGCCATAGTACCATCTCACAGGCGTCGACGCATCGCTCGCGTGCCAGTTTAGCGCGGCCGCCGGGCCCCTTCACTGGGGCCACCGCAGTGGGAACCCACGCCACCGAGGGCCCCCTGAGCCGTGGGCAAGAGAGGGAACGCCTCAGGGTGCGCAACCACCGGGAGCGGCCGGCGCCGCGGCGGGGGCCAGCTGATGCGGAGGCAGAGCGCATCGCGCAGATCATGGCCTCCGCCCGCGGCCAGCCGTGGCAGCCTGGGGGGTTTGGTAATGACTAGAGACAAATGCATTGAAGTGCAGTACCAAGAATATGCACGGCAAGAGAGTCATTGTGCAGATCATGGCCTCCGCCCGCGGCCAGCCAGCCTGGGGGTTTGGTCATGACTAGGGACAGGTGCAGTTGACTGCGGTGTTGTGAAGACAGGATTCTCCTAGATCCGGAGTTGGAGGATTGCGGTGTGATACATGCATCCATTTTGCTGTCCATACCATTTGTAACTTTCACTTGTATAAGTTGTCATCGTTCTGATGACTCATCGGATCGGATCTCTCAGACTGTCTTCGGTCTTTGTCCAGCCCTGGGCCAACGACAGAGGGTGCCTTTTCATTCCCAACGCAGCGATTCAATCAAGTTGCCAACGCATGCATTGGCAAATTGAGCAGTTGAGAGCACTTTGAGGATTTTGAAGGCTGGGCACTTGATTGCAGCTTTGAAAGTGTTCAGCCTTCCATTCCAGCCCTTGACAACTTGTCAGCTTGAAGCACATTATGTAAGACTAGGGTGGCTTCCAGGCCTGATTTTAAATACTTGAATGCATAAATTGAAGTGAGGCTGTAATGCAAAATGAAATCACAACAACACCATTGAGCTTCACCACGATTGACATGAACATTAGAAATTTTGTCAAGAGAGGAATGGAAAAATCGTTGACAGCGATGTCCAAACTCCACTAATGTAGTAGACCCGAGGTCGTCTCTGTTCCATGCGCCTAGATTGGCTTTCCCGCCTCCAGCAAGACGAGTCGCAGTCCGAGTCTCAAGGGCAAGCATATCTGTTCTTGGTGATTACCACTTAAATTGTCGACTGGTTAGTTAATTGAAGTCCGTCCTGGTGGTCGGATTTTCGTTATAAAGTCTTCTTAAGCCATCAAAGGCCAACACCACCAGACAGTTGACCGGAAAGCAAGGGATACTTAGTTACAATAGATACCTTACTTGCCATCAACGTTTTAGTTCGAGCTAGATTCGATTCCTCAATCAGAATTCACTTGTATTCCTGCCGCTAAATATAGGTCAACAGATGGCAGCACATCCCCATTCCTTCTACCCTACCTGTTTGCTGCTTGATCTTGATGATACCCTTTATCAGGTAGAAGAAATCCCTGACATCGTCCGACGGAATATCCAAGGCGAGTCCTGTCTCATTCACCTTGGGAGCTCAGGAGTTGCCATCCTTTGGTGTCTTATTTTTTCCGTAGCAGGCGTTATTGATCCAAGAGGATGGTACTTCTATGCAGGGTACATGCGCGCGAAGCTCAAGATACCAGAGGAAGATATAGCACCGCTGTGCTTGGAATATTACACCAACTATGGAACAACTTTGGCTGGCCTCGTGGTGTGAATTTAGTCCATACCTGAGCAATTATGCTAGAGCATGAAAATGTTGTCTTGGCATAATCCTTCTCTTTGGCACAACTCCTTGCAGATATCAAGCGCACTGGTGGGACTTTAATAACTCAGTGTTGCTTGCATGCAGGCCAACGGATACAGCATAGATTTTGATGACTGGCATGCAGAGGTGCATGGCACATTGCCGTACGACAGGCTGCTGAAACGTGACAACCAACTCAGGAAGTTTTTGGAGAGCATTCCTTTGCCAAAATACATTTTCACCAATGCGGACCAAAAGCATGCCGAAACATGCCTCGACATTATGGGAGTGGCAGACCTGTTTAAGGTGACCCACTGCTGTGGCTTCTATGTGCGTAGTCATGTGACAAATGCACAAGGGCATGTGCTCGTAGAAGCGGATCTTTCCTTTCTTCAGTGCAAAGCTGTTGGCATTGGGCATGTAAGACGCACCTGTGCATCGCTTTTGCAGGGAATTATTTGTTTCGAGTCCCTCATGGAAGAGGGGCGCAGACAGTGCGTCGTGAAAGACAACAAGCCGGTCATCTGTAAGCCCACCCAGCAGGTAAGCAGAGAGATGGGTTCACAGAGTGCCAATTTCAAAATCAGCTGCCCAAATGGCTGCGGTGTTCCCCTTGTACAAGAACTGTCTTGTTGGAAGCAAGCAGAATTGCCAGCTGCTATGGCACATCAGCTTCCATGCAGCAATGGATAATCAATGGAAGTGACAAAGTCAGTGGAATGTGCCCTGTTGAACTGCAGGCCATGGAGCTTGCTCTGAAGGCTGCTGGGGCAGAAGCGGTCACCACAGTATTCTGCGATGACTCCACAAGAAATGTTTCAGGCGGCCATGCCGCCGGCATGTTTTCTGTGCTGGTGAGCACCACTCTACCCATGCTCCATGCCTGCATTCTAAGGCACTCATGCTCTGTTTTATACTCCTGCCATCTAGCAGAAATCCTGCACGAGAAGAATACCTCAATAGGCATTGTGGCCTCCAGCAAGCCTGGATGGATGTGCATGCAAAGCTGCCAGACAACGCTCTGATCCTGTGTGTGCCTTCTGTCTTTGGCCAGGTTGGAAGGACCAGCAAGGACTGCGATTCAGACCTGCAAGTGCCCAGCCTGCACGCTCTGAGGGAAGCCATGCCTGGGCTGTGGTCTGTTCCGCCCAGCACAGAGCACAAGGAGAGCGTGCACATGGCAGGGGAAGACCAGGAAGCTTCCCGTACTCCCCCCGTTGGCCGGAGGCAGGGCGTCTGTGGGCGACCTGCAGAGTCCTCTGCGGAGTGCAGGCGCAGAGAGGTCAAGGTGGCGGGGTGATAGCTTCCAATTGCACCATATTGGGGTATTGACGGTCAGTAGCACTGAGCAGACAGTTGGTTAACTGCCATTATTGCGCATCACCAGCACTGCAGACCTGCAAAGCGCACTGAACAGTTAACTTCGGGAAGCCATGTCAGGGAATACTACCACATGTTGCATGTTCAGGATCTTGCCTCAGAGGCATAAATGAAGTGGAATATCCAGGCATGATGCAAACCCACAGCATGTGGGCCTCAATTGGAATTGCTTGCAAGTTGCCTGGCAGTGCCCAGTGGAGCGCGCCCATAACCTTGAAGGTCAACCGGGTACCGGTGATGACTCACAAGCTCACAACCGGTGTCAATTGGAACCCAATTATCATTTTTCAAATACACGTGACGCTGAAAATGTATGGTCACTGCAATACATGTTCAGACATGAACGCCTCACACTCGTTCCAACGACCATCAAAGTGGGTCATGCATGGGCAGTTCATAATCTCTGGGCACGCTGGGCAAAAATCCTGCCCATCCTGGCCGAATTAGTAGTGATCCGTTGAAACGGATGATGCGTACCGAACAAATGCTTATACTTTCATGAACAGTCGTCGTCCTGAGTCTAGGACAAGCCCTGCACACCAGCGCTGCAGTGGGATCTTGACCTTGAGACAAAGTTCATGTAGGACAGTAGCCACGCTGGTTCCTCATTTGTCTTTCTGTATTGACGCAATATACCGTGTTATGCATCCAGTTGAAGGAATTTGCTTCCTAGCGTTGAAGTGACTACAGGTGGACAGAGGATTAAAACCCATTTCGAGGGCATCTTGGATATTACAAGCGGAGATACTAGCATTCAGTGATGAGTGGCACTTCAACGCATCAATATGCGGTATCTGAAGGAGTGCCTGCAAGCTTGCAGCAGCAAGTTCCCTCTGCAGAGAGCTTGGCGATCGGGCTGAACGCTTGGAAGTGGGCTGCTTTTGACGCTAATCGCCCCTTCTGCGCCCCTTGGACAGTGCTGCCGCCATTTCTCCCACCTCAGGATGCCTCTGCGTCGCAGCAGGTGCCCTCTTTAAAGGCCAACGCCACCCTGATACTAACCTGTGTGGCACTGGCAAAACCCTTCCTTGCTACAAAGGCTGAGGCTTGGCTTGTCCCTTTGCACCTCTTGAAGACACCTTGCACGCTCTTACCTCTCATTCTCAACTGGTGACCACCGTTCACTAAATGCAAGATTCAGCGCAACATCTGTGCAGCAGGCTCCAGCGGCCCCAAGCGAGCTCTCCTCGCTGCTGTCCGAGGACCAGCCGGCCTCAAGCGCTGATCCCTCCTCCACTGCCGGCCCACAGAATGGCTGGAGCCATCCGTCACCTGCCCAGCCGCAGTCCATGCCCATGCCGGCCTCCCTGCCACAGCCCTCAGCCAGCTTCGCGCTCGCAGTGGGCACCAACGGGGAGGTGAACCCCAACCCACTGTCATCTTCCCGTGCTCACAGAACATTTTTGTCATCATTGTTATAGATGGCATCACAAGTACTGGTGCACTTATCTTGCATGCATGTGTTGCCTTTCCTGTGCTGAGCTGCCAGTAGGTCCAAGGACTGTCAAAGATTCTGGTCTTGTGCAAGCACACTGCTTGCAGAAACCTAAGGGTTGATGCTGGAAAGGTGTTCTTTCTGAAGCGGAAGTGCCTCATTTTCTGCAATTATTTTCCTTTGTTCCTCTACAAGGTTAGCTACATGGCTTTGGGAGCCTGTAAATGAACCCAGCCACTACCCTTACTTTTGCCAATGCTAAGACCTTTGCTGTTTATGTTGAAGGTGAGCTACACGGCGTCGGGGGCGCTGAACGACCCGTGCCGCTACCCGCACTTTGTGGCTGCGCGCGAGTACTTGGCTGGGGCGCTGCGGCTGGACGCGGCTGCGCTGGCGCTGCGCGCGCGGATGGAGGACCCGGCCGTCGCGGCCGCGCTCGACTGCAAGCCCGACCTGCTGCTCGGCGCGATGGCGCACCCCCACCTTGCGGTGCGCGTTCCCTTTCTTCAAACCCACAACACGCCCCTTGATAGCACTTTGCTGAGGACTCTTGAGACTAGTTGCACTGCTGCCATTCTGGCATCCAGCCTTCTGTGAGCTCCCTGCGAGCTCCTACACGATACTATCTTACTGTTGAAGTATATTGTAGGCTCAAGTTGCAGAAGGCTGGTAGGCTATAAATGCCAAAGGCTGGAGAGCTTCTTGTGTGTAACACTTAGGCAATGGCGGCTATTGTCTTACAACGTCCTTTGTTGGAGTGTTATGGTACAGACCATGTGCGCAGCGAAAGCTCTTACTGGGTCAAAAGTGTGCTGATGTCAGCATTTCCTGTCGCCCAGATGGGGGGTCCCCACTTTGCGGCGCAGCTTGCGGCCGCGGCGCGCGGAGTCGGCATGCCCAGCAGCGCACTGGCCGGCTCCACCAGCAGCGCAGGCAAGGCGCTGGCCTACAGCAAGCTGGTGCGCAAGGCCAGCCGCGGAGTGTTCAAGCGCGTCATTCGCAAGATGCTGCAGACTCCTGACGGCTCGCTGCCGCTCTGCACCAGCAACCGCTGCATTATTCCCTCTCCCGGTGGGTGCCCTCGCTAGAGATGTCCCTTTCACCGTCACTGTCATCAGAAAGGCAGCCACATCGGAAGCCTGCGCCACTGATGGTAGATGGTGGAAGACTGCCCGCAAGACCGATGAGCCTCAGGTGGCTCCCAACAGGGGTGTGAAGATCATTAATACTGTCGTTAGAATGGTGGCGAGCTTTCTGCAGAATGCTGCAAGGGGCGTATGCAATAAGCCGCTCAGGTTATCTAGGGACATTCCCCGCTGCGCTGTAGAAAGCCTTGGTGTGAGGGTGTGCTGCTTGATGCTTTAAACGAGCCGAATAAAGTTAGGTGTGTGCCTACGTGCAATGTATGCATCTGTCTGATGGGCATGATGTTTATTAAATGATGAAGTCATCAGATGTATGGGGAGTATCAGGGCATGCTGACACATGCAATCACATTGCTGATTCTGCTTGCATGACCCAGGAACAGAGGAAAGTCCACCGCTGCTGGACATGCATGTGCACCATGAGGGATTGCCGCCCACTACAGCTGGCCCCAGTAGCTCTGCAGGTGACCTGACTCCTGACCGAATTCCTTCCTTTTCTGAAAGTCATCTGCGTAAAGGTGACTTTGGAAAGGCACAACAAAGGGCTCTTCTTGAGAATGACTTTGGATGGCAGTCTGAGATGGGGTTGTTGTTGCAGTCGCAGTGGGCACTCCGGTGGACTCTTTTGGAGGTCACATAAGCGCCGCGCCTGCTGCACCAGCCAGCCTGCTGTTCCCTCCTTCAAACCCACACAGCAGCATGGCTCCCATTCCAGCCAGTCAGGTGCGTCTGGCTCTGCAAAGGTCTCTGCCTGCATTTGAATCCCCACATCTGTATCACCTTGGGGTGAGTGACTTGAACGGTGTTCAGGCTCCATACAGCAGCTTGTCTTTTGATCTCGGCCAGCCTAATATAAACTCATACAGCCAGAATGATGACAGCTTCACAGCTGGAGACTGGGAGACCAGCTTGTGCCTCTGGCAAAGCATAATGAGCCTCAACAGGCATCGCTCATGTCTCCTGAAATCTGGTGTCAGGGATACCCAGTGGGGCAGCGTCCATTCTGCGCCGCCGGTGGCGCATGTGCGCCCACACGAGCTGCTCTCGACTGGCCAGATGACCTGCCGTGCGTCGACCCCAGGTCTGTCTCACCCCCCACATCTCCATCCCAACACTGAGATGAACTTGTTCATATGTCACGAGCTGATGCTTGCTGTCCTGGAGAAGGGCATGTGCAATCTTCACTCGCATCTAGTGCAGTGCTGTTGTTCTTTCTCCTGCGCTAAGGATTCGGCAGGAAGAGCGCTGCTAAGGTGTGGGTGTCAGAAATCTCATGTGGTGTGTTGCTGGTGTTGCAGCAAGGTGTCCATTCCAGTAGACAAGGCAATTGGGCTGATGGAGTGGGTGCAGTCCCTCGGGCACGATGTTCCTGAGCTGGGGGAGTTGCAGGGGTTGAAAAAGCGGTGCGAACCCTGCCCCTGGCTGTTCAGCTGATTTCAATGCAGTGCATGCTCCTGCCTGAGTGACGCCCTTCAATTCCTTGCACGTTTCCTTTGTTGAGCTGTGGTACTGTCACCCTCTTTGTATCATGGGTTGAACCTCCTCCATCCCTTGTCTGCATGGTATGCGGGGTTTCTAGTGAGAAATAGTATGAGTAGATGCCTGGTGTGCATGCTAGGCCTTCTGCGGACACCGAGACAAAACGGAACGTGAAGCCAAGGGCGGCCCACGGAGGGATGCACAGAGGCGCTGATGGCACCTCTGGTGACGCAGCAGACGGTGCTGCTTCCTCCTCCCGCCTCATACTCGCCTTCCTATCAGTTGCTCTCGCAGTTCCCAAGTGCAACGTGCTCTGCAACACTGAATTACAACGGTGAGCATGCTTGCACGCAAAGGAAAGCAGCAACGCTGGTCAACCGTTTGCATTGACGGCTTGTCTTGTGAGTGTCCGCGCAGATGATGCGGTAGCTGGGCTGGCAGCACTGCGCGCTGCACCAATGGATGATGAGTAATTGCTGAGGTTGGCAAAGTGTGCGGCAAATATGCTGGGACTGGTATGGAGCTGTTGATATGGTGATACTGACAGCCGTGCATCGTATATGGCGCCGGCGGGGCTGAATCTAGTACAGAGAAACGGTCTGCATGTGCTTAACTTGTGTCATCATGATCAACATGACAAGCAGGGGACTCTAATTCAGTTCAGGGTCCCCTGTAACAATTTGCATGAATTGATGGGGCTGTGCCTAGGATGTGACACTCATGAAAGAAATAGATTATCGGCATTATTGCACAGGCGTACTGTCTAGGTTGATGTGTCAATTTTAATCCCTTGGAATATAAGTTTCCAAGCAGCACAGTGTGACAATGTCATGGAACGCTGCTTGGAAAGCTTGCTGTGGAAAGTTTATCATGACAGCACAGTCTCACAGCATTGCATGGTTACTCTCAAGAGTTTCACAAGATTGTGTCTGTTGAGGCCTTCTGAGCAACAGTGTCTTCATGTTGCTGGATGTGAGTGCGTACTGAACACCGTTTTCAGGTACCACCGGTGACCTAAAAGATTAAGCGTTGACTCCCCGCCGCCATTGTTCCGCCGGTGAGCCGCTGATCTTCTGCCAGAAGTTCTGGCTTACTCCTTCGGAATTAATCGCTGCTGGCCACTCATCCTAGTTGAGTGTTCTATAGATAAGTTTTCGACAGAGAGAGTGAGAGAAACATTACATCATGCCAGCCAACAAGGCTGTTTAGATGCTCACTGTATCTGAACCAGTGTAAACTCGTCCTAATGAGAGTCTGATGAACTCAGCCACCTGTACTAGATCATCTTGCCACATGAACTGACGCATAGTAGTGATACTGGGCCTAAACAGGCTGTCATACCTAGCACGCAGATCATGAAGCGCAGGACACTCAAAGACAATATGCCTTTCATCACCAATAGCCTGAGTGTCGCACAACTGACAGAAACGTTCTAAGCGAGGTACTCGATTTCCCCGACGAAGAAATGGAAAAACATAAAAAAGGAAGCATTGGCCATTGCCGGATTTGAACCGACGACTTCACCATCTCATGTCCTCCCGAGGGTGGACGTGCTTTCGCCGTAGTGGGCGACTAGCATTGGCTTTTGAGAGCGAAATGGCCTTCAAGTTGGAGGCGTTAATATTCGGTACAATATATAGTCTTAGGCAATCCTCCAACCCCAGACAGTGTCGATAGTACTATCGATATACACCAGTGGGCAACGTACTCCTCCGACTTGCGCCCGGATCTCCTCTATAAAACTGCAGAAAGTGATTTTACAAGCCTTGCTGCGCAGCAGCGGCTTCAATATTCTCGTCTGTAAGCTCACGGGACCGCCAGCCACGAGCTGGACTGCTCAGTGCGGTAGAGGCAACATCCCAAGAAGCTACATGAAGCCGCCTGCAAATCATCTCCATGGAGTGTCTTGAATGATTTCTGCACTTCCGCAGACCATCGATTTCCATTGCAGTTTCCATGAGCACTTTTCAGAGGGTCCAGCAAAAATGCCTCGTGTCCTACAGGAAACTGATTGCTGTCTATAAGGAGCATTGACAAGATCTAGAGGACAGGCTGCTGATATACTGTATCCGTTTGAGCCAGGACAACAAAATTTCAAACTTGGCCGTGGCAAACATACCGCTGATATTTACAATGAGTCATTTCGAATCCATTTCGGTGATAGTCCGATTTTCATGTTGCTGCATACACACGCAGTCAAGTCAGTATGCAAGAATGTACCATCGGTCTTGCATAGATGGCTAGTGCTTTACTGAAGTTCACGGAGCACGCCAATGAGTGTTGCGCCTTCGATTCAACACACTCCGTTGAACTTATTGGGCTTGTTTTCAAGTTTGTCTGCTTTCTGGCTCACCCCCTCCATGCCTTGCCCTGTTTGCCGAAATAGCTCAAGCCGGCAGACAGTATAATCGCACTAATGACAGCGGCCCCATAAAAAATCCAGGAATCTGGAGAGGGAGACATGCCTTCAAAGCATCCACTGAGTCAAACTGAACGCAATGCACTTTCTCCTCACTGCATCGTCTAAACCATGGGGCGTATAAACAAGTCTGTCTCTGGAGCGAATCCATCTCAGCCAAATTGCCCCTGAGGTGTGGAGAAAATACAAAGACAGGAGGAACTTGCTGGTGCCAGAACCAAGCTGGCCTCATTTATCAGCAAAGGGTTAATCGTCTTTTACATGAGCCAGAATAGGACAGTGAAAGGATGCCTTCGACAGCAGGACAGAACTTTACAGTATTGATACGAGTAAGACAGTAAGTACAAAGCAAAATGTACAGACGCTGCTCTCCAAGGGCATCTGAAAAGGCACCAGGAAGAGCATCATAGCAATCATATCTGATCAGTGTCATGACTGTCATGACTCGGATATCGCGATGCATCAAGTAAAAAGTTTCCCGCTGAAGAAGCTGCATCATGCTGATATCATCGATGGGCTCCTGCTGGATTGTCTCCATGCATCGTCCGGACGCCATGTCGCACAGCTTGATGGCAGCCGCCCTGTCTGGCTGTCACGAGGCCGTTACCAGAGGCTGGCTGGGCGCTGGCACCCATACAAGTTTTCTATCTCCTTGTATCTCTCATGTCCTCCAAGCTTAAGCAGCCCGGCGCCATGCGGCGTTCCAGAGTGTCTGAGAGTGAGGTTGCATGCATAGAAACAAGGTCCAGGTTGCTCTGCCCAAAAGGTTAGATGGATCAGGTCACAAGAAGGCATGCATGCGCACGTCTTCTGATGTCAGTAGTGTCACACGGTGATGTTGATGTTGACATCAACATAATCATCAACAGCTCTAAGGATAGCATGATGATGGTTCGGAAGGCTTTTTCCCTGCTTGTCAGTCAGGCCTGAGGATGACATGTGAAAGCTGGGGATTTTGTTGTTGCTGGCACCAGCACCACCTATGGATTATTATTTTTTCGGAAACAGGTTGGCCCTGGTGTCATGCCCCCAACATGATTGCAAAGAACAGCAAAAAATAAGGACTTGGCCATTGCGGGAGAACCGACGACTTCACCATCTCAAAGTTCCTCAAACCCTAAGGCTGTGCTGGAAAACATGCGGGACTTTTTGTACTCGGTTGAGAGCGAAATGGCCTTCATGATGAGAAATCTCGACTTTCAAAACTTATATAGGAGACGAACGGCGAGTGCCCTTCAAACCAAAAACTCGATTCAGCACACATGACTTCTGAGTGATGCAGCAATGACATGAAGAAAACCGCAAGATTGAATCAACTTTGCAAACTCCACCAGATATACCATAGATGTCCACTTTCCACTGAGATTGTGACAGTCAACAGTCAACCGCGGCCCATGCGTTGAGGCTGTGGTGAAGGCTGGATATGACTGGTATATACACAATTGCAAAGGTGTTGGAAGATCAGAAAGCCATTTTTGTGGATTAACATGACATGTTTCCTGAAGTGAATGGCAAATATTACAGGTCTTGAGAGTCATGCAGCAAGCAGTACAGATGGTTGTCCCGGCAGCCCACAACAATATGACCATCAAAAGCCACCGGCGAGGAGAACACATCTCCGTCCAAAGTTGTGCAGTGGACTATCTCAACTTGTGGGGATTCAGCTTGTCCTGTTTTGACCCATGCCACACTTCCAGAGTTTGCACAGCACGCAAGCCTTCTGAGATCAGAACCTCTTCTTCCCGTATCGCTGTCCAACACAGACTCCTCAGGGCATGACGAGGTGCCTGTGGCATTCCGCTCCTCTGTGCTCTCCTGACGATCTTTAGGCAGAGATGTTGTTGCAGCATTCAGATACTTCAGTACATCTTTGGCGGACAGTATCGGCGTGGCAGCTGTGCTGATGCCTCCTGTGCCAATCGGCTGCACCCATTCCACTGCTCCATCGCTGGACTTTAAGCAGTGAAGCGTCCCTTGTTGGCACCCAACAAGAATCTGACCTCCCGTTTCAATCCCGCCAATGAGGCACGGCGATGCGAAGACTGCTGATCCAATATCTGTCTTCCACAGCAGCTGCCCTGTGAGCACAAGCACATACCTAGTATATTTGGCTTTTCCAGGGAAGCTCTTTCGCGCATTGTCAGAAGCGAAACACTTGCATGTCAGAAGCTGATGTCAGCAGAGAGGCTGATTGTGCAGACCTGCAGCAGAGAAGGCCATGACATGGCCCTTGGCAGTCGCCGCAATGACTGAGGCAGTTTCAACTGTCACAGCCGGCGCTGCAAAGACAGGAGAGCCAAGCTGAGCACTCCATGCCAGTAAAATACCAACTTCGCTGCCCCTGCCTGCTTCTTGGTCGGCCTGTGCGCATTCACATTTTGTCGAGACGCATGTTCCAGATCACAAAAGCAGCCAGGTGGTCTGGATCAGGAAAGGCGATGTGTTCCTGTACAGATGCCATTCATGCAACGAGATGTGTGAAATAACCAAGGCTGCATTGGGTGAAATTCTTGCTTCCAAAGCGCGGGTTGGACTGTAGGAAGAAGGCAAACCTGAGGCCCGAGGCTGAAATCCCAGGCACTGAGGGTGCCGTCCAGCGCGCAGAGATACGCTCGCCTGCTGGCTGCATGGAAAGCTACCGACGCTGACACCGCCGAGCCTACATCCTGCCGCAGTATGACCTCCCCTGCACCCACTCTCACAGATCATTGCCTGGTGTGTGGGCACCGCATCAGGTGCGTGAGCACAGATGTGAGTTGGTAGCACCAGCTTGTGCTGTAGTGCAAAAGACTGAAGGGGAAAGAAGCATCGATGTAGTGCACAAAAAGTAATGGCGACCTGGGGCTCTGCAGATGTTGAGCTGGCGGCCATGTGAGGCGGCCCAGATGTACCCGAGCCAGGGGTCAGTCACGGGGGCAGCCCTTAGAGCGCCTCCAGTCTCGCAGCTGCCCACCTCCACGCCGTCCGCCGTGCGCAGAAAGCACAGACGGCCTTCGCTTTGTGCCACTGCTACATGCTGCACAGGACAATAAATAGTATACTGTATTATTGATGGCCCAAGGTTTCACAATCATGGTCTTGTGCTGCTGACAGATGCCAATCTCCCCTCTTGCAAGTGATATCAAACATTAACAAGCCATTCAATAATGTCGGCATGACACCGGAAAACAAAATCTTGGATCCACGAAGTGTGCAATGCTCTGGAACCCGAAACACCGTACCTATAGGTACAATATTGTTATTATCATTATCACCCACGTTTCCTGCCAAGAGGCAAGGTGCGTCCTGCAGACAGGCTGCAGTAGGTACATTTGGCTGCACCCAATGCAGCTCTTGCAAGAGTGAGGATATGGCTTGATGGCAGGAATAATTTCTATGGAAGCAGACACGCTCTTACCTGCAAGTCGCCAGTCAGAGTCAGGCCGCTCTCAGCACGGCCGCCAATTGTTGACCTCCACAGCGGCGTGCCGGAGGGGCCGTCAATGCACACCACGTCGCCGCCATGCGAGCAGCCCAGGACAAACCACCTGATACCACAATATAATTTGTTTGATTTGAACGTTACAGAAGCTACAAGATAGGACTTAGATGAATGTCCGCCACCAGAGCATGTGCGTGTACTTGAATTTGGCATTTTCATGATTGCACTGTGGCCCTTCTCGGCTCTACATCCAAGTTTCCAGGGAGATTCATGCTGCACTTCATTCCAATTATTCGCTTGAATGGTTACCTGAGCTGCTGTTCTCTCAGTTGCCGGCTCCCCTCACGCTCCCAGCCGCTGTGCTTGCCTGCCTGCTCTAAAGCCGCCTGCACCAGGATGACCGGCGATGCATCCACACACTCTTTCATCTCCACTCGCCATAGCACACCTCTCTCCTGTCCCTCCATTACGTCATCTCCTTGTCCCAGCCCTGAAGCATGCTGTGTCGCCTGACCTCTTTTCTTAGCCACCCTGTCTCCCTCATCCTCGGTTGAGACCCCAGCAGCTGTATGTGACCGGTGTGCTGGGGCGCCAGATTCCTCAGACGCGCTGCCGGCAAGTTGTGGAAGCTGCAGAGGAAACTGCGCGGAAGATGCAAGCGTAGCTGCGGCAGAGAAAACGCCAGAGCGCGGCCACACGCTGACGTGGCCGCCACGCTGGAGCACCATGCCGCCGAGGGCCGGCGACGGCGGAGTCAGCGTCCAGTCAGCTCTGCCCGGAGCCTGATCTGGCTCCCGCGCAGATACTCGCCGCCTCTTCCTGAGCTGCTCATGGAGTGCATCCTGCAATGGGCGGCTCTCAAGCGCGGCTGAACTCGGCGCTGCAGCCCGGCTGGGCTTCTCTTGGCTGTCTAGGTTGGGCGTTGAGTTTGTCGCGCGCATGGCTCGAAGCTGAGCAGCCAGGGTCCTTGCAGTTGGGAAGGCGGTCAGCATGCGCACATCCACACCCAGCCAGCCAGCCACCTGTGCACACACCAGCAGGATATCTCAGAATAGCACAGCGGGAGGAATTGAAGCCACAGGTGCTGCAACCATGCGGAGATTCCTGTCCAATACATGTTCCCTTTTCTAGTGATGTAGGTCTTCTCCACAGTTGGGCATCGCAAGATGACACAGTGAACAGGTGCCCACCTGTTCAAAGGACTACCATGCATTCCCCTGTGCTCAAGGTCAGGTACAAGCAAGTATGTCAGATGAGAAGAGTGCTGGTGGTGTCACCTGGGCAGCGGACAGTGAGTCTCCGCCCGCGCTCCAGAAGTCCGTGCCGGGCTCCAGAGCACGCGAGGGCAGGCCCAGAGCCGCGCTAAATGCACGCATCGCCGCCGCCTCCAACCCCCCGGGGCCGGCGAAAGGGAAGCCGTGCGGGAGAGCGGCTTGCGCTCCATCCTCTGGATGACTGATCCCTCCCAACTGCAATCACGAACAATATATATGTTTTTGTTAATCGTTTGAAGGATCGTAAGCAGCGAGCCTCCGAGCCATACCTGATGAGGTTTGTTATTCATTCCTGCCAATACTAGGAGGTGCAAGATAAAATAAACACGATGTATGGCCGCATGATAGCAATTTGCAGCGCAGCTCCACTGCATGAAGCATAACGAGGGTGCTGACCTGGGCAGCAGCAATTGAGGGTGGACCATCGATGCACTGCGCCAGGCCTGCCGGCCGTGGCAGGTCCCCCCGCTGGATCTTCCCTGCGCTGGATCTCGGCAGCGCCGGCAGCACAACAATGATTGAGGGAACGGCAGCCGTAGGCAGATAATCCATGCACCAGCTCTTCAGCTCAGAGTAGGTCTCTGTGGAAGAAGTATTCAGCTCCACGTAGGCGCAAAGACGCATGCCTGCTGAACACACACAGAGTGTCTCCAACTGCTGGATGATATCTTCATAATGTCCTCTGAAGCTTTTGAAGTCTTCCAAGAGGTGAGTACGCCACATGCAACACCTGACAACAACAGAATTTCTCCGACAGCAGAGCACAGCATGTCTGCACTTTGCTGCCCTACCACAGGAGCACGAAGATGATCAAGGTGAGGAATAAGGCGATTGAAAGGCAAATATCTCCTAATGTTGCAGAGTGGGAAACATGCACACTCACCATTGAGGGGTCCTGCAGGCCAGACAGTGGCAGCTGCTGCCACCACCCCAGGATGCGCCGCCAGACAGGCCTCAACCTCCAACGAATCGATCCTGACCCCTGCACACGAGAAACCGCACAGTCTGCAACAATCGCTGTGATGCACGGGTAGCTTTATTGTTTATGACTAAATTTTGCAGCCACAGCAATTTGAAGTAGGACACCCTGACCATCCTCACCATGGAGAGGTCTTTGATGAAGCACTAGGCTTTTGGCAAGAGACAAGCCGGATGCCCAGCAAGGTCTTGAGGATTGGAATGCCAAAGAGTCAGGTAGGTGAAGCACTGAAGCTACAAAGAGAGGTAAAGGGGCGCCTACCGCCGATCTTGACCTGGAGATCTAAGCGTCCTCTAATCTCCAGGCCATGAGGAGTGATGAGTCCCAGATCGCCCGTTCTGAAAATCTTCTGGCTGCTTGGCTGGCTGTTGGCTACAGCTGAGCAGCTCTCTTCAGATGTCTCCTCGCCCCATAGGATTTCTGCAGAAGCTGCCCGCAATTGCTCTGTTTGCATGCTGGCAAACCGCCTCCTTGTCTGTTCTGGCTGCCTGTGACATCCAAGGAACTTATTAGGCCAAAGTCATTGTTGCACCTAAGACAATACGCTGACCCTTCTCAAGTTCATTGAAGGACATGTTTTGCAGATCTTAGCACTGCCTAGCCTCCTTAATTGAGAATGATGCCATTTGTATGCAAGCCTTCTTTTGGGCTCAAAGCTTGCATCTCACATTGTCATGGCAATTGCACTTGTAGGGCGGATCACCATCATAGAAGTACTGATGCACCATACAAGCAAGATCTCCAAGACCAGTTAAGACGTTTCTCGGCTTGTCGCAAAAGGCAGTCAGCAAAGCACGCAATGGGGAAGTGATACACTTTAAACCGCAACATTGGTCACGTACTATTTGATAAAGGACACAGCACCTGAGATAGCCAGCAGAGAGGCCATCTCCCACAACACACACCTCCCCCTCCTCCCCTAAGTCCAGCACTTCTGAAGCGCTCATGCTGGTAACCGCCCCTTCTTCGCTGCTGTGCCCCCCTCCATCACCAACAGGCGCTGCAATGAACACGGCCATGTTGTCCAGCGGCCAGCCTACCGGCACTGTCTCAGTGCTTATCCCTGCATCCCCGACGCTGCTCTGCTCTTCCCCTATCCTCTCCCGCCCATCCTCCCCTCTGTCAGCTGTCACACTGTCTGCTTGCAGCCCAGCAGGATCTGGCTCATGTACAAGCGCGTCCCCGGCACTCTTAAAACTGGACTGCAATGCTGGCGGCCCCCCTTTTGCAGAAGAAATTGCAAGGTTCCCGTGCGATTGGTCCTCGGCTGTGCACAGCTGCACGCTTAGTAACGTGACTGATGGCGTGGCAGCGCCAGGGGCTGCAGAGGCGTTCCTTCGAAGCCAGGCGGTCGCATCACAGCATGTGCAGTCCGCTGCGGTCTCGGTGGAGCCGTACAGGTTCAGTATGACGGCGTGCGGCGGCAGAAATGCCTGCAGCCGGCGCAGTAATTGGGCGGGCAAGGGCTCGCCACTGGAGACCAGCAGCCTCAGGGAGGGGGGCGCTGCGGCAGAGGGCACCAACTTATTATTCATACAGATACGATGTAGGCGCAAAGGTTTAAGATAAAACCGCATTTGCATGTTTGCTGCACAGGGACAGTGGAGTATACAGACGGCGTCACAAGCTTCCTGTCCAACAGGCCAGTGTTCCCCATTGTCTGTGCAGCAGCGCTGCCATGTGTGATATTTGGTGTCCTGATTACAACATGCAGCGGAGGCGCCAAAATACAGAACACGGATGTGTTCAGGATTGATTTAGTGGCGCACCTTGCTGACCCGTGAAGTCCATGTACCGCAGAAGAGCAGCAAGCACCGTTGGCACGGAGACAAAGTGCGTCACATTTTGCTGCTGCAGTGCCTTAAAAAGGGCGCTCAAGTCATGTGAGGCCGAGGGTGGCAGGACTAGCAAGGGAACGCCCCCCAGCAGCGGCCCAAAGATCTGCCAGATGGAATCCACAAAGGTGGGAGCAGTGTGGAAGCAGGCAACGTCACCGGCTTTGAATGGGTGTGCCCGCTGCATCCATCTGAACCGGTTCACAATACCTGAAGCCAGAAAAATGCCTCACTTAGACTTGATCAAACCACTGGGGGCCACCCAGAGCTCAAGCAAATATACCACAGTTGTCTGGCGTGTCTGGCCACGGCAGCAAGCAGGGAAATTTTCATAGCTCCGCTCAATGGATCAGTGGCAGTATCATGGGCTGTCGAAGGACGATACCTTCTGTAGTGCCCAGGACAGCCTGAGGGGCACCTGTTGAGCCGGATGTGTGCATCACATAGGCAATGGATGGCGCATCGGCCTGCTCGCTCATTCCATTTTCCTGCAGATGGGTGCCCACTTCTGCGCCTGCTGTCTGACCTTCCCTGATGTCTGCTGGGTTTGCAGGGTCCAAGAGCGTGCTTGGGATCTGCAGGAGTGGGCAGCGGTCATGAGCGACAGGCCCGCAGCCTGCAAAATAGACAAAATTGCTTTCAGTTGAACTTCCTACTTCACTGAATTACTGAAGAGATCTCGTACAAGAGGTTGGAAACACTTAATGCCTAGGTAGCTGCAGGATGAAAGCCTGGTCTGACCAAGGTCAGACATCCTGGTGTTTTGCAGCCCACCATTGCAAGCCTTGTCTGCCCAGAGAATGACAGCAGGGCGCGCATCATCGAGCACAGCTGTCAGCTTGCTGGGCGGCCACCTGGCGTCCAATGGCATGAAGGCTGCCCTGCACAGAACATGGCAACATTTTGCCACATGCATGAGGCAGGCTATCAACGGGACACCATCATTGCATCTTCTTCTGATCTACTGCATTCTTGGGGAGACATTGTCAGGTGCATTGGGGCAGACTGATACCTGGCGCGGAGAGTTGCCAGCACCCCAATGACGTATGCAATGCTTGTGTCAAGGTATAGGCCCACGATCGGGGGCTGTCCTCCATCTGAGGCCGCTGTTGCTGCTCCCAAAGTTTGGCAAATGAGGCCGGAGAGCTCGGTAACCTGCATCAAATATGCTCATGTTTGGGCGTCTGGTGCACAAGGCTGACAGAATCTTTCACATGCGGTGCAAGTGCTTTTGTTTGGTACCTTTTGCCTCAGGCATTCGTACGTCCAGTCCTCTTTGTTGTCACACGGCTGCTGAACAAACACAGCCTGATGTGGCCTCTGACGAAAGGCCTCATCAAGCTCCCTCAGAAGCGCCATTTCAAGCTCGTCTGAAGGTGCCGATACGATCGCCGCCACGATCAACTTCGTCGATGCTTGCGATGTAAACACATCGTCCAACGCATGGCCTCATGCGGTGCCCATTTGCCTTGTCCAAGCAGGCTCAACTGGTGTTAGTCGGTCCAGGTATCAATGAAATAAATCCTATTGATAGCGTTTTTTGTAATTCTTGTTAACCCTTAGACTCTGACAGCCTGGAAGGGATCTGCAAGAAAACATTCAGTAGATCCCCCGTCAGCATAACCTTATTCTGGCCTGAAAATTCAACACAAATAACCGTTTGTTTACAAGTTACGACATCGGGCCCTGGATGATGCAGTCTGGTATGCTGGAAGCACGGTGCATGTTGAGACTATTTTGGGAGCGAGTGAGCGCCAAAACAGGCAACCGGGGTGGTTGGCACAGGGTTTCAGCACACAAAATTTTCAAGGCAAATTGCATCTCAACAGACCTGAGGAAAGAGCTATTGGCCAAAGGTGAGCTGCATGACGTGCAATTGGGCTGCAGCAAGCATTACGCAATATGCTGTGTCAGATTGAACAGTGCATTCATATATCAAGATAAGGACTTTTCTTGTTTTCACTTTCAGCAGCTTGAGAGTTTCTCTGGTGTGCAGGAGTATAAAATGGCTCCATTCAACTTTGCACAGAGGTCCTCCTCTCGCACAGCCATGCCCCGTGACGACCACTCAGACTTGAAGCTTGAGAAAATGGACCTGCACGCTCCTGTCAGCACGAAGGATGCAGGCCTTCCCCCCGCAGCAGGCAGATATGCGGGCAAGCCACCGCATCTTAGCGGGACCTTTGAGCCTTCCAAGGCATTCGTGCGACAGCTGGCCACCAAGTCAGAATACAGGTCCGTGCCCTGGCGTAATGCCCCCTCCGTGTACTTGTGCTACCAGGTGGACGGAGGCCGCTCGCAAACTCTTTCAGCAGGGTTCTGGAAATGTTTCGAAGCTGGGAGGGGTGCAGCACGAGGCGAAAACGTTTCACAGCACCCGTATACAGCAGATCTGCTGCAGCTAGGTAGCTCGGATGCCGCCGAGCCTCTGCACACGCCTGCGCTGGGGCGTTTGGAAGCGAACGTGTGGATTCACATACCTTGAAAAGCGTGGAACGAATCCAGATCGCTGTTTCCGAAACTCTCTCCTTACTCGTTGCAGGAGACACCTTGCTGGTCTGCTGAAGGAGCACTCCCTGGTGGAGGGAGGCGACCTGCAAGTGGCCACCTGGATCAAGGATGAGGGCTTCGACACCACCATCCCTTCAGTCATGCAGGTGGGGCACCTGACATCTCAATACCATGACCATTACGCCGATACTCTTCCCCCTTGCCTTGCCAGGCTTCCTGCTGTGTCTGTCAGGGATGAAATTGTCATGCCCACCAGCATGAAGATCCTTGGCCAGGCTTTGACGTGGCTTTGACTGCTCACAAATTCGCAGGCACTCGAGAATGCCAAGTCCAATGACCTCCTCTTCTGGGCGTCCCGGTACAACCTTTTTGTGCTGTGGTCGGCTGACCGCACCCACCCCTGGGACTCTTTGCCCGGAGCCGCCAATCACGCCACATTGGAGATCGGAAAGCAGCGCGGATCTGACTCCGAGGTGAGCTCCCAGTCAAAGCCTCATTCATTGCATGCATCAATTTGAAAGCTACTCCGACATGCATGGAGTCCAAAAGATTTCTTACGTTATGTTGTGTGAGCGCTGTGTGCTGGCCACAGGTCGTTGTGCTGCTGAATGGCAAGCCCATCACCGACTACACCTTCAAGTCTGGAGTCCTCAAAACCACGTGAACCTTCCTTGCCTTCTCCCCTCATCAATACCCTGACCTTCCTTAGCACCTTAATGCGGAGTCATCATGTGACCTCCACCCTACCTGAGCTGAAGAGCGCCTCCTTTGAGTATCGCGCCTGTAATCTGTCTGCCTACTGCCCAATGCGACATGGGCTTACCAGACCCATAAAAGCATTTCTCAAGTGAGGAATATTATCCGGTGAAAAATATTCCAATAATTTCTGGTGATTTCACCGCAGCACTCCCCTGGACTGGGAGACGCCCACAGGCAAGAGCGCGTCAGTCATGCTGGAGCTGCAGCTGAGCTCCTTCTTCGGCTACGGCAAGTCCGACGACGACTCCTACCTGGGCCTGCAGGCGCACGGCGTGCTGTGGGCTGCCAACCCCTCAGACACCCCCGTCAACTGGCCCATCGCGCCCCCCATCGTCGCCGGCAAGGTCAGCACCCCTGCTCTGCACGTCTCAGCGCCCTGTCATGTGATAGGGCGCCCCGCTTACTTTCCATCTGAGGATTCAGCGTCCAGAAGAATGTGAGATCAGCCCCCGCTCGCGCCTCCAGTCTCCTGGCAAGAGCCCAGCAGTCTTGAAGGGAGGCAGCGCCCTGGAGTTGATTCTTGCTCAATTCTTTGGACCATCTTTGCCATGCATGTCAGAGCTAGATGGTTGTTGCCATGCACACAATCTGCTACATCTATTCCCTGCTATCTGTCGACAAATAAAGCAGGAATTGACAGATCATGTGCACTCGATCCTTCACACCATGAGTTTCGGGTTTTAATTGCGCGCAGGTCAACATTGCGGGCCGCGCGGCGGCAATCGCGCCCGGCAGCGCAGACAACCTGGCGGCCTTTGCAGGCGTGTACCAGAGCCACCAGCTGCCCGAGGTTGCCGGCAAGCCCGCTGACGCCAGCTTCGAGCTCTCCATCTCCGTTGGCGCTGACGGTGCGCCCTGATGTTGACTTTTGCGCCCACAGCACATCATATTGACATGACATTCCCAATTCCGAGGAGGAGGAAACACACCAAACATGCCCAGTCGTGTTAATGTGGACCATAAGGAGCTGGCCTGACCAGCGGCTCATGAAGGCGCCTGATGGCGGGGATGCACAGACCATTGTAACAATGCTTCCATATCCAGACAAGCAGCTGCAACTTTGCATGAAGACGGACACAGTGCTCAGGGTTGTGAATTTGAAGCTGTTTTCAAGGCAATGCATTGGATTTTACAAAATGAGAAGTAAGAGGGTGGCAGAATATAATGTTTGTCGCGCTGTCAACGCGCAGGCCAGCCGGCTGTGTCGGTGAACGGATCTTCGCTGGGCGGCTGGACGTTTGACGCGATGGACGTTCTGGCGTGGAGCGAAGAGGCAGGCATGACTGCCTGGCTGCAGTTCATGGTGCTCCCCGGCGGCCCCATCTTCATGGGCTCCCTCAAGACCGCCGCCGACGCTGAGGCTGCAGGTTTGTGCGCCTTCTATTTCTGCCTACCAAATAACGCATTTAGTGAAACTCAAGCTAGGGCCGATTCATATTGTTGGCGGACCGGCAGAGTGCAGAGTGTAAACTGATGCCGTTGGTTGTTTTTGCACTACAGTTTTGATAGATGCACTCCCTTGCATGACAAACAAGCCTACATCAGCCACTTGTGGCACCGGTGAAAAGGATGACATGCAAATGGAAGCAGTGTACCGGCGTGTCCTCTACAAGAATGCAAACTGCTCTGCACGTCCCGTCTGCCGCTTGCAATGTCAGTGTCTAAACAACCAGAATTTTCATAGCGCGCTCACACCATCCCTGTGATGCTGTGCGCAGGCTGCAACGTGTTTGGAGAGCTGCGCAGCCAGCCAAGCCGCCTGGCGCCCGATGCCAACATGGACCCTGCCGTCGGCCAGCTGGTTGCATCCGGCCTGGCCTCCGCCTCCACCATGCTCGCTGCCTCCCTGCTGCGCTCCGCCTTCAGGTGCTGCAACCCCCTCGTTACCCAAGCACGCACCTTGCGCATAGATAGACTCTCACCAGCAGGCTTCAGAGCTCCATCATGCTGTGCCTCCACTGAAGAAGAAAACGCAATATCCCATCAGGGCAGTGCTCAGGTGTTGTCAGTTTTTGCTTGTGAAAAGCACTACCAGCTGTCAGCTCGGTCCATCACAAGCCTGGAAGGTAAATCGCTTTTAGTGGAAAGTGACTGGGCTGAGGACTAGCCTGCCTGGCAAGACTGGAAGCTGCATCTCGCCAGGGCCACACAGCCCGCACACCTGGGCAAGAGCGCTGCTTGAACAACTCATGATCCTCAAGGCAACAACTCACCAGGCCTCTGAGGGGCTCTAAGTCAGCAGGGACATGCAGCCGGTTCTCGACGACAGGAACTTCCCTTGCACAGGCTTCATTGACATGACTTACATTTTTGAATGGCTTCAGGTGCTGGAGTGCGCTGAAGAGCGGCCTGAGCGCGGACGAGATCGCATCGGCGCACGATGTCATGCTGGAGAGAATGGACGCCGAGTTTGGAACGCTCAAGCGGCTGGAGACGCTGGTGACCGCGGCCGAGGCCACCTTCCCGGGAGCCGCCGGCGCCAAGGAGATGGACCCCGCCGCCACCGCAGACGCCGTCGCCGCAGAAGCCGAGGCTGCCGAGAATGCGCAGGTGATGCACCTGCCCCGTATTAGTGTGACTGTATGCATTGCACGCCTTACCTGGCAGTGGCAAGGTGCGTCTGCAAACAAGCTGCAGGTAAAGGCTGCCACCTGCCCCAGATGCATGGAGTGAATGTGCTGGCAGCTTCTGCCAACGCCTGCACACTCGGTTGGGCTACTTCTTAGACTATTGTTGTAGCAATGTCTGCTGTGCATCAGCTTCAGAGCACACCGGCACTTGCATTGGCTGGATTACATGCGGCGTGCCCTGCAAACAAGCAAAAGTACAAGATGGGCTCGTGCAATAATCTCCTGATACAGCATCGCAAGGTGGTGCGACAAATGGGCTGACGTTTGAGTATTATGGTGTGCAGGCTGCCAAGACGGCGGCTGAGGCGACAGAGACGGCGGCACGCGAAGCTGAGGAGGCCGCCAACAAGAGCGACGCCCTGGAGGCCACCTCCAAGGCCGCCGTCGCCGCATGGCGCGCCAGCCAGGTCCGCCCTAGACATGAAATGAATAATACAACCCCCCTTCCAGCAGCGTGCAGACCGACAGTTTCACTGCCAGCAAGATATGTGCGGCTGGCAAATTACCGTAAGTAAAATTGAAAAAAACACCTCACGGAGCATCAGATCTACGAGGGTGAAAACTGGAGGAGACAACATGTAGATGTTGGAAGGTCTTGGCAACGTCTTTTGTTTAGTGCATGTGTCTGTGTGACATGCAAGAAGTTGTGTACTCAGGATTGAGGTGTGTGGCTTGCGTTGTGCAGGCCCAGTCAGCGGCGGCTGCAGCAGAGGCGTCCGCTCTGGAGTCCAGCAAGCACGCTCGCCTGTCGCACACAATTGCCGCGCTGGCCGCCGCACAGGCCGCTGCACAGTCCTTCAACATGGTGCGCAGCCCCCTTCCCATAAAGTGCCCCTGTCGCATTTAATTTTGCCACCTGACAATGCCATGCAAGCTCATCGTTCTACCTGTAGGAGTGCCTGCATGAAGGCTATGTCTACCCCCAAGTCCCGTTGCACACAGCCATCAGTTGGCCGGCCTACCAAGAGACATGGATGTTGACAAAGCCTTCACCTGTGTGTCAGCCATTCCCAATAAGGCAATGATTATTTGAGAGCATGAAACTAAGTACAAGAGGGCTTGCCTGACAAAATGAATCTCTCTTGCGAGCAGGCAAAGGAGGTGGCTGCTGAGTCAGCTGCAGCGGAGGCACGGGCGGCGGCGGCTGCACTGCGCGCGGTGGAGGCCGGCATTGCACTGTACGCCGAGAAGAGGGACTACCTCAAGCTCAAGGACATTGCCGAGGCATCCGACGTAGCCGGCAAGGTGCGCTCAGCCCTCTACTCCCCTTTCTTTATTCACAGGTATGTTTACATGTTTAATACTCCTCCAATCCATAAGGAAGATTCACCTCTTGCTGCATGTTTCAAATCACAAGATACCTTCATTGAGCCCCTTTGCGCTCTTGTCTTCAAGCAATGCCAGTACGCTGAAAAGCAGCATGCATCCTTGACTGGTCTGGGGCCTGAAACAGTCACACCTCTAGCCTGCTGACCCCGTATTCGATGATATTTTTCAACGTCTCCAAAGTTTAGTATTCAAATTTGCATTCGTCTGTTCAGGCGCTGGACGCGGCCAAGGCGGCAGTGACCGGGTGGGAGGCGGCGAGCGTGGCCAGCCGCAGGGGCGCGCTCGATGCGGCCAAGGTGGCCGCAGAGTTCTCGCAGCTCTGCCACAAGTTCATGCGCTCCGTGCACCGCGCCTAGGCGCGCAAATACAGTCCCCCCGCTGCCGGGCATGCACGTGGGGCAAAGACCTTAATCGCTCAATATAAAAAGCAGACAAGGCGGCAGCACACTGTCGCCCCGGATGGCATGCACGGCAGAGCTTCTGTCGTGTGTCAAGTGATGTACCACAGATGGAAGACGATGGAAAGCTGCCGGTGTCGGATGGCGGCAGCTGCAGGCTGAGCCAAGGATCATGGGCTCAAGGAAAATTCCTACAAGCAGGCAGTGGTGATGGGAAGCCGATGATGGCGTTGGTAGATCTCTCACAGGGAGGCAACCCACATGAGCAGCATGTCAAGGGGCGCATGCAATAGCCACCTGCAGAGGAGCAGAGGGAAGCTGCTGTGGGAAGGCCGGCTTCTTGGAATTACTGTGATAGCAGAAGGCTCTTGTAGTGGGGACATTATGGTGGTGATGATTGAGTCATGCTCAGGAAGGGCATCATAACAGATTGCAACACTTGGATAGCATGCAGGTGGGGCCTGGTTAGCAAGTTGCGAGGTGCACTGCATCGTTGCTAGGCTAGGTGCTTGAACCAGGGTGTCAACTTGAACGTAAAAAGACTTGGAAGTTTGACAAATAGAAGCAGTAGAGCAATGTAGTAGTAACTTGCAAATGTTGACATTATTGTGCTCGTGCAATAGAGGGTGATTTACAGGAACCTGGCTTTTAAGCAGCATTGGAAGGTTGCACGACAGTAGGACAGAAAACAGTGGTACCTTGCAAGTGTTGCGTTGCGTTTGTGGAGTTTTTTTGTTGAGCAGAATTTCATTCGATAACAACAACTGATGCTGCTACTTTCGATTCAGGGGCAGCGCAGAGACTGGGCACAGCAATTGCTTGGGTGTTACATTGTGATAGGAATTAGGTGAACGTTTGCCGAGTGATTTGATTTGTGCCCACTCTTTGCTCATGACCCATTCCCTTCCTGAAAGGTGAAAGGGTGGGGCTCAGTGATTCCCATTTGGCAAGTAAAATTTCTTTTTGGAATACATTTTCCTTTATGTATGCATCATAGCCAAATGCAGCTTCATATGGCAATGCATTTGCCCTCTCAGTGCCTACCTAAGAAGTGGCACCTCCAATTCTTCTTCAGTGCAGTACATTTAACGCAAGCCCTCTCGAGAAATGAGCATTTATGCCCATAGTGCCTTCTGCATGCATGTTTATCAACATTTGATCACCACCTGCTATGAGGTTCTGCATGTCGCAATGCTTAAATCACAGCCAGGGAAAGCTTCTCAAATGTCTGCTGTCATATCTGCCTCCTCTTGAATTTAGGAAGAAGCAACCACATATCGGTGATCTCCAAACATCCGCCAGAAAGATTGACATGGATGCCCCATCCATAGAACCACCGAGACCAGATTTAATAGGACCCAGTCTTGTCTGAAAGCTGCATGTGGGACAGTCCAACTGACAGGATCCCTGCTTGTTCTAAGACCAATGGAGCACATCGGGAAAGAAAAATATCTCTGAACAACAAGAAGACAGCGATTGGTGCAGTTTGACGCACCAGTAGGTGCACTGCGCATGTGAAAACTCTCCACAGTATGTCAATGAAACGTCACAGCGCCCCCTCAGTTCGGCCCAAGCTTTTCAAATACCAAACACAAGGCCAACTTTCACACAGCAGGCACAGCGGATTCTGCAGCGCCCACAATATGTGGTGGCACAAAGGCACCGTCAGTCATGGATCCAGCATTAGTCATCCTGGTGCAGCATGCCAATCTCAGGAAGGAATGCCAGTTGCGCAGCGCTCCCTCTTCACCAGCCCAGAACGAACTTCATGATGCCATAGCCTACTGTCACGATGAGGCCATACGTGGCCAGTGAGCATGGCACGCCCACCTGACAACAGCAAGCAGAGTGCTTCAGTCAGGAACCATCCGCATGTCACATGCCACGACACAGGGCGAAACCAGATTTGACATTGCATGTGCAGACAGATGGACTAAGGACCGGCTCCATCAAACCAATCGTCCTCTTTGCACGATGTAAATTACCAGCCCCGCAGACCACAAATGTGCAGAGACACTGCTGAGCATATGGAAAGTATGCTATTTCCCACGTGGTCTGCTTCACAGGGGAGGACACGAATGCACAGAAGATTATGTCCTGGCATGCTCACGATTTCAGCCAAGTGCATGGCGGAAGCAAAGAAGAGCGATATTTGGGTTCGGGCGCAGACCTTGAAGAAGTCGATGGTGGATAGCCAGGGGTTGCCGGTGGGGTCCTCCTTGGCGTAGGCTGTCATGTTGGGGAAGCCTGACACCGGCAGGCCCATGGCTCCGCTGCACATCAAAGCTGCCCCCATCACCAGCAGCCGCGGGTGGGGCTCCTGCAAACATCACAGCGCCAGACCTTGATACTCGGTTTCCATTGCAACGCGGCCGCCCAGAAAGAGGGGTACAGGACAAGGAAATGTTTCTGGATGGGTGGGGCCTTTGATGCATGCTGTACATGTGCATGCTCCCAGGTTTAAATGCAACGATCCTGAGGCATTAGTGAAGGTCACAGCTGGAAGACCCTCTCATCTCCGCAATACAGCTACCAACAGGCTCTATATAACCCTTCATCCCGCCAGCAATGGGAAAATAGCTCATGCAGGACAACCCCCGCCTCCGTCTAGGCTAGGCATGCCAGTATGTACCCAGCAACCTTTGCTCTTTAGAGCATCCTGATGGGCGATAGGCATCCATTGCGTTTCAATAACAACAAGGGCTGAGAGCAGAAAGCGCCATATCTCCAACTGAGCGCCGGCAGCGCTTACAATGGACGAGCAGGCCTTGGAATCCCTTTTCAAACTGAATCCTATTTATGGTAATGAGCAGTATTTTGGTGCTGGCAAGCAAAAAACAGGGTGCAGGAGAGAACACCGCACCTCCATTTGCGCGCCAACAGCGCTGACAATGGGCAGGATGACCATGGCGCCCACGGTGTGGGAGATGAAGGTTGTGGCCACGAGCACAAGCGCGCAGAAGATGGCGAAGACGGCCCAGACGCCCATGCCGGCAACCACGTCCTCGATGGAGTGCGCAATGGAGGAGAGAAGTCCGCTGGACTTGACGGCCTCGCCGAGCGCGGAGCCGCCCATCGCCAGCATCACCACGTTCCACAGCTGGTTGTTGAAGTCATCCTGCGCACGCAGAAAGCCGGGAAATGAATACTGGAATTAAACATGGAATATCCTCGGTTTCTGTGGCGACGCCCCAGGGCTGTCAGATGATAGGGGAGCCTTAGGCTTGCCTGTTGCTGCAAACATAAAACTCTTTGCATGCCATATGTTGACAAGCATGTCGAGGTACGTCAGACCAGAAATAGGTGCCTCATTTTGCAGCCAAAAGGCGCAGAACACCATGGCGCATATTTTGAGCTTGGTTTGACAGGATAGGGTGGCAAACAGCTTGGTGTTGGATGCAGCAACACTCTAAGGTAGGCTTGTTTAGAGACAAGAAAAGAACGGCCAGGACAGGGTGCACCTTGGAGAGGAGGCCGAAGCCAAAGAAGGCGACCATGGGGACGATGGCCACGATGCCCATCTGGCCGGTGAACTTGGAGAGCGCGGTGTTGGCGCACCACAGCCCCACCGTGCCCAGGCTGATCACCACCACGTAGATCTGCTTCCACGTGAACGGGTCCTGCGCAGGGCACCACGTCATGTGGTGAGCTCCAAGAAAGCAGTCTGGCAAAACATGCCTTTAAGTTGCACACTCCAACAATGCACAGTTTACTCTACATGTGAGGGATGTACCGACCTTCAAATCTCTTCTAAAAAGCAGTCGCTGGTCAAGTGTGATGACATCCTTACTTATTTACAAGGTACCCAGCATACTCACGATCTTCTCGTAAAGGGACTGGGCAACATGCTCACAATAGAAGTGCATAGACGACGCTCTTATTGAGCTGGCGGGCAAGCGGCAAACTTCCTTATGCATCCTCGCTTTGAATGCCCTGTAATAGGGTGCCCCATATAAGGGTTCACTCGAGGCCTCAGGATCCGGATGACTTACATAAACTGCACGTCCTGATCCAGACAGCGATATCACAATGTTAGCAGAGAAAGCCTCACCGAGCTGAAGGGCATACGGCGGACTTCCTTGAGGGTGCGGCCGGGCCGGTAGGCCAGCAGCAGAAATCCCCAGCAGGCAAAGTTACCCACGCACGCCACGGGCAGCGCCACCGCAAACCAGGCAAGCCAGGAGGGCGGCTCGCCATCTCGGCCCATCTCCTGGATCGCGAAGATGTTCTGCGGCGATGAGATCGGGCTTGTCATGCCTCCCAGGTTGGACGCCAGCGCGATGCCTGTACAGGACATGCAGAGATGTCTTCCTAAGACGGCCTCCAGGAGGAAATGTTGTTGAGACAACGAGAATGGTGTGGTGAGGTGTCTCTATGAGCACTGCAGATGTGCCCCTTTAGGCACTGAAGGCAATGCTGAGTACAGACAGCAAGGCATGTTGCCAGTTTGTCATGAACCAGTCGATGGTAAAGGACTGCTTGAAGGACGCTGGAAGGGGAACTGCAAAACACAAGAGTCTGTGCAAATGAGCAGCTGTGATGCATGCAATATGAGCCGCTGCCTGTGCGAGCGAACACATGGATGTCAGAGGCACAGACGTGGCCAAAGTGCAGACATCACGGCTGCCCAAATTCAAACCTCATTTCAAAATCATGTGCAATGTATCTCTTGCACCAGCCAATTTCCATTGGCCAGGCGCATCGCCTGAGAGATTGTATCACCGGATATAAGACAGACGTAGATAGAGGTGCAAAAAGGACTCACCCAGGACCAGAGCTTTGCCAAAAGAATGGCCGGAGGGCAGCGTGCGCAGGATTGGGTCCAGCACGGAGAAGCACAGCACGGGGGCGGCCACATTGGTGATCCACATGGATGCGAAGGTGGCCACGAACATGTTGGCTATCAGCACCGCGTGCGGCTTGGCGCTGACTTTCCCCAGCACCCAGACGGCCACGCGCTTGGCGATGAAGTGCTTTGTGAAGGCGCTAGCTATCGCGAATCCCCCCAGCAGCAGCATGATTGTCTGCACGGCAGGAAAGAGCGGATGAGCAGGGGAATACTTGGTGATAAATGCGCACTTCATGCATGCTCTGAAGACTGGATGAGCTGCCAAATTTGGTGAAAAATCCAGTGCACTTCACGCATGCTCCGAAGAGCAGATGAGCAACCGAAACTGTCGCACATGTGCAGTGTATGCATGCTAGAATGCGCACATACAAATTGAGTGGTCTTTGGATGGCATGTCTTGACCGACTATTGCAAGAAACGAGCCTGAAGCATACGATTCTTGCTCTGGATCACCTAACTCATTCAAGGGTGACAGTGGGGTATGAGGGCAGGCCGTCAACGTGCCTCTCAATTGTGCAATGAGGGGAGATGAAGAGCTGTGAACTCGCCTGTGAGAACATGGCTTTGAAGATGGCGTCCGCAGCGTCGGGTGCGCTCTTCCTGACCGGGTGCTTCCCGCTGTCGTCCACCATCACTCTGCACACCACAGCAATGTGTGAACTTTGCAAAGGATGTTTGACTGACCCTCCGTGTGCACGAATAAAAGCCAGCAGCATGGCACTTCTTCATGGAAGGCCTCAGTCAATTCACCCAAGTTTCTGTTCCCTTCTTGTCATTTGCATTGTGTGGGGGCCACCCCTGCTTCCACAGCTCTACACAGGCATATTCAACACGGTCCCGGCAAACACTGAGGAGGTTTGTGCTGTCAGAGACTCATGTAAGCTCGACCACTTCTGAAAAAATGTGTCCTTGCAGCTTGACCTGTGCAAACTCTGGACATGCATGCCTGGTTGTACTCATACCTGAGCACAACAGCCAGCAGGGGCACTAGCATGGAGGTGACGTAGAGTGGCAGGGCCTCCGTGCACCACAGCATGGAGGCAAATCCCAGCAGCGCCAGGCAATTCTGCTTCGCTCGCTCCTCGAAGATCGGCACGCCTGCCGGGAGTGAGCTCACATCGTCAACAAAGATGCATACCTTCGGCAATTCAGTTGTGGGTCGCCTGTCACTCTGTACTGCAAAATTGTTCCTGCTATGCACGCAAGCATGCATGTCTGGCTCCAGTCTTTGCATGTCAGACCCTCATGCACATTCAAGTGCTTCTCCGCTGAGGGCATCCTGCAAACTCCCTTGACGTGTGATGTGAGCCCGTTGGTTGAATTTGGATACATGGTTCCTCCCAAGTGTCAAGAGAAATCTGCAGCATGTGAGGCTGTCGCACCCCAAAACAATGCTTTGTCGCCATAAATCACACGCACGCATGCACACCCAGCAGACATGTACACCCACTGTCTGCAGATGGTAGGGGGCCACGCACTGAGGAGCACGGCAAAGACGACGCAAGAGAGAGCGATCATGAAGAGGCTGCTGCGGTACCAGGGCTTGGACTCAGCGCCGCTGTCGTCGACCGTGGCAGCGTTCTCCTTTCGCTCCTTCTCCACCATGTCCTTCCAGACTGTCGTCCTGCAGCAGCCACAGCAGCAGTGAAAGGCGCCCTGACTAAACATTTCTGCCATCTCCTAGGCAATGCCGGGCATGAATTCTGCCATTTAAGCCCTGACGCCCACTCTGACAATATGTCCCTGCCATCTGCTGGGCAATTTGAGGGATAGATTCTGCCAAGGAAACTCTTCATGGCAGCACAGTGTTTGATCGATATGGGAGAAGCGCTGCTGAAGCTTACTGGTGGAGACACACAGCAGCCACAAAAGCCCTTGTAAGCACTAAGATGTCCCTGCCACCTACATCGGCATTTCAGGAGGAAAGAGCTGCCAAGGAATCTGCCAGTCTGCCAGTGCTTGCCTCGAATGGTCCTGCAGCACTGTGGTGCCAACGAACACCTAGTGGCAGCACAGTACTGCGGGAAAATGTGCACCAAGCACATGCATACAAACAAGCGGTGGACACATGCAGCAGCACTCAGGGAAATGCAACCAGCTTGCACCCTGGCAAGTGATACAATTAAAGATGGATCAGCTAATCTGCACCAGCGCGCACCTCTCAAGCTTGAGCTGGGAGCGCAGCTGTGCCTTGAGCTCCAGCTGGGCCAGCAGCAGGTTGTTGTGGCAGCACACCACAGCGTACAGCTCCACCAGCTGCTTCTGAGCTTCCTGCATTTATACACAAGCACAAGCTTTAGATTGATGAGGTCCACAAAAAAATGCTTGGGGTAGCAGCCTCACATACACTGTGCACATCAGCAATCCAATCTCCGCCACAATGAAGGTGACGGACAACTCTCTAATTGTCGACTTTAATGGCCGCAAAAGCATGCAAGTGATGGGGCTTGTATGCATGCAGACACACCGGTTTCATGATGAAAAGGTACATTGATAGAACAGTGGGTGGAGGGGATGAGCCACGCACTGACACACGCAGGCGGTTCTTCTCAGGGAAGGCAGCCTCGACATTAGGCATGTACGTTGGCTGCATCTTTGGGTGCCCAAGCGCGCCCAACACCTGCACCAATGAGTCAACCCACTCGGACTTTCAAAATCAAATCATGAAGTGAAATTGACCCCAAAAGAGACATCAGATCCTGAGGCATTGGACTGCAAACGTAGGAGCAGCATGTCTCCTTTCAGGACCATGAGATGATTCTGATCAGGTTTTCTGCTTCATCAAGAATCATCTAAGGTAGATCAAAAGGTGAGACCCGCACACCAGGCAGCGATCTGCAAATGTAGCAGCAAGGCGTCGAAACTTGAAACTGACCTTGTCGTGCTTCTTCAGGGCCTTCCTGAAGCCTGTACGATTCACCTCCACAAAATCTATCAGCCCCTGGATCTCCACATACAGCTCCTGAAAGGTCTCCCTGTTGCGCGAACCCATGCTCTTGAGCAAAAAATTGTGATCACACAGCACTGCTCAATAAGTCTGGGATTTTCACAGGAAATACAGTGACTCTGCAGTAAACACCATGGGCAAGACCCCCTCAAGCTGTTACAGGAGAGATTGAGAAGAGAAGAAGGGCACGGATGTGACAAGCAGAGCGGCTCTGCACACAGGGCAGCCTAACAGATAGCCGAGAAAACGACTGCAGTGTGGTACACACCTTAGCTGCTCCCGCGCAATGCGCACAGCAACAGTGTCCTGGCCCCAGTACAGTGCCTCCGCATTCCTGCACCGCATATTACTCTTGTGAGGTACAGCGGACAGCGAGCTTCTATGCCTGGAGTGTGCACAGCCACTATGCCTGTGCACAATGACCACATTAGACATAGCTGAGCAGCTGGTGCGCCGAACCTGGAAGTCCCAAGCAGCGGCGAGCTCGCATCAGGAGCGCTCTGCTGTGCACTTGGCTCCACAGCACTGCTCACCTCCTCCCCAAGCTTGTCCACTGCACCCAGAAGCTCCTCTTCCTGCGTCCCAGCCAAAAGCGGCTCTCAACTCTGCTTTCCTAGCTATCAACTGTCAGAGCTGCCATGTGCTGCTCAAACATGCGGCAGAACCTGTCTGAGCGCCATCTGATGCAGGATGTGGAATCCCGCTCGGTACCGAAGTCGGCAGTGTGGATCATAACCGCATGCATGCATGCCAGGTGCATGCATTGCTTACCTTCTTTTTGTGGAAAGTAGTAATGCGGTTAAGCTCGCTGTCAAATGCGCCCTTGATATCGTCCCCGCCCTCTTCAAGAGCCAGGGATATTGTCCTGTCCAGGTCACCTCCTACCTCCTCTGGAATACGTCCAAGATCTGCGATTCGATTCTCTGTTTGCTGAGAACGTGAAGCTTGATGTGCAGGTTTTCTTCTGCTAAAAGGGAGAACAAGCATCGTACTAAAGCAAGGTGGTTCGACTCATTGATATAGGTTGCTAGGGCATACCCAAGCTTGTCCTGGTCTGAATTTCAGGTATATTTAGGGACAGTCCCTTGGTTTCCTCGACCTCCTTTTTGTATATGAGCTTCTTCAAACGGTCATAATTGATATAGTAGTCGTTCCACTCCGAATTGGCGTTGAATCTCAACGAATGTGAGAATTTCATCTCTCTATATTTGCGTCACCTGCGAATGTCGGCAAGACCCTCAGTGACTTCCTCTGTTTCACTTATTGCACTTTCATTGTATGCTGTATTGATCCTGGTACAAGTTTCTCATGATCTGCTGTAGCCAGACGGCTAGTGCTACATGACAACCTGAGACTTATTATGATCAATAAACGTTTCACCCAGTCAGAGTGCGACGTAAATAATTATTACCAAAAAAAACTCTCAGTGGCTTACCACGATTAAGACACGCTTTACAACTGGTCAGCCTGAACCGCAGCCCAGCTCTCTTCTATATCAGAACGAAATTGGCGATCCTTCTGAAAGCGTTCTGATCTGATCGCCTCCCGTTGACATATGTTTATATCATTCTAACGAATTGGACCGCACGTCAGCAAATGTGCCCATCAGAATTCTTCGAGACCGGAGTCTAGTGCTGGTTAAGTGTGTTCAGCAAAACCAGTAACAGTCAGACCAAAACGTTATTTAGACAATCAGGCCATGCAGACAGTATGTTTTTATGACTGATCGTCCAGGAAATACTGCGCCTATGAGCAATTTCTTACATGTTCGGCCAAGCAGAGGTCCTTCTGACTCAGACGCCTGATCTGGCACAAGCCCCACACGCATGCAGCTGCTGGGAACAACGCAGCTCTCATCGAGAGCCTCTCCAAGTAGTGGACTTTCGTTAGGTCAGGAATTTGTAGATCTGACAAGACAAACCATTTTGCAACTGTTATAGAATAGTGGAGGTGCTGCAATATCATATTCAAATTTGCTGTGGATAAGCATGTGGCTCGACCAGCCTGCTAAGCTCAGCAGGCTGCAGCTAGAGGGAACTGCCGGCCTCAATTGAACAGGAGTTTATTTTGCAGCTGAGCCAGCTTATGTGATGTGGCACTGCTCTCAAATCTGCAACCCAGCCTGTGTCTTCTCTCTATTGAGATCATTCCTCTTCTTTGATTTCACTCTTATCTAAACGCTCTTCAAGAAGGAAGTTCCTAGACTCTGTGACACCGCGCCATGCTCCAACCGCTCAACATGCACAATTTGCCTTCAACTTTGCTCCCTTAAAATCCTTTTCAGATATCATTCGCGAAAGACTCACGAAGCGGGACCTGGCCGGCTACCGAGCCCCCTCACCCAGTGCACTGCCTGCATGACAGCGCTGGCGATATAATGCCAGGCATGCAAAAGAGCCCCCCAGCACTGGCGGCCCCACTCTGCGACCACCTCCCAGGCTTGCAGAAGCCACAGCCAGGCAGCAGTCAGCCAGCTCAGCAGCGCGTGGCCTGCCCTCTCCGCGCCAAACTTTGCGGAGTACCAGGCCGAACGAGCCCTCCGCTGTGTGTTTCGCACCACGCCCGGCTGCGCTGGCGCCTCTACCTCTGCTGCCTGCAGTCAGCAATTGGCAGCGATGAGGGCAGCACTAGATTAGGTTTGAAGAGCACCTTGCATTGCAGACAGTGGCCTGAACACTTCCTTAAAAAATTACAAGGTACTGTTCCCAGGCGTCTGCTAAGCAGCATCCAATACCAAACACTCGCGTTCGCATTGAATTTTTTAATGAGAGCGGTGACACACCATTCCACTGCGCTGTTTAACAAGCCTTGATGCACACGAGTCAATATCTCTCAGCGCCTAACATTGCCTCTTTGCACCCACCTGCTCTGCAGCGCCAGCCTGGCTGCCGGCGACTTCCTCGTGCGCGGTCGCGACGGCAGCGGCCGCCGCGGCGCGTCTCTCGGCCGCCTCGGCCTCCGCGAGGGCGGCCTCCGCGCGCAGCACCGCGTCCTCCACCGCGTCTCTGGCCGCGCGCTCCAGCGCCGCCTGCGCCCGGCCGGCCGCACTGGCCGCCCTGCACACGCCAGAACAGGACAGGCATTTCAGTGCCAGAATAAGACATGCGATTGAGCGCCAAAACAGGACATGTGCTTAAGCGCAAACCAAGACATGCAATTTTCTGCCAAAGCAAGCCCACTCTTGAGCCACTTCCAAGCATTAAAACCGTGGTTTTGAACAAAATGTGTGCTGCATGCCAATCTGACAAAGTCAACCTGTGGAATATGTGGCCCCTTGAAAATTCGGTGTATGCGAGCACCTGAGCACTGCTCATGATTGTGCGCGAAAGTCATCACTGTATCCTGCACAGAAAGGGAATGGTAGCTAGTAGCATAATGCATTATCCACGCTCAAGCACTGCTCAGTCCCGGTATGCTCACCTTTGTGCGGCGCTGGCTGCCCGGGACGAGGCAGCAGTGGCTGCGGCCGAGTAGGAAGCCGCGCGGTGGGACGCCTCTCCCGCCGCCAGCGACGCCTGCAGCGCCACTGCAGTCCTCTCTCTGCAGCCCAAACCCTCCCTTCAGACCCTTTCACATGGACTGTACAGGGGCATAAATCTACCGACGCCGAGTCAAGTGATGCTCCCTGCATGGACTCTTCCAGGGTTGGTATTGCACATGCATGCCTGGCCACCAGGAAAGACAGAAGCTCCGAGTGCGTGACGACACACATTCCATCTGTATGCGCAGCCTGCCAGTTCAAAATGCATGCACAGTGATCAGCAGAGAAGGTGAGGACTGGGATTGCAAGCACCTGAGCGTCCTGACTGAGAGGTCAGAGGGCAGGCTCTGCACATAGCCAGGGTCCACTGCCATGGGCGGCCGCTCCACTTCATCTGCCTGTGGCAGCGGTGGAGCCTCTGGCTCATACCAGGATTTCTGGTCTCCCTGCATGCAAGCCCCCATCTCAAATTCTTCAACATCTTGACAACCGGCGATCACAGACAGTGCAGACATGATTGACTGGACGAAAGAGAAACCCATGACGCATGGATGACGGGTGCACACTGCTCTGAAATGGGACTGCAGACATCCCCATTAAAGGATGATGTCAGCTTTGACGGCTCACCTCATCATTCCACTGATCATACTCGCTCGCACCATCGCCCGCCTGCTGACTCACTCCTGCTACAGCCTCGCTTTCACCACCCTCAACTCTCTCTCTCCCCCTGTCTTCCTCCTCTGCTGAGCCATCCACTGCCTCTGTGCTGGCTGCATCCGCTTCCCCATCCTGCCAATGCTTGCTTTGTGCCTCCGCTGTGCTGTCTGACTCTGATGTGTCCATCTGAGACGGCCCCCCATCCTGTGCAGATGCCTCTTGCTGCTCCTCTCCCCTGCTCAACTCCTGCAGGGACACAGAGATGGTATTGCACTTTGATCCTTCTCAAGACATTCCTGACAAGCATGCACAACACCAGCCAGAGGAAGGTGTCAGACAGCACCGCAGGGGCACAGAGACTTTCAATTGTTTGATAGCCTCAAAAAATTTGTGACGATCATAAACACAGGCAGCCAGAGAACAGGTGCCAGGAATCACTGCAACACATGCAGGGAATGTTGTGGCACCCAATCATCTTGCTACTGTGCCTGAACCACTGCAACATCGCACCTGATCATCCGCTTGCCGGTCTGAAGCAGCCGTCGGTGCAGAGTCCGGCTCGCTATGCTGTGGCGATTGGTCCTCGCTGTCTGCGGCATAGCCGGCCTCTTGCATGTGCTGCGGAGGCTGCACCACCACCCAGCCCTCCCCTGGCAGCCACACCTTCGGCTCGCTGCTCTCTCGGTCCATTGTTGGGGGCTGCACACCCTGCCACCGCCACACGTTGCCCATCATCAATATTACGATTACTATTACACGCTTGTCCAGTCCTCACGGCTTGGTGGGTTGCAGCGACCTCTCAATAATTCCTCTCCAACCTGCCCGGTCTTGGCACTTTCTTCACCAATGGCATATCAATCCAATGGATCTTTGCCCATCATAAGTAGCAAATATTCCAGAGTGAGGTACTTTCTCTGTCACCCTTTCTATTTCTCATTTGATCCTGCTTATTTAGCCGCAGACACCTTCCAGGATGTCTCTGACGGCAGATCCAGGCATGCACATGTGCACAGCATCCAGCTCAAGTAATTGGTTAGTGGTGTGATGGTGAGGCATAGCTTGCTGGGATACAAACAGGCCCTCCTAGCACAGAATCTTGGAGCGCAGGTGTGTGCAGCACACCTCTGGGTCTGTCTGCTTGGCTTGCTGTTCCACCTTGGCTGCCTGCTTGTCTGCAGCCCGGCGCATGCCTTCCAGCTCCTCCTTGCCATACGCTCTGAAGTCACCCCTGCAACAGTGTTGCAATCAGTGCATGCAGCTACCAATGTCCAGTGTCTGCAGTGCATTGTGTCTCGTTGCTTGCCAACATGCATGCATGCAATAGCAGAGAAGTCATGTACTACTCACATCTCTTCAACCTTGCTGTATGCGCTGTCTGCAGGCTTCTGGGGACCAGTCTTTGAGGCTGCTACAGCTACAGCCCCTTCCTTGACAGCCCCCCTGCTTGTCTTCTCAGATCCCCGCTTCCTCCTCTTCTCATTTGCATTGACAGCTGCCACTGCTGGCTGTCCTGCCTTTGCTTGCTTCTTGCTCCTGAGGTACCCTGTCCCGTGCAGGACTCAAAAGTCACATGGGTCACGCCATAGTAACTTATCGTTTACATTGGCACATGCACAAGGTTTCATTGCATTGGTATAAAGGGTGACTGCGTACCTAAGCCTCGGAAGAGCCAGGATGTGAGCAGTAAGCCTGCCAAGAGCATGCCTGCCAGTATTGCGTACCCTGCAGCCACAGGACACCAAAGCGACACTTAGGACTCACCCTACTTCATTGACGCACAACATTACATTGGCCAACTGTAGCCCCTGGGATACACAGGTACTAGCAATGTGCACATGCATCCGCAGAGTGGAATTTGCAGGTCAAGTTTCACCAAGGAGCTAGTTTGACATGTCACCTGCAAGGCCCGGCTTTGCAGCCCCGGTGTCATCCTCCCATTCCTGCAGCTGACTTGGCTTCTCCCACAGGGCGGCTTCCTTCCCATTTCCACTGCCCCTATCGCCTGCAGGCCCCTTGGCCTTTTGCTGGTCTGTCGCTGCGCCCCTGCTGCCATTCCCTGCCCCAGCCGTGCCTGCCGATACGTTGCCATTCAATGAGGCAGCCCCGTTCAAGGACGGCGTACTCTTCTGCGCAGAATTACTCGGGCTTGCGCTGCTTGATGTGGCTGCAGCTGTAGCTCCTGGCGGCAGGCTGGTCCTGGCAACATCAGGGTAGTGCAGCAGAGGTTCTGTGGCATCTTTGGTGCCGGTCTTGGGCACAAGGGGAGTGCTTCCAGAAGAGGATTCTGGCTGTTTCAGAGACGCTGTCTCGCGTTTGCTGACGCCGTCAGCTTCTTCTGTCTGGGTGCCTACTGAAGGCCTCTCAGATGCTGTGTCCTCTGGCAGGCATGCAAAGCAGCATATCAGTCCTAAGGTATTTCTGCAGCTCCATGATTCTCAGCATGTTATTGTGCAGTTCGAGAAAGGCGGTATGAGCTCTGCTTGCGAGTGCAGGCAGGATCAATTTGCAGATCTACTATAAGGATCGCCTGACTTTGCATGAAAGAACAGACCGGTACCTTCTTTGCCAGTCAATTTTCTCCACCACCCTTTTAATCCTTGTTTGGGAGACCTCTCTTCATTGTCCCTACCAGAACCTCTCGCCCCATGCGAGGCTGAGTCAGCCCTCGCTATATGCACACCCGGCCTCCGATTGCTTTGACGCAATAGACTGGACCTTGCATATCTTCTTGCAGGAAAATTTCTGCCCGCCTGAAAGCAATGCGAATCGTGCCAACAAGCAGGTGCTGTGTTGTACCTTCTTGAGAGGGACATCTGAAATTTGCCCAGACGATAGTTTTCCATTACGATTTCTAAATACAGCGCATCAGTTACAATCAGGTCCAAGCAGTGTTTCTCTTTTGGATGCGAACCTGTCTTTTTAGCTGTAAGGCAAATGAAAAAGGCATTTGCACCCTATCGAGAAGCTGCTGGGTCGGGATAATCACACACCATTGCATGCATGCAGAACCTTGGACATCAGAAAAAGTCATGGATTGTAAAAAGCCTAGCCAACAGAAGGCACATTCAAATGAAGTGGGTGTTACTTATCACTGATAAGGATCTGAATCTTCTACTTATTGAATCATTCGTTACAGTCTTATCCTTATTATGTTGGACCACACAGTTAGGCCCAAATTGTTGAACAGGCCTGACATGAATTGTCCGATATTGAACTGGGTCCTAGTAGGGGCATTCGAGCCTCTCGAAGAGTGTCCAAGGCATCGTGGCACCCTTTCAACAGTACGCTAGCATATACCTCTGCGTCAATGCACACACGAGGTTGAAGCTGTCAAAAATGAAAAAATAGATGAAATAAGAATTCACTGAACAGATCGAAACATTCGATTCGCTAGCCTTGCGCAGGTAAACGTTGCACTTGCACTTGCCTTCTTGCCTCATGATCATGAAAACATTATCCCAAAAATTCTGAAATCGAACATTAATTCATTAATTTCCCGAGTCTGGATTCTCAATCAGCGCCTGAAATCATGCGCCAGTCAACCTGGCAGCATTCTCTGCCAGATATGCGCCACCGCTCCCCCTCACTTCTATCCTCTCAACTGTCTGCCGGATATTCGGCGACCATGTGTTGTCCATGAATGTGCCATCATCCGCGCAGCAGCCGCTGAGTAACACCAAGTCATCCACCTGCATGCAAAGCACTCCAAGGTGATTCACGAAACCCCTTCCTCCACCACAAGCTGCTTTACAAGCCCATCTTCAGGCCTGCATACTGCGAAAAGACTGTCACATTTCCAAATGATGTAAGTGCATGCGGCTGTAGGCTGCAATATGCTGTCGGCAAATTCATACTGATGCAGCATGATTTTGCAGCATACAAGGCGCACACCATGAGACATGCCAAGGATCTACTCTGCATTGAGTAGAGCTTGCTGTCCTCAGAATATACACAACCAAGGGGTGTTTTTTTACGACAAAAAAATTAGTAGTGGCTCTGGGTGCACTTACCTGCACATTGGGGACTTGGCTGACGTCGAACATGTGCATGTTCATTCCCCCGTATCCTACTGTTGGCACCACAATTCCCCTGACCACTGCCTGCTTTACTTCATCTCCCCCGTCAATACCCCCCACGTCCATTACAGCTATCGTCATGTTCTTTGTCTCTGGTGTCTCTGAGTATCCCAGCTCATCCCCTGCATAGACCTGCATTGGCCAATAACAAGCATGAATGGCAAGGATGAAGTGTTCGACCCGCTTGACACTGGGAATTACGCCATGTAAACACACTGCTTAACTCAGCACAGCGACGTCTATGGCGCTTGATGAATCTTGCCACTCTGCATCTGTAGAAGCTGAGATCACATAAATAACCGCATGCATACTTATGACAGGCTGGCCCCGGCTGGCGGGGGGCGGTACAAATACTGAGCACCGTGCCCACGGTTGATTGGATCTTGCTTGGATCTGGCTTGGATCTGGCGAGTCCAACAAGGGGTAGGAATTTGGCAGCCTTTACATGCAGCTTGTCTGCAGACGCACCTTGCCTTCGGCAGAAAAAGCGTGTAATAATAGTGATAATACTTATGACAGTTCTCACTCAGTGAAGGAGAAGCAGCTGGAGTCTCTCCCACAGGGTTGGGGAACACAAGCCCAGATTACCAGCTAAAGATTTTGAGTAATGGCCTTGGGATGAATATCAGAAGTATAACAATAGTAGAGCCAGGACATCCCTGTGCAGCAAGAGCAGCACCTCTTTGATGCCAGTGATGCGCGTGAGCCAGCGGAAGGCACTGTCAGATGGCCCGCTGCCGTACAGGGCGCTGCCAATCCGGACCTGGTCCAAATGGTACTCCTGTCCCTTGCGAAAGCCGGCTGTACTGCTTGCCATATGCGCTATTATGTCCTGCCCATTGCATGCAAGCATACGTCATGATCGAATCTGGTAATTTTCGGGAGGGCCACTGCCTGTCTCACAAGCAATGTCATCTTCAGGGGCTGAGCAGGGCGCCTAACACGACAACCAGGCTTTTCAAATGTCTCTGTTGCATCTATGCGTTCCTGTCACATTGATCAAGCCAATTCCCCAGGTACCTGTGCAGCTGTGGATGAGGCCACACTCAGACCCAAATTTGAAAGACTCGGCACAAAAATTCATGTGCACAACACAACCTCTTACCTGGGACACATTGCTGCGCACAGCCTCCACGATGGGCAGGAATTTTTCTAGTCGGCCGTGGTGAGTCATGATGCCTCGCAGCTGCAGCACTGAACAGTCCTTCACTGACTGGGCCAGCCTGATTGCCTCCTCCATTGTCCTCACTCCCTCCCTGACCTGCGCCCCGAACAATGCGCATGAACTCCTAATTCAAGCACCCATGCCTTGGCTTTCTCAGAGGAAAAAGCATTCTTAGTATCCTCCTGGCTGCCTTAATTCCAACATAGCTCGTGCTGCTATCAGATTTCTCTTCAGCCTAATGGTCTGCTGGTACACTTCAGAGCCGCAACAGCCTCCAGCTGACTTTTTTGGGGTGCCAATGTCAATGCTGATCGAGTCTTGATCTGCCTCCTTTTGCAGGAGAGAGGCGAGGTCTATGAGACAGGGAGCTCTATACTACCTGATTGATATAGAGTGCTTTTTTAAAGACAGAACAGGGGATGTGATGCAGGCCAGAGGGGGCTCACCGCTCCAGTGGATACAGCAATGTGGACTGGCAGAGGCTTGTTCCTGTCTGCCGCATCCGCTGCCTTGCACAGGGCGTCGACAAACCTCATGTCCTCCACATACACCTGCAGCACACACTCACTCACCTAAGCAGCATGCAATGATGATTGATGCAGCTGCTGATGACATCATGAGGTCATCTGTTCTGCTCTGGACCAATGATGCATATAGCTTGAGAGAGCACCGATTGTTACACTTCAGAAGTAAAGGACAGTCATGACAGGACTTAGCATCAGAGGCCAACTGGGATTGTGGAGATGAGTGAAATCGGCAATGGCAATGCTGCGTGCCTGCAGGTCAGGAGCTTGGGCAATGGCGGCCGCTGACTGGATGTCCGGCTGGTAGCAGACTTGGATGGGAGCAGTGATGCCTGCTTGCCTCAGCGCCATTGCTTCCTTCAAATCCCCAACCCCAATCTCCTCCCAGCCACCCTCCAGGAATGCCTTGGTCGATATCACCACCCCTAGCCCATATCCATTGCCCTGCAAGCACATGCTAGAACCTTCATACCGCACCTTCTGCAGCAGGCCGAGTCAGGCATAGGGGTTTTGGCCGATGGACGATGCAACAGCCACCGCACGCCTGGAAGTGAATTAGACACGTCTGCCGCACAATAACCGCTGCAGATTTGGCATAAGACAAACGCAGACTTTAGGGCAAACAGCAAGAGGCTGCACACCTTGACCATGGCCAGAGGTATGGCTCCAGGCTTGACCTGGGTGAGGACATCCTTGGCATTGAGCACTAGCTGGGTGTAATTAACCTCCAACCAGCTGTTGCTCGTCGCGTACTTTGCATCTCCTGTGGAGCTCAGATCCTGTGTGAAACGCTCTGCCTCTGTGGGGGACATTGCAGCGTCCTCTGCCAGCCTTCGCAAGAATCCTGAATCCAACAATGGGCGTAAGCTGCTGTCAAGACTGGATATCTCGATTAGAGATCGTGCACACTTGTCCTTGCAAGCGTTGCTTCTCTGTTTTGAAAGCTAACCTGCAGGATAGCGTCGAAATTCCGGCAGAGACCTTGAAGGTACAGTGCCCTGACCAAGAGAGTGACACAATAGGAGGGCTAGGACCGCCACGGACACGGGAACCACGCAACACAATCGCTGCACCATCTCTATTCTCCCTTTAATCGTGGATACTTGTTTTTTTATTGGGCTTTTGTATCTACGCGACACTATTCTTCGCTTTATCGGCGTGATATGGACAGCGTGATCACTTCGTCAGGAAGCCCCGAGAACTTGCAAAACAAATATTTTTGTCTTGATAAGATTGAAGACTTTTATTGCTGGGATATCCACTTGATCTGGCGAGACACGTTGGGAAAACCTACGACCACAATCGTTGACAGGCCCGTGCAGAGAGCAGGCTCGTCAGCAATTATACGCTGTCGAACTATGCGCGCACTGGGCCGAAAAAATATATTATATTCATGAGCACGGTGCCCGATCTGACTGAGGGAGGCACTTGACCTCTACGATGACCGAACTGCGATGTCTAGTGATGATTCATTACGGGCGAGTTACTCATCCAGATCCAGCTGACCTTTAAGGGGCAGAAATATATCTGGAGAAAGACCGTAGAAATCTCCAATGTAGATTTCTCCTGCAATTGTTGTATTTCAATTAGCTTTATTAACAGATCGATCTTCATTCTATCAAGAGACAGTGGAGGAAGGTTTCTCGTTGCTGAGGACATGACTAGCTCGACGTCTGGCAACGCCTATGGTGGCAAATATGCTGCCGAGCTGATCGAGACTGCAGCCCGAATCATCGCGCCGGGGAAGGGAATCTTGGCTGCCGATGAGAGTACTGGAACCATCGGCAAGAGGGTGAGCACGTCGGTGGACAGTTGGTGTTAATTGTGTAGGTTGTCACAAGTACTTGTTTCCTGTATGGCGAGTCAACTGTCCTTCTAGCGTTGGTCTCCACCAGGGTTACTTTGCAATATTTCCATAGCTTGCTTGCCAAAAATGCGCAGTGCTTGTGCATTTGTCCATTTCCTCCGCTGTCGTGTTGAGGATAGTGACTGGACATGGTCATCTATATGTTGCCAATTCCAGTGCAAATGTGCAAGGGGTGTTGAGAATAAGCACCCCCTTTGCTTCTTCAAAGAACTAATGAACTTTTCAATGCGCGGATGATGGCCATCTGACGAATTAAACCGCCATTTGTTGATGACAGCTGTCCAGCATTGGCGTGCCCAATGAGGAGGACCACCGCCGCACACTTCGCCATCTTCTTTTCACGGCTCCAGGCGTCGAGGACCACATCAGTGGCGTGGTGAGACCTACAATCTTTCCTGCAGTGGTTGGAGGCAGATGAGGCAGAAGACCTGTGCTAAATAGATCAACTGATCAACCCAGCAGTTGTGCTAGACTGTTGTGACATCCAGCACAATCTTACTCCATTGTCTTTCAACATGTTCTTACTCACGATTCATTCTTTCCTGTGCGGTCCAGATCCTGTTTGAGGAGACTCTGTACCAGAGCGGCTCTGATGGCACGCCATTCGTGGATGTTCTCAAGAGCAAGGGCATCATCCCAGGCATCAAGGTGGACAAAGGAGTTGTGCCGCTGCCTGACACCGATGGGGAGACCACAACACAGGTGAGCTTGCTTGCAACTGCCTATCTCAGTCTCATGTCAGATTCATGTAGGATGTTTATCCTGCACAGAATTTGTCACATTGTCATGGGAACGTCTGATAATATTAGACTGCCTCTCAGCGGGTTACTGATCCCCTTTGTCTGCCGTCTATCTTGCTTCAAGAGTCAGCCATCATGGGCACTGAGCCTTTTTGACTGTTTCTGTTGCAGCTTCTATTTACGGTGTTTCTCCCTTTTACTCACTGCACCTCTCCCTCACGTGCCACACCTTTTCATGATGCAGGGTCTGGACGATCTGGGCAAGCGCTGCGCCAAGTACTACGAGCAGGGCGCGCGATTTGCCAAGTGGCGCGCTGTGCTCAAGATCAGCGCCACTGCACCCTCTCCCCTGGTACGCTTCGTTCCAAGTTGCCTCGCTGACAAATAATGGATGCATCTGCCTTCCATTGCCCAACCAGCACATCATTTGCAAATTGCCATGCGTCTAGCGAGAACTGCTATCTGGTAATAAGCAGCATGTGGTCTTGAGAGTGGCTGCCAGCAGAGTTTGGCATGGACAGACGGTCCTTGCATGCATGCCGGAGAGCGCCATGCCTGCAATGCTCGCATGGACTGTTTGTGATGTCATGTGCTGAGTAATCAATTCCAATTGCAGGCCATCCACGAGAATGCCTACGGGCTGGCGCGCTACGCGAGCATCTGCCAGGAGAACGGCCTGGTGCCCATTGTGGAGCCGGAGATTCTGACTGATGGCACCCACTCCATAGAGGTCTGCCAAGCCGCCACCGAGCGCGTCCTTGCCGCCGTCTACAAGGTGCGTGCACCTGCGCCTGAAAGGAGCCTGGTACTTTAGAAGAACGGCGCAATCAAAAGAGGTTTAGAACAACGTCAATGCCAATGTGAAACCTGTCTGAAGGAGATGGGTCTTCTAGAGGGGCATGGGTGGGTGCAGATTAAAACACACGCGGTATGTGGCAAGGGGCACCACCGCCATTTGAGTACTGACAGAGAGGACATAGGCAGAAATACCATCATCTGCAGCCGAGCAGGACATCTCTACTGTGTTTTGATCTGAGTCGACCCATACAGGAGGCACTGGACACTCGTGCGTGCTGAAGCTGAAAGTGTCGATGATGGTGGTGGGAGTGTCCCAAGGCGTGATTGTTATTCATTTCTGTGCAAGATGTCCTGTCATTCATTTGAGTTTGGTTGGGTGCAGGCGCTGAGCGACCACAAGGTGCTGCTGGAGGGAACGCTGCTGAAGCCCAACATGGTCTCGGCAGGTGCGGCAGATTGACTGATGTTTTCCGAATGCAGCTAGGCTTGTGCATGCAATGCTGACAGGCCCTTATGACAGCAACGGGGTTTGTCCACCACTTGTGCAAACCAAGCTGTTTGTGTGCCATTGTCTACATGTCTCACGTTGAGAAGCAGCGGCAGCAGGAAGTGTGCAACGGCCGATACATGGAATGATGCCCGCAGGCAGCCTGTCTCTCTGCGTGTCAACGCATGATCCCTCACTCCAGAAGAGATTCTTATGCCGACATTTGAGTGACATCGCTGAAGAGCTCGGCGTCTGGCCCACTCAGAAAGGAGTCCTGTGCCATAGTCCATATAAGATTTGCCATTGCTGCACGCGCAGGCATCGACGCAAAGCCGGCGAGTACGGCGGAGATTGCGGGCGCGACGGTGCAAGCGCTGCAGCGCACTGTGCCACCGGCAGTGGCAGGTGTTGTGTTCCTGAGCGGCGGGCAGAGCGAGGAAGACGCCTCCGTCAACCTCGACGCCATGAACAAGCTCCCCGGTCGCAAGTGAGTTTCCATTGCACCTGTGATGACTAACTTTTCTTGGCCACGCGTGAGTCATCATTGCTTCAACACTGACCCGGCGGACTGACGCGCAGTTGAGCCATCTGCGCCCTCAATATTCGCACAAGGATGCTTATGTGAAATGCCTTGGCAACAGAGCCTCTTCTGGTGCCCGTGGGTCCCTGAGATGGTTCTTTTCTTCTGCCACCTCGGTGTCAGCCGGGTTTAGGACACAGCTGGCTGTCGGTAATGCAGCAGACAGCAAGGGCTGTAAGTGCAGCCTCAGGAGCGCCAGGAAGCAAGGCTTCACAGCTATCTCCTTCATGTTTATTATCTGTTGCTCCAGTCTCTCCGGTGGCACCAGTTTCGCCGGTGGCTCCGGTCTCGCCTGCACATAATTACTGTGCTATGAGCGCAGGCATGGTAGCTTATGCGTTATTTGAGTCGTTCGAAATGCCATGGCCTCACAGAAGACAGCATAGCATGCAAGCCGCCCATCAGCAGCTGTGCCTCTGTGTCTCAAGCAAATCTTTCTACGAACATGAAGGGCTCTTGTGCAAGCATTTCCTCAAGAGCAAAGCGTTTGATTATACCTGTTGCTCCAATTTCTCCGGTGGCACCAGTTTCGCCGGTGGCCCAGGCGCCATCTTTTGACTATCAGGTACTGATGGCGCGGGGTGCGGTGTGTTGCGCGAACAGGCCGTGGGCGCTGAGCTTCTCGTACGGCCGCGCGCTGCAGGCATCAGCTCTGAAGGCATGGGGCGGCAAGGCCGACAACGTTAAGGCTGCTCAGGAGGCCTTCATGACCAGGCACGCCCTCTCTTCCCATGCACTCACATGTCCTGCCTTGCACTTGCACATTCTATATTGACTTAAGTTCCTGCTCGTGTATCAGACTCTACATGCTCTCAGTCTTCCAATGACAGGTTCGTGATGCCCGAAAGCGCTCAATGGAATGTGATTTCAAGGTATCCCATCCCACTCATCTGACAAATCTGCCACGTGCACAAGGGAAACTGCATACCTGATTGTGCAGCTAGCCGTTTGCCTGTGATACTGCTTGCATCCGTTGGGCTGTTGGTGCTCGTGTGAGGTGTCTTGAAGAGTTCTGTGTTTGCCGGTCGTTCAGCGATCCATGCGTTCACTGGGTTCTTGAAAAATTGAGCATGCTGAATGATATTGACACTGTATGAGTGGAGAAGGACTCTGGGCTGAAGCGGTGGTGGCGTGGGTTGTGCAGGGCCCGAGCAAATGGTGCAGCAACAAAGGGCCAGTATAAGGCAGATGCAAACGGCCGCCGTCTGGGCCACACGGAGAGCCTGCACGAGAAGGACTACAAGTACTGAGTCACTGCTTCAGGAAATCACATCACTCCATTAAGAGATCCCCATGCAGGGATCTACAGATCTTCCTCGCATTCAGGGGACACAGGCTTGCAGGGGTTTTCCCACGAGCTGCAGAGTGTATATGACGACCTACCCAGGCAAGCTGGCAGGGATCTTTTGTTTTTTGTCTTTTTAGAGACCCCACTTGTGAATGAAGCACAGGGGTTCAGGGCAGTGATGCCCTCTGCAGGCCATCCGAAAAGCTTGCAACAATTTTGGCAACGAATGCAACGAATGAAGCCTCCAGCGGAGAGAGTGTCAGAGATAGCTTTTTACACGACAGCGCTGCCTTCCATGCCATGCCATGAGTGTGCCATATGATCCCTCGCAATCTGAGGCTTCAGGCGAGTCTTGGGATAAGTCCTAGGAGCTTGAGCATTACACATGCTGTGCAGCGTGCTTGGAGTGGTAGATTTGATCATGTGTGTAGGCTGGATCCTTCTCTTTTTGGTGGAAAGATTTTGTAAGTTCAAGGAATGCTTGGTAAGTCACAATCCATCCTCTGATCACGGTTTGAACTTGTTCTCCTAGAGTTACTCCCCCTGATTTTGACTCATTGTACCAAGACTGGCATGTCACATGGCAAATTCACTCGGGCCCACCCTGCTGCTCCAGTCTAAACGCCTTTCCATTTCTCATGGATCTCCTCATTTTCTGAACAAATCAGAGCTCATCTTCCATAGTATCGTCGTTTCGCGCGTATCAGTGAATATTTCACTTTTGCCAACCAGCTTCTAGTGGCGTTATACAGTTGATCAATCAACACAGGCATCGAAGTCGACCAAAGCATTAGATCGAGAGCTGAAGCCAAGCCAGGTTTTAACAGGAACTGCAACATCCTAATTTTGCGCTCGGTAGCATGGATGCAGAGAAAGCTGCTGCACTAGAAAGAAATTTTAAGACAGAGGTCGAGTCACTGAAGCAGATCCAAAGAGGTACAGGCCCACGCAAGGTTACAAAACCCAGATGTACTTCTTGTAATGAGAAAATGTTTTGCAAGGGACAAGATCAAAACTTGCTTGAGGGGTGGCGTCCCAGAAAAGTGTATTGGTACATGCCGGTGGCTGCAATCAGTGAAATCGAATCATTGAAAGCTCCATCGTGTATTGCCAGAAATAATTGGTCTTTGCACGATCCTGTTGGCTTTGCAGATATACAGAAGAACCACCAGGCGCGGCAGCAATTCATACAGCAGAAAAATGAGAATGAGATGGTCCTGAAGGTGCCCCCTCCTTTATTCCTCTGAGCCTCCTATTGACATAAAACATGCATTTGCAGAGCCTTAGCACATTGGTCATGCCTTCAGGAGCTGGACCTGGGATCAGATCAGGGCAATGTCTACAAGCTCATAGGCCCAGCGCTCATCAAGCAGGTGTGCTCTCCTCCACTCGCACATGCACACCCTCAGTGGCTGCTTGCCAGAAGTATTATATCGCGGCCATGTCAGCATCTCTGCATACTTTTGCAGCATTGAGGGCAGCATGCATGCTTTGGCAGGCCATGCATGGCCATGCATGGCCTACATGCGTGGCATTGCAAACACTTCCACCAACCCAGCGTACTAACGCAGTGCGTACCAGGCTCACACTGCCGAGCATGCTCCACGTGAAACTCTTGGAGCATTTGTGCCCTCTAGCCTGTGGCTATGGGGTTGCCGATAGTGAAAGAATACAAATAATCAATGATCATAATGCCCATTTTTGGTTGGGTCTTGCTTGTATCTGGCAAGTCCATCAAGCCGCAGGATACTTCAAGCCTTCACTTGCAGCTTGTCTGCAGACGCACCTTGCCTCTGGCGTTTTAAATCTTGAAGTAATAATACTAATACTAATACTAATACTAATACTAATACTAATACTAATACTAATACTAATACTAATACTAATACTAATACTAATACTAATACTAATACTAATACTAATACTAATACAAATACAATTCTAGCTCGGGGCCTGAGGGATACTGTGTTGTGTAGGATCCGGTGGAGGCGCGGTCGAATGTGGGCAAGCGGCTGGAGTTCATCAATGGCGAGCTGGGCCGGCTGGACTCGCGGCTCAAGGCCCTGGAAAAGCAGGAAGCCGAGCGGCAGCAAAAGGTGCGATTTGGGAATTTAACTGGCTCTGCACTAGCTGTAACTGATATCTTTGGAGACACCAGATTGGTGCAAGACTGAAGCTTCCACCCGACACAAGTAACACCCTTGCAGGGCTTTGCGCCCGTGCTGGGGCAATCTGACGTGTTGTGGGAGGCTGAGTAGCCGAAGTGCCCAACAGCGTAGGCTCACCAAAGGGGAGAAGAAGCGGGCAAGGAGTTCATTGATCCTCTTGGTAGAAGAGAGTCCCTCCTACTTTACTGCCCCAGGGCTCACGCATGGGGGTTCAGGAACTTCTTGCTCTGCATTATCATTAATACGTTTTGGAGACCTTTTGGGAGCCACCTGAGGCTCATTGGTCTTCTGGGCAGTCTGTCACTGCCCATTTTCACTGCCATGCATTGAAGTGCACAGCAGCGGCACTGAGCATATGGGCGGTGTGGCGCAGGTGATAGGGATCCAACAGGAGGTGCAGAGGTTGACGCAGGCAGCAGCAGCAGCCGCGAGTGGTGCAGAATGAACGAGCGCAAGTTGGGTACTGCATTGGACTAGAAGGCTGCCTGCTAGCAGCGCTGGGTTGAACTGAGTTGGCCCATGGGGTATATACTATCATTATATCTCGAGTGCTGTCAGAGATTAATCAGAGAAAAAAATATTTTTTTTCGCAGATTGTCAAGAGAACCATAATATCATACAGATCTGAATGCGTTTGCAGATGCTGCAGCGCGACAAGCAATTATGGCATTGTTTGCACGATGTGGTCATTGAGGCTCACGTGTAAATGAAATGCCTATAGAGGCTATATATAGATGGAGGTGGCAGGTTTGATATTCCGAGGGACAGGCTGCGACGAGTGACTCGCTCCTTCAGCATTAAACGGCGTGGAAGAATGCATTGTGTATTGTGTTGCATCCGTTCGCCAAGCAGAATCTGATCGGATCGTCCTCATGAAAGGTTTTGCTGAGGTCGACCTTTCCCACACAGAGGCCGAATGGCTGAGAAAGCAAGCTCTAAAGGGCGAGACAGACGCCTATTCCAGAAGCTACAGCGCAAGACACTTGGATTATCAGCTGGAAACGGTGGTGTGTGCGCCCTGCTGCCCGGAATGGAGAGACGGGGTGCCAACGCGCATCTGCCATGTCCCACAGCGACAACCCCTGAATGGGCCGGGCGTAGGCGCTGCGTCTCCTCTCGCACAGCTTGTAATTGCAGATCAGCAGCAAACACAATTCAAGGACCCCAGAGTGCCCCTGCCTAAGCGGGTTCTCGGCCTCTTGGTTGGCGGAACGCTCATCTTGGTTGGCCCACCAATCCAAACTCTTCTTTTAAAATTCCAAACTCTCCTCAAGGCAGCCAATGCACTACCATAACGTGATTAAAACAAACGGTACTTGACTAAGGCGCCATCCTGCCAATCTGAGCTTGCAGGTGATTTCATTTAACCTTGATGACAACCTTGATGATAAGAAGAGCTCATCTGGAGTACATTGCATGCAGGCGTACGTGTTCCGCAAGAGGAGGAGCAACATTGACAGTGAGCGGAGGGAGCTGCATGCTATTCTGGACGAAAGACGGGCCGAGAAGATGGAACACCTCCTGAGACGAGACCTTGGACGCCAGCAGTCCGCCCCTTACTTCCTGTGTTCGCTTGAGTTTGACTTCAATTTCAACTTCAATTTCAAAACTGTTCGTGGGCCGGGAGATGTTTGATCTGTCTAATGCACTATGTTTACACCATGAGGCAGCCGCTGGCCCTATCTCCCTTCTTGGCGCTTGCTCTCCCTTGCAAGTCTTGCATTCAACCTTGCCATAAATCTGCCTGCCTATGGCCAAGACACTTGCCAGAATACGCAGGCTTCATGCCGTGGGCACCTGCGTCTGGGCTCAAGCTTGCACACTGGCTTTATCTGCAAGTAGCCTTATGTCACTATTATGGGAGCTTACCAGAGCATGGCAATGTTGCAGGTGACAAAGCGCACACGGTTGTTCTGTGCCGGTGAGTTCAATTTGAAGAGAAAGGAAGGGATGCAGAGAGGAAGCACGAATTTTGCTGGAAATATAATCAGAGAATGAGGAATGCAGACATATAGACAGAGCGAGCGCCAGAGATCTGCTCATGAGAGAAGATCTGCCTGGCAAATTTCATGCCATGCAACAATAATTCAATGGACCCCTGCCCAGGAGCACTTGTTCAGCACAGTGGTGATTCGGTGATATTGCTGCCCATAGCACGGTGCCAGCAGTGCTCAGTGGATGCATGTTGAATTGCAGCCAGTATGATCAAGGTGACGTTTTACAGATGGCAATACATTCCGGCCCAGATTGCACCCAGGACAATCTTATGATGTACTTGAGTTCCAAGAAGCTTCCAGTCACTGCGTAGTACTTAGGAGCTGCTCTGCAGGATTGGCATGGGCTCTTATCCTTTCAGACACCTGAATGCAAACCCCAAGCAACTGCCAGACGTCAAATCAGCTAGCGCTGCTCTTATCACCCAAAAGCAGCTTCGTACTTCTTGTCATATACCCAGTGAATATAGCAAAATGCCAGCTGATGTACAGGGTACTTCCCAGTGCTCCTGAAAACTGTTGCGCACATGCATGCAACTTACCGAGAAAGCAAGCAATTTTGCATATATTGAAAGAATTTTGACCTTTGGCACCGTCCGCACTGCTCTGTGACCATAAAAGCATCACGACATCTAAAGTCACTTTACTGCAAAGTAAGGTCCCCAATCAATTAGCTCTGCCCTGGGCTTGCAGCCCTGCAAGCTTGCAGTCAGATATGCCATCAGACCTCGCAAAAAGGGCAAAAAAGCCAATAATTTAAGGCACCACGGTCAATTTTTTCCCAGGCAATCAATCCCCAGCAGCAATGCAATTGCTGCTCATCCAGCTCAAGGCCTCGTGAGATCAAATTCACAAAAGCACACCGCTTGTATCTGACTCACTTGCACATCAGCACCAAGGAGGTCGTCTTAAACACCAATTGAGGCAAATGTCAGTGGTAGTAATTTGAGATATCCCAGAAGATATCCCATTGACAACTACCCAGTCAGGCAGGGCCACGCCGCAATGAAGTGCATCTTTAGAAATTCAGCTGGAAATGAAATGCCATTCAGAAGGGCCTGCTATTGCATGTCCGGGCTCCGTCGGAAAGAAACTCTGAGCGCTCTGATCAGGTATATTGGAACCATGGTTCATTGCGGATCAGGATGGCGCACAGTATGGCTTGAAAGTGAGATAATTCGAAATTTGATTCTTGGAAAATGACGTGTGGAGGAAAAAAATAAGGTCCCTGGTAAAATAGGGCCAATTTTCAGCTGTGAAAGGGGCCCCAAACCAACAACATGAGACCTGAAATCTCCATAGCTGCGTGAGAGGCAGCTGCTGCTTGATGGATCATCTAGTGGATTTGGGCCTGCAGTGTTCAGCACTCCCAACACAGCATGGCATCAAATGTGTGATGTAAAGTGACCATGGACCGGCCAAGCAATCACAACATACTTGCACAGGATAAAAAAGACTTGCATGGTGCACTGCAAAATTGGCGCAGACATGCACCGGCCCGTTGTGTGCCACTCGCACAGCAAATGACCGATGAATTTCAGCGAAAAGAGGTGTTCACTGCTGAAGCAGCACCCGCCCCAACCTTGTTTACGAGCTGCCAATCTCCCAACGTCAGGCCACGCACATCTCAAGCAGCATGCTTGGTGCCTTCAATGGAGGCGCTCCACCAGCCCAAACTACCACTTACGCCGGAAGAGACTGGCGCAGGGAAGGTGCTATATATTTATCACTTATTTTTACGATTCCCAGACCGGTGCGCGACTCATGCCACTGCGCCCACCGCTGCTGAAACCCACAGAGCGTATGCAGCTTGTCCCCTCCCGCCTCCCGCACGCCAAATTCAGAGGACCGCAAAAGCTGGTAAGGGCTCGACGGGGGCCTAGCAGGCCTGACCATAACTCCAAGCACTGCTCGGTAGTAAGCTGTAGTAACCCCGTTACTGCATGAGGGACGGCAGCCCGCCCAGTGCAAGCCTTCACCGCTGCAAGCTTCCCCCATGCAGCCAGAGCAAGCGCAGACCCTTGCACTCCCCGGCAGAGCCACCAGATTACTAACGCATGCCTAAGAGCCACCCAATTCCTTGCGCGGTGACAGCCGGATAAGGGGAAGGAAAGCTGTAGGATCTCTCATCGGACCGTTGCAAGCTCCCCCTAGGCCAGCCGCAGCAAGCGCAGTCCCTGCCATCAGAGTACCCACTGCATGACTAAGCCTTAGTGACCGGGTTACTACTTGATCGAGGGCAGGCGGCCGGCCATCTCGACGGTGGCGGAGGCGCCCTCGGAGCTACGCCCGGAGGAGGCCGTCCGAAGGGAACGCCGCGTGGCTTGTTGCAGCTTCAGATCCTCGAGCAGGTCCAGCAGCGTCATGCGCGGCAGGTCGTTGCTGCAGCCGCCGTACGTGCGGTTCTCCGGCGCGTATCGGTTCGCGCCCCTCTGCGCGCAGCACATTCCCCCGTCAGGGCTGCCAGGGTTTGGGGTTCAGGTTCGGGGTCCCAGCCAGGCATGGGATGCCGATTACGGCACCAGTGGACAAAGAGCTACAACTGACTCTTGAGGCTGTAAACACGTCCATAAAGCCTGTTGTGAGGCGGTGCATGTCTGCTGGTGATGTCACAGGTTAGTCTGATTTGCAGTGGCTTGCCAGTGGTGGTCCATTCCGTCAGGCACAGATACATGAAATCTGTGAAATCACTGTGAAATCATGTAATAACAATTAAAGATATCCTTTCTCTTGAAATTCAAGCGCATGGTGTGTCCAATGTAGGTTTGTAATTAAGGCCTGCGCCCCTGCCATCAGCTAGACATAAAGACAAAGGCGGACATGCATGCATGCAAAAGGAGGGAACGCGCACCACAGAGGTGTCCTCCAGCGTGTGAGCCTTGCCATGGTACCATAGGCGCGCGCCGCAGCCGGGAGCAAACCAGGCCAGCAGCACACCAGACAGCACCAGCGCGACCGTAACCGGCGTCCAGTTCAAGTTCGCAATGTTCACCGGGTAGCTCGTCGGCAGCACAAACGCCACCTGCGCAGACATTCACTGCATGTCATGGGAAGTATGGAGCATCGATCTATACAGCCTTGAATTTCTGGTAAGGAGTCAGCATCTTGCAAGCTTTCCCCGGGGCATGCTGCTCGCAGCATGACACCTTCAGCTTCAAAGCTGGCACAGCCTCTTGAGTGCTGCAAGCATGTAGAGAGCTTCCAAGACAAAGTGCGGAAAAGAGCAGGTCGTAGTAAGGTGGCTTAGCGGACCAGGGGGTGAAGAGACAAAACACATGGCAGGGGCTCACAGCGGAGATGACGACCCAGGAAGCTGCCAGGAAGTTGGAGGGCAGCTGCAGGCTGCCCAGCTTGAAGGGCCCCTGCTCGAAGTCGCGCCTGCACGCCCGCAGCACTATGGGGATGCCGTCTGCAGTCAGCGCCACGCAAACACAGTGTCAGCACCACATGTTGTGCAGTATCAAATCTGTTTTCGTTAAAAATTTCCGTGTAAACATAGTCGACGTACTTATTGAGCATGTGCATGTGACGCAGCAATGCAGCGGATTTGACAACGTCAAATCTCAATTTCTGCATGTGCCCTTGTGCGAGTCGCTGGACTATGGCTCTACGACGCCGGAATTCAAGCACAGACTCTTGCTATGTCACAAGATCGTTGCACCTTCAGCTGGAGCAAGGGTTGCCTGAGGCAGTTTGTGGTGTTGACATTGCAGTCAAGCATCACACAGGTCAAATACGTAGTTGGGAAAAGCTGGTCTCAAAGCTGAACGCAGTGAAACACTTGCCCTGTGCACGGCAGAGGTCACAAGTGTATGCAGGTTGACTACAGTGCTCGGAACTCAGCCATCAGAAAAAGAGGAGAGTGAGGACACTCATAGCTGAGCCAGAGGCTGACAGATCTTCAAAGATCACCCCAGAAATCCGTGGCAATTGTACTGTGCATTGCACAACTCACAGGGGGCTGCAAATTGACACATTGAGGAAAGTCGGCCGTTGGAAGGAGACAATTCCCCCTTTGCCCGAGCCAGGCTTGCCTTCTGGCACATCATTCCTATGCATGCAGTAAGAGGGTGCCCTACCCAGAGGTCATCTTGTCACTACGAGGACAAAGGCATGCAATCTGAAGTGGAAAGTGAGGGAACTCACAGCTGAGCCAGAGGCCGACAGAGCTGATGGACCCGATGGCTTGGAAGGCTGCCAGGGAGTAGAGCATGGGCAGGCCCAGCAGGAAGGCCAGAGCAGTCATGGCCCAGACTGCATTCGTTGGCGTGCGCGTTCGCCGGTTCACGGCCGCCCACACCTTGTACAGGGGCACTCCGCCGTCCCGCGAGAACGACCACAGCATCCTGCAAGAGATATCACATGCATGTGCCAGTCAGTCAGTCAGCCAGTCAGTCAGTCAGTCAGTCCGTCAGTCAGTCACATGACATTGCTGCTGGCCAACCAAAGACTGATCTGAAAGCAGCCGGCGCGCATGTGTCAGTCGATCAAGTAAGGGCGGATGTGAAAGCAGGCGCCGCGCACGTCTCAGTCATTCAGGCAGTCAGTGACATAACATTTGTGCTGACTAACCTAGGGCTGATCCAATGTCTAATTGTGATTGTCAAGAGCCAGTGCCCAGCACCACAACTTAGTCCCCATTAGAAAGGTTGCAATCAGGTGTAGAATGAGAACAACAGCCCCTTTTTGAACGAGACTTTGACAGCATGAAAGCTGGGCGAGACGGTTGGCATGAGCCAAGTCTCAGCCCCGGCATGTGACTCTCGGTGCTACGATGCTGTCTCAGCAGTCCTGCTTTTTAATCTAAGTCCTGCTTTTGAATCTATTTGTCTCATGTCAAGGTCACTGCAGTGTTTTATTGAAATGCACCTTCCTTGCGGAAAGCAATACACTTTGCTCCTGCAGTTGTACTTGACTGCATTTGTTCTTGGCTGTCTGAGGAGACCCACCTTGCGTTGGTGGTCAGGGAGAGCACTGTGCTGTTGAAGGTGGTCACCAGTGGGATGATCATCATGACGATGCCACCTGTACCGCTGCCGAACCGCGCCTGCAGCCGACATCAGACCAAGGAGCTGAGCACAACTCGCACACACTGTCGGCTGAGTCGACAAGGTGCTCACAGGCAAGACAGAAGCCTGCACTGCTTTGGCACTCTGGATGTCTGCAGTAGGGTCGTTTCCCGGAGAACTTTCACTCGAAAGCTCTGCTCCAGGGCTAGCCGGATTGCCTTAGTGGCAGCCGGCGGGGCCTGCATTCGCCCCTGAACGGCACTTCTTTCCACCCGTTGCATGTGGGAAACTCAATTCGGCTAGGCAAACTTGGAATCTGCCAGACAAGATGCTGAAATGCTCACGGCCGGCATATCTATTTAGCAGTGCCCATCAGTGTTTAAAAAACATATGTAGTCTTTGAACCATGCATGGCGGGGCTCAGGGCTCACCTTGAAAGCGTCGTGAAAGATCTGGCCCGCAGCATAGCCCTGAGCATTGCCTGTGATGACCGTGGAAGGGTCCTGTATGCACAAAGACCAAACAATTCTCATGTGTCCTTAATCTCAACGTTCCATCAGAATTTTGGAAAGCATCCATGCATCAGTATGGCAGCTCCGCATTGCATGATATTTAGAAGGTACACGCATTGGGCTCGCTCCTTGCTTGGATGAGAACCAGACTGGGCATTCGCTGATGCTTTCAGGACGTCCTTTCGAGGAATATTCACACAATAAGAAGAGTATGTTCCCTCGGCTAAAGCGCAAAACGGTAAAGACATGGGTATCTGGTAATATCAGTGGCTTGCCTGGATGCAGAAGAGCAGTGTGAGCATGTAGGACAGCCCCAGGACAAAGTTGGCAATGACTGATAGCACAATACCCCATGGCACCGTCCTGTCCGCTCGCTTTGTCTCCTCTGCGCACAAGCACGTCGACACATGTGATCAGCAGATGTGAAAGCACATTCTTGCTTGCCCACTCTTTGTATTCTCTGCGCACAAGCACGCTGACAAATGAGACACACGCAGCAGAGATTAGAGCACACTCTTGCTCGCTCACTCTTTTTATCGCCTCTGCGCACAAGCACGCCGACAAATGAGACACATGCAGCAGAGACGAGAGCACACCCTTGCTTGCCCACTCTTTTGATCGCCTCTGCGCACAAGCAAGCTGACAAATGAGACAAATGCAACACAGGTTAGAGCGGCACTATCATGTCACCTGCAAACTGTGCCGGAGCCTCGTAGCCCACAAAGGTAAATTGCGCACACAGCGTCCCCAGGAAGAACAGGTACCTGCAGAGCACGCCACGCCAGCCCCTTCAAATCTGTGCTTGCCACCCAAAAATATAATTTTAGCATGCGTGCAGCTGTAAGCATGTGAGTGCCCTGGCTGCTCCCAGCCACAGGCACCGGAACGGAACATGCCGCCAACTTAACGCCAACCAGTCGTATTAGTGGCAGGCCTTTGCAGCAAAGCTACAGATGAACTCCACCACGAGCACTGTTTGCACGATAGGCACGCCCCAGCGTGGCTGCACAGTATGACTAAGCGCGACTAAACACAGGCAACACCTAAAAAAGGGGCGCGCACCCATTATTAGGCAGGCCATGCACGTTTGTGTCCTCGGTGTCAAAGTGGCCGAACACAAACTCCGCGCTCTGATGCACGGGCGCCACCAGCGGGAGGATGATTACTACCGCCAGGTTAGTCACCAGCAGGAACAGTGCGCCCATATTCGTGTAGTGCTTCACACCCTCTGTGCTGATCGAACTGAAGCATCCCGCCGCCACCAGACACACTGCACCCAATTCACACGGCTTGTAAGTACAGTGTCGCATTTGCCCTTCTCACACGCATTTGCCCTTCTCACACGCATACATGCCGCCCTTGCTTTGTGCGGTGGCGGTGCAATTCTGTGGCTCTCACTTTGTTGCATGCTTGTGCAAGAACACAAGTAACGTGCGCGCAGCAGGCGAGGGCAATGATGATGCATGGCATGTGTGGAGCGCAGTCGAGCAACTCTTGGTGCCCATGTTCAAGCAGCCAGTCTCTGTGGGTTGGCAGCACCGGAACGGGGCAAATTTGAGGGCACGGCAGGGCAGTAGCAAGGCATGCATGAATGTGGCAAGAAAGAATTGTTGTGCGCACATGCATAGGTCAGCAGTAGCTCTACACTGCTGAAGGTGTGTCCATTCCCCAGCAGCCACATGTTTGCAATGTGATTCGCGAGCAACGCCCCAATGGCAGCCGTTGCTGCAAACTGCCCCAGCACGTTCAGCCAGCCTGCATGACATGCCCGACAAACTCGCGTGAGAATGCAGTCACAACCACATGCGGACAAAGTGCATATTGAGCAAATGCAAGGGCCATCTTGCGCCATGCATCTTATTTGTAGGCCTCCCATTGGCAACCTGCACAAACTGCAAGCTTCTATTTTGGCAAGGTTGAGCGTTGTCTACTATTTTGAGCTATGCAGCCAGTCTTTTGTAAGAGCATCCGCTTACCTGTCAGCCACCCTATGATGAGATATCTCCTGTCATTCTTAGTCAGCTCCAACACCCTGCAGCCATGCAGTGACAACCTGTCAGACACCACTTCTGTGCGATTCCTGCTCCAAATGTCATCCCTGTTCTATTCCTCGCTTTGTGAGAAAGCTTATGCTCACTTGTGCAAGTCCCTGCTACTGCCCCTTCCATCCCATGCTAAAGAAAGAGTGCTAAGCTGGCGCAGGTCAAAGCAGTCCATACAGCAACTCGCTGGTGATGCTACTGGGCACTCATCGCACAGACAAGCAGTCTGCCACAGAACCGCAAAGGTACATGCAGGGCTCACCAGAAGTAGGGACCCCCAGCAATTGGGTAGGATGACACAATCTCCGCCATAGATAGCGCCACGAATACATTGGCAATGGACACTGCCACCCAGCCCCACACCGCAGACACTGGCCCGCCATTTGTATATGCAATTGACAAGAAACCTGCGCAGGTAGACATGCCAAAGACTGAGATCTGCAAGGCGTTGGTCTTTCAAGGCCTTTGGCAGGAGAAGAAGTTTTGATAACTCAGATTATACACAATGCATGTCCAGCAAGAGCCGTGCTTGCCTGTGATGCCTGAGGTGTTTGCCATAAGCACCAAGCTGGTGGCAAAGCTGGTGTACAAGCTGAACTTCCTATGCAGCTCCTGTCGATACCCCAGCGCCTCCAACCTCACCTGACCGCTGTCAACAGCTGCGCTGGGCTGTTCAGGGTCCATCCTTGAGAGGTCACTGGCGCTAGCCAAGCCCTTGGGCAACCCCATCTGCTGGAAGCAATGAAACAATCAGAGGATAAACAGGGCATGCACCTCCCTCACCTGGTATTGAAATTTACTGATTTAAGTCCCAGGCACCACAGGCTTACAAGATATCACGTCATCTGGGATACAACGACGTCTACCCTTGCAAGGATGCGATTGGGGGAGTTTGCCCTTGCCAGTAGAGATATCTGCACCTTGACGCTGCTCGACTGAGCCAGTCCTGGTGAAATTCACACTGTCCACCCCTCAGACGCCACTGAAGCCACTACGGCTGCTCTATATCGAGATCGCAGGCCACCTCGCCAATTCTTAGCGCTGCTGTTATCGAGCAAGACCCCGAAAACCCTTTGCAGATCTGCTCCACATTCGTCGATGTGTCGTACAGTAAATTGTTACTGCTCTTTACTGTGCGTGTACTGTCGTGGAAGCTGTGTATGCAAGGACAAGCTGGGTTCTAAAACCTTCGGATCAAGAGGCTCTATCATCCCGGGGGATTGTCCTTCGGCAGCTCGTTCCCGATCCTACCCCTTCCAGAAGCAAATTGTAGGACAGCGTGCTCTGGCTGCCGCTATCTGCAACGTCCGTAATGAAAGCCTTTCGCCGGTCTGATGCAAGGTGCCGGCAGATGGGACGTCACCTTAGGCAGCCACGTCAGGCAATTGTGGGGGCCACGTGCATCATGGGACGCAACTGATGAATTTATGAATATATTTTCGAAGAAAATGTGTTGCTTATTGAGTCACCCAGGCTTCCTGTTCCAACAGCCCATCAGTGCTCGTTGCCTGCGTGTGTCATTTTTAGGATGGGGTGTCACAGCCTGCCCAATGTCTCGGGCCGCTGGTCAAGGGTTGCTCGGGCCCAGCGATATTGCTTACATATGTAAGCAATATCAGTGACAGTGCAAGGAAGGCGGCCCACGTTGGTGCTCGGTTGCTTCACCATCCGCAGCATCATAATGCATGACTGCAGTCAAGAAAAGTGTTTCGTCGTGTTTCACAGCTGTTGCACGCTTTTCTGCGGTATAGGAGCGTTTGCACGAGTAGCATCTTGAACAAGACATGAATAGGAGCACAGATATGAGACCTTTTGTGAGGCATGAAAAAGCCTCCTGCGGCTTCATTCTGCTCTAAGATTAGGCTACAGGCTCCTTCACACTTGTTGGAGGTAGTGTCAGGAACACCAAGGGGCAGTGCACTCTGCTCCATCCATCACTAAATAGGTTAATATATCCCCAACGTGGCATCCTGTATTTGCAGGTGCCAAGGCCAACCTGTCAATGGAGCTTGGCAAGGGGGGTTGCTGCATCGACAGCGGGGAGGCGCGCATCAGGCAGCTTGGGTACAAGCAGGAATTGGCACGCAACTTTGGCCTGCTGTCAAATGCTTCCATCGGCTTCACTGCCATCAGTATCCTGACTGGTATCACAGGTGCGCCTGCAGTCCAGCCACAAAGAAGACCTTTTTTCTCCCATGCACCTGCGACCAAGCATTTCCCGCCTCACAGCTTGCCCACCATCATATTGCTGGGCACCCCTGTTGCTTTCTGCAATTAGCACTCATGCTGTTCATCTTTTCACGGCCAGAGGCACCACTGGCCTTGAAGAAACAGATGGTGGAGGCGGTGTGCGCTGAGCAACTGACGTTTGTTTGTGCAGCGTCCTTTGGAGTGGGCTACAATAATGGCGGCCCGGTGTCCATTGTGTGGGGCTGGGTGCTGGTGTCGATCATGAGTCTTGCTGTGGCGTCCTGCATGGCAGAGATCACATCATCGCTGCCCATCAGCGGGGGCCCCTATTACTGGTGAGTTCCCCTTCAACTTCCCCACGTGGGACTCTATCCTGTGGGTCCATTTTGGGGCAGCTGGCATGATCTGAAGCCACTGCACGTGTTGCATGCTGCTATGAGCTGTTGAGTATGCTGTGTACTGGCCTGGAGCATATTCTTCTGACGGCTTGTGCGTGCATGTGACTCAATGCATGGCTGTGGCAGGAGTGTGGAGCTGACCAAGGGCACAAAGCTGTCATCAGCGTTTGCTGGATGGCTCACAGGTGGGATGCTTGCCAAATGGACAATTACCATATGCACTCCTGTTGCATGGTCTAGAGCTTGCCATTCCTGCCTTTGCATGGTGTTGCAGCCGCATTTTGTTGTCTCTTGCTTTTTCTTGTGGGGCAGCCTTCTTTTATGAGGTGCTGCCTTGACGCTCTACGCAATCAGTACACTGCATGCGGTGGCTGCAATATCACAGCTCTCAGAGAAATGGAGGAGTAATAAAAATTCTCATGTGGCATGCAGGTTGGCTGAATCTGTTGGGGCAGGTGGCGCTGACCGCCTCTGTTGACTCTTGCCTGGCCAATCACATCGCGGCAATTTGGGTCATCTACAATGGCCATGTATTCCAGCAGGAAGAGCTGCTGCTCTGCTATGCAGGTGAGGCATCTCTGAAAAGGCTGACCTTTAAAACATTGAGCAATCATGCACAGCGCACATGGCCCATCACTCAGTCTAGCTTCATATCCTTCCTGAGGTGGACCCACCTCTGTCTCACCCAGGCATGCAACAGCACACGCCGCTCATTACCGTGTGATATGCAGCGACGAACCGGCGCAGTCATTACCTGCAACTTGTCTGCAAACGCACCTTGCCTCTGTCAGAATAAGCCTGTACTACGAATCCACTTGTGTATGTGGTAAAGATGGGTGTTATTGTGTGTGCAGTGTGCCTGGTGATGCACGGCTTCATCAACATGATGTCAGCGAGATGGATGGCGCGATTCATGCTGCTGTCAGGGGTCTACCAGCTGGTTGCGTCAGTGGTAGTCATCGTACTAATCCCCACCATCGCGCCGACTCACCAGAGCGCCAAATTCGTCTTCCTGACCTTCGACACCTCCACCAGTGCCAGCAACGCCCCCAGCAGCGCGTGAGTTTGCGGCCTGCCCTAGCATGTTTGACTTGAATTTTGGATCTTTCCACACATTCGGTATTGAGAATACTTGTGACAGTCTTGGGACCAGCCCAGGATGTACACTTATGCCTGCATCCTGCCCTGCATATCAATTGTTGATAGCCTTACAGTGTTTGGGAGTCCATGTGGGAGTCTTTTAAGGTTTGCCTCAGATGTGCACTTCTGTGTAAATCTATTTGGCTTTGACATGCATGCCAGCTCAGCAAATGCTGGAGGAGAGCAGAGTGTACCCTGGGTGATCGTTTGGTGTTCTGCTTGGTGCTTGAAAGTGCTTTGATGCATGTGCAGGTACCTGTTCATCTTGGGGATGCTCATGAGCCAATACACAATCACCGGCTATGACTCGTGAGTGCTCCCTTTGCTCTGCCATAATCAAAGCACTCACTCCAAGTTGATTTCTTAGTTATGTTATGATACAACCGCATGTGTGTTGGGACTTCTGGGTTCATCCATGTCAACACAGGGAAGCAGGGGAGCAGTGTGTCATCGATTTGTCATGCTAACATGTGCGCGCAGGTGTGGGCATTTGAGCGAGGAGACAAAGAACGCTGACCGGACATGTCCGCGGGGCATCATGATGGCTGTAGGGACTTCTGTGGTGCTGGGCTTTGGTTATGTCATCGCCCTGCTCTTCTCTGTTCAGGTGCTCATCCTTGGGATTTTGCCCTGCTGCTTTGCATGCTGCACGTCATGCATGCATGCATGCAGGCGGCATCTGCGCAGATCTTCATCTGCAGTGGATGCGTGGATGATAATTTCTGACTGATGCACACCAAGACAACAACATGCACATCTAGGGAATATTGTATACTTCTATGCAGAGCAAGGAATAGTGTCTCCAAAGCTGTTGATGCAAGGGCACTGTTCTGAGTGGTGCATGTCATGTGATACAGAATGTGGAGGATTTGAATACCGGTAAGGCGAATGGTTATGTGAGCGGCCAGATCTACTACGATGTTGTCATGGTGCGCTCACCATCAGCTTCTCATGTCTATCTGGTTGCACATCCATGCAAGAGGTTCAGTTTTGTGGAGAAGGCATCGAGTGATGTGTCATAAGCAATCGCTGCTGTTGAGCTGCATGCATGCGTGTCATTTGCCTGCCTCATGCATGCGTCCTGGGCTTGCGTGGCTGCATGTCCTCAATCATGACTCTCATGCATTGCCTGCTGCTGATACCAGTGCAAAAATTTCCACAGTGCAATCCTTATTTTTAATTTGGCTGACTTCGGGCTGCAGGCGCGATTTGGAGACCCCAGGATTGCAGTGGGCATCATGGCTCTTCCAGCAATGGCCATGTTCTTCTGCGGCGCCTCCTGTGTCACATCCAACTCCAGGTGCCCTTTCCTTTAATTTCAGCTCAGCTAAGCATTACCTCTTCAATAAAACACATGGAGCTAGGATTGTTGCATTCAATTGGTGAACGTGCCATGGCTTTGCCTCTTCAGCGTCTCTTTGCCAGCGATAAAGTACTTGACAAGCCATGCGGCTCTAATTAATCCAAGCCGGTTGCATTCAACATCCCGACAGGACATGGAATGCTGTGCTGTGCTGTGCATCAACCTTTAAGCCAATTTACTATCTTTATTTTCTGAGGTTGATTGAGGTTCCTCCAGGAATGCTCAGCCCAAGATTAGTGTCAGGATCCGTGACTTGATCATGAGTGAACATGGGAGTGATGTGCTGTGCGCAGGATGCTTTGGAGCTTCTCCAGGGACGGGGGCATCCCTTTCCACCAGCTCTGGTCAGCCATCAATGAGAGCACGCAGACGCCCATCCTCTCAGTGTGGGCCATGGTCACCTTTGCCTTTCTGCTGGGCCTGCCCATGCTCCACTCCACGTCAGCATTCCAGGCTGTCACTTCCATCTGCTCCATCGGACTCTACATCAGCTGTGAGCACCCGGCTCCATTTTTCTGCCCCCTAGTCACTGCATATCTGTGCACCCTATCATGCGGTTGATAATGGAGGCCTGCAACACAGTGTTTGTCTCCGTGAAAGCGTCCTGATATACCCATGCAGATTGTGAGCTGGCAATGTCTTTGGATGTGCCTGGGAGGCCGTGTGTTAAGCTGGATCAGCTTTTTATTATGAGACCATGAGACATATACGGATGCGGCAGGACATCGTTCTCTTAGTCGTTGAATTGGGCAGTAGTACTATGGCCATGCCTTTATAAAATGCGATATTCGTGTGCGCAGATGGTATCCCCATTCTGATGCGGATTATAAACAACAGGCGATTCGAACCGGGGCCGTTCAACCTGGGGCGTTACGGGCCGTACATCGGCTCTGTGGCAGTTGCATGGGTGGTTGTCATCACGGTGAGAGGCCTGTCCCCTTGCAATTCAAGCTCGATATTATTTGCTATTGCCCTGTAGCGCGGCTGCTTCTATATAGTGTTGTTGTGAAGTCCTGCTCTATCTTTCTGGAGGGCCCAGAGCTCCTGGAGAGCCGTTCAAGGATAACACAGCGCAATCTATGACAAGCCTGAGGGTCAAAACCAGTGTTATCTGTGCCATGAAGCCCGCGCATTGTGTGCCAGATGCAGCTAAGCAGATTGGCAATAAGCACATTGGAGGAGCGTTGATGCTGCACATGGGGCGTCTCTGCTGCTGAGAATCTATTTGGTGTGTCATTTCTCAAAAGTAGAGGTGCTGATGCGCTCAGGTGGCGTTTGTGCTGCCGACAAGCTACCCGGTGACTACGCAGACACTGAATTACTCAGGGGTGGCTGTTGGGACCGTAATGGTTGGCGCAGTGCTCATGTGGTTCCTGCCGAGCATTGGCGCTCGGCACTGGTTCCGTGGGGAGATGCCAACCTACAAACCTGAACTAGAATCGGTGCGTCCCCAAGTCTTTTCACATTGGTCGTTTGCAAATGTTTCCAGATCGACTATACACAAGATGATCAGTGTGGCAGCCATGCACTGGAGTTATTTTGGCATGCTGCGCTGTGCATATGATATTATAATAGAGAATTTTTGTTGATGTCAGGAGCGTTCTGCGTCTAGGGAGAGGGTTCTTTGTATTAAGGGTCGGATACAAGTTGGGAGAATACACATGTTCTGCATCTTTCCTTCCAGCACACTGGCGCGATTCAGATGAGGCCCTAGTCTTTTCCATCGCTATCCTGTTGAGGGCAACGTGTTTAGAGTGCTGACATGGTGTCTGTTTGTGTGCGTAGGAGGTGCACAGTTTCCCTGTCACGCCAAAGTCCCACTACAGCCACCACAGCCTGGCGAGCACGGGCAGCCGAGAGAGCCGCGGCATCTTCCGCTCGACCAAGCTCACCCTCCTAGACCTGATCGCGCAGTACAAGAGCAGCCAGAACAGGCACAGCCAAGAGGGGGGACCCACGGCCTACTCTGGCGTGGGGTCCCCCCTCACCAGCGGCACTCTCGGGTCCCCCAAGGCGGCGGCCGCCGCGCTCCCGTCGCGGCCGACGAGGGTCGGCGCGCCGAGCGGAAGGGTCGTCGACATCGGAGAAGGGTCTCCAGCAGGGTCTACGACCGCAAACCCTATGCAGCAGCCGCTGGCCCCCGCCATGTCAGCGTCCCCGCCCCGGTATCCGGCGGCGTTACCGGCCCGGCCGCCGACGCTGCCGCAGAGCGCCAACTACCGCTCGTTCTCGGGTTGAGCTTGGATTTTTAACCTGCGCAGCCTCATGGCCTAAGTAGGCCACTGCACTTCATGGCCTGCATAGCAGCGTACTGCACCCTCCTGGAGCCTAAGTAGTTGCGCAACCTTACGGCCAAGGAGATATTTCCCTTTTGAGACCTAAATAGCAGCACTGCACCCCCTGAGCCTATGATGGTGGGGCCGCTGCCCCTTGCTGGGGCGCGAAGAACCAATCAGCAAACTATTTTCATGGGGGAGCAGATGCCCTTTTTAAAGGGGCTTCGGTGGCCGCGTGTATCATTCACACTGGGAGGAAGGCACACACCTTTGCCTCGCTCTAAGAATTGCTGATTAGAGAGTTTGCAAGATGAAATGGTGGAAGGCGGATCAGCTTGAGGCATTTATGCAGGGTGTATCCGGGGTGCGTCGGTAATGCCGAAACACAAGTGATGCACTGCCCAACATCTTTTTGACTATTGTGGAGGAACCCATTTTTTTCAACTGGGATTGCCCTTCTCGGTCCGGAAACATAATAGAAATGAGGCTTTTCTCAGGGCAGTTTCTTTTACCGGGGGTCCTTTTCCAATCTTAAGCCTCTGCATTGCACCGCTTGGTTCAGAAGCAGCAGGCAATAACATCCATGGGTGATGCTTGGATTATTTTTCTCGGGTCCTGTAGTAAGGCAAAAAATGCGGATATCTTCTGATCAGGTACATTCAGCATAATACAAAGAAGCAAGCTGCAAACTCAGGAAAGGGTTACAGCAAGTTTTTTAAGTGGCAAACTTGGGCTTGGGATTGTGTTTGCGCTCTTCGACATGTCACATCTGGGACATTTTTCACGCCAAGTGGGAGGCACTCTATCAGATTCAAAAAGGTATCTAATTCAGATATGAAAAGGTATTCAAAGCTGGGCCAGAAGCTTGCTTACAGCGGTGCTTAGCTGAGGGGAGACGGCAATGAGGTTTAGATGGAGTCACAGGCACCTTTTGTACCAGGTCATGGTATTACCTAAGTGGCGGCAGCGATGCAATTTCCCCTTTGGATTCAAATTTCAGTTGGGCATATTTTGCGCGCTGGCACCAATGCACTGGACAAGGTTTGAGGGGGTAACCTTGTTTTCTCTTTTTCAACTCCCTTTGTCCCCGACACATGTACAAAAGTCATTGGGCCTCGGCTGAAAACTGTCCAAGTGACAAATATGACGCTGGGTTTTTTATTAGGCTGATTATGACGATTCTTTCAAGTGCGCCTGAAAACCAATGCTGCCATGTTTTGTATGCAGCGGTATCCCTTCTTTCTTAAAATCTGCTTTAGCCTGATGGTGGGCTGAAATTGACGCTGTGCAGACACGTTGAGACCTTCTAATTGCGCCTGGGTTTTATGTGGAGTACCTTAATTGGACCGTCTCTCTGGAGGTTGAGTGTCGTGCTGACTGAGTGTGCAATTTACTTTTGAGGCGCCAAAGCCAGAGACCTTTTCTGCTGTCATTTGGGTGCAGTAATCTTCACTACAAAAGCATCATTATGACATGGAACATAGGGGACGTGAGAATGCCTATCTTCATAAAGAGAAAATACTGAAGTGGTGTGTTGGGTGTATAAAGCCTTTTGCAATGGTATATCGGAGTTGCTGAGACTTTGCTTGCATGGGAGGACTGGGATATTTCTTGGACAGCATTTACATTTCTGGGCCCGCGCAATCTCATTTTGCAAAGTGTACATGCTGAGCTGAAGTGAGGGTGCGATCTCACGAGCTGCTGCTCTTCACATCCAAATTTGCGTTCAAATTTGTCATGTATGGTTGCATTATGGTGGCTGCCCCGGGCGATGTAAAGCTAATGACCATCGAGGAAAGTGTCCATTTAACATCTCTGCATTGGTTCGTCTTCATATCTGTCCTCATGGGCTCCGGGACCAGTTCTGCTCTACTGACCTGTGCAATCTCATTCTACATACAGAAGTCAGCCGCCACATTCCCAATGCAACTCCTCATGCAGTGCGACTAAGAATCTCATCTTAATGGCAGACAACATTGCAGCTGCGCCAACCTCGATATTTTTCGGGGTGCCAATCTCAATGCTGATCGAGTCTTGACCCGCCTCCTTTTGTAGGCGAGAGGCGAGGTCTATGAGACAGGGAGCTCTATACTACCTGATTGATATAGAGCTGTTTTTTAAAGACACACAACCACCAAAGGATATAGAAAAGTGCATCATCTCACATGCGTTATTGCCTCAAATGCTGACTCATCCTAGGCGTGCCAGTGCTTCGCCTGCATGCGGGTTTCCATCCAACCTGCACAGCCTGAGTGCCTCGACCACCTTACACACACACAGTGAAAATGAGTCAAATTCTTGTAAACCCATTGCATGTCTGAATTATCCATATCGTTCCAAGTGCAGTTGTGCAGAACAGTTGATTAATTGACTCCAAGCACATCTGGCAAAACAATGGCCTGAACTTGCACGAGTTGCTTGTTGAGCTTGATGTCAGGCACCTGTGTCGCACCATGACCCCTCAAGACTTGACCCCAAATACCGCTTGCTGCTGTCAACCGGCACTGTCAACTGGCTTGGAATTACTGCATCTTTCTGCAGCTATTCTGCACATGATTCTTGCTCTGTCTTTCAGCAGGAACATGCATATGACACTGACAAATTAATGAAACCCATCGGCAGCACTCACCCTGAAGCGCTTGTCCCGCAGAATCTCATCTGTCGTGTAGCCATGCACCGGCTTGAATGCGGCCGTGGGTGCATCGTCAGCCGCCGCAGCGGAGGCGGCTGTCGGCGCTCGGACTCTTCCTGCATCCGCTGCCACCTCTACCCTCACCTGCATGTGGCAGTGAATTCAGCCTTGCAAGTAGGCCAAACTCCATCATGTACAGTTTACTTTTATCCAGATCTTCTATTGGCAGTCCTTGGTTCTGAAGCTGATGCCCCACCTGCCAAATCTGCTGGTGAGGTGTGCTGCGCCTGACACGCAGGATTTCCAAAGGAGGGGAGCAGCAATTAAATTTAAATCAAATTTGTGAGTCGTTGACTTATAAAATTTGCGCAATGGTGCTTGGATGCCGGCAATGCTCTGCCCTTCACGTTGCTTACAAGCGGCGCTCGCTGGTGCACGATGTCTGGAGCCGTGCAAACTCACAGCCCACCAGTGCACATCTTCTTGCAGCTCCCTTCATATCGGCACGCCTAGTCATTGCAATGGGCGGTGATCATCTGCTGCCCACCTGTGCTGCGAGCTCCAGGAGCCGTAGGTCCCGTTTACGGGCCGCGGCGGCCTCCGCTGCCGCAGCCGCATCCCGGGCCGCCGCTCGGTCCGCGCGCAGCCGCTCCCGATTACTCACCCGGCCCGCGTTCTGCACCGCTGCCTGCCGAGCCTGCAATAGTTTCTCGAATTTGAATTAGAGCAGCCTAATGTGGACACTAGCTTGTGCTCTTTGTTTCGAGGTGTGGCAGTTTGCACTCCATAGAAAAGTTTGTGCTCCTCAAGACCACCAAGGGCCCCTTATTTGCCATCTTCGTGTCTAACCTCAGCCTCTAATTTGCAAATATCCCAATTGCCAATTCCATCAGGCTGGTGGCAGAGCCCACTTCTCTGAAGACAGGCATTTGGTAAAGATCCCAATTGCAAGTTTTTGCTACCTGTTTGCTACAAAGGCTTGATGTGAGACACATGAATGCGCTGCATCTGGATTATATCAGGGGGTACTGAAGATTCAGTACCCCCGATGATGTGGCATCATGGGTATATATCTGTAAAAAAGGCGGGTCATGCACCTGCCATTCTGCAAGCGCTGCCGCGTGTGCCTCTTCAATCCTTCTCTGTGCCTGCATCACCTCTGCAGCGGCCCGGTGTGCTGCGAGGGCCAAAGCGCTCCGGTCCCGAGCACTCTGCTCCGACCGCCGCCTCCTGTCCGCCTCTGCCGCTGCAGCCTGCACAGAGTTTAGCACAGCTGTGCAAGGACTTCAAAACCCCGGGCACAGGTTTGAGCTGATCCGATCTCGAGGTGCACGAGAGTGTGCATGGCTCCAGCTAAGAGAACCTATTTTCTGCTTTATTTGAGAGGACCAAGACCTGGCTGAGGCAGCAACCACAGGACATTAATTGACATTATCTAATGAGCCATGACTGTTACTATGTGATACTTAGTGCCCACGCAGATGGGAATGTCCCTGGACGTGAGATAACAACGCTAGGCAGTTCAGGTATGAACCTTTCATAATGAAAGGATGTCTGTCTTGCCCTTGCGAGACTCTCAAAGCTGCTCAGCCAAAAAGAATCCCAAAGGTGAGAAGTGAAAGAGGTGTAAAACACAAGCACAATTGAAGCAATTGTTAAAGTGAGTGCTTAGGTGCTCACCTCCTTGGCAGCGCTGCGATGCCGCTCGGTTTCGGCAGCCGCCGCTGCGCGCTGAGCTGACATGGCCGCCAGCTCAGCCTGCAGCTTCTGCCCAGTCATCCTTCTCTCAGCCGCCTACGAAGGCATTACCCCGGCCATACTTTTCGTTTTTCATCCACCTTACAGGTCAGCAAACCCAATCCAGGGGCCACAGGGCATGCACGCAGGGCGTCTGCAGCCGCATTTGCGGGCTTACAAACGTCTGCAACCTAGTATTCACCGCACAATAACTATTGCAGATTCAGACTCCCTGCCGGCTGCTGCATCAGTAGGTAGCTCATGACATGACATGAGTGCATTGAGAAACAGAACAGGTGAACTTGGCAGGATGACTTCATTGTCGACCTCTGCTGCAGAGTAGGCTCTCTGCTCTGCCGCCTCAGCCGAGCGCGCAAGGCGAGACTCTGCCCTGGCCAGCAACCGGGCAGCTCTTCTGGCCTCGTTGGCTGCCGCAGATCCGCGCATCAGCCGCTGCCGTCTCATCTCCATGCGCCTGACCAGGGCAACTCCGGTGCTTGTCACGTTTCTTTTCAGCCCAAATATAAACCGTGCAGACGCTGGCAAGGAGGATGGTGCCAGTCTCATCCCAACCGCAAGGGCCAGCCTTGGAAGTCCTAGAAGCATTGGCTAGCAGCATAGCATGGATGCAATCAAGCAAGACAATGGAGGCACAGGACAATGCTGCCAGGCTCTTGCTGCATGTAAACGTGGCTTGTAAGGTGCGAGGTGATGGTAAAGTCATGAGCCCAGGCACTCAAAAGGGGGCCAGTCTACCCACCAGCCAAGTGCCAGATCATTGGGTTCCTTGACTTTTGCAGGTGATTTTTGCCAAGGAGGAAGATGTCATTTTGGCACACTGCATCTACAGTGCCCAAGAGCTTCAACGCTTAAATGTTTCACACCTGTTGTCATGCGCGCGCATCTCCTCCAGGGTTTTCCCGGGCAACGCGGCTGCGAGCAACTGCAGCGCAGCTTCGCGGCCGCCCCCCTGCGCCGCAGCTTCCCGGAAGCAGCTCCGCCTCAGCCTGCCAAAACAGACCCGCTCCTCCCTGCTCCATCCACCGCCCGCCCCGCCGAGACTGCCCACGTCTCCAGAAGACCGGCTGCTGACCGCATTCGAATTCAAATCAGAAAAATCTGAGCCGCGCTCGGTTTGGCACCCGTGATCAGAGCAAGCATGCAAAGCCTCTGCAGCTGCGTCTGCTGTGCACCGGTTCTGTATTGCAGGGACATTCTCACGCCCATTGTTGCTGCCATAACATGAGTCTGAGCCGCATATGGTTGTCTCTGTGCTGTGGCAGTGTCTGTGAGCGGCACACTCAAAGTCTGCGCGCATGGCTCGGACGGCTGCCTTGGCTTTGGGGTTTGCTGAAGGGTACTGGGCATACAAGTCATCTAAGTGGCTCTGGAGATCCACTGCCGTCCCTGTGACATAGCAGACAGATATGCTGGCACGGCGAACTTGCTTTTGCACGCGCAGTGTGCAGATTTGTCTTCTCAACTGGCTGCATTCAAAGGCTGTGGTCTGCTCTCAAAGAGGGGCTCTCAGAATTGGTTTAGAATATTGTGAAATCTTGCAAGATATTTGGACTCCTACCTGGGTCTTCTGTGGATCTCTGGTGGCGTTGGTCTCCTGCATTTATTGACCTGCATATTGGGCAGTAGCACTTTACTTCGATGCAGGGTTTCAGGGCAATCGAGGACACTTTTGCTCATAATCATGGAGCAAAAATTTAAGAACGGACATTTCTTCTTCGATGTCTCTCTGCGTTGCCAGCCACAGGCGTCGGGACCTGTCGGCTTCCTGTCGATCCCTCTGTTCTTTTGCAAGGCTGTTTAAGGCGTTGACCTGCATTAAACAAACTTGCTATCACCGTGTTTGATTTTGAGAGGAGCTTTTGAGGCCTTTAGGCGTAGCATGGCTGCAATGAGATCTAGCGGTCAATTCACCTTGCCATCAATATCGATGGACTGTGCTTCCGGCCTTCCTATTACGGAATGTCTTGCCTTGCGCAAAGTTTCTTCTCTTGACATTGTGTAGAAGTCAGTCTTCAATCGTGGACTGCGGCAGCGCTCGAGCGTGGATCATCTTTCGTTTTCCAATTTCGGACACCTTTGAAACGCTGGCCACCACGTTGTAACCGTCACAGCATCTCGTATCCAATTTTCAGGGTCACAACTTCGAGATGTGCAGGACTGGGCTGCTGTTATTAAGCACATATAAACACCTACCTAGTCCTAGTCACTTCATTTCAACAAAAGGCGCCAGCTTAGCCGCATCCCAGCTGGGCCTTGCGGACTTCCTGGTCTTCACATGAGACTCCCAGAGAAGCCCCCACATCAAAATCATAAAACACCAATTTTCTCAACACAGCAAGCAATCTGCCAAGTGTGGTCCCTTTCGCTGCAGATTCAATACAAATCCACCCTCAGGGAAGCCTGTTCTGAATCACCCTCCTCTAATTAGGGTTATAACAGTTTTGCAACGTATGTCCGTAGAGCATCAATCATGCCTTGGTGACCATGGATCTGATCTTGGGCTTTGAGTGCCTCGCTACTTCTCTTTCCTCTGCATGCCGCTCCGCTCCATTGCTCTCTGTCCTCATCTCAGTGGCCTTGCTCCGCTCGCCACCCCTTTTCCTTTGGTCATCTTCAGGCTCGCGCACAGCTTTTGCCGCTTTTTCACCGTCCTGAACGCAACAAAATTACCACCACTCAAGCACTGCAACAGGGCTGTCTGCACCAGATAAAACGTGTGTGGAAAAACAAATTTGTGAACGCCATCATTACAGTAATGTAGCCTGAGGTAATGTTCATGGTGTCTGGCCCCACACAAAAAAATCGCCCTCGAGGAGCTCATTTCAAAATACATCCTTCACCGGTATCATTTCTCCAGGAGGAACCACAGGACCCACTGCCTGTTCATTGCCGATGTTTGTTCTTTACTCCTACGGTTTATTGAGGGCCCCAAGGTACGCAAACACTGCAGGTCACACCTTACGGGACTTTGCTTTGGCTCGGGCGGGCTCCGCGGCTCTTCTGGCTTTCTTGCGAGGAGGGGTTGCCGCTGCCTCTGACTCTGAAGAGGATGAGTCATCGCTGGAAGATGAGTCACTGCTGCTGTCGGAAGACGTGCCTGCAACGGACAGAGCATTGAGACAAAAAAAATCCAGCAAGCTAATTGCTGCATGCTTTTGTGCCTTGCATAGACCATGAAGTGTCTAAATGACCCTGACATTGTAGCGGATGAATCCCAGTAGCACAGCACTACAAGCGCAAGAAGATGCAGGATGGGAGGGAGGCAGAAAGTGTTGCCAGATATCTGACAATGAGGGCAGGATTTCAGTACAGGGTTTCAGTACAGCCTGTCAATCCCACCCACCCAGCTTGTTTATCGAAATTTTGGTGCTTTTGACCATGATGATTGACATATTCACCTGACGAGGAGCTGCCGCTGTCACTGCTGGAGCTGTCATCGCTGGAGGATGAGTCATCAGAAGACGATGAGGAGGATGAGTCATCGCCCGAGCTCGATGAGGAGCCGTCGGAGGAAGATGAGTCATCTGATGATGAGTCATCGGACGAGGAGGAAGATTCGGCCGGCTTCTTCTTTTTCTTCTTCTTGGCGGCTACCTTGGCCTTCCCGGCAGCTTCCTCTGGCTCCTTGTCCCTGTGCTCTGGCAGCAACTCCCCGGGCGCCAAGAAGCGCGGCTTGTACTGCACGCAAGAATGACATAATATTAATATTAGTCCTGTCATAATCTTGACAATGTTATTAGTTGTTTTTACTTGCTTATATCAGCACACAGGGCTAGGTGGTTTGCAGCACCACCTCATTGAATCCCTCCATCCTCCCCTGTCTTGGCATTTGGCTAATGGGTACAATCAGTGCAAAGTGCCCACAAGCAGCAGGCTGATGTCAAGTACTATATATAATCTTCATGCACTCATTGGACCAGCACGAGCAATTGCGCCAAGTAAGGCTACAACCCTGCTACGTGCTGCCGTCTGCTGCAAGATTCAATCCTGTGGCCACAGATCCTTGGGCGTGTATCAGAGTTAGCCAGGCATAGTTCCCCTCCTCGCATTAAGAAGGCAGTGCTGCTGGAATTGGTGCATCAAGCATCTTCCACAGCCTCTCACCTTGGGGTCCATGAGCTGTTTGGTCCTGGTGGGCCTGGATTGGTAGACAGCAGTGTTCTTGCACTCATACGTCCAATGCCCCGCCTGCAATGAGAGGTGTAAGCTGCTTATCTGTCATCATTTGCAGTAATACCATAAGTGTCTGCAACTCTTCGCAAACCATTTAGTCGAGGATCGGCAAGACAGTTGAACTTCTGTATGGTACAGGCAATAACCAGAGTTGGCAGTGGAAATGGCACCTGCAGGCACTTCTGGCACACGGTTGTGGCGGGGTTGGCTGTACGGTACGCTGGCTTCTGCGAAATTATGGCAGTTGTCAGCTCAACAGAAGCCATCACTGGCAGAAAGCAACGTGCAGGAGAAAAAGCGACGACAATCTGCTGGGTCACGCAGGCGATGCATATAACACTAGATATGATTTATCTCCTGCAAATGATTCAAGGGGTCTCGAGCTTCTTTGTCTGCTAAATTGCTGATCTGTGAAAGGCTGCTCCTAGACAATTGTACGATACTGTGCTGCAAAGTCTCCTTACCTTTGCATATCTGTTCGCCATATGGATGCTTCCACTCCCTAAAATACCCATGATGACTTGAGAGTCCTCTTTTACGAATGTACTTCAGGTCCAGTCCTCAACACTGCGTCACGACCAGCAACCACAACTTGCAGCAGGCTCCTATGCCTTTATAGCCTAAAAACCAGTGGGAATGACAGTACCGAATGGACACCAAAAAGGACTTGCAATGAGAATGAAACAGGTTGCTCTGGTTGTAGTGATTTTGCAGAAACTTCTCACTGACAAGCTGACTGCAATTACTTGCTTGGAACTGCAACTGCCGATTCTAACAGGTCCGAGTATGATCAACACATCCACTATATCTAATTTGCAAACTGTGAGAAAGCTCATGGTGGCCCCTACTTTGATCCCTCCCACCACGCAGATTAACCCGATTGGATTCACCCATTTTGTTCGAACGGTAAATTCAGAGGGTTCCAAAATGTCCAGGAAACCCCGAATTGCGTAAACTTGCAGATCTTCAAAGAATCAAAAGTGTCAAAAGTAAGTGCCAAAAGCGTCACATTTTGGCAAGCAACTGTCTGTCCAAGCAGCGTTTCACAGTCACTGCACACAAGAGACTATTATTATCAAAGTCTTTCACCGGCAGAGTTGGTTTGCGGGAGGGCATTGGCCGATAAACGCGCCAGGTCAGAGATATTCCAAGCCGATATCAATATGTCTGGCACAAAAGCCGTTGTGACGTCGTCTATGCGCAACAAGGGGGAGCCTGCGAAAGTCGCGAGTGAGGGTCCTCACTGTCAGAAGACTCCCTAAGCTACCTTGCGACAGCGTGTGAGCTGAGGTGCGAGATAGCAGGAGCAAACCTCCTTATTGCTTGCAGTTTGTTGCTGTGCACACATAAAATATCAAGTATGAAGTGAATAAATCTCGAGGATCACTGTCCGTCATACACTGATCTCGACTTCCTCATGTCACAAAACAATTGGGAGCTTTTCTACGATCGCAATCATTGGTAAAATCCCTTGAACGCCTTTGCAGGGCAAGAACTCGCCCTGTGACGGGCGGAGCACGAAGTACACGCAACGGCCATGGCGAACGGAGCTGCGATTGGGCGAGACCCCAAACAGGCGAGGCCGACCAGCGGGGTGTTTGACGGAATTTCAACCATCATGGAGGACATCGAGCAGCAGCAGGCAATCCCCTCTGACAGCGGCCAGGCTAGATTGGAGCAGCTCGGCTACAGGCAAGAACTGGACAGAAAATTCGGCCGCTTCTCCAGCTTCGCTGCCAGCTTCAGCCTCTGCTCCTTCATGTTGGGCATTACTGGTAAATCATCTTGCTAGTCATCTCCAGGCTGGAACAAAGGAGGAATTTGATCTTCCTTTTGAGTGTTACTGCTGTGCATGTATCAGCCCTGGCTGGGTGGGGCGGTACAAACACTGAGCACCGTGCCCACGGTTGATTGCGTCTTGCTTCGTAGATTATGAGTTCATGAAGGGGCAGGATTTGTGGGGCAGGATTTGTGGTAGCCCTTGCCTGCACCTTACCTCTGGGAGGAACAGTGTCTACCAATTCTTTGTCAGCCCACTCAGCTGATAATGTCAGCGCTAGATTGCTGACGAGATCTGGGTGACAAATTCTCACTGTGGGCAGGATCCTTGCCGATCGGCTTCATGAACGGCGGACCACTGGCGGCAATATGGGGATGGGTCATTGTGTCTCTAGGCAACCTGCTAGTGGGAATGGCAATGGCTGAGATCGCCTCTGCCTACCCAATAGCTGGCGGCCCTTATTGCTGGTGCGAGCACACCCCCTGACCTCTCAGTTGTTTTGGGCTGCTGTGCATGTCAGTGCAAGTCCTCTTGGCATCAGCGGTGACCATTGGAGACCCAGGACACAGGTTGATTCACCTGGAATGTGGTATTTCTATAGAGATCTCTGCACTTGTTGGGCCTTGCGATGGGTAGATGGAAGCTGCATCCTTGCAAGATCCTCCTTGGCCGCTGATGGCACTCAGAGCTTGATAGGCTGAAGACACTGAGATCCCCTGGTGCAGGACATTGGAGCTGGCTGGCACTGAACCAGTCTTCACACTCCTTGCATGGATGACAGGTGCTCATCCCCACCGAGCAGCCTTCAACGCTCTGTGCCTTCCTATTGATTGAACCTTGCATTGATGAGAGCTTGGTACACAACATGCCAAGACCACTCACATTGCCATTTGATTGCAACAAGGGTCTCAACCTCTATATGGCGCCAAATTCCTTCAGCCGCTCATCCCATACACTCTTCAAGCAGGGGTCATTTAGCTGCGCCATGAGTTTTTCAATGAGTATGCCTGCCAACATTACTGGTTCTCCTCGCGGATATAGTCGACGCCAGACAATATCTGCAGGTATTCAACAGCTACAGATCTCTCAGCCATTTTAAGTGCAGGGCACTTTCCCACAGTGGAAAAACGTTATTACCTGTGTTGGTCATGTAGTTGCGCCAAGAGTTTCCGACTGATCATGGCAGTAAATGGGCAAATTTGCATGCATGCAGGCTGGCTGAATATGCTGGGGCAGTTTGCGGCCACGGCTGCATCGGGCTTCTTGACAGCCAAGCACCTGTCCGAGATATTTCTGGTGGCTAACGGGCGAGAGCTGTCACCCTTTGAGCTCTTCCTCGCCTACTCTGGTGCGCTTATTTTTCCTAGTGTGCTCCACCACTTCTTTCTGATGACACAGGGAGAAGTAAGTGCTCCTCTGCTTAGAGAGAAGAGTGATACCTGGTGCTTTTGATAGCTCCGTGAGACCTTCAGGAAAGACAGGCGCCTACTCCCACTGTCTGAATATACACCAGGTTTCATGCGAGCCATGGATCCCATAGAATAGGTGTCTGCAGCAAGCTTGCACCTTTCGTTTGCATTGAGAAAGGCCCCTTGAGCAGAGCTTGAGCACAGAGCTTGATCACTGGCCATAGCTGTGGGCGTATCTCCTTGTCGAAGGTCAGAGCCCGGCCAGTGCATGCATCAATGAATTAACCAAAGCAGGGTCCAGCAGTAATAACAGGGATTTGTCCTGTCATGTGCAGTCACTCTGCTCGTGGCGGGGATAATAAGCTCGATAAGCACGAATGGGATTCGCTGGTACGTCATCGGTTCGGCGGCGTTTCTGGCGGCAGGGGGCGCGTTCATAATAGCAGTGCTGCCAATTCTGGCGCCTGTGCTGCAGCCGGCTTCCTATGTCTTCTCCTACTTTGACACCTCCTTCCGAGCGGCCCAGGGACTCCCCAGCGACACGTGAGCGCCTCTCTTTGTCCACTCGTATTAACCCAACGCACTGGCTTAAGCTCTATGTCGGGCAAGCTCAGATAAGGCAAAGCTCACATGAAGGCGCATGAGGCTCAAAGCAGGGGTGACAGCCTGTCAAGCACTCCGTCACTTTGAGCTAAGACCAGATACACTCATTTGCCTTGCCGTGGGCTCTTTGCTGTGTGCTGCCATGCATGCACAACCTGACATGGATGCGTTGAGGGCCTATTTGAGATGGAGTTTTTTGCATTCCATGCAACTGCGATTCTCCTTTTTTTGAGACCCTGTCCGTGCAGGATGTCAGTAGCAGTAAGTCTGCAAGTCAGATGGGCAGATGCTTGGGATCTAAGAACAATGCCACTTTAGATCATCTGGCTTGAGCGTATGGTGTTTGTCTTTGCGTGCAGGTATGTATTCCTGATGGGCATGCTCATGGCGCAGTACTCCTTCGTGGGATATGAGATGTGAGCGTCTTCTCTCTCCTTGTGGCCTCCCTTACTGTATGCATAAATATTTTGCAGCAGAACTTCAGCATCAGCAGTCGGGGGGGCGGTACAAATACTGAGCACCGTGCCCACAAATGGGCCTTGCTTGGATATGGCGGTTCCGTCAGGATTAGAATATGTTGTATCCTCTGCCTGCAGCTTGTTGGCAGATGCACATTGCCTCTGGCAGGAACAGCGTGTACCATTCAACATACCATAGAAAACTTTCTGATCTGCACTGTACAGTCAGCGCAGCGGATCAACATTCAATTTCCTGCCTTTTTGATATTTTAAGAATGTCACTGCTGAGATGTGGTTTACATCTGTTGCAGGTCTACACAGTTGGCAGAAGAGACTCGCCAAGCAGACAGGAATGGTCCCTGGGCAATCATTTGGGCCATTATTGCCACGGCCCTCTGTGGCTTCGTTTTCCTCGTTGTGTTGCTGTTCTGCATCCAGGTGCGCATTCGAAATTCCGCTGTCAAATTCGAAATTCCCTTTCGGTTTCTGTTCCCGGATCTGTTGCATGCCTGAGAATGCGGGCGTTTTGCAAGAAGCCCCATAGAAAAGTTGGTGGTCGGAAATTTCATTGCACAGCTCGAGTGCAATTGCACACTGCTATGCTGGCTACATGCTGTGCACTTCTGTGCAGTGTTCTGATGTGAGAATTTCTCAGCATATTTTATTTATTAAATCCTTCATCTCTCAGTGTCCACCATCTCTCAGGACATCTGCAATGAAAATTTCTGCTAAAATCCGCCGGTGGTCTTGTTTGACAGCCAGCTTTACTGTTTCCAGTCGCACTTTGCATGCGGGCCGTAATATAATGTCACTTTGATTGCAGGATCCCAAAGGCCTCTTTGATGGGGTCGCGGGCGGTTATGTACCCCTGCAGATCTTCTACAATGTGTTCAAGGTGCATCGTTTGTTTGCCATTGACTCAGTCTCTGCATCTCTCAAGACTGCAATTGGGACATGCAATGTGTGTGGAATCCGTTATGAGGCTGCTCTGTTCCTTTGCTCCTCACTTGCAGCTGTCTTTACCAGAGCTATTTTCATGTCGATTTAAGGGGAGCACGGAGGCATCAGGCACACGCTGAGCAAATTTCCGTTCCAAGGGGCCTATATCAGCAGCTTTGACTATTGCAATCCCCTGGCTTTTAGCAAATTAGACTGTCTTCAAACATTCCTGCTTTGCATGCAATGCCACAGGGTGGCTCCCTTGGGAGGTTGTCTAAGGCCTTAGGGTCCCGGGGAATAAACAAGATGTAAGGGATGTGAAGGGTGGGGAATGGGTCTTGCTGCAGGGCCGGTTTGGTTGTGGCACGGGCGGGATTGTGCTGTTTGCCATTCCCCTGATCGCCACCTTCAACACAGCCGTCATCAGCATGGCCAGCAATGCCAGGTCAGCGCAATCCTCTCCCAATCGCACCTTTTGGCGGAAAAAGTCGAGATATAAATTAAGAACAGGAACGGACGTACCATCTGGAAATGCGCAAGAGTCTTTGCCGCGACACCTGGACCCAATTGCAAAACAACCCTCACAAAAATATTTTATGTGTAAAAATGTCAGCAGGAACACCGTTGAAAGCATGCGTATTGCCAAGTTAGGACGAAGTGACGGGGACCCCTCAGGATACATGCATATTGCCTGCTTAGGATATCTTAACGGCAACCTCGTGACTGCATGCGCTCGTGTCAGCAAATTCAGGACACCAGAGCAGGAACGCCACTGCATGTATGCATGCATGTTGCCTGGTTAGGACGCTGCAAGGCAGGAACGCCACCGAGCGTGTGCACATTGCTATTTACAGGATGCTTTGGTCGTTCTCGCGGGACGGCGGAGTGCCCTTGTACCGGGTGTGGGCGGCTATCAACTACAGGACGCGCACTCCAGTAAACGCCACGTGGGCAATGACTTCAATGGCGTTTCTGCTGGGCCTGCCGATATTATTTTCCACAACAGCCTTCCTCGCGATGGGCTCCATCTGCTTCATTGGCCTCTACACTTCCTGTGCGCTGCCCTCCTTCCCCATGCTGAGAGAGCGCTCAGAATTAGCTCAAAGTCGGCTTTGACTTGTGATTTGGGAAAATGGAAACCGGAAAAGACCTCAGAAACTTTCGCTCCGTAAATAGTGTTCAGTGGCTCAGCAAGGGCACTGTCACGTATTGCATGGACTTGGAGGCACCTTTTCTGCTCCTGCATGATTGACCAGGCGTCATTCAAAAGAGCATTCTGTATCATCTTTATACTGTGCAGCAATGCTGCTTGCTGCGCCTGCTTAAGTGTACAGCTTGAGATTCTGGTGTATGCTTGGTTGCACAATGACTGACGTGGGTCTGTGGAATCCTTGTGCAGATGCGGTGCCGATACTCCTGAGGATAGTGTTCAGGAGACGGTTCCAGTCAGGGCCGGTGCGAATGTGTGCCCAGCAGCCCTGGCTGAGCATTCTGGCGCTGATGTGGATTGTCTTCATTGTGGTAAGGAGCTCTGTTTCTGCCTGGCAGTTTTCATCTACCGGCCCTCACTAGACTCACATAATTTCAAACTGTAGAGACCCGATTCTAGAGAGGACATGATCAGAGACCGTGTGTGAGGACTTTATAGTGCACACTGCGCTGAGTCCCAGACAAGCATGGGATTGCATTACTCGGGGGCAGCTCTGCCAAGGCGCTTTTGAAAACTTCCTGCAGCAGTGAACTCAAGATGTCAAGCTGCAGTCTTGCTGTTGCAGACATCATTACAAGCCTTGGTGCCTGTTCATTGTCAGCGAGGTGTCTTTCCTGTGTTCAAATGAGGTGTCTTTCCTGTGTCAAATGTGTCTGGCCTAAGAATGAGATTATCTCTTCACTGCAGCAGCCTACCTGATGTGCTGAGCGCCTGGTCTGTGCAGGTATGTCTGTGTTTACCAGTGCAGCTGCCAGTAACAGCCGCCAACCTCAACTGGACCCCAATCACAATGGGCCTAGTTGTGACAGCTGTGCTCATTGCCTGGTACATACCAAGGATTGGCGCCGCGCACTGGTACCGGGGCAAAAACCACACACTCTTGCGCGCGCAGCCGCCAGCTGCGGCTGTGACGAGACCCCGGCCTCAGGGTCTGCCGCTGCGGTATTAACGCAGATTGACATTCAAACTTGCGCAGCAAAACGGCGGCCGGCAGTGAAAAAGGGGCAAATTTAATCTCTTTCTCTCTTGCGCGCGCAGCCGCTGGCTGCGGCCGTCACAAGGGCCCGGCCTCAGGGTCTGCCGCCGCGGCACTGACGCAGAGTCACATTGTAGTTGGGCGGCAAAACGGCGACATATGTGTCCGGCAAGGTCTCTCTAGTGAGAGACCTTGCTCTCAGGAGAGGCTGTTGAGGCAGTGACAGCCATCTGCGCATAAGAAGATTGCGGCGCATTTAAAAGTGCGAAGAACAGATGGGACTGCGAGGACTTTACTGTCAGGGCGGGCAGAAGCGGCATTAACAGCAGATGGGATTTGTCGGCAGCTGGCCAACAATGGAGGGCTTGTCCCCTTGAATGGCTCTAAGCCCTCAGATATCCTGACGGTTCAGTGTCCGTTCTCCAGGCAGCATAACAAAAGTGCTTCGGGCCAGCGCAGACTGCTGCATAAGGGGCGCCACTGCGAGCTTTGTGGCCGTGGCGAGGTGTGGCACGTTGCGACTGGTCTTAAGGCAAGTTCCGGGGAGTGCAATTTGCAAATGCTTGCTACTCCCAGTCAGTGACCCCGCATTATCACTGGGTCGCTATGAAAGCAGCGTCCTGTGCTGCAATGGCAGCGTGGGGTAAGGCAGTCCATTCTTTTTGGTGCCCCACACTTGCCGCGCTGTCATCTCTGTTGCTTCACTGATCCAGAAAGTGGCAAGTAAGCTCTTGTAAGATCTTTTGGGATGGGGGTCGCTTGGCACAGTCCGTTTGGGTAAAGACTCGCCTTACTGCAAGGCCTTCAAGAGGCAATGCATGCCCCACAGCAAATGTACAAGATAATTAGAATTTTTTTTAGATGTTCAGAAGTGAATAATCTGTTGCAAGGCTTGTATGTGCGGCTGAGCATGGGTGATTCCCACATAAGACTCGCCCCTCGGGCCTTCAGCAACAGCAGGCATCTTGTGACTCAGCAGCATGACTGTTAATTTTTTGGGGGAATCTTATTGCTTTTTTGGGTAGCGCTGTGCGTTAGACAGGTCTGCTGCTAGTCAGAGAGCTTGGCTTTTCTTTGGATGAATTTACAACAGAGGTGCATGGTCAGAAAAAACAAAGAAGCTGTTCTAGTCCAGCGGCTTTTGCTCCAGCAGAGATACCCAGCAGAGAGCAAAAGCTGCTGGACTAGAAGAGCTTTTGCTCTCTGCTGGGTGTCTTTTGAGGAGGGACTGTGCTTTTGATGAGACACTGTAGGGTCCCTCTTAGCTTGAAAATCTTGGCTCGAGCCCAACGAGGGGTATTTTATTTAGCATGGCGGCTATGCAAGCGCCGGGCAGTAAAGAGACTTGACGCAGCCAAAATTTGGTTTGCAATCTGTTAGCGGCTGGCGCACAAGCTCTCTATACAGGAAGCACAAGGAATGGGCTTTACCTGGGAGCCTGAGAGTATCAGATTTGTCCGAGGGGTAATTAGAAGAATTGGCGTGAGAGTGATTGTGCGGATACTGATCTACTTAGTAAGGGCTCATCCGATGCCTCATCAGCGGTTAGCAGCGCGCTTTTCAAAGGAGGTTGTCTTCAAACATGTCGAGTGGATAGTACAAGGAGCATTGATTTTGGTGCAGATCTTCCCATGTGTTGCCAAGATTGGGCACCATTTATCTAGAGATGTGCCGCAAAAAGAATTTTATTGTCCCTTGCCTCCGAGGTCTATTCATTGGCATTCCAAGGTGGTGTATGAACTCAGGCTCTTGTGAGGACTGCTGTACACTTGAAGATATGGCGGATTGCTAATTTTTGATGTCTTACTATTCACAGAATTCTTCCTTTTATTGCAATGAGCCAAGGTCCTTTTGGTAGTCTCATGCATTGCACCATGGTACTAGTAAATGCAGTTGAAATTGATACGACTCTGAACAGTTGAACATGAGGTACATACAGATGTAATCCTCCCGCTATAATACAATCTTTCAATCAAGCACACGCGCGCATGTGACAACTTCATTTTGTCATTGCGCAATTGAAGCGTTCATGCATGCATGCATCGATAGATATCTATAGCATTGATCGAACAATGCTCACAACTTGAGTGTGATTTGACCAGCCTCTAAGGCTGCCACTAGGCTTTGCCTGGATTTTTTAAAAACTTATGCCAGTGGACCGCCCACACCTGTTGTTGAGATTATTGATGGTGCTTCAGAGGCTACTAGCCAAAAAAAATGTTTTGTCGCGCTTGCCCATGTTTGATCGTCTTCTTGTCATCCGGAGATCAGGAGAACCAAACTGACGAACGGGGAAGATTTTTCAAGATTCGAAAATTGCTGATGTGGTCGGCCGGGTTAGTCAGGCGAAGCGCAGTACGGGATCTCGAAATCTCGATGTTCCAAGGTCAGGTGGCTTCCGTTCCCCGAGTCATCAATCAATGCAGACCAGTGTAGCGGTCTCTATGCTCGACGTTCGCTGTGGGGACCTCGTACAAGTAGCAACCATCCTTCGGCAGTGCACCTGATGGGCATGTTGGGAACGACGGTGACCCCCGGGTTGAACTGTCTGGGATTGGTCGGCTAGGGGCAGCGGGGTATGACATATGACTCTTGGACGTACCGGAAGGATCGACACGACGAGACTGGCAGTGGTTTGGATAGCAGTTTGACGGGTGTAGCCTTCGGGTGCGGCAATCAAGCCTGCCAGTACTGTATTGGAACGAGGAGGCTCGTCTGTGATGCTGAGATTGTTATTTCTCTGTTGTTATCGTAGTCACTGTGTTCTCTGCATCAATTGGGCGCGGAAGCCCAAAATTCAGCTGTCTTGATGCAGGCACCTGGCCGCAGACAAAGTGTGTACAGCTTTCTAGAAAGTATCCCAGCGTAACATGGAGAGTCACATTAATAAGCAAGGAAAGGAAACCAGGAGCGAAGACCTCCGAGGCAGCATGGCAATAGATCCGGAGGGAGCCGCAAAGGACAGTGGGCAGATCCGGCTGGAGGAGCTGGGATACAAGCAGGAACTCAGCAGGCGATTGGGGCTGATATCCAGCGTGGCTTCCAGTTTTGCCACCATAGCTTACATGATGGGAATCACAGGTCAGAGTAGCCCCCTTCGCCTGATTCACCTGTGTCACCTGCTTCCCCCATTACGAAGCCAGCATTCATTGATCGTGCACCAGCAGAGGCAAAATGTCCACTCTTGCCAGTTATCAAAATCCCGGGCACCTGCATAATCAAACATCAGTATCTCTGTCAAGGGAACAAATTCCATCAAGAATAGCCTGTGCACTTTGCTCCCTCCAATCAACCATTGGCTACAGATCATGTCTGTTGTGCTGCAGGATCGCTCCCTATAGCTTTCATCAATGGAGGACCAGTGTCAGCTGTCTGGGGATGGGTCATCTGCTCAGTCTTCAATCTATTCTCTGCCCTATCCTTAGCAGAGATTGCCTCATCCTATCCCATTGCAGGCGGCCCCTACTTCTGGTGAGTCCTCCCGCCACATTGTTCTTTTTCATGCATCAATGTGGGCCGGAGCTGTCTTGTTTGGTTTCACTCAAACTGCGAGGCAGCCTTTCTTCCTTAATCGGCGCTCGCTCTGCTTTGAAGTCAGCATACGATAATCTCTAATCTGCGCACAGAAGTGTGACGCTGTAAACATGTCTGTGGTGACTGGTTGTACGGTAAAACTTGTCGCTGTGTGGAGAAATGGGTTGCTTTTGGCAGCAATGTCCCTCTAATCACCCGGCCATGTCTGAGGAGCGGTCATTTGTTGACAACCAATTCATGCCCACCATCTGGAAATCAAGTCCATTTCAGCAGTGAAAGAAACCGGAAGATAATTCTGTTGCGCAGGTGCTTGGAGCTCACAAACAATGACCCCAAGCTCACACTGATTGCCTGGTGCACCGGTAAGGCACTCTTATGTGGCTGCCTGTAAAATATACATCTTGTCCTATATCACTTTATTCAACCTCAAACAACCAGTCTGCTTTGCTTTTCGGATACACCCACTGCCTGAGATCACAGGTGGGGAGTGGAATTCCTGGAGTAGTGGAATTGCATGTCTGCATTTGCCCTATGTGTGATTCCTGGGGATGTTTGTCAATGGGGTGCTGTTTGTCCAAGCAACTCATGGCAAATCAGCGTGCAGTTCACTTCGTGTGTTCCCTCCCTATCTGACATGCAGCGTCAGTTGAGAGAGCAGCAAGGCTTGTCAAAAGCTGAATTGCGCATGGGAAGCAGGGACCAGATTTCTCACGGGCAGGACGGAAAGGAAAAGCCTGCCGTGGATTAAAGTTCATATTCTGTCATGCATGCGCAGGCTGGTCAAATCTGGTGGGCCAGTTTGCATCAACTGCAGGAGCGGGCTACCTGACAGCGGTGCATATTGGAAAGATGTGGCAACTGGGCAATGGACATGTCTGGAGCCAGTTTGAGACCTTCCTCGCCTATGCAAGTTCGTGCCTGCCCCCTTGGTGCTTCTTACAGGGCTCTTTAGTCCGCCGAGTCTAGAGGAGCGCCAGAGAATTTGGGGCCATTGTTGTTATGGCCTCCCCCAACCCAAGTCGAGCTGCAAAAGTGGGGGCTGGGGAGTTCAAAACAACATCAAACTACAGATAGATGAAGAACAGAGACAAAAAAGTCTCCAAGCAAGTGCCTACGTGCGGACCACTCTATTTAGCTAAGTCTTAGCCTATTGCTTTGGAGCATTTTCTTGCAAAGGCAGGGCCAAGGCTTTGGTCCCCTTTTGAAGCTGTGAGTTCTGTGCTCCAACTGAGAATTCCTGTTCCTAGGGACAATTGCTATGACCTCAGCTTCCCATGAATACAGCCTTGGTGCATTTCCACGTAACAAGAGCTCGCCCCTCCTGCAGTGCAACATCTGTGCTCTTCCTTTTTTGAGGCCACATAGAGTCAATGATCTTGCCTGCAGACCTCTAGTAAAGGCCGGCCTTGTCTCAAAACATGCCAGGCATCAATTGGTGAAAAGACCAGGTCTCACGGGCTTGCACACTATTGGATTGTTGCATGCCACCAGAACTTGTTTCTCGCGCAAGGCAGCAAAGTGTCTTGACTTGTCAGGGCCACAAGGAATTATTTTTCTTCCCTGCAGACCTATTTTGAAGGCGGTCCCAAACTCTCTACAAGCTAGGGATTTAATGTAAAAATGTGCTTAATCTGGCAGCTGCTGGATTTATATTTTGAATCTGCGCGCAGTCTGCATGCTGGCGGCAGGAGCGCTGGCGTCGACAAGCACCGGCGGAATGAGGCAGTATATACTCTTTGCAGCCTTCTGGATGATCTGCGGAGGAATCTTCTTGATCATTCTGCTACCCATCGTGGCGCCAAAGCTCCAGACGGCAGAATATGTGTTCCTCCACTTCAGCGATCAGTCCAAGGACCAACTCGGCGTGCCCAACAATTTGTGCGCCCACCCCTGGCCTTTCCTGCATGCAACGGGGCTCTAAATTATCCGCTTTGATTTCCCATGTCGATCTGAAACCGCACCAGAAGCACTGAATTTCCCAAAATTATGACTCAGATTCATGCATGTCGAGGAGATGTTTTATGAGCTATTATTCGAGGAGAGCTCATTAAACATGGTGGGAGTGGATCTGCATGCATGTCAGATGAAGTGGACATCACATGCCAATAAAAGGACCGGCTGAGTGGTTGACTTGGTATGCTTGCAGCTACCTATTCTTGCTGGGGATGCTGATGGGCCAATTCTCATATATTGGTAGGCACGAGAATCACAAGCTTTGCTCTATTGAATTTTTTTAAAGACAGCCATCGCATGGAGCGAATTACAAGCACCTGGATCTGCTTGCTGTTGTCAAAATTCACATTTACCTCGGATGCACAGGAGTTTCAAGTTGAAAGCGAGCATTTTGAACTGCTTGCTGTTGTCAATGTTCAAATTCAAATTGGATGCGCAGGTTATGAGGCTCCAGCGCAGTTTGCAGAGGAGACCAAACGAGCAGACAGAGTGGTTGGCTGGGGGATAGTGCTGTCTGTGGCGGCATCCAGTGTTTTTGGCTTGGGATTTCTGGTGTGCCTTCTGTTCTGTATCCAGGTGAATCTCCTTCAATCTGCTTGTCCTCCCCGATACACAATGATGAGTGTCAGGAGGGGGCTATGTACTAAGGATTGACCCAAAAAGGGAGTGCTGTAGTGAACTTTTCTTGCCCGCGTGTGGTGCTGTGATACAGAGGTAATGTTCAGTTGTTCATAGCAGCTTGGTGAGCTGTGCAGGAAAAGACACACGTTGTCACAGTGCTGATGTTGCTGCTTCTGTGTGTTCCAGGATCCGGAAAACTTAATGCTGGGGCCTGCCAATGGCTATGTGGTGGGGCAGATATTTTATGACATATTTCAGGTGACGCTCACCCCTTCACTTTTCACCCATGCACTCTGTTGGAATGCACTGTACTCGTCTCTCTTAATTGACCCTTTCTGTCTTAGAGAACAGCAACACGCCGCTATGTGTGTTGAATATAATGTTAATGAATATAATACTAATACATGCAAGGGCTGCTTGCAGAAATCTAGCACTCCTGCCTCACGTTCATTAAAATTCACGTTCCTGGCACATTGCAAGATAATGCAAGACATGAGATTTGCTCCTGCCAGAGCAGCACATCTCCACACCTCAGATGCTTTCATGATTGTGCATGTTCAAAATTCTGAATGTACAGTTTCTGTGCATGCCCAGGGTCGATTCGGCTCAGTGACAACGGCCATTGTGCTGTTGGCAATTCCATTGATCGCCATCTTCAATACCACTGTCATGTGCTTATTCACAGCTGCCAGGTCAGCCCCTGTCAAGCCCCCGACCTTATTCTTCATCCACTTTTAGCTTAGGGTTTAGGGAATGTGGATTTAGAATTTTAGGGGAGGGGCATTTACAGCAATAATTTTTCGTGGGGAATGCAATGGTGGACTTAGGGTTTAGGGTCGATGAAGGGTCAAAAACACTATAAAACACACAGTGGATGAACTCCAATGCCAGCGCAAGACAACTGTCAAGCTCTCTGCATTTTGGTTGCTCTCACCTGAGAGCACAGATGAAGTGTTCTCAAATCGTGATTATGTCCCCAGAGTGTGTTTTGCCTTCTTTTACCTTGTGTGGATCAATAACCTGCCATTAGGACTGTTCGATCCAGGGAGCACATGCATGGCAAATGTCTGTGCATGTCGGGCTCTACATCTGGAGCAGACCTTATCAGAGAAAACACAGCTCTTTTGCAAGTAGGAGAGTGAAGTTTTCATTTAAAGCTGTTATGTGCTTTTGCAGGATGCTGTGGTCATTTTCGAGGGACGGCGGAGTGCCATTGTACCGGGTGTGGGCGGCGATTAATAAGCGGACAGGAACGCCTCTGAATGCCACGTGGGCGATGACTGCCACAGGCTTTCTTCTGGGCCTGCCCATGCTCTTCTCCAACGCTGCGTTCCTCGCCATGGGATCAGTCACCGCCGTGGGCCTCAACGCCAGCTGTGCGCCCCTCCTTTATCCCCTTGCTCCAATGCAATCTCCAATGCTTCCAGGCTACAATGCTTTATGGGTGACCAAGCACCTTGTGACCCTCAATGCTGGCTGGCATGCCCTCCAGTCTTCTGAGTAATGTTCATGCAGCGCAAATCTCTGCTTCTACACTTGGCCTTGAGGTGAATTGTCACCGCCGTGGGCCTCAATGCCAGCTGTGCGCTCCTGGCTATCCCTGCTGACTGTTGCCTGTTTGCATGCATGCTACAATCCATTTTTTTGTGTAAATACTACATTTTAAAGACCTTTTGGGAGCCACCTGAGGCTAATCTGTCTTGTAGGCAGTCTGTCACTGCCCAACTACATATCACAAACTTCTTAAGCGTCTGCGTTCCATGAAAACAATAATTGTTTCCAGATAATTATCAAAATTGTACTAGCACTCTGCTCTCCAGCCTTTTGGGCTGACATCCTGTCGCCATGGGCAGTTCAACTTTAATTAATCTACCAAACTACGCTGAGAGTCCTTGATTCAGCGCTCACCACATTTTTTTGCCAATTTCTTGGGGGGGTGGGCATTTTGTCAGGGCACACATTCCCAGCTTGTGGTAGAGACCACATGCATGCCAGCAGCGAGTCTGCATGACCCGGCAGTAAGACTCCCCTGGAAGAGCTATCACCTTGTTTTCCAGAACATTCTCCTGGCTTGAGAGAAGATCTGTCAGGAGGAACACATGCCGTGTGTTGTGGGCATGAAGCTAACGCATACAAGGGCTCCTTGCGAAAATCTAGCACTCCTGCCTCGCATTCATGTTTGACTCTGCTCGCAGATGCTGTGCCAATCTTGCTGCGCCTGATCTTCCACAAGAACTTCAATCCTGGGCCTTTCAAGCTCGGCCGAGCACAGCCGCTCATCAATGTAATCGCCATTTCTTGGCTCACATTCAGTGTGGTAAGTGGCGCAGCTCTCCTCCCTGACTCTAGATGCTCAAACTAAACCCAAAACCCAGCATGCGCTGCTCAGTATGTTTTATTGACACATGTGGCAGAATCCTTTGTTTTTTGTTATTCTTTCCAACATGTGCAGCTAAATATCCAGATCCCGTATACAGTATTTCTTGCGCACCTATTTTGCTCTCCATGCCTTTTTTTGGAGCACGCATATGCGTCTGATATCCTCCCTTGTATCTGCCCATTTCGTCTCTACAAATGAGAAAGCACGATCTCGAATCCTCTGAAAATGCCCTGATCTTGGTGCACCCCATTTAGCTTTGTGACAGCTCACACAGATAGGTAGCTCTAAGGTAGCTAGCTGTGCGCAGGTGTGTTTTGCGCTGCCGACGATCTACCCCGTGGACGTGACAACGCTGAACTGGACGCCGGTTATGCTGGGGTTAGTCATCGTGGGGGTGCTCATTTCATGGTACCTGCCACGCTGCGGCGCTCGGCACTGGTATCACGGCAAGGCACACACGCTGGAGGACGCCAATGTGGTGAGCCCCTTTCCTGGGTATTTAGGTTACATTGGGTTTGTTTGGGGTAATTGGGGTAGTTAAGAAATGCATTGGTACATTTTAATTTTTCTTTGAACAAGTGGGAGCACCCGTGGGCGGGCACGAGGTCATACGCGAACTCCCCTCCAAACACCATTCACATTACGCAATGGGCATTCTACACATTCTCACGATCCACTACAGTTCCGATATGTACTCATATCTCAGTTCTCAGCACTCCCTGATGTTCACAGAAGTCGCAAGCCCGTAAAGCCAATCGCCAGGGAGATATTTAGAGATAATCTAGGGCCAAAAACGGGGCAATCACCCGGAAAGGCCTCTAAACTGCGCCTCGCGTTCCGTTTATGTGCCGTGGCCGCCTCACGAGCAGCCACATGGCATAGGGAAGGGGCAAAAGATAGAGATAATCCGTACCAGGTTGACCGATCGTAAAGGACATTCGCCTTATGGCGAATGACCAAAAATGTGTATCATTATTATCTCATGCTTTTCCTGCCAGAAGCACGGAGCGTTTGCAGGCAAGCTGCGAGTAAGGACTGTCACATGTCCTACTCCTTGTTGGCCTTGCCAGATCCAATCTAGACCCAGTCAAGTGGGTCTACTAATTGCTATTAATGGGGTGATTGGGGTAACTAAGAACTGCGTAGCCAGCGGAGTGTAGCTTGTCTGAAGCAATCGTGCTGAAATCCCCGAGGCCTTTGAGGCAAACACTGTAGTAGATTGCAGTGTGTTGGGCTATGTCCTCTGGTGTCAAGGCGCCCAGTTGTATTGAGCTATAGAAAGCATGAATGCCATGCGCCTGCTTGGCAGCACATTTCTGAGAGCATGCACAAGAGGGAGACTGAGCATGCAGCTAGTGGCTCTGCAATGTGTGTTTAGCAAAGTAGCTTGTGGCCGCAGCACTTGCAGACATTCTGTGATGGGCTGGGTGCGGTGAGCAGAGTTGGCAGCCCTTAAATTGGTCAGTTGTGAAGGAACTCTCAATAAGCTTATTAAGGGCCCTTAATATGTCTGACCGGCAAATTGACTGCAATCTGGGCATTTAACCCTTTTCTACCAGGGTTGTTAAGGATTTTTACTGAAATGAATTACTGAGCAACTCTGATTCAGGCTTTAAATATTAATTGCTTACCCTGGCTGTGAGTACAGAGGGGAGGAGGGCGCTACATGCATGGAGCTGGTAGCTTTGGGGTGGGCCAGCCGCAGGAGAAAAGGCTGACCCTTTTAGATCTGGTGGAGGGACTTAAGCAGGGGTCTTCACAGGCGCTCAAGGCTTTGGAGATCACAAGATCAGGTAAGACAGCTGTTCAGGCCCAAATTATGAAAGGCCACCGTGCATCGTTTCACAGGGCAGGAAAGTCTTGTGCAGACTCTCAGGGATCTTCTAGAAGCTGTACGCCAAGGATCCGGCTCAGAAAGACTTATGTGCCTTGTATGCTGGCAAAGGTTTGGAAGTTTCTTGTCCATTGCAGGGGGATTGGATAAAGATTTCAAGATCGCGAGGCTGCACGGCAAGGGCCTGGCGGTTGCCGGGCAGCTGCCGGGGAAGCCGGCGGGAAGCTACGCGCATCTGATCGGGCCTAATCAGACTCTCTCGGATGACGCGTTGCGCTCGGCGGCCTGGGGTGTTCCCCCGTCCCGGCAGCTGCCGCCGTTAAGAAAGGCGCTGGGCCATTCAAATTCTAATTCGAATTTGACCCAAAGGGCGGCAAGCGAATGTACTGATGAGTGATCATCCGCCTAGCGTCCACCTGAATTTGCAACACACAGCTACAGACCCCTGCATCAAGAAGTGCGGCAGTGGGATCGCAACCAGAGGGTATCCAGGAGCGCTCATTTCAGGGGAGCCTTGCCGTGGGGAAGTATCAAGCGCTAAATAATCTGGCACGGGCCAGCCAGCAGGCAGCCTAGCAGATTGGCCCGAGCTGTGCGGTGCACTTGGCATTCTACTGCCTGGCAACCAGTGTCCCAATTTTGACCGGCCTGCAACAGTTTTGTTCAGGCCGGTGACAGGGACTGTGCCGCGGTTGAGAGGCAGCACAGCTCAGATCAGATCTTTAGGGGCAATAAAACGCACAGGCAGGCGGGGAGGCACATTCTAGCATAGAACTTGAGTCCGGTCCGGCTGCGGCCGAGGCATGCGTGCAGGTCTGCATGCAAGTCTTGGCGGCCTTGTCTCATGTCAGTTTCTGTCTTCAATCCCTCTTTCAAAGCCTTCCTGCGCTGCATGTGTCAAAGATCCGGTGCACAGAGGTGTCCTTACCTGCTGCAATGAGCAGCATTTTCTGCGCAAGGGAGGGAGGAAAAGGGATTCAGTTCAGTTTGGAAAGTAGAAAGGGCACAGTGGTTTTGCGGCTTGTCTTGGCAGTCTTGACAGGGGCAGAAACTCAGCCATTGTCAAGTTGATGCCAGACTAGGAATAAAGACATTCACTATCATATGGGCCAGCCGAGAGTCGGCCGGCAGCGGCTCATTATGAGCATGCATGGCACGTTTGAGTCCCCTTTTGTGGGTGATTGCTCCAGGGCCAATTGGGCAAGGAAACGCCCCCATCACTGCTGACATTTGTGTAGCTACTTGCTCCATTGTGAGGCCCAAGCAGACGATGTACCTTGTTGCATCAGCAAACCTGCTCAGTCTGACCGTACCTGCTCTGAAGGCTTTCTGCCTTGGGTAATCTGCAGTCTAGCACAGGCCGTTTGTTGCTTTAGATCCCCAACAAGCTCACCAAGTTCACAGTGTCCATCTACCTGTGTATATGCGAGCTCCTTCACAAGCTGGCTATCGTGCTTTTAAGAGAGCTCGAGGCACTTGGACTGTAGCAAAGCTTGGAGCGACCTATTTCAAGGCTTGGCCTTGCAGCATCTAGATCCCAAATTTTAGATAATGAGATCTTGGACTTGAGCTGTGCCGATCTCGAGGTGCACGAGAGTGTGCATGGCTCCAGCTAAGAGAACCTGTTTTCTGCTTTATTTGAGAGGACCAAGACATTGCAAGAGCTGATCATGTTCAAGCTTCCGCAATGTAATTTGGGTGGCCGGCCTATGCTTGTTAGAAAGCCGGGTCCGTGCTTAGTTACTTTGCCAACGTAGAATTGGCACACAGCGCAGAAGCTCACACCTTGAGATCATGTGGATATCAAGGTTCCCTTCTGCGCTGCAGACCGTTTGGCAAGCATAGACATGGGAATACTCCTTGGGAAGCTGTCCTAATGAGTACTGGATTATGCGCAGGATATGCCCTGGCTTACCACTAGTGTTGGCAGCCAAGTAGACTTCTTAGCAGCACTCTATGATCAGTGTCTGGTATTTATAATTGTTGATGCACAGCACTTCAGGTCTGGCTTGTCTTATACGTCCTGGGATCCTTGAATGTATTTTCTGCCCTGGGGATTCTTCTGCGTCTGTTCTAGTCTGTGTGTGTTCCGCCGTGAAGGTCGTAAAATAGTGCCACTTCACCTTTGCGGGGGGTGTTATGAACGAATAGGAACACAACATATCCTTGGAAGAATTTCTATCCCAAACTACTGCAGAATGCCATGCATTTGCTCCAGCTTTCACGTTGTCCTCAGATCTGCAATGCTGGCTCACGCCTGCCCGGTGCCACAGCGATCTGATCTCGCCTTTGTTGCAGAGATCAACACTAGTCTAGTGTCCCAAGAGAGATGCTTGATTGTGACAAAGGTTCAACTTTCCGATCGGACAGAAAATTCAAATGCTGATCAGCTCAGCAGCTCCTGGACGGATGATGGTTGTCCCAATCAATTGACGACTCTCATGATCAGGGACAGCATTTTGATAAAGAAAGAGCGCAACAGCAACTCTACATCAGAGAATTCTGCAGTGGATGGAAGGAAGGAAGTGTACGAGTGTACTGCATGCATTTTGGAGGCGATGAGTCATCGCCTCAACGTCATCTGCGATAATCCCTGTCTTGTTTCCTCCCCAATTCAGACATGCCTCTTGAGGCTGATCGGCGGCTCTGGATGCGTGCAAAGAGGCCTTGTGATTTCTGATGGCAGTATGAGAGCATTCCCTGACCTGTGCAGCAGCCTTTTACACAGTACCCGTTTGTTTCCGTTATTGGGGTTGTGGGGAGCAGGCCAGTTTAGCATCAAACCCTGCTCAGATGTGTAACCATAGCGCGCAAGAATGCAAAAGGGGCATGTTTCCCACAATTCAGTGCCTCGAAAATTGATATGCAAGTCTCCGCACGGCACCGCCAGGGTGACATCCGCTTGTGGACTTAGAAGCCTGGCCAAGACAAGTCTTTTAGGGATTTCTGGAAGCGAAGGAGCCATCGAGGCGTTGCTGGGCAGTTATATTGGACTGTTACTCATGGCCTCGTATTGAGCAACCGGTTCGCACGATGAGCGTCGGGAGTGCAGAGCTCGACGTCCTGGAAGGAGAAAGAGCAGTGAAAGATGTGGAGCTGGATGGGCATCCACTTGACAGTGGACAGAGGAGGCTGGAAGAGCTGGGCTACAAGCAGGAACTTCGGAGGGAGTTCGGCATCCTGAGTAGCACATGTGCAGGCTTTGCCTCCACATCCTTCCTTCTGACTATCACAGGTGCGCCAGTCCATGCTCATAGCTATCACCTTCTTCCTCTTTCCCCACCCCTTTCGACAGCACCAACTCCTGTCAAGCTCTCAGCCGTCTTCGCGCGGAGTCATGCATACACTGCTCTGCAGATCTGACCCTGGAATCTGTAGGAAGGCTTTGCCTGCATATGATGCCGCTCAGCAAGCAGTGCAGCGCAGCCGTAACTTTACTTTTATGCAGACCTATCCCTGAAGTGCATGCTGCATGTGCGCAGGCCTGATGCCCATCGCATATGTGAATGGCGGACCTGTGGCGGCAGTATGGGGGTGGGTCATGGTGTCAGTCTTCACCATGCTCATGGCTCTATCAATGGCGGAGATTGCCTCTGCCTACCCTCTTGCGGGTGGCCCTTACTTCTGGTGATTCCCCGTCTTGTGTGCAATGCTGCGTGCAATGCTGCGTGACACAAGCCTGGGCAGTCCTGCGCGAGTTGCTGAGCTCTTCACCTATGCAGCAATAGCCCTGAGAGATACATGTCTAGCCAGCTGAATGTCTTTTAACCATGCATGGTAGCTTGACACTCCATCTTTGTCTCGCTGCACCTCGCAAGATTGCAAGGAATCATACTTCCCATCGATATTGCACCTCGAACAGAGTTTCTAAATAAGTTGATGTTCTGATGCAGGTGTGTGGAGCTGACCAAGAATGACCCACGCTACACCTTGGTGGCATGGGTCACAGGTGAGCTGACTCCTTCTTCCGTCCAGCACCTTGTCATGCGCTAGCAGGGTCCCATTGACAGCTCCATCCATATGCAATGCAAAGCGTGGGCACGGGAGCTCTAGAGAAAGACACACACAGCAGCAGCTGGTGCACCACCGATGGTCCCCAATGCTTTTTATGGAGGCAGAGATGCGGGCAGCAATTATGTGATGATTAGTGACAGCTGTGCATGTGCCGGGAGCAGGCTGGCTGAACGTGCTGGGCCAGGTGGCGGCCACTGCAGGTGCAGCATCCACAGCAGCTAGCCACCTGGGCTCCATGTGGATGCTGTCCAATGGACATGTCTTCACCCAGTTCGAGCTCTTCCTCACCTATGCTTGTGCGCTTCCTGCCCCACTTCCATATTTCCCAGATGGATACACAGCAGGCAGCAAGTCGGCAGTCCAGGAACTCATTCAAGCTTGTTTCTCTGAAGCAGACAAGGCAGCATTCAGCACTGTATCCTATATTTGGAAGCTGTGCATGCAGCTGCCCACATTGTTTGCATGCAACTTCAAGCATGCTTCGTACATGTTCAGAATTTGTTTGGCAGTGTTTGTGAGGAAGGAGGAAATGTGGGTTATGCAGCAATTGGCTACGAGGACCTGTTAGTGCACAGCGGGGGCAGCACATTGCATTTAGGGCAACGTTTGCATAGCAGCGGAATCGTGGGCGTTGATGCTAAGCGCTGCTGCAGTGTTTCTGCCGGTTACTGCACGGGCTTGTTGTCCACATGTATGTTGGCGCAAGACGCATGCAGGGTGACACATTCTCAGTAATCTCTTAGCAACTGCTAAATGATCACCTCGGGTTGCAGTGATCATGCTGGTGGCGGGCGTGCTGAGTTCTACAACGACCAATGGCATCAGAGGATTCACGCTATTCTCTGGCGCTGTGTTGGCCTTTGGGGGACTCTTCCTCATTGTTTTCCTGCCTGCGGCAGCCCCAGCACATCAGAGCGCAACCTTCGTGTTCACCTACTTCCGCGATACTGACCAGATCGACCTCGGCCTGCCCAGCACAGCGTGAGCCCTACACGCCCCTTGCATTTCTGTGTGTGGAAGATCATTGCTCAAATAGATCCTGGCAGCATTGTCCCCTGTGCACTACTGCCTTGGCATGTGCTCATCTGCGTATGAGTATGCCCGCATGTCACGCTATTCACAAGCTCCCCGGTTTCATCTGCGAGTGGTATAGGCAGACCTGGCAACAGCAACAACTTTCTGGGGTTTTCCACTCATCCTGTGCGGTCTTCTGACCTCTGTGGCACTATGTTTGCATGCCTTGTGGGCTAGTGCAATGCCTTGAGCATGCATATTGTGCAGATAAGTACTAGTTTCACCTGTGTTTCAGGTATTTGTTCTTGATGGGGATGCTGCTGAGCGAGTTTGGCTTCATCGGATATGAAGCGTGCGTTTCTCCCGAGGATCAAGACAGCCTTACCTGTTTGTCATCACAAATAAAGAGCTGTGCACTGTGCTTGCCTGTCTTTGCATGCTGTATTGTGCATCCTACATTCTCTCACATTGGAAAACTATAAACAGCACTGCTGCGCACATTGTGGGCGGATCTGCATGCTTCACACCTCTCTCATATGACATGGGAGAGAGGGCCAGTTCTGCGCATTCAGTGTCCTGATGCAGATTTTAGCAAAGAGCGCTGGTCTTGACCCGATTTCTCCATGCTTGCAGGCCTGCACAGTTTGCCGAAGAGACAAAGTCGGCAGACAGGATTGTTCCTTGGGGAATAGTCAACACGACAGCTCTGAATGGCACGTTTGGGCTAGCCTACATTGTGGCAATCCTCTTCTGCATCCAGGTGAGGGAAACACTACACGGACTGTCTTACATATCTTTCAATCTGCACTGGGGCACTCTTGTTCTTTGCATTTGTTATGCGCATGTGCATACGACAACTGGAGCCAAATTCTGACACCAACAGCCGCATGGCTGCTGCATCAGAATAGCTGTGCACATGCGCAAATAACTCTCGCTCCTTACTTCAAACATCCTGCGCTGTGGCAGCTGCATGCACTGTGAAGATTTCTGCAGAGCGCCCTCACGCCAATGTCTTTGCATCGTTTTGCTAGGGATCTTGTTGCTAACTGCTGATGGGCCTTGATCTCTGCTGTCTGTGCAGGAACCGGACGAGCTGCTGCAAGGGAATGCAGGAGGGAACGTGGTGGCACAGGTGTTCTGGGATATTTTTGAGGTACTAGTCCTGCTTTAGCCCATCTTGAGCTTGCCTGTATGCTTCTTGCATGCAGCCTTCCACAGACTTTCCTCTACCTCAGACACGGGCGGACTGTGATGCAAAAGCTGAAAATGACAAGGCTGTCATGTCTGCGCAGAAGCGGTTTGGGTATGGGCAAGGAGCGCTTATAATCATGGCTCTTCCACTGGTGGCAATGCTGAATGCCACGGTCATGAGCATGGCTGCAAACACAAGGTGAGACATGTTACATCCCCTTTTATCATTGCCTGCCTACAAGAATGCTGGCTGTGACAAGCTGCAATCAGCTGTACAGTGCATTCACTTCTGCCACTGCATGAATGTGTGCGTCAGAGGCTTTATTTGCATCTGCATATGTCATGCCAGCAGCTCGCAGTGGCATTGTGCACCGGTTGCATGCAAAGCGAGCCACCCACTCATGTCATACAATGTCATGTCTTGATGCCATGCACACAACGCCCTCCATGCAAGCCTCATGAGAATATCTCTCGCAATGGTGATGTTCGCCTGACATTTACAGGATGCTGTGGTCATTCTCGCGGGACGGCGGAGTGCCCTTGTACCGGGTGTGGGCGGCAGTGAATAAGTACACAGGAACGCCCCTGAATGCCACGTGGGCCATGTCTGCTCTGGCGTTCCTGATTGGCCTCCCCATGCTGCTCTCCAACACAGCATTCATCGCCACTGGAGCCCTGTCATCTGTCGGCCTCTATGTCAGCTGTGAGTGCTCTGCTCTCCTCTGCTGCAATGCTACCTTGTCCCTTCCTGCTTCGCCCTGCTATTGCTTAGCTGATGCTCTGCTTTGCTTTGCTCGCTTTGCTCTGCTTTGCTCGTGCTCTGCCATTGCTCATCTGCTGCTGTGGTTTGCTTCGGTGATGCTCTGGCACTTCCATTTTCTGACAACACTTGTATATCATATGCAGTCCATGGGCGTGGCTTGCTGCGCGGTGTGCATGACATTTGATGCAGCATTCCGTTGTCTGTAAGAGGCAAACAAAGGTGACTAAGGTTTGTCTTTCTTTCTCCCAATGCAGATGCCATCCCCATTGTGCTGCGGGTGGTCTTCAGAGAAAACTTCACGCCCGGGCCTTTCAGGCTGGGAGCGCTTCAGCCTGCTGTGAATGTCTTGGCTGTCTTCTGGACGGGTGTAGGCACGGTGAGTCACTCCTACACTGGCCTCCTTGTCCGCTTGTGTCACGGCTCTCGATGCATACTCGCTCATTTCCCATCATAATAAACAGACTAAAACACAGCTTTTCATCTGCTCAGATCAAATTTAATAGCATTGAGGACTTTGTAATTCTCTGATATAAAGCATAGGTGGTCCCGCATGCATTGCTTTGGCTTGCAGCTGTCTTCCCTACTGTACCCTCTCTATGGCATTGTTGTACGGACCAGGCAGGTTGAAACTCTTCCTGGGAAAGCGCTCTCAGGCAACTTTGTGTGCATTGATCAGGCATGCTTCCTGCTGCCAACGTCCTACCCGGTGACAGATGCAAACCTGAACTGGACGCCAGTGACCGTGGGCATAGTAATGGCGGCTGTGCTGGTTGCATGGTACCTGCCAAAATACGGGGCGGCCACGTGGTACCGCGGCAAGTCGCACACTCTGCCGGACAAAGTCATTGTGAGTCTCTCCCTCTCTTGCACGTCAGCTTCAAAAAATTGAGCGGCACTGGCCGAATCTGCTATGCTGGCGTGAGCAATTTTGTGTATTGCTCATGCCCCCCACAATGCATCGGTATCAAAGAATCAGAGTGCAAAACCAAGAAGTAAGGATATTACACTCATGAGGCACGTGCATATACTCCTCGTACTGCATATATGAACTTGTGACTCACCTGCATGGGTTACAATGTCTGTGCTCCCTCAAAATTTCGTACTTCAATGAGCGCATTTGGTCTCTCTGTGCAGAGGGGCGGGGGCCGTTATTCCGAAGGCGGCGACGGCACCGGGGTGGGTCGTCCAATGGAGAAACTGATGCTGCTTGATTTGCTGGAGCACGTCAAAGCAAAGGAATCCCACACCACAAACTTCACCGTGACCTTTTCGCCCGAGCCCAACCTGTACAGGACCTCGAGGGCCGCGCGTGAAAACGGGGGGCTCGAAACTATAGGGCCGGGGCCGGAGGCAACGCCGTCGCACTGCTGCCCCGCGCCGGGCAGCTCCACGCGCCCACTCGGGCAGCCGGGCCGGCCGCCCGTGCCGGGGGCGCGAAAGGGGCGTTCGCCGAACAAGAGCCGCATGCCTTGGCTCGCCGACGTGCCGGAGAGCAGTAGCTCACAGGAAGTTGATGAGCCTGCCAAGGGGTTTGATGCAAAACAGGGGGTAAAATAATGGCAGCGCCTGATCTGGACGCCGCTACTGTTGCCTGATCTGGTGGCGGCAGCGGCAGCGGGCCACTTTAGGCAGCCTCAGCAGAGCGGGCGCCAAATTGGGCTGCGCATGCCAGTGTAGGGAATGCCTGCACACATGCGGATATGAGTCAGCCTGTTCAGGCCTGATGACTCGTCGGCCAGGCGTGGGACCTATTCAGTTGACTTCAGCGTATAATGAGGGCCTCAAATTGAGATTGGGCTGAAATTGGTGGGTTGCATTTTTCAACCAAAGGGTGTTCTTTTTATGCCCGGGGTGCTTTCTTGGCATGCCTGTACTGCACCGTTTCTGCATTGCAATTGCCTACTGAGCGAGTTATCAGGCAAGCATGCACAGTAAGAGTTGCTAATGTTTCTCTGCTGCAGTCCAAATGAATCAGATTGATATCGACAGAGGATAATTTTCCCTTCGAAATTCTCCCTGGGGCATAAAAGTTGCATCAGGGGCTCAGCAGGGGTTTGCCCAGTTTCTGGTGCACCTTCTCCATTGATGGTCAGGCCTCCGAGTCTGAGACATGACAGGAATATTCTGATATTCCTGTGAAACAGGTACTGAGACTTTTGGAACACCGTGCAAAAAATTGGCAGTCTTTTGTGTCTGACTTAGGTTCTCGTTTCTGCTGCTGCTGCCAGCAGAAGTGAGGCTGAGTGTTTTGACTTTGCGGTCCTGCAAGCAAGTAAAACCTTCAGCCCTGCCGCTCTGATCTGCTAGACACTGCTAGCCATTCGGACTGAGTGTCATGAGACGCACCCATGATGTGAACATCTGAAGGTGAGCAGGGTGTCATATTTTTGCATTGCATCAGACGTTGAATAAGCTCGCGCGACCGAGGGCTCAAGTGCATGCACATCTACAGCTGTGCAGCTGCTTCTGCGTTACTTGAGTATCGCTGAGGTGTTATGAACTGCAATGATTTGCAGGATTGCTTCGAGCTTGCAGGGCTGAAAAGTGATCTTATTCAGCGGGTCTTTCTAATTTGTTTGCAATAGCCTAACATCAGTGTGCATGCCTCCTGATCAATGGCAATTGCCACATTGTCACGGGGCATTGCAACTGTGGGAGAATGGACAGGCCTGAGAACTTCTGTTGGGATGTAAAATTTGATCGAGAAGATCAAGTGCATAAGGTGAAAGAGTATCTAAGTGTTGAACAGCTCATGCTGATGCCAATGGCATGCCAATGGCACTCCATTTTCATAGCATGATAACGTTCAGGCTTTGCATAGCTATGCATAGCAGCACCTATTCCTTATGTGTGGGCTTGGGATTTCCACTGGCATTGACCACCCTGCTTCCCAAAGAAGAAGAAGAAGAAGAAGGAGATTACATCTTTCCATCCGTCTAGGGCTGACTCGATGAACCGACACTGCCCGCATTGGCATTCAAAACAGCAAAACTATCTTGTATAAACTTTGGCAACCTGGAAAACATCAGCCTGCCACATCAAATCCTTCATGGAAAAGGGAAAATCAAATTCAAATCCAAATCCAAACCCTTCTAGGGTAAACAGGCTCGTACAAGAAGAGTTCAAGCAGGAAGTTCAACTTACCAGAATCCCGATTGAGTCGAGCGTTCATGCTCCGATGGTATCTTGTTGATCTCATGATACGACGGAATTACCTCATTTGTAGCTCTGCAATTGGACGTGCGCTTGTGGACTCGGTCCGTCATAGTAGGAAACATCTATACCTCCACGGTGCAACTTTATAGGGTGCAGGTGATTATTTATTTTTTTAATCATCCCTGTGAGCTTGTAACACAACACAGTGGGGAATAAGGGTGCACCCGAAGAGGGATCCTCGACACCCCGGCCCCGGGTGCGGGCACGCTTAAGGTGCTGGACATCTAGACTCTAGCAAGGTACCGTGAAATTTGCATGCAAACAGATCGATCCTTACTCAATATCAGAGTTGATGAGGAGCGTTAGAAACAAGAAAGAGCACAGCAGCCGTTGCCAACTCTCCAACTGGACTTCGCGTAGGCAGGGATGTTACCACAAAGGCGAGCATGGAGCACCTTATCAGCATCCACGGCTATGGAATAAACCAGCGCAGCATAGAATGACGGGATCTGTAACCAGTCAGGGCAGAAAAAATGGTCCCTCAGTCGGGAGCGAGAACAACTCCCAAGGCAGCTACCAATCGTGCAAAGAGCTTGCAAAGTTGTCAGCGTCCTCAAAGGCAGATGTTGAAGCTCTCAGCAAAGACAGCGGACAGGTTCGATTGGAGGAGCTTGGATACAGGCAGGAGCTACGACGAGAGTTTGGGCTCCTCACAAGCACGGCAGCAGGCTTTGCTGTTATGTCCTACATGCTGGGCATCACAGGTGCGCAGCCCTGGCCTCAAAATCTGCATATTTTGTTCTTATTTAGCTGCACAATGCCCCAGCACCTTTCCTCATGCCAGCAGTGTTTCTGAAAGCTCCAGGCTTTCACCATCTGCCCAGATCCCCCTTACTCCCTGTGCTTGCTCATGCTTTAAGGCAGGGGACTCTAGAAGAGCTAGATTAATGTCAAGTGCTAACATGAGGCAAGAGCATTGGTGCCATGGCATAAATAATATTTGCCTCGAAACAAGCCCCAAGCTCCGTCGCGCATGTGCGACTCGTTGTCAAATCTCAGGTGCAACGCAGGAGGTCTGCCAATATCTTATGTGAACGGAGGGCCGCTGTCGGCTATATGGGGATGGGTCTCGGTCTCAATTGCCAACATTCTGGTTGGACTGTCCGTGGCCGAGCTGGCCTCTTCCTACCCACTGGCAGGCGGGCCTTACTTCTGGTAAAGGACCCTCCGCATGTATTGAAAACATCCCTGAATGCCTTACTAACGGGTGCTTTGTCGAGCCTGTGCATTCCCTCCGCTCGTCTGATTGGTTTACTGACGGCCCCACCTGGATCCCAGCATGTATCTTACATCCGTCTGGCTCTCCAGCAAAACAGTTCCACAGCGTTTGGTCACCTGAGAACCTTTTGAGAGCCTCCTGAGATTTTTCTTCTGGGGGTATTTGTGAGGGGCAGACACCTTGATTATATGCTCGAGCAAGTGAAAACCACCCGTCTCTCCTTTAATTTTGATGAATAGAGATTGTTCTGCTACTTGTGAGGCTTCCAGTTCAGGGCGCACGAATCTGAGCCCCAAACCACAGGAGCTTGAGGTTCTACCTAATTGTGCGAGCTACCCGGCAGGTAGATCCAAGGGTTTGACTCATTCCCCTGCTGCCCTGTACAGGGTTGTGGAGCTGACAGGCAACAATCCCAAATGGGGCCTGCTAGCCTTCCTCACAGGTGACTAACCGCTTATGTGGCCCCGCAATAGCCCTTAGCCCCGGCTGGCGGGGGGCGGTGCAAATACTGAGCACGGTGCCCATGGTTGATTCGGTGTGAATTTGTTTAAGCCCAAAAGATAAGATACTGCTGTGTGGAGTGCAGGCACATGCATGTGGAAGGGATGTTTGTGACAATTGAAAGGGGAATGATGCTCACCTCCCCATGGGGCGTTCTCATTCAGACACTGACGCGCGGGCATGTGCGTGCATGCTTGCAGGCTGGCTGAATGTGCTGGGCCAGTTTGCGGCCACGTCTGGGGCCGGCTTCCTGGCAGCTGGCCTGGTGGATGACATATGGGGCATGGTGCGCCAGGGAGATGACCTAACACGCCAAGAAACCCTCCTCGTTTACTCAAGTGCGCACCCTGCGTGCAATTTTGAGACCAGTCTCAGCATGCTAGGATGCCACTAGCTGGGATGTCACTAGCTAGAAAGTCACTGACTGGGATGCCACTATCTGATCGATGAGTGATTCACAAGTGAAAATGACAAGTGGGCATACGCTGACTTGGTTGCTGCAATCTCTAGTGATGGCAAGGCTAACATTCGTTTTATACCTAAAACATTAGAGCAGATGTACTGGCGAGCCGACCAATATGGTTGTCAATCACAATATTCCTGCATGAGTCACGGAGTTGGCTTGGAGACATTTCCTATGTCAGCGGTGGCTGCTGCAAAGACTGCCTACAAATTGCCTTTTGACTTCAAAGTGCAAATAAATTATTTTATTCGATCGTCTGACGCTCAAACTCCATCTTTGAAAGTCAACTTCGTAAAGTTCTCATTTGGCGTGTTGCTTGTGTGATCGCAGTCTGCCTGTTGCTGGCGGGCGGGGTGAGTTCAATGCCCACGAGGGGGATCCAGTGGTTCACCCTTTACGCGGCCGGCTTCTCGGCAGCGGCAGGCCTCCTCATCACAATCATGCTGCCCATCGTGGCGGTCAATAAGCAGCCCGCCAGTTTTGTCTTCCTGACATTCCATGGAGACAACCATCCAAACACCGGGATAGACACCGGATCACCACACGACTTGTGAGATTCTCCCCTGACACTTGCCAGTTCCCCCCCCGTCAGTGCCATGATCATGATTGCTGCATGTGATATGCCAATATGCATGCAGCATGCTGGCAAGGCCTCCTTTTGCATGCCCAGTTGCCCATGTCTTTGGATGTTGTTTGTCCCATCAGGTTCAAGAGTTTATCGTTGTCAGTGGCAGCTTTGTGGCATGCTGGGGGTATTGTCATTATTTAGTCATCCTGCTTTTTCATCCGTACTAAAAAGCAAAGCGTGCCTGACATGACGAATGCGGCACAGTGTGTTTGGAATGAAGTGCTGCATGTGATGTCATGTGTGTTTGCCTGCGCAGTTACACCTTCCTGCTCGGGACCCTGTGCGCCCACTTCACATTTGTGGGCCTGGAAACGTGAGCCGCCACTCCTGCCTTTTCATTGCAAGAATATCTGCCTTGTCTGTGCTTGCTTAACAGGAAATGCTTCTAATGTGCAGTTCGAGCCCTGTCAAGCTGCTGGGCTTCAGAAAAAAATGACCCATTTTACAGAGCTGAAAGTTTTGCACGCCCTTTATAAGAGTTGTTGCTTTGCCTGATCACATGCAGCTCTCTTTCCAGTCAAATATTACCCCAACAGCGGCTTCATAACTGCCAGTTGCTGCAGGATGAGAATCTGCAAACATGTCGGCCGCAATGGCTGAATATGTTTCTAAGGTGTTTTCTGTGTTGCAGGCCGGCACAGTTTGCAGAAGAGACCAAGCGAGCTGACCACAACACGCCAAAGGCAATTGTGATCTCCATTGTGGCCACATCTGTTCTGGGACTGGCCTACTTGATCTCCATCCTCTTCTGCATAGAGGCACGCACCCGCATTGCACCTCCCTCTATTTCCCGCTGTTCTGGTGCTGGGTTACTGGGTAGAGCTTGTTTTGTGATTTGTCACTACCCGGCCCTTTTGAGGTGGCAAGAGAGCAGGACACAAGTTGAAGGTCTGGCAGTGCATGCCAGTGTATAGGCACTTCAATTTCTGAGCCTCATACTTATTGCACAAAATCTGGCATTTCAGTGGCTTGACTCTTAGTTCTGGGCTCTCATTGCCGAGGGTGAAATGCAATAGGCACCAGATTCATGCGCACCCCGCATTACATAATGGCATTAGTAGCTGTTGACTGCTGGGCGCTGGCTGATACAACCCTGCGGACTACATTATTCACCGTGGCATTACTTCATGCATTACTAGTTGTTGACTGTTGGGCGCTGGCTGACGCAATAGTGCGGACTACATTAGTCACCGTGGCATTGCTTAATGCATTAGAAGTTGTTGACTGTTGGGTGCTGGCTGACGGATGGTAAATGGTGCAGCAGCCAGACCTGGTCCTCTATGGCATCGTGGACGGCAACATCACCGGCCAAGTCTTCTTCGACGTGTTCAAGGTGCGCAATGTTCGAGTCGTATCAGCATCACATGTGATCTCAGGGATCTCTGCTGCAAGCTGTAGGAATACTTCGCTGCCAGAACCCCGATATGACTGTGTCAAATACGTGTCCACGCATGACTGCATAGCATGTGGAAGAGAACTAGCAGGATGGGCCTAGACTGTCAGGCCGTGTCTCAGTGTCCAACGGGTAAGGATGCTTTGAATGTACAGAGCTGATTGCTCCACGCTGGAAGGTCAGGATTTGCAGAAAGAAATTAAAGACGCATGCTCAAAGATTTTCACTTGCAGTCTGAGGAGAGAAGCCTCTAAAGTTGCAGGGCTTCTGATGCAGTGATTACAGACGCAAACCGTGAAGCTGTCTCATGTTGTTGGTTTGAGTGCATGCATACTGATGCAGTGTGTGCTGCTGTGGTGCAGTCGAGGTTTGGCAGTGGGGAGGGGGGTATAGTGCTGCTGTCTCTGGTCTTCTTGGCGGTCTTCAACACCACTGTCATGTGTATGGTCACCAACTCGAGGTAGGGCACTCCTCTCAGTCATGCACCCCAAAAGATGCTTGTGCCGCAGCACTTTTGCTGGCAGCAAGGGGCTCTGCCTCTACGGAAAGATGGAAGCTGCTGTGCAGCATCCAAGCAGCATACATAGAAAATAATGAAAGTAAATTTAGCGGAGACCTTGCGTTGCATGGCATGGCGTGCACTTTCATTGCATTTCCATCAAGCAAGGTACTTCATCTGCACCTTGAAATCTGGGGAGTGTCGGATTTCTCCATAATCGAGTATACGTGTCAATCTGAGACGCAGCCATAGTAGGAAGACTTCATCTGCATGTGACAAAGGGAATATTGCGAGCAAGAGAAAGATACTCGACACATACAATGTTCTCCCAGGGCGCTAGTCGCCTTTCGCAGGACCTGATGCAAACTGCCATTTTACAGAGAGGATGAGCTCTGCAGACATACCGACAATCACACAAGCTCGACAGTAAGACATGAGCTGCACGCGCAAACAAGAGAAAGACACCTGACGCATGCGACTTCTCTTGCAGGATGCTGTGGGCGTTCTCGCGGGACGGAGGCGTTCCCTTGTACCAGGCCTGGGAGGCGATAGAGCCCAAGACAGGGACCCCCCTGTGCGCCACATGGGCCATGACTGCAATGGCTTTCCTAATCGGGCTCCCCATGCTTCACTCCAACGAAGCCTTTGATGCAATCGCGTCGATCTGCGCCGCCGCCCTCTACCTCTCCTGTGAGCACTCCTTTCCTTTCTATGCGTCATCGTTGAACCCACAAGGCAGCCCTTATCGCTTGCACAACAACCCCTTAAATTCTCTCTTGGAGCCTCGTCTTCTCAGCTGCACTGACAATTTGTGCACCCACCGACTTGTGTGCGGTCTTGTCTGCTGCATGGGTCAGAATCCCCATCGCAGTACTGCACAGAACCTCTCTTTCACATGATAGAAACGCTGCATGTTGAAATTTCCCTCATGCCCTGGTACCTCTCCTGTGCGCACCCACCTTTCATCCTGCAAAAATATCTGCGGAGGTTCTTGTTTGATGTGATGAAGGATTCCTGGATTTGCTGCCTGTGTGCAACCCCTCTTATAAAGATAACGGCAAGCGAAATATCTTTGCTTTGCTTTTTACATCCTTGCTATGAGCCACTGTGGGGGCCCTTACAAAGCCGGTGTTACCACCACTCGCCAAATTCTTGTCGGCGCTTCAGAGTTTTCTCAGTGAGATTGCATGCAAAGGGGCATTGACCAATGCATGCACCATTCAGTGCACTTTAGATTTTGCTCACTTGGCTTTGTCCGCAAAGTAACTGATCAATAGTGTGCCACATGCAGGTGCCATTCCAATAGCGCTGCGACTGTGGAAGCACAAAAGCTTCACGCCAGGGCCGTTCTCTCTGGGCAGAGCTAATGTCGTGATCAACACTTTGTCACTTCTCTGGATCCTCTTCTCGGTGGTGCGCATCTCTGCCACCCGGTGCTGTTTTGCTATGGCACACAAAGCCAACAAGAATCGAAGAAGTCATACCGGCTTCTGTGCAGGCTGCTATGCTCTGTGCTTGATGGTGCTTGGATGGCCTGCTTTGTGCTCTGCAAAGTTTGGGTCCATCCATCCTCCCTCGCATAAAATTCATCTGATAAGGAGATGTATAATTCAAACAAAGGCCAGGCCGGCCTCGTTGTGCAGTGCATGTCTTTTTGATATTGCGAATATATATATATGCTAATGTGAATCTGAATTCCAAATTTTTAAGTTTGAAATTCGCCTTTCAAAATTTTGCGCAGGGCATCTTTGTGCTGCCGGACACGTACCCCGTAACGGCCCTGAATTTGAATTACTGCCCAATCGTCATAGGCTTAGCGCTGTTGGTTCTGCTGGTGGCCTGGTTTCTGCCAAAGTGGGGTGTTGGACGATGGTACCGGGGCAAAGCACACACTTTGAAGGATGCCGATGTGGTGATGCCCCCCCTTGAAGCTGCAAGCACCAGTGTGTTTTGCTCAGGATTCTGGCTGGAAGCTACAGTGGCTACAAATGTGTGCAACATTGAAAGGTTTGAAGCCACAAAAATGGCTAAAAACTGGCATTTCCAGAAGATATCTCCTGATTTTGGTGTTTCTCATCATAACTCTGCTTAAAAGGAATGAAATGTTGCTTTTTGCACTGGGAGTTAATCTTTTAGATGCCAATCGGTGGCTTGAAAGTGGGACACCCTCAGGTAGTTTAAGCGCCACAAAAATGTTCTGCAGCTTCGGCATGGCGAAATGTGCTCTCTGATCGTGGGGGTTGAATGTCATGCACAGAGGCTTTTGGAGGATCATGCACTGCGTGAGCGGTACAAGTCCATGGAATCGGTGGGCTCTGGAAAGCTAACACTGGCGAGGTTTGCTTCCGTGGTGTCGAGGCGGACACAGGTAAGTCCACAAATGCAATGCCGAACTTTGGAGCGACCAAAAGTGAGAGTATGCAGTGACTTGAACTCTTGTTTGAAAATCTGTAGTGCAATGATTCAGTGGGGCGGTGTCAAAGAACACCGTTGTGATGTTGGCAGTTGAAGGTTGACGACATCTGCAGAGTACTGGATTAATGTGTCAAAGCCCGTAGGTGTTCTAGATAATCAGGGTAGTGATACCTTGAGAATTTCATAGCACCGAATAAGGTTGTTGCATGTCAACTGACATTTGCTTGCATGCGTGTCTGACTCAACAGCTTCCAGTGGGATTGTGGACTGCAGATGGATCAGTTTGCATGTGACTGAGGGTATCCTTTATGAAAACAGGTGCAGCCAAAACAGCATGTGACTCTGGCCTTCTCGTCAGAGGTCACAGGGACTGACAAGGATGGCGCGCCCAAAATCAAGAGGGCAAAGAGGAATGGTGCGATGCCGTTTTCTTCTTTTTGCTCTTTTCCAGTCAGAAAACTAACCTATAAGATGTGAAAGAAGAGGAGGAGGCTGCATCTCGACTCACTGTCCTATACAATGACACTGGAGCAAGCTCTTGCCATTTCTGCTGAGCTTGCTGAGAACGCCTCGCTGGCTTGACATGCTATGAAATGTCATTGTCTTCTACGTTGCTATGGGAACTTTGGATACTGGTAGATCCCTGCTTGCTCAAGAAGCCTTCCAATTCGTTTGCTGGAGTGCAACACTGCCTTGTCAATCAGTCATCTTTTGCAGCCGCAGCAGGATGCACGTTGACAAACTCCCTGGTGAAAGATCAAAAAATTATAGTTCCTGGACTCTAAATTCAAGTCAAAATTTGTATTTGTGCGGGAGCAGGGGCAAAGAGGTTCAGGGAGGGGCCACTGATGCCGGGAATTCCAGCCACAGACCAAGAAGGAGAGTCGTCTGAGGAGGGAGCTCACACATCTGAGGACTCAGCGCGGATGAGATCATTTACCGAGGGGCAGCCAGTGTCCAGTCAGCCTTCCACGCTCGAAGAGTCAGCTACCGGCAAGAGGGCGTTCTCTTTGTGAGGGCGAGGGGCGCGCGCCGTTGTACACTAGGGGTTTTAGACAACGGGATGCCTGGATGTCTGTCTGTTTGCTGGCGGCTGGAGGTTGCATGCATGCATCCTGACTGATGTGTAAACTGTCCGGGGGTGGGAAAACGCTCCCGGGCAGCGAGTTCTCTGTAGACCAGAATTCAGGAAGTTTGAAGGCCGACTGTGTTGTTTTTTGACCGCTCACTGTGACATCAGGTTATGGTCATGACGGTAAATGGACAGCCTACTGTGTTCGTGCCCGGGAGGCAGCACAGCTGCACCAATAACACCATTGGGGAGTTGTTTGTGGCATGCACACAGAGTCATTTGCTTGGCAATGGTTCTGATGTTTCCAAGTTTTGGCAGATGGAGCATCCATTATGGTGGTGTTTGAGTCCTGCCCTTCTAGCACGACAGCTTGATGCGGGAACAATTAGCGGCACAGCCTGATTATGTCTGATGCCATGGGCAGCAAAGCGGCGCTTGCCTTACAAGAGTAATTGCACTCGAGCTTTTGCTTAGCTGCGACCCTGGAGTTGAGCTGTGCAAGGCCTGAGCTTGAGAAGAGCTTGGCAGGATCTCTGAGAACTTTGGAGAGGTTGGCTGCAGCCTCTCAGCCATCAGCTTTGCCAAATATGCATGCCGGTGATGTGGCATGCATAGAGCGTGATATTTTGCCCTGGGCACTTTTGTGGGCGGTTCTGGGGCAGCGCTTTGGTGTTGGGCAGTAATTTTCGTGGGTACGTTTGACCTCCTGTCCGTGTGAGTTTGTTTGAGATCCGGTCTGTGTGGAATAATGCAGTAGGTATTTGTCTGCCGCAGTCATCATGCAAGCGAAGCCCCGTGCTTGGGGCATGTGTTGATCCAGAAGTTGGGAAGAAAGGCCCAGATTGAAGCAGGGGCCTGTTTGAGTTCGCGATCTCAGGGAACGGCCACGCAAGTGTGATCTGAGGAAAAGTCTCCCAAGTGTCAGGGGAGAATTTTGGCCTCAAAGATAATATGTCTTTGCCTTGTGGGCTCAACAGTGAGACTTGTCCCCGATGATGTCTTGCTGTCGAGGCACCCCGTCAAACACCCTACATTGAGTGTGTGTGACATAAGTGGGCCGGCCGGCAGAATATGGCGCCAGATTGTCTCTTTTCTCAGGTAGCGCTCTGTGCTGGCATTTGCTAGGCGAAGCTTGAGGAGAATGAATATTTTTGAGACTGAAATATGCCATATGCCAGATGCCAATCAGTGACTCACATCTCATCGGATAAGATATCACTTTGCCTTTAATTGCAGCTTGCCTGCAGGACGCACCTTGCCTTCTGGCAGGAAAATCGTGTAATGATAACAATAGAGCCAATAATTACTTTACTTCCGAGAGTCCGACGGAGTCTGTCACGCCGCATGCGGCACCCCACTAAGTGGGGCCCACTTGGAAAGAACTTTGTTTTTTCAGTGATCACTTTTTGGTCCTGAGCCTTCCACTGTCGTGTGTTTTGGCAATCAATCAGAGTTCCATCATGCATGCATGCACTGGCATTCTTGCATGGTGTAGCATGCAAGAGCGCTCTTGCATGCTACACCAGCTAGCTTGGGTTGCAACGCTGCAACTGCTTGCTGATCATTTATCGGTTAAAGTCACTTGGTTTTCGCGGGGTGTCGCCATGTGGCACGAAAACGCGAAGTATCAAGTTCCATCTGCTGATATCATCTAACAGGTGACTGGCGGTTTGTCACGATTACGAAGCTCTAAAACCTGCGAAAATGATGAAACCCTTCTTCACCAAAGGGTCTTGATGACCTGCGTATGCACCTCACGTCTCCTTTCTTGATGTACGACTGTACAGGATCTGCACGCCTGCCTTGCCTGTTTGATACACCGTGAGCACTGCATTTGGCCCAGTGCGTACAGTGTATCGACCAGGCTTGCTACAGCACGTGTCACAGCAAAATCCACAAACTGGAAAAGTTTAGACTATGTCTAACTCGGAGACCAGCTGCCCAGGACTTTAGGATTGCTTAAAGAGTCGGTTGAGCTGATCAGAGGGCCCAAGGACAAGGAGTGGCCCGTGGGGGCGGCTTCACTGGATCAGGTACAGTTACTGGGACCTAACCTTTATCCTCTTCAAAGCCCTTTCCCAGTACAGTGGACCTTTCATGGACGTTCCGTTGCGATTGATTCTTGCGCTTAATTCTTCGCTGCACCGGAGTCACCCTGGGTGTAAATGAATCAAGTGCCCAAAGCCCCAGAGTTCTCCTCTGTGGTACGCGATCGCAATACGGCTGGGTGTGGGCCCACCAGGTGGCCTACCACCTGTCCAGCGGGTAGTTGGCGGCAAGGAAAGTGTAAATCTTTAATCTTATTCGGTCACCTCTGCGTCGATCAGGTGGCCCGTCGACGTTCCCGCGTCCGGTTGGCAGCATGGGCCGCACCGAGATGGGTCAGAGGGTTGGGCCGGAGTGCTGCCGCCATCACATGCACCACAAGATAGCACTCAGCGTACCTAAGGGCATGGATCTTGAACGAGCGGGGCCGGTGGATAGTGGGCAAGCGCGTTTGGAGGCGCTTGGGTATAAGCAGGAGCTCAGGAGGACGTGGGGCACGATGGCTAGTTTTTCCTGCAGCTTTGCGCTGATGTCCTGCATCATGTGCATCACGGGTGCGAACCGTTCGGTGTCTCACATTCTTTTCTTGCACTAGTGTTCGTTCTCAACAACCCTGGACGTCAGGAGTCCTTATGCAGACCTCAACTTTGAGGCAGCACAAAGGCTGTAGGCCAACTTGCTCTCAAACAATCGAGATAGCACCGCTGTTCAAAGCCTTACCAGCAGGTCAAGTCCTTTCCAGTGCACCAATCCTGAGCAAAGACGTTGGATGTTCCTAAGATGCTGTGTTTTAATCGTCGCAGGCGGCCTAAATACAGCCTACATGAATGGCGGACCGGTCTCTGCAGTCTATGGGTGGATACTAGTGTCAATAGCAAACTTGCTGGTGGGGTTGTCATTGGCAGAGATCGCTTCATCATATCCCATTGCAGGCGGCCCTTACTTCTGGTGAGCCCAGCTTCGATTCCTTGAAGTGATCTCACCTTAGCATGGCCAGTCAATATGGTGGTTGCGGCTTGGTAGAGCATCCTGTTGCTTGTCAGCTCAGTCCGCATGTCACATGAGCAGTGCCAACCAGGCATTACCTGTGATTCCTGCGTTGCATGTGTCAGCTCGAGGGGTGTGTGCACTCCGCATCGGCTAGCTGCAATTTGCCGGTGAGAGAAATGAGGGGGTGGAGCTTCGGCATCAGACATGCATTGTCCTTCTCCTGTGACCACTCTGTGTGCTGCTTGCTTGCAGGGTCCTAGAGATGACTCTGAACGACCCGAAGTACACAATGCTCGCCTGGGTTACAGGTACCAATACCTTTCCCCTCTGACACAACTTTCCTGCATGCAGCCTTTGCAGAGGGCCGGGGCCTTTGTGTTGTTCTCTTGCGCTTGCAAGCTAGGACAGAGCCCTGCATGGTCGCTGCTGCATCGCTGATCATTGGCAGAGCGCTGGTGATGCATCCATGCTTGGAGCAACATGCATGCACCCGGATCTCAATCACAATCATGTGAGATCCTGCCTAGGGCACGTGCATCAAAGTGGGGTCAGTGGATATGCTGTCAGCATTGCCAGACCAACTTATCAGGCGCACATACCTACTTTTGCATGCTCAATCAGGTAGTCCCACCCGGGTGTCTCCTGGTAATGGAAGACCAGAGAATGACACAGTTCTTTGACTCATTCCTTTCTCAGGGATTTCATGCATGCCCTGTCCTTGGACGTTGCTCGAGAGGTGATGTCATGCGAACATGTGCAGGCTGGCTGAACGTTGTGGGGCAATTCGCGTGCACGTCCGGATCAGGTTACCTGACAGCGAAGCACATGGCGGTGATGTGGCAAATGGGCAACGGCCACGTGTTGACGCCCTTCGAGATGTTCTTGTCCTACGCAAGTGAGCCTCTCCATATTACCTGCAGAGTGCCACAAGGGATGTCTTACTGTGCCGCAAGTGATGAGATAAAGTGTTGAAGCAAGCATGTGTTGGCAATGGAAACTACTCTTGGACCTGAAAACAAGACGTCTGTGCCGATGAGTGAGAGGCAAAGCTGTCGTCTGCAGTGACTTGTTGAGGGCTTTGACCAAAGCTGGCTTTTAACTTGCCACTCCTTTTGGAGAAAACACAAGAAACAACGGGTGGCCACGATCAGGCCACTGCTATTTTTTCACAGGTTCTCCAAAAGACTGCCTCAAGAGGTTTTTCTTTACAAGCATAGTCATGGGGATGCGCCCACGGTAGCTGCCTCTCTTCTACTAAGCCTCTCCTTAATCTGTGCACCATGCCCCTCAGCAGGGAGGGGACTGAGTAATGTAAGATCTGGCAAAGGATTACTAAGCTTTAAAATTGCGCGCAGTCATCCTGGTGGTATCGGGCGTGGTGGCATCCATGACTACGGACGGCGTTCGGCTCTACGCAGTCTTCGCTGCGTTCTTCATGGTCATAGGCGGAGGCTTCCTCATCGTGATTCTGCCGATGCTAGCGCCAAAGCTGCAGAGCCCCTCTTTTGTGTTTGGCGAGTTCTTCTCCTGGCAAGCAGGCGACCTGGGCATACCCAGCACCACGTGACGCTCTTCACCCTGCTTGATGCTTTATCTTGTGTTCACTTCTCCAGTGTCGCTGTAATGCACTGGACCATGATATAAGCTGACCTCTTTGGTGGGGCAGACCATCTCAGATTACTGAAACCAGGGGTGCAGAGACAGTCCTGGCTGCCTCTGAAGTGCCTTGTATGGGCTAGAGCATGTACATGACTTCGTTCCTGAATACCTAGGAGTGTACAGACTTTCTGGGGCACCATGCGATTAGCAGATGACAGATGATGGTCAGCAGGTGACTCACATGCGCTTGGCGCAAGTAGGCATGTATGCTTGGCAAGGCAAAACATGCATGCTGACAGCAGATTTGTTGCGCTGTGCAGATATCTGTTCATGCTGGGCACTCCTGCCGCGCTTTTCAGCTACATAGGTGCAGCTCTCCCTAGCATTCTCTACACCTTATCTGGAGCTAATGTGTTTCTGAATTTTTATTTGTGAGTCAGTTTTTCAAGCCCGGTCATCTGGCTGGGTTGGCATGTACTTGCTATTGCTGTGTTATTTGTCATTTTCTCCCATTGTACCATGTCTCCATATTAAGAGGCACAGATACAAAGTCCCCACTCTCTGTCTTGTCATCTTGATCATGGGCGGCGCAGGTTTCAAAAGGTCAGGCCTGTGTTGTACTTCTCTTAGCACAGTGATGCATTGCTGAAGCTGCTTTCCCATGCAGGCTTTGAGGCGCCGGCGCAGTTTGCGGAGGAGACAAAGAAGGCTGACAGGGCGGTGCCATGGGGCATCATGTGGAGCATCCTGGTGACAGCAGTTTTGGGCTTCGCCTACCTAGTGGTCCTGCTCTTCTGCATCCAGGTCAGCCACCCCTCAGGCCGCCAAACCTGGCTTTATAAGAGCTGCTAGACCCTGACTTAAGCGCAGAACATTCAGGCCACCATTGAGTGTAGACTATGATTGAGAGAAGGGGAAGACATGTTCTGGACCAGACATGCATTGCAGTGGATGGTGCATGCACAGCCTGCTCGCATTTTGATAATTTGCTGAGAATGCTCCAGACGTGGGGCCTTAAGTGCTTATACATGATGGCAGTAACTATCTGGGATGCTTGCTATCAGGCATACATTGCATTGGATGTCGCATGCATGCACAGCCTGCTCACTCTTGAGATGTATTCTGTGTAACTTTCATGGTTGCATCACATTTACTGTGGGGCTAATAAGAAAGGTACGGGACTTTCTCAGGGCCATGGCTGTGTTGCAGGACCCAGACACAGTGCTGACGGGCAATGCCCAGGGCTACATAGTGGGCCAGATCTTCAACGATGTTTTCCAGGTGGGTCCCCTGCTAGCACCCTTGAACATGCATGCGCAAGCTGAGTCCTCTGCTGGATCTACACACATTATCCTGTTGTTATGTTGTTCCGTGCAGCTTTCCTCCAATGTCAACTCCAGTGGGCCGGCCCACAACCTCTAAAAGCCTCCTTGCATGTGTCTCGTCACATGTTACTTCATTTGGAAATGGAGCCAAGTACACGGATCTAAAGCTGGATCATTTGATTAAATGTGTGTTTTGTAATGCTTGCAGGGGCGATTTGGGAATGGGACAGGGGGAGTGGTGCTGCTGGGCATTCCCCTGATGGTCATCTTCAACACAGCAGTCATGAGCATGATCACGAATGCCAGGTGAGTAATTGCGCCAGCATACATGAGAACCATGCAAGGCTCACGAGCTTTTGCAGCATGGTGGGATCAGGTATCAACGCAGCTTCAAAGCTTGCTGACCCAAGTCACAACTTCTGTGAGTGGCTGGAGACTTACAGCCGGCTCTTCTGGAGTGTTTTAGCGATGTTGCATGCATGCTGTGCCTAGCTCCCAATACTGCTTTGTGTGTGTTGGGTGCTGGCCCTGCAAGGCTGCTTCTCTCTAGATTCAGGCTCACACGTAGCTTGCAGTTTCGGTCGCTCATGCCTTTCTGCCATGCCATTGATCTTTATACTAATCATGCATGGTGGCCTGTTCAGGATGCTGTGGGCGTTCTCGCGGGACGGCGGCGTTCCCTTGCACAGGGTCTGGGGGGCGATAAACGACCATCTGCATACGCCCCTGAATGCCACCTGGGCCATGACTGCGCTGGCATTTTTGCTGGGCCTGCCCATATTATTTTCCACCACAGCCTTCCTGGCCATCGGATCCATCATGTGTGTCGCCCTGTACTTCAGCTGTGAGTCCTCCCCCCTCCCATCCCTTCATGCCTCTGTGCATGCAAATCCAACTTGGTTGTGCCTTGAGCAAATGAAAAACATGCTCATCTGCTTCCGCCTGCTCTTTTGGCAGACACGGTGCTTGCTAGCTAGCGTTGCAGCTCCCTCAGGGGGTGCATTTCGTGTATCTTGTTACTGGCATCCTTTATTGAATGAAAATAGTGTGGCTGCTCAAGTGATGCATGGCATGCGGTGCATCAGCACAGTCCTAGTGTTGCGCTGAAGAAGAAGGCTGGATTGCCAAAGGTGGTCAAGAATGATTTTCTATTTGGGAAGGCCAGCTTCAGAAAGACCCCCTTACTTGGAAACTGGGTATTTAACGGCCGCGTGTGCTGCCGCGCAGACTGCGTGCCCATCCTGATGCGCATCCTGTTTGCGCACAACTTCCAACCGGGCCCCTTCAACATGTCGCGCTTGCAGCCCTACCTCAACATCCTCACCTTCGTCTGGATCGTCTTCTCTGTGGTGCGCTGATACAACTTCCTCCCTTGGCACATGCACGTCTCTTTTACGACCATCTTCACCCCAATGCCGCGCATTGTATTGCTGGCTGTTGAATGCATCAGAAGCTAGGCTTTTTGGGCATATGAACGGTGGAGCTGCTACAACTGCAGCCCTTCAATGCAGCCCGTGAAGCAATCTGCCTCTTTAGGTGCATTACCAGCATTTCAAGCTCTTGCCAGACTGATAGGGAAATTGTATCTCTGAAGGAAAATTGAGATCAGGGCCAACGTGGGCGTTGTGTGCAGGTGTGTGTGATCCTGCCCTCATCGCTGCCCGTAACGTCGGAGAACCTAAATTGGACCCCCATCACAGTCGCCATCGCGCTCACGGTGAGTCACCCCTGCAGGCCCTCTCCACAGTCTCTTGGCTCGCATTGCTTGCATTCTGTACACAACTAGAAATAAAGGGTTGGGAATATAATTCTGGTCTAGTTACTTGTTTCCTGTGTGTAAAAAGATTTCTGTGTTTGGGAAGCGCTCCTTCTGCGCCTTGTAAACTTCATTCTGTTTATATTGCTTGTTTTTCCTTCTCGCTGGTACGCAAGGGTGCTGAATAATTAGTAATGTGCACTACTGCTTTGCTTCTGAACCGCTCTTGCTGCTGCTAGGTGATCCTGGGTGCGTGGTTCATGCCGTGGTGGGGGGCGCGCAATTGGTACACCGGCAAGCGCCGCACGCAGCCGGAGCGCCGCCGCGTGGCGCCGCGGCCGCAGCAGCCCGAGCGGGACGAGGCAGAGGACCTTGACTCGGCCGGCAGCAGCCGCGTGCGCGCCGACAAGATCCTGCCGGTGATCCTTGAGGAGGGATCGCACCTGTCGGTCTCCTCGCTCGGCTCCGTCCGCTCCCACGTGCCGCCGTCCGCTAACGTCATGAGCACCAAGCGGGTCCCCTAGGTGCCGCCACCGAGGCTGCCACCGCCGGGGGAACCCGGGAGGCTTGATGCCATCGCCAGGGGAACAGGGGGAAGTCACACCCGCGTGCCACCGTCCAACATGTGATGAGCACTAAGCGGGTACCTAGACTGCCCCCACCGAGGCTGCCACCCGGGGGGATGGCGATTGCATGCCGTCGTTCGCCAACGCGATGAGCGTCAAATGGTCTCAGATGGATCTCAGGTTCCCCGGGCTGCCACCGCCGGGAGGCGCCCTTCTCGGGCAGGGGGGTGGGGGGTCACCTCAGGCGGGTGGGCGATACACAGGAGCGGCGGCTGCTGCGGAAGGGCTATTGGGGATGAGCACTTTGAAGCTCCGATTCAGTTTGAATCAGGAATTTGGAATCACGGGCGGCGCGTGGCTTGTGGCTCGGGGCTTGCGCCGCCCGAGAAGCAGAGAGTGGGATTTTTTAGGGCGGGGTCTGCTGCTGCGATCTGGACTGCCCATGTAGCCACAAAGGATGGCTGCTTCATGGGATCTGGGTGGTCGGTTGTCTGTAGCGCCCACAGCGGCTTTGCCTTGAGCTCGGAGAGTGAGCAAAGCCGCAAGGCGAAAGGGAATTGACGGTATTCGTCAGCCCCTTGCACACTGAGGGGGCAAGCGCGGCACAAAAGTGTACCCCGCATGGCTCAGTGCAGTGAGAGTTTCTGCTGATCGAGATATTGCGGGCATCACGATACCGGCGAAAGCGTCAACATGTGTTTCTTTGCCGCATCTTTTCATGGGGAAGGATTGGAAGCAGCAACTTGGGTCGAGTGAGGAGAGCAGACAGACTGATTTTTGTACACCTTGTGAGAGGCGCGCATGTCATGTGAGTTCATTACAAGCTGTTTTTTACAGACCGGCACTTTGCCGGCGTTTTCTCAATTCCAAGGTTGGAGCCACAGAGGGATATTATCCAATGTATGGGGGAAGGCAAAACTTGCCAACGGCTTTTGACAGGCACTTGCCTGAGACAGACTGCCTCGCGCGTTTCGCACCCCTGCTTTCCACTTTCGATTTAAATTCAAAAAGATGGTCGGCCCGAAAAATTGCTGACCGGCCTGCAGGCAGGGAGCTTGAACAGACCCACTGCTCTCTCCTTCCTGCTGCGCCGAGTCATTCAAGTCTAATTGTGGCCTTTCTGGCCAGAGGAGTTCCCTCTCAAGAGCGTCACCAGTGGCTTTTGTGTCTCCCTGTGGGGGCTGAGTCACCGTGACAAACATGAGCTGAGATGCTTTCAAGCTGAGGGCTCCCCCCTGCCAAGGCATTTTCCACCTTTCTTATATTTGAGCCCGGGAAACATTTGTGTGGCAAGATTGCGGTGTGACTCTGTACTGCGCTCTATCATATGATTGGGTGCCAATTCTGGCCACTGCAGGCTGTTTTGAAATTGATGCAGAGCATAGCTGCAAGAGTCTCCTGTCAAGGTGACCAATGATGCCGAGACTGCATCCTTTTACAAATTTGATCCTCTGCTGGTTGTTGAGAGGCTGGCGCTATTATATATTCTTTGGGCAGATTTGTTATTACCGGGCCTCTGCTCTCTGTACTCTGGTTGGTAGGCTGCAGACGATAAACTTTGAAATAGATAAAGCAATTTGTGTGTGTGGCGAGATATTCAGTAATTGGCGTGAGCTCTGCTGGGGTCTGATTGGGTACAGGCAGTCTTGTATCGTTTGTTGAATGGTGAACTTGCAGCACGAGTTGAGGAGTTGAAGCAGAGGTCTGCAGCTTGAATAGATCTGCGTAGGTTGACGCATGCATGCTTATCAAGACGCAGCTGCACAGCAAGCTGATTACTGTAAGGACATTTATATCACTGCCTCTCTCTTCAGTTTGCCCAAGTCCGTGCATACAGAATATTCAGATTGATTGCAGATCATGCTCTTGTGCATGTGCAGCTCAACAGCAAATCAACACAGGTCACTGGTCCCGCGTGGATAATGTTGAATGCTTACTGTCTCAGCAACGAGCACCAGACTGATTTCTAGGGGTGATGTAAAGTGTAGTGAGACACAGCTTGAAAATTCAAGAGTTGAAAGGACAAATCCGCAGGACACAGTCACCACTGCAAACGTTGGAACCTGCCTGATTTAGGATCTGCCTATGCAGCCGAAGGGTACGACAAGTCCACGCCGATCTCATTATCAGACCATTGTTCCACTTGTATTGCTCTCCATCATGAAAGGTCTCAGAACCGCGCCTGATCGCCTTGCTGCACTATCGTCTGGCGCATGCCTGCGTCCTCATTCCCGTCAGCATCAGTTGCTGATCCGCCGTGCGCAGCCTCGTTTGGGATGCCGGGTGCCTTTTGCACCCACAACCATGTCAGTGACAATATCTAAGACTAGCAAAACGAGGAACACGGACAGGGTTGAGAGCCCCAAGCAACTGTCTTCAGGTACACGGGTTTGTGTCCTGGGCGGATCCATTGCCGGAATGCTCACTGCAGCAGCAATTGCACCTTTCGTGGACGAGGTTGTCATTCTTGACAAGGAAGCCGCGTTGAACGGAGGCGGCACCGAAGAAGAGCTCCGTCAGGTGGGCAGCATGCAGATACATCCCAAGTGCACAATGATTGAGTCGACGGCCATGTGGCTGACTAGCACGTAAGTCCAATAAATGTTTGTCAACTTAACTCTACGTACTATTTTTCAGAAAGCGTCAGTCGTTTGTGCTGCAGACGCAGCCCCTGTGTCCAGCCTGATCAGTAGGGATTGAAAGTTTTTGGGCCTGCGTTGTGTTCGCAACAGACGTACATCCACAGGACCTCAGGTGTCTAAAGATATATTGGGAATACAGCATCAGCTACGTCTGCAAGGCTCGTTGACTTCTTCCTGAGTTTACGGTAGGCTGCTGGTTTCCAGGAATTCGCTGCCACTGGAGCAAAGCTCGCGGATCGCGCAAAGCTGCGCAAGGGAGTACCTCAGTACATCCATCCACATGGCCTGCTCTGCAGAGGTGCAGACCCCTATGAGTTCTCAGACCGATTTATCTCTTGTGCAACCCTGTTTTAGGGGCATGCAAGCATGACGCTGTGCGTATATATACCCCTCAAGACTCCGACTTAAGGCTTACCTTGTTGACGTCTCTGATGCTGAAGTGCCATGATATTGGTGAATGAAAGCTATGTGTGTACAATGCAGCCACACATTCTGTCGAGCTGCTGCTGCCTGGATGGCTGGAGCTTGCCAAACGGCTGGGCGGCAGAATTACTCTGCCGGGCCGCGTGAAAACGGTGTGCGCGCATTACCCACAATATGAACCAACCTGCATACTTACCAAAATGAGCGAAGTTGGCTTGGACAACTGGTGGTAGTACTGCATGGGATGCAGTCATGCAAGCCCTCTGCAGCTGCAAGCACAAACTTGGACTCTTGAGTCAGTTGGCATTATATGCATCATTTGCTCCTAGACTCCTGAAGGATCATGCTGTAGTCTCTGACACTGTCTTGTCAGTCTTCTCATCCACCGTTGTATAATTGACCCTTCAAAAAAGTGCACACTGTCTGGCAGGGCCCGATATAGATGCTGAGCACCTTGCCCAAGGCTTGACTGGGTCTTGCATGGACCTGGCGAGTTCATGGGGGTAGCATTTGTGGCAGCCCTTACCTGCAGCTTGTCTGCAGGAAACACCATGCCTCTTGGCAGGGAAAACGTGTATAACGCTGCTAATAATACCGGTATATATTCTCACATTGGTTGGCCTAAATTTGGGGATCTCTGTCTTTCAACGGTGTGTGTACCTCCGCAGTTCTATAAGGGGCTCTGGACGCACCATCCGGTGGACACCACAGGCCTCATAACTCTCTCCGGCTCGCGAGGACTCATCGAGGAAAGCATCCGCGCTCAGCTGCTGACGCTGTGCTCCAATGTGCACATTCACTGCGGCTGCTGGGCGGCTGCCCCGCTGTGGAGTGCAGACGGCAGCTGCCTGGAAGGTGCAAAGTGCTGTGCGCATCATAATCTGTGTGTATTCCCGACACAAGGTCAGAAAGCCCCTGTATGCTCCTGCTGTCGCTCCCAAGAAGTTGGAACAGGGCTCAGAATTCTAGAGTCTTGGTCTGATCTTGAAAGAGCGGCTGCTGAAGCATACGCATCTGCAATGCATGCTCATTTCGCACCATCCCCTCCGTGTGAATGCTCCCTGCTAAGTTTGCAGCAGTCGTCAATGACTCCACAACACCCATTTCCTTCACACGACTGCTGTGTCAAGAAGCTGTCCAAGTACCTGCCAGGAGCCTCTGCCTGAGATGCATCATGAACCATTGTGCTGGTAGCAATTGATCCGCACATGCACCGCCAACTGATGCGAGACATGAAGTCTTTGCCTGCTTGGTGGGCAGGCGTGGTGACTAAGGCCGGGCAGGAGTTCTGGGCGGATTTGGTGATCGATGCGGCCGGCCGCCGTTCGCCGGTGCCGGGTTGGCTGGAGGGCGGGGGGTACGCCCCTCCCCCAGAGGTGGAGGTGGACCCCCACGTCACCTACTCCTCCCGCCTGTATAGGCTGCCCCCCACGGTGAGGCACTTTCTTTAACCCATGCAATATTATCACTATTACACATGTGTTCCAGCTTACAGGGCTAGGGGAAGCAGCAACCACTCGATCATTACCCTGAAGCCTGTTCTCTCTTGGTACTTCAACCAACAGTAGCATGTTGACCCCTTCGTTTATATCGAGGGAAAACATGCTGAAGAGGACGGGCTGGAGTTCTAATAATTGGGCATGTTCTTGCTCATTACCAGCTGTTTTGCTGAGTGCTTTCATTCACGTGAGCAGTAAGAGGCATGCCTGTTTCTCTCATGCGTGGGGCATCATGACTTTGCAGACTGTGAATCTTGAAAAGAAGAGCGCTTGCAGTCAGAGAAGGCTTGCAGAATGCTGCCATGGGGGCTGTGCATAGTGCATCACTTTGCAATGGCGCCATCGCATCGTCATATGCTGTGCATGGCCTACATGGCAGCATCCTTCCTTGATGACTCTGTGATAAAGGGTGAGGCAGTGTTGTGGGTCACCCAGCAGCAGAATGCTAACACAATTTACACATAATATGAGTAGCTTGATTGCAGATATCTACTGGGGTGTGTTTTTGGCAGGAAGTAGAGAACAAGGACTGGGATGTGATCTACATCCGGCCCACAGCACCCAACACACGAGGCGGTCTGCTGCAAACAATCGAAGGCGGCCTACTCCTGGTAAGTTCATTTCCTCCAACATGCAGGCTCCAAAGATTCTATGTAGCCTCCAAAAACTTGAACGCTGAGCACGGCTGCAAATCGGAGCTTCTTGAGCGAACATGCCTGAAATGGATGTCCCTTTGCCCCGAAACGTTGTTCTCTGTTGAGTGCATGACTCTGGAAAGCACTGCTGCTGCCAAATGCATGTCAAAGCAGTAAACAGCGCATAAGAGGAAGTAAAAAGTGAAGAAGCCAGATCAGCTATTTCAAGGTATTCTATCAGCTATTGTCGGCGCAGTGTTGTGTGTGGGGCTACAGCGGGGACCATCCACCTCAGGACGAGCAGGGCTTCCTCGATTTTCTCGCCTCCCTGGAAAGAAGGGATATGTACGAGGTATGTGAAGTCCGTAAAGTAAAGCGTCCCTTTCACAGATCTTGGCATTATTTTCTTTGAAGCTTTCTTTGAAGAGCCGGTGCCCACATGTCAACTTGGCTCTTTTTGCAGAGGCGAGCACCTGTACTGCAATATGATGAGACAGCTTGATGTGTTTGTCTCCATGTATTATTATTATTATTCATACACGCTTTCCTGCCAAAAGGCAAGGTACGTCCTGCAGACAAGCTGCAGTTAAAGGCCGCCACAATCCTACCCCTTGTTGGACTCGCCAGATCCAAGCAAGACCCAAGCAACCGTGGGCACGGTGCTCAATATTTGTACCGCCCCCCGCCAGCCAGGGCCATGTATGCTGTTGCACAAATTTCCTTCCAAAGCTGCTGACAATTGTGTAACATGTGCAATTTCAGGCTGTCAAGGATGCAGAGCCCCTGACGAAACCTGTGGCATACTCTGGCATGACTAATCTGAGGCGCCTCTACGAAGACATCCCCATGCCTGGCCGCCTGGCCGTCGTGGGAGACTCACTGGCAGGCTTCAATCCGGTAGGTGTAATCTCTCTTCCCTAGAATGTTTTGATTGTACACGTTCTGACACTTTCTGCCAAGGGGGCACCAGGTGACAAGCTAGATTGCGCCAGTGCATGATAATTTGCAGTCTCAGCATGCATGGCTTATTGGATACGGGCTGCATGCTGCTAGGCAGTGCTTACCAGTACAAAACATGCCGGCACAGGGATGCAAACAGACAGAGGGTACTGAGTCGTCTTTAGTAACCCCTGAAAAAGGACATGTGAGGGCTGAGAGGCAGATCTCTGGCTGCTCAGGTGTACGGTCAGGGCATTGGCGTGGCCGCCATAGAGGCAGAGACCTTGAAGAAACTGCTGCAGGTGGGCATCTTTTTTATAATATTCCCCCTATTAGGATCAAGACTGGCAGCTGCGTTATGTCGAGGTGAATGGCATCCAGAGCTGAGAGTGAGGAACCTTCTGTGGCTGTCTCTCCACTTCGACGTGATGCAGCCCTGACAATGCTTGATGCACCCAGCACTCGCCAAGATTGCTATGCTGATGCTCAAAAGATGTGCAAACTCAGCAGGAGTATCCACGATCCGCACTCTTGATGGGGTTGTCCTTTATTAGTGATATCCTGCACTTTCAGGCTTTCAGGGCTCGGTGCATTCCAGCAGCACTTGTTCAGAATTGCTCCAAAGCTTTGTGTGCTCTTGATGGGTTTGATGGCATTCTTTCCAGGAGAGGGCAAGGGAATGCGATTCAGGCAAGCTGGCGGCTGCTGACCTGGGCGCCTTGGCTGCTCCATACCAGGCGATGGCCAAGCACATCGTGGACTTCCCCTTCTCAGTCTCCACAGGCTTGCATGCCTCTGCCTCATCAGCACATTGCAGCAAAATACTTTCTTGAGGTTCTCATATGCATCTTGCCAGCTGCTCAGCAGCGTGGTCTGTAATGCCATCTGGAGTCCCCCATGAGTTGCCCCTGAATCCGTTCACTCCATGCGCAAGTCCAGTCCGGAACGCCATGCTGTCAAGCACTTGGCAGGAGATGCACCAGGAGGTTGCACTTGCCAAACTCTTCTGCATGCGATCGCTGTCTGTGCAACTCCAACTTTCATTTTGCAAATAAAGTTTTAAATGTATAATTGATGAGATGTACGCTCTGGTGTCCAGGAGGTGACTTGGATTATGAAGGCACCACAGGAGAGAGGCCGAAGAAGGCACTTGTGGAGAAGCTGATGGGCAGCTACCTGGAAGCTCTCATGAAGCTGGCAGCCAGCGACATGGCAGCCTTCAAGGCAGTCCAGGAGGTGAGGGCTCCAACATGGTTGTGCTCGTACAGACTTGACCCCTTCAAACCTCTGCTAAGATTACTCATGACTCGGAGTCACATGCATGGCAACTCCTGCTGCTGGTCTGCAGATGCATGTCGCCTCCTGGCAGGACCAGTCTGCAACGAGAATGATAATATAACATACATGGCTATGAAAAGACCAGGGCCTGCACCAGAGGCTACAACACATTGCAACCAGTCAAGCAGCCTTACTTGATGGAGGCACAACCATTAGCATGCTGGCTCGCCCACGTCATTTGCTGATCGGGACACTGCAACTCAATATCCAGCGAGTGGCAAAGCAGCAGAGCAGGAGATGTCGTGTGGCTTGCGGGCATGATACAATGTGAAGTCAGTGGCTAATTTTTGCACGACTGTCATGCTTGAGAACCTTACCAAGATGATCCTGATGCACATGCTGTGGTGTGCATGCAGGTGATGAACATGATGACAGGGCCTGACTCATTGATCCGCCCTGGACTGATGGTCAAGGCCCTGCGCATGCGCTTTGCAGAACTGCTGTCTGCATAGGCTCGGCTGCCGCAGTGGTGTTTACAAGCTTCCTAACGCGATGTAGATCAGCTGCAAACATACCTAATGCATGCTCTGGTGCTGCGAGCGGAACGCTGCCAAAAGTTTGCAGAGCATCAAGACAGTCTTTTCATTGCTAGATATAGAGAAGAGTGAGGTCTGTACAGGGTTGAGCAGAGAGCTAGAGTCAACATTTCAGTTGAAGACTGTACATCAACGAGCCATTGAATTGCAGTGGCGACTGGATAAGTGCACTAGCAGACGCAGGCACTTCAATGCATGCAATAAGCAGCCAGCCATATAGCGGCTCAGGAATTTAAAGAGAAAATTGATTTGCACTTGGGCATCTATGCTGAAGCAGTTAGATACGGGATTAGTCTTTTTTTTGTGGCGAATGCCTCTTTTGGACTGGAAGAGTAGATCCTCAGATGCTTTTCAAAGGTGAATATCAAATCTGAAGAAATCTCATGTTTAAGAGATAGGAGCAGAGTCCTGCGCCTTATGGCAGGCAAATAAGAGTCAGGTTTCTTGAGGCCTTCCCTGTAGCTTGCTTGTGAAAGTAGAGGCTTGGAGATTTCCATTGCTGGCGCTGGATGATTGAGACCATATTTGTCGGAGTTTGAATGCATGTACACGTTTAAACGTTGCCTTGCCTCATTCATACTAATACAAATTGGCAAACCTAAAGCCAAAGGCCATAGAGCATGCGCAGAGGGCGTCTGCAGCCACATTTGCGGGGCCTACAAAAGTCTGCAGCCTGGTCCCCTCATTGCATCTCAAAGACTGAAGTCTCATGCACTCCCCAAATTGGATACATGGTCATGACCCTTTAAAATCGACACCTGTGGGTTACCAGCAACGCAACAACCCTTGGGTGACGTTGAGCAGGGGCTCTATGTCTAAGTTATAGTATTGGACTTAGTGCCCCCTGCGTTGAGGGCCTTGCAGGAGAACCCAGATTTGGGGAGACATGTCAAAGGAAGGTCAACAGTCAATCATATAAATGGCAAAAATGGAATCAGGAAGTGCACCACACTTTCTTGACACGGGCAGAGGGGGGTACTTGCAGGTGCAGGCGGGGGAACTAGATGCCTTCGGGGGGCGGGCGAAACTAGATACAACTAGATGCGCCATCTAGTTGCATCTAGTTTGCATCTATCTTATTGGTCCGGGGCCATCTAGTTAATTTGCCAGGCACAATCGTGTGCCCACCGCCCTTCCGTCGTCACAGTCATCTCTTCTTTAATTTTAAGACAGTCAGGCGAGGGTTGTTAGATCGGGGGCGCGCGCTTCCTGTATGGAACGCGTGAAGACGGATGTGCGCTTGAGAGAATGGGAAAACACAGTTTCTTGGAGTCAGCCGGGAAGAAGCTGCGTGTTAGTAGAATGAAAACACACAACACATGGAGGCTGGTTACAGAAGAAGTCGGAGCGCGCCATCATACAGCCGCATGTTCTTCCGCATGCCAGCTGCAACGCTGGTGTACCGGCCAGAGCTGGAGGATTTCCATCTGCACGAGAAATTGGTGATGAGCTCCTGCGCTCTTCTTCCTGGTTGAACATGAACATCCTCAATGTTGCTGCACTCAAGATAGGTGCATGACCAATCAAGTGTGGGAGCAGGTATTCGTGTGGGATCCACTGGAGTTGGAGCCCCACGTTACTTTGAAGTGCCCCCACTGCGGCAACAGCGACCTAGAGAGCCACGGCTGGACCGAAAGGACAGCTTTCTGCGTCTTGGAGACAATTCTGGTGGTTTCCCGGCGCTATCAGTGCCGAGGAGGGCAGCATCAAGGTGTGATCTGGACTCAGGGCGTCACACTTTTCTTTATTTTTGATTTTGCTTGCTTTGCTTTGCTTGATTTCTGAATTCCTGGAAGTATACCAACATTTGCAGAAATTAATTTCACGATCATCCTTCTGTGCAGCCAAGGATGGCAGGCAGCCAACCCCTCAGAGTTTCTCCACACTGCATGCACCCCAAAGTGCTGGCCCAATTCAGCCCACAGCTGCAGGAGCTTTTCCCTTTGCAATTCAAAGAGACTTCAGCGGACAGCGATCGGGGGCCGGGGGAAAGGTGTTCACAAAGCAGCTCGTCAGCCGCATCCGGGCATGTGTCAGCAGGCGGCTGCCCACCGAGGCAGTCAGAGGGACCATCACTAAGGCCTATTATGAGAGGTATTGGGGTCTGCAGACCCGCAGATAAGCAGCTGATACGCTGACATATGATACGCGCAGCTGTCGCGCTCCCCAGTACCTCGCATAATAGGCCTTAGTGATGGTCCCTCTGACTGCCTCGGTGTGCAGCCGCTTGCTGACACATGCCCGGATGTGGTTGACGAGCTGCTTTGTGAACACCTTTCCCCCCGGCCCCCGATCGCTGTCCGCTAAGTCTCTTTGAATTGCAAAGGGAAGAGCTCCTGCAGCTGTGGGCTGAATTGGGCCAGCACTTTGGGGTGCATGCAGTGTGGAGAAACTCTGAGGGGTTGGCTGCCTGCCATCCTTGGCTGCACAGAAGGATGATCGTGAAATTAATTTCTGCAAATGTTGGTATACTTCCAGGAATTCAGAAATCAAGCAAAGCAAAGCAAGCAAAATCAAAAATAAAGAAAAGTGTGACGCCCTGAGTCCAGATCACACCTTGATGCTGCCCTCCTCGGCACTGATAGCGCCGGGAAACCACCAGAATTGTCTCCAAGACGCAGAAAGCTGTCCTTTCGGTCCAGCCGTGGCTCTCTAGGTCGCTGTTGCCGCAGTGGGGGCACTTCAAAGTAACGTGGGGCTCCAACTCCAGTGGATCCCACACGAATACCTGCTCCCACACTTGATTGGTCATGCACCTATCTTGAGTGCAGCAACATTGAGGATGTTCATGTTCAACCAGGAAGAAGAGCGCAGGAGCTCATCACCAATTTCTCGTGCAGATGGAAATCCTCCAGCTCTGGCCGGTACACCAGCGTTGCAGCTGGCATGCGGAAGAACATGCGGCTGTATGATGGCGCGCTCCGACTTCTTCTGTAACCAGCCTCCATGTGTTGTGTGTTTTCATTCTACTAACACGCAGCTTCTTCCCGGCTGACTCCAAGAAACTGTGTTTTCCCATTCTCTCAAGCGCACATCCGTCTTCACGCGTTCCATACAGGAAGCGCGCGCCCCCGATCTAACAACCCTCGCCTGACTGTCTTAAAATTAAAGAAGAGATGACTGTGACGACGGAAGGGCGGTGGGCACACGATTGTGCCTGGCAAATTAACTAGATGGCCCCGGACCAATAAGATAGATGCAAACTAGATGCAACTAGATGGCGCATCTAGTTGTATCTAGTTTCGCCCGCCCCCCGAAGGCATCTAGTTCCCCCGAAGCCTGACAGGAGGGCAAGGCCAGCCGCCAGGCGGTCAGCGGCTGACCGTCAGCCCACAAGGGAACGGTGCAGACGTGGGCCCCACATGGAAGCTGGTTGAGTAGCTGACTTCCGAGAATCTATAAGCTCGTCCCTTTCCTTAAAAAAATAGAGTGTGCCTCGTGTCGTGCGACATCATGGCTATCTGCAGTTCTCTTGCAGGTTCTGGAAAGGCATCGTGTGCACAGCAGCATCGTGCACGAGCCGTACCTATCCGGCAAGAACATCTCCTCGTACATCGAGTGTCGCCCCGTCTGGCATGTCGGGCGCCTCGTAAAATCCCACAGATGGCATTGGCCGTCCCAATTATAAGCGAAAATCAGAAGGGGCGACAATGAGACCAGCACTGCCACAGTGCCTGCCACCAGGGTTGTTGTCTTGGGCGGTTCCATAGCTGGTATGCTCGCTGCGGCTGCCGTCTCGCACTTCGTGGATGAGGTGGTCATGATTGACAAAGATGCCGCTTTGAGCGGCTCTGGCAGCGAAAAAAATCTCCGTGAGGTGGGCCTCCCGTACACATTTTCAAGCGAATGCTTCAAAGAAATGGCTGCAAAGGCTCATGCGCCGGCGATGATATTTGAAATCAGTGTGAGAAATATGCGGTTTCTGGCACTTCCAAGACTGCACACCTTTGTGACAGCACACACCAGCCCAGGTTCTTGTTGAGTGCAGATTAGACTTCAGGGCACTGATGCCCACAGCATTCTATGTTCTTGGCTTTCTTTGCTACCTTCAATATTGATTACATCCAATATAACAACGCAAACTAGTCTGCAGTCATGACACTGCAATTTTAATGCAATGCAATTGTATTTTCTACCGGAAGTGCTTTATTTCCAAATACCATGTGCTGTCCTGGTCGGCATGTTCAAAGTCGATGAGGTAGTGGCAAAGTGGCGGTTGATTCTGCTGTATTGTTTACCAGGGCGCGATGAGGGCATTAAGCGCTTTAGCAATCCCCTGCGCCAATACCTGCAATTCTTGCCGGTGAGAATGGCTATGTGGGCCAATGCTGTGCAGGAATTTTCCGCCTCGTCAGCCAAGTTGGTAGAGCGAGCAAAGATGCGCAAGGGGGTGCCGCAGTACATCCAACCCCATGGCCTGCTCTGCAGAGGTTTGCGCACTCTCCCGCACAAATTGCTGGCTTTCTTTCAAGAATGACTGCTCTGCTTCGGGCTTGTACCTGCTTGCAAGATCAGGGAGGGCAGCAAAAAATTGTTCACTGTGTGAAGCAAATACCGCCTCTACTGTGGAGCCAGCATACGCTTGATATTGAGTTCAAATCTAGATGTAGCTTTGAGTTCCCATCGTTCACATAAAGGCTCAACGTGACATGATCGGCAGATATGACGGCACTTGGTGGCTTGCAGCTGCGCATTCTGTGGAGCTGCTTCTGCCCGGGTGGCAGCAGCTTGCCAAAGACTTGGGCAGGATGGAGTCCAGCCCGGGGCGATGGAAGACGGTGCGCACCAGCCAGATACTGGACATGTAATACGAAATTGAACATGCGAGAAATGTGAAAAGTGAACATCTGCATGCACAGAGATAGCCTCGCAAAAAAGGGCCACAACAAGCAATCAGAACGATCAAAGCTTCCTGCAACCTGCCTCTATAGACAGCATGCAGTCGATGCAACGCTGCCAAATATTCTGTGCGCGATCATCCCGCGCCTAAAGCTGTTTTGCGGCTGTCACATCAACTTCTGCTAAACAATGACATGGCTGGAATGCATTTCTTTGGTCCGCCCAATCCTGGGAAACTGGGGACAATCTCTTTATGGCCTGCCCAAATGTAAATCGAGCTGCGAAAACAGAGGCTGAAAACAGCAGCAAATCGCTGATGGATGAAGAGACCAGGAATTCTTGAAGCGAGTGCCTACGTGCGGACCACTCTACTTGATTAAAGACGTGTGCTGTCCCCCTGCAGTGGTACAGGGGTGCATGGACGCACCACCCAGTGGACAACACTGGGCTCTTTACCCTCATGGGCTCGCGCGCACTCATCGAGGAGAGCATCCGCGCGCGGCTGACGGCGCTGCGGCCAAACGTGCACATTCATGGCGGCTGCTGGGCGGCTGCCCCGCTGTGGAGCACCGACGGCAGCTGCCTGGAAGGTGCGCTGCGCAGAAGGACATGACTTTCTTATTCAATATAATATATAAATCCGCATACTGTGTTTATGGTACACATCCGTGCACCAGAATGTGCAACGGTGCGCAGCATGCTTCTTGATGGAGCTACTTCACTACAACCGTGCATCGTTTGCTCTGCATAGCAGAGCGACACACTCCTGTACATTGAGCAGGCCTGCACTTGCCTTGTGTTTGCCCAACCACAGAAGGGAGCAGCGCATGGCATCCACATCAAGATCACAATGCATGCATGCAGAAGCCTCACAGGCCCAAGCACGACGAAGTCAGGATTCGTATTTCAGTGAGCTGTTGCAGGAACACTTGTGCCGAGACCAGCCCATTTTAAAAGATTGACAACAGTAAGTTCAGGCACATTCCAGATATATGTTGCTGCCTGTGGGCAGGGGTGGTGACTAAGGCCGGGCAGGAGTACCGGGCGGATTTGGTGATTGACGCGGCCGGCCGCCGTTCGCCGGTGCCGGGGTGGCTGGAGGGCGGGGGTTACGCCCCTCCCCCAGAGGTGGAGGTGGACCCCCATGTCACCTACTCCTCCCGCTTATATAGGCTGCCCCCCCAGGTAGGGCCCTATTTCCCTGCTCTTTTCCCGAGCAATTTACTCCCTGCAAGCAGTGGAAGACAGTCAATCTGGCCAGGGATTGCGGCTTTGGGGCAATGTAAGACAAACATTTGAGCGAGGAAATTACGTTGAAACACTACCGCAGGCTATTGCTTGAATGCAATTGTGAACAACGTCTCTTCCAGGAATAGGCAACAGTCATAATGCCATAAAGGGCACCAGGAGATCAATTGGCACATTGATGCCAGCGTGCCACACTTCAGTACCTTGCATCTTTCTTGCTGGCTGTTGCTTGAGAGAAACAGAGTGGAGCCAGAAAACATTGAAAGAAAGAATACGGCACTGAAGTAAAATTGGTTTTGTTTGTGCAGCACAAGCTGAGCAAGGACTGGGATGTGATATACATTCGCCCCACAGCGCCCATCACTCGAGGCGGCCTGCTGCAGAAAATAGAGAACGGAGCAGTTTTGGTGAGTGGTTTGATGCCCCTTACATAATCATGATCTTGGTCAGTGAGCATTTCCGCAAAAGCGATTAAGTTGAGTCGGCAGACAAGTTGCGAGGTCCCTCCCATACAGCTCCCAAGTTTTTTTGCTTATGTGCAGCGTGTGTAGCTGCATGTTCTGTGCATGCATGCAACAACCCCGATGACAAGTTCGGCTTTCATTTTGGCTGAATCGCATATCATTTCCCGGTCTTGTAGCCTGTCTTGCTTCATGTGGCATGCAGGAATGCCACAGCAGCTTGCAAGTCTGAAGTAAGTGGGCTTGGTTGGCTGTGCAGGGTTGTGTGTGGGGATACAGCGGGGATCACCCACCACAGGACGAACAAGGCTTCCTCGATTTTATCGCCTCCCTGGAAGTCAAGGACATGTATGAGGTGTGATTCAGCCAATTTCCAAATAACCGTTCCTTGCAAAGCGCTACGTCTTCCTTGTTTACAGGGTCAAGCTCCCTCAGGGAGAGCATCATTGGACATGCCCGGTTTGACCTTTCAATTCTTATTATTATTATTATTACACGGTTTTCCTGCCCAAAGGCAAGGTACGTCCTGCAGACAAGCTGCTATTAAAGGCTGCCACAAACTTACCCCTTGTTGGACTCGCCAGATCCAAGCAAATTCCAATCAAGCATGGGCACGGTGCTCAGTACTATACCGCCCCCCGCCAGCCGGAGGACCTTTCAATGAAGTGCATAAAATGCCACTGATTGCCACAGTGTCATTTGCAGTGTCTTGTGCCTCAGCAGCATGTCGGTATAACCGGACAATTGCTATTGATATGCAATGTTCAGGGCCTGAACAACTGAACAAGCCATCTCAGGCTTCAACTTCTGCATGTTACATAATAGAGCACAGGTAATTTGTGTGGGTGCGGGTTCGAGTGCAGCACAAGTCATCCTGCTGAAAATTGTGTCACATGTGCGATTTCAGGCTGTCAAGGATGCAGAGCCCCTGACAAAACCGGTGGCATACTCTGGCATGACTAATCTGAGGCGCCTCTACGAAGACATCCCCATGCCTGGCCGCCTGGCCGTCGTGGGACTCACTGGCAGGCTTCAACCCGGTAAATGTCCCATATCTCCTTGTTCCCCGATTAGAGAGGGGAAAATGAGGGGGAAACACATGAAGAATATAGAATAATCATTTGCTGAGGTTCAGAGACGGGTAAGCTAAGATTCACAGACAAGGAAGGAATCGGCTGTGGGCTCTCAAACCAACAAAGTCTTGAGCGGGCAACTTGCATGCGTATTGAGCATAGCCGCCGCAAGATTTGCCTGGGCACTGAATTGGGCGTAATGGGATCTTTTATGGGAAATAAGTGGTCATGAGCTGAGGAGATGAGCGCTAGTTTGTTCGGCTGTGCAGGTGTACGGTCAGGGCATCTGCGTGGCTGCTGTCGAGGCAGAGACCATGCAGAAATTGCTGCAGGTAATTTCTCCCTCCCGACCATCTATCCTTGCAGCTTGTACATGAGCAGCCTCACCCCGAACAAATGTGCTGCTCCACGTTCTTAAACAGGATATCTGCATGCTTGCCTGGTGCCTAGTGCTTCTGCACTTGAGCAGATGGAAGCTTAGCACTGCAGCTCCAATGTCTTTCTCCCATGCATGGATCCATTGTGGTGATGTTGCGAGGTGTTGTCATGTCATGTCCCCAGGAGAAGGCAGGGGATTTGGGCAAGGTTACAGCAGCTGATCTGGGCTCATTGGCCTCTCAGTACCAGGCGCTGGCCAAGCACATTGTGGACTTCCCCTTCTCAGTCTCCACAGGCTTGTCCACCCTCATTAATTATGTTAATCTCTCCTTTCTCCTTTGTTTATTTATTTGGTCGCCAAGTGCGTTGTTAGCTGCCGCTGCCTTGCATGGCGGCGCATGCATGCAAGAACTGTTGGTCTCCATGCATCTTTGCTTGCTCTACGTTTGCATGCTGCGCTGTCAGCAAGCCCACAAGACTCCTCGAGGAATGATTACAATATGAGATTCTATGCTGACTCTGCTTATGTAATCATGCATCATGCCAGGGGGTGACCTGGATTATGAGGCCACGACGGGAGAGAGGCCCAAGAAGGGACCAATGGAGAAGCTGATGGGCAGCTACCTGGAAGATCTCATGAAGCTGTCAATCCGGGACCTGGCCGTCTTCAAGTCCGTCCAGGAGGTGTGTAGGTTTTTCTTCGCATTCAGAACTCTCGTTCCATGAATTTCACAGCCTGTCAGTATGATGTCAATTCCAACGAGAGGCAATCTCATCGCATGCTCAAAAGTCCCAGCACACCTGGACTCTCTAGTACATCCTAGCAAGTTATTATTAATATCTCAGCAAGTACCTCGGAAAGTGCCGCAATCTGATGGCATGGAACACTCTATGGGGTGTGACTAATGGGTTTGGAGGGTTAACAAAGAGGAGGTGCTGTGACTGCAGGTGCTGCAGCTGATGACTACGCCTGACTCACTGGTCCGGCCGGAGCTGATCGCCAAAGTGCTGCGTATGCATGTCATGAGACAGCTGTCTGCACAGCCCTGAGCCGCCAGAAACTCTCTGTATTTCAGAATCTGCAGCTGCCAGGAATACAGATTTGAATTGAGGGGGCTTCACCCGTCAGCTATGGACAGCTATGTATACAGCTGTATAGCAGGCAGTTTGTCTTCCGACACATGCATTCAAGAAAGCACGGTCCAAGTGTCACTTTAATTGGCTTGCTCCCTTGAAGTTCCATGGATGCCACTTCAAGTCGGCATACTTTGATAGATCTTAATTGCTTGGCAATACTTGAGCTCTGCATCTTGCTATCGAGGCAGGCTATGCCCGCCTTTTGAGTCTGGAGAAATTTTTGGTGCGAGAGATGTGCTCTGTGCCTCACAAAGTCGAGCCTTTCTTTCCTGGACTGCATCTGTTTTGAGTCGATTGGAGCTTTCCTGGGGACCTTGGCTCCGGTTTTTGGCTGTTGTTCTAGTAGATTTTTGTCAGCAGCGAGTATGCAAGTGCTATCCTGAGGATGGAAACACAAGAAAAAACACGTTGGAAACTTTTTGGATGGATAGGTAGACCTGCAGAATTCTGTTGGACATTTTGTGCATGACTTCTGCATAATAACGTAGGGAATTGAAGAGGCTGTACCTTTAAGAAATTGGCAGCACACGTGCTATTTGCCATGTAAATATTGTCCACAAACAGTGATAGCTAACCTACTTGCTTGATGACCATTCTTCCTTGTAGCATGTCCCTGTAGCTGAATCTTTTACCACGTACGGTCAGGCCACAGCCACACCCCAACCACACAAGCATAGTAATAAACTCAACACCCCTGAGAGGGTCACCTAAGGTCTAAATAAATTCCTAGGATCACAATTTCTCGACTCTGCTAAAAGACTCGCAGCCATGTGCGGAACAAACTTGGTTTGGAGCAACACATTTTGTCCACACGGTTATGCAGCCCTTTCTCCGGCTTGGGCGCTTGCAATGCCTTTATGTCGTGCATTCTCCCTTCTCTCAAGAAATCAGATTCACTTGACTGAGTGTTGTGCTGACGTGGCATGCTACAGCTCCAGTGTTTGGCGGCCCAGGAGGTTTTCGACGCCGTCAGCCCTCACTCGGTTTGAGTAATAGCCAGATCTTGCGTCACCATACGCCGCAGCCGCCGTGCCGGGACGCTGCGCCAAAGTTTGCGGTGCTGGAGTCCGGCGAGCGTCCAACTGCAACATCACATTTTTCAGTTGTTATAATTGTTATGATTATTATATTATTGTTCTACTTATATTTCTTATAGTCATTACATGCTTGTTCCAGCCCTCTCTAGGTGCGTTGCAGCAACCTCTCGATAATTGACTCCAGCCTTCCTTGTCTTGGCATCCTCTCCACCAATAGCACATGCATGCCAGGTTGAAAGAGGCTTCTGCTTTGTCCGAGACCCGCAGTTCTGTCTGCACAACCTTACAGGTAGTTACAAAACACTGCAGATATAATTGTCGGGGTCCCGCTCAGGGGTGTCCAATGAGAGGCTCCTTTCTTAAAAAGTGCCAATGCTGAGAAAGTCCAGCGCGAGCAGGATACTCAAATGCGGTGGACAGCGCAAGGGACAGAAACTTTTATATTTTGGGTGCAACTCTCAACAAAGAGTCTCTTTACAGATGAATAAAAGGGGCTTGTGTGGGTGTCCAAATGGGGGCCACTGGGGGCCGATTCAAGCCGAAAACCCACATGACAGCCGGAATTGTGATCCAAACAAGCCGGAAATGCCCCTGGTATTGATAGCATGTCAGTGCTGACAGCGAGTGCCTTGAGGCACAAGTTTTGCCAGAGTTTGCAAAGTGCAATTGCATGGTTATATTTTTCCCCAATGGAGCGCACCTTATACCGGGGCCGCGAAGCCTGCAGGTCTAGCAACGGCACTGGGTAGCCGGCTAGTAGGCTGGTTGCTGCGCCAGGCTGGCGCCAGCTGTGCGCGCTGCGCTGGCGCACGCCGGGGTCCACGTCAGCCTGAGTCAGCCCTGCATGCAAGCAGGCCTCATTATGCAGCTGGGCAAAAAATAAGAGCAAAATTATGCACTCGGGTGGTGAGGCAATATCCTGCTAGATGTGAGAGAGAGTGATGTGCTCAAATTTTGTCACAGCCCCAGCTCTCCCACGCAACCACCGAGCCATGTGGTCCTGGTTTTGGGTCTTCTGGCTGTCTGCTTTGACTGGAGTACATGGCTCTGCATTACTGTGATCCTTGACCCTCTTGTGCTGGCTCAAGGCGACAGTCCTTTTTCCCACGAGGTCATTCAGAGGTTGTTATGCCCACCGTCACTAAAACCAGCCCTGCAAATGGAGCAGCAGTGTGCTTTTTGTTACAATTCTGCATGCAGAAGAGTCCCAGCTCTTCGACTGGCGGGGTGCGGCTGACCTGTGCCGACGCACATGACGCGCAGGTGGGTCGCCACGAGCGCGCTGGCCGGCGGAGTTCCCTCTCCCATCAGCTTCCTGCGCGCCGCGTCAGCAGCCACCACCGTCGCCGACGCCCCCTGCTTGCACGTTGCCTGTTCTGGTTCACATTTTTCTCAACCTGACAGTGTGTGTTGCTCTGCACCCTGGGGCCTCAGTCGACTCCTTGTTGGGGCAACTCTATCACATGACGTCAAAGTGATCTGGACTTGGTTACATCAGGCAGCGCAGCTGTCAGGGGCAAACAACGGGCTGATGCCCATCAGACTCTCAGAGTCAAGTGCGATTGAAGCCAACTTGTTAAAAGACTTATACTCTTGATTCACAGGCGATTGAAAGCAGCTGCCAGCGGCCTTGTCACTATGAGAAAGCCCCGTGGGTTGCAAGGGTGCTGAAGCATGCTGAATTCGGGTCAGCACTTGCGGCGGTTTCTTGGAATTTTGATCAGCTTTAGATAAAATACAGGTAGCTTCAGATGCATGCGTCGGAATCTGGAGTGACCTGAAATTAGCTCATCTTTACTGATATTCAATGTCAGGCGCAGGCAGGTTGGGGCAACCGGAGCTGGACAGTGGAAAGTGGGAGTAGGCATGCCTGCAGCTCGTAGCCTCGCCTTGTGCTGGCGGCAGCTGCGCTGTACATTCGCTTGGATGCCTTCCGCTGCGACTCATCCTGCATCCCCGTGAACCCCTCCTGGCCCATCACGTCCCTGCGGTCCGGGGGCAATAATGGTCTCTTCCCTAGAAAGCCGATTAGAAAAGGAGATGGGCACAAGACTTGACTGTGGGCCTTGGAGGTCAATTTGAAGAGTGCAGCACTTACAGGCACGCTAGAATGTGAACCCACTGTGTCACAATAAAAATAAGCGGCTGTTAAAGGGTGATGGCACTCTGTGGCTGCACTGTCTGTGCAGTGCACCCTTCAGTTGCATGGCAAAATGGCACCCGTCTGGTTTCATGCAGGCGACCAGGGCTGGCCCAGGGACAATGTACAATGTCCACAGTCTGAATTGATGGGTCAATGGATGTCAGGGACTTGCGCACCGCCGCTTGAGCAGGGGTGAGTAGGGTGAGTGGCAGCTCAGGTGAGCCCGGCTGTTGGAGGCTTCTTTCCCCTCTGCCGGCCCGGCAGTCTTTGCCTTCAGTGGGGTGTTTCGCCCGTGGTACCTTGTCCCCCCAAGCAGCCCTGTTCCAATGCAGGAAAGTGCTGAACGGTGTTCTTAACTTCGGAAATAAAGTGTAATCCAAAAAGAGCGAGGGATAAAAGTGTTAGTTCCTTCTCTGATCTCGGAGGAAATTTGACCTGCTGCGTCGTTAGGCGGCAGTATCCGTGGGGCTTTCTGGCGCTTATGGGCAAAGGCGTTCTTGGTGGTCCTGTCCCATATACCGTCTACCTGCAAAGTAAAAGACAACAATTTACCAAAAAGTCTTCATATTCAACAAATCGCAATACAATTTAACGAAGCGGTGGCTTACCTTGTCACGACAAGATGAGGATTTTGTAGCAGGAAATGGTGATTGTGGAGTGCTCTGGGGATGCTTCTGATGGGTTTGCACCTTCTGAACCCTGCAGGAAAAATTATTGTGTGGGAAATTTGACTATCATAAGCATCGATATCTTCTCCTACACAAATGCAAGGGTGCGTCGACCTGTCCAAGAATTGCGGTGGCTTCAGTCTCGGTGTGAGGATCCTCGACTCTTCCAGCACTCGGCCAGACATCTCCATCAAAACTTGCCAAAAGTATTTGGGATGTTGAATGAATATAGAACTTTGACGTCACGCACAGCCCTGTGCTTCATATATTTACTAGCTATTTTTAGAGACACTTCTGCGTGTGTCGCTTTGCTGCTCGAACAGGCAAAGTTTATGTCACACGCTGAATTGAGCACAGATCAAATATGTGCAGTGAAGGATCAGGAAAGTGGACGCTCGTATTGCTCTCTCTCCTATCGGATGCTTGGATACTCAGGTGCACGTGGCCACGTGGGGTACATCAATTCCCTCCTGTGGCCCTTCAATTATCGCGATCGCTTCTGGCATGCATGTGTCCTTGCAGCACGTCTTCACTTGAATCCAGGACGTCCCAGCTAGATTTAGCAAAGCATTTATATACACGTCTCTCGCACGCTCAAACAAGAGCCCTCACATATGTTGTACAAACATTTAATATTGCATAACTAACATGGCTGCCCAAGTACTATGAATTAATCCCCGCACACACCCTGCTACATAGCAAGTTTTTCACGGTGAAGTTCTGCCAACACAAAGATGTTCATAGAGTACAGCGTATTTGTGGCAGTATGTCTCAGCTTTGGCTGTTGGAATTGCCTGCGCATAGCCAGGCAGTCTGCTTGCCAAATGATCCCACACACTCTCCTCTCCTCTCCTCGGCCAAAACTGCGACGCTCCCAAAGCTGCTTGCTCGGACACGATGAAACCATCGACGCCCAAGCAAGTAGTACCAAACTCACACCACTACAGGAACTCTGCAGATCGCTTGCCCAATGATACTGCATCAGTGCCAAAGCAGCCAGCACCCACTCACGGCGTTCCTAGCATCTCCAGAAAAGGAGAGGCCTCGCCAATTAGGCATTGCAAATCCCCGTGCCAGTCCTTGGCATTCTGAGGAAAGGAGATGCAAGGAGACACGCAATCAATGCAAGCGCCTGTGCAGGTTCCCAGCATTCATAAATCCTCTGCCTCAACATCTAGCACAGCATTAGCAGCAGCCGCCTCCCTCTCGGCGGCCCCAAAGGGCGCCGTTACGACCCCAGGCCGCGACCCGTTACGGTCGGCGGCCAGCGCGCGTTTGAAGCGCGCCAGCCCCGGCCGGCCGGCAGCGGCGCCGTTGGCCGCCACGATCCGCGACAGCGCGTCCGATTCCTGCGCCACCATGCCACTTTCTTCAGCGTTCCTAACCATGACTGATGAGGAACTCGAATTCCAATTGACTTTGCCAGCCTGGGTCTCGATGGCCTGGCTTTGCCTCTCACGCGCTCAATTGCAGGGGATCTCCAGCTGCAGGACATTTGGTCGTTTGTGCTTGTCCTGCAGCTGCAGACTTGGACATTCGGTCGGGACAATTTGGACTGAAGCAAGAGAGTGCCCCTCCGGTACCTCACCTGAGGGCCTAAGACTCCAGGATGACACATATGAATAGAAGAGTGGGGGGCGCGCCTCAAGAGAGAGGGCGATGGAGATTGGGATTGGAGCGCCCTGCTGCAGGCGAGCGACCTGCCCCTTGGCGCGCAGCAGCTGCTCCTGGGCGTTCAGCACCACCTGTTCCACGCGTTCCCTCTCCTCCAAGCTCGCCGACCGCACTGTCGCCTCCTGCGCCCACAGCAGCACATGCTGACCCCAGTATGATAAATATACTTAGTACGTTCATTTACCTTTCGCACCCCTGTTTTGATGACACGCTGCAGACATAGGGCTCATCTGGGTATCAGGGTCCAGAGTATCGAATCAGACAACAGCAATCTGGGACAACTTCCAAAGAGTGCCGGATTCAGAGATGAACACGGTTCACTTGCAAGTAGATGCACGGCAACGGCCCCCGCGGATAAAGCAGAGGTGCAGGGATCAGGTGTTCGATGTCGAGCATGTGCCTTGCCCAAATGATCAACGCGGCACCTTACCCGGCCACCACCGCGCCGCAGAGTGGGTGTGAATGGCAAACCCCACTCCAACATCCCCACTTGGACATCGTTCAGTATATGTATGATGTAAGAGAGAAGCCCTGCTACAGTCTGAGCGCGCACCTGGTGGCTGTAGCACTGCGCCAGGGCCTGCTCCAGCCTCATGACGAGTGTGAGGGCGCGCTTCAGCTGCTCGGCCCGCGCCTCCTCTGCCGCAGCCGCCGCCTCCGCCGCAGCGCGCTTTGCAGTGGCCACCGCCGATTCGCGCCGACGCGCCGGCGCCTTTTTCGGCGCCGCGCCTGCGGCTGGCGGCTTTGGCGCCGCCTGCGGCCGAGACACATTCATTTTGGACTGTTCATCACCGCAGATAGCCCATATTAGCGAGAGTCTAGACCAGACACATTCATTTTTGACAAACCATTTTGCACCGCAGTAATCCCATGTGAGAGCCTAGACCGGAGACACTTGACTGACAACGTTCCTGCCAATATGGTCCCGAATGCGACCTCCATTGACCGCAATGGGCCCCACCTTTCGTCTGCTGGGCCGCGGTGCAGGCGGCTCTGCAGTGGGGCCCTCGGCGACGATCGTGCCGTCACCATTCCTCAGGCCTTCCACGAAGCCGAGCGATATTCGGAAATTGGCATCTACAGTGCGTGCCTGCTCCCGTGCATGCTCTTCCTTCTCCGCTGCCTGTGCAGCGAGTCAAGAGTCTAACAAAAGGCACTAATAAGAAGTGTTGGCGAGCTACCCTGTAGCCCAGCTGTAGGGAGGAGGGCCCCAAGCCAAGCAAAATGCTGCCTGGGGCAACCAGCATGCATAGTGCACGCGTGATTTCTCTTTGAAAAGGGCTGTTGGCAATGTATTTATACAAGGGGGCCGTAGGCACCTGTCGCCTGGCAGCCCGCCGAGCCACCTGCGCAGCAGTCGTGGCAGCCGCGGTGGCTCGCCTCTGCGCCAGCATCTCCTCAATCTCCTCTGGGGTCAGCACGCCCAGATCCACGCCCTCCTTCTTCAGCAGATTCATGTTGACCCCTCGGGAGATCTTTGCCTGCCCATGACACAGGTCCAGGTCAGGGCTGTAATTTGACGGGTGTCTTTCTGGGTTTGGTACAAGCATTACGGCCTTGCGTGACGGCTCCCTGAAGGCAGTCAAAATGGAGCTGATTGTGAATAGGTATGGCGAACTTGTTGCGGTAGACAGCAAGGACTTGCAGACTCCGGAGAGGGTGTGCTCTGTAAATTCTGGGAGACTGCCATGCATGTGCGGACAATTGTGAGATTATGTGTTTGGCAAATGGGCATGAAAGTGCATGGGAAATAGCGTTTGGCAGCCTGTGCAAGGATGAGCAGTCTCACCCGCGATTCCGCAGTGTGCATCTGGGGCTCATGCATGGCGACCAGCTTCTTACGCACCGCAGGATCCTTCATCGCCTTCATCGTGCTCTGCCTGATCTTCTCTATAGTCTCTGCAAAGACAGCAGCCCACATCTTGCTCAGCCATGAACCCATGCCACGATCACAATGCCACTGTAACCATTGGTGCCCATCATCAGATCATGCATGCGCGCTACTGTTGGAGTAGCATATCAATTCCAAAGGATCAATTCTACGGGTGTCAAACTCCTGCTTGGGCATGGCAGATATCATACCTGGGGTGTGTTTGCGACCGGCGTTCCAAGGGACCCTGCCCTTGTTGGCTTGGCTGATGCGCAGTCTGCGCAGCCTCTCGGCTTCGCAGAGGCCCTCTGTCTCTCCTGTTCTGAGCTGCCGAAGGACCTCCTTGCGCGACCGCATGGCTGGGTCAATCTCTTTTGTGCTGCGCTGCCTGGTCAGATCCTCTTTCAACCTGATTACAACGCTGCTGGCCGAAGCCTCAGACGTGCTCCCCTCTTCCCCAGTGCTGCCCAAGCCTGAAGCAGGTCCCAGGGTGCCACTTGCTGCAGACTTCACATTCTGCCTGCTATCGCCAGACACCGCTCCGTTGCTGAACGCTTCGTTGACGAAGGGCCTGTCTGTGCCAGTCACATGGGCAGGTGAACGGCCGGAGGGACCTGCCCCGTTTGAGCTCTCTGCTCTGATGCGTGGAAGGCTGAGATCGCCTTCCGCAGCAACCGCGTTTCCTAGCATCTCCAGGCCACCGATCTTTCCCATGCTGCTTTCCCTACTATCTGTGTGCAATTCTGCTGTAGCAGAGCCCCTCGCCCGACTGGCTGCCTGAAATCTGCACATGAGCTGTCCATCTCTGGGACCACGTTGCGCTGAATTGGGGCAATGTTGGCCTTTTCGCAGTAGAAGGAACGCTTTCAACGGTCTTCTTCGTATAAATTGATTGGACTGCAAAGAAAATTGCGCGCTGGGACAGTGCAGGCCAGCAGATGTGCACCTTGGCACCTCTAAAGGCGTCTCAAACAATGCAGCGGACATGTGGATCGTATTCTGATCTAGACGAACAACAACTAATCGTGCACAAGTTTTATAAGATGCAGAGGCGCAATGCCTGACCTACAGACAACGGAGGCTCTGTAATCAGTCATGTATGACTAACAGTAACGGCATGCTTTGTTTTGGCTGCCCAATCACTGCTTTTTTTGTGGCGGTGCACAGCAACTGGAAGCAAATTAAACGTGTCGGGATTGTCTTGGCAATGGGTGTGTAAGCGCGCAATAGCGGACGTGTGCGAGGTAAGGAGTAGGTGCGCGACTTGTGGCATTCTCAAAGGGGAATCACAGTTGTAGGGCAAACAATACTCTTACAAGCTTTGGTAGGCTGCGGAACACCCATTTGGACATTTCTGTAAGGTTTGAGGAGCTATTGATAGCTTCTGATACGGACATGTTGGTGCAGGATCGAAACTGAGAGGAACGCCACGCTTTTGTGCCTTCTGGAAAGAACGCCGCCTGAACAACTCGCAGGCGTCCGTCAAGAGGTGTGCCTTCTTCTTTGCCGAAGACAGCTTTTCCCTGCTCCAAATTTACCAGCAGACAGGCTCGACGACTCTGCTCGGCCTGGCTGTCGTGGTGCTGGGACAGCGCTGCGTGCCAGCGCCGGGTTGTCCAGCGCTCACAACACCAGTGATGCCGCAGGTCTGATCGTCGTTTCCTGCGAGTCCATTCGAGTGCGTTCAGGATGTCTATGGGCCTCGATGCTGCCCCCGGCGAGATGCCAGGTGCGCTTTCGTCTTCTCAAAGGTTATGCAGTCAAACCTGAAACAGTCTTGCCTCGTGGGAGTTACAGACGGTGATCCCGACAGTGTACTGCTTCGGTCAGAGGCTGAAATCGTCTCTCGATGAATGAAAAACCCCCACATTACCTGTCTCGACTAGCTTTGCAAGTGTCCTAGCGGGGATGGCTGATAAGTCTGGGCCCTGATCCACCAGGTGACCTAGGAACGGTGCTCCCAGAGACCATGGCCACCCAGAGGCCGATGGTGGACAAGAAGAAAAGGAAGGAGTGTGAATCGGAGGGCTGCACCATTGTCCCTGTGTTCAACTACCAGGGGGAGAGCTCTGGGAGATTCTGCAAGGCGCACAGGTGGGGCCCATTCCTACACTCCCTTCAAGGCAGAAATGCATGCCCGAATGGTCAGAGTCACATCTTCATGTATCATCACACTGCAGCCAGGCAGATCAAGATGGCAACACTGAAAGTTGGACTCAGGCCAGAGATTGCAGATGCTTGGCCGCCCTGTCTTGCATAGTTTTCTATTGTGGCCCTGTTCAATATGGTTCGGCTTGTCACCCAGAGGCTAACAGAAGGCAAAGTACTTAGAACTTCAAGAGCAGCAGATAGAACGAGACTGCTGGATGCAGCCTGGAGGGGATGGTGGATGTGAAGTCTCGGCGGTGCGCGGCGGAGGGATGCAATAAGTACCCGGCGTTCAATGTGCCGGGGGAGAACACCGCGCGCTACTGCGGCGACCACCGGCAGGCCGGCATGATCGACGTGCACAACAAGCGCTGCAATTCCGAGGGCTGCATAAAGCGCCCCACCTTCAACTACCCAGGCAAGGACACCTTCCTTGCCACCTCTGCACAGGGACAGGCCCTTTTGCACACCCCATCATTCGCCATCCTGCTGGGACAGCAAATCTGCTGTGATCTGCAAGGGCTCAGGACACCATACTGGCCCCCAATTGGCATACTCCTGCTTGCTTGAGCTTTCTCCCATTTGGGCCCAGCTTGCCGGACCGATCTGAAGAGATACCGAGAAGGCCCACACCATCTTGTTCAATGTCTGTATGTTGCATAACCCAGTAGAAATTTGTGTAGCGGGCTGACAGTGTGTGCTGGCTACGGCAGGGCACACGGCGGCGTACTGCGCGGCGCACAAGATGGAGGGGATGGTGAACAACCGGCACAAGATTTGCCAGTTCCCCGGCTGCACCTCGCACGCCACCTTCAAGCACATGGGCGACATTCACGCAACCTTCTGCGGCCAGCACCGCGAGGACTCCATGGTCCAGGTGCGCCGCTCGCTGCCCTGTCCCCTGCTACTCTTTCCCCCTTTGCAGCTGCACCGCAGGGGGTTGCATATCTTACTAGTTGGATATAACTGTGCACCGGCTGGAGTCTTCTTTCCAACCAGGAAGATCCTGCAGATGGCTTTATGGGCATTGAGCAATGCAGGTCTCACCTGCTATGGAGTATGCAAAGTCTCCATCATTCCTTTGTCTCCAGGTTGTTGAGGGGTGTCGTGGCAAGCACAAGTGGGGTGATGTCCCACACACATTATGACTCCCTTGTGGGCCTTAGATCTGGATTAGCTCCAACTTGAGAAGCAGCAGATCTGCTAGTACTCCCTTTTGGAAGTTGCGCAAGTTACAGCAGCAGTTGTGCTCCTTGGAGTTCGGGTGCTATTAGTTGTCAATGAGAAGGTCTCCTGGAAGGAATTCAGAGGACTCCAGAGGCAATGGGGTCAGTCTACTGACAATGCTATGCATGCATGCGCAGGCGCGCAGCCGGCAGTGCAAGGCGGATGGGTGCGGCAAGCGGCCGGTGTTCAACTTCCCCGGGGAGCGGCTGCCGGTGTTCTGCCAGAACCACAAAGAGCCCAACATGGTGGACGTCCTCAACCGCCTCTGCACCTACCCAGGTACCCGCACTCACCCTTGTCTGGCCCCCTCTTTCCCACATGTCCGTCAACCTGATACAGGTTCAAAATGACCACCAGAGGTGGCTGTTCTGCATCGGTGCGGGCAGTCAGGCTGAGTGAATATATCCTGTTTCAAGCTCACAAATTCCATTATGTCTTATGCGGATTGTACTCACTGCGCCTGCTGCCTTGATTTGCGCTGAGGCACAGTTCCCTCTTTGGCCTATTGGGTTAATTGATAGATTGGTGTCCAATTCAGCTCGCCCACCTGGCTCGATGAGCATCTTCCATGCTTCCACTCAGGCTTTGCTAGCTCTGTGAGCCCTGCCTCTGTAATCCACGTCTCAGTGGCAATCTTTCATGGACATAGCGCCCATGAAGCATCTCCACACTGACCATCTGCTGCGATGTGGCGCGCAGGCTGCAACAAGCTGCCGAGCTTCAACATTCCGGGCAAGACACCGGCGGAGCGGTGCGGGAGCCACCGTGAGGAGGGCATGGTCAACGTGCGCCACCGCGTCTGCCAGCACGACGGCTGCGGCACCGAGGCCAAGTACAACCACCCGGGCGAGCAGCAGGTGCGCCCCACATGCTGCCATCTGCACCTCGTTGAATACCGCTCTTTCACAGGAGAACCTTGCAACACTGAGGCCCTGTAGTTCTGAGGTTCATCAAGTGGGCCGGAAGCCTTCTGGGTCCCGCAGGAACACCAAACAACGCAGTATCATATGCAATATTCAAACATGGAAAGGGCTTTTGGCCATTTTGGACGGTGCCGGCATAAGCTGAAGGCCGTGAGGTGGCCGCAGGCCACAAGTTACATATCCACGGAAGCAGGCGGTGCTTCCCTGTGAAGGGAAAATCAACTAGGGAAGCAATTTGTTATGTTGATCGATTTGTTTGGGGGTCGGCAGGGCGCGTACTGCGGGCAGCACAAGCTGAAGGACATGGAGCGCGTCAACACCCGCCGCTGCTCCATGGAGGGCTGCGACAAGCGCGCATCCTTCAACGTCCCCGGTCAGCATTTGCCACCATGTCTCCATTGCCCTTTACTAGGGGGATCAACAGAGATGCTCTGCTGCTCTCCCGCACTCGATAGAACCCATACCGCTGTATGGTTTATGTCGATGGATCGAGCCTCTTGCTTAGGATACAGGGTGTTTCTTGCGGTTTCTCAACATCCAGCACACGCCCTGCCTTCGTTGGTACGGGATGGTTCAGGCACAGGTGCTGAGGGGTCTTGGGAGTGCGCAGGGCAACCGGCGCAGTACTGCGGGCAGCACAAGAGCAGCGGCATGGTCGACGTGGCCAACCGCCGCTGCGAGGCCGAGGGCTGCCACAAGGTACGCTGTTCCCTACCCACGCACTTTCCTCGCATATTCCCCCTCACCTCCACAGCCTAGGGTGATTTCACGTTTGTCTGGGTTTCGGGGTCCAAGAAGTGTTCCATATTTGGTAACTCTCCTCACTGGATAAATCGTAGTCTGGGTGATTGCCGGCACAACAGCAATCATACATCTTCCCTGCTGCTAGGGTCACTGAATATTTACTATAAGTCCCCCCGTGCTGATGCTTGCCCTCATCTGTATCCAGCGAATTGTTAAAGGGATGTACCTCCAGCAGTCCTGTCGAATGCAGGTCTCTTTTTCGGATTGCACTGACGCCATGTGAAATTCTACAATGCAAGGTAAAAATTCCAACAGTGCAAGAACTCGTAACAGAGAGCAAATGTGCACGCGCAGGCGCCGGCGTTCAACTTCCAGAACGAGAGCCGGCGGCGGTTCTGCGCGGACCACAAGGTGGAGGGCATGGTCAACCTGCGCAAGAAGCGGCCGCGCCCAGAATCCGACGCGCTCGCGCCCATGCCCGGCACCGGCCAGCCCCAGGTGCGCACCGTGAGAACACTACACCATCCAATTTCTTGGAAGTGCATTTGCGTGGGCGGCTGTGTAGCTGTCGTGTCTGGGGTTTTAATCTCGGCACGCCCGGATAATGCAGAGCTTCGTGAATTGAGGTGATATTGTTACAAAATCTTTGGGTCCTTGTGCCTGCTGAAGGTCTTGCTGTGCGGCCTGCATTCAACGGTAACGCATCCTCATCCCAGGCATTGAGTGCATGCAATGCAGAGGGGGCAGTTTTAACTGCTATGTGCACTGAAAGCAGCACAGGCAGATCCGAGTGATCGGGCATGAAGCTTGTCACAAAGCCAGAGATGCCCAGCCTCGGTTGGTCATGGGGGGTGTCTTATGTGCACCCATGCTCAAGCCAATGGGTGCTTTCAGGTGGACGAGTACATCGGAGAGCCGCCGCAGCAGTTTGCGTACCCAGAGGAGGCCGCAGCGTACGCGCAGGCGGCGCAGCAGCAGGCCGCAGCCGCAGCCGCCGCGCAGATGGACAACCAGGTGCTGCCAGACCTCCCACACTGCGCACCCATGCCCTGTACCCTCTGTGCTGTTCAGTTGACGAAGGGCCATTCTTTGCTCGGCTTCAATTCCACGGCTGGAAAAAGCACACTCTGGGTGTTATCGTGGCGAGGAGCGCAGGGCAATCTTTTAACCAGATTTGAAGCGGGACTTTTGTAATTGAACTGAAATGCTTGCAGGCGGCGCATGCGAGCGCGGAGCAGCAGATGGCGGAGAGCATGGCGCAGGGCTTTGTGGGGGGACCGGGGGTGCAGTGGGGACAGTTCCCCTTCAACATGGCCCCAGAGCACCTGCAGGCACTCGTCAACAGCGGCGCCCTCAACCCTGAGATGCAGCACCTGCTGCAGCCCTCCGTCACCCAGGTGCGCTGCGGCTCTCACGCTATTACTACCATTACTGTCACTACTGGTCTGGTAGTGACCAGTGAGCTACTGGTCATTACCAGACCAGTAGCTCAGGTCTGTATGCAGTAGACCTGAGCTACTGCATACGAGGCATGCAGTAGCTCTCTTTGCTACGGCATGCCTAGTTTTTTGGTGGGGTACCTGATGGAACAAATTGGCACGAACAGATGGCTACAATGTGATGGGTATCTGGCTGGGACCACAGATTGTTGGTAGCCCACTGTGTCAAGAGAGCAGCGGATGCCTCGGATACTGATTCTCAGGCCTATTTTGTCTCGCTTCTGATGCGGCAGGCAGCGTGTCATCCTTTGTGTGGCACTCTAGTGTTGTCAGGACGACAGCAGTTTGTTGCAGTCCTGACTTCCACATTCATGCAACGCACATATTCAATCGAAGTGACCCTTGAAAGATTGCTCTTACCGTACTTGCAGCAGCCCATGGCGCCGCATGACCCGCAGCAGCACGCAGCGGCGGGAGGCTACCCAATCACGCCGGAGATGCTGGCAACGCTGCATCAGATGCAGACCGCGGCGGCGCCCGAGCAGGTGCCGGGAGCGCACGTGCACATGCCGGCACCTGCCGGGGGCGTGGCGGCACCCGCCGCGCCAGAACAGGACGTCATGATGAGCCTGTCGACCCAGGAGCAGATGGCCAACCTGGCCGCCCACATGGGGCAGCACCCGGAGCACCACAAGCCCGACCAGGTCAGCCTCTCAATTATACACGCACACTTGACACATGTTGCCCACGTGCAGCAAGCCTCATTACTGCTGCCGTGTCACCGCAGCCTGTTCGGCGTTTAGCATGCGTATCTACTGCGGCTCTGTACTTCATTGCATCTTTGGTTATGCTCATATACCGTAGCGTGCATGCCTGGGGCACTGACCTGGAGTTGGTTCGCGCAATGTGGCTATAAAGCGGTGTCCTTGCAGTGTCTGCTAGAAAAGTTCGGCTTTGAAGTATCCTTGTTGACCGCAGATGAGGCCTGTGAGGCTGCAGCATGTGCTCAACTGCTCTGAAAGAGGGCTCCTTGGCCTGTGCAGCTGCAGGGCATGAGCGCAGAGCAGCTGCTCTCAATGGGCGGCTACCACCAGGGCTTGCAGCAGATGGTCCCCGACCAGTCAGCCCCCACACACATGGACCAGCAGCCACCTCAGCAGGACATGACTCATGCCTCGGACGGCGCGCCGCAGCCGCATGCCCCCGTCAGCACAGCGTCATAGCCGGCCGGCTACATTTTTCCAAGACGCAGTCTGGATGCAAGCATCCGTCTCCGTGCATGACCCTGACAGACCCTGATTCGTTTGAGGGGGACTAGGAGCTGAAGAGGGGCTTGGGCAGGGGTCAAGAGTGACAAGCAAATGTTTGTAGGGTGGAAAGGCAGAAGTCACATGCAGCAGGATGTTGGTAATGGAGTGTTCAGGAGACATCCGGGGCAAGTGTCTGCTTGCTGAAAGAATGCAGGCATTTGTCAGGTGTGGCTTTTGTTGTGGCAAATTTGGCCTCTCCCTCTGTGAAGTGGCCGAATGCCCACGTCTCAGCTGTACATTCAACATTTTGGCAAGGGCTGCCAGCAGGCTGTGGTGAAATGTTGTTCTAGAAAATTTTTATTTCATCTTATCTATCTTGATTGTGTCTTTTTTTGGGCTCCCGCTTGGAGCAGTACACTATAGTGCACATCTTTGGACATTGTGAAGCACTGTTGACATCCTGCATGTGCGTTTTCTGTTTGACAAAGACTCAACGAACCCTTGTCGCAATGACATTTGCAGTGCGCGTTGTAGAGCATCTTTGGGTCTCTAAGCGAAATCCCCTTTCCCCGGGTAAAGGACATGTAAATAGTTGTAATATGTTAAGAAAACTGCAAATCCGGTTGCAATTAATATACCACGCTGCTCGGTGTCGTCCTAGCTTGTTTAAACTAGTAGGCGAGTTTATATTGACATTCTTACCCCGTAGTGCAATGGTCTGGAGGTCCTAGGACTGTATCTTGTTTATATAATTCGTTCGTATATGTTCGTTCCCCAGACACCAACATCGATGCTGGCATGCTTGGCCAAGCTCTGCAAATGTCTATCCGCCAACACCCTATATTGCAACCACGGTCGGGTGCGGAGGTGGTGAGGCAAAAGGCAAGTGTTGTGACTATCACCACACAAGATGGAGGAAGGAACTTGGCAAGAAACGGTGGCCAGCGGTGCTGGATTTTCCTATTAATTTCTGGTTCCAAGGTCACTCATGAGCAGTAAATGGCAGACAAATTTATAAAACCATAAAAGCTTGTAGCATTTTGCAGCCAATGCCGCACAATGCCAATGCTGTGATCACACAAGTCTTCTCGTGACGCACAGGAGTCAGCCTAGGCACAGGTATGATCTCCTTCTATACTGAACATTGCAAAGCATTGTTGCACTCCTGCAATATAGATCGTTTCTTAGTCGCGGTAACTCATGTTGTAACATAGGTTGCTTGCCAAAATATCAAGAGTCCTGTGGACAGGAAACCTGAGCAGCAGGATGCATAGTTGCAAAGGGTTCAGGAAGTATTGTGAAATAACAAAGGGTGTTACCATTTAATTACAAACAGTACTGTGCAGTCTGTTGAATGTTTGTTGCGTACTTGTCGCCATCGATAAGTGTTCTTGTATATTTCTTCAAGCGCAGAAGGCGTGCAGAATTTGCCTGACCATGGTTTTACTGGACACCAGCAGCATTCTGAACAAAGTCGGCTGCATTTCGCAGGATGACGGTTGTAGGAAGCTCATTCCTGTGACCTTCATAGTTTTTGAGGTCCCCCAGTCTCCCAGGCCGAAACTCCCGAATACTTTTTAACGGATGGCCAAGGTGATGACTCATTTGGTTGGCTGCCTCCCTGCTAATCCTGTGATTGGCAGGTCATGATGACAACTTCAATCGTGCCTGCTTACAGGTAACCACTTTGAAGTCGGAGGAGACAGGGGAGCAGCACAAGCTCAAGCTATATGACTTTCAGCCAGACGGGACCGGCAGACTGGCCTGGGCTGCTGCGAAGGAGGCCTTTGGTGCCGACCTGCTTGAACTTAAAGACGAGGGAACACCGGGGCTCCTACAGGAAGGCGACAGGAAAGGACTGACCATAGACACCTACAAGCCTAGGGAGACCATCCCTGTCAACGTCGGCCGCAGAGCCCAAGGTAAGAATGGTACACCCCATGCAGTTTTGTGCAGATGTAGATGCACTCCAGCTCCAGTGCCTGGTGTTGTCACAAGTGGTCTGTGAGGTCATGGCTAGTATTGAACAGCTTGTAAAAGGCCTCAACTGCAGCTACCGGCAGCTAATCTGTTTGAAGAACTTTCCAAACTCATTGGTGTTAAAGAGCCCATGTGTATGATGCCAAATGCGTCAGGGCGGACCTCCAGTCAGTAAACCGCACTGCCCTCATAGCCTGTGGCATTCGCGTCGTCCAGGTTGATGCGGCGGCCTTAGGCTGATTATCACATCATCATTGTGTTTAGTAGACGTGTGGGATAACTTCCTGGATGAAGCTGAGCAACTTGAGGAAGGTGCTGATCCAGCTCAAGCTGCTGCTGGTTTCTTAACCTCGTTACAACAGCACAGCAGTTTTGACATCAGGCTGCAACTGCACAGCTGCCAAGTTTGCGTGCGTCGGAATGCCAACGGTGTACACACGGTGAACATGATCCACTGGAACTCTGCAGCTTCGGGCAGCTTCTTTTGTTGTTCTACTGGTGTTTGGCAGCAAATAAGGCGAAAATGGTCCACCTAGGCTTTGTCAACATCTAGCCAATGCTGGGGTTCGCTCTGGCCGGCTTTGGTTCTCCTTTGTTGCTGCTGCTGGGGTTGGGGGGTGTGAGCGCTCACACCCCCAAGAAGCTTCAGGGAGCTAGCGCTTGATAGCATCAGGGAGCAGCGCAAGCTCATGCAGTGTTGATATATTGCGTGCAGTAGCCTTGCCCGGCAGGCAACAATGCCGACGGCTTGGGATTCTCTTACAGCTCCCGATGAAGCTGAATGTTGTTGCTGGGTGCCACAGGAACGCAAGCTGCAAATGTCTCAGGATCAGGTGGGTCTTGACACCAGCCTGCGTACATCGGCTGGTCTCACAGCAGCGTGGTGTGTTCCTGAGAGTTGCAAGCTGTCTCATGCTGCGCTGCATCGCACCATGGCCCATGTAGGCAAGTTGATTGGCTGCAGGTATCCGCTTCCAGAATTTCATTGTCCACAGCCATCGGTCCCATATAAAGGTCCGCTTGCCAGCGACCTGCTCTCACAGCGAAATCTGCAGCAAGGTGGAGGAGGAGTGGCCCATGCACCAAGCTGCCGACTACAACCTGTTTCACCAAGGGAAAGTTGTGCTTCAGGTACTGCTGTTTGCAATTAGCTGCCCACTATGATTGCAACGTAGCGTTATCAATGACTATTGTAGGTCATGGCGCTGCTAGCTGGTTGTGTATGGCTTGCTATACTGCTGCAGGAGGAGTGGAACGGCTTTGTGCAAGCTTTGCCAGCGACCAAACCAGTGAAATTGAATGTTGTGCGGCTGGGCAAGAGCTTCTCCAAGTACATGAAGACAGCAGGTCATGAGTTAAGGTACGCATTTTGTAGATGGCAGTGCATTGGCTGGGCTGTGCTTGTCTGGTGTGCATTTCAAATACGAGTCATGTCAGATGTCACCACTAACTGCAAATGGTGGGCATTCTGCAGGGAGGTTTTGCAACGCGGACTGGGGGTTCAAGGATCCACACCGGACCCAGTGCCTGAGGTGGATCAAGAATTCCCAGCCTACAGCCTGCCAAGTGATGAGACGCGGATATCTGGTGACATCACGCTGGGCGTGCTATTGAATAATCTGGCGCAGGATTTGGTGCACAAGCTCGCTGCAATGGGTGACATACAGCACGGCACCGAATACACAAACAGGTGACGTCACCTGCAAGGCAGCTTCATAGATGGCTTATGTTATTTGCCTGATTTGACTGTCGTCCAATACTAAATGAGATGTTCCTGGGTGCAGGGAATACATAACCCCAGTGCTGGTCACGGCTGTAATCATTGTGCGTGGAATCCGCCCTGCGGTGACTGCCATCCAAGAGCGTCTCCTGTTGCGTCCAGAGCAGGCGGTGCTGGGCAGGCTGGCATGGGGCCCCGTCGACTATGTCATCTTCTACCGGCTATTCATGATCATTGTGACTGAGGTACCTTGTGTGTTGCATGCCACACATGCTGACATGCACTTGTGGGCTGGTCATTCACTGTTGTCTCACACGCTCTGATCTTGTGCTGCAGGCAAAGCGGATTCACATCGAGCATGCTTTGGCGCAGCATATCATGCAAGTGGCAGCGGCACGGGACACGCTGGCACGCCAGGTGGAGCAGTGGAAGAGGGAGCACAATGCACGGCGGAAGCGCAGGTTTTGGGAGGTTTGTGCATCATAACTTCAGGCGGCTTCATTAAACCCTGCCGAACTACATCGCCTGCCACCATTTGCGCTGTCGCCAAAGATATCCCAAAATTTGACATGAATGCTTTGGTGCAGATGTCGGAGCTCAACGATGTGCCGACCGATGGCATTTTGTCTACGGGCAACTACTGGATCCTCACGCGCTTCATCCCCAGCAAGGATAGCAAGCCTGCCCAATTCATCAAGAGCAAATGTCTTGCTTTGGGCTTGATCCCTGCCACAGACTGCACCGTTACCAAGCTTGTACCAGAGCTGCGTGTGCTTGTGGCTCGCATTGTGCAGATGATGCTGAGCCAAGTTGACATTGTGGACTCAGCGCGGAGTCATGTGGCTGCGCTGAGGGAGCTCACAACAGATCCTACAGGTACGTCAGGGCTTGTTTGGCTTGGTCATTGCATGCATTGGACAAATGGCTACCCGCTGCATGGCTCCAAGTTTCACTCACAGCTGGACTTGAAGGTTGTATCCAACCGCTACATTGTGTGTTGCAGCACTTGCCAATGCAGTTGCTCTCGATGAAGGGTGATATCAGGACATGGCGCCAATCGCAGTGAAATGTGAGCGGACCGGCGAGCTGGCGCTGTCTTGAGCATGGAACCACGTGCTGTCTGTGTGACCACGTGATGTTGCCAGGAAAAAGCCCAGTTCGTGTGCAAAAGTCTGCACGTTGCGGCAGGCTCAGATTGGCAGCAGTGAATCCCGGAGTATAGGCCGCTGTTGTGGCCATGGCATGGCACACATCTGCAGATTGCAGTGTTGCGGATATGCCTTTGTTTGGTCACTGGAGCATGCAGGCTCCTACGTGTGAGCTGCAGGACAGATGGCATGCCAACGTGCTGGGAACTTGCTACATGCATGGCTGCTTGATTGTGCAGATAGAGTCCATGGTCAAACGGGTGGGCGAAGATTTTGCTGGTCATGTTTTGGACTGAGCTAGTATCCTGCAACTTGATGGTGCAGCTGCAAAAATGTCAATAGGCTTGGGAGTCTGTAAAAGGGACAGCTACCTGGACCACAATGACTGATAGCGCTCCCATGACGACTTATGATGGTGATGACAGATCGCGGCCACCCATGGGCTGTGTGTGTTGATTGTGATCATGGCAGGACCCCTGCTGTAGCCAAGTTTAACTTGATAGTGACCATGCAACTTGCATGATGCAACCGGGCTGAAGCTTGACTTGCCGTTGTGTACACCTCAGATGCCAATTTGGATCTGTTGCTGGAAATTTAGGAAAACGGTATTCGAGAGCTCTCTTGATGAACCAAAAATGCTTGCAGGAGTCTCCGGATGAAAGTGTTGGCAGACGCCCAGCTACAACAATACTATTTTTTGAGAGGCGTGAGGCAGAAACATTTCCGCTATTGCATCGATTACAGAAGCGTGCCAACAGGCCGTGCATGCAGCAAGTTCAAGATGGGGGTTGATGCATCAGCTATAAATGTCAGCTCTTCATGCGACGCCCAAGGTACTTCAAATTGTCTGAGCAGCAATGTGCTACTCTTTCGCTCCTCAACTACTGTCTCTTCTCAATACTATCATTCATTCCTTGGTCCATCAGGTCTGAATGCTAAACGCCCAGTGATGAGTGCTGCCAACTGACCAGCTGCTTACATTCCAGAGCGGCCCCAGACAACGGCTGCCAGAGAGAAGCTGAAGCTTGCTGCCAGAGCAGCCCAGCCCACGTTCACAATGAAAGGCTCACCCTGCACGCAATCAGGCAGCCAATCAGCCCGCAGAGTTTTAAAGCAATCCCTTGGGGCCACATATGGGCTCACAGCATGTACAGTCCCAATGAAGAATTGCCCATTAATCCCCGATAATTATATATCGGTCACGCATTATTGTATGGCCATCATGTACCATCATATACTGCCAGCGCACTGGCCAGATCCTGGAAACACACCTCTGCGAGCTGCATGACCTCAGTGGCTGCCTGGGCCGCAGGAGCAGCTGCTGCCAGAGCGAACACTGAGATAGCTGCTGCTGAAGCTGCGACCTGATGACACAAGAGATGATTTTTGTTATTATATTCTGCACGCTTCAAAAGAGCAGTCTCTCTGTGCTGGGTAGCTATGCAGACCTGGCCGTGCCTGCCCAGAACGTGCATTCTCTTTTAGCAGTCCAAAATTGGACCTCTGCACATTCAATGAAGGAGGAAGACTGATGACAACGATTCTAAAGACGACTGTCATATTAAAAGGTAGCTGAAGGCGCTTCGACATCCCACTGTGCCTGCTGCCTCTCCTATCCCACGTATGCTGACCGAGGAAAGAAGGCACTACACATGGGAGGCCAAGGCACCTGATGCCTCTGCTGCTGCTCATTCTGTGCTAGGCATCGCAGCGCCTTGGGGGCAGGGCGAGCAGTCGCTGGCCTCCTCACGGCGAGCTTCTGCACTGCGGGCCTGACAACGGCGGAGGTGGAAGCGACTGCAGCCATCTTCGCTAAGTTCAATTGTACGAATTGGCTCACGGATCGATGCAACGGACGCCCTAGAAACATTTGAGGCTGAAGATGAGGTTGCGATCAGGCGGCAGGGAACGCCTGCGATGAGGACTTGTCCACCGTGGCACGCATGCATTCCTGCACCAGCTTGGTCTGAAATGGGCAAATTTTCGTCAAAACGATCCTCAGTCGGTAATGTTGCCTTTTCTGAGCAGAAGGGTCACGGAAGACACAAGTACTGCCTATCCTTAGTGAGCAGTGAAAGGTAATGCCATCCGAGGATTCTTGACCTGGATCTTACACTTTTGCACAGTAGGCAATGTATCACACATCATACATGATAACTTTATTACTAGTACAAAGAATTCATCAATACCAGAATATTCACAAAGGTTGATACTAGACCAAAAATGGCGAACTAATCGTGATTTCTATCAACGAAACCTGAACAGATCGGTGTATATCTCGCGAATACCAAGAATATGATGAGAGACCACAATTACAGTATAGAACTTCAGTGCTGATGGCTGTGGTTGTAGTCTACAAAGATGAAATTCTGCTTAAACGACTTCAGCAGCCGCCATGCGACTGCGCATACAATTGCTCCTGCAAACCCACAGGTCACTTAAAAAGAGCACAGATAAGATTGTTCCGAAAGTTCTCCGTTGGTACAGGGTTGCATGGGTCTGCTGTTGCAAATTAGGATTGGATCTTCATGTGCAAGAGGCGCAGCGCGAAATTTCATCGAACTCAATCGATTGGGTTGATGCTTCACAGCTGGGTACAACATCTCAGTCCTTAGCGACGCTTGTGCATGGTGATGTTAACATAGTACAGGAGCAAAGGAAGCATTTCCTAATATGCTCAGCATTTGCTGTGGATGTGAGCTTGGAGCTTGGATGCACACATCCAGCGACGCATGGTATTGAAAGAGGAAAGGGTGGCCGCACCTGCACCCAGCAGGGCAGGAAGTCTGGACAGCAGGGGCCTTCCCTGACCGAGCACTGCGCTGAGGCCCAGCATGCAAAGCGCACCCAGCACAGCTGCAGCAATCTGCGCAGCCTGCACGATCCTGAAGCCCTGCAGCATACAACACAATCCCCTCAACCGTCCTCCATGGCACTGCTAAGGTTCCTGCCCTGCAAGCTTGCCAGTTCAGGCTACCCGCTCTAATACATCTGAGAACAATTGGCAGGGTCAAAGTCACAGTGCTGCAGAACATAAAATACCAGGCAAATGACACGAAGAGACGCACACAGGCCACCAGAGCATCTACAAGCCACCAGAGCAGTCACTATCAGTGCTTCTCGTGGGCGTGGCACACAATTGGCAGCAACAGTACTGTGTCTCGACAGCACAAGGATCTTCAAAGGGGCACCTGTTGGCAGGCTTTGCAGTGCATGGTGTGAGAGTTCCATCGGTCCAAGATGGTTTCCTTGGAGGTCTCCAGGGGTGGCAGGGGGTGACTGGGGTCATATGGGGTCGGCCCACCGCCCGCTCTCTCATCAAGCCACTGCCGAAACTTCGCCACATACCTGCTCACCAGTTGATACTTGAACAGATCCGCTTTGTTCAATAGTCAGTGAAAAAGAGATGAGATTGAGCATAAAAATGATGGGGTCCTGGGGAGTGGCTGCCAGGAGTTATAGAGAGACTTATATGTATGGCTCTGACTTGCAATGCACCGTCCAGGAAATGAAACACATGATCTTTGGAAGGACGCTCACGGCTGCACAAAGAGCTGCAGGTGCCACTTTCACAGGGTGTATTGGGGAAGATCAGGACCCTACCTGTCTGCTGGTGTCGGCATGAAGTAGGCCTGCCGCCAAGTCCTGCCTTCCTCCTTTGCCTCTCTAGCAACTGAATGGCCCTGAGCCACGAACATGTTCATTAGGCACAAAGTACCGCAGCAGAAAGAGGGTGGCACCTGGAGAGATCTTCTTCAGCAATCCCAATTTTATGATATCAGAAGACTCCAGAAGGGGGCTGCAGGAGACAAAGCGTGGGCAGACTGAGATCATTTAGGGCACTTTCATCGATCCTTAGAGACTGCTCAGGGAAAAGAGACCAGAATTCGGCAGCAAAAGGGGGTTGGCGCATGGCATTTTCTCCTCCACGACCCAGTTTCAGAAGACCCAAGGAGTGGACTGCAGGCGACACTGACATGAGTGTGAGCCTGGATCTGAGGTTTAGGGCATGCGGCCTGTTACGCAATGTACATTGCCGCTTGTGTGCGCATTTGAGTTTTCCCCTGGCTTGATCAACATTGACGTGTGGCATGTAGATCAGGGAAGGAGAGCAGAATTTAACAGCAAAATGGGATTGGCACATGGCAACTTTCTTCCGCAAACCAATGTCAGAAGACTCCAGAAATGAACTGCACGAAACAAATTGTGAGCAGAAACAACTCTTGCAAGGCATCTCTATCAAATGACACGTGTAGCTCAGGGAAGGAGAGCACAATGCAGCTGCATGAAGGCAATGACCCCCTTCGCCGGAGATGTTTCACAGAGCTGAAGACATCAAAAGTTGCGCCCGCAGCTTTAAGGAAAGGGCGTCTTCAGTTTTTTAAATTAAATTTAGACAAGATTTGGCTTCCCAGGAGAGGCAACACACCTGCCAGTGCAGTAGGGCAGTGTCTCCGTCCAGGATGCGGTTGGACATCCGCAGATGGGGAAGCCAGGGGATGGCAAAGTATTTGAGGATCAGAAGGACAGGCAGGGGCATTCCCTCCTTCTGGGTGTACGAGTCCAGCATGAACCGGCTCTTCCCCGGCGCTGTGGGTATCATGTAGAAATTGAGAGTATTTGTGTTCCCCTGCACATGCAACGCAGCATCAGCAAATTGACTGAGCAACTCGCTTTGGTACATTTCACATTTTCGCCGATTCAGCTAGTCAATTTGGACAAACCTGCTATGCATGCTGTAACAATCAAGCCCACTAGTGGTTATCAAGAGGCCAGACATTGACAAGTTGAGCATGCTCTAACTGCTTTTCAAGGCAGGCACACTGGGTGACTATTCACACAGAGGAGCAAGAAGGTGACTGCCTCGCTGAAGTTCCATTGCTTTGCACCTCGGTGCAGTGCCACAAGACAGCGCAACCATGAGCAACAGCTGACCAGACCTTAGATTGGGTATGGGCCGCACCCAGGGGAGGCGGAACTTCCACTGGATGAGGCAGGGGGCGATGAACTGTACACCCCACTTGTCAACTTTGCGCGCCTGGCGAACCCAGGTCTCGACCTCCATGCTGATCGTGTCCTGCGCCGACGGCGCCGCGGCCGGCTCCGGCCCCGGACTTATCCTGGTCAGCCCCGAGTCCTCTTTGTCCCTGCACCATTCAGTGTTCCCTTCATTATTCAAACTCGACTTTAAACACCAGTTTGGACAGCGCATGGAGCATTTCACAGATGGGCCCATGGCTGGCATGCTTTCTTCTGCTTCACACAAAATGCGTGATGATCTGTGTTTGTTGCCGGTGCTCGTGATTGATTTTTGCTGCTGCATCGGTCTCTATTGATGCAGCATCGCATGTAATTTCTGTCAGTAATAGGCAATTCAAGGGGTTCACTGCTGCTGAGATTATGAAGAGACAACAGTGGGTGGGCCAGCAGATGTGGTCTCACCGGTCGCCGATGATGCCATGGTGTGAAAAGTTGACATGCGAGGGGTCCAGCAGGTTCTCAGCCAGCACGTCCCAAGCTGCAAGGATCCACACCACATATTCAACTGGGCTCGCAAAACAAAATTTACGCCGTTGTCAAATTGCATGCGAAATTCTCAACGCTCAATCTGTCCAAGGCTACTTTCAATGCAACGAGCCATCCTGCCAATGCACGGCAATCGATGCACCCCACATACTGCCTGTGCACTGAAATTACTTGCCCTTAGGTACCAAGAATTGAGAAGGCTCCTCACCGTATGGGAAGTCTCTCGTATACGGCTGCACAAGACGGAGCGCCTCCCCGCCACCAGCTTCACGCACAGATTCTCCAACAGCCAAGTTTGGCGCGCGCGCCGGCTGTACGGCTGCGCTGTCGATGAATGTGCGCGGGCCGCCCTCGCCATACACCCACACCTTGCCTTGCAGCACCTGCAGCCGCATTGTTTTTAACTAATGAAGCGCCACACGCTGTCATGCGTTCACCATTTTGCACACCAGTGGGGCAACACTGGGTGTAGGATGTCAAGCAGATTGCTTTCCCTTGCAGACCTGCCAACACACCCTGTGAAAGACCATGAGGATGGAGGCTTTCTGACTTGTGCATGCCTGCATGAAAAGGGCCAAAATGCCAGCAGGTGAAGCCATGGCACAGAAATTCTAAATGCAGCAGTCCGTGCACAAGTGATGAGCAGTTCCAGCACACCTGGGTTGGGTGGCTGATGGCGCATGAGCGGGGGTTGGCGCAGGCCGATGCGTTGGCCTTGGCATCCAGCGACTGGGGGATGTCCGTGCACTTGCCCTCCCCATCAAAGCGCCAGCCGTGGTACGAACACATCAGCGTCCCATCCGACGGCTCTATGCGCCCCTCTGCAGAGCCAAGACCACTACCTTACTTGTGGCTGACTCGAATATTTTCCAGTGATTCTCACTCCACCTTTTAGGAAAGAGAACGAAGGTCCTCGACCATGGGGCCATGATGCTGGCATTGTAAGTGCCAAGCCTACCTGACAAGGGGGCTAGCCGATGGGGGCACTTGTCCTGGAAGCAGCGCCATTGGCCCTGGCCATCACACCAGAGCACCAGGCGCTGGCTCAGCAACTCAACAGGATGGGGCACCTTTGGGTCCAAATCCTCAAGGAATCCCAAGGGATACCATTGTTTAGCCCAGTCAAAGGGCTGCTCGCTTTTTATCTGCTCCTGTGGGGCACACGTACTACGTTTGTCAGCCCCAAGCAGAAGGTGCAAGTCTCCGAACACCCACCTAACAGGATGATGGTTGTGACTCGCACAAGACAGGGACCTATAAGAAACTTTGTGAAGCACACCTGTTCCCCAGCGGCAAAGAAACCCTGTCCCTGCTGCGGTGCCAGCACAGCAGTTCCCGCTGCAATCCCATGGGCAGGTACAAGCGTCCTGCGTCCCTTTGCCTAATACAGCGAGCGAGCAATGGTCATGGTATCGTGTGCTGTTTTAATAGCTGATATTTGCTCGAACAAAAAACACGAGCCACAAGCACATATGGTTCAAGATGTATCTTGCAGGGCGTTTCATCTTGAGCACAAGCATAAGTGGCATTTGTTCACCTTGTATCTCGATATATTACCCGCAATATGAACTAGCTCAGGACCTCTTCTATCGTGAAGCAGGATCGCGTTCCGTCTAGGATAGACATGGGGCCCTGCCGGAAGGTTTTTGGCAAGACTCATTCTGATCAGGAACCATCAATTCTCATCATATCTGACTCATCACACTTGCAACTCACAAAAAGGACGTCAAGGGACGTTTTTGAGTTCTGGTGCCCGGCTGGTGCCCTCTTCGACGCACGAGTTGCGTAAGTGTTGCGTAAGGTTTTATGGACACGTGGAATGTGGAAAGCTTTGCACTTCAGATCCTGCATGCCAGTAAAGGAGAGGTCACTTTGCACTCCCTCTATTTGCACTCCCTCCCTGTATCAGTACAGGCACAGAACATGGATGCTATAAATTGCCTGTCTTATCCACAGCAGGAACATTTTGACCTGACACTGGCATGCACATGACTCATTTGGAACCAGGGGCTTCCTCGTATGATAGCTAGCTACTGGTTAGTAGCTAGCTCACATGTGCTAGCTCAATGAAGCCTAACAAGGTTTTCCCCTGATCAATCTCTCACTGACTTTCTTGCATGTATCCCTCAAACACGCTATAAAGAAAATTTTCTGTGCAATTGCAACGCTCCAACAAAGGTTTATTTCAAAAACTGTCTCAGCCCTGCTGTCAGCCTGCTGAACACCAAAATCGTGACCGCTTTGCGACCAACTGGCAATTCTTCCAGAGGTATTTTACGATCGATTTCAAATTCGTCAACACCTGAAAATTCAACTGGAGAAATTTCCAAATTCAACCGGGAGGCAGATGCTAATTGGTAAATTTATCGGTGCATGCTGCTTTTGCAGCTGTTTCCCTGCAATATCCCAAGATTCCTCCTGCCAAAAAGGAGGAGTGTTCAATAAGAGAGTCCAAGCAAGACCACACAACAGTGGGCACGGTGGTGTTAATCAAAATGAGTTGGCCGCCAGTCGGGGCCAACTCATGAAGACTACGTAATTCTGGATCGACATTGCCACTGTCTGCAGTGCTTTTAGAGTTGCAGCCATGTGGATGATACCCCTTTCGGGCAGGAGGCTGGGGTTGTGGGACGACTCTGTGAGGGCGCTGTGGCGTCTAAGTGGCCTTTTTAATGACAGCTATCCGACAGCATTGCTCACATGGATTCACACGACTACTCTCGCCGCTCAATCTTGACTCAAGGCCTCGGAGGAGAACTGGGGCCAAAGAGATATGGCCTGCATCAAGCTGCAAAAGCGAAGGCTGAAGAGCTCGAAACAACAGCGGAAACACACTACAGACATAAAGAATAGATACTAGAAGCTCTTTAAGCAAGCGCCTACATACGGACCACTCTGGTTTCACTTGAGAGGGGTGCAAGCCGATGGGGGCACTTGTCTTGGAAGCAGCGCCACTTGCCCTGGCCATCACACCAGAGCACCAGGCGCTGGCTTAGTAGCTCCAATGGGTGGGGCACCTTCACGTCCAAATCCTCCACGTAGGCCAGTGGGTACCACTGCTTTGCCCAGTCGAAGGGCTGCACGCTTTCTCTGCGCTCCTGCACGGGCATTCAGACGACACATTAGTCTCATTCATTTGTTACGGCTTATGTGCCGAATAGAGCTTCTTCCACCAGAAATATTCCGTCGAGGAAACCCCTCCGTTTGCAGTGGCAAACTTTTCAATAAAGAATTCGACACAAACATCATATGAGTTGTGCATACCTCACCGATGGCAGGTGAGATTTTCGGTGCAGCGGATATCTCCTGCTCAGGTGCCAAACAGCCGCTCCCACCGCATGACTGCGAGCGGATCCGAGCGTATTGTGCCCCTTTGCCTGATACAGTGGGCAATCATTGAGAATAATTATTGAATGCCAGAACGATGCCTGGTATTCCCGTCGCACGAGGTACACGCAGCTCTGTCCAGCATGTCGAAAGATGTCCGTGATGTAGTACCGACGACACAAGCAGGAATGGCGTCCTTACCCTGTAGACGGATGTTCCTTTGACGTTTTCGGTAAGACCTCTTGTTCGCAATACCATCGAGCTCGGTCTTATTTTCGTCTTACAAGTTATATTGTTGTCCCAAATCCCGATTGTACAGGACGATCAAAGCAGGAACTCTGTCGGCCCTTGAAATAGAACCGTTCGGTGTTCCTTGCGAATCGCTGAACATGAGAAGTCCAAGGTTTCGCTGAGGTGAGCGCTGAGGTGATCGCCCTGAATGGCGCACCGTTGCGTAAGCGCTGGAATTTGGTTAGTCAGTACTACGTGCAGCGGACTTCCCTCCTTCCTCTTGCAAATTGACAGAAAGGATTGCACCAATTTCCGTTGCTAAAGGACCTTGTGCATCGACTAAGGCGTATCACAGCTTTGCGAGCCGGAGTCTGCCCCCTCGGAAGGTGCATGCAAAAGGGCCGTCAGCTGAATAGGCAACCAGGGAAGCTTCAAGTCCCGAGAAGCTTCACCAGCTAGCCGAGCCAGACCTGCTACCTGGTTCCACCGGATTCATACTATCGTGAGGTGGTTAAAATGTTGCTGCGCGACACGCATTCTCCCACCGGGATCCATCCCGTTTCACAGAGCAAAGCTGCATGGCGTGCTATGCGTGCTGGACGTCCATTGCAGGTTCGCTCTTGTGCTATCGTGCTCGGAGTTGGCCTGAAACTTATTTTCATGGAAAGAATATCCTATGTGTGATCTGATGTCAATGTCAGCAGAAATCACCATATCTAGAAAGAGAATGATGAAGGTCATCGCCCACATTCCGCGACCATGCTGAAGCGGCTTCTCACCGTTTCCGTGTGTTGTTAGGTTTTGGGGAGGCCTAGGATGGCATTTACGACCTCAAAGGCCGCAACCTTCCCGAGCACGCAAAGTTTGGAGGATCCCCTCACTACTACCCAGGACCACAGCTCTGCGAAGCACAGCACCGAGGTGAATGAGGTTCTGTGCAATTGTGCCGATCCGTTTAACGAAAAGGCCGGATTTTAAGGCTGTACATGCGTGGGATCTGCCAATTTTGACTACCACAGGAGATTGACCACTGGGCATGCTAACGTTTGTTTGCTGCAGGTTGAGCGTGAGGTTGAGCAGGAGACGTATGACTGGGCCAAGCAGTGGTATCCACTGGCGTTCGTAGAAGACCTGGACCCCAAGGTCCCCCACCCAGTGGAGCTGCTGGGCGAGAGGCTTGTGCTATGGAGGGATGCAGACAAACAGTGGCGGTGCTTCCAAGACAAGTGCCCCCATCGGCTGGCTCCCCTCTCAGGTGTTGACATGCCCCCATCTGGATTCCGGCCTGGGCAGGCTGTATCTCAAAAGACGCTGCGTCAACATATTTCTCAGTCTGTGATGTGCTGGACAATGTGTGCAATATCGGACCCACCAAAAATTCTCATCTTTGTCCTGTGGTGCACTGGTGCTGTGGTGCTGACTGTCGCATGTTATATCTGCAGAGGGGCGCATAGAGCCGTCGGATGGGACGCTGATGTGTTCGTACCACGGCTGGCGCTTTGATGGGGAGGGTAAGTGCACGGACATCCCCCAGTCGCTGGATGCCAAGGCCAACGCAGCGGCCTGCAGCAACCCCCGCTCATGCGCCATCAGCCACCCAACCCAGGTGTGACGTGCGCACCTGCTCATCTTTGGTCTCTGATGGGGACCAGACTGTTGCTGGGAACTCTTCATCACACTTCGGAGAGCATTGCTGTGATGGCACAAATCATGGACAAAAGCATGCAGGTCTTTAGACATGTGCCGAGTGTTCTATGAAGCAATGTGGATTATCTCAGGATGCCCAACTAAGAAGGAGTTTTGTGGCCAATCTGCATGATGCATGGGTCAGTGCCAGAGACAATGTCATTGAGCATGGAGCACTGGTGTTGCACAGGTGCTGCAAGGGAAGGTGTGGGTGTTTGGCGAGGGCGGCTCGCGCGCATTCATCGACAGCGCGGCAGTCAAGCCTGCCCTGCTGGAAGATCTTGAGGACACCTACCCACCCAGGTGCCTGCATCTGCCTGCACATGCACACCTTCAGCAGGCCAACAACTCCTGATCGCAGAAGCCTTGATGTCTGTTGAGTAATGCATGCAAAGAAAGGAGCACCAAGCTTTGAATAACATTGCACTGTGGCATGCTTCATGGCAGCCGGGAACTAGGCTGGTAGGACATTTGATGGTTGTCAGTAATTAGCCAGCCCTGTCTTGGAATCCTGCCCTTCCTTCCAGGTGTTTTCATGTTCAGCAGGTCAAGGTGGCGCCTTAGGGTCCAGTGGATTACACAGTTGTGGCCGGTGCGAACCTGTGAGACCGCAGCTGACCTGCTAATGTGGGTGTCAGGGAGAAGAATGGAGGGGAGGACTGCTTCTTTGCAGGAGGCCACTATGCCAGGGATCTCCCATATGCCTGGAGCACGCTCATGGAGAATCTGGCAGACCCCTCCCACGTCAACTTCTCACACCACAATGTTGTGGGGGACCGGTGCGGCCATCGCACGCCTCAGGGCTGACGCCTGAATATGTTCTCATTCACTCGCTGCTTTGCAGAATGTTTAGATCCACAACCGATCCATGTGTCTAGCAAGAACGTACAGAGGAAGCCTATACTACAGATTAGGCATACTTGTCAAATAAGCCAATGCAGCAACAGTGGAATTTGTTTAATTTGCCACGGCGATTGAGTTCGTTGAACTGAAGAATTTGTGAAGCTGAGAGGGATGCGGGCTTCGCTGCAGGACCGTGGATCAGACGATGAAGATCGTGAGCAAGGAGCCATCCAAGACAGTGCCGTCAATCAAGGATACCTTCAAAATGGCGGTCACCAGCTTTGATGACAAGGCCAGGGACTACCAGACCTTTGACATGGAGTTTGTTGCTCCCTGCCTTGTCAAGTGGGGCATCCCGCCCTGGGGAGTGGTAAGTGCACATCCCTTCTCTTCTCCCCGCTGTTCTACCCTGGCACACGCTGTGAATTCAGAAATGCCACCCAGATGTCTTCAGTCTTTTTGGTTCCAGATCAAGTATTGGTTGCTCCTATCTGTTTTCTGGCTTCTCTGAGCAACGACTGCACATGGCACTGGTCTGTACGGGTGCATTGTGCACATGAGTAGCTTTCACAATAAGTGGGCAAGCCATGTTGCTTTGATGCTACTGGCTTCCAGCTCATGCACACGCACTGCACCCTGGGAGTATGCTTCTTAAAAATTTAAAAACACTAACTCTGTGTGCAGGGTATCAAGCACGGCTACATGCCGATGTACATGATCCCAACAGGGCCCGGCCGCAGCAAAATCCTGTGGTGCATGCTCTTGCCCACCTCCTCTATGCCTGCCCCGGCCAAACTGATGCAGCGGCTGACGCCCAAGTGGCTCCAGCATATCAGCATCACTCCCCAAGTTCTGGACGGCGACACCGGCCTGCTCCATGGACAGGCATGCCCTTGTCAGCATGAACCCAGCACTGATAAGTTGAAGAAATATATATTGTTGGGTACTTGAAATTTTGCGTGTCATACAGTTGATGTGACCGCCATGCTAACTGCTCTGGCTTATTGATGGGCAATGTTCCATCGATAGGGGACATTGTGATTGGTTGAATGGAGTGGGTTGCCTAATGTCATTATCTCTGTCTTGGTGTGAGATACGCGTGCTCATTGCGCGTCTCATGCTGGGAAGACTGCTTTATAATTAGAACGCTAGAGTGCAAATGGAAGAATTAGGGTTAGAGCAGATATAAGGTGTGATTGCTGGCAAAATGTGCCACATTACACGCGTGCAGACAGCTGATTTTCTGTTCTGCTGGCAACAGGAGGTGGCCGTGTCGAAGGAGGCAGAGAAAGACCTCAATAGGCTGTACTACATGCCAGCACAGGCCGACAGGTCTGTTGCTATCTACCATGTGTCTTACTACGCTATGCGGTCTACCACTCTGTGGAAGATGGTTGTTTGGTGGCCTCTTGCCAATAATTGTGGGCGTCCGAACATTCTGGGTTCAGTTCTTTCCAAGATGTGCAAACCTTCTGCTACTGGTTTTTTTCTGCTGCATTCTAAAAATGACTGTTACTCTAAAGGTGACTGTTAATGCTGTGCTGAGCGAAAAGTGGTGTGCAAGAGGTTTAGAGCCTGACCAGGCAAGGAGTATGGATATGCCTGTGATTTATATATAGTAGAATTAAGTAATGATATGCGCAGGTTTGTGGCGGCTTATCGCAAGTGGCTGGCCGGACGCGGCGGCGGCGGGCCGCTGCCGATGCCGGAGACCTCCGAGTTGCAGGCGCAGCCGCAGCTACTCGACCGCTACAGCCAGCACACACAGAACTGCCCCTCCTGCAGCAGGGTGCGCCGCTGACATGCGCTGATGCATTTGCTGACCTGGCGCTGATGTGGCATGCCATCTGGCATTCATGGTGGTCGCTGTGCATGCTGCTCGTCCCACATGTTGCATGAGGGGGAGCAGGCATAATTGTTTTATTGCTTACCCTGACAGCCATCAGCGATATTCGCTGGCAGCAGGGAAGTTGCACATATGCGCTTGCAGAAGGGTGACTGTCATGGAGTGTGAATGGCTGTTTTCCCTCGTACTGCAGCCTTTCCACGACTGAAGTCATGATTGCTCTTGAGACCTGATGTCTTTGGCAGATCTGTGCTGGCCACCTCACCTCTCTGGCAGATTTTTTGGGGAGTTTTTTCGATGCCAAAGTACCCGTGGAATTGGAGTAAATTCGTCTTGCCCAATCTGTTAATATCCTTGGTGCATATCTTACGCCATATAAAATTTACTCCTTTCAATCTGCTGCGCTGCAGGCTGTGCAGGTGTTCACTGCTCTGCGCATCGTGACGGCTGCACTCGCTGCAGTCTGTGCTATGGGCATTGCATCCACGCTGGCCGCTTCGCACCCTGTGCTTGGACTGCCGGCCCAATTCGCAGCAGGTGTGCTTACAATTTTGCTGTTGTTGAATAATCTGCACCCGGCCGTTCACTATGAGGGTCCTATCAGAGCCAAATTAGCAGCATGTAGCTGACGTGGCACCATCTTAAAGTGCTACTCAAGAGCTTTCATCCAAGCCCTCGGTGAGGTTGCAGTGGGCATAGATGCAAGCCGGAGCAATTATGTCAATTTTTATGATATTTTTTCTGGGCCGCAGTTGGCAGATAAGACTGCTGGGATGCCTGTGCTTTGGATTGATCGCAATGTTTGGCTTTAGTTCAAGGGCAGCCCATTCAAGATCTCTGCTGTATGTGTGAGGTTGCTCTCCTGTGCTGATGAACAGGTGGCATTGTCCTGGCGGGAGCTTGGCTGTGGCTGAGCAAGACCATCCAGAAATACTACTACGTGCCCCACACTCATGCTCACGCATGAAGACACCACATGTTGTTATTGTAACGATCGGCAGGACTTGCGTCAGGCAGCGATTGCACCTGGGTGGAGATGTAAAAAATAGAAATATTTGGAGCGCTGTTTTTGGCAAGAGCACACCGAGGTTGTGACCTGTGTGGGCCCAGAGGTGAACAAGAACGAATGCAAGTATTGTAGAGAGAAGACAGGATCAAGGGCTTATAAAAGCTGTTAAGAAACCCATTTACAGGAACCTAGTTGGTCACATGTATTGCGGTATTCAATATTGAGCATCAGGCAGTTCTTAGGGCACTATCTCATCAAACAAGAGGCTGATTGTAGGGATTCTTTACATGGCAAATGGTTGTTGAACCGCATTTGTTTTAGTGTTTGGGATGACTGCTGATTGGCTCTAGCTATAGTGAAGTGTTGAGGCGTTGTGGGTGCATAGACCCAATGCAATTTAGATGTCTATTTGAGAGAACCACTCGGTGAACTGCATGCATGGTGTGTCATTTCTTGGGATGCAATACTGCAACTTAGCTATATTAGGGAGGTGTGCTGATTCTTGAGATGTTCAACAGCCCGAGAGAATCTGCAACAATGTTGCTTGTGTGCAATATCTTGTAGGATCTAATGGTTGGACATGAGATACTGCAGATATCTTAATTGATCTAATGGATCTTGGCATTTTTGGACAGAGCGAGTACCACATCTTATCATCATGATAGTCCAGATTACAAGTGCCATGATGGTGCATCTGCCCCGTTCTCATCATTGCCAGCATTGCTCTTACCATTGATCCCAATCATAACTGAGATATCCGATGGCTTTCTCCAGCGACATACGTATGGGGACCCCCACAGGGCTGAGGCCACGCGCCCCCGGGCACGCGGCCCGACCATGCATGCGCCGGCCGGCCAGCACCTTTACATGCATCTCAGTGTAAAAGAAACAACAGCGTTGACCAGCGAACAGCTACGGCGGCACCCAAGTGATTGACACTAGTCTAAAGGCAGCTACCTCAAAGAGTTGTTCAACAACTGTCCTGCAGGCCAAGGCAACAAAAAGTGCATGCAAAAAATGAGCTAAATTTGCCACAAAGACTTGCTCTCGATACTGAGGTCGAATCAGCGACCTCACGGTTAACAGCTGTAACGCTTACAGCAAGCAAGGCAGGCTGCCTGCTCGAGCAGCACATGTGCACGTGCTGCCATCCCACGGGCATCCTCTCTTGTGTGCGTACTGCAGGCAATCAAGGCTGCCACATTCTGCTGCGAGCGCGCACGTGCCTTTGTGCTAGGGGCAGCCGTTTTCATACATCATATCATGATGACTTGAGGGTATTACAAGTAACATTGAAGTCATGTATATACAGTACATGCAATGCATCCGACATGAACATCACCGTTGAGCAAGTCTATGGCGACGCCAGCAGAACAAATTAAAAAAGAAAAAAAGTATGTAGATTGAGGCACCCATTAGGACTCGAACCCGGGCATTCCGAGTCAGGGGAGGGGCTCGAACCCTCTACCAACTAACCCGTCCAGGGATTGGGCTCGAACCAATTGCAGCCTGACGCCACCAGGAGAGCCGTGCCTTGCTAAACCATTGCTTTTAGATGTACATATTGCCTTGCGTTTTAAACTCCGGGAGTCGTTCCAAATTACTTCTGTCGTCTCAGCGCAAACGCGTATACTGGACGCATTTGTTGGGAGGTGGTTTTGAGGCAGCCAAGTTTTTACAAGACAGCACAACAAGATGGACACCCAAACACTGACTTCTTATTTGTGTGGGTGACTGGATGGGTAGGCTTTGGCAGCGGACTCCCAGCAGTAATGCGTTATTCTAACCTCCAAAAGATTTTGAAGAGTGTTTTCGACGAGGGGAGGTATCTCTTCTGGAAGCTCACACAAAGTGCAGATTTTGGCAAACCTATCAAAACATCAACACCTGACGGCTAAGCATCTGAGCTAATCGAGATTTTTCTCGAGAACCGCTTCGTATCGACGGAGTCCCTACCGGGGCCAACCTATTTATAGAGGGCGCCACTTTTGGTCGTGTGCCACGTGTGCAGATGTGGCCATGCGGCGTTCCTGCGAGTTTTGCTCAATGCCCTGCTGTCCTTGGCGCGCGCCTTGCCAAAGTACTGAGGGTACAATACAAAGAGGAAAGCAGTGCTGCACTGCTCCTATAAAGGTGACAGCTGCCGGTGGTGGCATGCTGAGGAAACCTGCATCAACGAGGGCCTTATGATGTCATCTGTTTCGATGGGTGCACCTAGTTTGGGAATAGCCAATTGTGGGCTGTATCCTGGCGCAAGGAATACCACTTGTCTGAGTAGATCATCACACGCTAGCCAGACGCGCCTCTATCGTGTTCGACCTTCGCCACAGGCTTGCCCGACTTTAAACGCTCAGCCCTCATCACTCGGACGGACGACGCCCTGCTGGTGCGTCACGCACACAGGATCTACTATGAAATGTCTCGACTCACATACGTAGATATAACTGCACTCAATATCGCCGACCCTGCAACGTTTCTCGTGTCAGAGCGCTACCCATGGGTTTCTTTGGACATCTTGGGCAATGTAGGAAACCTACGCTGCAGCACGCGGACGATTATAGAAGCGAACTCTCATGGTTTCTCTTAGCCTTTTTGCAACGCCGATTCTTCCAGCGGTGCGGTCGGTTTGCCAGCGCTCTGAAGCCCTAGTATGGCTGATGTTGTCTTGCAATGCTGCAGTCATGTATCCGTCACAATGCATTACTCATCATTTCTACTCTATCAACTCACGGAGTCTTGATGCACAATGCAGGCTTCCATGTGTGCGCCAGCCCCGGCGCAGGAGACTGAGCATCACCAAGGCAGCACTGTCGCCTGCACCTCCTGCAGGTGATGGCAGCCCGGTTGTGGCACGTCTGGGGCCACTCTCGCTCACAATGCAAGACTGCAGCCGCTACATTGCACCAGCGCTCGTCATGTACCTCCTCACCAAGTGCCTCGATGGCAAAGGTACAATGCCACCTCCTCAAAAGCAAACCCATGTGTCCTCCACCTGACCCATAGCGCTGCAATAGCGCGCTGTGGAATTTGGCCAAGTGTGCTGGATGTTGTGCTGATGCTTTCTGGGACTTGCCCATAAGGTGTCTTGTGCACTGTTCTTGACAAATAGCGGGGATGCTCTCTCTTGTGGTGTGCCCGCTCTGCATTACCAATGCAAGGAAGGTGCACTCGGCACCTCTGATCTCTCGACACCTTTCTGAATTGTTGGTGCACTGCTGCAGGCATCATGCTGTTGGCGCAAGGACTGATTGTTGCGGCAGGAGGCTTTTCCTACTACCAGGGATACACCAATCTCAACGAGCATCTCACAAAGATCACCTTGAGCAAACCACGGAAGTGGCTGATCACTGGCTTCATAACGAAACTGGGCTGGATGCTGGGCGGCACATTCCTGCTCATCCGGTATGCCCCCTTCCGCCCTGTTCTTCTTGCTCACAGGTTCATTCCTGATGCAGAGCAGATTACCTTACAGTGCACCTGTGAGTCCTCCAGCCTCTTTCCTTCTGCATCTTTCACATGAGAAGCTTCTGCTCCTGCATCCCGCAATCCATGTGAGCAGCCTTCTGTGCGCAGCATTTGAGCAAATTGATGATCCTTCTGCACAATACAATGAATTGAAACCATTGAGTTCATTGGCATGCATGTCCAGGTTTGTCAAGCGCTTCATAGTGCCCATCACGGTCAGCTACCCGTTCTACACTGGGCCGCTGTATGTGCTTGCCCCTGCTGCCGCCTTCATCAAGCAGCATCCGGAGGTTGCTGCTGCATGCTACGCGGGGGTACGTTCTACATCTCTACATCATGGTTGGGTTTCTTCTTGAATGCCTGTGCATTTCAGAGCTCACAGGAACTGCTTCCCTGATGGAGAACATCTTGTGTCTTATGCAGCTTCAGGGCTGGTTGACTGCAAGGAATATGCTTCTGTGTGCATGCTAATGAGAGGCCACAGTCATGGGGCTTAGCTTGTCCCTAACGGCATGTCCGGGGTTTTATGTGTGCAGGCCAAGGCATTGCCTCCGATTCTGTACCTCGCAGCACTTGTCGTGTCTCTGCGCCGAGCGGCAGCTAACATCCTTGGGGAAGGCAACGCCACTGCTGCATCTGTCAATGCGGCGGCCGGCGCAAGTGCTGCGGTAGGTGTTTGTGCACCCTGCTACGACGCATGCTGAGAACCTGCCCTCGACTATCAATCGATTTACAGGGATTACTGTCCCTGAACAACTGAGTTGTTTATTTAAGCCGCCTCTTCGTTCCCTGCAAGTGACGACTCAAACTCATATAGGCTGTATGTAGTTGACACCTCTGGACCAGGGCACAGCATACAAACGTGCAGCATTCCCTGTGGACTGGAAAACGGGTAGGAATAACAACAACATATTTTCCTGTGCTGCACTGCGCAATTGATACGAAGGGCAAATGTCGCAGGCAGATGACGTGGCAGCGGAGGGAGCCAGCATGGCACAGATGCTTCAGGCGCTGCTGGCAGAGAGGGTGCAGCTGCGCTGCAAGGTGGACGACCTAGCCAAGCAGCTGAGCGCCGTGGAGGACTACTCCGGTGATGACAGCGCCCAAAACGTCCTGCTGCGCCGGTGAGCGAACCTGAGCTTCTCACCCATTCTAGCATACCCATGCCATGCACGGATGATTTCGGACTCTGTGCGACCTTTGCAACACGGCACTCATGCAACTTTATATGGGGTCATTACGGGGACCTGACATAGCATCAATTGGAGCTCCGTCTGCTGCGGTAGTCTGGTCTAGCCCAAGCAAAGAGTCGGTCTGCATTCAGACCGTGGGCTTCGCCTGCGACATCAGGCCGTGCAAGCAGTGCAGTTACAGGGGATCTTCATGCCTGTTGGCATGCAATAACGATGACGAAATGTCTGTAAGAATTTGAAGACAATTGTTGGTCAGCGTGCGGTGTCTCGACAGAATGGGCGAGGTGGAGGGCAAGCTGTGCCAGCTGGAGGCCATGGAGAAGGAGGACAGAATCATGATTGACGAGCAGCTCTTCTGGAAGCTGCCCGACGGCACGCGCAAATCACGCATGGGCAACGTCGAGGATCAGATCGACTGCGCTCAAGCCGCCGAGGGCGCGCTGGCCACCCGGCTCGCCGCTGCAGAAGACAAATTTGTGCAGCTGCGGCGGCGGCAAACTGAGGCAGCGGCGGCGCTGCGGTCCAGGCTGGCAGCTGCAGAAGAGAAGCTCGCGCAGCTGCAGGACAATCCCCTTGACAGTGGGAAACCTGATGCAGCGAATCCGCTGCAAGACAGACTCGCCGCTGCCGAGGAGAAGCTTGTGCAGCTGCAGGAGAAGGCCCACGGCAGCAACGGCGCCGTTGCAGCTCCAGTGGATGCGTTGCAGGCCAGGCTCGCCGCTGCAGAAGGAACGTTGGCCGCGCTGCAGAACAGCATGTACGGGGCACTGCTAGGGGAGTCCCACGTGCGGGCTGAGCTGCCGTACAGGATGGACCAGGCTGAGGAGGCAATCATGCGCTTCCACACAGCCCTCGTTGGCACTGGCCACGACAGCGGGGAGCTCTTTGCCGCCTACCAGGACGGCGGCCTCATAGAGCGGCTGGCGGCTGCCGAGGAGGAGGTCGCGCTTGTGAAGAGGAAGCTGGCGGAAGCTGCCAGCAGCCAGGAAGCTACCAGCGAGGCTCTCTCCGCCAGGCTGGCGGATGCCGACTGGGAAGTGGCCAGGCTGGAAGCTCGCCTGGGGGAGGCCAACAAGTCCCACACTGTGATCGAGGACGTGCTATCGCGGCTGCAGTCTATCAAGAGCGAGGTGGAGGACCTAAAAGCCGCCCACAGCGTGGGGCAGGCCACGCTAGAAGCCAGGGTACGCCAGACAGGGAAAGACATGGCCGGACTGATGGAGACTGCCACGGCGGGGGGCTCTGCTCTCCAGTCAAGGCTGTCAGAGGCAGAGGAGGAGATCAGCCACCTGCAGGAGTGCCTGGGCAGCGACGATGAATCAAACAGCGAAGACGTCCTGACGAGGCTGCAGGAGCAGGAGTGGACCCTGGAGGATGTGGAGACCAAGATCAAGAACCTCAACGCGCGCCTCGGCTTCGACGGCGGCAGCTGCGAGAAAATCGGCGAGGCAGAGGCTAGCATCGACAAGCTCAGGGACTTCTTGGGCTTGCACAGCAACGACAGCGAAGACATCGTGTCCAAGGTGGACGGCGTTGCCACGAGGATGGGCAAAGCAGAGGCGGCCATCAAGCAGCTGAAGGAGCAGCTGGCAGCAGCCAGCGGCGAAGAGGCTGTCAGCCAGGACCTCCTGTCGAGGCTGGAGGAGGCGCAGCGCAGCATTGCAGAGCTGCAGGAGCAGGCACGCGCGCAGGACGCCACAAGCTTAGTGTTTGACGATCAGATGGGGGATGCTGAGCGCGAAATTGGGGCTCTGAAGTACGACGTGGCCACGTTGGGGCCGCTCGATGAGAGGCTGGGCGCTGCCGAGGCCAGCCTTGCTAGTCTGAAGAAGGAGATCTACGGAGAGGAAGCTTTCCCCGGCGGCCTGCTGGAGAGGGTGGGTGACGTGGAGGACGCGCTGGATGTCCTGCCGAGCGACGTTGTCGGGGCAACTGCCCTGTCGGACACGGAGGCTGCCATCAAGGGCCGGCTCTCACAGGCCGAGGAGACCGTGGCAGCACTCACACAGCGCCTGGATGGGGCACCTTGCGGCGCCAGGCTGGAGGACCTCTCTGAGGAGATCAAGGTGATGAAGGACAGCATGCAAGAGCTGGCAGAGGCGGTGCGGGATGGCAGTCTCGCCACGCTGGGTGCAAGCACGGAAGTGCAGGCAATCGTGGAGGCTGATGCCGGCAGCAGCGCTGTGATGTCAGGAGCTGCAGCGCCGCCGCGCGCCATTCCTCTGTCGCCATACAATTGCGACATCACGGTGCCCCTGATGAAGCCGCGGCCTGCGCAGGAGCCGGAACCTGTGTCGCAGCTGCCAGAGGCGCCCACCCAGGCCTGGGGGAAGTATGAGCCGGTCACTTCTGAGAAGATCCAGGTACTACCATCACAACTGATTGCGACCTGCCTTGAGAAGGTTGCGTTGAAAGCACAGCAGCAGCATGGCACGCCCACGACAAATTTGAAAATCGCAGCTCACGTGCTCTCGTGCACAAATGCAGTCAGAGTTTGCCAACTGGTTGACATGTTTCATTGCTGCAGCACCTTGGACCCTTCCATGCAACCCGCCCAAGCTTGCATCTGTTCTGTCTGCTGCCAGAGAATGTGCTATTTATCTGCTTTGGATGTGCTTGGACAGGCCCTCAAGCGCACTCTGGACACTCGCACTCCCAGCGCGATCCCGTTCACTGCCGCCGAGACACTCCCCTCTGCCGCCTCCGACGCCGGCAACAACGCAGACGGCAAGCCGGCAGCTGCCGCGCAGCTGCCGCCGCCAGTCCCGGAAGTCATCGACACTGAGGAGGCTGCGCCATACGCGGTGACCGAGGCGACCGCTGACGCCGCGCCGACGCCGGTGAGCCTCGCTGACATTAGCAGGACGATGTCATCCCATGAGCTGGCGGCCTCCTACACCAAGATCAACCTAGCCGCGGAGTGGACGCCGGGCATCGCCGCGGCCGCCGAGTCTGCCTTCAGCATTCACCCTGACCACATGCGACCCGTGGTGGGAGCGCAGCTGGGAGATAGCGTTGTGGCGGATGAGTCACTGGCGTCAGCAGAAGAGGAGGTGCAGAACGCCTCCTCTGATGAGATCATCGCTGCTGCCGCCGAGGCGGCTGCTTCTGACAAGGTAAGAACGCGCGCTGCCCTTGCTTCAGCATCTAAGTCTTCCCTATCATGCGCTTTCATGCTCAGCACATCAAGCTGGCATCTTTGGATTCAGTGGTTGCATTCTCATTCGGAGGGGACTGTGGGAATTGAGCCTGCGCTTTTGGCAATGAAGCATGGGAGTTTAGTGTCGCCGAGTGGCTGCTTTTGCAGTCAGCCAGGTCACTTTGAGCCTGTACGTATGGCACGGGGTGCAAGGCAGTCAATTTGGGAGGCTTCCGTTGCTCACATGCACCGTCTCTGTTCAGCAGGGCCAAGACATTGAGGTGGAGGAGGAGCGGATTGACTATGGCAGTGAAGAGGAAGCTGCCTTGGAAGATGCGGCGGCAGATGCCGCTGTGGACGCTGGCCTTGTGGTGCTGGATGACTACGTCTTCAACTCGGACGACGTGGGCCGCTCTCTCACAGGCTTGAAGGCCAAGACCAAGAAGTTTCTGGACCGCGTGGTGCGCCTCTGTCTGTGCTGCTAATACCTTGGCTCCATTGTGTATAGAAGCGATGGTATAGTCTCTGCATGTCTGTACTGATTTATTATTATTCATACACGCTTTTCCTGCCAAGAGGCAATGTGCGTCCTGCAGACAGGCTGCAGTGACAGGTTGCCACAATCCTACCCCTTGTTGGACTCCCCAGATCCAAGCAAGACCCAATCATCCGTGCGCACGTTGCTCAGTATTTATACCGCCAGCTGGGGCTACAGATTTGGTGAAGGATAAATGCAGACATCAAGTCTGAGAGACGTAAGAGGAAGGGCTGCCTCGGAAGTGGAATTTTGCAGCTGCAATATGTGCGTGGAAGCCCTGCAAGAAGCCAGCCTACCTGAAGCTGCACAAAAGGATATTCAATTAGCGTGCTGATCAAAGACAAGGGGTGCCATTCTCCGACGCCTGGGCACTGACCTCATTTTCTTTGTGCAGACACCACCTTCGCTGCGTCAGGAACAGTCGACTGGGCAGGATGTCTCTCCTGCGGGCGAGTCAGCAGACAGCTTCAAGGTCGACGTGGACATGGATTTTGCTCTTCTCGACAGCGGCCTCTCAGCGGTCAACGGATTCTTCTCAGATGATGTCCTTGCCGCCGTGCGGGACAGATATGGGCCAGAGCTCTTTGATGAAGCTGCGTGGGAGCTGCAGGAGCCCCTTGTGCCGACTTCTGCTGACCCCGGCAGTTTGATTGATGTCAGCGACGACGAGGCTGATGATGTCAGCGGCGAGGAGGAGGAGGACGATGTCAGTGATGTGAAGGATGGTGATGTCAGCGACGGCGAGAGCTTTTACGTGGACATTGACATGGAGTGAGGAGATCCAGAGGGCTTCCAGAGCACCCGGCTTGCTGGGAGTAATCTTAAAGGAGAGTCAAGGCATTCCCACGTGGTTTGCGCGCGCGACAATGCGCTGAAAAGAACGGCAGCGGTGACCTGGGCGAGCAAGATGGTCACAGCCTGAAATTGCTATGGTTGTATGATGTACCATGTGCAGGGGATGTGCAAACATTGGGACTTGTATTACCAGACCTGGCAGATGTGTAGCAGCTGCGCCTATGTATATTCAGCTGGGTCTTCCAGATGCAGGTGTCTGAAATATTTGTGTTCAGGAGTTGTACCTCACTGGACCCAGGGAAAGAGTGTATTGTTGCTGGTTCCATGCCAGGACTTTGTATTGAGCAGTGCATGTCGCACTGCAGTTTGCCCTTTTATTTGTACATTACGGCAAGAATGAAAGGGGATTGCATCAAGGCAGCTCTGTATGCTTGCTCCAGACTGTTCTGGCACGCTTCCTTTGTTTGACGGAATCGTGTACAGAGGACTGTGTGCTTTTGTACTGGCTCAGCGCCTAGGTGCATCAACATTTGTGATTGGTGTGCAAGTTCTCGTTATGTAGATATTGTATCACTGCAGGCGGCGCTATGAATTGCTGCGATTTAAGTCTTTGCATCTATTTAAGGGTCGTATTGATGTCTGTTTACTTGGCTAGGCAGTGTATTGTACAAATGGACCTTGTGTTTATTTAAGTCTTGATAGCATGCCGCATGCAGCAACAGCGGCTGCTCATGATTATTACATTTGAGCTTGGCATTATCATTTGAGCAGTACCTATTCATCAGTCCAGGAAGCCAAGGGCAAAGTTTCTAGCAGCACAGTCTGGATTTCTCATCCATATGGTTAATTCTAATGGTTATCGCAACAATTGTAACGGGATCAGCCAACGAGTAACAATTCCCGTGCATTCTGGGCCGAGCACACAAACATTTGAAACTCTATCTTTGAGGCCTCCTAGGAGACATGCTAACCAAAACGCCCTCGCTCTCTAGAGCACCGCAGAATGCTTCACCAGCTGCAGCCTACATCTATGAAGCAATGCAGTATTGTTCGAATTAATTGTTCAATTGAGCATCAGGTCTCAACACTGGCCAAGGGTCCAGTCTTTGCCACCTTGGCTCTGCGCGCTCATGAGATCAGCTCGGTCTGAGGCACATCAGCATTCCCTTTATTCAACTTCACGCAGGCGACTTCAAATCAATTGAGAAACTCGGTGAAACTCGATTTCGGCTCCGTTTTAGCGCTTTGAGCGAAGTTGTTCTCCCCGCTGATTAGCGTTCCCTTGCTTTGCAATCACTTGGCATGTGACAGCGCATCATTTACTGCACCAGAGCCACAAACCAGGGCTGTTCCCTGACGCCACTGAAATCGGCGTCCCCGGCAAACTGCTCCTTTGTGGCTGTGCCAAGTGACAGAAGCCCAGCAAGGGTGCCTGCTATCTGCTGCTGTGCTGCTGCGACTTCATGCCCAGGAATAGCCCCACAGGTCAGCGCCTGGGCGCATGTGCATGCATAATTGTACCTGCGGGTATAAAACCCAGCACAGTCAGCGGCATGTGCTGATCTGTGAAGTGCAATCTCTATGCCTTGTCGATTGTTCTGTTGCCATCTCACGTCGATTTGCTAGGCACACAAGTCACTAGGGAGTGTTGAAAATTATGCAAAGGTTGGTTGACCACCGCAATGGCTGCAATAAACAATTCAAAAGCTTCAGGAACATCGGATCACAAACTATTTGAGACAACGCCTGAAGCAGGCAGGTGGCAGGGTCAATCACTCAGGTAGACCACAAGGTATATACCTGACATCACTGCGTTCTCGCAGACCTCCTATTGCTTCTGGCCGCTGCAGCACGATTACATATGCCCTGAGCGCCTCGCTGAACCTCTGCGCAGCCACCTCCCGGTTGCCTGTCTGCTCTGCCAGCTTGCCTAGAGCTGTGTTCACCTACGCGCATGCATGTTGCCTTGTCGTGCAAGTGAATGTTTAAACATCAAATCCGCGGCAGACAGATAAGAGCCTGCAGTTTGATTTCAAATTCAAATTCGGAGCAGCCTGATCTGGACACCAGCTTCTGTTCTTCTTGTACCATGTGTACTAGCTTGCACTGCGCAGAACTTTCTCAGGGATCTTCAAGAGTGCCCAAGCCCAGGTTGCCATTTTCCAGTTCCAACGGCCAGTTGTGCACAGCTTTAATTCAGATTGCCTGTCAATATGGCGTCAAGCATGGCATTGATCTCTGCACAGACATGTCCCACTTGAGCCATACATGCAGGTCAGCAAGCTTATTGCACATTTAACTTTGTGTCGAATCAGCTGACTTATTTAAACACCACATACTGCCACACATGTGTGCTTGAAGCACTGTGCAGGTCAAGTGCAATGAAACTGCCCCTTAGGTAAACAGACAAGCAAGCAAGCAGCAACCATTGGAAGACGCAATCTCTAGCCATCTCTTCTGGCACCAGGGGTATAATTCTGATGCAGAGGCAGGAATGCCAGGCAACGGCAGCCACGGAAGATGAGAGGGCAACAAAAATGCCATTACTCCAAAAGCCAAAAACGCCCCTACTGGCGGGGAGCGGTAAAAATACTGAGCACCGTGCCCCCGGTTGATGGGGTCTTGCTTGGATCTGGCGCGTCCAACAAGATGTAGAATCGTGGCAGGCTTTACTGCAGCTTGTCTGCAGGACTTACCGTGCCTTTTGGCAGGAAAGGCATGTAATAAGAACAAAACTATTCCTCCGCACCTCTGCGGTACCAACGAGGCCGTCCGGGTCGTGGCCGTTTACGCGCAATGCAGCGGAGTAGCCCTCGTCCAGCGCAGCATTGTAGCAGCCGAGCGCCTCCATGGCGTCGGAGGAAGCTTCCGCGGCGGCTGCGAGCACGTCTCCGAGGGCGTTGTGCGGCTGCGGGTCCCCCCGGTTGAACGCGCAGCTCTCCCGCAGCCGCGCGGCGGCTTCTGCCAGGGAGGAAGCTGCCAGCGCTGGATTCTGTCGCCACCAAAGATCAACATTCAAAACAAAAAATAGCTTGCCAAGTTGAAAATTCATCCAGCCGGATGCTGTCTCCATCATGAGGCAGTATCTGGCCTCACCCGGCCTCACCCTCGGATGACCTTTAAGCAAACATTACCTTTCCAGCGCATGCCATGCTACAAGCATATGCTTGAAAGGTAGTACATTCTACACTTTTCTAGTGATGGAAAAGCATCCTCATTTTCTTAGATTCCTCTCTTGATGATGGCCTTTCTTGGTGCACGTCAGTAGCATACAGGAACGCCCCTCCGTTTACCACAGGAAAGACCTCACCTTGGCGTGTGTGCCGAGCGAGTGCAGGCCCACGCCCCAGTTGTGCAGCAGGCCCGGCAGGTCATCTCCATCCTCGCTGGAGCACAGCGAGCATGCCTTCGCATAAGCCGCCATGGCCTCCCCATACACCGAGCCCACGCATGACTCAGCATCCCCGTCAGCCGCGAGAAGCTCTGCACGCTTCACCAGCGTGTCCGCTAGATTGCTCCACGTCTGCGTCACATCACGTGCTGACTTAGCACGTTGATCTGATCATGAGTGAATTGGTTCCATGCCCTCTCGGGATACCAGTCTCAGGCTGCCGACCTTGTGAATACAAAGGTAGCTTTGCATAGTAAAGACACGCAGAACATTACTCCAAGAGCACGGCAACAACTTGCAACCACGTGCTTGACGAGCTGCTTGCCAGATAGGCCCCTGAAAGAGCAAGAGGACAGCAAGTTCACAAGACAGGGGTGTCTTTATGACACAGCTGCTGAGACTCAGAGGCCTTGTAAGCTTGCTGGACATGACTCCCAGTGAAGACAATGCTTTGAAGGCACAACTCCTATGTGCGAAGAAGCAAGTGCACTCACTGCAGCATCCTCCTCCTGTTCAAGGGATCTCTGGTAGCCTTCCACGGAAGAGATGAGCAGCTGCGTGGCAGCTGCCAGGTCGCCGGTAGCTTCCTCCACGTCAGCCCAGGCCGCCAGCACATTCGCAGCGTTCACACATGCGTCCACACGCACCCTCCCGTCTTCGGCCTTCACCTGCAAATGGACATAGCTGACTCAAGAACTTGATGTTCAGTCAAAAGGAGACCCCTTAGAATCTAGATGTGCCCTCAAATAATGCTGCATGTGGCTCTGCTGCAGGCTTGCTCCTAAAGGCAGATTCCATAAGCAGGATTTCAATGCATGATTGCAGAAGACATGATGGCTTGGCATGCCATGCAGGTATGATTGGTTTGTCACTTGGAGGGGAGCTCAGCCAAGGAAAGCTGGTCTGCTTGTCTGTCTCAGCACACCGGGTTAGTACCAACACCAAGATATGTCCTCCAAGCTACAAACATACAGCAAGAGAGACATGTGCTGTATCCATGCAGCAATTCCTAAAGTGCTGCATGCGGGAATGCAATCATATAAGGAAATCTAAGAATTCAATCTTTCAAGAAAGAAATGTGCTGCAAGGGCATGCTGTGATGTGGACATGGCTGCTGACCTTCTTGTAGGCATCCACGCTCTGCCTGAAGAGAATTTTGGCGTTGCTGCGAGCGTCTGCCTCCACAGCTGCTGACAGCTGCGAGTCAGGCAGGGCCGAGCATGCCTCCAGGATACACTCTGCCAACCTCTGCATGCTCTCACCCTGCGCATGCATTCCCTCTCCCCACCTCATGTCTGCACCGTATATCATGCGCATGCCTGATTTTGAGGCCCTATGATTGCAGCTATCATGCAACGCCTTCCTTCGAACAGGAATCATTTATCAGCTGCCAGGCATGCTAGCCTGTAACTCCACAGCAGACAGCATGCAGAGTGTCATCATGCAGCAAGACTGGATCTCACCAGCCCAAAGTAGGCATCAAGAAGCCTGCCTGCGGGCAATGGCTCGTCCTTCGCTAGCCTCACACACTCCTTAAAGGCAGCCTGCACCCCACACACTCCCATCAGCCAATTGCAATATAATACTGAGTCCATGCATGTGACTGAGGCTGGCAGTGAAGTTTCCCTATTGCTGAGAAGCTGGTATTCAGCCTCAGCACGAAAATGGCCTGGGGGCATTCAGATCCACCACGATAGACCACGATCTCTGCCTGAGTAGGACCAGCTACCAGCATCATACACGTGCATTAACCCAGAATTGGCGACACTCTTAGTTACAGAAGAGGATCCTGCTGAAAGTGCACCGCTGCCTGCTGTAAGCCGGGAATGGCCGCCCCGCCGCTCTTCCTCTCAGCCTGCTGCTGCAGAGTCTCAGCACCTGCAATGAATTCACGCATATTACGCTGAGCACTCCCAGATTTTGTGAAATACGTTCATGCATGCCAAGAGCTGAATATGCGCAACTACACTTTCCTAGCCAAGCAATGCTTGTGAATGCATTGACAGGATTGATAGTTTGACGTTAATCACCGTCTAAAGCCGCAAGAGAGGAGTTTCTGTTCTCCCTTGCTGCAGGACCCTTGCCCCTGTTCCTGCCGTCTGAGAAGCCCATTGCTTTTCAGCACGCCCAGGTCAACACTCGTCTCAACGCGTGACCATCCTCTCTAGGTGGCTATCAAGTCCCCGAATTTCAATTAACGCTGCGATTGGCCGTGCCCTGATGGCTTTGCCTTAGTGGATCACATGCCCTACTAATGCCAGATCCAAATATGAAGCTACCTCTTCCTGAGGTTGTCCCCCTTTGGGCAGTATATTTTGCTGTAAATATACATCTGTTGACAGAGAAAATAATGTGATCCGTGCAATCTCTTCTCCACTGGACGGCAGTGACTAGGACAACGTTAGCCGAAACACAAAATTAGCAATATAAAGCTCGTGTCAACGGCACTTTTCTTGACTTGAAAAATCTAGCCAAGCATCACCACCGTGCCTTCGAATAGAAGAGGTTATAGTAATGAGAAGGTCCAGACTGAAGACCTACGATTTGAACCAAACCCTCGCTTCAAATCCCTCCATCAGTGCCGGGTCATAAGGGTGGATATTGCGTAACCACGGGAGTGGATTGAGATTTGGTCCTTTTGAGCCGCAGCTTTTGATCGCGATCGCGGGACTAAGACATTGTTTCTGCAACAGCTAGATCTACGAAGAGCGATCAGATTGACATCGGAAGAAGGGCACCCATCTGCTGCAGGCGACTCAGAAAGGCAAGACCGTGTCCCCAATGATGCTGACGCTATGTGCACGTTGGTTGTTGACCGATGTGATCGTTGATACAAAAAGATCTAGGTAATGTGTGTTCCGAGAATAGATGTCGTCTAAAATTGATTTAAAAGCACCCGGACGAGCCCCTCGGATCTGCACAACGGCCGAGATAACGCAGCAAAGCTCCTCTCCTTTGTTATTTTTGACTTTGTTGGGGTTATATTATGAAGCTGCAGTTTCAAGACCTTCACAACCTACACTCTGAGACCGGCAAGATATTCTGTGTGGTCGTGCTCAGGTTCTCTTGAGGATGCATCCATTTACGTTATTAAGTTTTGGGACGAGTTGCAGAACATATTGAATGCGCCGTCCACAGATTGATTCGATGAGTGCAATTTCAATAAGCTCAGAGATGTTCACTCGTCTCCCATTGGTATCTCATATTTTCTCTCTGTGTGAATCTGATAGGGTTTTGTGCGTTTTGCTTGCAGAGACACTCATCCGCCTGGTGCAAGTTGTGGTTTCCACCTGATGCTACGTCTATACTGACGCAGCAGTGAGGTGCGCAGATTCCCACCACAGGTAAGAAATGTCAGAAGCAATGCGGCATTCCCTGACTTGTACAGAAGTGCTTGTCTGCATCCAGTCTGTTGTGTTTTGCGCAATGGATTTGACTCATGTTGCACTGTCAACATCTACCATCTGCACTCTTGTCTGTTGTGCAATCCACAAGAGAACTTGATGTCCAGGCACCATGGTCGATGCTCATTTTGGCCTTGCTCGAGCGGCAGTGCTCTCCTGTACCTGCGCACGAGCATGGCGCCCGTTCGTGCATATCAGCAATGCCTGAACGCCGCAACAGACCAAGAATGAGTGCTGGTTGGTCGTCAATAATTAGCATTAGTCAAAGCCCATAAAGAAGTTGCATGCGTGGCAGGCAATAAATGGCGCCGCCCGCGCGTGATGTGCGGAGCGTGCGCGAGCGTGCGGAGAGCCTGTCGCTTGGCTTCTGCTCGCCCACGCCATGGCCCGTCAACCCCCGCAGCCTCCATGGCCGCCCCGCCCTCGTGCGTTCCCTCCTCGGCCCATGTCATTTATATAATATACAGGGCATGCGAGCATCTCCCTGTAGGCCAGAAGCGGACCGGGTGCAAGCCCCTCTACTTCATGTCCCGAGATGACGGTTCCAGGCGCCTCCCTGTGCTTGATTGTTGTGGTAATTGTCCTGAGTCTGCATGTCCTCTGTGCCTTCCTGGCCACACAAGGCCGAAGTAGATTAGGTGCAGACGCTGGACAGTGCTGGCAACAGCCATGCAAAACTGACCCAGGGTGAGAATTGATTGCTTCTTATAAATTGGGGGAGCAAGACATGCCTGTGTGCATCCGTATCCCTCCCACATGTCCTTTCTTTGGTGGCGCAGACAAATTGCCAATTGCAGTATAAGTGTCTCCCGGCCTAAAGCTGGCCTCATCAATCTCTCGGAATTATATGGCGGCTAATCTCTAAAGTGAGGTTGAACATGACCTGATTGCAGAAGGAGCTGGTGGAGAGGGATTCTGCAGTGCGTCTGGGGGACAGCAAATTGCTAGAACGCATACGCACGCTAGAAACAGAAGTGGCGGACAGCGACGAGTATGCGGACGACTTGGAGCAGCAGCTGGAGCAGCTCAGCACTGAGAAGGACTCCCTTGTTGCATGCGTCAGCGTTTTAGAGGTGACCTTGTTGCGCCAACTTTCACATATTTCTGGCGCATTCCTTCATTTGTGATGGGGTAGGCCCTGTATGCTTGCCCTCCTGTCAGTGGAGGTATTGCCCTCAGGACTTTCATCACAGGTGCAAGGTACTGTAACCCAGCCCAGTGTGCCCTTATGCAATTTAGCGTGAAGGCGGGGACTTAGGGAAAGAGTCTGGCCAATTTAGGACGGGGGAGACTATGGCATTTTTTGCTGGGTGTTGAGCAGTGGCCCTTGCCTGATGGGGAGATTTGCAAATGCTGCAGGAAAAGAATGGGGCGCTGGAGGGCGCCAATGCAGATCTGCAGAAGGCGGCTGAGGCGGCCAAGGCTGCCCATGCCGATCTGCAACAGAAGGCCACAAGTTTTGACGAGCTGAAGGTGCTGCCTGTGCCTTTGTGCTGCCTGTTGACAGTATAGGTTGTGTCATGCTCACCCAGCCTTTTGTAGTGCCACGGGCCTTGTTGGTCGCATGTATTCTGTCTTCACGGATGTATAGAGATCATTCAGATCTCCTGAGCCTACTTGCTCGTAAGCTAATCAACCATGCATGGCTCGACCAAGTGATTACTCTGGCTGTGAGCGCTGTTCAAAATGCTCAATCAGCAAGACCAATGGGCTAGTTCATCATGGCAACCATGGTGATCGCAGTGATAGTAAGCAGCTTTCACAAATTTCCTCACAGCCAGATCGCTGCTGTCAGGGAATGACACTATTTCATCAAGGCTTTCAATTGCCTTTTTACTCCAAGCTTGTTTCCTAAACAGGCGTCCCTGGAGAGCAAGGTCGCTGAGCTGGAGGCCAGCCTGGCGGCAGAGAAGAGCGAGCGCATAATCTTAGAGCGCCAGCGCAGCGCAGGAAAGCCCCCCCGGGCCCCCCCCTCTCCGGGGGGCCAGTCCCCCCGGGCATCCCCCTCCAGCCCCTTCGGCCGCTCCGGCAGCGGCGGCCAGTTCGAGCTAGCCGGCGTCGGGCTGCAAATTGCCACCCTGGAAGTCCAGGTGATTGACTGCTGTTTTTCCCCCCTTGCTTGTTGCCCCCAGAATATATCAATTATTTTTTACGCTGCTTCTGTTACTGTGCCCAGAGAAAAGGTGTCTCTCAGAACTGTTAGGGTGTCCAACTTCACAAATGACATGACTGCTCCTCACTTTCGTGTCCTCTTTTTTGCCTTGGTCTTTATGCACTTTATTTAGTCTGGCGAGGGCTTCAAAGTAAGTATATGTAACTGCCTTATTTTCCATGCCTGAATTCTGCCAAGAGCAATGACACTGCCAGCAAGCACAAAGGCCAGCCACGGTGTCAAAATATTATTTCACTGCTGGAGCTGACAGCCAATGTGTGCGCAGGTGTCAGAGAAGGAGGCGCAGCGAAAGGAGCTGGAGCATCGCGTGGAGCAGCTGCAGGCGCGGCTGTCGCCGCTCGACGCAGACAAAGCAGAGCTCGCCGGGCGGCTGGCCGGACTCGAGAAGCGGCTGCGTGAAGCCGACGGCGCGCGTGGCAGCCTCGAGAAGAAGCTGCGCTCGGCGGAGTCCGCGCGCGCGGACTTCGGCCGCCGCTGCAGCGGGCTGGCCGCCGAGAAGGCTGAGCTGGCGGGGGTCGTCGAGCGGCTGGAGGCTGAGCTGGCGGCCGCCAGATCTGGCGTAAAGGAAGCCGCTGCCAAATCCAGCGCGGCCGAAGCCGAGAGGGCTGCCGCGCTGAAGCAGCTTCGCCAGGAGCTTGCCGACGCAGGTGTGGACAGATGTCCGGCTAATTTCTCTTCAGTATGTGTGGCAGCAAATGGTGGCAGAAGACATGTCAAGCCCTGCGGCCGGGACATGACATGTTCATATGCATCTTAGGCATGATATATCTTTTGCCCTTTGATCAAAGCTGGATTGATCTTGCACCTCAAGCAGCCTTGTACCTCAAGCAGTCCATATGCAGTGGCCTTTTGAGTGAATGCTTAGGCAAGGAAGGGGCTCGACATGCAGAGTGCTGATGGCTTGTCAGGCTTATGTGTAAGGACCGCTGATATATAGGAGCTGAGTGTTGTTTCTATTGTGTGGTAGGGGCCGAGACCCAGGAAGCAAGGAAGGAGGCGGACATGCTGTGCACCAAACTCACCTCGGTGGCTTCAGAGAGGGAGGCAGCACAGGCCGCCCTGCAAGAGCTGAACGCGAGCTTCGCCAAGCTGGCGTCAGACAAGGACAATGCCACAGAAGACCGTGCTGAGGCCGCCAAGAAGGCATCAGCGCTCGATGCACAGCTGGCAGCCGCAATTGAAGAGCTCGCCAAAACAGGCTCAGCCCTGAAGGCTACTCAGGACAAGGCGGCTGCAGCGGAGGTGCTCGCAGAGAAACGGGCGGCGGAGATTGCCGGCTTGACAGAGAAGAACAAGGGGCTGCAGGCAGAGGGGGCAACACTGAGGGAATGCCTGCAGACCCTGGAGGCGCAGCTGGCTGCAGCAAAGTCAAAGTCAAAGTTGGGCAAGCTCAAGGAAACGCCCCAGGATAGAGGCGCCAGCAAGGACGTCAAGGCGGTGGACTCGGCCAAGCAGCATCCAGTCAGCTCACCGGTCAAGGGTGAGACAAGTGCGGCATACGACGAGCTGCAGGCAAAGTGCGTCGCAGCCGAGCGGGAGAGAGCCGCGCTCGCTGCGGAACTGAAGCAGCTCAAGGGCGATGTGGGAGGCTTAGAAGCCAAGCTGGCCGCCAGCGCAGCAGCAAGGCAGGTAGCTGAGAGCTCCCTGCAGCAGCTTGAGCAAGAGCTTACCGCTGCAAAGACGGCCCCCGCACCCCAGAAGAGCAGGGGTATACTGCCTCAGGCGAAGGGGGCAAAGTCTGAGGGCCCGGCGGCGGATGTAAGAGCGCTGACGGCGGCGCGGGACGAGGCAGTTGCGGCGCAGCGGGAGCTGCGGGAGAGGCTGCAGGCGCAGGAGGCGGTTGCCGCGCAGCTGCGCGAGCAGCTGCAGGAGCTGCGCGGCGCCACGGCCGCCGGCGAGCGCGCCGCGCGCAAGACCATCGGCGAGCTGCGCGACAAGCTCTCCGTGATGCGCTCAGCCCCCGCCGGGACAGCCGCCTCGAGGGATGTTCCCAAGGGATCTACCCCCGCCCCGGCCCCCGGCGTCGGCCAGGCGGCGCTGATCGCGCTGGCGAGCTCGCTGTACATGGGCGGCGCTGCGGCGGCGGCAGCCGCCGAGCCGGCAGCTACCGCGCAGCTGCCACGCGGCGACGCCAAGGTGCTGAACCGGCGGCTGGCCAACGCTGAGGAGCAGCTGCGGACGGTGCGCGAGGAGCGGGACGAGCTCCGGCGTGAGCGGCAGAGCTGGGAGTCGCAGCGCACGTCGGGTGACGGCGACCGCTCGGGGCTCGAGAAGGACCTCTCCGCACTGCAGGGGGACCTGGCGGCGGCCGAGGCGCGGCTGGCGGAGGCCGCGGCAGCTTCCGAGCAGCTGCGCGCGCTCCGGGAGCAGCACGCCAGCCTGGAGGCGCAGGTCAGGGACCTCCAGGGCAAGCTGGCTTCTGCCGAGACCGAGCTTGCCCGGTCCAAGGCCGCCGCGGCTTCCCAGGAGAAGGCACTTTTCAAGGAGCTTGAAGCCAAGTTGGCCTCAGCTGGGGCCGAGCTGACAAAGTCCAGAGAGCTGCACACCGCAGCTGCCGAGGAGAAGCATGCTGGCTTCAGGGCAGAGGTCGAGGAGCTTCAGGGCAAGTTGGCGAAGGCCGAAGCCCAGCTGACGCGCGCTGGGGAGACACAATCCGCGGCTTCCGAGGAGGCACATGCCTTGAAGGCGCAGATTGAGGATTTGCAAGGCAAGCTGGAGGCAGCTGAAGCCGAGCTGGCGCGCTCTGCTGATACACATGCAGCAGCTTCCGAGAAGGCGCACGCCGGCCTGCAGGCGCAGATCGAGGAGTTGCAAGGCAAGCTGGAGGCAGCAGAAGCCGAAGCAGCGCGCAATGCAGAGGCGCAAGCCGGCCAGGAGAGGGAGCTGCAGAGCAAGGTGGCGGCCTTCGAGACGCAGAACAAGCAGCTGGTCGGCCGGATGACGGCCGTGCGCGCCGAGAAGGCTGCCGTGGAGAGGCAGCACGGTCAGGCGCTGTCCCGGCTGATGTCCGAGGCTCAGAAGGACGCTGCCGAACGCTCAGCGGAGCGAGAGAAGTTCCAGAACGAGCGCGTAGCCGCGGTCGCAGCTGTAGAGGCCCGGCTGGCAGCGCTGCAGGGGGGGAAAGCAACCGTGGACAAGCAGCTTGCGGATGCACTAGCCGAGGCCGAGCGCGTAGCTACACTCATGCACAAGAACGAGGCGGAGCTTAAGAAGCAGCTTGAGGCGGCGGCTGCCGACAGTGCTGCGCGCAACAAGGAGCATGCCGGCAAGGTTGCGGATTTGGAGGCGCGGCTGAAGGACGGCGCTACAGCTGCCAGCAAGCTGGAGGCGCAGGTGAAGGAGCTGACCTCAGGGGAGGGGTCTGCTGAGGAGGGGCATGCGAAGGCTGTGAGGGAGATGGAGAGGCGCCTGCAGCAGGCTGATGCAGACAGGAAGGCGCTTGAGGAGAGCCACGCTGCTGCCACTGCCAAGCTGGAGCAACAAGTGGAACAGCTGACGGCAGCCAAGGCCTCTACAGACGAGAAGCAGGCGGCGGCAGTGCGTGACCTGGAGGCTCGCTTGCAGCAGATCACTGCTGACAAGAAGGCCGCTGAGGGAGAGCAGTCTGCGGCGATCGGCAAGCTTGAAGCTGCAGTGAAGCAGCTCACAGATGACAAGGCTGCAGCAGAGAAGGCGCAATCAGCAGCAGTGTCCAAGCTGGAGGCTCGTGTGCAGCAGATGGCCGCTGACAGGAAGGCTCTCGAGGACGCGCACGCCACAGCTAAGCAGAAGCTGGAGCAGCAGGTCAGGAAGCTGGAAGCAGAGAGGACGGAGCTGGCGCAGGCCAAGGAAGATGCAGAGAAGCAGGCGGCGGAAGCTGCCAGGCAGCTGCGCGACCTTGAGGAGAGCGCCGCGCGCCAGGGCAAGCACGAGGCGGCTGTGAAGGAGCTGAAGGCCAGTCTGGCAGCGCTGCAAGCCGAGAAGGACTCCCTTGCACAAAAGCACATCGCAGAGCTCTCCGCAGTGCAGAAGGAGCTCGCTTCAGCGCGTGCGAAGGCTGCAGCGACGCCTGTCCAGGCGGCCCAGCAAGCGCCAAAACAGGCCAGCGGTGAGTTAGCCGCCGGTGCGGTGCCTGTTCTGGCGATGGGAGCGGCCGTTGTTGCCGCTGCGGCTGCGCATGACCGGTCTCCGGCAAAACGCGCCAAGGGAGTTGGTTCCCCGAGCGCCAAGGATGCGAAGCAGCCGCGCAAGGCCGAGGCTAGGGGCCTCTCCGGCAGCGACAGCCCCAGGCTGGCAGCCAAGGAGAACGCTGCAGCGGCGCCGGAGCAGGGCGCTGATGTGGAGGGACTCAAGGCTCGCCTCGCTGAGGCACAGGTGTGTTCCTGTGTTTTCTTGTAGCAGACTGCTAGCTTGGTAGCGCTAAACTTTTACGTGAAAAGGCTGCAGGTTGTCTGTGTATCTTTACATACCAGCACATCTGCTAAATGGCAGATTGTGTGTCTTTGTCTGGAGACCTGCACGTCTGCTTTGAAATTCAGCTGGTGCTTGCACATGCATATGTCCAGGCAGCATTAGCTTTTGTGGGTTGTCCAATACATTGTTCAAGGGCTGTGGTGCGATGTTTGTAGGCTGAGAGCCAGCGGCTGTCAAAGAAGCTTGAGGAGCTGGAGAGCGAACGTGCGCAAGTTGGCGAGAGGGCGGCAGCTGCAGAGGCAGCCAAAGCGACCGCTGAGCAGAAGCTGGCGGCAGCTGAGGGCCAGCTCAAGGACTTGGAGACAAAGCTGACCGTATCTGAGGCTGCTGCGAGCAAGGTGCCCTTCTGTTCCCTCTACTCAACAGTTTCAACACCCAAGTCTGCCTGTAAGCAGCATAGAAAGATGAGCATCGTGGTTTTCCCTCTTATAAAGGTGCGCTCAAGCTAACATCCGCGCCCGTTATCTGATTCTTTTGGGGCCATACTGTGTCCGCAGGCGCAGGCAGGCTCTGCAGCCAGTGGCTCAAGGGACCTCTCAGCAGTGAACGGCGGAAAAGGATCGGCACCGGCAACCCCCACAAGGGACGCTGCGCAGACCAGCGCCGCGATTAGTAAGCTGGAAGCCGCCGTGCGTCAGCACCGGGAGGAAGCTACCGCGCAGGCAGCAGCCGCTGAGCGAATGTCCAGTCAGCTGGCGGCGCTGCAGGTCAGTGCTCACTCTTTAATTGTTGTCTTTTGTATACATATCTCTGGCGGCCACTATCTTAGCAGAGTCCAGATACCAAGAGCCGAAGCTAGATCAGCCCTGTGATGTCAACACTGTGTACAGTTGCTCTGCCTTCAATATTTGGTGAACTGCAGGCAATGCCGTACCTTACATTTATAGAACAACGATATCACACTTTGAAACATGTGTTAAATATGTTTCACTCATGTAGGAGGAGCACAACAGCCGCTGCACCCACTGGATGGCCGAGAAGGACGAGTTAAATGGCCAGGTCACTACTCTCCGGGCAGAAATCGCTGCCCAGGAGAAGGACCTGGGCAGCCTGCGGGCAGCCCAGGCTGCCCAAACCGGGCAGGCCGAACGGGCGCGCCAGCTGGACGCTGACCTGGCAGCCGCCAACGCTGACCGGGACGGCCTCAACGGCCTCATTGGCTCGCTGCAGGCAGAGGTTGCAGCACTGCAGAAAGACATGAGCGGCCTCCAAGACGCCAAGCGCGAGGGGAAACAGGCCGCGCAGAAGGTGCAGCAGCAGCTGGGAGCTGATCTAGCAGCGGCGCAGGCTGACAGGGATGCGCTACGAGGGAAGCTGGCTGAGCTGGAGGGGAAGCTGGCGGAGAAGACGCGCGCGGCCGCCCCGCCGGCGACGCCGAAGAAGCAGCCGGAAGGCGCCAAGGAGCTGCCGGAGCAGGGGGAGCCTGATCTGGCGGCTGACCTGGCAGCAGCCGGGGAAGGTGCCCGGAAGGCGGAGGGCCGGGTGCAGGAGCTTCAGGCGCAGCTTGCGGCTTCGCAGGAAGCCGCACGCGGCGCCGAGGGGAAGCTGGGAGCGGCCGAGGAGAAGCTGCAGGCGGCTTCTGCAGAGCAGAGCCGACTGGCGTCCGAAATAAATGCCTTGCGCGCAGCCGGCGTGAGTACTGCGGCTGCGGCTGCTGCTGCTGTTGCTGTGTCAACACCCGCGAAGGAGAAGAGGAGGGGCCTGTTTAGCCGGCGCTCATCCAAGCAGCTGGAGCCGTCCAGGGTCGGCGATATTGCCCGACCAGGCAGCGCCGGGCAGCCCGAGTCGGCCGACCGGGCAGCCCTTGCCGAGGAGATTGCCAGCCTTAGCGCTGAGAAGTTGAGGTGTGTATACTTTCTACTGTGCATTGCCAGCTCTGATGAAGCGCAGCCGTTTCAGCGCTTATCAGGCAAATATAGAGCAGAGCACAGACACTTGTTTTCTGATGAAGTAGTCATCTCAGATCAGGATGCAAGGGGCCACAGTGCAGAGTTGTCAAGAGCTCCATGATGCCCATATGAGCCCCTTTTTATTCTGCATCATGGTTCCTTGCATTTGCTTTTTGGTGATTTGCATTCAAGAATTGACTGTTTTCACTGCTGCCCTGTTTTGGTGATTGTAGGCCTTTGAAGTTGCCAGAAAACCTCTGATTGTCTCACTTCTGTCTCCCATCCTCCGCAGGTTGGAGAGCACTCTGGAGTTGCTGCGAGCAGAAGCAGAGCGTCTGCAGCAGTCAGCCGCTCAGCACAGCACGCCTTCAGGCCAGGCTCCGTCCGAGGAAACTTCCCAGGCGAAAGCAGCCGCCGAGGAGAAGGCCCGGGAGCTGGAGGCAGCTGCCGAGAGGGAACATCGGCTGCAGGAGACCGTGGCGCAGCTGAAGGCGGCAAACGTTGAGCTGGAGGGTGCGCTAAAGCAGGAGAGGGAGCGGCTAACTGGACTGGAGTCTGACCATGAGCTGGCGGTGTCCGGCCGACGCGGGCTTGAGACAGAGAAGCGCGACCTGGCCTCCTCCCTGCAGGTGGGCATTTTGCAGAGATTGTTTTTGGGCTCACAACACTAGGGGACTGATTGTCTGTGGCGTGCGGCGTGCTGTGCCGCCTCCTCTTGATAATATGTCTGTCCTTTGCTGGAGTTTCCGCGCAAGATAGTGTTTGGTTGGGAGGAGACTTTTGGCATGGTCACCGTGAGCTAGGTGCGGTGCCAATGGAGACGCATGCACTGGGGTCACTTTGGGGCAAGATTGTTGAGTTGCCAACAGTGGCTGCCTAGGATTCTTCCAGTCTGTGTGCCTATATGAATAAGGCGTGGATATCAAGAAATCGAGTTATTTTGTGTTTGCTGAGGCAGTGTGGGCTGTGTGTGTGACAGGCTGCAAACGCACAGCTGGCGGATGCACAGAAGACACACGAGGAACTGAGGGACGCCCTGGCCGAGACAGAGGGCAAGCTTGCAGTGCAGCGGGTGAGTTTTGGATTGCTGATCCACTCAAGCATGAGCAGCAACCTGTGCTGACGCAAGCATGCCATCGACACCTAAATTTATCGGGTGCAAGTGGCTGGCACCTTCTGCAGATTTTGCTGCTTCTCCTGGACGTTTCTACTGCCTTGGATTTCTTGCCTGGACCTCTGTCCTGGCGCATTGTCAGCCAAGGGCCATGGCTGTGCCTGCTTTGGACACGTCCAGACATAACAGTCGTCTACCTATCACCGCATTCAAGACCCAGTCCCCTCATCTGACAAGTCCACATCATCTGACACAGGACTGCACCGGGCCACTGCACGAGCTGAATATCGACTGCAACTCCTCTTGCTGTGTTGATCTGCACAAGCGTCCTTGGTCAGAAGCAATTTGGATGGCCCTGTGCTGCCATCCCCTTTGCTGGCAGCTGCCTGGCAGCTACATCACTGTAGAGAGTGTGACACCCGCAAGATTCGACTTCTGCAGGAGCTGACAGTGATGCTGGAGTCTGAGAAGGCCCAGCTGGCTTCCGGGCACGAGGAGCGCAGCCGCGGATTTGCGGACGAGAAGAAGAGCATAATGGAAGGCCACGAGGCGTTCATCCGAGGGCTGCAGGCTGACATGACGGCGGCGGCGCGGCGCAGTGAGTCACTGGGTGAGTCACTGGCGGCCGAGCGAAGCCGGCGCGAGGAGCTTGGCCGGGGGCACGAAGCCGAGAAAAAGGGGATTGTCGAGGGTCACGAAGCAAGAGTCAAGGAGCTGCAGGCGCAGGTAAGAATATAACATAGCATGCATTCCTTTGTATCACTAAATGGGATTTTGTAATTGTTTATTCTTCTAAGCGCTCGTCGAGTTCGGTCGGGACTGCCCACAAAGATACTGTTGCAGATTGGGGTAGCTGCAATGCATGCGACACTTGGAGGGACACACACAAACCCAGCAAAATGACAGATGTATGCTTGGGTATACACAAGTCCGAATTGCCTATAAACTTCACAATAATGCAATCCTGCCGCAGGTCAGGCAATGCTCACAACACAGAAAACCCATGAAATATATAGTCAAATGACAGATGGATGTTTGGCTTGGCAGGTGCAGGCTGCTCTGCAGAAGGGAGATGCTCTGGCGGCTGAGAAGGCCCAGCTGGAATCTCGCGCACAGGCCGCCACTGCCTCTGTTGCGAAGCTGGAAGATAAGGTGAGTCTATTCTCTCACAATGATGCACGACTTACCAGAACTGTCACTGCTGCATTGGCTGGTGCATCCCGATGTGAGACTCACCTGCAGAGTGGTGTCAATACCTGCAGCTTCCCAGCGCCGTTCTAAGTTACTCAAAAAAAGGGCATGTGACAGAGGAAACAGCGTAATTTCTCTTTACAACTGAGTTCCTTTCTATATCTTGGCCTTCCATGCAAATCACTGATATTAGTGGAACACAACTCGGCAGTGGGTGATCGACCCTAACAAGAAAAGTCTTGAATAAAAATGGTTGCTGCGTGGTTTTGGAGGTGACGGATCTGGAGGGCGAGGTGCTGGACCTGAAGGAGCAGCTGGCAGACCTGGAGGTGGGCACATGTCAATCCCCTATGCGCACTGCCTTGGGCTTTGGTTTCAAACAAAAGCCCAAAGCTCTCTCTATGTACAAACATATTAGTATTATTACACGCTTTTCCTGCTGGAGGCAAGGTGCGTCTGCAGACAGGCTGCAGTAAAGGCTGCCAAAATCCTACCCCTTGATGGACTCGCCAGATCCAAGCAAGACCCAATCAATTGTGGGCACGGTGCTCAGTATTTGTACTGCCCCCCCGCCAGCCGGGGCCGGTAGATAAAGACAAACATATACTGGAGCAATAATCGTGAAACATACCCATATCCTCTGCTGGGAAGGGAGAGATTCTGACTTGAGAAACACTACTTAACAGCGATTTTTTGCCCTCCGGCAGGCCATACGCACGGATCTGGAGGGCCACGTTCAGGAGTTGTCCGAGCAGCTGGACGCAGCCGCCGCCGACAGCGCCGACAAGGCCAAGGCTCTGCAGGCGAGAACTTTCACCTACTGAACTGCGTGTTCTAGTGCCTGTCATTCTGACGCACATGGGCGCTGAGAAGATGACAGAGATTGTGATGCTGTGGTACACCATATGGTTGCCCTTCTTGGATTGCATTTCGAGCAACGGAGTGCACCTTTTATGTGCAGCAGGTTGGTGGGTATGTGTGTCTGGGTACCAGCACGAATGAAGAACTGCAAGTTTTGTGCCGGTCGGCAGACCCCATCTCAGTCTCTAGGCACTGTAGGCGCAATATTATGCGCAACACAGTGCCATGACTCACGCCAAATGTGGCAATTTTCCTTGTTGATCTTGCTGGTCTGACACCCGATACATGCCTTGTGTCACAGGAGCTGGAGCACATGGAAGAGGTTGTCGGCAAGGTCAAGGCCGACGCCAAGCGCTCGGCCACCGACAAGGCAGCGGCTCTGGAAGAGGTGTCCAAGCTGGAGGCGCTTGTTGCGCAGCTGAAGCAGCAGCAGCCGCAGAGCAAGGGCCTGGGCGAAAGCACAGACAAGGTGTGCTGTGAGTGTGACCTGCAAACGATGATTTGGTTCTTTCTGATGTGATCGTGCATGGCCGTTTATTCTGTTCAATATAGCGTGCATGCAGATGCAGTCGAGCGCACAGATACGGTGCCCCGAATTCGAGGGCAGAGGGTGTACCCATTCCTTACTCTCTTTACTTTAGAGATGAACTTCTGGAATTCCTGTCATTCACCTCTGCAGTCAAATCCATTCTCGCTATCAAACACTAAAGACAAACACACTTTCCTACTTGCAAAGATGAGTACACTACAACACGGCATGCATAGAAAGTAATACACCTTGCTTGATGCGCAGGCGTCGGCGGAGGCTGTGACTTCACTGCGCGCTGAGTGCGACGCAGCCAACAAGAAGGTGGAGAGCCTGCAGGTCAGAGCCCACCTCTACTACCTTCTCCTCATAGAAAATACAACATTCCGGAAAGATCACAGTAGGAAGTTTGGTATAAACGATACTGAACTTGACGAAAGCTTCGAGATGGGAAAATTTGATGTACTGGACGTCACTCATGGTGGCGGGCACTATTTTAAAGGTTCCAAGGGAAGATTGCAAAAGTGGACATGATGCACTGTCTCTACAAAGTTATCTCCACAAGATACATACAACCATCTCTGTGGAGACCTGAAGTGCGGGATAAAAGTGACTTCGAGGGGTGCATCTTTGGAAGGAGAGTGCAGAGGTTTGCATGATGCAAACCTTACAGATCTGGAGATGCTTTTTACCATCTCCAGGGCTTTTGAAAGCAACACCGTGGGACAGAACAGATGCCCACAAATGCATCGTCAAAGGACATTGCAGGAGCACGCAGGATGCAAAAGCTGCAGTTTGAAGGTCTACCCGACCATCTCCAGTGCTTATTAAGAGCTTGAACACAGAAACAGAACTGACGCCCAAGAGTGTCCCTTGTGGAGCAGGGGGCGGAAGCTGCGCTGAAGTCGGCGCGGTCGGCGCTGGCGGCGCGCGACGAGAAGCTGCGGGGAATGGCGCGGCAGCTGGAGGGAACGCGTGCAGAACTGGACCAGGCTCGGAAGGCCGCGCCAAAACAGGCACCGCAGCCGCCGCGCCTCAAGGCCGTCAAGGAAGAGGAGGAATTCGTCGACGAATCCCCCCGAGCCGCCAGGGTAAACTCCCTTGCTTACTATTACCCTGCATAAACTTGCCAGTGTTCTGGCTCTCGAGTCTTTGGTAGTTGCCGGGGAATCGACTGTTTTCCTTGTTCACTTCCCATCACGGAGTCACTGGAAGACTGGCATGAATTGGGTGTAACGCCGCAATTATTCATTTATAGTCCTCAAAGGCTTGTTGAAATCGCCTCTGCAGAGTACGCCTCAATATCTTAATTCCTCGCACACTGTCAAACACATGCAAACTTATATTTTTGAGCAGTTCTGGCAATGCGCCAGTGTAATGTATGCATGTCTGTGTTAGTGCGTGAGGGAGAAAACTGTTTGCGCAGGGCCCGAGCGGCTTCTTGCAGGCAGAGCCATCGCCGATGGAGCCGGACCGGCGCAGCAGCAGCTTTGACGGCTGGCTCACCAGCGCTTCAGCCGCCACCACCGCCGGCCGCGCATCCGACCCACAGTCCACGTCAGCCACAAGGTGATTTTCTGATGACGCCGCTCTGGTGTGAGTGGTATCACTTGTCCCATTGAAACGCAATCACTCACAGGAATGGACATGGGGCCAGCCCATGCCACGGCTCTATGCGTCTGTCAGGCTTCAAACATGGTCTTAACCAAGGTTTCCAGGCAGTGAAGCAGATGCTTCTAGATGCTCGTTGATACATCAATGGGATGCTCTCACATAGAGAGTTGCGCTGCGCTTGACAGTGCAATTTCTTGTGTTTATCAGCTGCAGTGTGGCTTGGTGAAGGCCAGTTAAATCCCCTCTCTTGTCGAAACCATGCACAGATTCTCGTACCAAGGCCAGTATCATGACCCCCTGTTGTGTACAATCTGCAGGGGATCCGGTGCGGCAAGGTCGGGCAGTTCGGGGATGAGTTCGCGTTCGCGACGCAGCAGCCGCACCGGCGCGAAGGACAAGGAAGTCGAGGCGCAGCTGAGCGCAGCCAAGCAGAAGCTGGAGGCGCACCTGGCCAGCCTTGGGGGACTGCAAGATGACTCACCAGAGCCTGAACAGGTGCGCAGCAGTTTGCATCTATGCAACCGCCATTGTTCTTGCACGATTGTGGCTTTGTCATCCAGAAACCTGCATACGGCAGTTGTATCCTTTCTTCAATTACAAATTTAAGATCTCCCTTGATTTGCTTTGAGCTTTGATGGACTCTCTTTTGCCACAGGCTGTACTGGGCTGGCATGTATCCAGAGGGGCGTGTCATTGGGCTTGCTCTCGGAAAGTGCAGCAAGACCTGAAGCAGGGCTCATGTTCAGGTTGTTAAATGTGAAGTCTGAGAAGGTGCGGGCTGTTCTGGGCAGGACTCGGCCAGGGAAGTCACAGCGAGCCATGTGGCTGAGGCTGAGGAGCTGAGGCAGCAGCTGCAGATGGCGCAAGATGAGCTGCACAAGCACCTGCAGGAAGCTCAGATGAGGTGCGTCCTGCGGCGTTCCCTGCCTTCTTCACAAACTTACCTGGCTACCCGAAGTGCAGCATTATTTTGCAAATGCTCCTGTGCTGCTGGGCAGAACCATCCAGTAAGTAAAGGATTGTGCCTGCTTCTGCCTTGCATCCCGGGTGCAGCCAAAAGCCTGAGGCTAGATTTGACCGTTGTTGATTCAGAAATTCCATTTGCCCGGACAGCGGGCTCCTGAAGTGTACAAGGATCTTCTTTTCCTGCACCTCAGAAGCTTGGTTCAGCATACAAATTGGCACAGCCGAGGGCTCAGTACAGAGGGGCCTTGCACCTGGACTAGCAGCGGCTTAGTCGGTTTGCTTTGGACTGATGGGGTGGCTGTGTGCGTGTGCAGGAAAGCTGAGGACGAAAGCAAGATCGAGAGCTTGGAGGTTGCGCGGAGCTCGCTGGAGGAGAAGCTCCACCTGGCAGAGGCCAGGAAGATGAAGCTGGAGCAGCGGGTCTCAGCCCTCACCAAGCAGAACGCTGCCCTCGCGCGAGCAGGCACTCAGGTGAGACCTTGCTACCTTCAGGGACATGTTATCCTGTCATGTCCATGCCAAGCCGAATGCTCAATGGCAGATATTCGATCCTCAGAATCAAGACAGGATGAGCATTTTCTCATCAAGTATGAGTGTGTTGATTAAACGAGATTGTTGGTGTCACACTGTCAGCAGTGTTGGCAATCAGCTATGCCATGATTGGACAGTTGGATCTGATGGTCCCTGTCACAATTGCATGTTTGGCGGATCAATAAATAAGGATTTGCTTGCTGTGCGCAGGTGACAACCAAGGAGGGCTTGGATGCTGTCAAGGCGCAGCTGAAGGGCTACACCCGGGGCATGGAGGTAGAAATTCCCATTGCAATCTCACTCCCTGAACAGATGGTCCAACATTTAACGCGGTGCAGAGGCTTTCGTCGATCTGACGGCTGTCTGTGCTGCATTTTTGCTGCTTGACAGATGAAACGTGTTGATTTTATTTCGCAACAGAAAGACCAACTGCCCACCACTTCTCTGTCCAAGCTGCATCACGAAACATTCAATTGCAGACAATTTGCTGAAGCTTTGCGGCTGTAGCCCTGGCCAGTGAAAGGCAGTTTTGCTGCACACCAACTTCTGCTGCGAGCTATCTGGTGTTGTGTCATCCCGCCTACAAGCTGATACAGATGATCTTGCACGTTTTGAACTCATTATGACAAAATGCTGACTGGGTGTTGCCTGATCAGGACGGCAAGGAGGAGGCGCAGGCGCAGATAGAGGAGCTGGAGAAGGAGAAGAAGAAGCTGGAGCGGAAGCTGGCCGCCCTGACAGCCAAATCAAGCGCGCTCAAGGAAGCCAATGAGTCACAGGCAGTCACCCTCGACGGCCTGCAGGTAATCCCTTGACGCTTACCTCCTCTGAGTATTTTTGCATTGCCGCAGTTTTCTATGGAAACCAGTGCAGACTGCACATCATGAAACCACCCTCTGCATTTTATGGGATGGTGCATGGAGTCTGCCGGGTGGTGACTAGCAACGCATGTGCATATGACATCCAGCTTCCAATTTGGCGTCCGACACCGGGTGGACACCTGTGAAGGAAGCGGTGACACTCTGCTCTGTTGTCAGATCTCAAAGAGCTGCTCAGGCCTGCAAACAGGCCTTTATGCAGCCCTGCGCATCAGGCTTTGCAGCCGTGTGCTTGCTCCCAGCTGCGGCCTTGGCAGCGCCTGTAGCCCGCGGTGAATGGCCATGACTCGGCATGGTGACATGGCAGTGACTCAATGTGCTGACTCATCCTGGTAGCCATCACCAATTCAGCAAAGACCTAGCGCGGTGATTGGCCATGACTCAGAATGATGATATGACAGTGACTCAGCATGCTGACGTACTGAGATGGGTCTGGGCGGCTGTGTAGGCTGTGAAGGAGCAGCTGAAGGGGTATGAGAAGGGGTTTGCGGCCGGGGGCAAGACAAGCAAGAACAGGGAGGCGGACCTCTCCTGCGTGCAGGCCCAGCTCAAGGGCTACTCCGAGGTGTGCACCCCACTTCCACCCTTTCCATAGACCCCAGGAAGCACAAGTAACCTTGCTGCTGTAATTTCAGTTCCCAGATGTCACTCAGAATCCAGACACAACTCTTGCTCCTCCCTTGCTGCTAATATTTATCTGAACCCATGGCTTCCAGTTCTCAACATGCTGTTTGGTGCTTTGACGGTCTGCGCTGGAAAGCCACTGCTAAAGTCTGAGGAATGATATCATTTCTCCCCGCCACGGGCACTCCCCCTGTGCCGTTGTCATTGCTTATGCTGCAGACAAACCTCACTGCATTGCAGCCTTGTGTGACCGCACCATGCCCACTCTTGCAAGCATCTTCATGTCCCAATTTACTGCCAGTATTGCCTATGAAGAGGCGCGCACCTGACTCCAAATATTGGCATTGCATGCATTGCAATGCTGCTAAGATGTGAAAGGGGATGCGCTGGATTCAGGGGCTGGAGGCCGGACAGGCTGAGGCTCGCGCGGAGATCGCAGCGGTGCAGGCAGAGTCGGCAGATGCGGAGGGGCGAGTGGCTGTGCTGGAGGACAAGATAGAGGCGCTAGAAGCCGAGAACGCCCACCTGGAATCAATGAAGGTGCCCTGCTTTCCCACCTCAGAAGAGACAAAGGACTGTTTGCCTGGGGATCTGACACTAGAAGTACTCGCCAGTATTTGTGCTGCCACATCCCTCTTAAAGACATGTTTGACACAAAGGCTCTTGCAGGAAGAACGCGCTTGCTGTGAAAAAGTATCTGATGCAATGTGGGTGAGTGCCAGCAAAGGGTCAGATTGTGCCAGACGTTAACGTTTTCATTGTCACTGCATGCCCCGTGGAAGACAGAAGTTATGCTGTTGTTGATGAGCTGATAAAAGGTCTGCTGTGGGGGGCAGAATGCGTTGGAGGGGTGGGTGCGCGGAATGGAGGCATGCAAGTCTGAGCAGGAGGGGCTCAAGAGGGAGAAGGAGGAGCAGCTGTATGAATCCCTGGAGGGTCTGAAAGCAGAATTGGATGCATACAGAAGCAGAACCTCAAGCCTTGACGGTGAGCATATACCCCTTTGTCTTGCTTGCGAGTGCAGCTGCCTTCCTTAGATTTGTGCGAACACGTGCATGGCTTACTTTGGTTGTGACTGGCATCAGTCAGGCTCTTTACTGCATATTGTTGTGCCAGAGGACCTTTTCCTGCAGCGTGTATTGCAACATACTTCTGTATAGCAAACTGGATATGTGTTGCTGCTTTCTGGCGAAGCCAGGCATGCTTGATGGATCACCGTTTTCATTACTTGCTTGGATCGCTTGCATGACGCCTAGATTCTGCGTGACCCTGGAAGGGACGGTGGCGCAGCTGAGCGCTGAGCTGGAGCTCGAGAGGAGCCGCTCCGCCTCGCTGCACGCCGAGAAGGCCGCACTGCGCGGCCACCTGGCCGGCATCGTGTCGCGCCTGCGCCCCGGCCAGCTTCCCGGCTCTATAAACCCCGCCGGGGGCGCGCCGCCGCCGCCGGCAGCGGCCGCGGCCGCGGCGGCCGACCCACTTGCGGTGGCGGCCGCCGCGCTGCTCGCCGCTGACTCACTCGCTGAGTCACCTGCTGAGTCATCTGCCGAGCTGCCGGGTCAACCACTCGGAGAGGTCGCCGTTGACGGCCGGCTATCCCTGGACGCCTGGGGACGTAGCGCCACTCCCAGAAGCACTGCTGGGAGCTCTGAAGTCAAGCAACATGACCAGGGAGCGAAGCAGGGGTCTAGCAGTGCGGATGTGTCGGACGGGCTGAGCGTGCCGATCACACCGGGCCGAGCAAACGAGCCGCCGGTGAAGGGCAAGGGTGAGGAAGGGGTGGTTGGGGCGGTGGGCAGGGGAGGCGATGAAAGAGAGCAGCACCATTTTGCGCCCAGCTGCAGCGCGGAGGAGGATGCCCATGTGGCCAAGAGGGGCCGTGCTGACTCAGCGGAGGACTGGACTTTTGCTTCAGCAATGGAGCACTGAGCTTTTGAGTTCAGGTTTGAGTATTTTAAGCACTGGGCTGCATTCAAAGATCGAAGCATGGTGAGCACGGCGTTTGCAGTGACAAGCAATTTTATAGATTCTTTGTGTCGAGGAAAGTGTATTATTGGACGGAATTCAGATGATGAATTTTGGAAGAGTGGTGAGATAAGAATGGCGATTTTTTGAGTGAGAGTGTGTTGGCAATCATCGGTGTTCTTCACCATAAAGTAACACAGGATATATTCTTATCAATTTTGACGAGCTGCAATTGAATACAGGAAACTTACAGGCACAAGAGACCAATTTTTGTTTGGTTTGCGTTCGTGATGTACACTAGCAGAGAATATGTTACCATTGCGAGGCGATTGACTCAGGATCAGACTATTTTGAAGTATATACACCTGCTAGCGCTAAAGCTGCAATTACAATAATTGCCTGTATAAAGTACCCCGAGCTAATCAAATAATCATGCTTCTCATTTCAATTATATGCAGAATTCAGTTTGAGGTTCCTGAATGCATCATCCTTTTTCACACCGAGCAACAGAACGGCGCCTACATCAAATTGGCCAGAACTGGGCACGCATGCGATCACAGGAAGCCTCAAAACATATAAAATGGAGGACCTAAAAAGGTAGAACTGAATTTCATGGCTTCATGTGTTGCTTCGCTCTAGCCTTCATCCATCCATGAAACATAAATTGCTGGACTGAACGTGCTGCATGAGGCAATAGGAGGACTGCTCTTCTCAGACCTTCCCTGCACCCCTCATGAGAGTCATCTCAGCTCCAGCCGGCTGATTTTGCAGGACACACCCTCCAGATACACCGTCCAAGGCAGCATGTCTGCCTCTGTGCTGCCCACCAGCAGGTTGAAGTTGACATAGCTCGCTCCCTCCGCCAGCAGCACAGCGTATGGCTGCATTTGCACAACGACATTGGCATTAATACATTCACTTGCTCATGTGTCAGTCACTCCCACAGATGCATGCTATGCACTGCTTAGATTGAGTCACCCCCATGCAGTGCATGGTGGAAAGAGATAGCAGGTGACATGAGCCAGCAGCATCATGTCCGGTGCTTGCAAAGCCAACAGGGCACACACAGGCATGATGTCTCAAAGCTGTTGCTTGTGTTCTGCAGCACTGGCCCCATCTCACAACAAATTTGGCATGCTTCTCGCTGCTGAATGGGTCATGCAGTGCATGGATCTTTGAGAATTAACCAAGCAAGGCTGATAGGGGCGCACCTGTGTGACATTCCCATCGATGGCGCCGTTTGACATGGAAGATGGCTCCCAGTTCAGGGGCTGCGCTGCGTACTTGTAGTAGGGGTTCCACATCTGCAGCGCGTACGGCGGCACGATGTCGGCGGTGTCTGTGTTCTTCAACGTCTGCGCACGCACAAAATCGGACTCATTTTGCCATGAGTGTTCCTCTGGTCATTAGTAACCAGATGACCTCTAGCTGGGGCACTCTGATACAGCTTGCAAAGCAGGAATGCATTAGAGGCAGGCCTGGCAACTGGCCAGTGCAGTTACCGAAGTGTCGCATGTTTCACTCTATAGGCGAAGCAATTTTTGAATTTAGAGAAATGATCCTACCCTGCTGACGCCTGGTTGTTGTATCAGTGAGGCAGCAGGCGCCCACAAAAGCTGGGTTAACCTCCCACCCAAACAGACGCTAGATTTATCGCCAACATAAGAACACCAACGAGATCACTTCAAAAGCCTGTCAAGTAAGACAGCAGGTTGTCACCAGTTGCCTTCTGGGGAGTGCATCCAATGCTGCAATTGGACTATCCAGGTTCCTGGTTCAATAAGGCAGCAGCAGGCCCCCTCAACCCTGCAGTCTTTTGTGGGACAGGGAATAAGGATTGAGCCCAGCTTTCAGTGAGGCTCACCACACGGATGATGCTCATGTAGGGCAGCACGTATATGCTGTTCCAGGGAGCCCCGTAGTAGACCTGCGCCGTGCAGCTGCCGCTGACGCTCGGCATGACGGGGCTGCGCGGCGGCGGCGGCGGGGGCGGCGGCGGAGGTGCCGGTTTCTGCATGCATGGCATCAGCTCAGCACCGAAACTGTAGCAACCGTGATGAATTTCCCACGATTACCAAACAGCCCACAACGCATTCAGGGTTTAGGATGAATAGAGAGAGAGAAGGAGGGCTGCACAATCCTGATGCGTGTAAAATCATCTCAACTTGCATAGAGCCTCCATGCAAAGAGCTAAAGGCTAGAAAGGTGATTATGGTGACATTTTGCCATGAGCTCAAGCCGTCAACATAACTTTTGACTACAGGACTGGCACACTGGGGCTGCAAGCTGTAGTTGTGACAGCTCACCTGTTCTGACGCCACCTCCCCTGATGCACTGCCCTGGAAGCCGCCAGAGAAGGCCCATGGGCTGAGGTTGATCGAGGCGATGAGCCAGTTCACCTTGTTCCAGAGTACCTGCAACCCAGCACATTCTGATAAAATGCCAGGAAGCTCTCACATGATCTGCAATGGGAGACTCATCAACGCACGCATGTTTGCAGGAAGATGGTAAAGCAGGGAGATTGGGAACTGCACCGTGTCCCAGTTGGGGTCTGACACGAGGCCGCCGGTGTCAGCAGAATTGGGGTTCCAGGCCCACCAGAAAAGGTGGGGAATGGGGTTGTGGCGGCCATCATTCGCTTCACCCTGATTATTTAGGTACTTGGCCATGTCCGACAGCATGGCGATGTCATTTGACTGCACCACACATGATCCATGTCAGCGCCTGGGGATGAATTTGCGTGTAGACGACATGCTCTCAGAGCAACACTTGCAAGCTTGTAGAGCTTATGATTGACATGGACGGCAAGGAGCTCTGCCAGAAGATGCGGATGGCAAGTGATGGAATGGGGGAGGCTTACATCTGTGTAGAGTGAGCCGCTTTCTCCAATGACAATCGGGAACAGGTGGCCGCCATATCCATATTTGTTGAGGTACCCAAAAGAAGTGGACATGCGGTTCCACAGATTGGGCCCAGTGAACCTGTCAGCATTCACATGTCAGCCACTTGCGCTGCAGCCTAGATTATGTCGCATCTTTTGAGCATCTTTTGCCTGATTTCACAGTCATGCATGCATCCCTAGCAATGATCTCGGCATACCACGCAGCGTGCACAGGTACAAAGGATGGCATGATGATGTGCTCCTTCAGGAATTCACCACAGTCGTTGCAAACAATCAGCCGCAGATTGTAGTGAGGGGACATACTGGGAGGTGGCTTTGGAGATGGAGGGCGGGTAGTAGTGGGGGGAGATGACGATGTTGTTGAGGTAGGGCTTGGAGAGCAGGGTGGTGAAGAAAGGGTTGGGGTTGGACATGCCGCGCTGGTTGATCAGGTTCTGGTCTGTGATGAAGCCGTCTCCCCAGTTCATGGCCCCTTGCCAGCTCTGCCCGCTGCCCTCTATCAGGAACAAGGTAGTTGGGCTGATCTGCGCAAAGCAGCAGCCACCCATGAGAACCCGTCTTAATATAGTTTTAGCTTTTGAAAATCACAGCAGGAGATAATATCTAGGTCAGGCTTGTAGACACATGACACATGCATGACATCCATGGGGGAGAAGTGGCTGGACTTACTGGATACAGCGCATCCATGGCCTGCAGGTAAAGCGGCCCAGCCTGTTCCCAACTGCTCAAAGCAGCACAGGTAATTTCAAACAATTAATATTCAAGCGATGAGTAATGCTACTGTCTGCATGGAAGACAAGCTGTCATCTGTGTGGACATCAGTGCATATGGAATGTTGGGCGCACCCAAAGTACTGGGAGTCAGGCTCGTTGAGTAGGTCGAGCATGACCCTGTTCTTGGACTGCGGGTCCAAGATGACATCGTTGAGCAGCTGCTTCCACCAGGTCAGCCACTGCCATGGGTTGTCCTTCGCTGTGGTGTCCAGGTTGAACTGGTTGTCCAGCACGACATAGAAGCCATTGGCTGCATAGAACTTTATCTGCAGGCACATACATGAATTGTGGTCAGCAGCCTTTGATTTGTGCTTCACCTGTTGATTCAATGTTCCCTGTCAAGGTGCCGGGCAACATGCATGGGGGAAGAATGAGCTCCAGGAAGGGCGCGTCACCACATATAGGAACCGCGAGTATGTGCTGTAATTTGGCACATTGACGTTGCAGCTGCTACCGTAAGGGGAGGGGCTGCCTTCCACCTGCGCGCGTATCTCCTTCAAGATATAAATTTGCATATAAGCTGCTAGTACTGGACAGAAATGTTTTGCCGTGAACAGGGTTGCTTGCTGGTAAGCGAGAATGCATGGGGAAGGAGATTACCAAAGCAGGTGGTTGACTGACAGCGCCACCAAACCCAGGCGGGACAACATTCTGCACAATGGACCCAAGGCCAGCTGCTTGACACTGGTCTGTCAGGTATGTGGGGCCATAGTTGAACAGGACCTGCATCACCACAGACATGCATCAGTGTCATGCATCTGTGTGAACCTCCAGAAGAATGAGCAGGGAGTTGGAACATGCAGCTGCTGCTGCATGAAGCTTCTGACTAGAGAGAGTTCAGAGAAAATAAATACCTGGAATGAGAAGGGCAGCCGCACAGCGTTGAACCCCAAGAGTTTCTGCCGCCAGACCACTGTTGCAAAGTCTTGAGTGAGGCTGTTGTATCCTGCCCAGAGCCCTGCCACCCTGTACATGCAATTCCCCACAGGTAAGGAGGTCAGAAGGACATTGTCTCAACATTTGTAAAGGTCACGTTTTAACAGAAGCATGGAGAACATGGGGGAGTCATGATGCCATACATGGTTGCGCCAGTCTCGAAGCCAAACCAGTTGACTCCCTGCATGCAACAGAAAACAGCAGGCCTCATGCATGACATCCCAACAATCATCAAAAACAAGGGGTTGCAGCCAGCAAAGTTTTGAAGCATTGGCCATGCAAAATTACTCACCTTCAAGACAACAGGATTGCCATCAACGCCATAGAGGATGCCATCTCTGGCACTGATGGGCTGGTTGCCAGAAGGAGACGCGGGCGAGGCTGTGCCCCAGGGAAATTGGGCGACAATGTCCTCCTTGCTGACGTGCCCGCCAGGTCGGCGGATGGACTGGTCTACAATCTTGTCATCGACCTGCGTCCTTGTCTTGACTGTTGCAGCCTGCCGTGTGTCAAAGTAGACCTTGCATGGCGCCCCGTTCAGCGCCACAGACTCAGGCACCAGGTCCTGCAAATCAGAACGCAGGTTATGATCTGCTGCTACTGCATGCACTACACAACTGACTGCTTCAGGTTATCCTAGGTCGTGGACCGTTTGCAGACGTTCCTCAGGAATGCCTCCTTCAAATACCTATCTAGGCTGCATAGGCCTGTAAGTGCATCCAATCAAGGCCTACGGAGACCTTTGACACTCTGTGCCTGCTCTAACCTGGTGCCTCAGCGAGAACGCACTGCCGGCAACGGAAAATTGAGCAGGGGAGTCTCACCTGGGGAGCTATGGAGTACTCCACAACAAGCATGATTTTGATGATGCTGTTCTCCTGCTTGCTCAGCGTCAGGTAGGGACGCCAGGCCTGGAAGGTGGCCTTGTTGCTCCTTGCATCGTATGTCAGCAGCCTGGCATTGTAGACGTCTGTGTAGTTGTACTTGCTCGTCTGCAGCGTGATGTTCCATCCGGGCTGCATGCGCACCCCAAGTCAGTACCGGTAGAACATGTAGACTGGAGCAGCATGAAGGCATGAAGCTAGAAAGCCAGTCATCTGCAGAGGAGGAAGGGCAGGAAGCACCGGAAGATCAACAGGCAGCATGTTGTGGACTGCCAGCTGAAGGACTGCGCGCCACTTGAGTGGTCTGCCACGCGCGGAGGGGATGAACCGAGACATGTTGCTCTCAAGCACAAAGCTCAGGTAAGGCAGAACGACCACCTGCAGAATACCACAATCTGCAGTTTCACTCACTGCCCAGATACATGCTCACACAAAGCAATGCACATCATGGTTGATCGGCATCTTGCTGCAGTTTGCTCATGGATCGCTTATGCGATCAGCAGGCAGTAGACATGTAGGCCTGGCCTTCTCCACCTTTGCATTGAGCACATGCCAGCATGCACACATTGCGGGATGAAATGCTGGGTTTTCAAGAAGATCGTCTGCAGGCATTCACCTCACAGGAGTATTTCTTGGGGTCGTTACGTGCATCGTAGAAGTCTGCAGGCTTGACGAGGGGCGGTGGAACGATGATGGGCTTAAATTGTGGGTTGAAGGTGCGATTGCCAATTGATTGCAGCAGGGGCAAGCCCTGCAGCTTCCCAGCCAAGTCACCAGGTCCTGCATATTTGGGCTGCACACGGAAAGAGTCAGCACATGCAGCCAATACAGACATGCAGCCAATGAGGTGGCTGTGCAGCACTTGCAATTCTTCTGGCATCCAATGTACGGCATGCATGCCTTATTAAAGTAAAGACATTTAACTAGTTACCACATGCTGTCACAATGGAAAGCAAGCACTGCATAATAAAAGCAGGGGCATACATCTGCACCAACCAGTGGAGCTGGTGGCGGGGACTGCTGGGCAGCTGGCTGAGGAGGCCTTGCAGGTGAAGGAGATCTCTTGGGTGGAGGAGGGCTCTTGATCCCCGGCTGCAAAGATCTCGAAAATATTCAATGACATACAGCCAAACCTATCAAGGGGAATGACGACCATAGCTCCAAACTTAAGTGCTCAAGGATTGACAACTTGCCTTTTCAGATGCTTTGTCCAAGGCACCATCACCAAAAAGCCTGGCGACTTCCTGTCTCTCTGCTGCTGTGAGTTTTGTTGGGAGGTGATTGTCCTGCATGCCGTGCTCTGATCAGAAAGCCAACAGGTGAATTCCAGTGAGAGCAAGAGAACTGCAGGTTGCTTTGGCATCTCCAGACCAGGTGTGCTTCAGATAGTAAGACAGAAAGAAGAACACTTACATCTGATAACAGATACTGTGCCCATTCCGGCACTTTATCACCGGAGTTCTCGGCTTTGGCCAAAGGTCTTGCTGCTGCAGATGGTGCCTGTGAAGATCGTCGCAGTGGACTCAGAGCTGGCGATAGCACCAGCACTGCCAGTAAATGCGCATCTGTCAAGCATCAGAAAAGAACTTCAAGCGCATCTGGAGTACCTTCGCAGTAGCCTTTGGCTTGGCAGCCGACTTCTGTTGAGCAGGTGCAGTTGCACTGATGGCCAGTGCTGGGGCGCCGAATAGAAGGCAGAGGACGAAAAGACGCAAGATATTGCTGCAGCTACGCCCTGGATACATTTTAGTCCTGCATGTACCTGCATTTACATTCCAGATATAAGAATTTCCGCCGGGTGCACCTCGCTGCCATGGGAATTCTCACGCACAGGTTGTCACTTTTTGAACGGCGGAGCGCATTAAAAGCTGCTAAAATACCTCAGAACATCAGTCCCTAGTATGATGACGTTGAAATCTGAACAAGAGCCATCGCTCAGAGCAACATCAGCGTGCAGTGTCCTGGACGAAAGTGTCTAATCCGCGCAGTTTGGTGCGGGCGCTCGGTACAGTAACAAGGCCAGCGAGTGCAGCAAACCTATTTTTATGTACTGGTAGAGATCTTTCACAATGCTTTGCTGCAGCGTTTAAAATTGAAGGTGCCATCGGCCTGAATGCATTTCTTGGACGGGTGCGTCTAGAACCTTATCGACCCCCAGCTTCTGCACATGTGTAAGCTGAAGAGAGGAAGAGCGATTTGCACAACATGCACCTAATTATGACCGATACATGTTGTGTATTACAATCAGATCTGCGAGTTGCATGTCATTTTGAGCGACACCTTTTTCCTAGAAGATCGTGAAAGTGCACATGCCGGCACTGTTGCTGGACTGCAGGCCCAACCCATACGGTGTTGCTTCAAGATGTGTACCTTAGATTATGACATATATGTTTCTATCCAGCTGCATCTGTGTTTAAGTTAGTCGATAAGACCAAAGAAGTCTAAATGCATCGTTCAATGACTGAAGCTCACAATGCGAGCAGCCTGTGAAACAGCCAATGTTTGGCTTTAATTATACAGGAAAAGCTGCTAGAGATATTTGAAAAGCCTTCTAGTGCGGAAGGCGAGTTCCCAGAGTCCTATGCTAAGGCCATGGCTGCCATCAAGAACTGCACCTGTAGTTGAGAATCAGCCACTTCAAAAGTTTTGGATTACCCTTTAGACTTCTCTTAGTGGTTTGGGGTTGCTTCAGGTGGCACATGACTGCAAAAGATGCAATTGAGAGTGGTCGCCAACGACTTCTCCTGGAGAAGGGAGACCACATCAAGGCAACCCTGCAGGATGTGCCACATTCTGACACAGCACGCAGCATACATGTCCTCATAGATCTGGCAGGTCAGAACAAAGGCATGCGCATCTGCTGGTAATGGTGTCTTGGTGCACAGACTCGAGCAACCTTGACAAGAGATAGCATGCATGCATGCATGTCCATGTGTGAGTCTCAAATATCGACACACCTGACATGTGTTTTTTGCAGGGGTCCTTTTGCAGCTGGAGAGGGGTGCAGAACGTCTGGCAGACCATCAACAGAAGGCCATTTGGCAGAGTAGAGCTGCATGTTTGCGCTCAGAGTGAGCCACGGGTCCCTACTCCTGCCTGTGCCTCAGATCGCAGATGTGGCTCCTGCTCCATCCATGCATGAAAGAGAGCACATGTGGAGTTTGTTGCTAACCCTGCCGTACCTGTTTAGGTTGGTGGCGCTTCTGGCGCAACACATGCAGTCTTCTGATACAGCTGTCTTCTGGGAGAACATCGCCCTGATATTGCACATCAGCGCTGGCATCAGATGGGAGCTGTTGCAGGAGAAGGTGGGGCTCCTCACAGCATGCATCTTGCATTGGCAATTCCTTCAGTCCAAAATATTAAGTGGATGGCCTTCTTGCAGCCACATAAAAAACATTCTAGAGAACCCGGCAGAAAGTTTCTTGCTGCTTTACCTTGTATTTTTTGCATCCAGGAGAGCCTCCAAAGTAAGCTTGAAGCCCAAAATTGCCAGCGGAAACTGGATACACCACAGCAGGAGCGGATTCAGTCACAACCACCTGCTATCAGCACAGCACATCCACCAGGAATACCTGGACATGTGCAACAGGTGTGACCTGCACTTTGCTTTTTTCAATCCACCCTGCACATTTAGGAGAAAAGCATTTGGGTTGTGTTGTACGCCTGATAGCTGATAGCCTTGATAAAGGAAGGGGCAAGGTTGATCTGCTCGACAACTCAATTGATGACACTCTCGCAGTTGTTTTCCAATTGAAAATCAGCTCTGCAGTCTCACTTTGCAGCAAATGTCTCGAATCTTGCCTTGCCATTGCCCTCATTCTCCCGGGTTGGCACCTGTGTGCTGCACCCAGCTTGCTGCTGGCCTCCTCCGGACCCTGCAGCGCACAAGGATTCTGTGCTCCACCTGAAGATCAGCAGATCATTGACTGTGAAGGTGAGACGTTGTCGATGTGAGATGTTTTTTATGTGTGAACAATTTGGCAATGTGCCCCAAAAAAGGTGAGAGCCAACGATCATGGTGGAGGCATTTCAGAGGAGGTCATGGCTCTGCGGACCAAGCTGGTGATGGCGCAGCAAGACTTGCAGCGAAGGGCAGCCGACGCACGAGACATGGCCCGGCAAATGCAGGCATGCTGCTGCTCCAAAGCCTAGTCAACCGCCAAGTAAATGGGGAACTCTCCTGCACTAACCTACATGCATGCGCTGACATGCATGCATCTCTGCATGCTCTTCAAATGTGGGATTTTCTTCAGGACAACGAGCATTCATGTGGCATGCATTTGCATGCATGCAGCTGCATTGTTTGGGCCTGTGTACAGCAAGACGCTGTGCCTGCAGGATGCTTGAATGCCTCTGCACAGGACATGTCTTCCCTGGGTGCTGCAGGCAGCAGCGGCTGAGAGGGACAAGCTTCAAGCCATGTACATTGAGCTGCGCTCCAGTCTTGACCCTGTGACACAAGAGCAGCAGGCCAGGGTGAGTGTGCTGTGATCAAGACACATCTTTGAAAAATGCAGACCTTGGTCTGAAACTCCTGAATGCACCTGCCTGCCTGTTTATACAAGTATGATCACTGGAGGCTGTGAAAGAAGATAAAGCTTTGCGGCAGCATGCCAAGATTCTTAGCATGAATAAACAAGTTTCTGCTGACTAGTAGAGAAGTGACACATGGTGACTGCAGGCAGTGACAGAGTGTGAAGCTCTGCGGGAGCACGCCAGGACTCTCAGCATGAATCTTGAGTCTCATGCACGAGTAGTAGAGAACCTGAGTTTCCTCAACAGCGAGCTCGTGGATGCTGCAAACTCTCGTGCCATTGGTGCGTGATCCTGCATCTATGAACATCAACATGGCATGTTTCTGGTTTTCATGAAGCCCTTCTTGATGAGGGTGCATGTGATCTTGTTCCATGCCTCCATGCCGTCTTGGGAATGCCCCATGCATGCCACAAGTTGAGCTGCATGTGGCAGTAAGCAAATAATTGTGAGAGCCTTGGGCCCAAATTAAGCACAGATATTGCTTGTGCAGAGAATCAGGTGAAGGCTGATGCTCAACAAGCATCTAGCTCTACAGCTCCTCCCTTGGGGACTGAGCAACAGCAAAAAGGCCTCTCAGGAGCATCACATGGGTAATGCATCATTGTCATGCTTTGGACTCTCTTCAGAGCAGTGCTATGTGCAGTACGTAATCCGTTTGCTCATTCATGCATTTTGCATGCAGTGCTATGACTTCAGCATTCGCATTATTTGTTGTCTGACTCGCACAGCTGATTATCTTTGCAGTGCTGTCCTGTGAGCCTGTGGTCCGTGAGCTGACAAATGCATGCATGCATGCCGCAGGCTGCTGCCGGTGTCAAGGGTGGCTAATCAGGCTTCCTTTCTGGACTTGCCTAGGGAGGAGACAGCAGCTTATGGGAGCAGACAGCCGCAGCACAGCAGACTGGCATCAGCATTTGCAGACATTCTGCATGAGGAAGCTGCCCTGACATTTGACTTTCCAGGCATGTTCCATTTTCTGGGCATGCTGATTTTGCCTGTGTGTTGCATGGATACAGTGTGAGCTTGGCCACTTTCTGTTGACTTCTGACGATGTATGTGCACACAGTTTTGCTATGAGACACTGCAAGAGACATAACCTTTTAATGTGCACGAATCATGTTGCAGGAAGCAGAGTCACAGCAGAGGCTCTGGCATTGCCTGCAGCGCTGCCGCATAGGAATCCCAGCGAGCTGCATCAGGATCAACAAATATTAGAAGCTGAAGCAAGGAGACCAAGCGCAGTCAGGCCAAAGAGCAGCGGGATATTTGGGTCTCTGTCAAGAGCTGCAAACCTTGTGCTGTATGTGGCTGGCAGCCCAGCAGCCGTTGAGCGGCGTGCCAGGGAGATGGGTCACAGGACTGCAGCTTTGTGAAAGGCAGGAATCACATTTTCTGCGCCAGCTATTTCAGTGAGGGCAGTGTAGGTTGAGAGTCTGAAAAACTGGTGCATTTGTCGATGGATTGGTCACTTGAATATTGTGATAGGGTAGCAAGTTTTACTGCCACACATGTGAGCTGAACAAGTAGGCAACATTATTCCATCAGAAGCAATCACGGTATGGTACTCAAAGCAGAAGTCTTTACATGTTAAAGGTGATGCAGGAAATGCTTTTTATCTAGTGGTGATGACCGGCGTAAAAAACTTATTCTAGCCAGCAACCTGCTCATGCTTGCCAAAAACACCTCCTTGGGCAGTGCTGAGAAGTCCTCATTGAGGAGACCACACAAATCAATTTGCCATACTCTGACCCACATTATTCATACAGAGACTGAGGAAGATTTCCTCATCTCAGACACAGATTGACCTAAGGCTCAACTCGTTGTGCACACTTATTCATTCCCAATGACACCTACACGCAAGTTGACAGAAATCTATCAAAACTCCTACACAATATACTGTCTACCGAGTGAAATATATTATATAAAGAGCGCATGGGTCACTCTCTCTTATTCCTGCCTGTTCGCATCAGAAGCAGGCACTGCACAGGATGGCAATAGCGCTTGATAAAGCCTGAAAGTGCGGTGCTGCCTTTAATGCAAACAAAACAATAAGTGGCATCGAGCTTAATTTTCTCGAAACTCACTTAACTTATTGACTCGTCTGTGACTCGCTAGCTTGCAAGTAGACCTGCTGCAGCCAAAACTCCGCTAATGAAATAGCTGCACAAATCAGAAACCAGCAAGTCTTCCCCGTCAAGCTAGGCCTGGACTGGGCGAATCGATTTGAGCAGCAAATACCATAAAACAGCATTATTATTCACTGGCCCAGATGTCATGGCGAGTCAGCAGATGAAATCTCCTAATGAAAATATTCTTTGGCGAGCTAGCGGCCAGCAGTCAGGTCGTCCTGCTGCAGGTGGCACTTCCTGCCATCCACAATGATCGAAGTGGGGTAGAAGTTCTGGGGAGATGTGCCGACCACAATTGCGCCGATGTCAGCCTGTGACGAGGGTGCGACAGCGTTCTTCTGCGGATCCACACAAACAGCTGCTCAACTTCTCATGCACATGACATAAAGCCCAGCTCCTGCTCTGTCATGTGCTAGACCCCTGTGGGTCTATGGCAGCAGGATGGTGGTGTGTAGCATGCATGCATGCATGCATGTTGCTGCCCAAAAGCGCCAACGGCAAGGCAGCAGGCCTGCTCTCAGGGCTGGCTTTTTCTTCCGGTGCATTCACAATGCAATGAATGGGCTGGAAGACAGGTTTGCAAGCGCAAAAGGCACAGGGAGGGCTCAGCTTTGACTGGCTGTTCATGCAAGCGCATTTGAATCTTCTCTAAGCAACCCATCAACACGCCCTTGGATGATGAGCCCAACACAGTGAGCGTGCTGGCCCGCATGGACACTCCATAGACTCGCATGTCAAGGCCTGCTGCCTGTTAAAAGGCATGTCATGGCTGCAGCGCACTTTCATGCAGCGTGCAGAGGAGCGCACCAGTGTCATGGACCCGGATGCAGTCCCATCAGCTGCATGGGAGAAGTCCCAGCCCCAGGTGTTCTTGACATCCACCATGTTGGCATTGGAGATGTTCACATTGTACGTGCCTGCCGGCCAGTCAATGCTGCCTGTGTTTTCCACAGCCTGCACCCCAGCACACGCATGCCATCAATCCCTGCATGGGACACTTCAATGCTGTGGCCACACAATGGCCACATACGCACCGGTTTCGGCAAGCTTTTGTTTCTGCTGACAGCCAAGAGGGGATCTTTTTCTTGCAGTTTTCAATCACGCCCTTCATTGGAGAGAACTCACGGATGTCAACCGATGTGCCCCGTCTGCCGCAAATGAGAAACTGCCGAAGATAACCTGTTTGCTGTTTGCAGGATGGCTCTTCACATGCATGCAATAGCTTCCATGGCTTTGCTGCGCTCAAGGAAAGGTCAATGCCATGAGCAGTGCATGCATAATGCTGCAGACTGTTTCGGGTAATGCATGCCCGATGCATGCATGCACCAGAGGACACTGCAATTGATCAAATGGTGGTACCTTGATGATGTAGGCACCTGCAGCTTCTGATGATGTTCAGTCAGGTAATTGCGTGGGTGCAAGACGGCTGTGGCAGCCGCAAGGCATGCCCAAACAGTGTGCATGCCTGGGCTCATGCATGCCAAAGAACAGTCTCATGCTGTCATGATGGTGGCCTCATCAATTCCTTTCTAGACACGATGTACCAGATACACTGATATTGCCACCACGGTTAGCAGAGGGAGCTCACCACGTTCATGCTTGCAGAGTACTTGTCTCCAGCAACCCAGGTGTTGGGGATCTTTATGAGGGCGGTGCAGCTCTCCAGAGTCCCATTTGCCTCAGAGGTAGCGGCAAAGACGCCAAGGCAGATGGCAACTAGCAGAGCTGGCATCATGTTCTGCAACAAAGCCATGCCTGCAGACACAATGCTGCGTTGACTCTTAGCCCCCAGTCAGAATTTGGAAAGCGGCAGGGCATTGCTGCGCTGCTGTAGATCAGTTTCGGGTATTGGTGCACTTGTTCTTGCAACAAGCAAAAGTGCTTCACGTTGAGAAGCGCTCTGCGCGATGAAGGCGATGAATCGGCAGCGTCCAAGGTAAAACCCTAGAACGTGCTAACAAAAGCTACGAGTGGCGCATTCTGCTGTACTTGAATATTAGTGATACTATGTTCAGGGCCAAAGAACAAGCATCTTTGGCCTGCAGTACGTCTGAGCAGATCAAGATGCAACTTCGCGGGAATGGGCAGGACGTTGTGCGAAGATACTAATTTGCCATTCAAAACTTCGCAATGAAAATTGAACCCCAGTATGATCTCGTTTGAAAGACTAAACAAGTGAAATCACGCTGGACCGCCAAGCAAGAATTTTACAGTCCACTGGTTGCCCATTGCGGCAAGGCGTGGTGAGACCTGCCAACGTGATCCTGAACCACTAGTAGCACAATGCAGCTCACAGACAATTTCGGACGCAACAAGGTGCTGGACAAGATAAAGATCATGGCTGGAAGCACTGCTGCGAACCTGTCGTACTCTCAGATGCCCAGAAGTGACGCGCGCCTCGAGGTGCCGGGGGCACTGGCTCCGGGATCCTGGATGTCGAGTCTTCTGCAGGGCAGAACTTGCGCGAAGTGGGCCGTCGAGGAGTCTCCTTTTTGCTTCTGGCGCAAACTAGCATATTTCTTGCTGCCGCCTGGCACAAAATGTTGCAGCTCCCTCGGTTGCCAAAATTGCTAGTACAGAAGCCATGCCATGACGAATCATCCTTGTGAGAATCCCTCATAAATTCAGTAGCAACAGTGACAGGGCCAATAGATGCACAACACTGCTGTTTCAGCTGGCATGCTTAATATAGACCAGTTGTTGACCCCGCGAGACTGCGGTGATTGTATGCAGCATCACAAGAATTAGGTGCCTTCATCAAGCATTTGTAATTTCAGGGGAAGTTCCTAAACTGGCGTGCACAGCCACGGGTGCTTACGGGTTCGTTTATGGTACACTATCAACCTTACATATCTACATTGACCATTCACCCTCAGTTCTTGGTTTGCATATTCTCAGCGGGGCATATTGCAGTGCCGAGCTGATGAATTTGTTTGATCATGACATAGCATCCTGGCTGTCACAATCAAGCTACAGTACGTACGCAAATCAGGAAAGGAAAGGCTTGAAAACATGCAGCCTGCAAGACCACCATGCGCAACACTTCTCAACGTGCTCAATACATGTTCACATACACTACATAACCAAAGCCCACAAACCAGCCACAGCCACATGCGTGTGCTCCAAGGGGAGTATATTTCGAAATTAAAACTAACGCTCATTCTCCCAAAAGCCATGGGGGGATGCCATTGGCAGCAAATGCATTTCAGGTGTCACTGAAAGGCATGCTAGGCCCTTGTGTTGACACGAAATGCATTCAAGCTTCTTCTTGATTGGCCCAGCAAGAGCCCCCAAGAAGACTACCTAAGAGTACATAATGCCATGGTACTACAAGCAAATGTCCCACCGCTACAGAGTGAAAATGTGAAAGAGTCCTTGGAAAGAATTTTATTGCCACACTCAAGCATGTTCATCTCACTGTTCATCCACTTGGTGACCAGTTCAGTTCACAGCCTTGAGGTGGTGCCTTGTCGAGCAAAAGAATAGGTACAAAAATGAGACATTATTGACCTATTCTTCCAGCCAGCAGTAGGCCTCTCATTCACGTTCATAGCGTTCCACGCTTTGCCTTTGAAAATTGTTATTCTCTGCCTATCTTGACCCCAGCAAAATCCACCCAAACTGTCAAGCACTAGTGTTGGACACATGTTTCGGTGCCAGCACCTTGCTTAACCATTCCAGATGCTCTGCTGATTCTCATCAGCAATGCATGTAAACATGCGTTCTAACAATCCAGTGAGCATGTGCCACCCGCTATGGTCACTTTGAGAGTGGCCTTATTGCCCTGCTGGCCTCAAAAGCCCTGGTCACACATGCACTGCCTTGCATTCTTCCAAAGGGGTGGCGCTTTGAGCAACCCCAAGAGAACGCTTGCCCCTCCCCGGGTAGATTTTCTCTGTATCCCCCATGATCAGTGCAGACCAAGTGCCTACAAAAGCTGCAGATGTATGAAATGCAAAAAGCTTGAGGAAATGAAAAGGCTCTGGTGTGCGGTTGTGGCTTGACTGCCAAGTGCTGCAGGTGCCCAATACCTGTCAACAACCTTCTCACACCATTTAGAGGAGTTTCCAAAGATAAATTGCAAACAGTGTCCACAGCCGATGTTCACAATACCCCTTGTCCTTCCCAGAGGGCTGTCTTGACCCCATTTATTTTCCTTGAGCCTCCACACCTCACAGCTGCATTTCTTTCTGCCGGCTGTCGTCTCCGGTGTCAGATATTTGCAGCGCGGGGGCTGATTTATTTCCCTGCTGGGGGAACCATCCTTACACACCACCAGACTGCTGTCTGTGAGGACAGGGGGGTGAGGCTCTCTCTGCTGCACCAGACGGCAGCAGGAGGTTGCTTGAGCTGAGCTTGATGGGCGCAGGTGACTGCTGCCCATTGAGTGAGCGCTGCTGAGCTTGATGGGCGCAGGTAAAAAAGCCCATTGAGTGAGCGCTCTTGGCCCTATCTCAGCCCCTCTTGATGATGCACGGAACGCCGTTGATGGAGCCTGCTGTGGGGGCCAGGTTGTTTGTTGTGGCCCAGATGTTGGCGCCAATGCCTCCAACTGTGCCGCCTGGCGGCAGGCTCTGCCATGTCTGCACAACAAGCAAACATGTGTTTTTTGGATAGATGCCCACTTGACACTTTCAGCCCTGATCAAGGATTATTTGCAGAAGCTGCAGAGCTGAGAAATGCAATCAGTAATTTGAATCAGGCAACAAAATGGAAAGACTGTGGCCAGCCTCTTGCATCGACAAACAAGCTAGTGTCCAGGAAGGCATGCAATTGTTAGCGATGGCTTCAAAGGCAGGGGCGACGTCCTTAGCACACTGCAGCAGGGCATCTCTCGATGATCAGGCATGGCCAAGTTCTGGGGCACGGAGATATTTTACCTGGCTCACAGCGCCGCTGATTGTGCCGCTGTTGGCAGAGCCGCTGGCTCCCCAGTTCCAGGCCTGGCCGGCGATCAGCGCGTAGTTGGGGCTGTAGATGCTAAGCGTGTATGGTGCGTTGATCCTCCCAGCACCGCCATTCGACACCGCCTGGGCAATAGGAAGAGGCTGTCAGCATGCAACCCCCTTGCTGCAGTGTCTGCAGTCGAAATGTATTGGTCAGGCCAGCATGGGGACATGCAGTAAAGCCAGGCTGGAGCAGTCAGACAATGGGTCTGGGCCGAGTGGGCAAGCATGGCTGGCCATGACAGATCAAAGGGTCATCAAGGAAATCTTGAATTTCTGCTGACGAACGGAGCAGCAGGGACCTTCAAAACTTTGTCCTACCGTGTCCCTCTGGCATTCAGCAACCAAATGACTTAAAAGGGCACCCAATCACAGGTTGCAATTCACCAATGTGCACAAGACAGGAAACGCTCGGCGAAGTGCAGCGGGCTATTTTTGCAGCGCACCAGATTGACAGTGTTGGCGTAGGGAGCAGCGTTCTGCGTGGGCCACGCAGAATTGAGGGTGTAGGTGATAGTGCAAGCGCTGGTGCCAGGTGGCGGGGTGTTCGTGGGGGTGGGGGTGGCTGTAGGCGTTGGAGTTGGTGGCTTGGGGGTGGATGTAGGTGTTGGAGTTGGTGGCTTGGGGGTGGTTGTAGGCGTTGGAGTCGGTGGGTTGGGGGTGGTTGTAGGTGTTGGAGTCGGTGGCTTGGGGGTGCTTGTAGGCGTTGGAGTCGGCGGCTTGGGGGTGGGCGTGGGGGTCGGTGTAGGATTTGACGGTGGTGGGGTCGGCTGGGGGGTTGGCGCAGGGGTTGGCGTGGGAACCTGCATGACATTGAGACACTTCTCTTAGAGGATACATTTCGAGAATGACACGCGACTTGACATTTAATGATCCCTTGCACTGCCGCTTGGTTCCTAGATTACCCATGCTGGTGGGCTGGTTGATTGTGAGGATTCTACAGTGGCCGGTGGTGCATATACAGTCGTGATGCACTGCGCGGAGGGCATGTGAAGGCTCTGCTTTGCTCAGCCAAGAGGGTTGCCAGCCATGATGCAGCAGCTACCTCCGAAGCATCTCATGCCAGGATAGTTCCGGCCTCGTAGAAAATGGTACAAACTTCGCACTACAAAGGAAAACGTGTTATCACATATCGTGCACTTGCGAGGCAGCCCTGTCTTCTGGCGTTCGCTCTGCCTTGATGTCTACATACTCTCTTCTCTAAAGGGAGTGCAAGGGGGTACAGCTTACCACTGGAGGTGGCGGAGAGGGGCCGCCCCCATTGTAGGTGAGGTACCAGGGGGTCAGGTTGATGGCACCAATCAGCCAGTTGATCTTGGACCAGATGATCTGCAGCCGAGCAACCAGCATGTGATGTAAAATATTCGTAAGATGGCTTTCCTCCGATGTCACACATGCTACATTCAACAGTCTGCTGCGGCAAGTGCCAAATTTATTTCTGGTGATTTTCTCAGCACTATGCATGCGAGGCATGAAGGATTGTTGTGCTGGAACAGCTTACTGACAAACAACTCGTAGTATGAATTGCTCTGCATGGATGTCTGCATGATGGATAGGAGCGCACCGTCTTCCAGTCGTCCTGCACGATTCCGCCGGTGTCGCCGGAGTTGGCATTCCAGTCCCACCAGTACATGTGGGGGATGTTGGCGTGGGGGAAGCTGGCTGCGCTGTAGCTGCCGCCCAGGGATGAGTAATCGTTGCGCATGTAGCGCGCCATGTCAGCCAGCATGGCGATGTCATTCGCCTGCATCATCGCAGATGAGTCAGAGCTTGCCAGATCCTCATCCAATGGCAGACTTGCTCGTCCAGATTCAGTTGGTGAAGCTCAAAGTTGTATATGTTGTGGATACAACATGAACTGCCAGGTCTAAGCTGGATGTTCAGGTATGATTCAGAGGTTTGCCTAGGTGCATGCAAGCTTTTGGCCAAAGGTTGGTGTGCTCACCGCTGTGTAGAAGGAGCCAGTCTCGCCAAATGCCACTGCGTAGATCTGGCCCCCGTAGCCCTGCCCAGAGGTGAGGTATCCGAAGGAATTCTGCATCTTTGTAAAGAGCCCCACCCCGGTGTAGCTGCACACACACCCAGCATGCTCAGTGATGCTTCACCATGTGTTTGCAGCTCTACCCAACAAGCCCGGCAGCTTTTTGTGGGCTGCTGTATGGGGGATGGCATGGTACTATTGAGCATGCTTGCAGGTCTTGGCTCGGCACACAAGCTCAACTGTCCATGCTTGGTGCAAAGATCTCCCATGCTGCTCAGAGGCAGGGTGCAGCTGTCATTACTGGGATGTGGCAATGCCAGGAACACTGTATAGCAATAAAATCGCGATGTAGTGGCTCAACCATAAACCCTATTTTCCCAAAAGCGATTTATTCAACAAACTCCCACACTTTCCCCGCACTGTTCCCGCAAACCCAAAATTGGCCCATACTACTAGAGAAATGGGCTTTTTGGGCTGCAACTTAGTTATTCTATGCTCCCGCAGGCAAGTTTCCGCACCCCAGAAACCTATTATTAAACCATCCTGCAGGCTCAAATAAGTATGTATGGGGGGTTCTAGGTTAAGCACTACTGTATGCTGCACGGAGGCAGGAACTTACTCGGAGCGCTGGCCAGAGATGGAGGGCGGGTAGTAGTGGGGGGAGATGACAAGGTTATTCCTGTAGCCCTTGGTCTTGACGGTGTTGAGGAAGGGCTTGGGGTCGGTTAGGCCAAAGTTCTGGATCAGGGTGTTGTCCGTGACAAAGCCATCACCCCAGCACATGGCATACCCCAGCTGGCCCACACCCTCCACGAAGAACAGGGTCGAGGGAGATATCTGCGGCCACGCAAACCGTGTCAGTCATGATCACTGATGGGATGACTAATGGCACACGCAGTATTATCTGAGGTCCTGACGGTGTAATGTGCAGCAGACTTCAGAACTCAGGGAAAACCAAGCAAACCTGACAGATGGCAAAGTCAAAGCAGGCTCATAGATGTGCATCATGAATCACAGAAAGCAAGAGCATGCGCAGCACAAATCTGTACAGACACACTCACCTAAACAAGAAAGCCTATGCACCAGACATGATGTAGCTGTTCAGATTGTCAGATTCAAGTTCAGTTTTGAAGGCTATTAAGAGATCTCTACCGCATAGATGGCATCCATGGCGGCAAGGTACAGAGGGGAAACGGTGTTCCACCTGAACATGCAACAAACTCATTTCAGGAGGGGCCTGGTCTGTCCTTTCCCTTAAAAACCCCACAATCATACAGGGTGCCAGAAGACACCTCCTGATTGTATGCACATTTCAAACAAGAAAGGGCCTGAAAACAAACACAAAGGCGCCCGCTATCAAACGTGCGCATTTCCCAACAGGAAGTTGTGGGCAGCCTCAGGCTTGAGCATTCTTGACAGCATGCCACCCATGTCCCTTTCCAAACACCAGATGCAAGACACTTAGCAGAAGAGGAGGGACTCACGAAAGGCCGCGGGAGTCTGGCTCATTGAGTATGTCCACCATGACAGAGTCCTGGTACTTCTTGCCCATGCCAATGATGCCAGTCATCAGGTTGACCCAGTAGTTCTTCCACTGGGTGGGGTTGTCCACGGCAGTGGAGTCCAGATTCAGATGGTTGTCGATCAGCACCAAGAAGCCATTGTCCACAAGGAACTTGACGGACCACAGGAAGCGGTTGTAGCCAGAGTTGTTTGGCACCAGAGCATTGCATGTGCCCGAGTTGCCGCCTGACGGCACAGCCTGCATGCATGTGGAGCAGTGATGAGACAGTTGCCACGATACAATTGCTTACAGCAGCATATATGGAGGCTGCACCTACTGTGCGTGCACCCCAGACAATCTGACGCCCGGACCTTCACAGATCATGTTGGCCACCTGTAGTCATGTGATGATCAGGGAGCAGGCATGCATGTATTACTAAATATGGCTTGTTAAGAGTGGCTGTCAGCAGACAAGCTCATGCATGCATGCTGCAGACAAGGACACGTTTGCATGCCATGCCATTACCAATCACTTGTGAATATCCTCGTTGCTTGAGGCACTTTGGCAGCACACCTGCGGAGGTGGCCGGGCGTTGGTGGGAATGTTAGTGCCTGGGGGGATGACACTCTGGCCGACTTGCACGTCTGTGACTGGAGTGCAGCTGGTGGTGTAGGAGGACGGCTGCGTGTTGTACAGGATCTGCGCAGAGCAACATGCCAGGTGTAAGCCTTCTGGACTGGTAAGGACATGCCTTATCCCTTGCCACCCCTCATTTGCTGCACGAATTAGATCTGGTATTTAGAAGAATTGCTGCTTGCCGCATGATAGAGACATGCCCTAGCTAGTCCTCACCACCCCTCATTTGCTGCACAAATTTTGAAGGGAATGGGAGTTTTGAAATGAACATGCACTGCTGCATGATTCAAGACATGCTAGACAGGAGGTAGGCAGGCATGCGCCTGCAGGCAGGGTGCACAGCACGGAAACGATCAAGGAGCAACTCTCGGAAGGGGCATTGCCTGGAAAGAGAAGGGCAGGCGGATGGTGTTGAAACCGAGCAGCTGAATTCTGTACGCTACAATTCCGAAGTCCTGTGTCAATGCAGTTGGGCCCTGCCACAAGCCAGCCACCTGCGATCACAGCAGAATGGTCAGCTTGCCATCAGCACAAAATGACAGTAGTCTTTCATGCAACTGCAAGCAAGTATGCCTGGACAATAACAACAAATTTGCAAAGGTAATAGTCCAGTAGTAGTCTGTTTACCATTGTTGCTGAAGTCTCAAATCCGAACCTGCACAATCAGAAAAATACCAGCTCAGGAGGCATTTTCAAGCAAGTTACATGGTGCATGAGCCACATCCACACGTCAGATGAATGATTCGGCATACCAGTTGATCCCCTTCAGGGTGGTGGGTTGCCCATTGGTACCAAAGAATTGCCCATTCACCACTGAAACTGGCACCTGCGTTCCAGCAGAAGGGTAAGGCCTGACGGATATCCACTGCTACTCCTGCTGTCACCAGTCCAGTGCACTATGCAGGGCCATCAGCCCGTTGTGTTGCACGCAGCAGATAATCTGCAAAGCCCCCACTGACAGGTGTGCTGCGCACCGTGGATTGTTCGACCGCAGCAGAAGCAGCGAAGGTTTCTGTTTGATCAGTGGTTGGGGGCACCACGTTGCTCAAGGTGATGTTGAGCTGCACGCTGCACAGCTGCCCATTGATGGAGACGCTGCTCGGCGCAAGATCCTGTGATGCATGACATGCTGGGGGTCAGCATGCAAGACTTCTAGCATGCAGGCTGCAGAAGTATGAACTCATGTTGACATTGGCATTTCAGTGCACCTTCCACCATTTCATGGTAGCACAGCTTGCATGCATACAAACGCAGCATGCAGGTGGATTCTGAATCCCATAGCATTTGTTAAAGCATTTCCAAGAGGATCGCTGCCTTGAGTTCGAATGCATGCCCCACATTCAAGGTGACATGAGACACGGATGCAGGCCAGCAGGGAATATACCTGAGACTTGGCGTCGATGAAATATGTCACATTGACCATGTTGCTGAAATCTGCCAGCAGGTCCAGATCAGACGAAGTGACCTGGAAGGAGGCGGTGCCATTGGTGGAATCGCCCAGGGCAGCATTGTACACATTCAGGACGGAGTTGTACATTGGCGAGGTCACAGTAATTGTGTAAGGAGCCTGCATCACACACAATCATTGTGAATCCCATGAAATGCTGTATACATAGCATACTATCAATCCAGTCTCCATTCCGATCTCATGCGCACAAGATAAACGGTATGCATGACTTGGCATAGGCCAATGCAGGCAAGCTTCAAAGCATCAAGCCATTAAGAGCAGCTAAGGAAAAAAGATGCATGGATGCATTTGCAAGAAAGCATGTGCGCAGGCAAAGGTGAGAGCTGGCTTGTGAATGCAGCCACATTGTGGCATGGGGCAAGGATAGCAACTGAGGACAGACCTTGATTGGCGAGGTCCCTGCGCTGAACAGTGTGAGGTCCACGGCTCCCCTGTATGCAGTAGGCACCTGGGCCGCTGTGGGGGCTTTGGAGAAGTCTGGGGAAATGTAGTCGTATGCATTGGAGTAGATCAGGTACGGCTTCAGGGCCACCTGCGCCCGCAATGCAGACTTGTTAGCTGCCAATCAACACACTCCCGTTACTGCATGTCAAGTTACAGTGACAAGTCAGGATATGAGACATGGCAGTCACAGTTTCCAGCGATCTTGTAAAATGACATGTTGAGCTCTGCCAGCATGCATCCATCTGCATGATGAGCAAATTGCAGGGCTGCCCTGGCAGGGTACCCATGCTAAGGCCTGGAGCAGGCAGCTCTGGCATGTTGACATGTCCCAGTACAAAGCATTGGAGGCCTTACCGCACACTGTGCATCCGCCGGGCGCGCAATGTTGTGCCACTCAGCAGCCACAGTCTCAGGGACCTTGATGGGAGGAGACTCGACTGGAGGGTTGGGATTGCTGTCCAGCTTGGGAGTAGTGATGTCACTGGAGCCCAGAGCCTGTTGCACAGAGTCGATGACGGCCCTCTGGCCCTTGCTGATCTGCTTGGGATAGTTGGAAGAAGTAATGCCCGCGGCATTGTACCCCTCAATGGTGACTGCCTGCTCCGCGGCTGCTTGCTCTGCAGCTGCCTGGCTCAGGACTGCAGCCAGCGCCATAACCAGGAGGCAGTCCCGCCTGGAGACCTGAAAGTCACAAAGGAATGTCAAGGAAAGCATGATGGCGGGCTGGAGACGAGCAGCTGAGAAGAGATGTCGCAGATTTGGAGCCCCTAGGTCTTGTTGAGCGTCCGTAATCCAACGTCGAAGATAGGGCCCTGGCGTCCTCTCTAGACAAAGTTATGATATGAAATTGTGCTGCACGCCTTGCATTGTCCGGGATTGCGAGCGTCCTCCGGGCCGTTGAATGCGCGTGGACTATAGAGCAAGATGGCGGACAAGGAAACTCCAAGACCAACACAGGACAGATCCGTGCCGACAAGTGAGCTGAGACACTTCAGCATCTCCTGAATTTCAGGTAAAACTGTTCTTCACAAATAAGGAATATCTCCCTCGCATTCCCGATCTGTCCGGAGCTGTGAGAACCATGCACAGCGCCCAAGACTTTGGGCCGTCCCTTGCTTGCAGACCTCCTCACAGAGCTAGATTCTGAGCTACTGTGCCGCAATGGTGAAGTTGAATCGAGAAAAGAAGCTCAGGGAGTCCCCCTGCTTGCACAAAGGTGCCGGATGGCTGCGCTCCATGCTCCGGCACGCGCCTGCTAGAGCCGGCAAGACACCTTGGAAGCAAAGGGACATAGCCTACCATTGCTCTAGTGGCCAAGGAAGCAGTTTAGCCTCTGGATGGGCGCCGCTTTGCGCGTCCAATGCAGACCCCCACCGCCCAGGCTGGCACGGGCTCAGAGCAAACTGAGAAGCTGTTCCCTGCTGCTCGGCACCACCATAGCCAGGGTAAAGGCACGCCAGGTTCAGGACCGAAAAAGGTGCTGTTCCAAATAGATTCTGGAGTTTGGAATTGGCCCGCCAAAGCCAACTTCAAGCTGCACTGAACTTAGTCACCTGCGCACGCGCGTGATGTGGCAGCACGACACGCTGCCGGACAGCGTGACGCGTGACGCTGGCCGGCTACAGACAATCCATGGATTCCCTTCAGTTTAGGGAGGACAAAGCTATATCTAACGTGGCACGAGTTGTACAGTACGACATATGCTACATAATGGAGGAGCTTGCCCGTCGCTCGGGACCTTCAGGGACCCCGGCGCTCTGCACAATCTGCCATAGTCAACCATCACGCACACCAGCGACGTCCTGCAAGGCAGTGATATGTTAAAGGAAGTATCTATATTTAAGTCTTCATTATTAGGGTCAACTCAGCATGCACTAGGGGCCCGTTCATATACGGAGGGGTTGATCATCTGTATCAGTCATATCCTCAGACTACTCGAAGAGAAATTGGCTTGTGACACAGCCGAACGTGTATTGATTCGGACTTTTTTGGTAATCAAAATATGTTCTGGTGTGTGGTATGTGTAGTATATGCCTTTTGGCTGCCTATCCTGCATCAAGACTGTGGCAATTCGTCAGATCTGGTGGCCACAAGCCCAGCCACACTAGTAGAGGTTCGGGTGCCTTATGTTTCCCTGAATGTATTCCAGCCTGAATGCACTGGTCATGACTGCAGCCTCCCAAGCCAACATTGCTTGACATGTCTCAAGCACTACACAACGTGTAGGTAGGACTCAATAAAAGCACATGACCGGTCATGCGAAGCCGATTGTCATGTCACTCGCGCGGATCAAGGATTAGGCTCAGCATGGCAAATAGGACCTCAGGCCTTGATTTGGTTAGGCACATGGTACTTCTGTGACCGTCACGGGGCTAGGTCCAGGCAGTGCCATGGTCTTGCTGTGGAGATGTAGAATCGCTAATAGCGCAGAGCAGCCCACTGGATCTCATGACAAGCAGCTGCTGCACCCTGTGCCAGGACCGGTGATAGACGCCTTGAGTTCAGAGTGGAAGTTTGCACTCCAGCATCACAGACCAGTGTGGGAAGATTGGGCAGCGCAACAATGCCGGTGCTGCATTGGTGCTATTTCCGTGCAGCTGCTAAAATTTGGTTGCCCTCTTCATCGGGGCACGGAGGACAGATAGGGCGGATCAATCAGAGAGCCCCATGAACAGCTTGAATCTCTTTCCGCTTTGAGGCAGCATCCTGCACATTCGCGGCGCTGTGCAGCATGCTGGTGTACTGGCCCAGGGTCAAGAACCCACAAGAGATAGATAATGTTCCTGAGGTACAATCGCAGGGATTGCATTGCCTAGCCTATGCAGCACATTTGAAACAGATAGCTTCCGATCACTGGCAACGTGCCAGACGTGGTCGCCAGCACTGGAGTGTCTATGCTACTAGCAGGCACCGCCATGACTCCATGCAAATTTGTCTGACAGAACTACTGGAACGTGAACTACATGCCATCAATATGTTCGCATGCATGCGCTGCTAGCACTCTTGTATAGAGCGCTCTTGTATGCCAGTGCACTATGCGCATAAGTGCGCCACAGCGGTTTCATTTCAACTTATTATTGTTATTATTATTACACGCTTTTCCTGCCGAAGGCAAGGTGCGTACTACTACATAGTATGCAGACAAGCTGCATGTAAAGGCTGCCAAATTCCTACCCCTTGTTGGACTCGCCAGATCCAAGCAAGACCCAACCGTGGGCACGTTGCTCAGCATTTGTACCGCCAAGTTATATTCACCGGCAAGTTGTATACAAGTTAGCAGCTGCGCAGTGCTGCCAGCTCAGTGAGCGCTCTGCCGTCATGGTGGCCTGCCAGCAGCCTACCTGACCTGGATGGCTCAGAAAAAATGTGAGACCCAGAAGTCCGGGAACTGTGCTGGCGGCAAGATCTTCACTGATGCACATTTCCCGCAATGGTGACCGACTCTGAATGACAAATGTGTGATGCAGCCAATCTAGGATCGCCGATGGGAGGTAATGACAGTACGACGAACATAAACTTCAAAATTAGCAGATGGGGCCCAGCATTGTTAGGGGCACACATTTGTTGTATGCATACACTTGCCCGATCCCTCTACCTGCCATTCATCGGGCTTGATCGGCTTCTCATACCTTACTGAGCGATACCAGGCAGCATTCGTTCCCTCCGTCTGGTCCCCATCACCAGACCAGGAGTGCGGCGTTGTGAGGATAATCTGCGATCGGTGGGGTGGCAAAGCCCTTGTTGAGCGCCACAAGCGATCTTCAAGGCCTTTAAGCCTGATTGGTCCTGATCAGTGTGTGCGAAGGGAGTGAGTGGGTCCCATCGTCGTACAGGTACCCGCCATGAGTTCAAAACCCAACTTAACAAGCAAAGCAATCGGCCTTACCGAGGTCCTCAAGCCCATAAATTACAAGATCAATGTAAAAGGTTGGGCCTACAGGTCCAGATCGCATGCCTTGGACAGGCAAATTACACCTTATCTCAACCTTGTTAAATTGTTCTTTGCTACCAGACAGGTTTGCTCACAGGCGGTGAACGGGCCAATAGATCATCTGAGACGAGTCGATTAGTTTGATAGACAGGTGCATCTTCCCCACTTCTATTTCACTTCCTGCTGGTGCTCATCAAAGCATCGATCAGCACAAAAGGCAGCAACCCAAGATTTTCGAAGGACTTAGCCTCCAGCCAATTTTGTTATGATTATTTACATTGCCATCCTCGAGCTTCCAAATCCCTGGATCAAGGCCTGGAGGCTCCATGACACAGGTGCACCTGACTTGTGATGACCAATCACAGCCCAGAAAGTAACACCAGTGCATCTTTGTGTGCGCACAGGTTGCCATTGGCAGCATGGCAGCCCGCAGGCTGTGCCTGCTACTGCCAGCCATCGTGCTGGGCTCTCTAGTGCAACTCTGTGCAGCCGCCTCTTTGGGCGACACATCAGCATCCAACACAGCTTCCTCTACTTGGGCATCTGGTAGGCATCCCTGTGCCCCTTTTACAGGTTGTCTGCAAGCTCCAATTTTCTGCGGGTCAGACACCCTGTATGAATTTGTCGAGTGCTTTGTTGCAACATCTATTTGAACACCTGTGAGCCAGCACCGGGCGTAAGATGTCTGATCCTGCGTGCTGCACAATTGTGAAAAGCATACCAGTGCCAGCGCAGACTGCACAAAGATAGGCAGTCCTGCAGGATTGAGCCATCCATTGGGCACACGAATTTTATGAGTTTTGAGCAAATATACTTCGTTCTCCCGCAGGCAGTTCTGTGTCTGCCAAGGCAGCCTCTGCCCCAGCAGGATGGCCGGCTGACAAGGCCTCTGCACCACTAGCCAGGTCCGGTGCCGGCGCGCAGCCGTTCGCAGGCGATGCCTCCCCTCTCATCGCCAACCCCGCCAGCGTTTGGTTTGCCGCCCCCGGCCCCGCTCCTGACGCTTGGGCCAAGCCGGGTGCGGCTCCCAAGCAGGCAAACACCCCCGAGACCGCAGCAAAGTCCCAAGCAGAAGCATCAAAGCTTGGCCTGCGCAGAGCCCCCTCAAATGCCACCGCGCCAACAGGTTTGCCCTTGTCCTGGACGGATTGGCCCCTGCATTATAGCATGTTTGCCCTGGCTCGGGGATCTGACATGTGCATGCGCAGTGATCTCGAGGCTTGAGGTGTCCTGCATGTGTCTGCTGATGTCCTGTCTCTTTATGCACAAATGTCCGTCGTGCCCCTTTGCCCGATCCAGGCCTGTCTTTTGCAGGGTCCCTGCTGCGCATGCTGCAAGCGAGTGCCCCTTCCAGAGGGCACCTGGGTCCTCATGACTCATGACCAATGGCTAGACTAATGATTACCCACTGATGAATAAGATTAGAGGATTACACAGGTGCGGCCGTCGAGGCCGCAGCGACCCCTGGCGCGTGGCAGAAAACAGCAGAGACGCCGCAGGAGACCGTGGCATGGGCCCAGGAACCCTCCGCCGCTGCCCCTTGGGCCTCGAAACCCTCCGCCGCCGCCCCCTGGAGCGCTAAGACCGAGGGGCTCTCCCCCACCAAGGCCGCTGCCGCCGCCATCGGCCTCGTCCCCGGTGGATCCCAGAACGTCGCTTCCGAAGTCGCTCCTGCCTCTCCAGGTGAATGTCAATCCCAGTTCAATGAGAAGGAAAACCAGCGCAACGGCGAAGGCGACAGGAGGCGCCCCGGGCCCAATTGCATTGCCTGCGTCCCCTCCCGCATCTGCTTGGCGCTCAAATTTGTCATTTGCTGCCATTTTCAAGTCAGCATTCTCCTGAAGAAAAAGTCCCCTCACATAATCACCCTTGCATCCCCATGTGCGCTCACATGTGCAGCGCTGGGACAATGCTCTAAATCAGTGCTGAGCAGCTTCTTTCTTTGAAGTAATTTTTGACTGAATGTGGTCTGTCACTTCCATTACTTTAAGAACACTGAATGACCAAGAAGGGATCTGACTATCTGTGGAAAGAAGCGTAATGATTGGCAGTGGTTTTCATGCTCAGGTGCTTTGAAGGCATCTCAGGAGACGGCTACAGAAAAGTGGGCTGTCCCCAAAAATGCCTCTTCATGGGAGCCTGCCGCCACAAAGTGGGCTCCAGGCAACGCCACAGAATGGGCTCCTGCTCCTTCTAAATGGGCACCAGAGAATGCCACCTCATGGGCCCCTGCAGCTTCCAAGTGGGCGCCAAAGGCCAAGCCGCCGGCACCTGCACGGAAGCAGCCCGGCGCCTACGTCAAAGCCCCCGGCGGACGCGAAGCTCAGCCGTCCGACTACGTCCCAGAATCTATCAGGTGTGGCTGCTGCCTGACTTGACTCACCCAACACTAGTCCTGCATCCTGGAACCTGCAATTGCAATACTGAAGCTTTCTTGGGATTTGCCAATTTACCAATTTGCCTGTTTGGTATTGCATCTGCAGCATTGAATCTAAATGCTCAGTCTTGTGCCTTGCAGTCGGCACTTTTTACAAATTCGAGAACATCTCTAAGCATCTGCTGGATGGCCCTGTGCAAGGAGACAATCTGCTTCGCACTCTTCCTGCTGCCAACACTTTGTGTCCCAGGAAATAAGCAGGTCTTGAATTGGGCTGTGACTGCATTAAAACTAGTGAAAGACGTACTGAGAGGCTGCCTTTTTGGCGCAGGGACATCAAGTGGAACAATGGAGGCTCGCCAGGGAACGCCTCTGCGAAGGTGTACCCGACGCAGGCCGACCCGCAGCGGCAGCGGCCGCAACTGTCCGGCGCCGAACCAACCTCCGCCGCCTATTCAGGTGCAACCCCTGACCTCCATAATAGTTCCCACAAGTTGCGGACCAACAGAACCCATGTGGAGGCGTCGAGGGCCTCGTCAGCATGCCTGGTCCATGCCCTGCATGGCCTGCATGCATGGATGGAAATATTGTTATTATAACTATTATTTTCATGATGCCCATCCTTACTGTTATCACACCCTTCTCCTGCCAAGAGGCAAGGTGCGTCCTGCAGACAAGCTGCAGTCAAAGGCTGCCACGGATATTTTGCTGCTTGTGGAATGCAACATCTGGCCAGGCTTGCCTTTGTATAATGCATAATGCATCATGCACATTGCACCCTGTCTTCAGCGTACAAAGGAACAAGAGGGTGCACCTCGATCTAGGGGGTCCTGAGATGATAGTCATCTGATCACTAATGACACGAGGATTACACATCTGTGCAGGCACTGGGGTTGTTGACTCGCGCTCGCACTCCCTGGACCCCACCCGCGTCGCCTCCGACGGCCGCAACAACGGCGCAGCCCTGCAAGGTGTAAACCCCCTGTTTCTGTCATTCCACTTCCCCTCAAACCCGTCATATCCCTTGGAACATATGTCTGTTTTATAGCTGCTTCCTTTGCATGCTGCTGTGAATATTTTGCAGTAGATTTGCCACACCCAGAGGTGTGACCCTTGTCCTGGGCCGGCTTGTCACCTTTCCAGCTCCTGTTGTTGACCCCTTTGTCTGTCTGTTTTTTGTGTTTCATGTACAGTAAGGTCTTTGAGAGTCAGGGCAAAATATATTTTCAGTGACGAAATTAAGTGTAGCCTTTGCTCTCACGCCAAGAATTTAAAACACTGGGGCAATCAGCCAGAGTGTGAATCAGCCAGAGTGTGCAAGCACCCCGCGCTTAGCAGATAAGATTGTCTACTGCAGTGCAGAGATTTAATTCCATGCTTCTGAAGCCTGCTTGGCATGTAATGTCATGTTAGCACCAGCCCAGTGAGTCCCTTACAGGCTTAGCTGAAAAGCCCTGAAAGCTTTTCTCTGTGGCCCCTTGCAGCCTCTAACAAGCCAGCAGCAACTTCTGGCACCCATACTCTGGACGCCACTCGCATGGCGAGCAATGACTTCATTCCATTCGGCTCCCAGGAGTACATTCCCAGGCAAGCATCTTGTTGACCCCAAGTGTGCAGTCATGCAGAAGCAATCCTTTGTGGCTCAATTTGACTGCAGGAGATTGTCTTACTTGTGAATCCTTGAGAATGAATGGCGGAGGGACACTCCCACTTCTATTGTGATGCATCAGATGCATTGATGTGAGCATCTCAGCTCAAAAATGCATGCATCCCTTTGCACACCTGCTTTCTCTTGCCATGCACACCACACAGCGGTCAATGTCTTTCATGTGAAGCGGGTCAAGCTGCCACTTAAGGTCAAGGGTGAGTTACATGACATCAAGCAAAAACCCTGAAAATAATGCAGGGGATATGAGGACGTGGCGTCAAGGGTGAACGGCCAAGTAGTCATCCCCAGTGACGCAGAGGTGAGGCCAGAGGACGTCCTCCCAACGGTGTCCGGCGATCTCGGCGGTGACTCATCTGCTTCCGCCGCCGCCGCGCCGGCCCCGGCCCCGCTCGCGAATTACACCCTGCCCGCTTTGCTGGCGCCAGATGTAAACGCCTCGTGGCACCTCGTCGACTCTCCCCCAGGCGCTACCTGCGAGGTGGGATATTGCATCCGAGAAATTGCACATTCAAAATGAGTCCAGTACGGCATGCTGCAAGCTCAATCCATCCTTTGGCAGCAAATAGATGTGATGTGATGTGCACGCTCCCTGCTGTCTTATGTGTTGCCTCTGGTGAGGTGTCTTGTCTGTACAGTATCCACTCTCTCATGCAAGCCACCACATTGCAAGTTGAAGGAGCCTGCTTCAGATTACACCGGGGGCAGGTCAGAGCAGCTCCAAGGCATGCCTGCGGATCAGCTGTTAAGCAGAGGGTGCGGATGGCATAGACGCATCATAGCAAAATGCAGCCCTCACCACACATGATTATGACAGCATGGGAACAGAGGCATGGAAGAGCTGGAATCCTGATGCAGCTTACGCGCTGCGTTAGTGGCTCAACAAGTGACACCATCAATTTTGCCACTGCAGGTGCTTGCGCATCCACTCAAGTATTACTGACTTACCCTAGTCATGACTGAACGACTGACATCATCGGGTGATGTCACGCGCGCAGGTGCTGATGCGGCCCTACATCCTGCAGCAGGACGGGCACACCAACCCAAATCTCTGGGGCGCCATCGAGGCGGAGCGGCCGCCAACTTCTTCCCCCCCGGCCGATTTCCTGCGCGGCAGCGTCGACCTTCGCATCTTCAACAACGCCACCGAGGACCTACAGGTGTGCGCCTTATCTCCCTCTGTCCAAGGGGGCTATGTAGGGTTACACGAGGGGAGGACCTCGCGGAGCACGCTCAAATCCCCCAGGGGCTTTGCAGGGTTTATTCTACGGAAGGATGCGTCCTGCCTTGCGCTGTTTATCCCAATCCATTCTTGAGCATGCATGCAGTGCAGGGGTGTCAAGGCACATGCAACTGAATGTGCTGCTACGCCTCTTGAACATCGGAATGCCCGCCTCCAGTGCAGAGTGTGCTGAGACAGAGTTCCATTGCTAATCTGCTTGAAGCGAACCTGGACGCGGCCTTTGCGCAGAATAGACAACACGGCATGCATTTAGTTCCAAGCAGGGTCATGCATACGGGAGTCCAATGGCAACGACACGGAGTATTCCATCATGCTAGCTACACGCTGAAAGATTGAGTTGGCATGATGCAGGTGCCATACACGCTGACGGTGGTGTCGGCCCCCTCAGTCAACTATGAGAGCGCGAGCAACATGGAGATCTTGAGCTCAGGGCCGAATGGCATCGGCAACCTTACAGCCACTTCGCCTGACCTCGCAATCCCAGCTGGCTCCAACATGAAGGCCAACGTCACCTTTACGGTCAATGCCACCAACCAGGTACGGCAATCGAGCCGCCTCACATGAAGTCCTTCCTGAGTCTGTTCCTATAGCACCAACAAGATCTGCTAGTGCCTTGGGAAATCATGTGTGAATCTTCCTAGAAAAGCTTGCATTGCTGCAATACCAAGAGGAACCTGTACCTGCGCACTGAGTGCTGTGCTTGCTGTCACGAGGTTTCGGAGTTTCCTGCTTTTTAAGCATGCAGCATGCATGATCCTGCATGCATGGCTGTGTCTCGAGGCATGCATGGCTTGGGACATGATCCACTGTATGCTAGTGCTCTCATAACCAAACGACTTTTGAGATGAAAGAGCTTGGCCTAACAGCTCTGTCTCAGCTCTGCATCAGTGCTGCATGCAGGCACACCTGACAGCACTCAAGCATTCACCAATCAAGCAGCGCATCTGCTGAGTCAGGAGGCAGCATGACGTGCCAAACAGCAGAGCAGCTTCCTACAACCCCACACAATACTGACACCTGCCTTCTGTCTCTGCAGGACTTTTTCCCTCGCCATGTGCTGCTGAATGGGCAGCCATGCCAGCTGCGGATCGGGCTGAATCTGAACGTGCCGATCCCCACAGTGCTGCCCAATGGCACCCTCATCGAGGATGATGAGCAACCAGTGTCGGTCACCCTCGGCCAATTCATCGGCGCCAAGGGGGAGCCCCTCGCCATAAAGGGCATCAACTGGTGCGCGCTGGTTCCAGCCTCCCATTGCATTCCTCGCCTGTTTTCCTTGCTTGCATGAAATTCGTTCTGCCGGGCAAGCTGCTTGCAGATTTGGTGCTCCCGACGCATGGAGGCATGGGTAGCTATTTTGTGGTCAGCAGACCCCTCTGCATGCATCTTTGTTTACATTTCACTGCTCGACACCTTGTGCATTCTTCATGATACCACCAGACACAGGCCTCGACACCAGGGTATACACTTTTCCCCCCAAAATGTTCATCAACAACATCTGCGTTTGCTGGGGCTAAGGCAAGACTATCACTCATTAGCTTGGCCACAGAGATCTGCAGAATTTACAGAATGTGCAGAAATCTTCATATTTTGCGCATTGATTTGTCCGCATGCAAGGTGAGCACCTGCACCCACTCACATGAGACTGCTGCCTTGCAGGTTTGGGTTTGAGACTGCCTCCACGATGCTGGACGGCCTCTGGCAGGGACCCAGCGCCATCACACAGAACTTCGACTCTGTCGCCTGGCGCATCAAACTGATGGGCTTCAACACCATCCGCATCCCCTTCTCCTTCCAGGTGAGATGCAGGCCCTTGACCTCCCCTGAGCCATAGCATGCATGCCTTCCTCAGAATTGCGTTTAATGAACAGGGCCCCTGCAGTTTCTGATACATCAAGATCCCCATGCCAATCTATGTACCGTTGTATGGGTGTAAAGTAGCATGCATGTTTCCTCCTCACAACTGCAGTTAAGAAACTAGGCACTTGCAAATCGACTGTGCAATTCCACTTCCGGTGAGAATGTCCTTATTCTGGTCAGTTTTGAAGTGCAGTTGTGCGTGCTCTTCCTCAGGAGCTGTCTTCTTCTTACTTCCTTTGCCTTGTTCCTGGCTTCATGCTGTCACTCAATGGCATGCATGCCATGTCTTCCCTGGACTGACTTCTACAGTCAGCCACTGCATCCCTCTTCTCACAGGACATGTCTGTGTGTCAAGCACTGTTTAGTCACCAGTGGCAAGGGGAAAGAAGCCCAGTCTACAATGTAACTTGATTAAAATTCCCAGGTGAATTAGTGCGGATGCACTGGGGGCCTGCATGCTCCCCTGTGTGTCAGAGAAGCTGACTCGCTGCTCTGTCCTGGCAGGTGCTGTTCAACATGGTGCCACGCTCCTACACAGCCGCATGCACGCCCACCACAGCAGACACTGTCAAGCAGAGCGTCATCCCACCTGGAGTGACCACGCCTGCAGGAGTCAACCCCCCTGAACTGGTGCGCCCCTGCATGCATGCACAGACACCGGCGGATGGCATCCTTCCTCCCATTAACAAGACTCTCCGGCTGGAAGAGACTTGAGGGGTCTGCATAAAACCGTGCATGCAAGACAGCCATTTTGATGAGAGCCATGTTCTGCGACAAAGGGGCAAAGCAGATGAGCCGTCACAGTATTGAATAGTGTGCAATGAGAGGGAAAGAGGCCGTTGCTTGACTGCAGATAATGAGGTTGCATTTTTCAAGCCCTGAGGCACCTTGTGACGTCAGATCAAACCTGCTAGGATCGCATGCATAATCCTGGGGCCTTTAAGGCCTTCTTTCTTAAGAGCATCCAACAAGCATTATGCAAGCAGCTTGTTCTGGAGCAGTGTTCTGCTTGAGAGCCGTCCACCCCGGTGCAAGTATTTGTGCAGAATGCATGGCACACATATTGTATAATGTGCAACTTTCTCTCTAAGATGTGGATTATTTTGCACAGATGGCACCCGGGGATGCGCTGGGCGCGTCGGGAGTGTGCAATGCTGACCTGCCCAACACCAGCGGCTACGCGCGCTTCCTCTTCGTGCTGCGCTACTTTGCGGCCAACGGCTTCTACATTCTCATTGACAACCACCTCTCCTTCGACAACACCGCCGTGTCAAACACTGCACAGGTATGTGCCTGCCTGACCAGTTTTCTGCATGCATGCAATTGCATGCCAGGCGCCGTCATAACCAGCAGACAAGCAGCCGCGCTATGAGCTCTGACTTGTCATGTTAAATGAATCCCAATGACCAATTAGATTGCTTGGCACAAGCCAGGGCTCTGCTTCACACATCGCTCCATGCATGCTGCAGTAGATCGCCCATCGTAGTGGTTGCTCAAGGCCAGAGCAATGCACTTCCAGTCGAGTGAATTTGTGGCCGCCTAAGGCGCAACACTGGGAAATTGCATGACTGTGTTGTTCTATGCGTGCAGTGGCTGATATGGTGGAAACAGCTGATGACGGATGTTGCAGCGCTGCCGTCCACACGCAACAGAGTCATGGTCGACATCATGAACGAGCCGGACGTGCTGGGCCTGAGGTGAGCTCCCCAGCTGACTGGACTTCTGCCTTAGTCATCAGTGATTAGTTGACTGCCAGATGGCAAATCCTCACATATTTGTGTTTTGTTTATTTTGTCTGCATGCGGGTCGAGTGTGGGAGTAACACTGGGCACAGAAACCTTTTTGCTGTCAGCCTTATGGGATTGAACCATTCATTTTTTTGCTCTCATTGCCAGCACCAGCCATCCCCATTGCCTTGCATTGCAGCTCTTCCATTCAGGGATGCATGAGACTGTGTAAAACAGCCCACCACCTTGAGGCACGGAATTGCATAAAATCTCAAGAGCAGCGCAGGGCATGCATGCAGTGCTGATGCTTTGGTGCTGATCAGTCACCGTGGTTGACTGTGCAGATGGCAGGGAACTACCCCTGACATGAGCTCGCTGTACCTGGCTGCAATGGAGGCTATCTACCCGGTGAGCATTTTGCCCACTAAAGGCACTTTGCATGTCTTGGCAATGCTCTGAGACTCCACGGGTGCTCAGCAGCCATTGTTCTTTCTCAGTAATCAGGAGTTCTGCACTGCTATGCTCGTTCGAGGAGCATGCTGCACAACAGAGCATGATACACTCACCTGACAAGCTCTGATTACTCGTGATGGTGCGCAGATTTCCCCTACGACCCTTTTCTTCATCGAGGGTGGTGGCCAGCTGCCATATGCCATGTGCTGGGGCGATGGTTTTGTGACGGACCCCGCCATAATTGCAGCCAATGGGCTGTCGGACCCGAACCCTTTCTTCACCACCCTGCTCTCCAAACCCTACCTCAACAACGTCGTCATCTCCCCCCACTACTACCCGCCCTCCATCTCCACGGCGAAGACCAAGTGCGCTTGCAGCCTTCAAGGCATCGGTCTATGCAATGCATTCAAGCGTTTACACTGCCTGCTGCATCATGTTGCCCATACAATCATCCTTGCTGAGATTACTTCCAGCAATAAAATGAGATCTTGGTGATCAGCATGTCATGAAATAGCTTTTGATATAAGCAAGATTACTCGTATTTGCTGTACAACTGTCTTCTGGGCATCGCACCCCGTTGTGAAGCAATCACCTGTTCTCCTGCATATTGTCAAAGTTTTGGTGACCCATGATGTAACATATAACATGTCATGCATGCAACATTAATATTTCTGTTGGGTATGAATTCTGCGTGCAGACCATCAGCTCTGTGCCAACAAGAAACTTGCGATACATCCGACAGTGCTCTTCACTCATTTCTGCATGCTGTCCTCATGCGGTCGCCGCTTATCATGGGGTCCTTCAGCTGTGAGAGCTCGTGTGCACAGCTGCACCTCATGCCATGAGCCTATGACTAATGCCACATGGCGTCAAGTAAAATGCAGCGCAGGTGCTTACGAACGGAACTGACTGGACGTGGACTAAGTAAAAGTAAATTTCTGTGCAGGGTCTCTGGGGCAGATCTTTGGGAGAGGATGCAGAACTCCTTCGGCTACCTGACTTCAGGGCAGGGATACCAGGGCCATGTCTTCCCCTTAGTGATTGGCGAGACGGGCTCCATGTACCTCACGGTGAGCAGCGTTCCGTCCTCCTCCTAGGGTGGTTCATTTAGAATACCCCGGCAAGGGATATAGGCTACCTAATTGGGAAAACGGGTGAAGTGTCAGCTGCCTCCCTCGCCATGCACAGAAGACTGTTGTACAGCGAACAGAATTCATCTTGCTTATATCAGAAGCTGTCTGTGTGCTTTGCAGCAAGCGGACGTGCTGTTTCTGAGCGACATGGCCAAGTACATGAAGAACGACCCGGCGGCTGCAGTCTACCCGCACGCCACGCTGAGTCACCTCATGTGGTGGTCCTGGAACCCAAACTCCGGGGACACCGGCGGCATTGTGCAGGATGACTGGCTCACGGTGAGTCATCTCTCTATCTTTGTCAAGCCTGAATATGAACTTGAACGCTGTCAATCTGTCCTGTGCTGGACCCCAGAGATGCAGTCTTGACTGACAGCCTGAGAGAGCACGACTGGCTCATGTGGGGCGATTGCCTAAATGACTAATAGCCCATTCGCTCTGGAACTGGGTTGCAGTTAGAGCATGCTAATAAGCGTGCGTGTCACAGAATCCCAAAAGCCCGTCTTCGCTGCCACAGCCAGTCACGGACCAGGCAGCTTTCTAGGCAGATGCAACAAAGTTCGGCAAGCTTTAGTAAAGGGGTCCTTGGAGAATTTCACAAGACGAGGTCGCTGGTATCAGGTACTGACCTTGCCTGTTGTTGTGCTTGCGCAGGTCATCTGGAACAAGGTGGACTTTCTGATCAACGCCGTCGGGCTGCAGCCCTGGTATGCAGCCGTGCTGAATGGCGGCGCCTTTGACCAGCCGGCCGCCGACAGTCTGCCGGGGCCGGCCGCGCCGGTGCCGACGGTCCCCCCTGTGCCCACAGAGGTCCGCCCTGTTCAGCCACTCCGAGTACTGAAGCTCTAGGGGTTCAGCTGCTTGAACCCTGCAGAGGTGTCTGGCGAGGCTGTGAAGAGTTCACAGCGTCTTTGCTCCTTTCATATTTGGTCCTTTCAAGGGTGCCTTCGTAGTGCGAGGTGCCAGCGGTCCACCCGTAGTCGGCCCCCACAAACTCTCTCATTCTGAGTATCTAACTGACTGCGGTTCCTCTTTGCCCGAGCCAGGCTTGTATGTGGAGTTCTCTGGCCGTAGTGGCCTCTAATCTGTGCATCCCGGCCTTGCAAGAATTTAGGTGCCTTCTTGCACAGAAGGTCGAGGTGATAGCTGAGGGTCCAGGGATCTTGCCTGTACTGCCAAAGTTGCTACTTTCCTGGTAGGTCTCAAAATTTTCAATTTCGGGTATTTCAGCAGGTCTGTAGGACCCTGAAGAGGGGTATGTAGGAAGCCTCTTGACAGTCATGAATGCAAAAGTTTAGGGTTCAAAAGGGTTAAAAGAGTTCAAAAATCCATGGTATGTGAAACAGCGCAGAAAGGTTCTCCTCTGCGCAGGTGCCAATCGCAACGGCGCCCCCCGCCGAGACGGTCCCCCCGGTGCAGCCGGCCGCCTCCGACCCGCCAGTGGACGCAATACCCCCGCCGGATGCCACCACCCCTCCGGTGACTCAGCAGCCGGAGGCAACCACCCCTCCAGAGACTCAGCAGCCGGAGGCCACCACCCCTCCGGAGACTCAGCAGCCCGACACCGCCGCGCAGCTGCCGTCACAGCGGCAGCAGCCGCAGCAGCAAGAGCCTGCTCAGCAGGAGCCCGCCACAGAGACGAATGTGCCTGAGACGACCAGCGCAACGCCACCTCCAGAGAGTGCGCCCCTCACTGGCCGGCTTCATGACCGTATCTAGTCTGCTTTCTGCCGGAAGACTTTGCCAGGGCACTATGAAGCTGTGCATCCGTGTCCACATAGGCTAGATTGTCCTTGCCAACTGCCGCCCCTGACGCTCTAAAAGAATAGAGCATCTCAACTGCCTTCTTGTTTTGCATGTGTGGGAGTACAAGGGCCCAGTAGCGCTGTAATAACTACTGACTCCAAGATGCATGCGCGCAGCCTCCGTGCCACCGCCATCGCAGACAGAGCCGCCACAGACAACGCCGTCGCAGACGGAGCCGCCGCAGACAACAACGCCGCTGACAACACCGCCGCAGACGGAGCCACCGCAGACGACAACGCCACCGCAGACGACCTCCGCGTCCAGTTCTGGCAGCGGCAGCAGCTGTCTTGTGCGCGCGTCGACCGGAAGTGTTTGGAGCGGCGGCAGCGGCGTTTACAAGGCCAGCCTCGACTTGGTGCGGGCGCTCTTCACATACCCGTCTTCACAAGAAATCTGTTCCCCTTGCCTCTGCCTGCATGTGCATTGTGGCTCTGATACACACGCATGGCAATATCTTTTTGCTCACAACCTCTCGCAGGGACGTACGCTTTGGTCAGGCCCTGATGTGTACCTTTCTGTGCTGTCCTGCCTTCTGTTCAGGGTGCTGCTTTCAATAGACAGACCTTGAAGCTAATGGTCAGCTGCTTGTTGCTGCAGCACCTGCAAGCGACTGGCGGCAGCAGCGTGGCCGTCCCATACACCCTCAGGCTTAGCAACCCGGCGTACACCGCCCTGGAAACATCTTGGACATGGGAGGGCTCCTTTGCCGGCGGCGGCGCTGCCAGCGGCCAGGTCACTCAGGTGCTGCGCTGCCCCAAAATCTCATCATTTTCTCCTGTAAAAATGGCAAGGGGAAAGCCCTGATGAAAGGCAAATGGTGACGCAAATGTATGGCATCTTGAGGCGTCTATGCAGGTATACTTTTCCCTGCTCATGATGTAAGGGGACGGATAGAACCGGCTTGCCTATAGGAGGCCTCGTGAGAAGGCTTGCTGTGCATTTATGCTGAGCCGTTGATCCTACTCGAGTTCTTGAGTTGTGAAGGGTGTAGACCTGACAGCGAAGATCCAGACACACCCCTTACATTGTATGGAGAGATCCCCTGCCAAAGCTTGCCACATAATTTGGTTGAACACAAGATCTCGCTACAGACTGGCACATCCGCTGAGTCGTCTGCATCACGCACAGGGATGGGCGGAGCTTCTTAAGAACAGCGGCAACACAGTAGACGTTGGGGGAATAGTGGTGGGCTCCAGTCAGAGCCTTCTTCCCACAGAAGCTTCCATCAACGGAGTGACCTGCGAGCTCAGGACATGAGCATGTGAGAACGGAGCAGGAAGGCCGCTGTAAGCGGGCTGGGCTTGCTGCACCGCGCATGCCTTTTCTTTTTCTCGGAAACTCCTGTTTTGGAAGATGCTTGGGCGCATGCATGCGTCAGCTGTCGCAGCGTGCGACAGAATTACCCCCGGGCGTTTGCTGCGACGCCCCTCGTGTCCGGCGGGACATCAGACTGGCTTGGCTTGGCTTGCATGCAATCCACTTTGATTTCCAGTTTCTTTTTATGGCGACCCTTTAGGTGTCCAGGGCGCAAGGGAAGGAAAGTCAGCGAGAGAAACCCCCGAATTTTGGTGACAAGGCCGCCACCTTCAGGCTTTCAAGCTGCTTTCAAGGGGTTTGCGCCCAGAAATTTGCTCTTTAGCCTTCCTGCGCCACCATAAAAGTATTTGGACGGTGGGGTTATTTTGGGGATCTCATCCGGCAATAAGAGGACCCGCAGAGCTGTGGGAGTATTGTGAGAATTCCAGCAAGGGCTTGGGATTTGATGAGGCAGCTGCCCTGGATGGGAAACAGAGGCGCCAAATTGCCATCCGCCTCCACTGTATTTGACTTAGTTGGTTTCGCAGCCCGTGCCATGACTTTGTTTTAGGGATTCGAGACCACTCAAGACATACTCAAGAACCACTCAAGATATTCTCAAGACTTTCGCCATTTGTTCCACCCATCAACTCAGTCCTGACACTGCAAAAGTCATTCCGCGGCAGTCAAGACCCAAATATGCCAAGGAAGACGTGGTTGCTTTCTGTGCATCAGTGTGTGGTGAACTGCCCTGTAGGCAGCAAGATTGTGAACTGGTTTTTGGATTGTTGCAAGGTTTAATTTGATGCCGAAATTCTTGCGCATGCATGCATGCAATATACTGGCAGTTACCCCATCAAAAGGCGGCATCGCCAGAGGGTTGGGGGAAATAATCCTTAGCAATGAACGGCTGTCATGCCAATATTTCTTGTGGGTTTCTGCTTGACTCAAGCTTATTGCCAATAAGGAAACGTTGTTGTGGGTATATTCCGTGCAAGACTGTCAGGCCTTGACGATAATGAATCACCATATTGTCCCATGTTTGAATTTGGGAACAGTGGCATTTTCTAGGCGCATGCGCATGCATATGATTGTCCTGTTCTGCCTGCATTGACATTTCCTTTTATGCGTGCACGAGTAGAATTTATGGGGCTTGCCGGTAGTGCAATCGCGCGAGCAGACCATTTAATTGCAAAAGGGTGATTGCCAAGATATCAGGCCAGCTAAATGTTCAATCCTGATAGCAACAGCCAGAAGAACACTGTAAGCCCGGGGTGTTTTGTGAAAGACCTGTTGCCTGCTTACAGTGAAAGTCCTTGTTCAACATGAATATGCTGGTGGATGAGGCGAAAAAGCAGGCAGGACATGCCCACCCCTTGTTCCATCAACATGACAAGCAGGAACGGACAGTATCTATGACAGGTCTGACTGTGTCAGGAATATCCAGGAGCATCAACTCACAGGCTCTGAATAGTTTGTAAATTGCTGTTTGATATCCATTACTGCCCATTGTGTACTGCGCAAGATGATCCCTCATCACTCCAGAGCAAGCTTACCCTCACAAGCCCTGCAAATGCAGCAAACAACACTCGAAGAAGAGTTCGGCACTCCTGTCCTGTTGCCATGCTTCAATTTCAAGTCTGCCTCTAGTCATACCTCAAAAAGCTGCATGTGAGAGCTGCGTATGCTGAAGCAACAGGACCATGTGTGATGCTACGAACAGTTTAATAAGAAATACTCAGGGGCTCGCTGCCAGCACTGCGCATATCTCACCAGCCACTAGCAAAAAACACACTTTCAGGTAGTGCATTTCCAGTGCGTAGCACGGCTTGCAGAGAGGTAGGCGCTTCCTACAGCTGCCTCAACAGCAGATACCTTTTGAATCCAGGTCCTTATCATTACCGCCCTTATGATCAAGCCATGTCGGTCAATTCTGTCCATTGCTGCCATGTTAGCAGGTCATGCCAGCACTTAAGGGTGGAACACCCAATTGACGGGGAAAGGAGAAGGGATGCTCACAAAGAAATCGTCCAGGGGCGCGGCCGACTGCGCGGGCGCCGCGAGTACCTCCGGTTTGAAGTTGCTGGAGAAGTAGAGGACGCCCTGCTGGTTGTTCCTGATCGCCACCTGCGCGCACATGCCGCCACATGCCATCACATGCGCGCGATGCTGAGCTCGCCGGGTGGCTCCAAGGATGTTCATGCATTCCCTTTCCACCCTGCTCAGGAGGATGTCTAGCAAAGTGGGAATGCTGTGGACAAATTATATAAATCACTGGACCAGAAGACGCCAGCCTGTCCTCTATGATTTAGCGCATGGCAGACAGAACGAAGTGTTTTCTGAATACACTCTCATGAGCAGACGGCTCCATTTGTAGGAGAAACTGGCTTCCAGAATGCAGAAGCCTTTAAATCAAGAGAAGGCCTTGCTGATGTGGTACGCAGGGACGGACCTGGATGACGCTGGGGTTGGCGGCGGGGTTTATAAGGGCGGGGTTGGTGGTCAGGGGCACCGAAGCGCCGGCGGTCTCCCCCGGCCCCAGAGGGGGGACTGAGACCACCTGCGTTCACGCAAATCCCCACATCTTATTGTGTTGCTGTTGCTTGATTCAAGTCTTCTGCCACATGCCTCAAATTTAAGTGTCTCATCTGTTTTCATCCGGGCTGTCATATCACAGGCTGATGTAATGCAGAGGACGCATGCAAAGGTTTGTGATGGAGAGGGATTGCTGAAAGCTGGTGCCTGCTGCTTGTCTGTACTCGCATCTTGCCTCTGGAAGGGATAGCCGCAACCACTTATAGTAGAGCAAACAGAAAAGGTATGTACCTGCGAGGTGGGTGCAACGCCGTGTGCGTTCTTGTTGAATTGCAGCATGAAGCCGTCCAGAGACTGCTGCGTGCCATTCGCCAGCTGCAGCAGGAACACTGCCCACACCATTGCACACCTCAGTCTGATATACACTCTTTGTGACAGGCCTAGCGCCCACTGAAAAGGGCTTCTGTGGAGATGTCTCTTCTTCCTGTATCTAAACTCGGCTTTCAGCTGTTCTTCAGTTATCAACCCTTGACAACTGCACACAGGGCAAGGCGCAATATCTTTTCCAAAGTGTGTCGACTCTGACATGCATATCAGGCAGTGGCAGGCTGCAGGGTGTGCGGTCTTTACCTGGGCCGTTGTTTTCCCGTGAGAAGCCGGCCTTGATCGCCAGCCCCTTGCCGCTCTGCGCATTGACCACCTCCACCAGCTCTGCAGCAAAAGCAACACACCAGTCTTCAGCAACCAATTCTGGCAACCGAACCCCGTGAGGCACCTGCCACAAGTGAAGTAGAGCAAAAAGTGACAATAGGGAGAATCGAACCTTCGACCGGGGGCGGCGGCGGCGCGGCGGCGGGCGTCGGTTCTGAAATGTCAAGGTCGAGCAGGTCGCCGATCAGCGACGAGGTTTGCTGCGACGCGGAGGCGGCGGCTGGGGAGGGCGCGCCATCCGAGACCGCTGCGCTGCTGCCGGCCTCGGCGTGGCCGTCGTCGGTGGCCGTGCGCTGGCGCTGCAGCGCCCCGTTGTCCAGGGACGGTGCTGGCGTGTGCGCGGCGCGCGTCACAAACGACTGCATGCACAGGAAATTCAATTTACTTCAAACCACGGGCTTGTCAGCATAACACCACAGTCCCTCGTCACCCGAGCCAGCCAAGAGGTCTGTCACATGTGAGGTAGGCACCACTCTTCAAGCAGGAAAATCCCGCAAATGGGACGCAAGCAAGTTAAATTTGTATTCTCAACTCAAGAAAAGCTCTACATGTTCCAAACAAGGCCAAATGTGTCTGATACACACAAAAAGCCCCTGGGCAGCGCACCGAGGGCGGTAGGTTTTAGATGGAGGAGGGCCCATTCTTACCTTGCCCAGCAACCGACAGGGCATGTCCAGGTATATCGATAGGCAATTAGCAGGTATTTACCGAGGGCGGCAGGTGGTAGACGGAGGAGAGCGTGGACAGCTTTTCACCACCATAGGTCTACTATTTATATATCTAGGTATCTAGGAGGTCAGTTACCGAGGGCGGCAGGTGGTAGACGGAGGACAGCGTGGACAGGTTGCCCAGCAGTGTCGCGAGCAGCTGGGGGTCCATGGTGGCGGTCCCCTGGGAGATGACCGGCTTCTCGGCCAGCACGACGGCGCGCGCGGCCTCGGGGTCGGACGACAGCAGCCGCCAGTACACGTAAGCGCGGTCGCGCAGGTCCGGGTTGTCCGTCTCCTGTGGCGTGCGCGGGCCAATCAGAATGATAAAGTAGGGTGTCTGTTAAGATGTACTTCGAGACTGTGTGCTTGTTCTCAGTCGGTAAATGAGAACATGTGCACATCTGAGTGCTCGCAGGGCTGCACGCCTGCAAGGTTGTGGCCAACCAACAGCAGCACACAGGGTGTGGCAGGCGACAATCTTTCACACATTCCCGGATTCAGGATGCCTCACTCTTGAGAAAGAGAACAGCTACGCTGCGTGGCATCCCATGGATGTGTCGTCTGAAAGTAAGACATACTGTTACGGTGTCACTTGTGCGGTTGAACACACAAGCTGCGCTAAAATTCTCTAGCTAGATCAATCCAACGGACTGTTTTGAGAGCAGCCGGTACCTGGGTGGCGTAGGTGAGCACGAGCTGGATCATCTGCTGCGCGCGCGGCTGGGGGTTTTTGAGGAAGAGCTTCACGGCAGCCGTCACCAGCTGCAGCTGCACCGCTGCATTCTCCTCAGGGAACGCCTGCGCAGACATGCCCCAGCTATCAAACCCATGCTATTAGTAATATCAGGGTGGCACTCGGCTCTACATATCCCCTGCATCAGCATGGTGTGGCAAACCACACCAGCTGACCATGGCAGCCTCTGCAAAGGATGTGGGAGCAACTGGAACTGAGAGACGCCAAATGCAGCCGGTAGCTGCCATGCATGGCATGACTAACAAGGTTGTGCATGCTGCACATCAATCCAGGCGGGCGCTCAAGGAAGAGCTTCTGCGCAAAGGACACGCTTGCAATCACAGTCTGGATCCCAAATTCCAGGAATTCAGCCTCAGCCTCAGCATCAGCCAGGGAGGGCCAAAGAAAAAGGGCTCCTAACCTCCAGGAAGGACTCGAGCAGCTCGTCTGCATTGTCGATGCGCTCTGCATACTCGCCGATGATCCAGACCATGCTGGCGCGCGCCTCAGGCTCGTCCAGGCTGTCAAGACTGTCGCACAGCGTCGCAATGATGCTCTCATACCTGTACACAGCGCCAAAAACGCACTTCAAACTTGATCACTTGATGACAGTCAGCCCCGCCATATTTGTGTAGATGAGATTGCTCATTGTGCACAAGCGCGGGCCCATGGTAAGTTGCTGTGAGCTGACAAGAAGCTGGCAGTGCCTGCATGAAACATACCATCAATGACAAGCTTCCATGCTTGGACAGATGCCAGCTGTGCCTCAGAACCTGTCACCTCATTGGAGGCAGTATGCTCCACAGCTACCACAATTCCATCAACTCCTCCATGATACTGTGCTACACAAGTTTTCCTTCCGCAATGTGCTGCCACAGGCCGAGATGCCAACGCACCTGTTGGGGTAGCGGCGGAATATGTCCTTGATGACAACGACAGCTTCCTGGACAACGTAGTTGACCTTCTGCTTGATGAGCTCCAGCAGAACATTGATGCACCGCTCTGCAGCTCGCTCCAGCGTCACAGCACACCGCCCTATCGCGCGCACCGCCTGCCGCACAAATTTGAATTGAGTTTATTTTAAGTTCGAATCCGAGACTTGAAAGCTACCGTCTGTAGATTACGTGCACCGCCCGCGCAACAGCCCAAGGTTATCACATCACAAGCAGACCGGGCCGTTGCTGCTTGAGGCAGCTAAGAGGGTGAGGAGGAGCTCTGCTTGATTCTGCATGGCAAAAGGTCGTGCAAACTTTGCTGTCCAGCAAAAGCAATCCTAGTTCCTATGAATGGATCAAGTAGCATCGTCATGTCACTCTTAGCTCATTGACTTCAGGCCGCAAAGACATAGTGCTGATGTTTGAACTGCAATGAGGAGAGGCATGCAGATAGAGAAATAAGGCCAAAGTGAAAGACAAGGGATGAAGGCTGCCAAAGGATCAGGCAGCATAACTGCAAGGGTGAGAGCCAAAGCAGACATGGATTCATGCATTGCCATGGTATCGCGGAATAGCAGCCATAGGAGCCTCCACAGCAACAGGTCAGTAGAATCGGATTGGTAAAATCCACAAAGGAGCTGATTTCACCAGTCAGATCTCACTGGGCCCCTGCTGTAAAGGCACCAGCGCCGCAGCATTGCATTGCATCTTGATGTGCCGAGCTTGGCATTTGACAATCTTCGGCACTACCCTATCCTCAACAGACAAAATTCCGGGCACGGCCGCATCGTCATCAGACACATTTTCCCAATCAAACTTATCTAAAGGCTACCAGAGATGTCAGGAGGAGCACACCTTGCGCACAAAGTCCACATCGACCTCTGTGGCGTACTCCTTGAGCTCCAGTAACACCTGGTCGATGTTGCGCTCGTTGGCCAGCGCGATCATGATGTCCAGCTTCTCCAGCTTCACGTAGATGGGGTCATTGTACTTGCAGAAGAACACCTGCGCGCACATGCATCCAAACTCTCGAACCAACTTCAGGAAGGTATCACCAGGTATCCTGGTTCCCTGACGAGCTGGGACTTCAAGGGTCGTCAAACAACGGGATGCATGCATGTCTGTTTGCTGGCGGCCAGAGATTGCACGCATACTTCCTGACTGTGGGCGCAAGGCCTGCAAAACTGCCCATATGCTGATCACAACGCGCGTACACAGCCCAAGAAGTCGGCATGCAAGGACCGTCGGCACCAGAACACAAGCAGGTAAAGTTCCCGCAGCAGCCAACGCTGAATACCCCATTGCTCTGTGCTCAATGAATGTGCTGAGGGTCCATCAAAACTTGACCCTGGACTTCTCTGGACCGACGTCACCTGCCTTAGCAGAGTGCAAAGCCCTTCCTCGGGAAAGCATACACCGCAGATACAGGGCCATAGTAGGCAGCCTGCGCATTAAATCCCTGCACTGGTCCAAATAAGGACCAGCAAAGTCACGCCATCCTCTGCTTGGCCAAGCAGTTGCCCCTGTGACTCTGACAAGGGCCAAAGTCTTGTGGCAGACTTCCAATGCTTTTGCACATGACAAAAGTCTCGAGTGGATCAAGCTGGCTTGCCTTGATCTCGTGGGAGAGGACTTCGGGGTGCTTCTGCACGATGAGGTTGATGTTTCGCAGAGCCACGTACTGCACCTCTGCCTCCTCGCTCAGCAAAGTCACCAGTGGGGGGCCCAGCTTCTTCACCAGGGTCTTCACCGCCGTCTCGTCCGCAATCAGCGGCAGCTGCAGCAGAACCACCTGTGCACAGCGCAGCGTAGCCTCTTGTTCAGCACATTGTCTTTCTCCTCAGGCTAAAAGAAGGGTACACAACAGAGGCAGCCTCCTGAAGCATTACAAGGGCGCAGTGTTCTGCATGCCCCTGCTCCAGATGACACGACCTGGTAAGGTAAGAATGGCGTCTACTCTTTTACTCGCAGCAATGGAGGCAAAAGCATCCACAAAGGAGCCGTCTTTGGTTTGGCGCTTGAGAGGAGCTCAATCAGCACCAAAGAATGGAAACGTGAAGAGAGACAGTCCTGTCTGCCATTACCTCCTACCAAGGAATTCATCCGACGACTTCGGCCAGCACCATGCATATCTATGTATGGCATTTGTAGCATGATGTGTCTTGGTGAACCCGGGGGATTGTGAGCTGCACTGCGCACCTTGACAGCGGAGAGGACGACAGCGCTGTTGGCGTGCTGCAGGCGGGGAACCACTCGTTCCACTATGCTCTCCGCATCCTTCGCCTCCTTTATCTGCATCTTGGCAATGGCATCCAAGATGTACACCTGCATGACCAGGTCAAGCAAATCAGAGACCTCATATGGGTCCTGCACTTGCAAAGCCAAAGTGAGCTATAATGTGCACCTCCCACAGCTCTCACCAACACTCTTGCACTTTTTGAGCCAAAGAAAGCCAAAGCGTTGGTAGGCGCCAAGAGCTAGCAAGCTACGAGACGTCTCAGCGTACAAAGGAACTAAAGGGCATGCATGCAGAAGGACGCTCAGGTCATGACATTATAGTAGCTGATCCGCAGCTTGCGCTGAGATGGATGACTCTTGGCACAGAACTGGCTCTATCAGGAACGCAAGGGGTAACGCAAAGCAGCTAAAGTTGAGGCAATCTGCTGCCCAGAGAGCACTTCACACAAGCAATGACTGCTTCGGGCTTGCAAGGCTGACGGAAGAATCGCTTCAAGATGCACTCCAGCGCACCTGGCCCCACTCGGTGCACTCATTGAGAGCGCGCAGCAGCTTGAAGAGGCTCTGGTTAGTAAGCACCAGCAGGTCCTGTGTGCTCGTCTCCCGGATGTCTGCCAGCGCTGCGACCGCATTGGCCACCACCATCGGGTTTGAGTCTGCCAACAGGTCCTGCATCGAAACGCAGCCAAAAGCAGTTAGTGAAACAGTCCATGCATTGATGTATGTCTGCCAAGAGTAACCGAAAAGCAGGCGCTCTTGCCCAGGAAAAAATCCAATGAAACCTGCAGCTTCATAGTAATTGCCAGCAATCTTCTCAACTAATACTGGAAAAGTTGACATGACTGATTCACAAGGGGAATATTCAACTCTTACGCAATCCTCAACTGTGAATCCCTCAAAGATGCACATAGTAGCCAGAAGATAAGCCACGAAGCACACAACAGAACTGCTGAGAGTTTCAGCAGCCACCACTTCATACTCCATCCTGCCAGCGTCCTTTGCAGGGCGTACCAAAGACTACAAATATTCTTTAGATCCCCCCACTTCAACGGAGTCATGCAAAGGGTCCCACCTTCAGCAGCTCCAGAAATCCCCTGTCCTCCACGAGCTCTGGGTTGATGTCATACAGTTTCGCAACACACACTGCCGCAGTCTTGCGCACATATGGATCATCATCCTGCAAATGAAAGCATGTTGCTCTAATAGTCATATAATATGATATACACCCGCATTGCCATATCAGTACGACGAAGCAATGGCTCAAGATGAGCACATGAGATCATTTCCTATGTGGTTTGCGCAGCCTTGGCAATCAGCAGAGCAATGCTCACTGGCACAGCAAAATAATGTAATGGCAAGGAACGGGCATGCCAAGCAGTGAGCTGATTGGAGTTGGAGGTTGTTGTTCAAGGAAGGATGGACTGCCACCTTAAGGCACCGTTGGAGAGGGTCGCACAGGTACTCTGTGATCTTGTCCACCCTGATGCAGCCCATCGTGCGCACTGCCAGTGCCCTGATGAGGGGATTGGGATCTTGCGAGTCCTGCAAACCAAAGCGGAAAGTCATGATTCTTGAGGCAAGGCCCACCCAGTCATGGTACAAACTCTGAAGGTGGAACTCTAATGAGTTGACTTGTTTTGCAGTGTAAGCTTTAGCACCCCGAATCTTTGCTTTCAAGTGCTCCATCTTGCACGCCGCAGTCATCCGATTATGTGAACAGGTTCTTGCACCCTTCAGACTGCAAGAGAGGGGGCGCATGCCCTGCCAGTGCGAGGCTCACCTTGACAAATGTGTTCACGGCCATGATGGCCAGGTCTGGCTGAGATTTTGCATAGTTGATCAGGTAGAGGTAGACGAGTTTCTTGAGCTCCAGATCATCTGTCTGCATGCAGTTGACGACATCCGGGAAGATGGGTGAAACGTCCTTACCCACAGTCATCGCAGCTATAACCTTCTTGACTGCGTCCTTCCTTCTGGACTTGTCCAAGACACGGAGCTCCTCCTTGAGCTCATGTATCTCGCCTGACAACAAGCAAAGAAAGAGGTTAATTAAACAAGGCAGTCTTGCCTCGCAACATTCCTATTCTGTGACCCAAGGAAAGGGTCGTCCCAATTTCATACACTTCCATTCATTCGAGCCAGTGCAAACTATAACAGCTTTTTATTAAAGCTGAAGCAAGAAGAAAAGATGTCCTTTACTGAGATAGAACACCTTCATCAGAAGCAGATGTAACTGAAACCGAAAGACCCACCTTTCTTTGTGGTGGAGAAGTATTTACCGTCCCCTGACATGTTTGCAATTCACTCTCAAGCGATGCCAAGGCTTCTGGACATGTCTTGCCACCCCACAATTCCAGACTGCGTCATTGCTTGCTTTCTCTTGGGGTTGGCACCTGATTAGGCTCAGCATGCATGTGACTAAAATGCTTGCATGCTGTTTCTGAGTCGCAGAAATTGCAATTGTCAGTCCGTCACTCGTGCACTTCTACTTGGTGTGAGCAGCACAATCAGATACACCAGGACATGCATGTACCGGCCGCAACAATTAAGCATCCATTGGCCAAGACTGCTGTAGCGCGCACCATGCGGCTGCCAGTGTGACAGCAAGCTTTACAACGACATGCACGAGCACTTCTTGCAGTCTGTGCACTGCATTGCATCAATTACTTCTCAATGTGCCCTGAAGCCCAGTCCTGGACAATATCTATTCATGAGGCCTATCAGCCTGGCAGCTGCAGATGTGGACTGCCGACCTTGCGGATGCACCCCAAACGCACCCAACCTCCCCACTGTGTCACCATGGCGCCAAACTGATGGTGTATCTATCATAGTGTACTGATCGACCCAGCTTTCGCTCCGACACTCGATTGTGCTACCCCCAAATTTCCTCGCTTTCAGCCTTCCTGAGACTGTCCGCAGGCTACCGACAGGCTTTGTCGGGCAAAGGGCCATTGGCTGATCGGTTCTTGGGGACCAAGGGGGTTTGCGTCCTTAGTGGGCACGCATCGTGACCACGAGGCTGCATAAGACTGGATGTGTAGCTAGCTCAATAAGGGTATAGTGTTAGTGTCATCCCTGCTCGGTGTCTCCCCAGTAGGCCTGCCCCACGAGAGGAGCACGTTTGCCACCACTTGGGGACGGCTGATCCGTCGCCTTAGCAATAAACGACACAAGTCAATCCGACAGCGTGAGGCAAGTTTCACCGTTAACAGAAGCTCAAACAATTATGCTATGAGACGTCCTTGATAGGGTCACTGTACGGATGTTACCGGGCTGAGGTCTATCTTGTTATATAGAGGCACCGCTGCACCCAACTCGTACCGCTAGTTCTTCAGCACAGCAGAACTTAGAGTTAAACTGACACATGTAGCATGCTTGTTGGCTTCATCATTGCTTAGGCGTCTTCAACGCCAGGACACCTGTCGATAGATCCTGATTAGAGGACTAGACAAAGTATGCTTGCTTGCTTTGCACGTCCCTCGAAAGTACTCTTCACTGATTGTCTGTCGTCTTCAACGAGTGCCTTTCCAGATCTAGAGCATGCTGTACTGCAGAAAGAGGAATATGTGCCAACCATGACACAGCCGATCGCCCCCTGTGGGCGCTGACACACAACGCAATCGACCCCCTCTGTCTTACCCAAACTCAACTGAGATTCTCTGAAACACAGCAGTGCACTCTGTTGCAGGGAGCAGCCACAATGCACGCCCCAGTGCTCATGCTGGCCCTGCTGGCTGGAGCATGCTGCCTGGATGGAGTCTCCGCAGCGATAGCACCCGCGCCCTGGATTGCTCTTCCAGCGCCTGCGCCAGCCCCTGCGCCTGCAGACATGCCCCACTCTAACACCTACGGCTCTGGCCTCGCCACGATGGCCTTCATAGCCAGCATTTCTGGTGCGCGCCTCTTCATGTCAAACTTTATTGCCCTGTGGAGATATGTGTACAGTCTGCCTGGGTGCAGGATGTGTCTGTCAAGGTATCTGCTCCGGTGTTCATGAGACCCAGGGCGGAGAGACAGCTAATCCAAAGGGCAATGATCACTTGCATTGCGAAGAGTACAAGACGGTGACATCAGTAAATATTATAACAGGGAAAGGGAAAGCTATATGGGCTGTGTTTAAATTATTGTAGCCAGGTCACCCCAGTTGGTGTAATCAGTTTTGACTAACGCAGGCGGAAGTGGTGGCCTCCCCCCACCGCCACCGCCGCCGCCACCTCCGCCACCGCCACCACCGCCGCCGCCGGGGGACGCATCCCCCAGCAGCCCATCGGACTCGCCCTTGCCTCCTCAGGTGACTTTGCTGGGATGCTACAATTGCCAATGTGCTTAATTTGTATCGAGGATCCTGCGTGCGCTGCATCCCCCAAACACATGATGTCGTCCTTCCAGTCAAGATGTGGCGTGCATAAATAGTTCCAAGGCGGCGTGATGTGATAGTCGAGGCTGAGAATGAGCAGCTGGCACCAGCAAGTGAGGAAGGACGCAGCAATGTAACTGTCAAGTCCACAAGTCAGTTCTGAGCAGCATGCATGACTGGCGCCTCCAGAACCCACCCGAGAGACCTGAAGTCTCTGCATCGGTGGTCTCAGCAGCACAGTGGCAGAAGCTGTGGCTCATGATATTTCCTAGTGAGGCATTTGTCTGTTCCTTCTTGAGAGTGGCAAGCTGGCAGCCTACCCAGCAGCTAGAATATTTGGGTGCTGATTTGGTCTTTTAACTCTAACTCAAGTAAGAGTAAAATGGTGTTGCAGGCCCCGGGAAGCACGGAGGTGGCAGCGACTAAGGCGACAGCAGAGACAACTAATGCGCCGGCCCCGCGCTACTCGGACAACTTCTGTCAAGTCTACATCCAGACCAGCGGCGTTTGGCGGACCTGGGACGGCTACGCATCCGTCCTCAACTTCGTGAGTCTCCCCTGCTGCCATGAATCCATCACAACTGCAATGCCGTGATGCATTGCGGAATCACTATTTCGCTAATTGGCATGGGGCGATCAATCAGACTGCCAAAATCAAAGCGTTAAACAACTGCCTCATGAGGACAGCTGCAAGCTAATCGGACAATTTTTGCCGTCAGTGCATGCAATTTGACAGTGGCTTACCGCTTAGTCATGAGAAAGAAGCATGGCAAGCGTCCTCGAGTTTGTGAGTTGCTCTGCTGGCATGCACAAGTCACACCTGCAAGCTCACCATTTGATTACCTACTGTGAGTGAAGCAGGCAAACAGACCCAGCCGGCTGCAGACATTTGAAAGCAGAACAAGTTCTGAGGTGTTGAGCTGTAGTGACCTCCTTGAGATGGCCATCTGACCGTTTTCAGACATTCTTTTTGTTTTGAATGAGCAGACCGCACACTCAAATTGGCTGAATGGGTTTCAGGCCAGAATGTGGGCTTTTTGGCTTGCAGCCTTGAGACAGCGAGAAAATAGTCAATTAGAAAGCTAGATTCACTGAGATGGCTGCCGTGTGGGACTGTGCAGTATCTGACAAACAGGGGAGCTGCGGAGATCGCCCCGGTGTACACTTTCGAGGTGACTAACTACAACTACCTGCGAGTCGACCAGTCCTGGAATTGGGTGGTGTCGGCAGTCAACGGCGATGGCACGGCCATCGGTACCGTCAAAGAGGTGAAGCCTAAACTTATCTTGATGCAATTGCAAATTAGAATTGAGGCAGCCGTGCGTACCCAAGTTTTCAAAAATGTATATGGACGTCATGCTTCTAACCCAAGAAACCGTGCATACATCATGCTTTCTGACATGCAAATTGCAGGGTGCCGAGATCCATGCATGCCGCCCTTGCATGTGTGCACCAAGGTTCCAAGAGCATAACTCCACTGAACAATATAACCGTGCCTTGAGGAGGACATAAAGCCCTGTGTACTCTTTGTTACTTACATGTGGCCCGCTCTAGAGCCACGGACTTCATTGTTTGGAACTCTCTGCCTCAGTAACGCAGATAAGTGCACGCAGCACTTGCCTTGTGCCAATTTGCTGGCAATCAAGGAAATCCCGGGCCATTACCGCACAACATGGAGACATCTGATACATGTAATGCTGGACGTACCTAGATCCTAGGTGCCTAGGAAGCGGTATGTGTGACAATAAGAGACTGCGGATGAGACTGATGCCTAACTGGTTTCTGCTCTGTGCAAATGCAGTTCTGGCAGACGATGCAGCCCTTTGGCGGGAACCAGGTCAACGTGGGCGCTGTCTTCGTGGGAAGCTCGCCCCAGAACTTCTACCCTCAAAAGATCACCGTAAACGGGGTGACCTGCCGAACACAGCAGCTCTGAGCCTCCTCTGCCGCAGCTGCCTTGAGAGGGAAGAGGCAACGCCGCTGTACCGATGGTGTCGCGTAGTCATGTCCCTTGCACTAATTGTCCTCTCCCCATGCAAGAAGACCTACCCAAGGGGGATAATTCAAAGGCTCTGGCGGAAGGCGCGCCCCTTTAGGCTCCGCCCAAAAGGGGGCGCAATAAAATCAGTGATCTGCGCGCGTCATTCCCCTTGTCCATTGAATTTTTCGCCCGCGCCTCGGCCAGAGGGCAGGGCCCTTTGGGCAGGAGGGCTCTGCCCTCTGGCCTGGCCTGCACAGCAAAATTCACCTTGCAATTTTCACCTACGTATCATTTCATAAATTTTACTTTTGGGAATCTCTTTCGCCCGAGGCAGGAGCTTTGCCTACAGTTATAGGGCCTTCTTGCAAAAATATGTCTGGCAAGCAGCCTTCCTGTGAAATTTTCCATAAATGCACCCGTCCATCAAAGTGTTATGGTCAGGCAGATATTTTTCCGCATAGTCAAGGAGAGTTTCTGTTGACCAGCATCATTCATTCTTATTGAACAAGGTCCATTTGTCTTTTCACCACCGTCACATGTCCCCCAAGGGAGAGAACAGGCTGTTTTGATTTTGCTTCAGTGTACCCAGCACACCCATCAGATTCTCAGATTGCAACTGTGATTGGGAGAAACGGGCACAACAATGCAATGGTTGTTTCTTTGTTGGAAGCGTGTTCCCTGGGAACCACACTCTAGGCTGTCACCACATTGAAGGTTAGTCATCAGGTGTGACTAAGGAAGCAATGCCAGCTTTTGCCGGGGTATTTGCAATGATTTTCTCCTTGCCCGTTTTCTTTTGGCAAATGTGCAGTCCTATCTGTATGGGAGAGCTTTATACTGCTAGAAATCAAAGACGGACTGTGCAGCGGATTGTGTCACACAATAAATGATTCACACCAGAGAAATGGGTCTTGCAGAATTTCCGATGAGTCATGATCGTGAGTAGTTTACTGGCAGACTTGGCCAACAACAGGAGTCTTAAGACAGGTGATCAGCATTTGACCAAATTGATATATGATTATCAGAACCCAGCCACGCTGACTCGGAGGTTTGAGGGTGCCACTTGTGAGATTGTGGGCTCAGGAGCCAGGGCAGAATTCAAAACTGAGTTTGAATTAGGTGCATTTGATGAGTAGGACTCAGGAGCAGCAGTGATCACAAATCCAGCGTTGGGGGAACCATCCAGGCTGAGGTTGCTACGCTAGGTCAGGGCACTGCATTGATTTAAGATAGGTACATATTGAACTGAGGGGTTTTGTGTCTAGGGTATTGCTCTGAGGCTGCTGACTGTGTAGGTTCCAAAAGCGCCCGGCTTCCCGCTACCGAGGAAGCTGACCCCAGGTCGTGGCTGCTCACTATAGGACACATATCAGAGATTCTGACAAAATCTGGTGGCTGCTAGAGAACATGCATGGTTCTGGGTACACAGTCACGTGAGGAGGGAACCTGATGGGAGTGATAGAATTAAATCAGCCCTAGACTGGGTGAATACTGCTTCCAGAGAATTGTGTCTTATGTTCTGCAATTAGGCACTGGTCATGTACATACCACGCTGAGTCAGCATTGCTGACTATTCCCTGGACATCCTCCTGAGTGAATGAGCAACTTGATCAGAGAACTGACTGCAGACTCGCAGACTCTAATAGGCTATTGGCATTGTGTTGTCCTATTCAATGGCTGCAAAACTGAAATGTGTGCCGTTATGATTACGTTATATGCCATGAAGCATCTGGACACCATACCATATTATGGGGTTTTTTGTATAAACATTACTATCACATGCGCTCCCTGGCGTACCTTGCCTTTTGACAGGAAAAGCGTGTAATAATAGTAATAACAATAACATTTGAGGGCTATGCTGCTAGCAGGTGTTTCAAACTTCTTCTGCGCAGGCGTTACAGCATGCTTACGTGCAGGCATGCACACTTACTTTTAAATGGTGCACTGTGGCAATGGCCTGCCATCAAAGGGAAGTGTCACAATTTAAAGCAATATCTCTCAGGGGCTGTAAGATCATCTTCATGGCATCTTCCTGGTTCCAGCAAACTATATAGTTTATAAAACAGGTCTCTGCTGACAATCAGAACCACAAGATTCCCCAAGAGAGTAACATAAAGACAGGTGTCCGTAAATTGTAGATGCATAGTAAATTTACAAAGATCCTGCAATGTATCCCTTCCATGGTTTCAGCCCTTGATGATGTTGCATTTTGCGCCGTTGATTGTGACATATACAGGGAACCAAATCCCATCAGCGCTCTGAATGTTTGCTCCCACGCCCACCTTGTTGCCTGAGTTTGGCTGCAGCGTTGCCCATGCCTGCAGATGTGCACACCTTCGATTTCTGCACCACAATCTTCAGACCCCGTTTATGCAACTGACAGATCACCCCATTTTTCACCCACACCATGGATGCCCAACAAAAGCTGCTGTACAGAAGTTCTACAACCTGTGATAGGTCATCTTCAATGCATATACCACCCCGAGCATGCCTGAAATGAACTAGAATCTGACAGATGGCTGCTGCAAAAAAGAACTCGAAAACTTCAGCTAATGTGTCCTTGAAAGGGAGTAAGGGTGACTCACCAGGGTGACGGGGCCGGAGACAACGCCGTTGGAGACCTTGAGCGCAATAGAGACCCCCCAGTGCCAGGGGGTGTTGGCGCTGAGGTAACCCTTGTAATGCACCTCGAGTGTGTAGGGGGCTGCGATCGGCTTTGCTCCCCGGTTGCTGAGTGTCTGCGCACAAGCCACGAACAAAAAGATCAGCATTGACATCCAACGAGCGCTGGTTTAAGGAGGCCGGGGGCCTCAGGCCAACCAAGAAAGAAAATTGGCACAGTGAAAAATTGCCGTCAGCATCAGTATATTCTCCTGAAGGACTTTTATATGTATAATCAGCACCAGTTGAATCGCCTATGAGCTGATTTGGACAGTACACAACTCATCAAAGTCTTGCTAGGTAAATGCATGATCCTGCTCACTTTAGTCCTAATTTCAAGGCGTCTTCCTTCACAGATCTACCTTCACAGATCCCTAGACTACAGATCTCCAAACAACATGCTGCAACTCTGTGTTCAACAACTGTGAGGCAGATGAGGACTACATAAAGCAGAACACGATTGCAGAGAGCGCACCAGGGAAACAGTGTTCATCCGCTTAGCTCCCTCGCTCCAGGGGTTGCCGAGCAAGACGACTGCATCACAGGTGTACGCCGGTGGCGGCGGCGGCGGGGGATTTGAGGGTTTAGCAGGGGGCGGCGGCGAGAGATTTGGGGGTTTTGGCGGGGTTGGCGAGGTGGTTGAAGCATTGGCGATTGTGCACTTTGTGCCGTTGACAGAGACTGAATCTGGGAACCAGCCTTCATTGGTGCTCTGGATGTTTGCTCCCACGCTCACTGTGTTGTTTGACTTTGGCTGCAATGCCACTGTCACCTGCAGCCCACGAATGCACTCAGCAGCTATTCATACTTCAAGGCCCAGCCTGAAGTCCCTAGTCTAGTAGGAGTGTCTCTGTTTGCTAAGTGTGAAGACAACCAAACACTTTGGGCACGCAGGATTTTAAACGCTCAGCTTGTCACACTACAGTTCTTCCAGCCAGCCTAAGATTCGTGTAATGTCTGACACTGATCATCAGACTCAGGCCCAGCATCACGTGCATAGTTTCCAGGAAAGCGCTGTTCTTTTGCAAGGACGAGTAAGGGGTGAGTCAGCACTGAGTCACCTGGCCGGAGGCAACCCCATTGGAGACCGTGACTCCGCCGGCGCTGCCCCAGTTCCAGGCCTTGTTGGAGCCCGCATAGCTGTTTCGGCAAACCTCCAGCGTCCAAGGGGCAGAGATAGCCCTTCCTCCAGTATTATTGATGGCCTGCACGCATGCGGTGAACACTTCACCACGGATGGCTTGATTTGAGTCAGCATCTCAGTGCGCAAAATCTGCAATAAAGTTTGTTGGATTTTTCACCGCAAATGAAGGGATCATTCAGAATCACAAGCTGCCCATGCTGCATTTGACATTGCCTTGCAGCATGGGCGTTGGTGATTCATGGTGACTGCTTTCGTTTGGCACAACATGCAACGTCAAGGGCTTCAAAAGCAACATGTATAAAATGGAGACCGGACAGCATGAAAAATTTCAATTCTTACTGTTATTCCCATTGTTATACTATTACTATTACTACTACTATTACCATTATTATTATTATTATTACACATTTTCCAGTTCCTAGGCAACTAGGATGTAGGTACGTCCAGCAACACGTGTATCAGATTTTCGCATTTCTGTGCGGTCATGGCACTTCCGTTTTGAAGCAAGCAAAAAATCTAAAGATGGTACCCAGCAGGGGGTGCTCACCAGGGACACGGTATTCATCCGCTTTGCTCCCTCGTTCCAGGGGTTGCCAAGGGTCACGGCCGCCGCGCAGCCGGCCGCGGCTACCGCCGGCGCCGGCGCCTGCGCCGGGGGTTGCGAACTCCATGCCGGGGGTATTGAGGGTTTTGGCGACGGCGGGGTCGGCGACGGGGGTTTTGATGAATTGGTCGGCATTGTGGTGAAGGGTTTCGTTGGAGCCGGGGTGGGCGAGGTAACTGGCGGCAGGGGGGCAAGTGAAGGCTGTGGGCTTGGACGTGCAACTGATTGTCTGTTAACTGTCATGTACCAGGGCTGCAGATCGATTGTGCTCACCAGGAAGTCGATCTTGTCCCACAGGATCTGCAGCAGAAACTGAATTGTCATGCTCTGGCTCAGGTTTAATTTGTTCCCATCTCTGCTCAATCTAAAGGCCGACTGACCAATGATAAGAGGGTGTTAGACAGGGAAGTCAGGTGCTCACCACAGTCCAGCCGTCAAGAACGAGGCCGCCAGTATCGCCAGAGTTTGGATTCCAGTCCCACCAGACCATGTGGGGAATCGGCGCGTGCAGTCCATCGTTGGCAGCATTGTCCACGCGCATGTATGCCGCCATGTCTTCCATGAACGCCACATCACCTTGCTGCACGCGCAGCAATCCCCTTCAGTTTTTAGGGTGAAGGGTCACGCCAAAACCCTGCTTGGAAAGAATTTTTTTATCAATCAGATGTCAACCCAGCCAGCCTTCCAGCAGCACTATGAACCCCAGAAGGTCAGGCTGCTTCTGCCCTTCTGCAAGCCTGACTTCTGCCAGGATAGCCTGGCCATGGTAAAACTAAATGCTCTTCCTGCCAACGGCAAGGGGCGTCTGCGGACAAGACGCGTGTAAAGGCTACCGAATTCCGACCCCTTGTTGGACTTGCCAGCTCACGCAAGACCCCATCAAGCGTGGGCACGGTGCTCAGTATTTGTACCGCCCCCCGCCAGCCGGGCCCAAATAGTAATGACTGAGAATACAGCACTGAAACAAAAGACATGGCATAGAGCTGCCAAAGAGATACTCTTGTGCACTCAAGCTGCATGTATCATGATGCAGCAGGGCACCATGGTGACTGATGCTTTCACATTCGAAACCTGGCATATATCGCTCCAATCACAGGGCTGAACAGTAGATGAGCGGGCATGTGCCGGCAGGTGCGCGCACCGTTTCAAAGCGGGTGCCGGTCTCTCCGATGACTACAGGGAAGATGTGGCCGCCGTAGCCTGCCTTGGTCAGATAGCCGAAGGAGAGAGTCATCTTCTCCCACAGCTTTGATCCTGAAATGCTGTTTTCAGCCACCACAAAACATCAGCTTCCCGCGATCCTCGAACACCGTGCTGGCTGCTTCTTACATCTGCATTGCATCTAGGACTCATGCAAGTTGCCTGAATGTCTCCGATTGTGCCAGTGCCTGCTTTCTGTGTACATGCATGTCACAGTGGAAGACATCCGGAAGAATTCTATAATTCAAGACTCACGCCATTGCATGCAGGAATAGCACAGGGCCAATGCGCAAATGTGATCAACGGCAAAGACAACTTTCAAAACCCTGACAAATTTGACACAGTGCCCAATAAACAATACTATGTTGAGCTGAGCAAAAGAGCAGCTTTGTCTGCATTATGAACTATTTGACTTCAATGGGAGTACAAGATTATATCAGAGGAGAACAGGTGAGTGCAATGCTCACTCGGTTGAGGTGGAGACAGAGGGCGGGTAGTAATGGGGGGAGATGATGACGTTGTTGAGATAGGGTCTGCCCAAAAGGGCGGTAAAAAAGGGGTTTGGGTCGCTTATTCCCCCAATGCGGATGGCTGATGCATCTGTGATGAAGCCGTCTCCCCAATTCATCGCGCTCCCCAGCTGCCCACTGCCCTCTATCAGGAAGAGCGTTGTCTTGCTCACCTGCAAGCAAGATCATCAAGCTCAGTCAGGAAAAGGGACTGTCATTACTCATATTGAAAAATGACACCACCAGTATCAGAGGCCATGTAGCACATTTGAGAAACCGACAAAATTTCAGTCAAGAGGCCATATATACTGCACACCTAGAGGAGATCCGCAGCGACATCAACAAGGCATGAAAGCCCACGCTGCCTTGCGAATCAAAGGGTTGTACACAAGAAATTCTGTGGTAAGAAGCTTCAAGGCACTGCACATTTAGATTGGATGTGGCTATGATTGACTGCAGTCACAGAGTACCCAGCTGCCAATCAGGATATTGAGTCAGTGGTAAATGTCGAGCTCTTGTTTCTGGTGAAGATCACTTGCCTTGTACATGGCGTCCATAGCGCGCAGGTACAGGGTGGTCATGTCCGGATTGGTCCCCTTCCATCTGCACAATCCAAGTAATAATCTGTGCACGGAATTTTGTTGAAATCGCGATAATCATTCACAGTTTATATATAAAACAGGTGGCCAGACCCAAAGCCAGAGGCCAGGGGGCATACACACAGGGCGTCTTCAGCTCTATGTGCGGGCTCTACAAAAGTCTGCAACCTAGTTTATACATAGAGGCCATATATATATTGCACACCTAGAGGGGATCTGCAGCGACATCAACAAGGCATCAAAGCCCACGCTGCCTTGCGAATCAAAGGGTTGTACACAAGAAACTCTGTGGTAAGAAGCTTCGATGCACTGCACGGTTAATTTGGATGTGGCTAAAGGGGCATTTTCTTCCATGCAGACAATCTTGATTGCAGAGTCAGGCGGCGGAACATGTAGGGACTCCCTGCCAGGGAGTGAGCTGGGAACGTACTTCAGGCCGCGGGAGTCCGGCTCGTTCAGAATGTCCACCATGACTCGCTGGGCAGACATGTTGTCAGCAACAATGTCCTTAAGCAGTTGGGTCCACGCTTGCACCTTCAAAAGTGACTCAGTGGTCAGTCACAAACTACAGTAACGATGTGTGCAAGTTCGGGGCATGTTGAACTCGGCCGTCACTTGCAATGCGTGCAATGTGTGCCTCTCTGGCTTGGCTCTGATAATGTGCTAACAGAACAGTGCACCGATGAAGATCTGGCTCGGCTCCGATAATGTGCTAATAGAACTGTGTCCCAATGAAGATCTGGCTCGGCTCTGATGATGTGCTCACAGAACAGTGCACCAATGAAGATTTGGCTCGGCTCTGATAATGTGCTCACAGAACAGTGCACCAATGAAGATTTGGTTCGGCTCTGATAATGTGCTAACAGAACAGTGCAGCAAACTGCACAGAATCTCACAGAGCAGTCCAACAATCCCCAACACTGCAAATCCAATCGAAGCTCATTGCTATCTTTCAGACAGCTGATGTGCTGCATGACAAAGGAGGGAGCCATGACAATAGCCTAAACAGGTGCACCCCTCTGCTTTGCTCAACATGGTGTTATATAAGCCAACCCAGCTTCCGGCGATGCATTTCCCTGGCCCCTAAGGGGGATGTGAAGTCCTTACACTTTTCTTACAATGCTGCTCTTTGGACCAGAGGGCATTGGCCAAAGAAATCTTGGTTAACCTCTTGTCTTCAATGCTGCATTAGGCCTGAAAATACAATGGCTGTCTGGCTGCAGCCAGATGCATCCAAGCCTGGCGACACGCAGGCTTGCATGATAAGAAAGTACTGCCTTGCAGTTTAATCTTAAACAAAAAAGGGAGGGCCCACCCAGGTGTCTGGCTGGTCAATGGCGAGCGAGTCGACGTTGAAGTGGTTGTCGATGATCACATAGAAGCCGTTGGCCGCCAGGTAGCGCACGAAATAGAGGAAGCGAGCGTACACGTTGGTGTCCGGCAGTGCGTCGTTGCACCAGCCCACCCGCTGCGGGTCGCGCGCCGGCTGCATGGGTATGAATGCCATGTCAGCATTACTGAGCTGAGTCAGCGATGACTTTAGCGCAACCATCAGCACTCCATGAAGGTTTTGCTTTACGGCAATATTCGTGGTTTTTTGACATGGCTGAACCCACGCATCCTTGAGCCCCTTGCAAGTGTGTGAGACCCTCATGCAGGCCACCTCCAATCTGCAACTGCAGATTGCCATTAAAGCCTTGAAATGACCACCGCCTGAGTTGTCGGTGAGGATGCTCACCAGGTCAGGAGGCATGACCCCATCACTGATGTTCACCCCCGGTGGCACAACGCTCCTTTTCATCTCGTCCCAGGTGGTCGCCTGGCACTGGGCTGTGAAGGACCGCGGCTGCAGGTTGAGCAGGACCTGTGGCATGGCAAGGTGATGTCTTCATGACCTCTAGCTCCAAAGACTTCGGACAAACATAATGTGTAAAATTCGATGTCTTGGAGATACCAAAGATGCTGCAGTAATTCTCGAGTGCCAAAACCAAAAGTTCGATCAGCGCAATTCAGTACAATTGAGTTCTTGATCTGTAGTAGAAGAGCTGCAAGACAGAGCTGCACGGCCTCACAAATCACCTTGAACACTTTAACAGGTCCTAAAAAGAGAAAAGCACCTGGAAGGAGAAGGGCAGGCGGATGGTGTTGAAGCCCAGCAGTTTAATTCGCAGGACAACATTCTGGAAATCCTGCGTGAGGGCCGTTGGTCCTTGCCAGAGCCCGTGAACAACAGTGACTGCTGTCTCAAATCCAAACCAGTTGACGCCCTTGATGGCGAGGGGCATCCCATCGACGCCCAGGATCTTGCCATCTTTTATCGAGATGGGCTGTGTCGCCTCTATGGCTGCTTCGGTGAGCGGCAAAGCGTTCTGCGGCAGCTTCACTGGCTGATTGAGGTCGTTGTAGATGTACGTCGCGCAGTTCACTCCGTCCAGAGCTGTTCTGCGAGGCAGAGCGTCCTGCGAAGAAAAATAGAGCGTTATTACATAACGTTCAGCTGGTGCTTACTCATCAACTTGTTCCCATGCATGAACAGAACGTGGGCTCGCATGATTTCAATTAACAACGCAAGAGGACACAGAACAACCTGCTGATGAGTCCAAGAGGGATACCTGGTCTGAGGCGACGATCACATAGGAGGTGTTGAAGGCATATCCACGGACAGTGGGCTCCATTTTGAGGGTTGGACTGCTGGTCAATTTCACAGTGGCATTGCAGCACATGTCAGCTTCAATATTTGCTGCAGTTGTGTCTGTGTAGCTGGAGCTGTTGGGGCCCTTCACTTGCAGCGTGCACGGCTTCTGCACCAAGCAACAAACACCTGCCGCTCAGACCAACTGAGCACCATTAGCCAATCAGTGATCAGCAAGAGTCTGCATGTGCTTCCTGTGATCCTGCAGGATCAACATGCAGTGCTAGGACAAGCAGCCACTGATGAGCAGGTCTTTGCAATGCTTCCTCTGGATTGTGGATTGTGCATGAAAACGCAGTGCTGGCAGGACAGCAGAAAACAGGCACAGATTCTTCAGCAAGGCTAAATTGCTCTCAATGTTGTGCTGATTCTTCCTTGAAGAGATTAAAGCATGGTTTGAGGTGACATGATCGAACCTCAAATGCAGACTTGTGCAGTATGGCTGATTGAGCAGCAACAAGATGGGCGCGTCTCACCTTTGCCGCAGCCTTGTCAGTGGTGACAATTGTCATGTTGACGGCTGAGCGGACGTTTTGAGGCACCGGGTAGGCTGAGAAAGTTCCTTGGTCCCCATTGACTGCAGGAGGGTTGTCCCCAATGACCGAGTCTGTGGTCAGGTCCGAATCCAACAGCAAGTGGGATTGAACCAGCACCTGCAGGATGAGAGATGCCAACAATTTTAAGTGGCATGCAATTTGACGCTAACGATCCCTTTGCGCTGCTGCTTGTATTTAAATTGACCCCCAAAGAATTGTTCTGGATACCCATCCACTAGAGCATGCTGTCCCTGAATCAGCAGCACATTCTCTGGCATACACTGTGGGCGAGGTTGCAAGCGGACAGCAGCAGCATATCAGAATGAACTTCAAATCCACTGAGCAGCAGGTGTGAGTCTGACAGCTTGCCTGGCAGGTAGAGTTCTTGGGGTTGTCTATGATGTGCCATGATGCGTTGATGGTGGGCACATAGACAGGCCCATCCGCTGCAAAGCCAGCTCACGGGTCAGTTCCAAAGTTTGCTGCTTTAGGTACATATCAAGAAGCTTTCGGGGATTTTGCACACTGAAATTTGCAGCAGTGTTCACAGGGCTGGAGACACAGGGAAGTCTCACATTCTGTGTACTTGCGCGACTTGATTTCACTGGAGTTTGTGTACACCTCTGCTGCAAACATGGCGATCACACTGTCTGCAGTGGTGACCTGTGGGTCTGTGGAATTTGAGGAAGCAAAAGCGTGTACTGACAGCCCTGCGGGAGAATCTGCGGACAGCCTGCATACCGAACATCGTAGCTGTTAGACGGCTCCAAAAATCCTTCGCCGTGCTGTCTGCCACTCTGAAACGGCGACAGTGATCAGGGTTTCAGTGTTAGGCACTCCACGTCAGGGACCTTGACGGGATATCGGAGTCACCTCGACGGTATCACCAGGAGGACGGCCAACAAGACACATGTTTTTGCCATTGTAATATTCATCGCCAAGGCGGAGTGCCTCGCAGTTGGCGTGAAAGCCATCTGTCGGTCCCAAAGGCACTCTAAATTGCAAGATGACGATAAAGCCCGCCCTCTACTCTGATGCTGTTTTCCCCCTCAATATCCAATTTGGGTCAATGTAGAATATTCTCATCCATGAATAGCTAGCATTTCTCAGGTGAGCAGGCGCTGAGACCTTTTGTCTTAGTCATTGCTTGATGCTCACGCGTTTTCGAGAGTCCTGGGAAACTGCTGCTTTTGATGCTCGCATCCTCACTCTTCAAACCAGATATACCCTAGAACATGCCATGGCACGCAACAGTGCCGGGATATGAATGCAGTGTGGGAAAAGGTGTGTCTGTCGTTCGTGCGTTTGAATTGTCCCGTCTCCAACGGCGAAATATTCTTGAGGGCATCGATGGATGGATTGCGAAGCTTCCTCATCTGTTTGCTTTTTGAAGCTTTACAAAGCCTTGGAGCCAGTCGAGGCTTCACAATATACAAGGCCGAAGTATAATCTGTTTGTTAAGGTGTGTGTATTGTGAGACCCCAGCAAGGCATCAAGCCCTTGTCAAGGATCCCTGAAGCTGCCAGAAGGTGCTGGACAAGGTACCCGAGGTACGTCTTCAACGCAACTCGCTTGCTCAAAACGTCTTCCAGGTTTTCAATTTGAAAGGTCGAGCTGTCACACGCTTCAAGGAGTTCGGGCTGACAGGGCCCATCTTGATGCTATACTTCCTCAAGGAGGTGCAGGAAGGCTTCCACTATCCCGCACTGCTTCGATAGTGTCGAGTGCGACGTCTTGTAAAGTTTCCCTGCCTTTGTGTGAGCTGTGGCTATGATCAATGTCTGGATCTCTCTGAGTGGAGCCAAATTGATGTGCCAGCTGTTTGGCTACTGGAATGACATCTTGGTGCCTGCAGGACACGACGTAAAGTCCCGAGTATCAGGCACCCAACTAACAAAAATGGCGAACTTGAAGGCCATGCTCTGCCTGGCGCTGATAGCCACAAGCGCCTCACAATCCTCTGCAGACATCGGCAGCTTCTTTCACAGCCTCGGGGACACGTTCAGCAGCGCAGGCAGCACCATCAAGGACGGCGCCCAGGCAACCTTCCAGGTCGTCAAAAACGGGACAGTTGAGGCTGCAAATGTCACAGGCATGCCCTCTCAACCTACTGCAAAACCACCTCTGCCGTGTTCCCTTCACCTGCAGAGGATCCCTGCAACACCATCTTGCATTTGTGTCCTCAAAAGTGTCCACGGGTGCATGTATGTGCCAACAGATATGTCTCTGTTGCTTGTTTGGCGTAACAAGTCTGAGCACCGTACCGGTGGTGAATCGGGTCTTGCTTGGATCTGGCGAGGGGTGGACTGAGTGGCGGCCTTTACTTGCAGCTTTTCTGCAGAGGTACTTGCCTCTGCCAGGAAGGCGTCTGATGGTAATACCAATAATAGTGATATTGCTATGTGCATGTCGCAGGTGAAGCATTCAAGAATGCTGGCAGTGCTGTGGTGGACGGGGCGAAAGATGCTTACAACAAGACTGCCACATACGCGCAGCAGCACTTTGAGGGGACACGGAGAGAAATCAACACTCTGGAGGCAGTGCTGAAGGTAATGCTAAACCTCGTAATGTTGCTGACATGCAGAGGCACCTGGTTGTCGCTTTCCATGAAATCTATTGATACCTCAAAGAGCTGAAGAAAGTCATCCTCCAGGACACAAACTGTTCATGTGCTTGGGCACCGCATGCATGTGGTCAACTGGCGGCATCACGTTTCATGCCATCTGTCAGCCCACCACGCATGCGGGCATCTGCTCTGCATCAACACACTTGTACCTTGCTGCATTCTCTGACCGATCACCATGCATACTTCAGCACCGCACCTCCGCAAGTAAGACGTTCAACAGAATGTCTCCTGCGGCTTTCTGTAGCCCTGCCTCTGCACTGCATATCCACTGTAGAGTGTCTGACAGAACATGCCCTGCTGCTGCGCTGCAGAACACAACGTCTGACCTCAAACAGACGGTAATAAATTTCAAGGACAGCGCGATGCGCGAGCTGCGGCCCGTTACGGACGAAGTGGAGGCAGCTGCCGAGCGGCTGTCCAACACGACCGTAAGGGTCGTCTCCGACGGCGTCTCCGGCGTCGTGTCATTTGGGAACGACACCTGGCACGCGATCACCGATGAGTCAGCTGCCCTTGGCCCTGCTGTCCAAGCCTCTGCTGGCAAGCCAGACCCGGTACTTTCACTTTCAAAACACCACGTTTCATGCTGGCTGAACATATTCAGTGTTGCCCATTAATGGCAACCCCACGTATCTTCTAATTTAGCGTTGTGCTGGCTGTGGAGAGATGCACTACTTGCAACATAACTTTAATGGGTACACTTTATCTAGCTGGAGTGAACATGGTTTAGTAGAGGTTTGTAATTATAGAGCAGGCTTCCGGAGCACTTGCATGCAACGAACAGTCAGTCCTTCACATTACAGCGCTTCCAGCCAACATAGGGTTGGTCCAATTTTTGACCCAACATTGCATGATAAGCGGTGAAACTGCTTTGTTACAACAGGTGACGTTGGGCTCACGAGATGCGCGCTCCCTTTCTTGCTGCTCTAGAGCACAATCTTTCTGCAACAATGAGGTTTGCATGACATGTGCTAACATGGTTTGAAATCCAACAGGTGACGGTGGACGCGACGGATGCGCGCTCGATTCTGGCGGCTCTGGCGCGCAACGCGAGCGACGGAGGTTTCCCGGCGCTCGCGCAGAGCATCGTGGTGGCTCTCGCAGAGGGCCGCGGCCGCGCCGTCTCCGACGCCGTTGCCTCCGCTCTGGCAATTGACGGCGGCAGGAATGCCAGCCAGGTGAGTGCAATCAATATAAAAGGCACTTGTACTTGTGATATGCATGACTTACTACGGCAGGGTCATTAAGAATAAACGCGCCAGTACTGCTTCCGCGCACATGCAGTGATTGATGCAGCGATGCTGAAGGAAACAAACGTGCGTGCTGTCCAATTGTTGTAGGCCTTGCATGTAAAACACCAGGCCTTTGCACCTTATAGATGGTAGGAGCCACATGCTCCTCGGAAAGTGAGTTTGGGGAACCCAGAAAAGCAGCAGGCTTCTCCGAGCTCTTGCCTGGAGTATGTTCCAGTTGGTGTGTCATCAGACATATGATGTGGTCTCTCTGCTTGGGCAGAGATGCGGCACCAACCCAAGTGTATGTTTAAATTTGATCTAGAAATTTCATTCTGAGCGCAGGTGTCGCAGGGCCTGGCGCAGGCGTTTGCAACGGCGATGCTGGCGGCAGGGAACGCCGCGGTGCAGAATGCGGCGCGCATCAATTCGACGGCGATAGCGGAAGCATACATTGCAGGGCTGCAGGACGCTGTGGGCAACTGCACTGCTGCTACAGAGACCAGCATTCCGCCCAACACCCAAGCCTGGTTCCAGTGTGTCCCATCCCCTCTCCGATCTCTCATGAAGTCTTGCTCAGCGCCTCACCTCTGCCCGTATGGAATTGTGGGCAAGACTGATTATGAGCCCCCAGTGAATAGCAGTACCTTGTGTGTCCCTGCTGATGGAATCGCCATGGCACTCCAAATCTGCTGGTGTGTACTGTCTTGTTCCAGCTCTGGCTCACCCTTGACAGGGCTGGATTTGGAAGGAACGGCGCATGCCATTGAGAACGACGGATGCATCTGCTAATCCAGCACGCAGCATTTAATATTCATATGTGCGGCGCTACGGCCTTATCAGATGAAGAGATTGTGATACATGGAGTGATCGATACCTACATTTGCTTGAATCTCCTGTCAGCCATTTGAGGTGCTATGTCCTGGTGTGCAGGTTGTACGCGGACAAATGCTGCGGTGAAGTGACAGATACGCTCAGCCGCATGTCAGTCATCATGCAGCAGGTTCCTGACAGGGCTGCGTCTGATGCATGGTTCAGCGCTCTTGGCGCGAGCTACGAGCTTGGGAGGACGCCTGTATTCAATCTGGCGAGATGCCTGGCTGCAGACAAGGCATTCGTGTCTGCACAGGTGGCATGATAGCATTGCGTCGGACTCTTATGATTCTTTAGATCAAGAACCCAATTGAACACAATCAAACTGCTGGACCTAAATTGTTTGAGAGAATTATTGCTGGAACTCTACGGTTTGTGCATGATATTTGAGCGACCGTCTTTTGCAACTGATGCAATGGCTGGGTGCGCACCACTGGGTGAATTGCATGCATGTTCAGATGAGATTTTGCTGAGATGAGGCATGGCATAAGGCAGTAGCCACGGAACTTCAAGAACAGATGTGTGGAATCAGGAACGGAACTGAATGGTGAAGTACCAGTTGATGAAGGCAAGGCGCAATAAGCATCTAAGATTGGCATATGCAAAGCTAATATGACTCATTCTTGACTGATTGCAGCGAAAACTGAGAATTCAAGAAAATTGAACACTCATGATCTTCCAATGAGTAGCTAAGTAATCCAGTGTGTATACTCCTATATAGTTAATCCATCAAACAATGGTCTCACCCATGGGACAAACGTCAATGCAAATGCTCTTTCTCAAGGTAGATCCTGCTTTAAAAAGGTATAGTTTTAGCTTTCTAATGTCTTTATCGTTGAGATTCAGCTTTACTATATTCTAAGATAGGCAACCATAATCATGCAAGTCTCTTGCGAGTCTTGGCACACTTGTGGTCGCAATCACAGGTTACTTCGGTTGCTAGCATGTGAGGAAACAATCATTCGGAGCAGCGCAGCTCAAGCAGACGCACCGGCCCTTCGTTGACTTCGGCGCAGGAGCATGGCAACTGGTGAAAGCGAATGCTCAAAATTGAGGTATTGACGCATCCTGTATATCAAATTGAATTAACCGGAGGTCATAGGTGCGTTCTTTATCCAGAAAGGGAGTCTTTGGAAGCGTAATATACAATCTAATGGTGGCAGTTTGTTCAAGGCGATTGGGTTCATTTCTTTCATCAACTCATATCAATATGGCAGAAGTGATCCAAATCCCCTTCCATCACTTATCGCAACGAGCAAGCCGCCTGCAGATTGAGCGTTTATGTCCACCTGTCTCCGTGCTTGGAGAGCAGCACTGAAGGATCACATCGCGCTGATGCACCTGCAGGATGGCAAAGGAGTGCTGTAGAGATGTAGGATTTTCTCCTGATGTATGGCAAGTGATCGCCGCTCACATGAGCATGCGGGAGTGGGCACAGGCATCAGGCACCTGCAAAACCACCTGGCAATTGCAGTTGGACGAAATACACCTGACGAAGGCTGAAGGTGCGCTGCATGACGGTGACTTGCCGCATCTATGAGAGCCAGTATATCTGGGATCCCAATTAGATGTTGACCGCAGCTGGTACAGCTTGGCGATTGCCCTTTCCCTGCTCGGGCACTATCCACAAAGTTGATTGTCTGTGCCGTCTGTTTGCAGGAGCGGCATGGATTGTGAGGAGGGGGCAGCAGGCGCGCAGACTGTTGCTGCTCATAAGGGAAGCTGATGAGGTCAATACAATGGCATCTGCTTTGGTGCAGCCTAAGCACACGTGGGCAAATCTGAGGTCTATTTGGATTCCAGAACTATGCAAATCAGGCGACCATGGCCAAATTCTGTGCGCACTGCTCTGGCTTCTGGGCCAGGCAAAAATGCTGCATTTTCTCAGATTGCCAAGGAATAAGCTGCTATTTCTGCCACCTCTGGCACAGCTCAAGCACCTACAGTTGAGTATTCAGGACAGCTCACGTCTTGGGCAGTCACTCGCATGTCTCGACAGTCTGCACACCCTTTTTCTGGAGTGTGCCAACATTCATGATCCAGTAGCGTGTGAGCGCCCCAGTCTCGATCTAAAGGGCCTGAGCCAACTTTCCAGCATTGCGTTGAAGAATGTTGTGCCTGAGTCTCTAGTACTGCCGGAAGGAGCTGCATTGCACCTGCATTTCGAGCGGCTTTCTGATCTCAAGGAGGACATATGGGCGGGAAATGCCCCGGTGTTGGAATCTGTCTATGTCTGCGACACTCATTCGAGCATATCAAGAGCTTCCCAGCTGCCAAGCATCCTTGTGGAACCCAGTGGGTTGAAGAGGGTCATTTTATTGTTGCACGACTTTGGGACAGCAGAACCAATCAAGTTGAATGGGATTTTCATGCGGCTGGAATACTTGGTAGTGCAATGCACGACTGCTTTGTGCGTTCGAGTGCCTTCCGGGCAGCTGTCATGGCGCCTTGCCAGTTTATCCTCCTGCTCAGACAAGCTGGACGTTGCATTTGACAATGTGGGGCAGTTTTTGGACTTTTGCCCGGTGTTCTGCTTTGCGTATACGACGATGTCATATAATACGCATCTGGCAAAAAGAGATTTGCTGCAGCTATGTCTGTCTGCAGGAGAGCGTCACCTTGCCTGTACAAGCAATGCCATAGAATACGGTGAAGAGGGCACATGCATGATTCGCTACGAAGTGTTTAGCGCCGGCACGCCAGATTACATCAGGGCTGGCACCTACTTAGAAGATATGTCATACAACCCTTTTTGCGTGTGCGGTGCATGCCCAACATGCAGCTGTGACGGCTGCTGCGGCCCTGACGCCCAATTGCAGCAGCAACGCCTATAGGCCTAGAAGGCTATAGAAGGCCGGGTCAAATAGAGAAGGTGTAATCCTGAAATGCATTATGGTCTAGAGAAACTGGTATGCAGGCATCAAAGTAGAATGAGCGCCAAAAGCAAGGAGGAAGGGCTGCCAGATCTGAAACGATTTGCAATATATCCTGATCAGATGAGTATCTTACATCATACTCTATCTTGAAGATAGCTTGTAATATTGCACTTGTTGCTGCAAGGAATGACGCCCACATGAGTACAACATATACAAATCTACGAAATGTACTGTGAATCAGAATCAGCCAGATTTCAGCCGGTTAACCAGCCTTGTCAGGACCATCTGTGGGGACACCCAGATCACCGAGGGCCTCTGAGAGGGCCTGAATCGCCTCTTCGTCTGACTCATCATCCCCCGCATCACCTCCCCCTGGAAACAAGCCTCCCTGCAAGTCCGGAAACAGCCGCTGCAGCAATGCCTGTACACACAAAGATCATCACTTTCAATGTATTTGTCCCTTCACGGCAATGTAACCTTACTTCTTTGCGGCACAATGCATGTATAAACTAGTGATCACATGCATGTTCTGGGAGATAGTGGCCAGATCTGTCGGTGCTGGTGAAACAAGACGTGAGAGTGTGAAGAGTGAGAAAATTTTGTTTACCTGGGCTCCTTGGATGACAGCCTCGTAGCCAATGGTAGCGTCCGGCGGGTCACACAGAGCGATATTGGCTGGCAGGTGCTGCAGGGCTGATGCTGAGCTGCTGGCGGCCTGCGGCAAGAGCATCTCCATCTCTAAGAAACAAATTCAGCAACTGCAGAACACCTGACAACCTCCTGTTGTTTAGTGTACCACCCTGTGAGAGGTAAGCAGGCAAATGCTCAAAAAGTTCTGCATTTGCCTGCTTACCAATCCAAGATGCATGAGCAGGATTTGGAAAAACCACTGCATGTGTCTTGACAGGACTTCCCTGAAGACTCACGCTGTTGTAGTAGGCGGCTAGCAGCGCTTTTGGTCTGAAATCAGCAGCGCTTGGCTCCTCTTTGCTGGATGCAGAGGTCGATGCAGAGCCGCAGCTGAGGCCGCGCATGTTGACAAGGGCCTCCAGTGAAGGTCTCAGGTCCTCTGCGGCTGTTGGTGCTTTTGAAGGGGTGGAAAGGTACAGCAGGAACCTGCAGGCGCACAGAAGCTGGTTCCTGACGACAGCTATGCATCTCACGCCCCTCATTGATCTATGGGCATGCTTAGTCTAAGTCTGTCTTGATGCTGACAGACAGCTGAGCACTGCTGCATTGCGGATCTCAAGGGGCTGTGGTCTGTGTGTACACGTGTTCTATTGCTGCACCAGACACCACGTTTCTCGGCATGCTGGGATGCTGAGAGTGCCCTTGTCTAGGAAAAAATGGCACTCAAAATTGCAATTCCTGCCCCTCGCGCTGCAGAGTTGTAACGACTGACTTCCCCCTTCCGAGTGACTTTTATTATGCGGGGTCTCTGAGAGCACTTGGTAAGCAGTATTACTTGCCTGCCAGGTGGCGCGCATGCAGTGGCCGAGCCCACTTGGAGGGCATACACCGGGTGAGTGTTGCACACTGCTCCAGGAGGGATGACCACAAGCACCTGCGCAGCATCGCAATGGTTTTTTCTCAAAATTTCTTTTAAACCTCTTTTCTTCAGAGGTTTCTTTCAAACCTCTTTCATGCCATGCACTCCTCCGCTTCAGGGACACCACAGAAAAACAATGCCGAAAATGAGGCCAGGTTTTCTGCAGCAAGCAACATGCAGGCCAAATCAGTGGAGGTCCCAGCAAAGCGCGCTCCAGTGAATGCTTCTGTGCAAGGAGTTATGCAGCTGAGCGTCTTATCAGTCGAAAAATCTCGAATTCAAAAAAACAATTTGAATAGAGAGCAGTTGCCTGACCTGGCTCTCTTCTTCCTGCAGCGGCTGGTCCAAAATGGCCACGGCTTGCGAGTGGCATTGCTGCGCTGACTCATCTGCTGAGTCATCTATACCGGCTGCTGACTCACCGGCAGGAAGCGCTGAGTCAGCCGACAGCAGCTCCTCCAGCAACCCGGGGGCGGCCGCCAATGCCTTGCATTTCAACACCTGCATAAAGATCTGGCTTCACTGAGAAAGTCACTTCCAACAAATGCCTGCGGACATCTTCTATCTTTCTTCTCTGTTTCCTGCTCCCAATTGACTCCAAAACACAAAACACCCGGGTTTCACCAGTGCTTGGGACCTGCACTGACAGGAGTCTGCACGATCGTGAATAATGCATCTAATATGCAGAAGGTGTTATGCACACCGGACCTTGAGGATCCCCGGACAGCATTGCTGTTTAGCGAGTACAAGGATCTCAAGAACGCCCACCTGCCCGCTGCCGGTGGTGACACCGGTGCAGACGCGGCCGCCTCCGGGCGATGAGGTAATCGTGACGTCAGCGACAGGCTGGCGCAGCACGTACAGCGCGCCCGCCACTGCCGCCACTCGGCAGAACGCCTGCGGCAGCTCGCCGCCGCCGTACAGGGGCACCAGGAACGCCGCCGTATCCGCGCCGTACCTTCAATGCAATGAGTGTGATTGTGAACATTTGTGCGGAGAAACAAATTGGTGAGTGGGAGCAGAAGGTTGTGCTTCAATGTCCAAGGCTGCTGCTTTTTCAGGGGCACGAGGAACGCCGCCGTATACGCGGCATACCGTCAATGCAACGACTTTGATTGTGATCTGGGAAGCTTAAACTACTTGCTGAAAACAGACTGCGCGATGGGGAGCAGAAGGGATGTGCTTCTATGACTTAGGCTGCGCAGAGCAGAGGAAGCAGCAAAGGAGCACCAGAAATGCTGCCATATCCGCAATGTATCTACGCATTCATAGATGCTGCAGAGATGTTCAAACAGCAAGATATTCACTGGCAGCAGGGGCAATCTGCGATTGCATTCAAAACGCTGGGCTCAGCAGAGAAAGCCTTAACGAGGCAGCTGCCTCCAGCGAGCTAAGGAGACAACAATCTCTTTGGGGAGCGCATTGTCCCAAATATCCGGCAACTCTGTGGCGTATTCACACACACAGTCGTCCGAACATGGCACTGAATGTGAGGCACCACATCGCCAGAGTGCAAAGCTCGAAGAGCTTGAACACAACAACGTTGAAACAGTGTCACAGCACTGCCCATGAAATGCGCGAACATAGCCATTCCTAGATGCTTGTTTGGTGCGAGCATGTGCGCACACCTGCCGACAGACTCCATGTACCGAGCGAGCGCAGCCATGCCGTCCGCTGTGCTGACGGGGCATCCAGTCAGCTCCGGCCCCTCCTGGCTGCTGGGGATGCATGCCAGAGCATACATGATCACATCCCTCAACGATTGCCCCAAGCCCTCCGCCCTCAGTGTCTCCACAAATGGCCGCTCTGCGTCTGGTCCATCCTGCTGCAAGAGAAATATCCTTTGACCTCACAAAATTGGAATGACGATAACATCTGGCCAGATTTCCTTGCATTTATCTCCTGCTGTCCAGCTGTTGAGCTAAGCTGGGTATCATTCATGCAGGATTGTCCAATGTGGCGCATTGTTTTTAGCACACAGCAGTGGGCGACACACATGTCTTCTCCTTAGTCTTGATCTCTGGCTGTCAACCTGCAGAGCTGAGCTTTGTAGGCTCATGCTAGTCTTAATTTATGCTAGCTGCTGATACTCTGAGCACATGCGCTATATTTGCCAGCATGCTTGGCCCGCAGCAGTGATGACTAATGACACTGATCCCTGCAGCTCCAATGGGAGAGTCTGTCCCAAAGCCAGGGCGACATATCTTTGTTGGCAGTCTTAAGAAGTCCAACAAGAGCTGCCCATAGCTACTAGAGATAGGGATGCATGCATGGGATGATCCGCGCACCAGGCTGCTGCCCTGGGCCAGGAAGCTCTGCTGGGCATTTTGCAGGAAGCGCATGAGTGCCCGCTTGTCCAACGGGCTCAGGCTGCGGTCCTTGAAAATGTCTGCCCTTGACGCAGGAACCCTCACGTACCGCCCCTCCCGCCACACATAGCTGTGCACACCATAAATTTGAATCATATTCTCTCATTTTAAAATGCGAGGAAGATCTTTCTCCCTGCTTGGCGCTCAAATATATCTTGGTGTACCCTCCCACTATCTGCCACTTTCTAAGCTTCTTATGTTCTACCATCAGTGATTGACGCCATCTTTTCAAATTTACCAGTTCATGCGCATCCAGACATTAGCACCACAGTACGAGGAGCTTATCAAGCCAAGCCAGGAGTTCCTGCAGTTGCAGGTTGCAAGGCTGCAGGTAGGCATATGAACTTGGAACAGTCTTGGCGGGAATGGAATGTGCAAGGAGGAGTCACCTCTGCTGGAGCAGCTTAAACTCGAGGTAGTTTTGGGCCCCAGCGTCCAGCAGAGCATTGATGAGCGAGCCCGCGCAGTGCACCACCTGTTTCCAGCAAGTTGCACATGCTCAGTATACTGTGTCCCTCAAAAGCTTGACAAAATAGTAGCCTGTCCAGCAATGCTCCATTTTATTGCTGTTTGACAGGTGTAGCGGCAGCGCAGAGATGACAGAGAAGAAGAAGGAAAGAAATGGAATTCACTCTGGGCGCCAGGTCTATGTTGTACTCCCTGGATGGGCCCAGCTCTGCGCCGTTCCACCTGTGGACCTCTGCATGTGTGTATATACGACCGACACCGCCTACTGGCACCTGCATCGAGGGTTGCCGCTCTGCTGTGCTGGCACATGCTGCTGCTGTGTGCTCAGACCCATCTACTGCTGCTTTATGATGTCCAGGCACAGTAGGATGCTGATCATCGCTGTGCTCGGATGAGTTCTGCTCCTCTGTACTATCCTGGAAAGCATTCTTGCCAAGGGTGCCACCTAGTGCTTGAAGCCCAGCTGAAGCTGAGGAAGATGTAAAAGGATTGTCATCAGGGCGTAATTTAGCCCCATGTGGTGCGCTTGCAGCAGATCCATGTGACTTGCTCCATTCCAAAAATTGGTCTAGCTGGAAGCTCGCCCACAGCGAGCCATAGTAAGCAGCAGGGTCTAGATGCAGCACTGTCTTCCCGTGTTTTGCAGCACCCCTGCAACCATCGTAATTCTTCTTCGAGCTGCAACTAACAGGCAGTGGATCGGGGAAAAAATTGCTTTGGAAACGTGATGCCAAGTCCAGTACTTACGCAGCTATCAAGGACTCCTGCAGCCCGGTCCCAACGACAATTAGATCGTAATCAACTGGACTGATCTCCGTTTCCATTTACCAGAATTCTCTTATTGACAACAAAGGGATGTGCTGCTTGTATGAACGTTGCGGGTTTCAAGGAACGAATCTGATGTGAAGGCACCTCTTGAAGTATTTATATCTACCAATATTGTGCACTGCACACAACTCAGCAGAGAAGGCCGATGAAGTCAGCACGTGAGTTGCACGAGGCAGACTCATTCGACACCTCATGCGTGGACACAGGTTACATCGAATTTCTGATAGGGAGTCTTCTTTGATGCCGAACATTTTGTTGCAATTCAAAGAAGACTGCGGGCACTGGTATGACTGGAGATGGGGTATCATAGATCACCATGACACCCAGTAATTGCGTTTCCTTGGAGAGTTTCAAGAGGGTATGATCGGCCAGATACAGCCATGCACATTTATTACTGCTATTCGTCTGCTACAGCGGCTGCCAGCCCGACATGCGCAGATTTTTGGGAGCGTACCAGCACCTAGCCATGGGATTACACACTGCACTAGAAGGGGCTTGAGTGTGACGGCAAGCAATGAAGATACAAGCAGTAGCGTACAATTACCTCTTGTAGAGCAGCCTCCCATAGCCGCAGTGCCTGCTCAGATTCTTCTCGACTGGTACAGCCAGCAGCAGGCAGACGTCCAAAGGATTGGCCATGACTTATCGGAAACCATGGATGGGCCCACAGCCACAGACCTGCAGGTTGATTTTTGTATTATGTTACCAGCAGCGTGTCGACACAGGAAGTCAATGGATAAAATACATGTCATTGAGAGCTAATGCTGATGCTGACTCTTCAGGCAGACTTGGACTGGCTTTTGGATGACTCCATAGCGGACTTCGAGGGCAGCCCGCAGGGTCACAGAACCCACACTAAGTGGCGGCAGCTCAAAGATCACAAAAGGCAGACTGATGCTGGAGCTGGAACCGCACAGCTGCGGCTAGACTTCGACAGCCTGACAGCCAAATGGAAAAGGAGGGTGCATGACAGGTACGCTCTCTAAGTCATCCGTGAACCTTCAGCGCTCTCTGCTGACAAATCCAGAGTGTTTGCTTGTGCGCATGTCCGCATGCCATTTGGCCTGAGTAATGAGCGCTTACCACTGCACCAGCCCAGGTTCTTGGCCCTTTAATGACAGCGTTGCGCATGCGACAGGATGCCTTTGCAGTACCTGACAGGCTCTGCGCATTGGAGGGACCTTGTTCTGGCAGTGGGACCTGGTGTGCTCATACCACGGCCAGAAACTGAGCTGCTGATTGACTTCGCTCAGGAGGTACGTCACATAAGCAGGAATAACGCGGCACTCTTTCAACATAGCTTGATATTCTCTTGGGCCACAGACTGCATGCACGCTGCTTCTTTTCGTTTCAATGCAAAGAGACAAGGCATTGTTCTGAGGGGAAAAAGGTGTGTGTGGGTGGTTGCAGGCTATGGCAAAGGTGCCTGGTGGGGTGGATGGAGTGTGGGCTGATCTGGGCACAGGCAGCGGAGCTCTGTCTATCGCCCTGGCAAGATGTCTCAGCGACAAAGGCAGAGTGAGTACAGCTCGCGCTCTTCAAATGCACGCTGCTACTGTCAATGGCGTGTGATTGGCTTGTTGCAAAATGGCAAAATCTGCATTCCTGGCGGCTCCAGCTAGTCATGGACTTGTGTGTTACTTGCAGGTTTTCGCAGTGGATGCTAGCGAGGAAGCTGCCGCATGGGCAAGGCTGAATGTGCAGAGATACAAATTGGACCCCCGGCTACAGGTGATTCTGTGCTTTGCACTGCTTTGGACTTGTTTGAGCGCCGAGTATCGCCATAGCAGTAGTTAAACAGAGCCTCGCAGACAGTGTGAGAAAAAACCACCCGCTTGCAGGTGTTGCTTGGCAGCTGGTTTGAGCCGCTGCATGCGCACCAAGGCCAGCTGTCGGGCGTGCTCTGCAACCCTCCATACATCGCCAGCGAGGTCGTCCCTTCACTGCAGGTCAGACTCAAGCATTCCCATCACACCCTAACACCGCAAAATGTCCGGCATCCTTCACACGTCCATGCATTCCTTTACCTTGCCTTTTTTGTGAGGTTTTCTATATGTACTGTAGGGTCCACACACTGATCTAATGGACAATTATTCCGACTATATTGTGGAAAGTGCAGGCAGAAGTGACAAGGCACGAGCCATGGAGCGCCCTTGATGGGGGCAAGGGCACAGGATCTGCCATGCTGCTGGACATCTGCGGGGCAGCCGTGGGCATGATGCAACGAGGCGGGTTTATAGCGCTGGAAACAGGAGGTGCATCTCCTCCCTTGGATAAATGGAAGGCAGCGTGCAAGGCTCAGGTCAAGGAAGAACTGCCTGAAGGACTGTATAATTTCACGCTTTGTTGGCTGCAAAGCTAAGTCACACCTTTCCCGCTGAGCTCGGTCTAAATACTTTTTCCACAACAGCCGTCTTGTACCCAACTTTGGTGTACCTTGCAGGAGATGGACAAGCAGAGGAGGTTGCAGATTTTATGTCAGGACTCTCTGATGACGTCAATGGCTGCAGCATTCCAGCATACACGGATGTCATAACCCGCAAAGACTTGCGAGGCGTCCCACGTTTTGTCACTGCTTATCGAGCAACATAAATTATATAAGCATGCAGATATCAAGCTTGCAGAAAGCTACCATGATCGTGTGGTGACTGAACTATGTGTGGAGACTAAAACAATATGTGCACTTAACCACAGCATGCTGTCATGTGTGCTCACGTGCTGATCTTGATGAATTTTAATCTCGGCTGATGCTCACTTGGCCGATATCCCTCTATCGGTAGGCGGATCACTTCCTTAATGTGTCTTTTTGCGAGGCTCCCTCATCAACAACGCTGTGTGTAGTTAGCACAGATTACTGCTTCAGGCATCCGAGCTCACAGAACATATTTTCCATTTCACAGCAGGCTCTGCGTTTGAGCAGACATTTGGAACAGTTCAAAATTGATGATGATTTCTATATACCTCGCCAGAAATGCATAAGCCCTCGACAAAAGTAATTGCATCATAAGGAAAACCGATGGTATCCACAAACAACTTCTTTGCAGCTCTTCTTGAGCTAGCCGAGAAATCAGAATCGTCGGGTGGTGCAGATCAGGACGATGGCTTCACAGAGATCAGGTTAGGGTGCCTTCTGTCCCTGCCTTACATGTCCCTTGGAAGTCTGGGATCTGTCCTGCACTGAATCTTGTCTGGCTTGCCACAGCTCATCCCAAGGCTCTGACTTGTCAATCCACTATGCATGAAGGAGAAAAGGGAAGGGGAGAAGAGCCACGTCTTCCAACAGATCACCTGAGACAGGGCAAGACGGGACAAGCCAGCATCCTCGCTCTAGACTCGCTACTCTGAATAAGGCGGTCAACGGACACACTGGAGACCCTGCTACGAATTCTCTTACTGCATCAAACCTGGCTGACGGCATCAGTAGAGTAAGCGTGAGGTATTTATTCCGCTGCGAGTGTCTAAGCTCCTTATAATTGTACTCTTCTAGCTATTCGCCTGGCAGGCCCCATAGCTGTTCATATGTGGGCATGCCAAGTGACACTTCTGTCGTCCGTTTTGGGAATCTTTCTAGTGCCATGTGCGCGTCATAAAGACCTCCTCCAATACTGCGCAGGGAGGACGGTCCAAAAGGAGTCCCAAAGGAGAACGGCAAGGCAGGCTCAGCAGGATCAGCCCTTTCCTATGCAGCCGTCGCTGCCGACTCCACTGCAGCACAGCAGCCCCCAGACACCAGCGCAGCATCAGAGGCATCCCAGGCAGCGCCAGCAGAGCAGTCTGCTGCGGATGAGGCTTCAGCATCCAGTGCAGCAGCTAAGGAGGAAGAAACTCCTTCCGTGGCGGCAGGAGCATCAGCGGCAACAGAGCATAAAAGCAGCGGCAGCCGGCAGAGCAAGTCTGGCCTCCGGCAGCCCCTCGTGTGGCTAGATCTGGAAATGACAGGTGGCTCTCTCTGTCATATCTCTCGAGAGGACGATCTGGAGACTCCATTATCAAAGTCATATTTGCGTAACGATGATAGTAAGCCTGACACTAGGGGTCTCCGTGAATTCCAGTCATGTGGTGTTTGGCAGTCGCATCTGATGGATGGAAGCTGCCTGCAGGGCTTGATTTGGAGAATGACACAATCATAGAGGCTGCCTGCCTGATGAGCGACGGCAATCTGGAGACCACTATCGAGGTACGCAAGAGCAGCTCCACTTGTGCGGCACCGCGGGCATCATTTGTGCTTTCCCCTATTTGACTTTGGCTGAATCCTGGCATCAATTCTCAAAATTACCCCCGGGACACAACTACTGCACCTGGCATTTTGGAAGTGCTGTGCATGGAAATGATGGGTCCTTACAACAGTCTTAAAGCAGCCAATGATATTGAGATGCAAGCCACGGGGTACATCCCGAGAATACCGTATCTGCAGCAGCTCTTTGCGCGGACATGCAGTACTGTCACGAGCAGCCCCTAGGGCCTGGCAGCCCCTGACAGGATCATATTCTGTGCAGGGACCTGAGATAGCGATCCAGCAGAGCGAGGCGGTGCTGGCCAGCATGAACCCCTGGTGCATTGACCACCACGGCGCCAGCGGACTCACACAGCGCTGCAGGGAGTCCACTGTCTCCATCGAGCAGGCTGAGGAGCAGGTGTGAGCAGCTTTCACCTACCTTCCACCTAGCCTTCTTATCCTGTTGAGCGGGGGAAGTTTTGAATAGCTGCCTTCAAATGGTGCAGCCAGAGCGTTCAGCTGGCACATGCAGCAACTGTTTGCGGATTTGCATGGCGAAGATCAGTAGATTGCCTTGATGGTCTTCAGTGAGGTGCATCATGTGCCGCCATCTTTGCGTGGCAGGGCTGAGTGCTGCACCGTTGCTAAGGGAGGCCGATGACTCATCAGAGCGGCTCACCAGGGCATGCTTGCGCAGCTGCTGCCATTTTTTACACAAGACAAGCGCCCGATGTGCCCCGTTACCGTCCGGCTATCGGCGTCCTGGCACTGACTCATCAAGCTGACTCAGCGTCACATATGCGCGCAGCTGCTGGCCTTTCTGGTGCAGCACACGGACTCACCTGCCGTCACTCCAATGACCAACCATGCTGACTCTTCGGCAGAAATGTACGCGCAGCTGCTGGCAATCGTGGCGCGGCATATGGACTGGAGGTGGACTGCTAAGATTTCCTTATGCATAATGATCATGCTGACAAAGTACGGAACATTTGCGTGCAGCTGCTGGAGTTTGTGGGGCGGCACACGGAGCCCGGCGAGGCGCGGCTGGCCGGCAACTCGGTGCACGTGGACATGCAGTTCCTGCGGCGGCGCATGCCACGGCTGTTCGCGCATTTCCACCACCGCATCATTGACGTTTCCACCGTCGCCGAGCTGGCCGCGCGCTGGTTCCCCGCCGACTACCGAAGCGCCCCCCGTAAAAAGGTCCGTTATGGCACTGTCAGAAACCAGTAGTGTCACTTCATGCACTCCCCACCGTGAATATCTTTATTGTGTGCATGCATGCATGCATTCTTGTTGTCTTGCCGCACAGCGTTCGCTGTGTCACCTATTTATCACGTCATTCTTGTGAGGGGATGTGGACAGGCCTGCTACCAACGGATCTGTGCCGGAGTTGCTTTCTGGGACCGTTGATGCACTCGCTGTTGATGCACGTGAATTTCTGCAGCTGCTGCATGTGAAGCTCTGCATCCACAACGAAGACGCCAAAGTGCCGGGAAACAAGTGGATCGTCCAAGAAGCTCTCGGCGGTGCTGCGGTGTTCGCTGGAGGCTGGGCAAGAGTGTGAACTTCCTGTGACTTGTGAACAGCATCCACTGGATCTTTGTGAAGCTGTGCTGTGCGCGTTGCGAGCAGGGATCGCACACGGCGCTGGCAGATGTGAGGGAGAGTTTGGAAGAGCTGCGCTTCTACAGGAAGACCATCTTCAAACAGCCACCCTCGCAGAACCGGCGACGGAGGTAGCGCCCCTGGACAGCGCTGCTTGGTCGGGAAATTTGTCACGTTGGCAGCTGCAGCCGGGGACAGACGGAATGCGCAGCTCTGGAGTTTGAACCTGCTAGAAAAGGGAGGAACGCTGGAAAGGAATGCCGTGAAGGAACACTGCTGACAGCAACTGTTGATAGCGGTTGAACAAAACATGCATGTGTGCAGATTTAAATCATCCAAACTTAGTGTAATACTGAAGTATGCGGTGGTTGTGCCAGAAGTTTTAGCCACCTGTGGTTATTGGATTTGGTGAGCATCAGTTACACTCAGCAGCTGCAGGATTTGCTTTGATACAAGTACTGCGGTAGCTGTAGCATGGCCGCCGCAGCAATCATAATTTGAATCCAAAGGGATCCAAATCTATATTACAAAGTTGCAAATTTCTTTCCAATGATCATGAGCGCTCAAAGTAGGCCGAGTCAAACTGTCACTGACGGAGCACATAGGCTCAAACCAGATGTTTTATAAAGAATCTACCTGTGTAGAGCCGAGACAGCTAGACGTGCATGCACATGCACAAACTTACAGCCGAGGAGCGCTAGCGCGCGCGCAATTGCAAGTTGTCAAAGTACCAGCTAGCGCAAATATATTTATTAATATGATAATATAATTGACTAATAGTAATGAGGATGCAGCTTGTTCCGTTGGGATCGATCCAAGATATCTCGTGCTGGTCACGATCCCGCGAGATGTGTCACAGGAGTAGAGTAGCATTGCCCATTGTGGTACAGGTCTATGAAAGAGTATTTTCTGGTGTCCCAGAGGATGACACCCCTTGGCATCTGACTGGATCCCACGTGATCGCAGCAGGCGTGCCATGCTGTGAGAACTTCAAAGCGACAGATAGCATCTTGTTTAAAAGATACAACTCTCCTTCCAATCGTCCAATCATCCACTTATTTCAGCAAGTGGTCAACATGGCTACGAAGGGTAAGCTCCTGACTCTGCTTGTTGTGTTGGTTCTTACATTGAGCCGAGTATCGGGATGTTGCCTCTTAGTCAAGAGGAATATAAGGCGCTTTCTTTGCTTCCAGTCATCTGAACGGCACGAAATCAAGCTATGTGATGGATGGCATGCGACGCTTTCATTCCATAGCTTCAGCTGCGACATACATAATTTAACGTCCGCTGAGCCAGCTGATTGCTGTCCCCCAATTTCAACCACCTTATCGCCTGTGCTGCAATGACAAATGTGCCAATTGCAGATCTTCGCGTCGTCGCCGTCCTGCTGCTGAGTCTCTGCTGCATGCAGCAGACCACAGCAAAGCTCGATGTCATTCGGTCTGCTGTGGACTCTATCCTGCACAAGGAGACGTAAGTACAGAACACAGCCACCACCCTGATTAATCTTCTTCAATGATTTCCAGGAACTTCATGGGTACTTTAATACTGTAGCAGTGCCCTGTTCGGCGAGTCGTTTAACCGAATCACGTTCTATGCTTCCTCACTTGTGACTAAGGCGCCGGTAATCTTTGCCCAATTTACACGGAAGGATCCCGTGATGAATGAATGATGGTTATTGCTGTTCTTCATGCAGGCCGGCCACTACAATGCCCTCAGGCACCACACTGCCGCCCTCATCATCGTGCCCTCCCGTCAGAAAGCCCACGGACCTGTGCCCCGCCATCGCTCCAGCGGCAACCTGCCTCACAGGTGCCCCTGCCTCATCTCTCTTAGCCTATGTCGTTTGCAACTGCTCACATGCCAGAATTAATATACGCTGGTGCTGCATCTCTCTGTGCACAAAGGCATTTCAAATCCTTGTCCATGCCAGTGTCTTGTCTCTTGCTTGAGAAACCCACTCTCCACAGTATGGCAAGTCTTAGGCGCAAATCACGCTTGCATCATGGCACTCAGCCCAGTATCATTGAACTCAACCACTTGTACCAATCCCTGCGGCATCACATCCTCTTTCCCCTGTGCTGCAGGCGCCTTCACTTTGCCAGCACTGCCCTACGCGTATGACTTCCTAGAGCCCTTCATCGACACACTGACGATGCGCCTGCACCACGACCGCCACTTCTGCACCTTCTACACCAACCTGAACCCCATCGTCGCTGCCAATGCAGCCCTTCAGGGGAAGACCCTTGTCGAGATCAACCAAGCGGTCGGCGCCCTCGGTTCTTTCATTCCTGCCGCAGTTGCCACTGCCGTCCGGTGAGCTCAGCTGCCCCTCCAATACACCCCTTTGCCTTGTGAATAGTGCGCATGCGCCCTTACGTGTCACTTAGGCATGGGAGTCTAGATCAATGATCCCTGTGATAAGACATCTGCAGGCAGCGTCTGGGCCTGATCTGGCCACTACCCCAAGTGGGAACCCAAGAACAACCCTCAATCTCTTCTGCTGACATAATCACTGACAAACCTGTGCGCGGCTGCAGCAACAATGCTGGAGGGGCTTGGAATCACGCCTTCTTCTTCCAGATCATGACTAAGGCCGAAACCAGCGACTCAGCGGCCCCTGCCGTGGGAACGCCCCTGAGAATTGCCATCGAGGCTGCATTTGGCACCTTTGCCAATTTCACCACCCTCTTCCAGACCGCCGGCAACAACCAGTTTGGTGCGTGCACTTGTGTTATTTACCCCTTGCACAGGGGTTCATGTGCTATTGTCACTCCTCTTGAACCGTACACACCACATGACCCTACATGTGTATGGTGATTAACTACAAGCAAACAGGGCCAGCTTGGCTTCAAACTTGACTCCTGGATTTGTGTCATGCCCATTTTTCCCACCAGGCACATGCGGTGTGACTCATTGAGCCCTGTCAGCGATGCAATCGTGCTGTGTGTGTGGCAAGCATTCTTGCCATTCCCATCTGCAAGACTTGTGGTCATTTGACTATGTGGGAGAACTAAAATCTGTGTGGAAGTGCAAGCCATGTAAGCATGCGCATGGTGCATGCAGGCTCTGGGTGGGCGTGGTTGGTGGTGAAGGCGGATGGCAGCCTGGCAGTCACATCCACCCCCAACCAGGACAATCCCCTCCAGGTCAGCACCCCACATCTTCCCCTGGATCATAATTGTCATGGATTGTGCATATTTTATAGTGGGATATTGCAGACCTGGGTGTGCACAGCGTACCTGTGACTGTCTTCAGCATTTGTTCGACCCCTCCTTTCCCAATGCATGCATGCTGAGAATGCGATGAGACTGGGTAGCTGCATTCAACTGACCTTTGTTTTATTTTGCCTTGTGCAGAAGCAGGCGGCGGTGCAGGGTATCCCCATTCTGGGCCTGGACGTATGGGAGCACGCCTACTACCTCCAGTGAGCACCCTTCTTACCCCTTCAAACACAAACTCTCCCCATGCGATGCAGGATTGATATGCAGGAGGGATGAACTGGGTCCAGGATTCACAGATATTCTTTACTGCCGATTGTCATGTAGGAAGCTGACTACCCAGTCACTCTGCCCTCATGAATTCTCTTTTCCCTGAGACACACCAAACTGTGCTCTGCAAGCTTGCTTGGTGTTAAATGAAGCTTCAGTGCAACCTCCTTTGCAAGCTGGTGATCTGATGATACCCGCTGCCATGCAGGTACTACAACGTGCGTGGCTCGTACACTGTGCGCTGGTTCAATGTCATCAACTGGACCAAGGTGGCTGCCCTCTTCGAGGACGCCAAGGCCGGCATTATCCTCCAGCCCTGATCAGGCTTTGCAATCTTGCACCTTGCAAGATGAAGTGAGAAGACAAACAAAACATTGCTCACAAGGCAGTGTCTTTCCAAGCTACATGCAGCTGCCCCGCTGCTGCAGAAGTCTCCAACCAAGTATCTCCCGCAAAGACCTGGCTGCAACGCTGTTGCGGCCCGAATTCGAATAAAGCCCCAAGAGAAAAAATACGCCAAGAAGGATTAAATACCTCAGAACCTTGGACCTTCGGATAGGCCTGAATCTGGCAGAAGTGTGTCGTGTGTTTGTTCTGACAAAGTGGTCGGGTCTGCTAAAGAGCATGGCCTCTGAAGTATGACTCACATGTTCCTGAGCCAGCATGCAGATGCACGGCAGCATTTCAGTGTCAAGGCATCTGAGCAGGCTCTTTTCCTTTTGGGGTTTTGATGTAGAATGCAGCACCCAATCTGGTTGTGGTGGCTTGAGCGGACAATGAACTAGAAGAATATTTTATACTACAGTAATTTGTTGCAGTGGGTAGAAATAAGCCGACGCCTTGATTTGGCGCTTGTTTGGGAGGGAAATGGGATCTTACTTTCATGTCGTGTTGGGGGCAATCTTGACAAAGACTATGAAATCACCAGAAGAACAATGAAACCACCATGCAGAAGGAAATGATCGCAAACACAGCTGATTAAACAGCCCTGCTGCTGTGATGCCTTGCCAGTGTAATATTTTTTTAGCTGTAATGGGGCGGTTTCTTGTTTGATCAACTCATGAGTGCCAGTGTGCGCCCTGATTCTGGGATATGGATTTGCTGGCTGCCCACCTCTGTCCACCTTTTGCAATGGGATGTACTACATATGGCTTGTACTGTCCTAGAAGAGTGCACCTGACCACGGTGGCAGCATCCTCTGGCGTAGGGGCACATCGTCACTAATGATCCCTGCTCTACATGCATTGAACACATGCAAGTTGATTCTGCCTTGTGTAGCACAGTTCTGGGCATATGCATGCATGAGACTCAAAATTTGCATGCATGCTGGAGAAGCACATATGTAGGCCAAGTGGAATTGTAGGCATGCACAGCCCAATTTGCAAAGCCTTGATCGGATCAATATTTAAAATAAAATTTTATATTAACAAATGTAAAACATCTATTTGATCCACGAAGGAGTGCGGCTGACTGCGTAATTAGCCTGCATGCAGTTTTGTGCATGTGCAAGATCACAGGTAAGCCATGCGCAGGAGAACCTGCGCGCACATTGACAAGTGCATGCGTCCATCGCGCGATTAAAAATGTGTCGCTGTTGGCTTCAATGTGCTTCAGCATACTGCTTGCGTAATCACATTTACAGGAAGAAATGGGATAGACAGGCGTCGATGGAACCCGACGGAGGTTGCGTAGGACACTGGCAAAATTATCCGACTTGTCACCAATCAGCGCCCGTGGTGTCACACCCATATGCACGATCATTCCCCCTAAAATATTATCAATTAGGCTAAGCTCCTTAGGGTGCATGGGAAGCTGACGGAAGTTGCCGCCAGCGCATCGCGGACGTCACCGCTGCTTTGTAAGGTTGACGTTAATACAAGGACGATGCACCTCCGCGTCTCGCCTGCTTCTCACACCTTTGCGGGTTCAAGTTTCTGCTCATCCTGCTGGCGTAGTGCAGGAAATCTGCCAAAATGTCAACGGAGCTGTCCCAGTCGTCCGAGATGACCCACTCACAGAGGCGTCTAAATACTGTTTTGGCGGGCCCCGACCCAGAGTCACCTCGTCGCGCCTTGAGCGAGAGACCATCTTACGCTATTGTCCCGGAACACAAGGTTTGCTGCCCTGATCGCCTGGCTTGATGGAATATGGACCGTTTATTTTTAGCACTGCAGCATCCGTTGGTCAGTCCATATTGTCATGGGTGTTTGTCAGTCATTTGTGATAGGTGGTGCATAGATTTATGTGCAAATGCTATCCAGAAGTCATCACGTAGGTGATTTTTCAAGGGAGAATAGGAAGTTGTTTGCTGGATCGTTGGCTTGATTGTCCTACAATAAATAGTGTTATAATCAAGCCCGATCGCGAGAGACAGACGAAGGGAATTATCGGACATCAATATACTCTAGAATAGCTGTCTGGTGTTATAGAATGTGTTTGTTGGTACAGGAGCAAGCTTTTTCTGTTTTTCAGGGGTTGCTTTGCGTAAGCTGTTTCAGCAGCACCGCTAGATCATGATGTATTTTTCCTTTCTCAACGTTGTCCAGGAAACTTTTCGGAAGATTTTGATGGTTTTGTGGGGTGCCTATATCACCTAGCAGTTGTGCGGTGTGCGGCAAGGTGTTGGAGGATGACATAATCCCACCCTGCGCAGGTGACAATCGAGCAGGCCGATGCAGCAGTCGATCTGCTGGAGCCCATCAAGGATGAGAACAGGATGTGTGTGGAGTACACGCACGTCTCTGCGAATGTCCCGGCCAGCTTTGCAGCGCCAGGGATCTTCCCAGGCCTCAGCCTGCCCAAGTTTGGCAAGAAGGCCAAGCAGGAGAGCGGCCCAAAGATGCGACGGGTGTGTAATTAGCTGCCAATATGCACCCACACTCAAGCTCGGACATGCATGCCATTCGGCAGTCCCTGATATACTGCAATCTGGCAGCTTATGTGTCACCAAATGGACCTCTCAGTAGTTTGCAGTGTGTATGTGCGGATCCCAGGAACTGCCATGAGGCAAGCGTGCGGAGGTTGAGTGCTTAAACAACTGCTCTTTTGGATTTGCAATGCCACGCAGTGCAGCCTTGGCACACTGTGTGAGAGAGTCTTGGTGCATGCATGCTTGTCAGCTGATGTGTGCTGTGACGTGCAGATTCTCTATGACATCACCGGGTGCTGTAAACCCGGCGAGGTGTTGGCGCTCATGGGCCCCAGTGGCAGCGGCAAGACTTCTCTACTCTCCATCATCGGCGACCGTGCCCAATCGTGCGCCTTCTTGCCTCCCCTTACATCTTGCAGTCTTCCAAGATCGTGTGAAGGTCAACAGACCCTGCCCATGTGCCGCAGCATGCTAGCTGGTTCACCCTTGACAGCTCTTCTGCGGTTTCCCCTTTGTGTCCCTACAAGAAGAGAAATGAGGGGGAAATTGCACGTGCAGCTGTAGTGCTGGCTGACATGTATCGCCGGTATGGGCATGCTTTGGTTGGGCAGTGGATGGACTAGGGCCTGCTTTTGGTTGCATGCAGAGAATGAGAGCATGTGGCGGCATGCAGGCATATGAAGCGGGAGGGCACGATCACCTTCAATGGCGAGCCAGCGACCAAGGGCCTCAAACGGCACATCGGCTTCGTTATGCAGGTAGGGCCCAGCTTCTCAGATGGCAAAGCAACACAATGACGATGATTGCAAGAAGTGCAGCCCTGCACTACTTATAAATCCGCGCCAATGGCATCTTCACTAACATATCGATATCCTTGCTGGTGATGCGGAGCTGTCCTGGCATAAACCCGTCATTGAATTCACAGACGCACATAGGGGCGATGTTTCAACCCTGTTGAATTTAGATGCACACCGATTTAGATGCACACCTCTGCAGAGGTCCCGCCATGCACCCTGTGGCCAAATAATCAGATATGATGCTGAGACCGTGGCATCAGTCAAAGGCAACACTGTTGCAGAGATTCTACCGAGCACTTATACTGTACACATGAGCCAGAAATGATGCTGAGGCAGCGGCATGTGCCAGCACATGCGCACACAGGGCGATCTGCTGTACGGTTACCCTGATTGGGGGTGGTTTTAGCATACCGCAGTGAGTAACCTCAGATCCTGAGGCCATGACTCATCATGCGCGCAGGACGACCTGCTGTATGAGAGCCTGACAGTGTGGGAGGTGCTGTACTACGCGGCGATGCTGCGGCTGCCGCGCACGATGAGTCACGAGGCCAAGAAGGAGCGCGTGGCAACAGTCATCCGCGCGCTCGGCATCTGGACCTGCCGTGACACCATCATCGGTGCGACGACCCTTTGTAATCTTTTGGAATGACGTTATTTCCCCGGAAGGGGTTCTGCAGTGGGCGCAAGCTGCAGAACGTTTCCCTCCTGTGTCCAAGGTCGCGTTGGAGGCTTCGCTGTGTTTCTGATTTCGAGGTGTTTGTTGAAGCCTTTGACCGTGGCTGCAGGCGGCTTCTTCAGGAAGGGGATCAGCGGCGGAGAGCGCAAGCGCGTCAGCATTGGTCATGAGCTGCTCATCAATCCCTCTGTCCTCCTCCTGGACGAGCCCACTTCTGGTGAGTCTTCCTATTCATGTGCGGATGTTAAGTTGCTGCACCTTACCTGTGCTGCATGGCTGCCTTTGGACTACAGCCACCGGTAGAAGCATGTTGACCCCTGATTGCCCACAAATTCATTCGTCTTCCAGAAGTGTACAATATTTGAACTCTCGTCCCAACCGAATGGCGCTTCGTTACGAGAGTGTCTTAGGAAAGGGCACAGACAGATGCAGTATTGAATTTGCACATACTGGACCGGACTTTGTTGCATGCACTAGCACCAAGCAGCGCTTTGTCGGCTTGCTTATCATCTCTGGTGCACCTTGGAAGCGTGACTAAGTCCTTAGATGCATGAAAATATGAGCCAATTGCGATTGATATGGTGATTTGTGTGGCTGGGCAGGCCTGGACTCCACAACAGCGATGCATGTGCTGGAGATTCTGCGCCAGCTGGCGGAAGGCGGCCGCGCCATAATCACAACAATCCACCAGCCCTCCTCCCGCCTCTTCCAGACTCTGGACAAGCTGCTGCTGCTCAGCCAGGTACCTTCATGCTCTCTTGGTAGTGGCGCGCTGACTAATTTTCGCTTTCAATGGAAACTTTCTCACTGGAAAGCTGGAAGAGAGCACTGCACAGTGACCGCAAATTGGCAACCAGCTGAATTGGGTCTGCATACTGCATTGTTGTTGACAACTTTGGCTTGAATAAATTCTTGTGGTTTGTATAGCCCATGGTGTCTGAGGTCTCCTGTGTATATATCTATCAGAAAAAGCAATCAGCATAGAAGTATATTTCACAAGTTTTCTTTTGTTGACCCAGGGGCATGCGCTGTATTACGGGCGCGCCCAGCTGGCGGACGAGTACTTTGACCGGCTGGGCTACCAGCTGCCCTACCGTGTCAACGTCGCTGACTTCATCCTCGACCTGGCATCCGCTGATGTCAGCAAGCCCGAAAGGTGCGGCTTCTTTGTTTGAGCGCTGTGGCGCATGCATTTGGGCGACATGTAGGTGGCATTCAGACATTGCTAGCCTCCATTGCCTCGAGGTGCTGCGATGTATACTAGAATGGAAGGTATCCCTTGAATCTTCGTGATGTTTTTCAACAAGATGCTTGAATCTGGTTTTGAGACAGCTCAGGGAAAGGCCAGTTTTTCCTCAGATGTGGTCTCTGCGCACACACCTGAGGAAGTTCCCCCCTTCTACCTTGAGCTGTCTCAACAGCAAGGGTCAAACGCCCTCTGTTCCAGCGCGTACATTTGTTCACCAGCGCACATGTCACCTGCAGGGATGGCGAGGAGAGCAGAAAGTTCCTGATCCGGGCGTCTGAGCGATATTTAGCTCGCCACACGATTGATGGCTACTCTGGCGGCGACACAGCTGGCGCCGAGCTGGCAGCGGCGCGGGATTATGCCGCGGATGAGTCAGCAGATGCTGCTGCCAGCAAGGATGGGAAGGGATCTGTGAAGCAGAACGGGGCGCTCACAAATGGGCACACCAACGGCTTCATGGTGAGCATCTTCCTCGTCTCTGCATTGTAGATAATGGCAGGAACCTATGCTTTTTTTATTGTGTGTTGGCGGCATGTTTAGATGTGTGACACCGTGACGCTGCCAACCTGTCAGCATATGCCCAGCTCTGAGCAGGAGGGCACTTGACTATGTTGGCGTCATCTCGCATCGTCATGGTCATTCATTACGATGGAGATGCTCAGTGACAAGGACCAGTGCTCTCTTGGATCAAGACAAAGCTCTAAATACAGTGTTGCGTGGTCTTGTGCTCCTGCGAATTATGTCAATCAATCGTCACTCTCAGTATGCAGCCACGAAAGAAATATTGTCTCCTCTCTACCAGCGAGTGGTGCACAGTCGTGGTTCCTAATTGTGCGTTTCACTCTCATTCTGTACTCGTCAGAGGGACACCGCACCTCATCTGCCCAACAGACCTGCAGTTATTTCTGCAATCCGTGAATGAAAATTGTATTCACATTCAAATTTGCCACGCGCAGGACAGCGATGTGACGGCAGTGGTAAGTCACAGCGGCAGGGTAAGTGGCTTTGACGGGGTGGACCGGGGGGACCTTGAGAAGGGGGGAGTTGCGGAGTGGCGCGCTCGTGGCCTGCCGCCAGCCCAGTCCAAGGACCAGCGCTGGGGGGCCCCCTACCACCTCCAGTTCCGCATCCTCTTCATCCGGTGAGGCGCCACTGAAAACCTGGTGTTAGTCATTTCTGTCTCACTCACAACAGAAGACATATGACAGCGCTAACCCACAGCAGCAGGCCTTGAAACGATCACTCCTCAACAAAACACTGATTCATTGCTGAGCCCTCTGGCACATGGCGCCAGTTGGTCGGGGACTGGGGAATTGTAATGAGCGTTTAATGAGGGAGTATGCCACATACTCTCTAAGGCTTCCGTTCCGCTCCTGCCGAGGTGGTGACCGCGGCCTGGTGTCAGAGAGATACCGTAGTGTCTAGGATACGGACTGCAGACAACCCCAAGTCGCTTCTTCTGCTGGCAAGCTAGGTGCTTACCTGACACTGCCGACATAATGAGTTGAATTTCAAAACGCAGGGCGGTGCGGACACGGCGCTTCCAGACGCTGAGTGCGCAGGACATAATCCAGTACGTCATCGTGGGCCTGCTCACCGGCTGCTTCTGGTGGCAGCGCGGCGGCCACGACACCCTCGCAGCCTCACAGGATACCCTCGGTGCGCCTCCCTGCTTTCATTAGTGTAATATTTGTAATTTTTCAGAGACCTGTTGGGAGCCACCTGAGGCTCATTGGTCTCGTAGGCAGTGTGCCACTGCCCATTAGTGTAATATTTTAGAGCCCTGTTGGGAGCCACCTGAGGATCGTTGGTCTTGTAGGCAGTCTGCCACTGCCCATCTTCATATCACAAACTTCTCATGTGTCTGCATTTCGTCCGATATTTGGGCAAGCTCAACACTATTATGGCCCGCAAATGCATGCAATAAGGTGGTGCACAACCATTTAAGCATCACATGTGCGCTGTTTGACCCCATCGGTGCTTGTCACCGACAATAACATGACCATGCTTGTACTCCCACGGGTTGTCAGGAGTGGTCATTGGATGGCGTTGACGACTGCCTTGCAGGAGAGGATGTGCATATCTGCTGCCCTGTTTATAGCTTCCTGCGCTGTAGGCTTATTGTGCTAAAAAGGGCATCCCAGTTGAGTGACGCTCTTCTGAAGGCAGCTTTTGGTGCCAAGTGAATACCCTCTCCTCTCTCCGGTTTCCTGCCGTTGTGAGGAGTGGATATTTGCTTTGGCAATCACGATTGTCTTTTGAAGAGGCACTGCAAATGCGTTGTCCTTTCTGATTGTCGGCGCTCAAGGAGGTGGAAACGGAAGAGTGAAGGGGCTTGAAGGGAGCTTGCAGACTGTAGATGTACATGTGGGTTCCAGAAAGCTAACGAGCGCTTGTGTGTGGTGCTGCTGCAGGGCTGCTGTTCTTTGAGCTTATGTTCCTGACCTTCCGCTCCATGTTTACCGCCCTCTTCACCTTCCCAGAGGTAAGGCAATACCTCTGCGCCTCCCATGTGTCATTATATTATTGTTCTTCTCTGCCCTGTGGACATGCAGGAAGCCTTTGCAATTTTATGTTGACATCCTGGACACCTTATCACCGTCATGCATGCTTGCAACAATGCAGTCTTGTGCGCACCGCATGCAAGCTTTTGCACGCACAATTAGCCCAGTCTGACATTGCAGATTCCACAAGCCCAAGGCACAAAGTAAAGACTGCTGTGGGACTTCTGAGTGAAATGAATGGTCAACTTAAATTAAGGCGATTGGATTACTAAAAGTCTGACATGGCACGCATGCAGGAGTACAAGATGCTGCTGAAGGAGCGGGCGAGCGGCATGTATCGCCTGAGCGCCTTTTATTTCGCGCGCACGGCATCTGATTTGCCGATGGACTTCGCGGTGCCGACCATCTTCATCGTGATAATCTATTTCATGGCGCATCTGCGATACACTGCCGAGGCCTTCTTCGGCAACTTCTTCACCGTCATCCTCATGGGCCTGGTATGTTCTTGTCCTTCACGTCTGTGACCTCATCAATCAAAGGTCACAAGGTCTGTGAATGGGTCTGACAAAGTGGAGCGTAGACTATCAAATATGCATGGTGATGTCACCGCCATCCTCATGAGGCTGCTGGGCTCTTGTCCCCACTCCCTAGCGTCTGTCAGGATTCCGCATGCAGGAGACTTGCTCTTGTTCTGAAACAGCGACTGCTCAGGATGGCTGCTTCTCCCTTGTACTTACAGTGCAGGACTGCAGCTCATGCCTGGCAAGCCACAGCTTTCACAGCTTGGGGTATAGGCATCCTTCTAAGGCGCTCATCAGGCACTAGGCATCCTCCTAAGGCATCCTTGCTGGGACAGACGGCTTTCTTAGAGCTGCCAAAGCTCATTTACAACATCATGAGGTTGGTACAAGGCCAGCCATGAGCTCCCTTGTGCAGGGATCTGCGGTTTAGCAGTGACTGCCATAAGTTTCTGGCCAGTTGCTTAGGCGAGAGAAGCCAGCAAGTGATGAGTCACAGCTCATGCAGAGTTTAGACTTATGAGTTGTCCAGGCGAGGTTGTCCAGGCGAGGTTGTCCAGGCGAGGTTGTCCAGCAGGTAGTGGGTTGGAGTTCATGCAGAATTCAAAGTGGTGACTAAGGGGTTACTGCGTTGGTGCACAGGTGGCGCAGGGCTTTGGGCTGCTGCTGGGCACGGTGTGCATGAACCCCAAAACAGCACAGACCATTGCATCCATCGTCGTGCTCGCATTCACCCTCGTCGGCGGCTACTTCGTGCGAGGTAACCACCCTCGCATCTCCCCGGCTCTAGAAACCCCAGCAGTGTCACAGCGATGTCTCTGGTTGTTCTTAAGCAAAATGACCTGCATTTCTTGCTTGATACCGTACAATTGGAGGGATAGTACTGCAGCAGACTTGTGCAAAAAGAAGGCCCCTTCTTTCAGAAAGCAGTTTTGCACCTTCTTGCCATAGAGGTCTTTTGTGGCCTTAGGCTCCAGAGGAATCCAAGTCGTTAAATCATGTGCATGGTGCCCCTCCCATGCAAAGCACCAAAAGAAATCATGGGACCTGAAAGTGGCGCATTTGAATGTATTTCTGAACAGTTTCATTAGATTTCGAGCGGCGCTGACCCGTGTGTTGTGTGCGCGCAGGCATTCCTGCCTGGATCGGCTGGATCCGGTACCTGTCCTTCATCTACTATGGGTTTGGCATGCTGCTGCACATCGAGTACCAGGGGCGCACCATCTACAGCTGCGTGGATCCCAACACAGCCGCCTCCTCTGGCGCCATGAGCGTGCAGGTGCGGTTACTCATCCTTTGTTACTCATTATTATTTTTACAGGTCGGCGAACCCAAAGCCAGAGGCCATAGGGCATACACGTCTGCAGCTACATCTGCGGGGCCTACAGCAGCTTGCAGCCTAGTAGTGATTCACATCTTAATGAGTCTCGAATTCCAAGTTCTCGGGCACTCATTCTGTGTACTATATGTCCACGCTCTGTTGTCCGAGCCTGAATGATTATATTAGCAGTGATCCAAGTCTGCCACGGAGGTGTCTTGTATGTATGTTTCGCTTGTTCCACTTACATTGCAAGCCAGCCCGTTCTCCCCACTTTGCGCTCGCTCTGCTCTGATGTTCGCATATCTTTCTGCCACTGACCTCACCTGTCTCACTGCTCCCACAGGTGGATGTGAAGGACCCAGCAAGCAACCCGATCTGCCACCCAGTGCCCTCCCTGAAGGACACGTTGGGACTGCAGCAGGATCCCAACTCCAACACATGGATTGCCATCGACGCTGCTGTCCTCATCGGCTGGCTCTTGTTCTACCGCATCCTCGTCTACATTGCCTTGCGGTACAAGACCGCGCGGCGATGATTGCCCTTTCGTCTTTGGCACTGATGGCGACGCTTTGCATGCTGGGACTAGCACAAGCCTGCTGCGTATGATTTTCTCATCATCGGGGCGATGCGTGGAAGGGCACCAGACTACGTGCAGCTAATTCCCCTGTCTTCAGTGGCTCTTCTGGGCTCTTCTGAGTGCCCCTTGCAGCCATAGGCAAAAGGAATGGTCTGCGGATGCAGTTCCACACCATCCTGTTGATCCGCCACATACTGATTGAATTGAATCAGGGCGCCTAACCAATCATAATTGGGGATGATTTCCGCTTCCCGAGAGACGGTAGCCAGCTCATCAGATTTGTGTGGCATGGCTGTAGCTGGGTCTCAAGCAAGCCGGATGCAGCTAGCACTTGTGTATTTTGGTTTACACAGGATCAGCGAATGATCTTGCAGCACTAAACCGGTGCAGATGCTGAGATGATGACTGCATGCAAATTGCCCCTGCTGCTATGGGCATATGAACAGTGCGCTGGAGTCTCTGGGAAGCTCAGAAAGCCGGCAGTATCGAATTTGCTGGCCTAATAAGGTAGAATAGATCTTGTTCTCTAGATGGTATTTTCTTTCCAGCGATGGGCCTGTGGCTGAGCAGGCAGTATGTACGATTATTGTTAGGCCATCCTGAACACATGTTAGTGATTCTCTCAGATGATGTGCAGGCTGCCAGGTTCTTCTATAATCTTTAGTGACTTTGCTGTCCTAGAGCTTTACTCAGGAGGGGTGAGACACATTTGTACATAAGTAGGTGATTAGGGAACTTTGAAGTGTCCTGCTCAGATGGGTATGAAGTGACGTCATCTATCCTGGTTTGACAAGTCCCTGGCTGCGTATGAACCAAAACCCGGTCACCGATTTGTGCAAAATGTGCATCTGTAGTACTTGAATGCATGTTTTGTTTCTCATGTCTAGGCTGGATGCAAGTGAAAGTAAAAAGAAAGGAAGACACAAAGTGATGACTTCTGGTACCAGTATTCGTGCGGCTTCAGTTCAACGGGTCCGTGCCTTTGTTCGTAGCCAAGGCATTCCCCGCAGGTCACCTTTTGCTAATCCATTTCATGCCTTCCTGGTTTTTCCGGAAGCCTGATGCCGGAATCCCCAATCGATGCTCGGCCTTTTTTAAACCATTTGCAAGATATGTACAATTGACACAATTCAAGAGTCTTTTCCCCCTTCACGGGTGTATCATTGCCAGTATGTGCTGCATCCCACCTGCCAGCTTCACGCCCCTTCTCCTTCGCCCATCTGGGGAGCAGACGTTTCATAAGGGGCAGGCCACAATCCCCGAAACTCATACAGAGAAAACTTTCCGATGGGTGAAGGACGCCTGACGGATCCTCTGCGTTTGTTGATGTCCTATGACAAATGAAGAGGTGTTATATTCTACGTTGTCCATTTGTATGCCTGGACGAGTAGCGATCCAACAAAAAACCGCAGAGCGTCCTGAGGCTAGGTGCCACGTGTAATAGTGATATTGCCTCCTGCATCAATTTTGGGAGTTTATTCCCTTACATTAAAGATCAGTAGCTTTGTCGTGACATCGGAGCGATCAAATCTGCTGCAGCATGGCGGGCAGTAGAAGGAGCACTGGTGGGGAGTCTTGCACAGATGCTGTCTTGCTCTGGCGTATTCACAGTGATACACCCGTTTTAAAAGCCACCATGGATCGTACATAACAATTGTAATGTGAATGGGCTCTAATGACGAAGCATCTGGCAGGTGACTTTTCGCCCTTGGAGAAGGCAATCGAGACGCCAGCAACCAGACGCGCCACAGGCAAGGGTCATTTTGTGCATTGATTGGTTCTGCGATGTAAAGAAACCATCTTCCGTGTCGAATCCGCCTGTTGCTTAATCTTCTGGACTTCGCAGATGACTTTTCGCCTCTCCAAGGGGGACTCCACTACCCTGCCCCACCAACAGGTGTGGGCCTCCCTCCTGACCCAAGCTATGACTATATATGTATCTTAGAAACCCCTTTAGTGCCTGCATAGCAATTTTCTTATCATCTCAAGGGAAAGAGGCCCAGACGGTGGGCATGCTGACTCAGCACCTGCAACATCTTTCCCGAGACCCCTCCCCTGAAGCTAAGCCACTGCAGGCAGTATACCCTGTCTTCTGTGCCAGTACTAAAGCTATACATGATCTAGGCACATCTTAGTGGCAGTAATAATCGGCAATAATGGTTATCTAGGTAAGGAACTTGTGTCCCTGGCTGGCGGGGGGCCGTATAAAGTCTGAGCATGAAGCCCACAGTCGATTGGGTCTTGCTCGGATCCAGCGAGTGCATCATGTGGGGGGTAGGACTTGCGACAGCCTTGATATGCAGTTTATCTGCAGACTTACCTAACCTCAGGCAGCAAAAAGGTGTAACAATTTTATCTTGTGTCTGGGTTGCAGCGGCGGGCCGGCAGAGCGGCGCGCAGCCGGCTCCGGAGCGGCCGCCGCGCCGCAGCGGCAGCGTGACGGGTGAGTCAGCGCCGCGGAGAGAGTCCAGGGAATCTGGCGCTCCGCCGGGGGCGCCAATCCAGGCGGCCGGGGCCCCCCGCCCCAGCCGGGACCCCCCGGAAAACGGCGGCCGCCGGCCGAGCGGCAGTGGCGCGCCCCCCGGCGAGCGCAGACCGTCGGCCTATCCTGCGGTGTACGGGGCCGGCAGTGAGAGCAACGGCTACCCTGCTCCCGTGCATTACCCTGCAGTCACCGGTGAGAGCGCCCCTTCCACCTCATTCACCCCTGCTTTTCTAACATATTGAGCTTCAGCAGAGTCTACACGGTGACCTCTCATTGCGGGCAAACCTTGCAGTGATCTGCTTGCAGCGAAAGTCCTGGGCGGCATTGATGGCTTTAATTCAACACATGCCCCTTTCTCAAGTTGCAATTTTTTTTTCTTCAGTCAAGCTACCATGTAAGCAGCCCTCCTGAGCGCACCTAAATATGTGCGCGACCTGATCCCTGCAGACGCACCATGGCGGAGGGACAGCGCGGCAGCGGCAGCCGCCGCAGCAGTCGCACACGGCGCGCAGCTGCAGCCGCCGCAGCCGCAGCCGGCGGCGGAATGGCCAGACGCGCACGGCGAGTTGGTCACCTCGGAGGACGGTGCAGAGAAGCCGCCGATGTACAAGGCATTTGCATTCAACGATGCCGAGCGCGCGGATCTGGCGGCTGCCGGCGGCATCGGCATGCTCGGCTACCGGTTCCACCGCAGGACCACCGTCAACTGGTGGGGTGCCCTCAAGGTTCATCTTGAAAGAAGTTGAATTCCAATCCAATTTGGGGTGTGAATATTATGCTTTGAAGGTGCCCAGTGCTGCGCTTGGAACCCGCTGGGCATCCCTCGCGTTTTAATCTGAGTCTGATGGCCTTCACTCCGACAGATGTCTCCATTGCTACCTCTGTGATGCAAATTGTGATCAAGAGCTCCTCTCTGCTTTGCATTATAGTGGCCTTCCCTCTTGTCCTGGTACCCTTCGCCCTGTATTGAAGCTGGGGAAGCCGCATGGAAGGTCCATGTGCCCACTGCAAGAAATTCTATCGAGCATCTTTGGCTGCAGGCTTGCCTTAAGACAGCAACGGCTTTGATGTAACTGTTGACTTAGGTAGGCTGTTACCTGTCGTGGTTGTGCAGGTACGCATGGCTGCTGTTTCTGTTCTACCTGGGAGCTATCGGCTTCTACCTCTACGTGCGAATTACCAAGACCCTCGACCTCGGCAAATATTACCAATGGTGAGTCACGGCTGCCACATCAAATGGTGCTCGTGCCTCAAGCGCTTCTCTCGCACATGTTGATGCCCTTTTCCTTGCAGTAACAGATGTGTCTGCTATTGGATCAACTTGATCCGATGCGATTAAGGGTGCCCTTCTGTCACCCCAGATCACAAGGGAGCAGAGTGCAGCCTGCTCTTTAAGCCTGCGCTGAGCATGTGTCTTTCTTAGGCACAAGATTTCTTTCTAACTATAAAACTGGAGACACCCCCAAGACAGGGAAGCCTGGAAGGGAAACATTGAGAAGTCGCCCTGCAAAGCACAGAGCTCTGTTCGTCGGCACAAGCATCGAAAAGGAGTATCAATATCTTCGGTCTTGGGATTACTTCGATTGTGATTGAGGTGTGATGCATGCAGGTATGGCATTCTTCTGCTGGTGGTGGAGTGCATGGGAGCCAGCACAGTGCTCACCTATGGCATCTGGCTGCTCTACTCCCCAGTGCAGGAGGACTTCCCCGAAGACCCCCACAACCCTGGCCTGCCCAAGGTGCATCTCCCCTGCTATGTAGACCCTTGCTCCCTTATATCAGCTAATCGTATGTGCCCCTTTGTATCGGCCCACCACCACCATGGCATGCATGCAGCCTGCAATCCTCAACAAGTGTGTACTGCCTTGACAAAGCCATCACACAGGCAACATATAAGCACAGGAAAGCCTCTTGTCTTTCTTGCATTGCCAGACTCTTGAGCGTGCCAGCCTCTTATGCAAGCAGGTGAGGTTGAAGCCAACCAGCAGAACAGGATGCTATGCCCAATAAGGCTGCCTCCTCTTTCAAATCCGGATTCAAATCAAGTTTTCTTGAGAGTTGATTGGTTTTGTGCCTCCTTGGTTACTGTACAGGTGAAGCTGAAGTACCATGTGCGAGTTCTGGTCCCCTGCTACAAGGAGGATCTGGACATCATTCAGAAGACTGTCTTGGCCGCTCTCGATGCCACGCTGCCGGCCGGATGCGCTCGGACTGTGTACTTGTGCGACGACGGGAAAGACCCTGAGAAGCGCGAATGGATAGGTTAGAGCCCCCACCAACCCTCGACAGCTTTTATTTGCTAGGCAAAATACACTTGTGCAGTAACGGCGAATAGAAGATCCCGTGACTCGAAGCGGCACTGTACGCATTCCTAGAAGAGCATGCTAAGTGGCTGTTTTGGCATCCCTAGAAGAGCATGCTGTTTCACATCGTCTACAACACAGCTGGTCAACGATACCTGTTGTTGACATTCATACTGATCTCTGGGAGAAAGCTAGGTCCATGACGTTTCCATGCGCATGTCAAGAACGAGGTGAGAATATGATGACGTCATGCCTGTAAAAGGGACCAATAATGCTGACACATGTGATTTCTGTGGTCCTGCCCAGGAACGCTCGGACCGGACGTGGTGTATGTGAGCGGGCGCTTCCGCAAGAACGGCGAGATGAACGGCAAGTCCGGCAACCTCAACAACTGCGCCCGCCAAATCTACCCCCCGGTCAGTCCTCAGCTCTGGCGCTTCACTTGAATGCTTTTTGCATAGGCGGTCATCATGAAGGGAAGCTGTAGAGGGTGGCCTTGGGCTTGAATCCCCAGGAAATTATCCAGTGACAAGTTCTTGCATGCATCCTGATATAAGTACAAGTCTCAACCGGGTACCCGATATTGAGTGTCATGCCACAAGCGCGTTGCAAAAGGAACAACAAGGAATAAAAGGCTTGCCACACAATGGTCTACTGGGAGCATAAAGTTGGCAACGGTGTTTGAGAAACAGAAACCAGTGTTGCAGCTGCAAAAGCAGGTTGCTGCTCGCAGATGCTGCAAGGGCGGTTCATAGGAGAGAACTTGACGAAATTGTTTCGTATTAAGCTTCGCTGCAGCTTGTGTCACTTGCATGACTGATACCTGACTAATCCGCCCTGCCGCAGGAGATCCCCATCCCCGGCAACGAGCTGATGTGCATCTTCGACGCGGACCAAGTCGCGCGAAAATGTTTCTTTCTGCGCACGCTGCCGCTGTTCGATGCCGGGGACGACGTGGGCATGGTTCTGTCGCCGCAGTGCTTTCACAATCTGAACTATCACACGGACATCTTCAACCACTCCAACCGCCAGTTCTGGGAGTACATGCAGCCCGGCTATGACGCCTGGGGATTCATCTCCTGCACCGGTGCGTGCATGCTCCTGTCAACCTTCGTTTTGAACAGGCACACTAGGAACTTCAACGCATGCTGTATGCTGAACTGTCAATTTGGGTTTATAATATGAGCTGGGAATTCAGGTCTGATCCAAGGTCGCCCAAACCGGATATGTGATCTCAGATGCTAGAACAATGCACTGATGCCCTCTTCATTTTTTTTTGTATGGGCATACCTGCTACTTCAGATCAACCAGCACGGCACCCTTCTTGGAGTGTCTCTGCATGCCAGTTGAATTCATTCCACTGAGCTCTGCTGCACGATCAACATTGAATGCAAGGCACAGTGTCACGCTGCATAATGAGCTGTCAGCCATAGCCAAGTGCAGTGGAACAACCTCCGCTTTGCCATGAGCTGAGATGACCAGCGCTGACAGCAAACATGTTTTCCTTGTTGCAGGCACCAATTTCCTGATGCGTGCCAAAGCGTTCATGGAGGCCGGAGGCAGCCCCACGTACACGCTCACAGAAGACTTTGCGCTGGGCATGGAAATGAAGAAGTATGGCTGGCAGTGCCGCTACGTGCAGGTGAGGGGTTTGTGAACATCAATTGGGCTTGTAATATCTTATATATCCCCTGGGGATGCAGGGCTTGTTTTGGCACCGTGCCCAGGACTGGTCAAATGTTAGGATTCTGGGATCAGCTATCTCAGATCCCAGAGACAATGGTCACCTCGCTCCTGCATGCAACTTTCTGGCCAGACTGTTTCTCCCAAAGATCAAGTAGGGCACTCTCAGGGTCCACATAGATTGTAACTATTGAACCCCTTTCAAACCCCCTCTGCGTGCAGGAGTACCTGGCCGTAGGCGAGGCTCCGGACGAGATCCGTAACTGCTTCCAGCAGCGCTCACGATGGACCAAGGTGCTGTCATCCTCCTATCCTTGCGAGCCCTACAGATCTTCCTGAGCTGCTTTGTGTGCTTACCAAGTTTCGTCAGCCAGCCTTTTCCGTGTGGCTTTCACACTGTGGGAAGTGCTGGTCATCTAGGGGGCAGAGCTCCATCTGCATGCATGTTGACATTGGGTGATCATGTGGGCCAGAATCTGCTCTCTCCCAGCCTTTTCACTGGTTCAAGCATCTGCATGCCTGACATGTGCATGCAAGCAATTGGCTGCTGGCAAACGCACCATTGAAGTGAGAGACCAATTGCACAAAACAGAAAGGCAATTACTGGACGTGATCAATGCACACCTGAAGCGCCTTTTCCAGATCATTCTTTGGTCGAGGAGCAGCTTTCAGCTCTCCAACAACAGCGTGTGCATTCTTCTCGCGTGCATGCAAGCAAGTGGCCATTGGCAAACTGCACAATTGAAATCACAGACCAGTCCCGAAGGTGTGATAGGCAACCTTTTCAAACTGACTTCTGGGACGTGATATGCAGGGCCACTTCCAGATAATCCTCAACCCGCGGCGCACGCCGCTGTTCCAGTGGAAGCTGCGGCTCTTTGATCGCATAATGTACTGCAGCGGATGCTGGTCATACACCGTGGGCGCTGTCACCACTCCAGTCTTCATCGCAATCCCCATCCTCACCATCTGGATCGGTGCGTGTTTTGCTTCATTTTCCTTGTGAAATGTGCATGTTGCCGCTGACATCCACATTGGAACAAAGCCACAAAGGGCTTCAGGGATGCAGTGTCTGAGTGGAAAATGGAGCCACTCTAGCAGCAACTCAGTTCTCAAAATCTAAATCGTTGCCCGGATACTTCTATTCTGCCATTTTCAAGCGGCTGCTACCACTGCCCACACCAGCACCAGCTCGCCTTCTTCCCTCTGTGGACAATGTGTGCTATTGATGTGCTGTTGAACGTGATCTCCTTGCAAGTAACACGCTACATGGCACGTGTTTGGCGCTCAGCTGCATTGTGGCTAGAGTCCCCAACTGTTGCTAGGTGCTTCACAACTGTTTACAGATAGAAGTGAACCCTGAGCAAAATTCTGGTGCACATTGTGCTGCAGGGATTTTCCCAGTGGTCATCTCGAGGGAGTTTGCGCTCGCCCTGACCATCTACACGGCTGCCACGCACCTGCTTCTCTACTACGTCCGCAAGCTCAGGTGAATGCCTCGCTTACTGCCTCCAGTTCTGCTCCTTCCTTATACCTATCGGGTTCCCCTGTAAGTTTTTAAGGTAAACTTTCGACGCGGTGGATGAGTGCGGGAGCGCATTAGTGCTATGGCTTGTTTTGTCGGCCCGGTAGCTCCTCTGAGGCAATTTTTGAGTGTTGCATTTGTTTCAGACTGGTATCGTTGGCATTTCACGACAAGGGCCTTCACCCAAGCCTACACAGTGAAGCTCTGTTTCAGAGTGCGGGCTTGTAATGCATGTTGAAGAGAGAGATTCTAACAAGTCTTCATGTGATGTGCCTGACGGTGAATGCATGTGTGCAGCCATTTTGAGGCGTTGTGGTTTGCGAACGTGGCGAACAGCATCCTGTGGTGGGCCTTTGTCAAGGCCTGGTGGCGGGCATTCATCACCCGCCTCTTCTGCTGCTGCTCCCGCATGGCAAGCCCCTTCACCCTGGCTCCACAAGAAGGGAGATAAAATGCTTACCCTAGCTTGCACAGGCTTTTGGCGCACGATCTGACCTGCGCTTCCTCACCTTGATTCACAGGAGTGTGTTTGTTCCAAGAATGATTTCACATCGTGCTGTGAAGACAGAATCCTGTCGCGCGCGTTTGTAGCACCTCCGCAGGCTTCTGCACTGCTTGCAGGCACAGATGGCCACAGCAGAGCATCATTCATGAACGAACAGAATTGCTGCAGCAGCCCTACTTCGTGTTGCCAAGCCAGGTCCTCATCACTCAGTGTGCATTCTGTAGGAAAAACCACAAAATGTCTAATTCTTCGACCGCTTTGTGCTGCAGGCGTTCAAGGCTACTGCCAAGGGCAAGGGTAGACTGGCGAACAGTGCTGCTGGGGACATCTGGCTGCACTGCCTGGCAGTCATTGTGCTCGTTGCCACCATGGCCATCGGCATCTGGCAGCTCGTGGCAGGCGCACAGGTGGGCTCCCCACACTGGACTGCAAAACTTCTTGTCTTTCCTGACAAAGGTCAGGGATTGTCTTGGTGGGCTAGAATTGGGTCGCAGGTGGGTTGCACCCTTGGGACTAGGGAAATGGGTTTTCAGCGAACTGTAGGGATAGACTCGGTAGGCAGGAAATGTTGCAGCTCGTGGCAGGGGCGCGGGTCAGGGTTTCAAAAAGAGTTTCCCAGAAGATTATGACTATTTTTTGGAGGCGCATAATGAAGGAGTTCCAAGTGTACAGATGAGTGAAGCTGGTAGGTGATGCTGGCTGAATGTGTGGTCGGACTGGTAGTGCATGTGACTAACATGTCTTTCATTCTTCTTCCTCCAACCAGAGGTATCATTGAGAATGACATGCAGGTCTCGTCTGCGCTGCAAATGCAGAAATAAGTTTAACTCCCAGTGCTATTAGTTGGAACAGTGCTTTTAGTTGGAACAGGGGTAATATTAATATTGCTACCTTGGTATTTGCGCAGGCGCTGTCTCCGCTGCTGATATCGGTGCTGTGGGCGGCTTTCGCGATGGTCCCCCCCTTCCTGCTGGTGTCCTACGCGGCGGTGGGGGGTCCGGGGGTGATCATGCGAATCCTGTGCTTCTTCTGCGGCATAATCTCCACCGGCACCGGCCTCGCCGCAGTCGGCATTCTCTGGGCCATCCCCAGGTACGAATTCATATCTCAAATGTCAAAAATCTCAAATGCTTGTAAATTCAAAATAAAAATTCAACACTTCAAAAATCAATTGTTTGAGGTTGGGGGAGGTATCGAGTGCAGTGCTTGGCATCCTCTTGGCAATTGCCAAATGGGAATCTGAGTTTGCATATGAGTTTGAACCTGGATTTGAGGTTCGAGGCATGAGCCCTGTTCTGCAATGCTCACTTGTGCTTGTGCTGTTTAAAACGGGGGCATCTTGGTCCCTGCCATGTTTGCCCCGGCTGGCGGGGGCCGGTATAACTACTGAGCACCGTGCCCACGGTTGATTGGGTCTTGCTTGGATCTGACGAGGTTATCAAGGGGTAGGATTCTGGCAGCGTTTACTGCAGCTTGTCTGCAGACGCACCTTGCTTCTGGCAGGAAAAGTGTGTAATAATAATATTAATAATGTTTGCCTGGACGCATGTCTGACAAAAGTGCATGGTGTCAGAGTGCACAAAGGAACGTGTGGTGTGGTGTCTGATTGGGGCTGTGAAAGTATGAGTCCCTCCCAGATATGATGTCACCAGCTGCTGATGATGCTTCTGTGAAGATTACTGATCGTGATGCATGTTGTGTTGTGCAGCTACAACTCCAAGGAGTTCAGCGGGGGCTTGATATCCCAGAAGGACATCGGAGTCCTCTTCAGGTACATTCACGACGCGCCACAGCGCTTTGGCCGCTGATAGCTGTCTTTGCTGTGGACAATCTACTTGAAGATGTGTATTTTTGGGAGTCCAGGAAGTCATCCATTTAATCCCGCAGATATTACTATACCATAGCAGTTGCCTTTTACAAGAAGTTTTTGGGTCTGTTGTGAAGTATGAGCTGGGCAGGAATTATTATACAAAGCTACAATCGTGTCAGCGCCATGTGTGTTCTGTTTGAGCTGAGCCTGATATGGCGGCTTTCAATCAAAATAGGCACGTTACTTATCGAGAAACAGGGGACAAGTCAGACCTGGGTGCAGCATGATGTCAGGAAACATTGATGGTGCCTCAATATCAAAATTAGACCCACAGTATTGATTTTGTTGAGAGTTATCTTGGACAACGTACCTGTGGCTCTGTGTAGCTCTGGCCAGTGCCACAAGAAGCATGCAACTGGATTTGAAGGCGGCAGGCAATTCCATGCCGAGGTTATTTGGTTGGGTGGATTGCCATTCTGAACAGGTCACTGTATGGCCTGTGTGTGCCCAGTGGGAATGCCGGTTTCAGCTGTAAGAAAAATTCAATGGAATGCACCCGCATGCCATGTTAGTGACCATATTAGCTACTACATTTCTCCGGTGGTAGCGGGTAGTGAAGAGTACTTGTGAAGGTTTTGCATCAATGGCCATGGACACTATCCAACATGGTGATACTGTAGCATGTTGTCTTGGCACTTGCATTTGCTTTGGGAAACTGCTTTACTACGCTCACACACGCATGCATTGGCCACTCTCGGGAAGTCCCTCGGCCCACCTCGACAACGTAGCTGCACTTACGTTAATTTGAGTTCGTAAGAAGCGTATGGATTTGAACTTCCGCCAGTCTCCATCGTGACTGCAAAGCATCATTGTCGAGGCCTCGTTTTACTTGCAGTTCCATCATTAAAGTGCTGAGTCAGGCGATTGTCTCATAAGTGTCTCAGATCAGATCATCTGTGGATCAGCAATGGCGTACCAGTGTGTTGTGACAGGAGCCACAGGGTAAATGTCTTGTAACTTGAGCAGGGTGAAGCAGATAAACTATATTTTGCGTAAGAATTCATTCTGCAATTCTTGAATATTTCCTTGTCGCAGGTATGTTGCATCGGAGCTAACCAAGCAGTTGCTAGAACGGGGGTATAACGTGAAGGGGACAGTCAGAAGTTTGAAGAGCAGAGAAAAGATTCAGCATCTGATCAATCTGGGGGACGCCCTACCTGGTCGGCTCACGCTGCACGAGGCAGATCTCCTGTCAGAGGGAAGCTTCACTGGCATCGTGCAAGGCGCAGATTTTGTCTTCCACACTGCGAGCCCCTTCTTCATCAGGTATGGATTTTTATGCATTTCCAGTGGCCGCATGCATGGCAGATGTTGCTCATAAAAAGCCATGCCCCTTCCAGCACTTGTGACCTATGTGATGACAGCACTTACCTGTCATCTGCAGGGGCATTGAAGATCCTCAGACCGAGCTGGTCGATCCTGCGGTGAAGGGCACGAGAAATGTCCTCAAAGCAGCAATCAAGAGCAAACACACTGTGCGCAGAGTTGTCCTGACATCGTCCATGGCAGGTGCCAGCACTGCCAAATCATTCCTCTACTCAGCCCTGTCAGCAGGCTTTGTGTGAAAATTGTTCCTGGGGCCAGACAATGCTGTGTGGTTGTTGCAAACTGCTGAGCGCTGCAATATTCTGCAGATCGTGCTGATGAACGGTGACTGCTTTGCAGCGATTGTGAAGGTCAAAAAGGGCCCCAGCAATGCCTCCTTGTACACAGAAGAGGACTGGAATGACGAGAGCTCCCTCACAAACAGCCCCTACATGTACAGCAAGGTGAAGCCTATATGGAGAATGCACCCAAGTAGCACCCCTGTTCGTGGCTTTTATCAGGACACTGCTTGAAAAACTCTCCATCATGCCAAGCATCAGCTGCCAACTTCCCTGTTTTAATAGCAACGTGCTCTGACTACTGATCCGCCATGCTAAAAGGTCACACATGTCCTGCTTGCTACACTTGCAAATTTGCAATGTGATTGATTGTGCTCTTGGGCTCGAGGTGTCTCGTATGGGTATGTTGCATGCATTACATTCAGGTCAGGAGGCAGCCCTTGCTTGTGACTCAAGCGCTCCCTCTGTCTTGGATTTCTGCATTTCCTTATTTTTCATTCGGATTTGTGACGAGCGCTTCCCAGTCAAATTCTCATCGTGAGATTGCCTGTGCACAGACAGAAGCAGAGAAGGCGGCTTGGGCATTGGCAAAAGAGGCGGGACTGGATCTGGTGGTGATCAACCCCTCTCTGGTGCTGGGCCCTGTGCTCACCAACCGAGCCGACTCCACCTCCATCCAGTTGATGAAGGCGAGTGGTGTTTCCCACCTGAAGGCGCAAGTTCATGTTGGAGAGAGCAAAGTGCACACTTGCTGCGCCGTGCCGGCGTGCTGTGCACGCTTCGGGCGCCATTGGGCATCAACCAAATCACCTTGTCTCTGGGTGATCGAGAATATCAAGAGAATTTTTGTCAGAAGAGATTTGTCAGAAGAGGTGGCCAGGTGGGAGAGGCACTACTTGAATCCAGGGTGGCATCATCAGAAGACCTGGAAACTTCTCCTCGCTGCACTGCAGGCAGCCGACACACCATCTAATCAGCATCAGTCCCCTGTTACTTGGCTTTGAGATCGCCGGGAGCTCTGCAGGTTCAAGTACTTCACAACGTTATATGTTAAATCATGTTCAAACTGCAATGTGCAGGAGTTTGTGGAGAAAGTAGCAAGCACGATGCTGGCGAGGCAGGTTGATGTGAGGGACGTGGCCAGGGCGCATGTGCTGGCAGCAGAGGTGACTCATCGATTTTCAAATTTGTATTCGAGTTCAGAACTGTTAGCCTTATGCTTTGGTGCAGGGATTGACAGGGCCTCAACAGAGGTCCAGGTTTGCCCAGACAGCTCTGGAAGATGTCAGTAGGCAACCCAGTGCCGAGGATACATGACTAGTTAGCAAATTTGGACTGAACATCACATCTGTCATGTATTCTGAATCTGCAACCTGATGGATTGAGGTATTATGAACTGTCGTCAAACTAAAAGGGGAACTTGTCTGACACACACAGCATGTGCCGGCAGGTGCCAGCAGCACAGGGGAGGTACATTCTATCGCATGACTCCACGGTGTCCACAAAGTTCCTATCAGACATCCTTTCTGAGCATTTCCCCCAGTACAGCTTCCCTGCAGGCGAAGACACGCCCTCGCAGAGACTGGTTGACAATAGCAAGGTGAGCTTTCTACCCTTTCTGCTGTTTAAGTGGCAAGGACATATTACAACAAGATTGGGGGACTACGGGGAGTACAGTGATGCTTCTGCGTTAGTGCACACGTCAGAAATGCAGATGTTGTATTTTGTGTCCTGGGCACATGCTGGAGTTGAGAGCTCTGCTTGATACTTCAAAATTTGAAGGGAGTCCACAGGAAGCCAAGTTTTTGGGATATTCTATTGACAATCTGAATCTCAGAACCTTTTTCCTGGTGTCTCTAAGCAAGACAAGAAGTGGCTGGCATCTTATCTCACATTATGCTCTGTTCATTTGCACGCAGGTTGGCAGAGAGCTTGGACTGCAGTTGAGACCCTTGAGGGAGACATACGTTGACATGGTCACCACACTCATACAGCAAGGGATTGCTGCGCCAGTGGCGAAATAATGGATTGCAAAAAGCTCATATAGATAGATTAGCACAATTTATGCAGATTGCTCCGGCTTGCCCTTATGTAAGCATACTGGTATATGTATTGGTACTGGTGGTGATAGTATACTGAGCACCGCGCCCGCGGTTGATTGGGTCTTGCTTGGATCTGGCAAGTACATCAAGGGGCAGGATATGTGGCAATCCTTATATTTTTAGCTTGTCTGTGGACGCACCTTGCGGCTGCTGGAAGAACTTGTACAAATAATTATTTATTGAAATGGCTGACGGGTCGTCACTAGTCATGCATGCGCATACCTTCCTGATTGACCTGTAGCGTTAACAGTCAAGAGTAAGCCGCTGCGAATCACTCTGGGATTTCTAAAAGGGCGATTACCCGAAAAGCGCATTTGAAGTTGTCAGGGAATTGCCAACATGCCTGACGGCAAAGTTGCCCAGGACTAGGTTGAAGACTTAAGAATTACGGTCGTGCTTGAAATCAATCTTAGAGTAAATCCTATCCGAAACAACCAGAATGGAGCATGGAGTGATTGAATGTTTGCAGTAGGCGGCAAAAAAACCGTTCAGCATTGATTCAACGCAGGTCCACTAGCTTCCTGGGCCTGCGAAGCTGGAAGCTGGCTTTACGTAACATTCAAACTCGTTAAGGTCGTTTCGATGCCGAGCCCCTCAAGTAAAACAGGAAACTTTGGCTTGACTACCGCAAGGACTGCTTGTTAGTCCGCTGAGGGATTGCTGGTACACCAGGTTGACTCCGAGACGTCTCAGATCAACACTCGGACCGGCGATGGCTTACCTGTGCGTGGTAACGGGGGCTACTGGGTGGGTTTCATGCCAATCAAATCTCGACGTCTTATTTACTTGTGGCTTGCTCCACATTTGTGTCACTCAGACATAATGCTATTCACCCAGGTACGTTGCATCGGAACTGATCAAACAGCTCTTAGAGAAGGGTTACAGCGTCCGCGGAACCGTCAGAAGCCTGAAGAACAAGGACAAAACTCAGCATCTAATCAATCTGGGGGATGCCCTACCTGGGCAGCTCACGCTCCACGAGGCAGATCTCCTGTCTGAGGGAAGCTTCGATGATGTCGTGAAAGGCGCAGATTTGGTGTTCCACACTGCAAGCCCTTGCTTCTTCAGGTGTGCATTCAACCCTTTCTTTAGCTGGCCGCATGCATGGCAGAGATTTGTCACAGGGGCATAGTGACTGGCTGCCTCCACCACACATATGACAGCACCCTGCTCTCGCCTGCAGAGACATACAGGATGCCCAGCTTGAGCTGGTAGATCCTGCGGTGAAGGGCACCAGAAACGTCCTCTCAGCGGCAATCAGGAGCAAAGACACAGTGCGCAGAGTTGTCCTGACATCATCCACCGCAGGTGCCCCCTTCCCCATATGCACACATTTCCTCTTCTTGTTCAGCCCTTTCTAAAGTTTCCTCTAAAGGTTTCTGCTGTGGTGAAGCAATGGTGTGTGACTGCCTCGTTATTGTGTGGGCTGCAGCTTTTCGAGCTGCATTATGCTCCAGATATGCTGACCAATAATGTTTGTGCAGCGATCGTGAAAGGGAAAAAGGGCCCCAGCAATGGCTCCCTGTACACAGAAGAGGACTGGAATGATGAGAGCTCCCTCACAAACGGCCCCTATATGTACAGCAAGGCATGTGACACAGCAGAGCATTGGCTGTCAAGCACGCCTATCTGTTTTGTGTGCTTCAACCAACTGTTGCTTTGACTATAGGGATAGGTGTTACTCCTCATAGATGCAAGGTCTGTGTGTTACTCCTCATAGATGCATGGTCTGTGCGTTATTGTTCTGTGTGGAGGCTGGAGCTGCAAATGGTTTGCCAGGAGTATCACATACCTTAATGGCCTTGTGATCAGTGGTGGACTTCTCTCACCCACTTAACACATTTACGGCGCATGACTGCGAGATACACTACTGTTATAGGAATAGTATACCGCATAGGATGCTACTGCGCATATTAGATAAAGTTTATGTGATTGAACCTCATGCCAGATTGTCTAATCCGCATGTGGACACACAGTGCAGAATCTCACAAGGCCGGTCATGTGTGCAAGCAGGTGCAAGCAGAGAAGGCAGCTTGGGCGCTGGCTAAAGAAGCAGGCCTGGATCTAGTGGCCATCAATCCCTCTCTGGTCTTGGGCCCAGTGCGAAGCAGCCAAGGGGATTCCACCTCCATAAAAATGATGAAGGTGGGGCACCCCTCTTTCTGCATCCGGAGGTCTCTAGGAGGTTTGGTACATGCCTAAAGATGCTGCCAATTTGGGCTTACCCATCTACCCTGACATTGGGCACCCAAGAGATGGAGACTGCATGAAGAGGTTTGGGTTCAATTTACAGTCGGCGGCTTCTGATTGGATTCCATTTAGGTGCCGCGTTGCCCGATGTCAGGATATGCAGTCCAATCAGTAACATGAGTGATATATAGTTAGATAAGTAGTTAATAGGCAATGTGCAACGGGGGTCTTACATTAAGATTAACCCACTTTGTGTCCCATAGAATAATCGACCCTTCATCGACCATAAACCCTAAATCCACCATTGCATTCCCCGTGACAAATTATTAGTGTAAAGGCCCCTTCCCTAAACCCAAAGCTAAACTGGGTGAAGAATAACGTCAAGGGCAACGGGGGCAGCAAGCACAGAACTGATCAGCACTGCAGGCTTTGTCGTCAATCAGAGCTGTGTCATGCTCTTGCCGAAGAAAATGTGTGCTGTGCAGGATTTTGTGGAGGATACAGACACCACAGGAATGGCGGCATTTGGAAGGCAGGTGGATGTGAGGGACATTGGCAGGGCGCATGTGCTGGCAGCAGAGGTGATCCTACCGTACGGCAATTCTGAGCATTGCAAAGATCGTGATCTGTGCATATTTGAGAGTTGAGTCAGATATGACCGCGCCTCCACTTGCCGAAAGTGCAATCGTAGTCTCACCTTTGCCCCGCTCAAAACTCCGGGAGCTGCAAGACTCCTGGCTCATGACATCTAGAGTCCTGTTTGGCTTTGAGCATCTGTAAATGCATTTTTTTCCCCCATGAACTCATCAAAGGAACCATTCTAGCAGGGTTGAGGCATCATTGCCATGATCCATGCCAAGAAAAAGCCCTTTCCAGCTGTTCGCGAGCAGAGCTATTTGTCTGACGGAAGGCACATGTGTCGGCAGGTGCCGGGAGCACAGGGGAGATACATCCTATCGCACGAGTACAGCGCATCGACAAAAGACATTTCAGACGTCCTCTCTGAGCGGTTTCCCCAGTACAAATTCCCTGCAGGCGAAGACACACCCTCGCAGAAAACGGTCGATACCAGCAAGGTGAGCTTATTTCTTTTGCTCTGCTTTTACTTGACAACTCAGGACTGGCCATGGTTTACTGCTGCTTCAAGGTTCAGATCATCTGACTGAGATGAGACGTTTCATGACTTCGTATGGACGTGCAGATATCACACGAAAATTGTTCCTTGAAGATGCCAGGTTACTGAGTGTGCTCAAGCAAGAATACTGGTGACATGCATGTGATGTCAGATGCTCTGTTGTTTTGTGTGCAGGCTCGCAAGGAGCTTGGACTGCAGTTGAGACCGCTGAGGGAGACGTACATCGACATGGTCACCACGCTCATACAGCAAGGGATTGTCAATCTAGTGGCCAAGTAGTTGGCTTCTGTTTTATGTACACAGTGCAGCGTTTGACAACCCAGAAAGTCCCAGGGGGATTGCCCAGTGACGAGGGGGAGAGGGGGCTGAAGAGGGGGTATTAGTATTAGTATAACGCGCTTTTCCTGCCAAGAGGCAAGGTGTGTCCTGCAGACAAGCTGCATTTAAAGGCTGCCACAATCCTACCCCTTGTCGGACTGGCCAGATCCAAGCAAGACCCAATCAACCATGGGCACGGTGCTCAGTATTTGTACCGCCCCCCGCCAGCCGGGGGTCACCCCGAGGAGATTGGCCCAGGCACTCCTGTGACAAGGGGGTGAAGCCCCGAGGTTGCCTGGGGAAAGTCCAGGGTGACCCCGACTCTTTCGGGCAGATTAATGTAGGATTGGCTGCCCCCTATCATTGATAGGTCTGATACCCAATCTATGCATGTAGAACAATTGCATAATCGGCATGCTTAAAGCCAAAACATCTACTCTGCGAGGCTTCAATTTGGGGCTTCCCCGAGACAAGATATAGATTGTGTGGGGTCACCCCGGCACATCACAATTTTGCTGCCATAAAGTCTGGGGCGTAGCCCCACTTTTTGGCTTAATTAATCGCGCGAGCCCGGGTTTCTGGCCACCCCCTGTCAAACTCTGACACTGTGTAGTTTAGTAGGCACTTGCAAAATTGTTGGAGTGCGTGCTATTACGTTCTTGAGCTGATCATATCTGAATAATTTACATGCATGTGTACCTGCTCTGGCCAGTCATTGGCCATGATGGCTGCATCATCATTGTGATGACAGAAGTATAATCTGACGATTTTAGGCCAATCTACTTATATTGTTACTACGAGGAGATCGAAACTGTTGGAGTGCGTGCTATTACGTTCTTGAGCTGATCATATCTGAATAATTTACATGCATGTGTACCTGCTCTGGCCAGTCATTGGCCATGATGGCTGCATCATCATTGTGATGACAGAAGTATAATCTGACGATTTTAGGCCAATCTACTTATATTGTTACTACGAGGAGATCGAAACTGTTGGAGTGCGTGCTATTACATTCTTGAACTGATCATATCTGAATAATTTACATGCATGTGTACCTGCTCTGGCCAGTCATTGGCCATGATGGCTGCATCATCATTGTGATGACAGAAGTATAATCTGACGATTTTAGGCCAATCTACTTATATTGTTACTACGGTGTATACTCTTTGCTACAATCTTGGCCTCGCTCGCACGATGTACAGATGCCTGGATGGGTCTTCACATCCGGTAAAGTGTAATGGAGTGTCATGTTGAACATCCTTGGAATGCAGCTTCCTCACCAGCGGCAGCTTCGCAGCGACTACTTCTTGAGTGTCGGAAATTTCGTCATGGCATTTCGTAAACTAAGCGCTGCATTTAGGACTTTGCTTTACGTATTCCTCGTCGGCACACTTTCCTTCAGTAACATCTGTTTATACAGGCAGAAAACCGAGCGCTCTATAGTAAACAGACTTGTCGTTCAGCTGACACTTCACGATGGCTCTCACAGTGACCGTGACCGGGGCGACGGGATTCATCGCAACGGAACTAGTAAAACAATTGCTCGAGAAGGGATACGATGTCCGTGGAACTGTGCGCAGCCTTAAGAAGGAGGAAAAGGTAGCACACCTGAAGGCTCTTGATGCAGCTCTGCCTGGCAATCTCACCCTGCACGAGGCAGACCTCCTCGAAGAGGGCTCCTTTGACGAAGTAGTGAAGGGGGCGGACTATGTATTTCACACCGCCAGCCCATTCTTCATGGGGTAAGTTTTGAGTAATATCGGCTACCTAACACACCATTATACAGATGCTGTGCAGTGCACTGAAGCTGCGAGAAATAAATTGTGCAGGGACAGTCCAGATGCTCAGAAAGACCTCGTGGATCCAGCAGTCAAGGGCACCACCACAGTCCTGAGATCTGTAGCGAAGAGCAAGGGCTCGGTGAAGCGAGTCGTGCTCACATCCTCTGTTGCAGGTGTTTGCCAGCCTCTCACACACTCTCACCCATTGGCTCCTGCTATTTCTAAAATTGATGGACACAGCAGCTGCTCTTCGTTGCTCTTTAGTATGTGTGTTCGTGTCATTATTTATCCCTGACCCCGGGGGGCTGTACAAATGTTGAGCACCATGCCTACAGTTGACTGGGTCTTGCTTGGACCTGGCGAATACATCAACAGAGATGACCTGTGGCAGCATTTAATGCAGCTTGCCTGCAGAAGCAGTTTGTCGCTGGCAGGAAAAATGGTGTCATAAATATACTAACTCATGTTTTGTGCTGCAGCCATCATGAAGATGAAGAAGGGTCCCTTGAAGGGCAAGGTATTCACAGATCAGGACTGGAACGACGAGAACACTGTCTCAGACGGGCCTTACATGTACAGCAAGGTACTAGAATTTCTCATCACGACATACTTTGCCTCTTGAATCTGCCCTGCTGCAATAACTCTGTCTTGCACAGTGGGCCATTGGGCAAGATTATTTCGATGTGACTTGCTCTGGCTTCAATCTGGCTGCAGCAGCAGTGCCTTCTTGTACTTTTGGTCAGTTTCCAGAACTCAGCAATGTGATCTGCGCCTTTGATTTGCCTTGGTGTGATTCTTCCATTTGAACATGCCTGGACAGGATTCCAGCGGTGTGCAGCCTTTGAGATTCTCGTTTGAAACGGGTGACTGTTGCACTGATTCTGTTCCATTTGGTGCTGGGCAGACTGAGGCCGAGAAGGCGGCAAGGGCGCTGGCAGAAAAGGAGGGATTTGAGATAGCGACAATCCACCCTGCATTTGTCATGGGGCCAGTCATTGCTGCCAGGGCAGATGCAACCTCCATCGTCACAATGAAGGTGAGTCATGCAGCGTGAAACTGGTATAAAATGCCATTTCCGCACCTACCTACCTGAATGGCTTGTCTGGAAAGTATCTGTCGAGTTGTGCTCTGTGCTAAGACGCATTTGTGTCTCTGTCAACTGGCATGCCTGGCTGGGGAATGAGTCTGACAGGTGCAAGTGCAACGGTCGTTTGAGGGTAGCAAAAATTCGAATTGCCATGCGCACACCACCACTTAGGACTCTTTTAGAAGAGCATCTGATGAGGTTTGACTTGCATGCTTGCCAAAAGACAGTCTTGTGTGACTTGGGGGTCTTCGAGTGGAGAAATGCACCTAATGAGTTGTGCCCTGCTGCGTGGGAAAGGGCGCTCGCTCCTGCCTGCAGCTATTTGGGAATGACAAGAAACTTCTAGTCCTGTGGCGGACAGATCTTGGTTTCTGTTTCCTGATGGAACGTCTCTCCTGACTGTGATCTTGGATATCTGTGGCATAGGGGTTCATTGAGCATGGGGAGTATTCCTTCTTCCCCTGGCACTGTGACGTGCGTGACATCGCCCGCGCACACATCCTGGCTGCCGAGGTGAGTCACCTCCTCATAACCCCTGACCCTCCAATTGCCCTGGCCCACAGGCGCCAAAACATGCCATTTCAACTGGGCACCTTCTCTTAAGTTCAAGAACGTTGACTAAGATCAGCAGATCATGCTATTTGCGGCTAAGCTCCTGTGCTGGCCGCGTGTGGCATTCCCTTCCCCACATTTGTTTACAGTGTTGCTGCACGCAAATGGAGCATGTATGGCATGCGATTGGAATAACGTCAAACTGCTTGTTCCAGTGGTGCTGGTTGCAATGACAAGATCTTGACAAGATCCTGCAACTTGCGATTGTTATAAGGGCGCTGATGGCATATATGTGGCGTTCGATCTGTGCAGGTGCCTTTGGCAACCGGCCGCTACATAGTGGCACAGCCTCCGGTGCCCACGAGCTACCTTTCCAAGGTCCTCTCAGAAAGGTTCCCGCAGTTCAAATTCCCGGCTGGCAAGGAGGATGACTCCAGCGAAACCTCATATGACACCAGCAAGGTGCGTTTAGTCGTCTTTCTAGCTGTTGAGCCTTGCCTAGTAGAGAAAGAGATATGCAGACAATACCAAGGCGGCTATTTCCACCTGTCTTCTGCCTCAAAATGGTGATGACGTGGCATGCCTTGATTACCAATGTAGCAGGCCAGGGCATGTGTTGCTTGCCCCTCAAATGATTGTTTTCCTGGCTAGTAGGCTTGCGAGCGTCTTGGCGTGGTCTTTGTATCATGTTTTGTTGCTAGATTAGTGCCAATCCTGGATCCCGATCAGAGTGTAGAGGAAGAGACTTCTGAGGGCTGCATTTGCTTTGGTCTGCTGCACAGAGCAGCTCGAAGCGACAGTAATCAGGTCCCAAGAAGCAAGAGCAGCTTGAAGGGACATTTTTCAGGCCCCAAGAAGCAAAACTTCAGCAGGAGTTGCATGCATGACCGTCTGCACCTTTGCATGACGCTGAAATTTTCCTGGGCATGGGTGCAGGTTGAGAAGGAGTTGGGCCTGCGCATGCACCCCCTGAAGGAGACATACGTTGACATGGCGACCACGCTCATCCAGCGAGGCATCGCCAAGCCTGTGGCAAAGTGAGCGTTGCCAAAGAGAGTGGCAGTTTTCCTCGGGTTGCATGAGGACGTATTCTGTTAAGAATGCGCGTAGAGTTAGACAGCACAAGGGTTGTGAATATGCGGCAGACTGTTGCCGCGGCCGGCTGGCAGTGTTGGGCTGGAGTGCCCAACGAAGGAGCTGGGGTGATGCAATGAATGATGCACAGCAATGGATGTATTTATCACATCAGAACAGGTCGTTTAGGATTCAGCTCGGCACTTTTGTGTGTGGGTGTGACAACGTGACTGAAGTTGTTAACATCGGGATTCTCAAGGAAGCTTGAATGCAGCTTTGAAGCATCAAACTGAGCATCTCAGATTGACCAAAGCTCCTGCTCTGGGTAGTGAGCACGTGTAAATTTGCATGCCTCCAGTGACCGCAGCAGTGCTTATAATCAGAGCTCCAAATGCAGCATGGCGGCGATGTGTACAGAGATGTGTACACGTACAGCGCTGGCTATATAGTGCAGCCTTGCCAGGTCACTGTAGCTGCATGCAGCAGAAGTATTACAGTGTCTTGTGGCGGCTGATCACGTCAACAGCAGTGCCACACTTCGGAGCAGGACAGATCACCCTCACCAGACTTCCTCTTTCTAGCATGAGGGGGGAAAATCTCAGTCATCCAGTCCACGTGGCCCCTCGTGACTGTTCCGTGCACGTGAATTCACTTGCTGGGCATCTACCGCGAACTTTGCTTCTCCGCCGCTTCGGTTTTTCAAACCCATAGTCCAAAGGCGAAAGTAGATCTTCTGGCTTCGATTGCCGTGGGGAACTGCCCAACTCATTGCGCTGTAGGAGATTGACAAAAGGGGAGTTGTCAGGCCGTTGCTTCGTATGTGGTACTTTTGCAAGCTGTAATGGCGTCGAACCTCCCCACTTCCGCCTCTCAGGTACTTGTTCGACAATAATGAAGCTTACATTTGATCATCTGCTGTATCCGCTCATTCAATCGTCTGGGGGTGGGTTCCTGAGATCAGCTCGTGATGGTCTGCAATTAGCCCTGTCGTACAAGAAGACTAGCTGCCACTGCCACTTCATTGCTCAAAATATAGCTTTTCAGCATTCCAGACGTTGCACCTTGGTTGTGTGCGGTCGCCATTCAGAAGAATTGGTTTGGTGGGTGTTCCAGGCAGTTGCATGACACCTGCGATGGCTGCTAGAAAATTGCCCCACGTGAGCGCCGATATGGAATCATCTCGAGCTCCTGACAGTGGCCAAGCGCGCCTGGAGGCGTTAGGCTACAAACAGCAGCCTCGCAGGTCGTTTGGTTTCAGATCCAGCTTTGGAGCCAGCCTCACGCTGATGTCCTGCATCATGGGAATCACAGGTGCTTTGATACCACCTCTACAATAAGCTAAACGACACATATCTTTCCCTCGAGGGACCCTTCTCAGTGAGCCAAGCAGCAATGAGCTTCCTTGTCTACGACGATGTACAATGCACGACGCCATGGCAGCTCAGGCAGAGTCTTGTGGATGCAGCTTCGGTGACATACACATACCATGATGGGGGGCCATTGGCTGCTGTATGGGGCTGGGTGGCTGCCTCCCTGGCGAACCTCCTCATGGCCACTGCCATTGCAGAGTTGGTGTCAGCCTACCCCGTTGCTGGCGGCTCCTATGTCTGGTATCTCCCCTACCCTTCCTTGATTTAACATTTTCTTGTCTTCATTCTTCCTGCATGCCTGCTGGTAGCTCAGCGATCAGAAAGGCGTTGCGACAGGAAGTTGTACAGGAAGTTGTACAGATGGCAGGATGCTGCGTTGTGACTCCCCAGATTTACAGGTGAGAATATTGTGCGCAGGTGCCTGGAGTTGACCGATAACAAGCCCGAGTGGACGCTGCTTGCCTGGGTGACAGGTAAAAATTTTCAGCTTTTCCTCAGAAGCCTTCTCTTTCGTGCAGTATTTTTTGTTCCGCTGTGGCCTTTCTGTCAGCTAGCAACAAGCACACTGCTGTGATCGCGCCATGTCATTCTTCAACGCCACTTCAAATCCCAACAAAACTTGTGATGAGCAGTGCTCAGCTTGTCTTAGACCACATGTTTATGCATGATATCTTCTGTTTTCTCGCCTGCGCACATGTTGCATGTCAGTTGCATGAGACCCTTCTGGTTGCTGGCATGAGCAGGATGGCTCAACATTGTGGGTCAGTTTGCCATGACGGCGGTGAATGCATACTTTACATCCAAGCTCATCACAACCATCTGGCTCCTGGCGGGAGGGCGTCACTCGACAAACTTTGATGTCTTCCTCATCTATTCCAGTGCGCCCCTGCCTGCAATTCATATCCAGGGGTCAATCCTGTGTGTCCCTTGCAATCTGTAATCACAGGTGGTGTTTGGACATCTGCCTGGAAACTAGGTCAACATTGAAAACTCACATTTGTCTGCTGGATGAAGAATACTTGCCAATCTGTACGTGCTCTTCGCAGGGTGTAAAGTTAGACATTCAAGAACTGAGAATCTCGTTGTGATCTGGGTTTCTCTGTCTTTAAAAGCAATCTCTTCCTGAGTACTTACTGCCAACTGCTCTCAGATTTTCTCTGAAAAATGGGTCTAGTCTGCACTGTAAAAACAGTCTATTTGCTGTGCGCACAGTTTGCCTGCTGCTGTCCGGAGTGGTGGCATCTTCTCCGACAGATGCCCTGCGAGTGTTTGCCACGTATTCTGGGGCGTTTCTGGTGACAGCTGGCGCGTTAGTCATCGTCGTCCTGCCCATGCTGGCGCCCTCTCTGCAGCCCGCCAGCTTTGTGTTTCTCGGCGCCCCCGAGACCCAGTTCGACAGTGTTTCCATCAGCACGTGAGCTCCTCCCCTACCGACTTTTGTGTGCGCATAGACAGTTGCAATTCTGACTTGCACAACAGATAAAGCTTGAGGAGACCTCACCTGTGCATGTGTCTTCTTGATTCTTGCGGCTATTGAAACCTCACTTCCAGGGAGGGACGTCGAGATTGACGCATGTGGGAGAAGCATTATACTGCAGTGAGCACTATGTTGCTGAATTCGGACATTTTTTTACTGCATGTGTGCCATGCTGCAGGTACATGTTCCTGATGGCTCTGCCAAAGGTCAACTTTGCTTATATCACGCCACAGACGTGCGCCCTCAGCCACAGTGCAGCCAAGATTCTATTGCACAAATGCTGGATGTCACGCATGCACAACCTTGCCTGTTGCTCAGCGTGAACAAGCCGAATGTCAGACATCTTGCCAGACATCTTTGACTTTCCTATGGTCTTACAATGTGTTGTGTGAAAAAAAAAAAGTGCTACTGTGCACTTGACACAAACAGCAAGAACAACCCATGTCCTGTCTGTTCTTAGCTGTCCACTGTGTGGTGCTGTGACGAGCTCTGCAAACGATCAGTAACCTGCACGAATGCCATTTACTGAGGATGCATGTGGGTGGTTCTGCTGTGCAGGCCGACCTTCTTAGCAGAGGAAACAAGGCATGCAGCGAAGGTGGCTCCACAGGCGATCATCTGGTCTGTGGTCACTTCTGCATTCCTGGGATCCTGTTTCCTGCTCTGCGTCCTCTTCTGCGTCCAAGTGCGCTCCCCATTTTTTTCTGTCGGTCGATTCCGTTGCCGACGGCGGATGGGTGGCCGTTGCCTTGAGAAAGCACTTCCCCAAAGCTGGCCCCCGGGACCCGGCACCCAATTATGTCCTAGCAACACTTGCTTGTGATTTGGGTTGATGATTGTTGTCACGAGCTTCACCCTCCTCCAGCTTCTTTTGGCCCATGGGCCTTTCCATTGGTGAATAGATGGCGAGTAGCTGTCAAGTCTTTTCCTATATCTTCTGTGTAATTGTGACAGGATCCCAGCACGCTGCTCACTGGGGAAGCGAACGGCTATCTTGTGGCGCAAGTCTTCTATGATGTGTTCAAGGTATCCAATCTGAGTGCCAAGTCATCTCAGCTGGCCAAAAGCGTTGAATTCCCCCATGCATGCAACCTTGTTTCTGAAGTGCTGTGGCCTCCATGCACGTGCATCTCATAAGCGCTGCTTGTCATTTGTTGAGCCTTGTTGAAACCAGGCTTCTAGGGGCCATAGTGAACCCATCTCCCTCGCATTGGCGGCAACTGTTTTGCACCAGGCTTCATCAAGGCATTAACATTAACAAATGTTTATACCCATGTGTATTGTGTCTCAAGTATAACTGGGGAAGAAAATGCAAAGACAGGGAATTTTGGAAGCATCTGAAGATTTGCTGCTGGAATACGCCTAGCCTGGGATGACTGGAAAATTGTGTTAATAAATATAGCGCTTATTGCGTTTTGCAGGGGCGATTTGGGACCCCAGTGGGCGGCATCATATGTCTTGGGCTGCTGCTTCTGATGGCGCTGAATGCCACGGTCATTAGCATGGCCATCAATGCAAGGTCAGCCTCAGCTCTGATCTTTTATACGGACGTCCACGAACTTTGGCCGTACCGCCTCTTGGAAAATTTATCATTCACAGTTTCAATGGCCTCTAAGTCAGATAGGTCCACTGAATTTAGCCATGCTGCACACAAAGCCACAATGGTACATGGCGCAATGTCAGACCTCTCTACATTAATGATCCTCATGGTTTGGAGAGGCGTGTAATAATAATGATGTATCATTTATTTTGAAACTGAGAGTTTGCTTCGTCAGGGCGCTGTGGGCGTTCTCGCGTGATGGTGGCCTGCCGCTTCACAAGGTCTGGGCGGCGGTTAATGGCTCGTCAGGTACGCCGGTGAACGCCGTCTGGGCCATGACTGCAGCGGCGTTCCTGCTGGGCCTGCCTATTTTGGCCTTCCCTGACACCCTGGCATGCAATGCTGTCGGCATCGCATGCGTCGGACTCAACATCAGCTGTGAGCGCCCCCTGAATCCACTACGGAGATTGACCACGTTTGTTCTGCGCGCCACTTCAGCTTATCACGCTTCTGTTGCCCAGGACCAACTCGTTGATTCGACTTACTCTACATCCTCTCTGTCGTTAGCATGCTCAAGTGTGAGAGGGTATTTACTGGTGCTGCATACTGACAAATTGAGGGTCGTATGTACATTTCACAGTTCAAGTTCACGACAAGGCATGGCAGACAAATTTTCCTCCTCTCTTTAACATCTAAAACATGGCCATTGATCTTGTTAATCACACGTTGCTGGTCGTGACTAAGGACTTGCTGATGTGGGCATGCGTGCTTGGATGAATTCGATTGAGGGGCGCTGTGTGTGTGCAGATGGTATTCCCATGCTCCTGCGCATCATCCACCCCGGCAACTTCGAGCCAGGACCCTTTAACCTAGCCAGGCTCCAACCCTACCTCAATGTCCTCGCCCTGGCTCTCATGGTAGTCATTTCGGTGCGCCACTGACTCATGTTTCCCCAACCCTTTAAGCAGCAACAGGGGAATCTATTTCAAATGTTGTGTGTAATCCCGATTAGATGTGTAACCCCCTGGCAGCACCCGGTCAAGGGCCGCTCATTGCTCTACTCATTTGCACAACTGGGCATCTGAAACCTTATTGGTCTTGCCACTATTAACAGCAATATTGCATACAAATAAAGTCCAAATCTGTTTTATAATTCTTCATTTTCTGCAGCTTGTCCTTTCTCTGCACTTGTGCTTCTTTAATTTCATATATTGCTGTATTAACAGCTAAATGCCACGTCACCCTGTGGCCAGATTCGTCCCATTTGAGCCCAGCACCTTGAAAAAAGAAATCAATATTAAGAGGTGCTCGAAAATTTAAATGCATATGGCTTCCACGTTCTCATGCAAAACTCATAGTTGCACCCCTGTTCATCGCGCAGGTGGCTTTTGTCATGCCTTTGCACATCCCAATCAATGGCAACAATCTCAACTGGGCGATCATTCCAGTGGCGCTCACAGCGGTACTCGCGTTTCTACTCTGGCACGGCCCGAAACCCGGCGCGGCGGCCGATTACCGGGGCAGCGCACGCCTTCGAGACCGGCGCCTCATGCGCGCGTGCACGTGCGAGGGCGTTCCCTCTGCCGCCGTGACGCCGCGGCGCGTAACGGAAATTACGGCCCGGAACGCGCCGCGGCCCGTAACGCAGATAATGGCGGGTAACGTTCCGCGGCGCGTAACTTCTGCTCCGCCGCCCAATCTGCGGCAGGAGATAATGTACCGAGTGCCCTAAATTATGGGGACTCTTGACTCTGGGAAATCAATCTGCTGATAGATTGACAGCTTGGGATGCATACTGGTATTGTATCACTGCCCAAATTTTTAAAGTCAATGCTTGTGCTGCGGCTGACGGCTCCAATTCTGCCGGCGTGCGGCGGGGGGTAATTTGATAATTAGTCAGCCCTTAGTCATGATTTGGACATGTGACACTGCTCATCTTGCTGCAGCAAGGTGTGGCGACTTTGTGCCAGTGGCGCTGCTTTGGCTGTTGCCTGCTAAGTATACAAAGCCTGGAGGGCGGTGCCTGAAGCATGGCCCGAAGAAACTTAGCAGCGTGGTACAAAGTCTCAGCTCTGGGTGCAATCCGCACCTAGCTGGATATTTGTGTCCAACACACCTATATGGCGGCACGATCTGGGGCTTGAGTTTGTCGCCTCAAGGTGGCTAATTCTATGAACAGCCTGGCCCCATGGCAGCAGCTTTGGCTGCGACAAAAGTTGGAGTCATCTGGATTCTAAAAATGACTTCCTAGCGCTGTGCTTTGGCATCTGCCTTCTGCGCTGAGAGCACCCTTTGTGTGGGGTGTGTGATAGTGGTCCTTTCCCTGAACGCAGGGCGGCCTGCTTGGGCTGCTTTTTGCCCCGGCAAGAGCCACCTCGGGGCAGATTCTTCTCTTTTCTGCCCAGAATACTCGACTTTTTTGTCTTCAGCATGTGCCTGGTCTTCGTGTCTGCCTGAAGGTCACGGCGAGCAGGTGGCTCACATGGGGCAAGGGGAGTGCATTGGATTTTGCCAAAGGCATGACCCCGAGGTCTGTTGCAAGCATGGCATGTAGTCATTAGTACACTGTGTTGAAGCAGCAGAATTCCCAGCTGCAATGCTGTCTTGACAAAGTACGTCTGCACTGCCGAGATGCTGTGTACCTTTTGCGACCGCAGCAAAGCTGGCAGCATACTAGTGCAGTGTCTTAAAGATTTGCAGAATTGCTCTATTGTCTGGTGTGATTGTTTGAGGTTCTAGAGACCGCCACAAAAATTGCTGCATGCTTCGTGCATGCCATGGTGGTAGTACCTGATGGCCTCCAAGTGATGCCAACAAAGGTCTAAGTGATGGCTACTGGAGAAAATCGGGTTGGTCGGGTTGGTTCGTGAATATTGGATTTGTGCATGATTGGCCTCGAGGATTCCCTCTTTGTCCCTCCATCCCCTTGTGTTCCAATTTTTATTTTGGGGGAAGCCACACATTGCAAGAGGATGCTCTCATGGAGTGCCTTACTGCTTGCAATGTGGTTGCTTCCATGACATGGCATGGGGACGAGGGTGCTTGATATTTTTCTCTTTCATTATGAGCTTCTATAGCAATCCAGATCAACCGGGGAAAGTGCTCATTGCCAAATATTGGGCAAAGCAATTCCATAATTAAAGAATGTGGCCTGCCCGTGTTTGGGCATTCTTGACAGTATTAAAGGATGACTTTATGTGGTTGAGTATTTGTATCGGGGCAATGTATGAACTTGCAATGCAAAGGCTTATTATCTTGTTGCTATTTGCATACAATACATATTAGGCCTGTTTTTATTGTGGCGAATTCAAGCCTGCTTTCAGAATTTATTGAGCCCTTCCATTGTGATTGATCAATGCCTTTGAGCCCTTTGAAGCCCTGAGAAGCTCAGTCTTTCAATTAGGAAGAGCATGTATTTGTACAAATCTTTATACAATGTAACACATATAACTTGGTCAGAGAGTCAGCAAGACAGGACTCCCACAATCTTTCAGCGAGTGTACATATAGGTTCCAAGACCCCAAACCCTAAAGAATTCTAAGATTCTGACAGTCTGACTCGTGTAATCAGTAATGCTGGCAGATGCTCCCAGCATTTTGCACCGATGCAGGTATGTTTGCATGCCTGCACCTGCGTACATGCACGCATTTACATCATGGCCCTCTTTTCTCAATGTCGAACGCCATCCAGCCTCCATCCAGCTCCATTAAACCCTGATTAGGCAAAAGTAACTGCAAGACATGCAAGGCAGAGCGAGCGCCGTAAGTACGGACATTCCCTGCACAGATTTCAGCCCGTCAGGTGCAAGCCAGATACGCCAGCACCCGCCTCACTTTTGGAAGACAGCTGCGCACATGGGAATGTCACCGCCAACACAGCGGATTTGCAACCTCACCAAAACAGCGCACAGCATCATACAGGCATCGGCACGCGTCCAATTATAGTGCAGTCAAGTACTGCCACTCACATTATCTGGACTGCAGCAGAGAGGTCAGCAGCACAGCCAATATAGAGCCCACTGTGAGGCCGACTGTGATGGAGAAGGCTATGATGGGCCCGCTCTGTTCCCTGCAACCCACAAGGAAATATGTCAGCTTGCATGGCAGGAGTAATATGCTCATCACACGCAGATCCAGGGGGTTCTATATCTAACCTAAATATAGAAGCCCCTGGCAGATCCAAGGCATCACTAAATTGCCTTTGCTGGCACACTAGCAAGCAAGGACCGGTCTTTCGGGTCAAGCAGATGCCAAGACCACGGCAAGCTTATAGGAAATTAATTTTATCCGTCTTCAAGACAGCTGGCATGAGCCTTAACGTTGTCATGCACTTAATATTCAAAGGAAAGGTTGCATGAAAGGAGCTGTGTGCAATTGAGTGCTGGTTTGGCGGGAGGAAATTCCTACCGGTAGGTGGGGGGCAGTAGGGAGGGCATGTGCATGGAGGTCAGGCTTGCCAGGTGGCCATTAGTCAGGCCCAGCAGCGATATCAGCAGCACCGGTAAAAAATCCGACCTGGGCGCCAAATTCCCAAAAAATCTCAGATTCCTCAATGGTATCCACGGCAAAGGGTGACATGTCTGTACATGCACAAAGCTGAGATAAGTCAGGAAATCTCCCACAAGCTGCACATAAGACCCCAACCTACTAGAATAATGCCAATATCTCCGGCCAAAGCAGCTCTCCAAACGAGGAAAAGCAACAAATTTGCATATCATGGGAAGACTTAGCACGATCTTGGAAAGAAGCTGACCTGAAGAGCTCCGGCAGGCGCCAGGGGTGGGGAGTGACGACGTGGCACAGCAGGAGGCCGATGACTAACACAACGCGACTAACCGCGTACGTAACCAGCGTCCCCGCAGCCGGCGCCCGGTGCTGCTGATCTCCAATGCCGGCCAGCAGGCGGCCCCCCAGGTCCCCCCCGTTGAACAGCAGAAACAACATGGGGGTCCACAGGTCCCCTACACAAGCAATGCGGTACTGAGTCAATTAAGCAAAGTCAGTACATGCATTGAATCTGACATGGCAGAGAGTGCCAGCCAGCATGCTGCCTTCTAAAAGCTCATTCACTGCACTGACTGCAAGGTAAAAAAATCTCTTCTTAATCTCCTCACTTTGGCGCACAGCTGACTCTAGACAAGGATGTCTTGGTTGAAGTTCGACAGATGCATGCGCGGTCTGTCTGTCTGTCCTGCAGGTCCAGCATGCAGCAGCATACCTGAAGAGGATACATGAGCAGCCTATCTAGACAACATAGAGCATAATACTCCAACCAGTAGACCTGCAGCTGAAACAAGGGATCACCTGCCAAGCGGCCAGAAGGCGCGTGTGGGAAGCAGGGCGGCCGCTGCGCCGGATTGTGCACAGAACAAATCGCAGACGTCACGCTTGGGAAGACTGCGATGGTGAATGCAAAGTCCAGCGCCAAAACAAGCGCGTGCCACCTCAGCAGCCACAGCACCTCCCCCACAGGAACGCCCCTTGCTGACCTGGCACACCCCAACACACGGTGCGGAGATGCAACTGTAATTCTAAACGCCAATTTTACTATTGCATGTAAGCCCTGGTTTGGAACCCTGCTGATCAGATCTAGAAGGCATGCCCATGCGCAAAATGACAATGGGAACACTTCAGTGGAGCGAGAGAGTTGTGTCTCTCACAGGTCCGCAACGCGCTGATGAACACATGACAGAAACCAAGATATGTCAATCCACTGGCAACTTCTCTTCATAGAAGATGCACAAAGCTGGGTTTCCAACCTTCTGCTTTGGCCCACAAGTGTGTCAGGAACGCCCTCTGTCGCCTTGGCGGCACCCATTGCAGAACCCCGAGCCCCAACCCTCAGCAGCGGCAGTTCGTCACCTTCCCTCCCCTGCCGCCAACACCTCTTTCACCATTAATCAAGTCACTCGGGATGCCAAGAAATCATCGGCAAATGGATGTGTTTCCACTGCAACCCATGTAGGCTTGCCTGTTGCCACAGTCCTGAGGCTGACCCACCATGTATTAGCTATCTCACAAGTTGTGGGCACAACCAAACGTCTTGAATCAGATGCCATGTTTCTCAGGCAGATGCCAGAAACAGGAGGAAGTCCAAAGTCTCAGGACTTATGACACCAGAGTAAGGGAGGGCGGACTCACCTGCTCCCCAGACACCGCCCCTCCCGCTCCCTCATGCGAGGCCTCCTCCCCTTTCAGCTCCTCTGCAGACACAACATGACCCTTGGATCTGACGCATCAAGAGAATGCGAAGGTATGAATAATGCAACTGATCATTTATGTCCAGTGGTTCTGCAATGTTTGCTGGAAAAGCAGGTCGTCTTTCCGCTGTGGGTCAAACTGCAATGCAGGGTATGGGTGCATTGGCAGACCATACATTGCACGGATGCCGTCCCCCTCAGAAGACACTTGGACCTGAGCGCACCTTCCCTACCATCGGCCGTCCTGGTGTAGTAGTGCCAGAAGGGCAGCCGCTGGAGCCACCAGTAGCCGGCCACCGAGGCCGCCACAACGGCGGCTGACAGGCCAAAATAGGCAAAAGCCGCCCCTGCCACGTCAGCCGGGCGGCGTACCTCCCCGTGCTCCCCGGACGGTGCCGCCCACAGCGTCAGGAAAGAGAGCACGCTCACCCCAAAGCCCGCCACTGCCTGTCCCACCGATGTCGCCTGGAATGCATATGGCGCAGTCATTCACAGCCGCTCAGCTTTATTGCGGTAACGTTAGTATGACTGTTATTATTGTTACTACTAGTGCTTAACGCACTTCCTCCCAGAGGCAAGGTGCGTCTGCAAACAAGCTGCAGGTGCAGGCACCCTAGCCTTTGATGGACTCACCAGATCCAAGCAAGACCCAATCAGTTGTGGGCACGGTGATCAGCACATGTACCGTTCCGCGCTAGACGGCGCTGTAAATATTATGTCAGCCATAAATCTGTTCTGTCAGGTCGATGAGGGCTTGATGTTATGCCGCCTTGCGGGCATGATGAAGCTCTCCTCATCCAATTATAGTATTGGACAGCAGCTTGTAACATATGCTTGTTGGTATAGGAGAGCAATCCTTGCAATATACCGATCATGGGGTCTTCATGGCAGAATTTATCCAGACATGCCTGACAGGTCCCTGCTGCCACGTATGTGGCATGGCACTTCTGCTAGACATGGCAGGGGTTTCTGGCACGACGACAAACAGGAGATCACCTGCACATAGATGGGAGGGCAGAGGCCAGCCAGCCCGAATAGGCCGCCTTGGAGCAGTGCAGTGGTCATCCCCATGAGAGCAACGCTCGGCAGCATGGTAAGAATCACAGCCGCACCCGAGGCGGATATCCAGAGGGCCACGATGGCGGCCAGAAGGAGTACTGCAAAGGTGAGGCCGAGGGGCAGGAGTATCTGCTGGTGCAGGGGAATGAAGCGCTGCAGAGGCACCAGCGCTGATAGCGCAAGAAAGTTCCTGCATGCAAGTATAATTATTTTGCTGCATGTTAGGGGTGATATTAATTGGTTGAAAACCACTGCTGCAAGTGGCCAGCAAGTGCACTCATGCACCAGGCACCTGCCTCAATGGCGGGCATCGGGCCATTCTGTCCTCTATATCATCTAGGGACAGAACACGGCAGAAGAGGACTTGACATCAAAGGCAGTCATTGACATGCAGTGCAGCTTGCAGGGCTCTAAATACGACAATAATACAACAGGTCAATATGGCAGGCAAAAGCAGAAAATAGGGTGAGCACTCACACAAACTGGAAGGTGAGGACGATGGAGGACTCGAAGTTGTCTGCCACACTGGGATAGGTGGGCTTGATGTGCACGCGCACATCAAAGTACTCATTCTCAGTGATGAACACGTTCCAGGGCAGTAGTGTCGCCACTCCTAGAAGGCTCAAGATGCTATACACCACCTTGCCCCTGTACATAGCACATGTGATCAAGGTGTGATTGACTTGCACATGTCCATTGCAGTAAGGCTAGGTTTTGAAAGAGCCTCTGTAGTTCTCGACAGAACTACAAAGGCATGACCTGATGCCATGGAATAACATGGGTATCTCACACACAAAAAATAACCAGCAGCACGATAGTCCCTGCACAGAGGACATGTACACACTTGTCTGGCGGTGGCGATGCTCTGTCCATTGTCTGGTTGGGGTCCCTCAGAACGTCGGTTGACTAATTATATCTTAGCATGGGTATCGGTTTTTGTCGTTCCAGCTATCCCAGAAACTCTCCATCGAAATATGGTTCGATGATTATCACTGGTAAGGATTTAAAGCAATGAATGAAGGCTCAGACTCTGCCGTGGTTCGACGAAAAGACCTTCTACCGGTTGGTTGTGCTCTAAATCTGTCTTGGACAGGAGCAGCGCTCGTCACAATCAGTGACCTACACATCCCGATGTGTCTGATACTATGTTTCGAATCAGCAGCAGGGAATTTGCATATCTTGATGCATGAGTCTGGTCTGCATGCTTGGTAACGTAACCCAGTTGCTCCTGGCACCCGCAAAGGACAGGACGCATTGCTCTGCTATCTGCATCTTTCGTTGGTTTCTCCACATTCTTACCGCATTACGAAGAAGATTGCATTACAAATTGCCGATCTACCCACAAGAAGCGGAGGAACCAGGCAAACTGCAAGCAACCTCGGTGATTGAAAGAGGATCTCCTCATGTTTCTGACGCGCAGCGAGTATGACAGAGGGGTCAATACCTTCAGCCCTGAAGGTCGTCTTTTCCAAGTAGAATATGCCATCGAAGCAATCAAGGTAAGCTTCTGACGTTGTCCTTGATGGCCAAAGAAAACGTTGCTTACTTCCAAGCATTTACACCCAGATCTACATTGGCAGGCACTCTAAATGAGGTGTTTGATGATGTTAGCTTCTGCATTGCATAGAAATGCCCAATGCAAAAATAATCATTATCAAACCGGAATCGCTGAGCTGTTGATCACCTGGGCCATGCAGCTGGGAACCACTGCCATTGGAGTCCGGTCAAAGGAGGGAGTTGTTCTTGTAGTGGAGAAGCGTGTGACGTCGCCATTGCTGGTGTGCTCGTTGAACTGACAAGACCAGGCAGCACCATGATGGTTGTATCTGTACCTGCACACAGTGATGAAGCAGACCTTTACCATTTGCGGAAAGATTCGATATTCCTTTACCTTTCATGACTGGATATTCAAGTTTCGTGTCGTGACTGCTCGTCAAATGAATTGCATTCCTCTGGTGCTCAGGAGCCATCCAGCATTGAGAAGGTTGCAGAGGTGGACACACACATCGGCGTGGCTATGAGCGGCCTCACAGCGGATGCGCGGACACTCATAGAGCACGCCAGGGTGGAGACACAGGTCTGACGCTCTGAACTCAAGAGCTCTTGCCGTGGATTCCCTTCCGCCTCGGCAGGCTTCATTGGTTCCCAAGCAAGTCACATTCAAGAAGCAATGATTGATTGTTACAATTCATATGATGTGGCTGATGCTGCTAGGCATTTAAGGCATGCTGTGCTGATGCATGAACACGTTTGCTCTGGCAGCCTGTCTTGGTGTTGCTGCTGCTCATATGATGCGGACTTGCGCTCCCTCGACAAGCAGTCAGCCATGCACATGATCAGCAGAATACAGCTGTCAGGAAGGAGCATGTCCTGTGTGGCTTTGGACAGAATCAAACATGTCTGGATGAGCTGAGACTAGCCGTGTATGTGCGTGCGCGTCTGCTGCAGCAACACGCTTCACCTTATGTCAGCCATGCACACGATCAGTAGGACACAGGTGTCAGGAAGGAGCATGTTCTGTGTGGCCCTGAACATGCATGGATGAGCTGTGACTAATGCTTTCTTTGTGCGTGCCCCCTGCAGCAACATCGCTTCACCTACAACGAGCCGATGCCCGTGGAGAGCTGCGTTCAGGCGCTGTCCGACCTCGCCCTGCGATTCGGCGAAGACGACGACGGCGACGGGGGCATGGTGTGCTTTTGCAGTTCAACAAACGTTTCTAGTGACGTTGCAGAGCTTGCCGGCGTTTTTCATCATTGGAGACTTCCCATTTTGTGAAGAGGAGCATTGCACTGTGAGGTCATCCCAATGCCCCACGCCCAATGGTCATGCACAGCCTTCCAAGCATCCGTTGGTTGGAACTCTTTGATGCCAGTCCGGAGGGCAATGTGATGAGCAGCGAATGTTATTGTCTGTTGCCGCTCAACGCCGCTCATTTCACTTTGCTGCGAGTCCCTCCAGCAGCGGAGCGCAGAGCCTGCCATTTGGCATTCGCTTTCGGCGCAACCTTGGCAGGGAGATCTTTGCAGCATAGCTGGACCGGCCGTCTTTCGTGCGCTGGCTGAGTAGTGCCACAGTAATTTTGTTTCTGATGAGGCTTCCTGTTGCTGCGCAGAGCCGGCCGTTTGGCGTTGCGCTGCTGGTGGCGGGGTGGCAGGAGGGGGAGGGCCCCGTGCTGTACCACACCGACCCCTCGGGCATGTTTGTCCAGTACGACGCCAAAGCCATCGGCAGCGGCTCGGAGGGTGCATTTCTCCTTTTCAACCCTGCTTTACATTCTCTGCAGTAGACTGCCCTGACCTAGAGTGCGGGAGTACTTTGCGGCACGCAGAGGCAACACTGGTATTCATGCTGTGCAAAAATTGCCCGATGCAGGAGCCATCTCTGGCTTGCATGCTGGCAAGAAAATGCCTCACCTAGAGTCCATCCGTGGTTTGCATGTTGAGTGGGGTTTTTTTGGTGCTCGCACATGCAATACTTGCCTTGCATGTTATGAGGCTATTCCTGCTTTGCATATTCTGTAGTAGTGTGCCCCATGTAGAGGCTATACCTTCTCTTCAGGTCATGTTGAAGTAGCATGGAGGTCTACCGGTGCCCTTTGGTGTCAGAGGAATAAAGAGAGCCCGAGCTCACCTGGCTTGTAGTGTGTATGGGAAATCTCGAGCAGCTTTTCAGTTTCCAAGTTTTACCTGCAATTACTAGCTTGAAGCTCTGTGTTCTTCCACCGTATCACCAGTGTCCTCTCACGTGTGTACTCGCCCATTCTCTGATCTATTCAAATATTGAATGGATCAGGTGGAGGGCGGCTATACCCGTAAGGTGACACATTCAGGCGTTGTCACTTGCTCTGGGCCGTTCTGTTCTTCAGGAAATGTAGAGAGAAACTATTGTTAAACAATTCGAAATGGCGTTTGAAACAACGTTTGAATTCTGGTGCAGGCGCGCAGTCAACGCTGCAGGAGGAGTACAAGCCGGAGCTGAGCCTGAAAGAGGCCGAGGTGCTGGCGCTCTCCACCCTCAAGCAGGTCATGGAGGAGAAGGTGTGTGCTGTGCCCTGTAATCTTATCCCCTGACCTCGAAATTAATACCCCAGGATGCTGAAACCATGTGTACCTGGAAGCTATACTATCAGTTGCGCTCTATTGATGATCTTCCCATGTTGCTTCACCCCTCGCAGGGGGCATCTAATGAACATGAAATGTTGACCACACACGTGGACAGACTGACAGCAGTGATTCTGTTTCTTGTTCAATGCACTGGCTGATGTCCTGATACGTGCAGCTACTCGGTGGATATAGGTGATGAAGTCCTGCAATCTGCCACATGGATATCGGAGTGACAGACGCCAGAAGTGTCAGACAGCTGGTGAGTGTTTGGGGTGGCCTTCTCAGGAGCTCCCAGACCGTAACATGAACAGATGAGTTGCTGGTGCACAGGTCACGGCGATCAATGTGGACATTGCTCGCATCGCTCCCACCTACCACCTGTACACAAAGGAGGAGATAGAGGAGGTTGTCAGCCGGTTGTGAGTGTAGTGTGCTGCATTACAATGAGCCTGTGCTGACTCTGTGATCAGGGTGCTGAGGTGTTTTTCTATCAAAGTCTTCTTCTATCAAAGCCTTGTCAGCAATGGTTTTAAAGGACCAGGATGCCGAATGACATTTGACGCTCGGTGCAAGGCCACAGCTCAAGGCCACAGAATTTCTTGTAATTCCTCGATCTTTTTTACCAGCAGTGAAGATTCCATCATGATACAGAGATGATCTGGATCATGATCAAGCAATGTAGCGGCAGGTGGATCTGTAGGATGCTGGTTGGCTGGATTGACAAATTTACAAGCGCTAGTATGATGCCAAGCTGGCATGCACTGGCTGCACTCTGTACAAGCGCCGAAATGTCGATAGCAAGTTCTTGACATCGCCAAAATTGAAAGGCCACAGTACCGTCTATTGTCATGGTGTAGTGGTAAGGAGCCTTAACTCTGCAGCTGCAGCTGCCGCAGTGTGCAACAAACTCCCCAAAACACCCTTTTGTGCAGGTTTAGCATGCTAGGCTCATTGTGCAATTATTCTTGCCTCAATACATGACCATACCTGCAGCCTTGCAGCTCACTATAGTGCTCATATATAGCGATAGCTACCGTACATGGAGCATACTGTCACATGTGCACACAACCTGAGGATACTGTACAAAAAAGAGATACATAAGTTGAGATAACTCAAACCGACCAATCAAATCTAGACACACACGTTTGACGATCCCGCTTGACGATCCTAGGAAATTTGGGGATGCAGCCTTCTTGTGGCCTCATGAGGAGACCAGACTTATCACAAAGACACTCGCTAATCAACACATGTGCCTCTGTACACAGATCATCCTGCAAAGGATGGACCAACCTAGTCCTGACAAAATGAAGATGCTTGCATTGCCTGCTCAAGGGCAAAGAAAGTAAAGGAGCAATCCTTACTTGGGAACTTTCAAAGAAAAATTTGTGGTGCAAGGCCTGACAAGCCAGTGCTGCAGTGCAGACACTTCAAGTGACTTGTCAGCTGCACAGCATGGATAGTCCTAGCCTACACATAACTAAGCAATGCGACACCTTCCTCCAGTACCTATCTACACTATAGAGTGTTGGGACTTGCATGCGTCCATTTCCACAAGGTTAGGGCGTTTCATGTCAAGGTACCGTTCTGGGACTGCAACTCAATGAAGGGGCGTTTATGCACGATACTTTCTGGTCACAGTGATGGAACCAGAATAGCTGCAGTGCTGCGGGCAAAATCTGGAGAGCTGTGAATAGCATTTAAGGATCCCTGATCAGAATGGGACATCATGCAATCTCCATGGCGGGCCTGGCTTTGATGCTGAAGTCATCCAGACTTCTCGCAGGATTCCTTCCATGCGCATCCACCTGATAAAGACAAGGGCCCAGTAAGGTTCTGATAGATGGGCTCTTCCTGCTCTAGGGCACCGAGATTATGACCTGAGACAGCTATACACGAGCAGCAAAACATGGTCAATTAAGCACTGCAAAGACATCAGGGGCATGCTACCAGTCTGACAGCCAAGGCCCGAACCTGGCGTTTGAGATGGCAAAGAAGACATAATCTATTAAATTCAAAATGCAGCTGCTTGAAAAGGTGCTGGAGCTGGGGCTTTACCTGCACTATGGCGTGCTTTTCAGGCGTGGGCGGCATGGCACAATCCGCGCAGATGCTCAGCGGCTTCTCCGCTGCCAGCAGCTTCCAGCTCTGCGGCGGCTGCTCTGGCGACACCTGCTCTGCATCTGCACTGTCCGCCCTCTCGGGATTCAGACACTCCCTGTCCTCCAGGAGAGCATCAGGCTCAGATGCCTCATTATTCCCGGCACCTGCCTCAATGCTGACCGCACTGCTGAGCTGTCCACTGGCCTCTGCATCTCTCACAGCTTCAACTGCTTCCTCCATACCGACACCATCCCCTTGTGAGTTGACGCCTTCCCCCATGCACAGCCTCTTGCGCGCTCCAGCAGAGCCCGCAGCAAGTGTTCGCTCGGGGGACTCCGTAGGATCCGTTACGGCTGCTGCAGAGTTGCATGCAGCACGGCGTTCGGCGGCGTGCGGCGGCAGGGGCGGCTCTTTCGACGGCGTGCATGGCTCGGCGGCCCGCGATGATGTCACCGCTGATGTCATCGACCGCGCTGATGTCATAGGTGGCTGCGCTGGCGTCAGCAGGGTGTCCTGCTTAGGCGACGGCGGGTTCGCGCGCGCGCCCGGCACCGACAGCGCCCGCAGCAGCTTCTGCGACGGCTTCCGTGCGAGCGACGGCTGCCGTGCTGAAGTGGCGGATCTCAGATCCGCCAGCTCAGCGTCACGCTGCGCCAGCTGGACCAGCAGCGCCGCCAGCAGGGCGTTGTGAGTCACCAGCTCCTCCCTCTGCTCCTGAGACTGCGCCTGCGCAAAGCATGTATAAATTTCAGTCCAGAGCCTAGCGGGAACGGTGGAAACAGCCTTTTTAAAGAAAGAGATCTGCAGATATCATGGCAGACCGAGCGCCAAAAGCAAGGAGAGAGGGAACAGAGCAGAGCTAGTCTCAAGACGGTATTGGACAGAGCGCAACAAGCTGCTCCTCTGTTTCTCTTCAGCAAGTATGCACGACACTTCAATTGTGACTGAGGATTGGTAAGCAGAAGCTCTGCATGGAATGAGCACCTGAATGGATTTGAGGCGCGTGCAGGTCTCGGTCTGCTCGGCCACGCTGCCGCGCACCCACCCCTCCAGCGCCAGCTTCTCATCCAGCACCTGCATATTCATAAAAGAATTGCCATCCTCAGCTCTGTCAGCAGAGTTGCACCATACGGATACGGTCACACCGTGTCTGTTCGGTTGCAAACACGGTGTTTTGAGCTGACATTGACCTTATGTCTGTCAGGAACCCAACGTTGCTCCATCCCTGGTCCTAATGTGATGTCAGATGTCGGCATCTTGGGCTGCTTGAAATATGCATGTTTATGGCACGCCATGCCACATGTCAGTGAGCAGCGTGGGGTAAGAATGGCACCTGTTATGCGGCATGCCATGTGCAGTCTTGGGGCAGGAACATGTGATGCAGAAGGGAGCTGTTCAAGACCAGAAAGACAACTTAAATACCTCCGCCTGGGCGCCCTCCAGGTCTTCGATGCGCGCCTCCAGGGCAGCCTTCTCCTCGATCACCTCCTCCAGCCAGTTCCTCAGCTGCCCATAGTCCGCCTCCAAGCAGTGCGCCTAAGAGTGAAGAAACGGCATATTTGTTGATCTGTGAAGTTCTCAAGCCACAAAAAGAGTGTTCAGAGGCTCAAAGAAATATCAAGTTACTGAGTATGGAGGCGGTGAGCCTGTGCTGAGGAGGACTGTCATGAGCATGACATAAACACACACATGCAATGATGCTGGTCCTGGTTCCTCACGATGTACGTCCCTGAAGGTATGGGTTCTCACTTGCACCGGCTTTCCAGACAAATGACACGCAGACATCAAGGCAGTGTGAGTGCTACAGACAAGAAGGCTCTATGTCTCAGTGTAAATTTAAGGTGAAAACCAGCGGAGGGACGTGTGGCCATACCTGGGATTCGAGCGAGGAGCATCGAGCAGCCAGCGCGGCCTTCTCGGTCATGACGCCGTCCAGAAGCTGCCGCAGCTCGTCCACCTCAGCGCTCGCCGCCGCCAGGTCAGCCTCCAGTTCAGCACACCTGCCTGCCAGCTTCCCCCGCTCCCCGCTCAGGCCTGCATACACCCACTCACCAACTGACATCCTCATTCCCTCTTGGCGAGGAAAGCACTAAGGATATCCCAGCTGTTTCTGCAAACATGCAGCACATGCAACCTAGCTTGACAGAGACTCTCGTCCATCTGTACCCTCACAACGGGTGCTGGCCTAAAAAGGATTAATCTGGTGCATTTAAAAAACAAACATGCTACGATGCATCCATGACAGCGGCACCCCGAAAGATCCCATCATCCCGGACATTGGGCCGAACGTTTCAAAGGACAAGTGAATTTGAGCGCGCGGCAGCACTCACCGGCCACTTTCCCCTGCAGCCCAGCGTTAGCTTCCTGCAGGGCCGCCGACTGCTGCCTGGTATTCTGCAGAGCGGCTTCCGCAGACTGCAGTTTTTGGCTCGCCTCTGCGCCACCGCTGCGCAGCGTTGACAGCTGCGCTGACGCGGACGCGAGCCGCTGAGTCAGTGCCGAGCTGGCGGCGCGCGCCTCGGCCCCGGCCGCTCGGGCCGCGTCCAGCTGGCGGCGAAGCTGACTGGACGTCTGCTCAGCCGTTGTCAGCTCAGCGCTGAGGCGTTCCCTCTCATGTAGCGTCTCCAGCTGAGCTGCGCGCTGCGCCCGCCTCTCCGCTTTCATCTCGCGCAGATCCACCTGTGGCAGTCAAAACTTCTACTTCAAAGAGCAATACGAAGCCTTCATACTCATAATTGGCGCTCGCTCACCCTTGATGGGTGTATTCACCTTCTTCAAAAAGTGTAGGCTGGCCCCGGCTGGCAGGGGCAGTGATACACAGCAGCGCGCCCCACTGTTGCTTGGGCGCAGCTTGGATCTGATGAGACCTGGAAGGGCTGGATATTGGCAACCTTGAGTTGCAGACAAGCTGCAGCGTGCTTATTCTTGGGACTTCATGTCCGCATGGGTCTGGTAAAAGTCCATTTACAGGGTTATAGCACGCATTGTCGGCTTTGCTTTCCTGCTCCAGAGAAGTGCTCGGAAGAGAGGCAGATAGCGCTTGCATTAAGTGCGGCAGGAAGGTGGTGGAATGATGACAGATGCCTGCAAGGGGGAAGAAGAAAGATACTGACCTGCGCTGCACTGCTGGTCTTCACCATCCTCTGCAGCTCATCCTTCGCCCGGGTGAACATGCTCACCACCGCCTCATACTTTCGCCTCTGCAAGAGCAGCTCCTTCTCCAGGCGCTTGGCTCTATCTCTGCCCTGGTAGCGGCTCAGATCCTGCTGCAGGCGTTCAGCCCTCTGTTTGTCCGATTCCCTGCCTGGCATAAAGGCATCGAGCAGGGCTTGAAGCAGCACTGCCACCAGTGCCGCCACAGACATCATCGTTTCTTGCAGGAGACCCATTTGTCTCCTGCGTCGAAGGCTGCAATGGAGGTGAACAGGTATTGGGCCCGGTGTTGTCTCCCCCCTGTCGTGCTTGGCGCCCCTGCAACCAACAACCCGCTGAGCATACCTATTCGTGCGAGCCGTTCCAAATTCCTTTAACAAAGCTCCAACTAAGAGCAGCGTACACTTATATCGAACTGAGCACTCCATCTATGTGGGCTGGGACTCTTAAGGAGAGGCAATGCAAGGCCCTCAACGAACCTTTCTGCTCGGTGCAAGTGATCAGTCTATCCGGACTCCATCCTTCCAACTGCTGTAGGATCTAATCATCCTCTTTGGAAGCATGGCGTGGGAATAAGACGGGAAGGCAGTAATTCAGAAGTCTTCACAGCTGCCCTGAAACTGCGGGATCTCGCCTTGGCTCACGGGACATGCTTGCACACCGCCTCTCCCTCGGGCTGCAGCATGCGTGCGATAAGTGGAGTCATATTAGGGACATTGGAAATGCTACATTCGGTCAGATACCAGCAGGCACCCAGGCGCGGGCAAATTCGGGCAATGAGCCAGGTGGCAGCTGCCAAGTTTGGCACCCCCAAGCCTACCCTCTCATGCATGCCTTCTGTTCTTCAGGACAGGCTTGGTATACAGACATCTCCTTCCATTCCAGCTCCAATAAAGGAATTGATGGACTCCAGTCCCTATATCCTTAATCCACCATTGCATTCCCCGTGAAAAATTATGTAGATAAAGGCCCCATCCTAAACCCTAAACTATACTCCCTAAATTTATGTTCCCATATTCCCTATACCCTATACCCTAAGCAAAATCATTGTGGAAATATTTCCGTGGCTGTTTGACTGCCTCCCATGCATGCAGTTCTGCCACGAGCATGGCTATCCTTTGGACAGGCAAACATGCAGCCATGCCTCCAGCAACCATGATGGCAGCTTTAATTGCCTGCGCTATGCCCATGAGCACGGGTGCCCCTGGGAGTCAGACAATGTGCATCATGCAGCCAGGACGGGCCAATTGGGCCCTTTCACGTACGCACATGAGCACGGGTGCCCCTTTGATCCGGACAAGGCAATCGAGTGCGCTGTATCTGGCTGCTGGCTCCAGGTATGTGCACGAGGTCATGGGGTGCAGTTTGTCTGGACGCGCGAGCTGGAAAGCACTGTACATGTATTGACCGAGGAATTGATATCCTCGAGTACATCAAGTAAAAGTGGGGCCCTCTGCTGCCGCAGCTGCACGGCGGGAAGGACACATACTATGACCCCCAGGAGGGGCAGTTCTCAAAAGATACGGAGTACTTTTTTGGCGGCGATAACCGTGGCAGCCGTGCCTGCAAGCTGCTCTTCCTGCAAGCGCATGCCGGAGAGTGGATCCAAGATTGCTGGGAAGCGGTCTGCGAGACGCCCACTGGGCAGGCTGCGCTGCGGATCATGGCGGCATAGTTGCACGACACCGCCAAAAATTTCTCAGACACCCGTGTCGGAGCCACGTGTCGGAGGCCCTCCGGTTGTCCAATGAAAAAATCGAGCCGGATTCAGGCGTTTTGCGACCAGTGCATCAAGCAAACGTCATATTCCTTGAATAAGGCAGCCTAAGTTTCGAATTATATCTTCCGAAAGCTCCCGTGCCGAGACGTGTCGTGCAACTATGCATGGCGGCAAGAAGGGCTGCAATGAGGCAAGCTTTTGTGCTGGCTGGCCGAGTGGTGTCCTGTGACAGTGAGACCCAAGCTGCGCATGTGGCAATGGCGCGCATGCACGTGAGCCTGATTAACCGTATAGTGCGCGCAGACAGGCTGGACGGGACCTCGCAGTGAGCACTGTCACAGACATGCATGTCAGTGGATGCACCCAAACGGTATTGATTGAAGGGGATGATTGTGGGAATTCCAAGGATGTGCTAATGATCTGTAAGGTCCCATCTTTCAGATCTGATCACATCAGGCGCCTGTCTTCAAAGACACCCACTTCAAAATTTCCTTCAATGCAGTTTGAGGCATGCATGACCAAGCGCATGCATGTTTGCGCCTCACAATCGATTTGTGCACTACAGTGCTCTGGCCACACTGGACAATATAAACAAAGCATTGGCACCAATGGAACTAGCCGTTACTGTCTTATTCAAGCTGGCAACAATTGGCAAATAGCACATGAAAAATTGTATCCACGGACTAATCGACTGCTACAGGAGCACACCTTGGTACCAGATTGTTCAAGTAAATGGCAATTTTCTCCTAGGTCTACGGCCATTCCCTTCATTCCTAAGGTACTTGACAGCTGCCTTGCAAGCACAGCAGGGCTGTGAACATCATTATGGTCCATCACCATGCATTCAATGATTGTCACACTCACTGTCACAAAAAACAGATATGTTTGCCATACGCCCCTTGCCTGGGGTGTTCAAGCAATGATACCCCTGCATCTGTTGCCAGAGATAATAAGTACATGCATTATTAATCAGACACCAAACAATGAGGGCCCTCCCTGTGCTCTATTAAATTCGCCCGCCCTCTCTCCAATTCCAAAAAGCGCTCGCTTCTGGGCTGATGAAAGGAAACGCTACCTCCCGATCAGGCATCCCTACATCTGCTGGACTAGGGCAAATGTCAAACACATCATCATGTGCTGTTCCTGTCTCACCTCTGCTCTATCTTTGATAAATTTCCTGAAGGCCTTCATGCACAGTCTATTCTAGGTAGCATATTGCAGATTGCCATGGTACCTGGCACTCAAAGAGGCCTCTATGTGCTGGAACTAGGAAGAATGCAGAAGAAAAATTTTCATGTGCTGTTCCTGAAACGACCTACTCTCTCTGGAGTAAGTAGCCAATCGCCGGAGGCCTTTTGTAAGCTGCCATGCTGAATATACTGAAAAAGGGCGGCACTTATTGCTGCCAAAGTTGGCTGAGAAAGGGTATCAACCCTTTCAAGGGAGGGGAAACGTTGGAGCCTGCTTGCCGCCGGAGGCTGCCTCATAGAGGGCCCGGGGTAGGAAGTGATTGTAAGGGTCGCGCTGCCGATTGCGCAACAGGAAACTGATGCCACTCTCCACCTCTCCCTTGACCTGCGCATGCCAGACAATATGACACACCGTGAGCTTTAATCTGCAACACACGTACGCACAATACACAGTCAGATTAGTCAAGAAAAGAGCCGTTTAAAAGGCGCTCTCATACAGTTGCTGAGCTGCATGACCCAAACTAGTATCGTGCCAGTAACCTTGCCCCACCCGTCACACATGTGCTTTTTTTTCTAAAAGGAAGCCTAAGGCAATCTGCAGGGGGGGTGCTTCCATCGTGTCAAGATTGCACTACAAGCAGCAGAAGAGCCAGGCCACATCAGACAGCTTGGTTCCACAGCTTTGCAGCTCAAAGCAGACACGGGCGCTGATGCATTGCTTCAGTGATATCCTGAACACTTTGGGCCGAACGTTGGCCTTGAGTCAGTAATCAAAGTATTGTTCCTCTCCTCTTCTGAAAGTACAGGTGGTGAGTCAGCGCTGACCTGGCGATACAGGTGGCCGACGCGCGCCGGGTCGTCCAGGTCAGCTCGGCTCGTCTCGATGGGCTTCCCGAAGAGATAATAGAACCGCTGGGGCGCCTTGGGAACTGCAAACGGCGCTATGAACAGATCCTCCAGCTCCTTGTCCTCGCTCACTCCCCTGCGCAAGGTTATTGAGTTTTAAGAGGGGTGCACGACAGTGAAGTGATCAAGGTCTTCAAGATCTTTGTGCTCACCCCCATCCCTGGGCAAGGAAGAATTTGAGACTCAAGAAAGGTGCATGTCAGTGCAGTCCCAGATCCTTGCATCCTACATCACACCATGCACTTACAAGACAAGCTCAGCCCCTGGGCAAGGCAAGGAACGAGTAATGAAGAAAGCTGCTTGTCTCTGCAGTACAAGCATTCGTGCTAATTGGAGCACTTCATTCCTTTAATGGTACGTGCACGTGCAATGATAAAAGCTCAAATCCTGCCGGGGCGACAGAGAAGTGCAGTAGACATGTGCCTGTCACTGCAGTGCATGCACAGCCACGATCTAGAAAACTGCTTCGTGAACGAAAGTCGCGCATGCAAGAAACCTCGGAATTCTACAGTCCCTATGCGCAGGCGGACTGCACAGGCCTTCCACACTGAGTACTGCACACTGCACCCACTCACTGCCGCTCAATCTCCATGATGATGAGTTGGAAATCATTTCAAACTGCCATTCAACCAAGAATTAATGCTAGGATGCCATGACCCTGGGTGACACGCCGCATTCCAGCACCGACTTCAATTAGAAGATTTGCCGAGACCCTTTGCGCTGCAGAGAGGAGCGGCAGAAGAATTAGAAGACACTGATATAACAAAAAAATTATGAACCCTCACCTTCGTGCCTGGGGGATGCTGTTGCGCGCGCGCTGCTCGATCATGCCTCCGATGAAAGGCAGGTTTCTGATCTCGGCAGGCTCCAACAACATGGTTACAGCGTCCTCCGCGCCGACGCCCGCAAACGGAACGATGGTGGCGCCGTAACGGGCCGCCATGCGCACAAACTCCGGCCGCTCCGGCCAGAACAGCTTATACTCCTCCCCCTTGCCCTTGTATGCCTGCATGGGTGATTTAAATTTAGAATTTAAATTTTAATAATTAGCACTTGCACCTGAGCTTGAACCCTTGAGCAGACAAGCTTGGGGTCAGTGCACATCACATGGGGATTGGGACTCGGCGCAACAAGGGAGCCTCACTGACCAGAATACATCAAGGTGCACGGTAGGTCTGGCAAGCTTCCAATCAATGTTGGCTTCATAGGTGTCCCCCAGAACGTGCTTGTGAATAAAAATGCCTGCCACATCCCGGCAACGAAGCCAGCTCTTGAAATGAATTGCCGGTGGCATGCTCTAGTAGGGTGGCATTCCAGGGCACAATGTCAGGGCATAAAATAGCGCACCTCGCGGACGCCCCCGGGGAAGAGCAGCACGGCCTCCTTGTTTTGCAAGAGCTTGAAGAAGTTGCGGCCGCCCACGGGGACTGCACCAAATGTGGTCATGAAGTTCCTGAACGACCCGCTGTCCTCCTTGGCATCCTCCTTTGCCGACTGCGCACAGTCACAGAATGGAATCTCAATGACTACTGCCTCACCATAAGTCATCCAGCCACCAAGGAGGTACCAGATTGCAGGTAAACTGAGCCTCTGCAGTCACATGCAAGGCCCTTTGTCCTCTCTGCTTCTTGCTGTGGTGACAGCATTTTTTTTCGCAAACTCAATTGGAGTTGCTGATCAAGACATCCAGCTCACAGGTGACGTTGGGCTGCGAAACAGGACAGCTAGCAAATCACTTGATGATACTTGGCGCAACACAGCTGGCAGAGCCACAGCCTCAGCTAGTTCCCTACGCATGCAATTCGACCATACAATAAAGACCGAGTCTTAGGCACCGCACACAAGTTGACACTCAATGTTGCCCGAATGAGTGCCTTTGCCAATACCCGCGCTCCAACCAAGACAGCTGCGCGCGCACCGCAAATATGGCGGGGTGAGCCAGTCCCCGGGGAAGGATCCCCCGCTCACGGACAATCTGCTCCACCATGAGCCCCAGGTCCAGCGCAAAAGTCTGGTGGTTGCCGACAAAAAGGACCGGCCGCGCGTCGGGGAGATTCCCGAGGCCGCGCTGCACGATGCCGTCTGATGTTGTGGAGAAGAAGACCGGGCTCGTCAGCCGGCGGATGGTTGTCGTGTAGGACCTGCGGCAAATTCGAGTTCAAATCATCAGATTTGCTTGATGGGGGGCGTCATTACAACTGGGACCATAGAAAACTAGAACTCGAGGCGTCATTTTCAATGGAGACCATATAAACTAGAAGTAAAACAGAACGCAAGGCAGCCCGGCCTTCTTCCATTAGCGCTCGCACTGCCTTGTACATCTTGCAGTAACTCTTCACTTGATTTGGGATACATGAAGCATGTCTGCAAATTATGTAACGCAGTGAAGGCATCGCTTGGTGCTGTGCAAACCCGAACCTTGATGTAAGTACAAAAGGACAGCTTCAGAGCGACAATTATCACAAATATGGGAGCCGCACTTGTCAGCGTAGATGTCCAGTTCCCTGGGAGTGGGAAGCTCCACTGGGTCGGCAGCGCCCATGTTTTTGCGGCCGCGCGCTTTCACCGGAGCCGACATATTCCGCTGTTCCACATAAAAGCCCTCCTCCTTGAGGATGCTCACCAGATTTATGCCGGCCTCCTGCAGCAGCGCGTGACTGCGCCCCTGCATCACCTGCGGAGCAATCCCCGTTCCAGTGTTATTTTATTATTATTACACGCTTTTTCTGCCAAGAGGCAAGGTGCGTCCTGCAGACAAGCTGCAGTTGAAGGCTGCCATAATCCTACCCCTTGTTGGACTCGCCAGATCCAAGCAAGACCCAATCAACCGTGGGCACGGTGCTCAGTATTTATTTCGCCCCCCGCCAGCCACGTTCCAATGTGAGCTTCGTAAAAACTTTACACCCGTCTTCACCGGTCCAATTAGAATTGCCCTCCAAGAATGAAGGCACGCGCAGACCATTGCTACGCTTACAGAAATATGACAGTCACTCGCATTGTTGCATGTACAACTAATTAGAGGTAAGAAGTGCTTTGCGTGCAATCCGAACAGGGCAGCCCAAGCAGGGCATGCAGGTAAAAGTCAGCACCAAGCTCTCATATCTCTCTGGTGCTATGCATCAGCAAGTTTAAAAACGCAAACCCTATGCAGCATGGTTGGCACTCTTCCATGTGTTAGATTGGTGGCACAGCGTTTGTTGGGGCACCGGAATTCCAAAGTTGGAGTTTGAAAAAGTGAGCTCACCTTGAGGCGGCAGCGGGGTAGCAGCTTCTCGAGGCGCGGCCCCTCCTCGCCGGACGGCAGCAGCAGATCACCGCTGCCCACCAGTAACAGCACACGCTGATTGACATCCTTCAGCTTCGGAGCCAGCTGCCTGGAACAAGCACGGGCGCGCCCAATAATTAGTCATGTATCCAGCTGCTCAAGTGATGCGTGTATGAATGTGACAGATCATCGGCGGCACATAGAACGCCCGCATGAGCCGCTGCTGATTTTCCAGACTTAAAGAGGGACATACATTCAGGGAAGAAACTAGCAATTGCGCAATAGCAGCCTGACTTGCAGGGAACAAGCCAGCCGGCTAGCCCTTTTATCCCACAATTCTCAGGATTCTGCATTTCTAAGGTCGCCTAGGTGTTTACAGAAGGCAGAGTCACGCACGGACCGTCAACATGCTCATGGCGTGTTGTGAGATGTTCATGCACCCAACAACCCCCGGCATTGAGTGGGTTTCTGAGACCCCCCAAAAAGGCGGTGTGAGGGAACAGTCACCTGTTGCCCTCCTCCAGAAGCTTCAGCTTCCATTGTAAGGTTGGCGGCGGCAGGATCTCTGTGAGTGCCTGCAGCTGCGGTATCAGCGACACAACTCCCTGCCCAAACGCCACCGCCTGCAACCAAGGCATCAGGGGTTTTAGGGTTTAGGGATTTATATTAAAAATTTAAGGAAATTTCTGCATTACTTTTCTCTCAGAACTACTTCTGCAACGGGTTCCAGGTCCTCTGTTGCTCCCCTTGGAGTCCCAGTGACACAGCACACAATAAGAGGAAGTGAGATGCGGACACCAAGGCAGACCGAGCGCATTATAAATCAGAAGAAGGGCCGGTGCGCAAAAGCTTGCGCAACAATTTTGCCCATCCCCCAGCCCAAGAGCAACATACGGTAAGTGCTAACAGAGGGCCCGAACTTATGGAAGGCCCGTAATGGCTGGGCAGAAAGCTCGCATGAGATAACAATGATGCATGTGCAATCAACCATGCCACGGTTGATTGGGTCTTGCTTGGATCTGGCGAGTCCATCAAGGGGTAGGATTTTGGCAGCTTTACTGCAGCTCGTCTGCAGATGCACCTTGCTTCTGGCAGGAAAAGTGTGTAACAATCGTAATGATAATGTGCATCAGGCACGGCAGGGCATTGTGAAAACATGTAAAGAGGATTGTCCAGGCAATTTCACTCGTTCTGAGTGCTGAAACACAGGCCAGGGCGTGCCTGGTCTTGTAGTGGCGCCGAGGTGTCCACACCAAAGGCTGCCAACAGGATGGGGTTGCCCAGAATGGGCGCCAGGGCCACCGGCACCGACCCATACAACTCCTGCACCCCAGACACAATATCACCCTAATGCATGAAGCTGCAGTAGACTTTTCTTGCACAGAGGCAGTTCCTGAGGAGGTGCTCTTGGCATGATCACAGAAGAAAAGCAGTATGCACCCATGCAGTTCATCTGGAAAGATAGGAGTACGGGACAGAGAGGATCAGTCTTGAGAATCATGATGCAGAGAGGAATGCTATGAAGGCCACCGGTGGAAGACCAATCGCTTTGAAACCATGCATTAGCACTACAGCTGCATGTTACAACATTTCAAGAGATCAACCACATCTTCATGCTTCTTACGGACAATGTGAGTCATCATCGGCCGCCAGAGCGCATAATCCTATAGATACAAATCAACACCTAGATCTCAACCTGGTCCAGTGATGATTGCTCATAAAGTGCTGCAGGTGTGTGTGGTGTTACCTTAGGGACCCTTGGCAGGAAGGGCCCTAGCGCGGGCCAGAGGGAGCGAGAGAATGAGGTGGCAGGGTTGACTAATACAACTCTGTCCACCAGATCCGGCCGCGCCTCTGCAACCGCCAGCGCAAGCACGCCCCCGAACGACTCCCCGAGCAGATACACTGGCCGCTCCGGGGGACTCTGTGATACTACCAAATCCATGTACTCCCTGCAACCCCGGCAAGTTATTATTATTACTATTATTTTTTTTATTATTATTATTATTATTATTATTATTATTATTATTACTATTATTATTATTATTATTCTATTATTATTATTATTATTATTCTATTATTATTATTATTATTATTATTATTATTATTACAGGTCGGCCAAGCCCAAAGCCAGAGGCCATAGGGCATACACGCAGGGCGTCTGCAGCCAAGTCTGCGGGGCCTTCATTAGTCTGCAGCCCATCACTCACTCATCATATACATGCATGCACCCCCTGCCCTGCAAGTATTGTTAGCATTTACACTCGAGGAAGGCCGTGAAGACATATATGGCACTGCAAGGGCCAGACTAAAATGATGTGCTCCCACGGTGTGTAAAGTGCAACACACAACGCACCAAATTTATCATAAACAGCCATCTAGACACCCATGACACTAAAACTTCTTGATGCAGTGTGTGCGCTTACGTTGCTGGTGTGGTACCAAGTGTAGCTCTAGTTTTTTGTTGCACACAATTTCCAGCCACTCAAGCCATGCAGCTTGAGGCCGTGGCCTGGCATTGAACGCCATGCGCCTCTCTGAATTAAGCACAGCTGGCATACAAGGAACAACTGACTAGGACTCCCTGCATTAAGGAGGCACGGCGCACACCATATGAGGCTGACAAGGGCCCTCAACAGGCGAATAACCCTACGCGGGGATTACTGCAGGGGGGCACTTGGGGTGAAAATCCGTAAAACAGGGGCAGGGGCGCACTCTATCAGGCTGATAAGGCCCTCGAAGGGAGTCCTGTCAGCGCCCGGGATGGACAGCGCATGCAGGTCGAATGCATCGACCAGGAAGGGAAACTGCCGCGAAGCTGCCAAGCCTGTGCCGTCAATGCCGGGAAGGTACACCATCAGAGGAAGTGTTGACTGGTCCACGCGCGTTGACCTTCCTGGGATAAATGGGCTAATGAAGCGCGGCGGGCCGCCTGTGCAATAGATTGGACATCATGCTCAGGCAAGATTGACACTTTAGAATGTTCCAATATTCATTGACATGTACACTATGGTTTCTTGTGCCGGAAGGACCCCTCAAGTCATATGCATCAAGTGGCTTGCCCCAAAACGTGGGCAGGGAACTCCATGGTGAGAGCGCTGGCACAAGACATGATATGCAGCAGCATTCAAGTTCAACATGGAGGTAGGCAGAGTCACTGCACATTAGGTTCAAAGAAGGAGGAAATTTTGCTGCAAGCTGAGGAAGAGCTACAGTGTAGAAAGACAGACTATGAGGCTGCCACGCACCATCATTATGGAGCAGGTCAGCCAGGGAGATGCGATTGGGGCTGCCTCCAGCCTGGAAGGTGGCTGCGTTGAGGTCTATGATTGGTGTGGAAGCTGGATCCAGGGCCACTTGAGCCACCCTTGGATCCCTCCTGCCCACAGGATCCTCGAATCTTGCATCCATCTTTGGCGTGGGCAGCTGTGAAGCAGCGTCGCTGCCATTGCTTCCGTTTCTGATCGCGAAGCCGTTATTGCTGCCATTACTGGTGCTGGCAGCTGCATTGCTGTTGATTCTGGCACCTGCTTGGCACCAGAACTTTCAGCCAGCTTGTCACTGGCATAGTTCCATACCCCAGATACCATTTTAATGATAGATACAGTGTGTGATACTTACAGTTTAGACTATGTAAAGAGCAGACCAACGGCGCACAAGCGAGCGCGCCAAGATCGAAGGATTCCACTTACCGTTAGACAGGGAGTCACTCTTGACATCTCGAGTTCCAGAGCAATTTATTGAGGATATTTTTCGTCTGCAAAACTGCACAGGACAAGGTCTTGCTAACTGAAGAAAGCTGTGCATATCCCCTTGCAGCCTTCTGTTCATTGTGAAGCTCCAGCACTTCCCAGTTCCAGTAATGTATATCGATACGTTCTATTCTAATGCAGCAAACATCACGGCACTCAGATCCAGTCGCGTTTCCATTTGAGCAATGCACTCACACGCATACGTGGACATTTTGGGACGCAGCTTCCTCTTGTTCCGCAGCTGCTTCCGATGTTTCCCGCCGATCCAACGCGTTGTCTCTGATGAACACAACAGTCCACAAACTTTATTGATAAAGGGATTTTTTTGTATACATCGTATAAAGGGTGCACAAGAACATCGCTCAGAGAGCTCGTGAAGCACTTGATTAAGGGGGAGTGGAAAGCTACTAACTGGTGCGGGAACTGTGCCAATACTGCAGCTGCAAAGCAAGGAATGAACAGTAGTTGTACTGTTGGAGACCAGAGTTTTGGATCAGACGATTTCGTGGGTTTCCTTGATGGTGTATATAGGCATCTGGACAGTCAGAGTCACACAGTATATGGGCATCTTCATCGACCACGAGAACCTCTTGCTGAGGAAGCATAGTGGAGAAGTTTGCCACAGCTCATAGATGCATTAGTCTTGCACGGCGTAGTATTCATATCACAGTTACAGATGTATCAGTGTTGAGTATCAGGACAGCCCTGCTGATTTCATACATCCCAGGGGTAAAAGAGAAGCTCGACCTAGCCATAGGACAGGTCCTTGCTTGAGCACTTTGCTGGACACCCCAGCTGCGAGCCAAGATTCCCTACCCCACCCTGTGAGCCTTCTTCTTGCCCTCGTTCTTCGCAGTCTTTGCTGTCTTCAGCCCGTTGTTCTTGATCTCTGTGACTCATCAGATCGGCGTCCGGGACGGCGAAGGAAGCTATTTTTATCTAAACACGCGGGGGCGATTTGGGATCATAGTCGCGCCGAATGTCATTGCAGTGTATCCGCAGCGGTATGGACTTCCCAACGACCAGATTGCAGAGCTGCTCGCCATGGAGAGAGCCGGGGCGAGCTGAAGCATTTTTGCATCTGGAATTGAAAAAGAGGGATATAAGGAGTGCTGGTGCCAGCATGGAGCAAGCGCACAATGTAAGGAGGAAGGGTTGCCATTGTTGCTGTGTCAAGTGTGGCAGCATCCTCTCAATTTACTCACTCCAATTCAGTCCCCATGCACACGTATTGGATGTCAGGCCGGCCTCAGCCGCCCTCAGCAGAGGTCACCAGGACCTCTTGGTGACCACAGGCCATGCTTTCTAGTGATCTCAGAAACATGTTCATCCAGGAAATTCTGGCTACAGAGCACACAATGAGTTCCACGCGCACCCCTGGGCGACCACAGTCAAGCTGACATTCACCCAGAGTATGACATTTATGGTTTACCCAGTTTCCGACAAACTTACAGATACCTAAAGGCAGAAAGGAGTGTTCATTTGACCTCCTGTGTCATGACCAGACCACGTGACAAGTGTTTCGTTCGTTCAGGCTTCGAGCCCACATCAATGGAATTCTGCCCATCAGATCTGCCTTTGCATGTCATGCACCCTCTGGGAAAAAGTTTGGCACCCAGGGAGCGTAGCCGTTGTGAATTCAGGAGCAGGTCAACATCGTTAGTCACTACTAGTATTGTTGGCAGTGCATGTACACTGTCCACTGACTGATCAGTCAGTGATCATCATGATGCCAAGCAAAATATCGACAGTCAAGATTTTTACTTGCCAGACATTTAAAGACAGCTTACATGATATTGACCGAAGGACTTTCCTTCCATCAGCAACTTGAAGTATCCAACCCAGCACACCACCACTGGCAGTACTATGGCCAGTGGATGAAGAAAGAAATTATACTGAGCAAATGATACTGCTACGGGACCAGCCTAGCTTCCAATAATATATCTTTTCGATTATTTCCATGCCATGGCATTTCCACGCCCAGTGGGCATGCGCTCCATGGCTTTATGAACTGCGCAGTTCACATGCTGCTGCATGCTGCTTTCAAACTTGCATGCAAGTTGCATGCAAAGCTCAGATACTGTAGCAGTCCTTCCAAAACCCCCACCCTCGGCGGTGCGGATTTTTTTTGGCTTCTTACTTACAATACATCAGGGTCATTGGATTGGGCTTGTCGAGAGGATTTCCGCATCTGGTCTAAAAAATATGATAGGTTTATATTTTGGGAGAGAGGGTCTTAATTATCCACCCCTTTCAACTAACATTCTTTTCCTGCGGGTTCTAGAATGACTACTATAGTATATGTTGTATACGTTGTGGGCCCCATTAAGTCTAAATTCATGTTAAGTCTGAAATAATTTGCGAATAGCCCCCATGCTTCGGGTTGGGGATCGGTTGAGGGTATGCCAAGTGAAATTGAAGTGTTTAATATACAGCAATGCAATGCATCCGATGTGAACATCATCGCCCAACAAATCTATGGTGGCGCTAGCGAAAAAAGGGGGAAAAAAAAGAAAGAAAAGTATGTAGATTGAGGCACCCATTAGGACTCGAACCCGGGCATCCGCACTAGGGGAGGGGCTCGAACCCTCTACCAACTAATCCGTCCAGGGATTGGGCTCGAACCAATTACAGCCTGCCGCCACCAGGAGAGCCGTGCCTTGCTCGATCGTTGTTTGTAGGTGTATACATTGCCTTGCGTCTGAAGCTCCAGGATTTAGTTAAACCACTTTTGTCGTCTCTTCGCAAACCCGTATACTGGACGCATTTGTAGGGAGGTGGTTTTGAGGCAGCCAAGGTTTTTCAAGACAACACAACAAGATGAACACCCAAACACCGACTTCTTTATTTGTGTGGTTGACTAAATGGGCAGGCTTTGGCAGTGGACCCCCAGCAGTAATGCTCTCGCTTAATTGAACCCGAAGTAGATTTTGAAGGGTGTTTTCGACGAGGGGAGGTATCTCTTTTGGAAGCTCACACAAACTGAAAACTTTGGCAAACCTCCCGCACCTGACGGCTGCTCGGACCAGTACGGTATATCGAAGGTGAAACGACCTATTTGCGGACATTCTCAGGATAGCTAGAAGCCGAAAACAAGCTACATCTGCGCCTGACCGCCACGGCTCAGGCCACGTGACGTGACGGGTCGACGGGTCGTTCGTTGAGTCTTGGTCGAGCTAACCTCAAATTTTACTTGAGGGCAGCTGACCTGCCTTTGTTATGCAGTCTTTCAGAACCAATGGCATACAGGGTGCAGAGCCCGTCCTCACCGTGACGAGGAAGGATGTGCTCGAACCAATAACCGGAGCTTCAGACGCAAGGCAATATATACACCTACAAACAACGACTGAGCAAGGCACGGCTCTCCTGGTGGCGGCAGGCTGCAATTGGTTCGAGCCCAATCCCTGGACGGATTAGTTGGTAGAGAGTTCGAGCCCCTCCCCTAATGCGGATGCCCGGGTTCGAGTCCTAATGGGTGCCTGAATCTACATACTTTTTTCCCCCGTTTTTCTGCTACCATAGACTTGAGCGATAATGTTCACGTCGAATGCATTGCATGTACTGTAGATGAAATACTTCAATTTTACTTGGCATACCCTCAAGTCATATGTGAGAACGGCTGCCCGGGCACGAAGGTGCCGGTGGCACAAAGGCACATGCACGCTTGCAGCTGAACGTGGCAGCCTTGATTGCCTGCAGTATGAACACAAGAGAGGATGCCCATGGGATGGCAGCACATGCACGGCTGCTGCTAGAGCTGGCAGCCTGGCTTGCTTGCAGTATGCGCATAAGAACGACTGCCCATAGCAAGAGAGCACGTGTGCATACGCAGGAGAGTGTGGCAGCCTGAAATGCTTGCAGTGTGCCCATGAACATCAATGCCCATGGGCGAAAGAGACATGCAAGTTGGCTGCCAAAAAGGGCCACCTTGACTGCCTGCACTATGCCCATGAACATGGATGCTCCTTTGAGGCGGGAAACATCCTGCTCAAAGCCGTCCAAGGAAGGAGCCTGTCTAGGAATATTGGACAACACCGCATCTATATCCTTCGACTGGTATTGGACACGTGAGATTTGGTTTGTCTTTTTTTTGGCAGACTTTACTCCCACCTGTGAAAGAGGGAAAATTGGTAACCCCAGGGGGTGAGATACAGAACCCCTTGGTAGCCCCTTCTACAGGGTGATATACGTGTTCCACAATGCAGTCCCCTAGTCCACGTCAGATCCTGAGATTGCATAGCTTACTTAACAACTGCACAGTGAAGATGTGATCACGTTGCTTTGCAGGTTTCGGTGTGAGGTCTCGGGAGGCTACTCAAACATCTACTTGCAAGAGCTCTTCCACAAACACACTCTCAGATTAGAAACCACAAAAGCAAAGTGAACACCTGCAGCTTTCAGTTGCCGCGAGTCCTGAGTACCGAGAGCAGAAAATTTGTTGTTAATGACTCAGTACTCTTGAGCAAAAGCTGCCAATGAATTTGGTACCGCTACTCATGCAAAGCCCTGCGTAAGTCACTAGGCAAGCACCTGCATCGTTGCTGAACTGCAACAAAGTACATTGAGCAAGCAAGTTTGTGATGGATGATCTCATCTGTTGACTTCCTGCCAAGGCAATTGTTGACAATGAAGGCAACATGGATCTTGCACACTGCTGGCGGTTGTTCCCACTGATCTGCCATGCGGTGGTTCTTTTAATGGCTTTGATTCTTTTAAGCCAGTGTGGCTATATACAAACTGCGGGGCAGGTTTGTGGCCTCAGAGAGGCTTTTATATCTCTGCTTTGGAAGCCACAAACTGGCTTTGGGAAAGTGATTGACAACCGCGCAAAACGCTGCACTTAGTTTCTTATCACCTGAAATGCCCCCAAAGCCACCATTGTGAGCCAGTGAGAAATCTCTTCCACATCTATCTTCAGCCAGATTTGTGGCTCCAGAAAGACAATTCAGGAACATCTTTGAAGCCACGCTGGGTCTCAGACAAGTGCCTTAGTAGAAACACTGCTGCCATGCATGAATGTACATGTGCAAGTCAAGTGTTCTGAAGTCTCTCTTGACAAGGCGGCATGGCAGACCCACATGCGATACAAGGAGTTGGGCATAGAGGAACCAAAATTGTATTGTGAGCAAAAGGAAGTCAAGACTGCAAAAGAGTCGGAAAAGCCGCCGTGCACTGCATTTGCGACCCTACCGCAATTTTGCTTTAATAAATAAGAAGCTTTTCCCTCCCACTGTTGATCCCTTCTCGCTGTATAGCACTTCCCAAGTCATGCTGTAAAAGAACCATCTCAGAACTCCTATCTCCTCCTGACTCCCCTCCTACATGCGGCAAACGACCAGCATACCAGCAGAAACCCAGCGCCTGAATTCCAAGTCCCAAAAACAGCTGTCGCCAGAATTTGCTGCCAAGGCTGTACATGACAACAATAGCACCCGAATAAAATGATGTGCGGAGTGCTCCATCCCTCCCTCAGCCTTGCAGGCGGTTAGCGCAGGCAGGCCTTGTTGCGAGAAAATGCTGCATAGAAAGCAGTGAGTCTCCTTACAAGAATGCCACCGTGCAGCGGCAAGATGCAATGTTCGCCTCACTTCATAGCCTTGCACGCGCTAGCACAGCAGAGCTAGGCCGCCAGAAAATGCTGCATTGAAGTCAATCAGCCTCCTTGTATAAATGCCACCATGCAGCAGCTTGATGCCTGCGATTGCCACACTCCTTGTGCAGTGAGCCTGACACTGGCACCATTTGAAGCCATTCGTGGCCCAAAGGGCATCACAGCGGCAGTGGCCCAACACAGCGGTTCTCCTCACTCCTCGTGCTTCTTCTTGCTCTCTGACAGCGCCACCTGCGCCTCGGCTGTGGCCTCCATGGCTGCCGGGCTCTTCTGCAGCACCTGCGCGCAGCCCAGCTCCCTTTATCACATAGACAGGGAAGGTCGATAACTGCCAACCACGATTCAGGCCGCAGAGGCCGTTTGACAGCACTATTGGCAGTATGTCCACCATGGAATGACAGCGGCAGCCTTAGGAGCTGGGCGAATCATTATGGTAAGCCCACGCCATTGATACCAAGCCTTAGTATGCCATTATGCACAGTTTGACAATCTTCACCTGACACAGGCAAGCGATCTGATAGGACAGATACCATGAATCCCAGCTGCGGGCATCTGCCCATCATATCTGCCTTGCAAGCTTTTGTGCAAAATTTTTGGAACGGATATTTCACGCTTTTCCAACGCTCTTAATGAGCTGGTTGCCGCGCCTTGTTGGGGTGGCAAGCGAGGGTAGAGATTAAGGAATTCCAGCCAGGTGTCAGTAACTTGATAACCGCTAGCTCAAACAAAGGCGCAAAATCGCACCTTGATGGCGCCGCGGAGCATCTTGGAGAACCAGAGGAAGTTTAAGAAGTTGAAGACCAGGTTGAGGCCCCGGATGAGCCACAGCGCCGATGCAGGAACGCCCCCGGGCCGCGGGTGCGCCAGCTCAGCGCCGCTAACTCGCCAGAAATCCAGCGACATGCCTGCGCACAAGAAGTTTGTCAGCACTAATTAGCGTTCCTGTCATCGAAAAATTGCTTTTTGTTGTCAAGCCTCAAAAGTACGAAATACTGATGATCATGATGACGTGACCATGATGACATGGTCCACAATTATAGTGCCCCTGTACCTAGATGGTCAGAACCATCTATATGAGCACCTGCTCCTGAGGCTTCCGATCATCTAGCGCAAACTATTTTGCTATAAATGGTCGGAAGCCTCAGGACAGGTGCTAATACCAGTGCTGGAATGGCTACCAAAGCGCTTGGGAGTTCAAGAGACCACAAGCAAGTTCCCCATTGGTGACAAAAGGCCCCATCGGCAGCCACACTAAAAGCAGCGATCTAGCATTCAAATGTCTTTGCATCCCAGCGGTTGCTACCAGGTATTTCCATGCCAAGCGGGTCAAGCTGGCAGTTCAGGTTTCCAGAATTGCAATCAGGTGAGTCTGAATCAACCCAGTTGATCACTGAGCTATTAGAGACTCCTTTGCAAGCAGTATCTTGAACCTGGGATCTCTGGACGATGGCAAGGCCAATTAATTACGGTCCCTGACACACGCAGAACAAGGGAGAAGAGCCGTTGGAAAGGGGCGCGCACCGACACCCAGCAGGTTGCGGCAGAGGAAGAAGACGGCCATCATGGTGAGGCCGTTGTAGAGGTAGAACTTGTCCTTGGTGCGGCCGAGCGTGTGCAGGACCCAGCGCATGAACACAAAGGGCGTGCTGCACTCCCACAGCAGGAACATCGCGCCTGCAGGGACATGAAGAATATTTTAGTGGCCCGGAAAGGAACGAGGATGACTGCTTACAAGCCATTCCTACTGACGCACAAGCGTTGTTTGCAGACAAGCTGCAGTTGAAGGCTGCTACAAGTCCCAAACATTGTAGACTTCCTGCACACACTGCTTGATGCAAGCACTGCTGTGCCAAACCCATGGTCTTTTTTTTTCCCCGTCTCCAGAGTGGTGGTTGCCTATGGAATTCGCATGATTAAGCTGCCAATAGGTACATCTACCAGCATCATGGAAGCCGTGGCAAAAATAGCAAGCCACCTGTTCACCCGGCTAGCAAATCAGCTGTAGATGCTTCCCGACACACGAGGCAAGGTTCAGGCCATGACAAGGGTCCGGAAGGAGTTACTCACCGTAGTAATGGAGCACGCCACAGTAAATCCCCGTCAGGAACACGGACAGCGCGGCGGCAGCGTGCACCAAATTGGCGGTGTATTCGTACCGCACTGTGTGCACATACAGGTCGTACACAAAGTAACCTGCTGTCGTGGTGACTAACTGCCACGTCAGCGGGCTCTTGGAGTAGAGCCTGTCTGCCTGCAGGTCTGGGCTGAGCAGCACTATGATCGCCAGTGGAATCTGCACGCAGGGAGACGCTGGGGAACTTCAGCAGAGGAATAAACAAGCATATGGCTGCTCTCTTAGCTTAATGCGACGAGCTCACATCCTCGGACAGCTACAGCTGGCTCGCAGCAATCACAAGGAAAGGGCACACAAAAACAGCAGCCAAAACAGAGCCTCGTTCATCCTTAGCCGACAGAAAAGATCCACAACGGGCATTGGCAAACAGCTCGGGAAAGAAATATCACTTTTTGCCCAGAGTACTCAGCAGCACAAACTCATCCCCTTTGTCAGACTTCAGCCAGTGATGAATGAGCTCAAGCCTTTCGGTCGCCATCCATCAGAGGCATCTGACTTCGACAGTGAAGCTTAAATAGAAAACCATTGGGCTGCGGAAGCTTAAGATTGACAGAACATGCCTGTATAAGAATATGGAGGGAGCTGACGATGCGCGTGCTGATGTGGGGCACGGCCTTGTCCACCTCAGCCAGCTTCACGCCAGGTGCCGCCCAGCTTCTAAAGTGGCGCTGCATCCACTGACGTATGGGCCCATTGCTAATTGCTATGTCCACTGCTATAAACAGGAATCCTGCAGCCGAGACACCCTCCATTTGTCAATGAGCGGCCCCAGAGAAGCCAGCTAAGGGGTGCTTCAGGAGCTGCTGGTCTCCAGAATGGTAAGTGAGATGCCATTGCACTGCCAAGGATTGCGGGGCAGGGTGTGAGCGACTCGACAACGCCCCTCAGTCAATAAGCAGATGGACGGCAAGTATGCATGCGGCTCAAAGGCACTCGATTCTCTTAAGATAGCACATCAAGGTGTATCAGAGACGAGGTTGCGTGAAATTGAGCGTGTGTTACAGTCAGCACAGCGCACCTGTCAATGCTATCCTGGTCAGAGATTCCTGGGTAGTGGGTTCGAAGCTGCTCATGCCGCTGGTTGTAGCTTGCCCAAAATGCATTTTTCTGTCCTCTACCATGTCCAATCTGGTCCCAACGGAGCTGCAAGTCAATACACAGTCACTACGATGTATCATCACAAACCCCTGACATCAGGGTCACAGCAGGTGTTGATCGGGAATAAAGGACACTAAAATTTCTATAATGTCAATGATTATCCACTTGGGCTACATCATACAATCTGTGAGAATTGCGAGAAATTTGATATACCTTTTGTTGGTGTGGGAGGACAGCAAGGGGATTTGCGGAACGTGTATGTGTCTCGATATGCACTTCAATCACAGATCGCAGTGATCGGTGTTTTCACGAGCCACCACAGTGCTCTTCCGTGGTATATTGCCTCTACAGTGTTCTGCAAGCGGTTGACACCGTTCCGGAAGCTGCTTCAGGGCACTTAGGAGGCACGATTTGATCAAGGCAGCCAACCCAACAGGCAAGTGGACAGTGGCGTAGGTTTCAAAATCGCGTGAGAAGCTTATTCAAAGTGGATAATTAATGGCGAAAAGATTCGATGGAAGGAATCATGTTTGTTTGGCCTTTGCAAGACCAGGAACGGCGTCGGACGCCCGAAGAATTCAGCCACATTCAGGGCATTGTGCTGGATCCTGGAACTACAAGGATTGCCTCAAGCTGAACAGCCTATGCATGGTCCTGTCTTGCAAGACCAAGCTGCTATCTATAGGTGTATCATAGTGATGATCCTGAATGACTCTCTTTATCAATGGATCGCGAGAGCGAGCACGCACGCATGCATGCATCATGATACTGCGGCAGATGTCCTAGAGCATTCAGTTGATCATTGAAGCCCTTTGCTAGCAGTAGCAGTGTATCTGCAAATCCGGCAATTCATGCCGCCCACGGGATCCTACAGCATTTTGCGCAAGTGAATAGCTTTTAACAACCTCAACCTGCCAGGCAGTGCATGCATTTGTTTTCAAGTCTTGAAGGGCCCTTGAAGGTCCCGGGACACACAGAGATTCGCCAAAGATGCATACTGCAATCACACATGGCCATACTTCACACACATCGATCCGTCCTAAAACCCAACAATCATATCCATAACTCATTAGTAAACCAGTTGTCATGCCGTCCTTTGTCAGCCATCGTTCTCTGCTGCTCCTAAGACACCTCGAGGCCTCGGAGCTCCGTACAATCCGTAGCTCCGTACACAAACCTCCTATCAATTATTAAGAACTATTATAGTATAATGTCAAGCAATGCAGCTCAGCTCTGCTGCACAACAAGCAGTCCAACATCTCGTGAGTGGCAGAAGCTGCCGGCAATTTCAACCGGCACTTGAACGTATCTTTTGGAACTCCCTTAAATTCTCACAGGACCCGCTGGAAGTATATGTTGCACTCAGGTGTGATGCACTGCCCAAGCAACAGCTGCAAGGTCTTAAGAGTAGCAACAATGGGACCATACACCAAACTCAGGCCAGTACAGCCAGAGCAGGGGACACCCCTTCAGAACTTGGCAGCTCCAATTCTGCACTGCAGAGCATCCCCAGTGTGCTGCAGACACACGAGGCCAAAGGGAGCTGCCAAGCTCTGACACAGGGCGAGCGCCCAGAAAATTCAACAAACATCTTTGCTCAATTGGAGGCCAATGAACACCATGCCTTCATGCATACCGTGGCGGCACCCTAGCAGAAGCTTTTCTATACACTTGCGGGTGCAGGGGAATTTTCAATAGAGATTTTTCTGGCCGGGGGCCACTTTGTAAGAATCATCCCTCTACGTGCAAGCACCAGGAGTCAGGAGTCTAGGGCTTCCTTGTAACCTCAAGGGGAAAAAATACTAGTTCTTAAATGAGGGTACGGCAGGATTGCTCCTGGCAAAGAGATCCTGGTTTGCAGCAGGATGCTGTCACGTGCAATCTTGTCTAGTACAAGACTTCATTAAACACAAAAAAATACGTGCTTGCTACCGATGACGGCTTCCAACACAAAACAGGTACAAGGCACTGCAGCAAATGCTGCACGCTGAGACCTCTCAGCAATCTTGGGGTGCCTCTCTATACATCAACTCCTTTTTTTGCTTTTGCACTGACTGCAACACCTTGGTTGCCAGCTGAGATGCTTTGCACTGCAAGAGCAATGCTTGCTGGGATCCTAGTCTGGCCGTGTGCCCACCCCGAGTGGCTGTTCCTGCCTGTTGACAAGCTTCTGGCAGCGACAAGCAACTCGCGCAAGCATCACCTCAAATGCCGCTTGGAGGGTAGGGGCACACAGGCCAGACTCTTATGCAACAGCCCAAAACAGGGCGGAATAATCCCCACGGCCCCCCCGGCGCTTAGTCGTGCTTAGTAATGCTGCCGCCGCATGCACGCGCCAATGGCGGCTGCTGCCGCGCGCGGCCGTCCCGGCATTTAGAACCGCGTTGCAAATGCCGGTGTTGCATTACTAACCGCCCGGTGGCGGCTACGGCTGCGCTGCCGTGCCAACGCTTAGTAAGCGCCGGGGGGGCATTAGTAAGTGCGCTGGTGGCGGCTAGGGCAGCGCGACCATCTGCGGCAGCGGTTGCGGCTGCTCGGCATCGCACTCTGGGATCGCGGCCAGGGCGTTGCGCAGGGAACGCCTCCGACGGTGGAAGGCTATTGCGGCTTTGAGCACCTCTCTATGCAGACAAACACACACAGCTCCGTCAGACGCCGTTATCGATCAAAAAGAAAACGAAATGAAGAAGACGAGAAAAGAAAACGGCATTCGCTGACTTGGCACAAGGTGAGGATGGATTGGGACGGAATCTGCAGCTGCCATAGCTTCCAGTCTCTAAAGCAGCTAGCGATTTTCTTTGGTGGCTGAAGGCTGCTCAGCACTGCTGTCACACAATCGCTCCAGATGGATTTTCTCCAGCTGCTCTGGTCCTCTGTAGATTGCATGCACCCATGAATTGCAGTCCCCACTTGCGATCCGCACAGAAAGGCTGTGGGCCTCCAGTGGGGCGAGGTAAAGCAGGAGTGGCAAGGTCTCACCTGTGCTGTTCCAGCTGAGCGTCCGCCATCTCCAACTCCCGAATCTTCTGCGCCAATTTGGCGGTTTCTGAGAAGGCTGAAGCCAGCTGGAGGGCCTGCAGACACACAAGCCACTTCACCCTCTCCTTATGGACATTAAGTCACCTCTGCGATCCCAGCTTCTTGCAAATCCTGCAGTCCTTGCCCAATCCACGAAGTTGAAATTATTGTGGCCCATTTGCTTGAAAATATTGCGATCGTTCATATTGATGAGGCCACAAATATCTGGAACAGACTAAGGAATGGGCATGGTCCGGGTGTGAGTCATACCCGTCTGTGTTCTCTGAACTCCCTGTGGATCAGATAGTGGCTGTTGCGCATCGAGAGGGGACCAAGGGGGTATCTTTGGCCGACTGATCCTGCAGCAAGGCAGATGAGTGAGCGGACCTTTGACGAATGGGCGTTGCTCAGGTAGACTGATACCCCGTCAGCCGGGTGCTACAAACAGTCCGATTGCAATCTGATCAGGCGATCAATTGTTAATGGAGCCGATCTGTCCAGCCAATGCAGCGGCGGCAAGCAAGGACAAGGACGCGTCCATTGAAAGGGCACGTTCCATGGCATCTGTCCGTAAGACGCCGAGCGTCCGTGACATAAAAGAAGAGCGAATCCTGAAGCAAACCTGATTCATTTTGCTGGCGCATTGATCCTTTCGGGGCGTCTTTGGACATGTCCTGGCAACCCTTGTGCGTCCTCTGCACCCCACGCCACTGCTGGGCACTAACTCGCGGTGCCATCTGAGTAGCTCCTGTGCGCAAGGGGGGTCAAGGGGGTCGTGGGACAGCCTTTCAGATGTTCTCTGCCAAATAAATTTTGCTGCATCACAATACGTATACTCTTCCCACCTTATTCGGCCGTGCTTTTCAGGACAAAACGGCCGCTTGTAGCAAGAACCCAGGTGCCCTTGAACGCGTTTTCTAATCGAAGGGGAATATCGAGGGGCCTGGGGCAAACTGCCATTCAGATCATTCAAGGCCATTCTTAGCACATTTTGATGCCTTTGTCGGTAAATTGGGCCTAATTGCTCGTATTTCACATAGGCGCTCGTGAATCGGGGTTGGGGGCGTCTCCATGAAGGCCGTGGAGCCGATATCTTCTGCTGGAACGCCAGACTTCTCAGGCTATTGGAGGCAAATCAAGAATGAGAATATGGATCAGTACTTAAAGGTGGACAAGCTTCTTTGAAACACATGAAGATCTTGATTCCTTCAATAGAGATATGTTAATGGTGTGTGAAGTGTAGCCCTGCCACTGCCATCTTCACATGCGTTAATGGTGCCAGGTCATGGCGTTCTTAGCGATGCTGACAGCGTTTTAGGATCACCTATATTCTCACATGCTACGAGTACAGCAGAGCTGACTTAATAACCGTTATTGCAGAGCAGGTCCCTCCGTGTGCCTGAGCTCAGCATCTTGATTCGTTTGATGATATCTTCTGGACACCCAGCATTTCAACATGCTATACGCAGGAAATGGGCTATCCCTGGGTGGTGCGCAAGGCGCTAATGAAGTATGGGGCCAAGTCCACTGACATTGTGAGGCACAAGGGCTCCCTGATGACTGTGACCACTGTCAACGCCAAGGGGTCGTGGACCCGGACGCTTGACACAGAGAAGACCCTGCAGCAGGTCAGCTGCCAGATTTGTGGTCCATATATAATTCATTTCCTTTACCTCTGCACCTAGACCTCCGGCTTCAGTCTGCGGTGGACGAGGTCTCTCAGGTTACAGCACAGGTTACAAAGCGGTGCCGAGCTAATACAGCAAGTCAGAATAGTCACGGAAGTCTGAGCAGTTGAAACGGCCATTCACTGTAAACGCTGCCAAACGAACAGCAAAGGTGGTGCCTCTCAAAGGAAGATGCCTGCTTTCAGCTGACCGGAAGCTGCTTGCATGTACAACTGACTTCACGCTTGACCTGAAAGATCTGTGCTGGTGGAAGGCATTAGGATGACCTAGCATAGAGGCTAGGCATCTGCTTGCTAGTGAGGGTGTAGGTGATCTGCTTACATGTATTCAAACTTACAAGAGATTTACAAATATGCTGGCCTGGCATGTGCAGCACACGTAGAAGGATGTGTTAGGCAGGGGTGTGCCCTTACACCAGGTTTACAGGATCAGTCACCAGGGTGGCAAATGTGTGTGGGTTGTATTGTGTATACTATACAGGAGTGTGGTGAGCGGCAAGGTGATGAGATGCTGTGCATGCGCAGAGGAGTGCGGAGGGAAGATTGTGCAAGACGACGGCGTTTTGGGACGGCAAGATCCACAAGTCGCGCATGGAGCCGGTGGAGGGATCGCCCCAGGGCAGGCGCACCGAGTCCTGGCGCTTCATGGACTCCGGCATGATGGTGGGAAATCTAAATGCCCCGCAAATCTTGAGTAATGTTGCGTATACAGTACATGCATCATGTGGAGGGCTGCTGTGTAGCAACTGCGCCTTCCACATGGGATGGGAAAGGCTCCAAACCACCTGTTCTAGGCATCTCTATAAAGTGTGGTTACACCATCAGGATCAGCGTCACCAGTGCAGCCCCTAGCTAGGGCTGCTAAATGGGAGATGAAAGCCGTGGCAATTTATGGTGGTGTCGCAAGGAGGCCTTGACCTTCAAGGCTTTCTTTGCTATGTGTCAGGGAAAAGTGAACTACACGATGCAAGGGGATGAGAAGCAGTGCAAGGATGTCACGCTGCGCTGTGCTGTGCTGGGCAGGTTGTGCGCAGCGCGCTGCAGACTGAAAAGGGCAAGGATGTGGTCATGTTCTGGTACCTGGAAGCCATCGAGATGCCTGAACGGCCGCGCGGCCTTTTTGGTGTGTCCCCGTTTCAATTTTCACTGCTACTCCTGCCTCATTTTCTGCGACTCCTAGCTGACTTTTGTCCAGTCATTAGCACCCAGGGGCCATAAAGTGTCACATCATCGCCAGCGGAATAAACAACAAAATATCGTTGGGGGGCACTCTTTCATGCTCTCTTTAGGGGTCTGTAGAGCCTTCAAAGGCCAGTGATCGTTTGCCAAGAACTTGGCGTCTAGGCTGAATCACACAAAAAAGCAAGGGCAGAAGCTGATTCAGGCTGCGGGCTCCCTGACAGGCCTCATAATTTGCAGTTGGCCTTATCTGATGTGTTTGGGTGCCAAGTGCGGGACAAGTTCATGTAGATGTTCAGTGCTCCTTATTTGCAGCCCAAATGGTGCCAGATAATTAGTGAGCAGACATGCTCACACAATCAAGACCGAACTTGCATGCGTATTGGTAGTGGCACCCACTGAAGACGTCCTATTATTTCTGATTGCAGGCAGGAGCCGGCTGCGGCGCATTGCCAATGACCAGAAGAGGGTCATGCGCGCAACCGGCAGCGACAACCAGTACTTGCGGGTATTTACTATTACTATTACTATTACTATTACTATTACTATTACTATTACTATTACTATTACTATTACTATTACTATTACTATTACTATTCTATTACTATTACTAGTACACAACTTCCTTCCTTGAGGCAAGGTATGTCCTGCAGACAAGCTGCAGTCAAAGGCACAATCCACAGCAGCTTATTTCCTACCTCAAACTGCCTACCCCACACTAGCGTGACAGCCCCATCCTCCTGCAACAATCTGTTGGGAGAGGACGACAAGCTATGCAATTTGACAATTTTTGTCTCTTGCACTCTTTATTGAATACAGCTTCACCCTCACAGAAGTCAGCTCTGAATATCCACATGTGAGCAAGTGTGCCTGGTTGTTCTGCGAGTGCTCTCTGCCAAATGTTGAAGTGCATCTGTTTGTCGGTGCAGTACCTGGGAAGCAATATGGCGAAATGGGTGACCCCAGCGGACCAGTACATCTCCATGCGCTCCGCGGAAAAGGAGTCCCGGGTGAGCTCTCCCTTCCTCTCTGGTCGAAGCCATGTCACCTTTGAGGCATTCTTTCATGGGTGGATTTGCAGTGTGGCAAGATACACTGCCCGGTAGCGGTTCTGCCCAGCTCCATTATGCCTCGCCAGAGGGTTGCCTGCACTTTAAGGTGCACGGATTAGTCAAATCACCTATATACCGTATCGATACTGCCTGCTGGAAATGGTGTTGCTCCTGGGTCACTTTTGAGGGCTCGTGTCTTGTAGTGCACACTGCATTATTATCCATGGTATCTGGAGGTTACATACTGGGTCGTCCCTAAGGCCTGATGACTGATCTGAGACACATGTGCAGGCACATGAAACGCTGATGTCGGGCAACACGTCACCGCGCTCCTTCTCCTCCAACGCGTTCTCTCCCTTCTCGTCATCCCCCCGCGCTGCCTCAGGTGCGCCCTGACTTTGTTTCTGCAGAAACATTTGACGGGCATTTCCCCGAGGGATGCCCAAGGCAGGCTGAAATCCGAGCTTTTTCAAGCAGCTGATGCACAATGTGACATGCCAGAGCTTAGTGCTGATTTTGTGAGTGATGAGGCTCACAACAATTCACAACCATGTGTTGAGTACCACCACCGTACTTGGGCAAGAATCTTTCTTTGACATAGAGCGCCCATAGTCTGCTTCTTGACCTGCTTCAACGCGACTCTTCGCTCTATCCCTGAAGTAATCTGACCTCGAGAGCTTGTGTGCATGCGGCAGGGAACGCCCAGCTGCCCTCCTGGGGCAGCGCAGCCGGCTCCTCCGTGCATCGCGAGAGCAGCGCCTCCGAGGCGCGGCCGCCACACCCGCCGCTGACATCAACCGCGCCGCAAGCCTCTGACATCAGCGCAGGTGTGCTCCTCCCTGCCACCTTTATTGAGCATCGAACGAATTGTCACACTAGCCTGCAACATTGCACTGCAATCCTGAGATATGTCTGCAATAAGCTAAAATTTACTTATTTGGTGCTTAAAGCATGAGAAGCACAGAAACAATTCATGCAGGTTCAGGCGCCTTGGAGGCAACGCACAGGAGGGAGGGCAGCGGCGGCGCGCCGCCGGCCCCGGGCCTTGAGGAGTGCAAGACGGACAGCGGCAAGACCGACAAGACCGACGGCGGCCGAAGCGACGGCGCGCGCTCGGCCACGGCGCCGCCGCTGGCCGGCCGGCCCGGGCCGCTGCCGCACCCGCCGCCGCCGCAGCCGCAGCCGCCCGCGCATGCTCGGTCGTACTCCAACGCGAGCAGCATAGCCGGTGAAAACCGTGTCCCATTATGTGCAGTATCGAGGTACTCCTTTTTTTGGTAATCCGTGCGACCATTTGCCGTCCGGCTGGCCCGGCCGGCCGCTGCAACCGCCTCAGGCCACGCCGTACTCCAATGCAAGCAGCGTAGCCGGCGAGGGCTGGGCAACCTCGAATGTGTGGAAGTTTCTTTTGGTGCTTGTTCACATGGCTATTTGATGTTTTTGACGTTTTGCCGCATGTGGGGAGTGTGTGCACATTTCTTTGGGATTTGTCAGGACTTTCATAGCAAAATGGCAGGCATACGTCAGCATGGCTGTGCAGCAGAGCCGCCAAGGGATGCTGGTGCCGCGAATACAAGCAGGGATTCGATTCCTGTATTCTTGAATGGTGATTAAATTGCACATTTCTCCTCACCCCCAGCACCTGCCGTTTGCAGCACCTGAGGTGAAGCCTGGCTACCTAATGTCAATTGTTCCTGTCTTCAATGGTGGCTCAAACGCCTTATTCTCCCGGGTTTGATTCTGAGTAAACCTGGTGTCTGTCACAGGCGTGGAGCTGTACCCTTCGGGCAACCTGGGCAGCGGCAGCGGGCAGCTGGGCGGGGCCCATCACGCGCACAGGCGTTCCCTCACCAACTTGAGCGAATTAGGAGCCGAGAAGTCTCCCGAGAGCGCCAGCCGCGTCCGGCCGCCGCCCGAATCACTCGAGGCACAGCTCAGCCACAAGCTTCAGGTGGGTGCCAGACAATGTACAATCGTGCGCAGAAATAACCTTGGTTGCAAGCAGTTGGGAGGGTCCAAAGTGGTGCTTAGACGCAGCAGGTGCATGGCTGAGGGCGCACCCTTTGCTTTGGCAGTCTTGAGGTGCTATGCATCTTGGCATTACATGAAGGTGAGCAATCGATACAGCGGTAATTGTGTTTTGAGAGGTTTCTGGCCTAGAGTAGTTACATTCAAGCACCTCGTAGGGCCTCTTTGGTGGCATGCCTGTTGGGTAGCAATCACAATTGCTTGGAAGTGGGAAACATTTTAGCACATGCTCAAAACTAGACAGCAGGTGTGGGCACTGGGATTGCAGTTACAGGATCTTATTTCTACAGTCTCAGGCAATCATTTCCCCTTGGGCTGTCAATTCCAAAGGGTACCATGCGTCCACTGGTTTACCATTGAACCTCCACATCTCTCACATGTCTGAGCTCCCTGCTATTGCGCGCAGGAGTATGCAGAGAACCGTAGCATAACAAGCGTGGTGCCTGTGGACAATCCCCTCACCACCGATGAGCCAGAACTTCTAGAGATGTCGCCAGAACAGGCGGAGGAGACGCAATTGTGACCTCTTTCTCTCTTTGTCATTATAGGGTGTCCTGAAATCATAGTGTACAGCGTCTGGCAATGCACAGAACATCCGATGGCATCCGATAGCATGCAGACGGTGTTGAGTTGCATCCTTCTTTTGGAGAAGCAAGCTGTATCGTGTTGGTTCTGAAATTTGAGTCCAGCTAAGGCTGACAAACCTGCTTGGAAATGGCAGTGTGAAGGGGTTGCGCCAAGGCGTGGTGTGCCGTTCTTGTTGTTGTCTTGGCCGTCCCAGCAACAGTACACAGAGCAGTTTTCTTTTATGTGTTTCTGTACAACTCCCCTACGGTATTCTGTGCACACCTGAGTAACGCCTGATACAACTAGTCACCTAACTTTTAACCCGAAAGCGCTGTGCTGAGCTGGTCAGCTTCCTGGGTGCAGGAAGCTGGTGGAGCTGGAGAGGGAGCTGCGTGCAGCTGCCAGGAAGCGGCACGAGTACGCAGAGGGCCGCGAGTGTTTCTGCTGCACCTGCGTGTTCCACTCTTTCGTGATCCCCGCCTATGTCCGGACTTGGGACCTTTGAAGCATGGCACCACAGTGCTTCGGAACTTTAAAAGGGACTGCTCTCGCAATGCAGTACTTTTTGGTGCCTGTAGTGCAATTTTATGAGTACCAGCACTTTTCTTTCTGGGCACGGGGCCAAAGACGGACAAGCACAGCTGATGACTGTACTGCAGCTCGTCTGCAGGACGCACCTTGCCTCTTGGCAGGAAAAGCGTGGTGTAATAATAATGATGATCATCAAATTTGAATGATGGGCACGTATATGCCTAATTAGCTGCACATTTATCTGCACAGCAAGTCTTCAGATCTGTACAATGTATGACCCATTCTTGCTCAGTGGCTGAAGGTGCCCCGCTTGGTGTGCATCACCTTGCGATCTCACCATACCATAAGTAATGCAAGGGAGGAATATGGTACCTGACGAATGAACCTTCTGGAAGGTGCTAAAATAGGCAGACGTCCTGAAGTGGCGACCCGGCCTTCAACCTCCAAAACATCAGCCGGGGTTCTCACAAATTTATTCAGTGGTCTTCCTTCACCGAATACAGCCCTGTGATGTTTTGCGTAGCTCTGGTATTCGTTCAACCGGTCTTCAAGGAAGGCATCCGTCTGCTGCCGCTATAGAGTCAGCTTTATCAAGGAAACGCAAGATGGTGAGTTTCTTGCGCACATTCATGGCACCTTCGCCAATGCATATATTGAAGCTTTTTTCTGTATGCGGCTTCAACCCCAGGGGTTTGTGAGTTGTTGTCTCACCTTACCTCAAAGTCCGGGTCTTGAGGACGCCATTCGATCCATCCTGCTACCGCGATGACCCTCCGCAACAGCCGATGTCTTCCGTATAATCACTAATCACTTACTCTGCTTGTGTTTCAGGTCTCCAAAATGTCCGTCGGGGCCAACATGCTCTTACTTTGGCGCAAACCCCGCATCCTGCTCGTCTGCGCTGCGGCGGCGTGCGGCGGTCTGCTGTTCGGTTATGACCTTGGTGCGCCGCCTTCACAGTCCTCATGCTTGTACATAATTATCTGTGTTCTGTTGCAGCACTCTGGTGGCATCTGTGCCGGCATAGAAAAGTCGGTGATGGGTTCAGGGTTCATCGGTGCCTGACTGGGTTGGTGCCGTGTTGCAGGAGTTACTGGGGGCGTCACCGGCATGCCCACGTTCCTGGAGGTCAGCCGACTGCCTCTGCTCCGTTTTGACTTTCGCCCTGTCGCTGTCGCTCGTTTATTTTGGCCACCGCTTGTACATCTGCACCCGTTTACTGACGTTTCTCGTTTGCAACGCAGAAATTCTATCCCCACGTCCTGACGAACCAGAAATCGTCTACCTCGTCCGCCTACTGCGCATTCAACGACCACCTCCTGACGCTGTGGACGTCCTCCATGTTCTTGGCCGGCGCCGGCGCAAGTGCGCGCGCCCCCTTCCTCTTCTTTCACTTGCCCCAACAGCAAATCCCCATTGCCTTCCCTGTCTCCTCAAAGAGCAACTCTCCCCGCGCTGCTGTGTGCGCCCTGGGATTGCTTGCTCATCCCAGTTGTGGTCCACATCAACACAAGCTCGGTCACTGCCTTGAGAGATGGCCAAACTGTAAGACTGCTTCGTGCGTGCGCAGGTATTGTGGTGCTCCTCCTCTCCAACCGCAGCCTGCCTCTCGGAGGTCTGGGCCGCCGCGGTATCATGGTGACTGGAGGCATCGCCTTCCTCATCGGAGCACTGCTGCAGGCGCTCGCGCAGAACATCGGCATGCTCATCGCCGGCCGCCTCTTCCTGGGAGTCGGCATCGGCTTTGCCAACGAGGTGGGCCCCTCTGCAAGAGGCTTGGACCTGCAGCAGCTGATCACATGCTCAAGCACTGAGCATATAGCGTGTCGTTGGTTCTTGCTGTCATTTGTGCAGGGGATTAGGTGGCAGCGCTGCATGCACTCCTGCAGCCGGCAGTGCACGAGTCCATGAGTCTTTCCTCATTTCACTGCAGCGCTGACTCAATTGCTTTTGCTGACTGCGCAGGCCGTGCCCCCCTACATCTCGGAGATGGCGCCCCCCTCGATGCGTGGAGGCCTCAACATCCTGTTCCAGCTAGCGACGACCATCGGCATCTTCGTGGCATCCCTCATCAACTGGGGTGCGCATCCAATCTGCCCCCTCGGCCCCACGTCTCTTGCAAATTTGCCAGTTAAACACCGGCCAGATAGTTCCTTGTGCATTATTGCAGCATTTGCAGCACCGCGAGAGGGCAATTTTCTGCTCCGCTGCAGCATCTTTTTGTGTGCCAGACTGCACACAGTGTGCAGAAGCCCGAGTTTTGGTGTTGAGTCATGTATTAATTATGTTGACTAATGTACTGATCTGCGCTGTGCTGCAACGAGCAGGTCTGGAGGCCCACTCTGACGGCTGGCGCTGGTCGCTCGGCATTGCTCTGGTGCCGGCGCTCGTTTTCACCATCGGAGTCGCCCTCTGCCCGGATACCCCCAACTCGGTGCTGGAGCACGACCCTGACAACCTCGTCAAGGCCGAGGCGGTGAGAGTCTCTAAACTTGCCACCTGTCTTGTACTTTGAGCCCTGTTCATGTGACCTGGAAGAGCTGTGCTGCAGCTGGAAGGTGAGCCGTATGCTGACCTGGCCTCGAGATCAGGCGTTGTCCTGTGGCCTGTGTTGACTTGATTTCTCACCGGCTCAGTCATGCGCATGTGGGCTTTAAACCGTCTGCAACAGCGTCTAACGCGTCGTCCCTGCCACACTTCGGCCCTATTTGGCTCGATTTGTGATTTTCTTGGTCTCTGACATTATTGCCTCTGCTGCGCTGCAGGTGCTGGTGACGATGCGCCCGGAGGGCCATGACATCCAGGCAGAGCTCATGGACATTCAGAGGAATGCCAAGGAGACGAGCGAGGAGTCCTTCTGGGCCTCAGTCACCACGCTGTACAGCCGGGGCCACTACAAGCAGGCCATGGCGGCCCTCTTCATCCCCTTCTTCCAGCAGTTCACCGGCATGAACGCCATCATGTTCTACGGTGCGTTCACCCCTTGTGTATTCCTTCGCTCCCCTGCTGCCTGCCACATCAGCTTTTCCCTGACGCTTTGCATGCAGGCTCCTTTGGGTCTTTATGAGCCTGACTTGCCAGGTACTGAGACTTGCATGTCAGCTGGCGGGCTTGGAAGGCTCTTGTGCATGGTATGGTTGTCGGGAAGAACGAAGATGACAAGCGTTGGCTGAAGGGGAGTGTGCTTATGTGTGTTACAGCGCCGCAGCTCTTCCAGGTGCTGGGCTTTGGAGTCAAGGCGTCGCTGATGAACTCTGTCATCACAAACACTGTCAACCTGGTCTTCACCTTCGTGGCCATCGGACTGGTTGACTGGTGCGCAGCCCACTGAGAACGACCCTGCATACTCTTCAGCTGCATTGCATGTCTGCTGCTTTGCTTGAGTGCATGCTGCAGCCGAGGCGGGCATGGTGTCAGTCATTGCTGAGTCTGCGCTTACTCATCGCAAAGGTCATTGCCTGTTGCCTTACAAGCAACTATTATGCCAGCTCTGAAGAAAAGCTTTGTGTTGCATGCAGGACCGGCCGCAAGCCGCTGTTCTACGTGGCGGGCGCCATCATGTTTGGCATGCAGATTGCCACCGGCGCGATCGCAGCCGTGAACTTCAAGAACGGCTCCATCCCGGCCCAGATCGCCAACGGGATGCTGACCTGCATCTGCATCTTCGTGGCCTGCTTCTCCTTCTCCTGGGGCCCCCTGGGCTGGCTGGTGCGAGGCATTCCCTCTCCTGTCATATGTAACCTTACTCGTGGATTAGTCATTGGTGACTCACCGTTTTCTACGGTGAGCCATCGCCCAATGCCCTGTCATGGCCAGCTGTTCGCTGAGTCAGCTTGTGATTAGCTGGTCAGCTGCTGATGCATGCATGCAGGTACCGTCGGAGATTCACACAAACCAGACCCGAACGGCGGGCATGTGTGGAACTGTGTTTGTCAACTTCATCGCCAGTTTCATCATCGGACAGTGCTTCAACCAGATGATGTGCTCTATGGAGTACGGAGTGTTCCTCTTCTTTGCCGGCTGGGTTCTCATCATGACCACGTGGGTCGCCTTGTGCTTGCCAGAGACGAAGGGCATCGCTGTGGAGAACGTGATGGACGCATGGGCCACGTACGCGTTCCCTCCTTCTCATACAATTGCGCATGTATACCCCTGTGCATGCATTCATCCTTTCACCCCTGCCGATACACCCGCGTTCCTTGCAGGCACCCTGCACTTGATTGTTTGCCGTTGCTTGAGTGTCATCGTGCCGGCAGGTTCTGCTCTTGCATGGGTGTGGCTGACAGCGGCATGTGAGAAAAGAAACTTCTGAGAACTTGAACGTGGGCTGATGGGTGGTGCTTGCATGCATGCAGGGTGCCAAACTGGCCGTGGAATCAAAAGCAGGTGGCAAAGGAGCTGCCTACCATTGCCGCTGAGAAGGGCGCTGCCACCAACGGTGTAGCCAATGGTCACCACTGAGTGCTTGCACGCTCAAGAGAAGACATATCTGCTGTGATACAGCAGAGCACAGACCACCACTGAAGTGTCCTCAAGTGCAGACAAGCCTTGGCTGCTGTTGTGAAGCTGCAGCATGCTGACCGGTTAGATGGAACGAGAGGGGGTGCAGTGACTGGATAAGTGATTGAGGAAGGGAGGATCACAGTGGAGTTTGATGATCTGTGGGGTCAAAAGTAATAGTGAAGGCTGTCTGTACGGAGGTGTTATTGTGGGCAGGTTTCAAGTTGAAGGGCAACAAGATCAAGGCACACACTCTGTCAGAGCAGGACTCAAGAACAAGGCACCTATCAAAAAAGCTCTATAGTAATATGACTGCAATTGCGCTGGTCAGTGACGAGCGCCATCTTTAAGACGAGTTGAAGTAACTATGTGCTGTGGATCTTTCATTCAAGAACACTTGAGCCAGCTGCAGTTCTTGTGCGTTGAGGCCATGGCTTTGTAATATTGGTGCTATACAATGTGCAACCTTTTCCTCTCAAGCCAGGCAAAAGCAGTGGCATTTGCACAGCACATGATGCATTCTTACCAAATCTGCTCCTTACAGACACCTAGTGCCAACGAGCTCCCCTGGATTAAGTCAGAGCCCACATGCGCACTGTGCATCAATACTGGACGCTGCAGATCAATCCGCCGACTGCAAGTTGTCAGCTTTACTAATAAGCCTCTGATACCGCTGCACAGCAAGCGCTATCACTTCCTGCGATATGCCAATAGCAGCCGCCGCCTCAAACGCCAGCCGGGCATCCCCAGCAACGCCATCATAGACCTGATCAGCTGCCCCTTGCTCGCCCGCTTCCTTGCCAGCTTCCCTGCCAGCTGCTGGCTTTGGGATACCTTCTCCAGTACTGTTTGTCTCCTGCCCTGCTTCCGCACTCCCCGCCACTGCTGCTCCAATCCCTTGCTCAGCCGCACCACTGCTGCCGCCTTCTCTGCCTTCTTCATGTGCTGCAGTCAATAGAGCTGAATAACTCTCTATACCCTGCTCCTCTGCGACGCCCATCGCTGCAATGAAATTTTCCGGTGGCTGATCCTGTGAGGTGCCCCCCACCCCTGCCACCGAGGGCTCCCCCATTCCAAGGGAAGGTTCCCCCAATCCACTGTCTGCTGCAGTGCCCTCCTCACCTGCTGCATGCCCGCCTAAGGCAGCTGCGGCAGTCTCCCTTCCCGGCACCAATAGCTCCTCGCCTGGGAGAGTCGTCCTGCTCCCGGCACGCTGCTGTGATGAGTCTCCAGCTGCAGCTGCTGCGGCCCCGTCTCTCGCTGTGTCTGGTTGTATCTCACCAGCCTGCAGCGAGGCGGCGCCTCCGTCAGCCTGCAATGAAGCTAAACTCCTCGCTGCGTCACGCTGTCTCTCACCGGCATGCATCGAGGCGGCGCCTCCTCCTGTGTCTGGCCGCACTTTGGCGGCCGGTGGGGATCTGAAGAGGGGCAAATTGGTGGCTGGCCATCCAGGAGGCTGCGGCAGGCGGAGAGCGAGGCGGAATGCCACGCCTCTCCTTGCTGGGCGGACATCTCTGTCCCAGCGGCGCGCCAGCAGCTGCTCTGCAGCACACCGGCGCAGAACACCTCAGCACACAACATTAGCGAGAAAGCTGCGCAAGCTCTGCCTGCAATATCAGTCTGCATTTCCCGAAAACAGTGCAAGTGTCTCACTGGAATGTCTCATTGTGCCCCAACAAAGACTGGTAGTAGACTGGTCCACAAGCGCAGAACCTGGACGGATGCGTTTGGGGCCAGGCATTGTGTCCAAACACCATACATGGACGAGCCAGGCAGTCACAGCAGGCCATAAGCCAGAATGGTTCCAGTGCTCACCAAGCAGGGCATATGCCAGCCTGAAGCTGTGCTTGGCTGCAGCGGCAGCAGCGCAAACTTCGCCCTCGTCCTCTGCTGCTGCTCCCTCACTCCCCGGCATGTTCCCCGCAGCTCCGCCTTGACTGCCTGGCTCGATCTCCATCCCAGCTGCACCCTCATCCCCGTCTTCATCGGTGCCATGCCCATCTCTTCCCTCAAAGCCAGCCGCCACAGTTGCACATTCCTCTGGCACGCCCCTGGCCGCGTGCCCACCCCCATGGATGAATGAGTCATCCGTTACTAAGTGCAGCGCATCAGCTGCCGCCTGTTCTGGCTCAGTGCCGGCCCCGGCAGCCGCCACCTCACCATTTCGCTGACTCAACGGCTGCCCGGGCGCCATGTCAGCCACCGGGACGGCCGCGCCGGCTCCGCAAATGTGTTCTGTGTGGCTAACTCGAGTAGCAGAGCGCCTGTGTGCGGCTGCTAAGGAAATAAGCGCCCAGTGCAGGGAGAGCGTGGCAGCTCCGAGGTCTGCAGACTGGTCATTTGCACTGGGCTGTGTACGTCTGCGGATGGTAGGAGCTGATTTCCTTTCCTCATTGGCGGCTGGTGGCTGCATGTTGCTGAAGGGCGTGTTGAGCTCCTCCTCTATGGACACCTGCATTGTAACAGGACAGCACATCTGAGAAGGCCGCAGGATGAAATGAGAATGCTACCCGCCTGCAGGCTTGGTGCGCAAAGGAAAGCTTGCAGGGAGCATGCAAAAGAATTCAGGAAGGGTGGGCAATCATATATCAGAGGATGCACGAGGATTTATTTAAGGGCAGGCCATTGCAGGCGGCGGCTTCACCTTCCAGAGTGTGCCATCAGAGTCGTCTGAGGCCAGCACGCCCCTTTCCTCCTCAGCACCTGCAGCAATGGGCAACACTTTTATTCAGTGCTACTCAGCTGTTATCTCATGCCTCTCACAAGCGCCCGGAATGCAAGAACAGCCCGCAGATGGACTGAAGCAAAGCAGCCTGTGAGAATGTAAAGGCCAAGTGCCAGTTTACCTGGCAGGACCTGAAGGAAGCTGTCAACCTCCTTTCGTATAGCCTTGGCTGTCACCCTGCCGCCAAACTCCTGCTGCAGCTGCTTTGCCACCTGCAGGGTCATTAGCCGCCAGCATTCATCAAGTCAACGGCATCAAGATGTGATGGATTTCTGAATGCCTTATGCTACATGCTGCATTAGATGTCATAGAAAGACAATAAGCAGTTTAAACAGACTTTTAATGGACATTCTGCAGCAAAAGGGCATGACTGCATGTTCCAAGGAGTCTTCTGCTGTGCTGACCTGTTGCAGCGTCAGCATCTCTAAGTCAGCGCCGCGCAGAATGGCAGCAATGCGCGCCTTCAAATCCCCTGCAACAACTTCAACTCCCTCCTGCGCTCGCTGACCCCTGCCAGAGCTGACACCCCCAGACCCTCCAGCATCCTGCACCCTTCTCTTCTTTAGCCTCCCCTGCCGCTGGGAGCCAGACCTGGCCGAGGGGCCGGCCTCAGTCAACTCACTGCTGACTCTGCCACTGCTGCTTGCTTCTTCAGGAGCTACCGTCGTAAACCCGGAGCCAGGCACTGACTCTCTGGCTGCTTGAGAGATTATACTTGACTGTCCACGTCTCCTCCTCTTTCCTCCTTGCCGCCTACCTGTGGGGCACAGCATGCCAGCTCAAACGCGTCACAAGATTCATGATGTGGCCTTGCAAGCGGCATAACAACAGCACGATCATCGGACCAAATCATTACAGCCCTGCTACTTTTTATACTTGCAGTGTCTTGGGGAGGATCCCTATTCAAGGCAGGGCAAGCTCAAGCAACGGGCAGGCTTTGTGGGTGGCTGACTGCAGCCCTGATCACAGCATGCTCAGGCCAGAGCTCAGCAATCAAGACTGCGGGTCCTTGCCTTGCTGCACGACGGGCTGTGCAGCAGTCTGCGCGAGGACATCGCTCTGCATGGCTGCCAGGCTGGAGGCGGAGAGGTCACGGCGGTGCAGGCGGGGCGGCCAGCGCTGGGCCAGCTCAGCAGGCCTGCATGCATGCATGGCTTTCAAGAAATCCTTTTCAACTGTAAAATGCATCTCGATGAAGACCTAGAGGGATCTGGTGACGTTTTTGATGGCGAGGGCAATGCAAAAATAGGGCAGCTCGAGGAATGCAGCCTCTGGTGAGTTGCGGGGTTTTGAGAAGCTTACCACCTAGCGCGGGTGCTCCAGTCATTCGCCAAGATCCCAGCTGCTTGCCTGCAGAAAATAACAATCAGTGCCCTTAATAGTTGCAGATCGCAGCAGCAAATCAACTGCAGCAAAGGCTCTGCTTGTACAACGGCATGCGTCACTGAAGGCAGCCGGGGGTACCTGGCGTCCATGACTTCGTCGTAGGAGAGGCGTGGGAGTTCTGCATCCTCAAGAATGTCCTCTTCAGCCAGCTCAGCTTTGGCTGGGGCGGCAGGCCGAAGGCGAACGCTGGCAGCTCCAGCACTTGCCAGTCGTTCCCTCGATACGTGTCCTGCGCGCTCTGCCTCCATCTCAGCTATTTCAAGTTGATGATAATTGACCAAATGGCCCTCAGATACGTTGCGATCGAGAAGTTCGGGCCTCTTTCAGAACGGTCATGTGTGTGGACGATGGAAATGCTTCCTCAAACGCCCGAGTTCGAGGTACATGTGCACAAATCGGAGCATTGTCACCGACATGCAGAACCATATTGTTTAGGGTGTCCTGCTCATTGTAAAAAGAAAGCTTAATTGAGCTCAGATCGATATTTGCTGATCATCAGTCACACGGTTACTCACTCCACAACAAACCGCGCAAATCAATCAGCGACGTGCCGATCATCTCCTAAAGCTCTGTGCATGGCAGTGTTATCGTAAAAGGTGGAACTTGGAAGGTATAACTTATATTTCATGAGCCGCTGCTGAACAGTGCTTTGCATGGGGTCTCGGGCGGGAAAGTAAGAGCTGCAGATTATGGAGAACCGCTGGAAGTTCCTCTTACTCCTGGCCGTTTTGGCACCAGCGATCGTGATCTCGCAAGACTCCGCTGCAGCAAACCTAGCAGCCGATCTGCAAGACGCTGTGGAGGCGCAACAGGCGGGAGAGGAAGTCACTGAGGCTGTAGAAGCGAAGATCATCAAGGAAGCTCCCATTGGTGTCTTGCCGAGCGGAACTGGGGATGTGGCTACAACAGGTAGCTAAATATACCATACATTTTCTGACGCTGAGTCTCTTTAGCGAGGGTTTGAAAGGAACAAGACTTTGCAAAGTGTGCAGGTTTGCAGAAAGACTTCAGGCTCACCGGTTGTCGTAAATGTGAGGAATGTCAATAACTAAAGATCTGAGGCCGCTCTTTAAAGAATGATCCGTTCGCAGGAGCTTGTGCTGGAGACGTGGAGAACTTCTGTGCAACCGTGAAGCTTGGTGAGGGGCGTCTAGCAGACTGCCTGACGAAACAACAGGAGGAGGAAACGAAGGGGAACGTTGAAGGTGACCCACGCATTCTTCTGGTCCTGTGACACACAGCATGCAGTGTCCTTACTTGCAGTTCCACATTCATCTCAATACACCATGTGTACATCACGATGTGTAAGGTATGATATGCAATTCCTGGTTCATGCAGGCAAAACCTTGACTGATGACTGCAAGGCGGAGCTCGCTGCGTTCAAAATGGAGCTTGGCGAGAGCATCAACAAGAACCTCCCCCTTGGTAGGGACACTACACTTCATTTCTCATGATGTCCGCGCTACGTTTGTAGCATGTCAGGCTCGTGCTCTGTGCAGCAAGGTACCCTTGCATAGTAGATTTCTTGTCAATGGATGCAACAAGTCAAGATCAATATTGACTCTGCAACGCCGCAGTCTTGCCAATATTGAATGGAAGCGTCTGATCACCTCATGAACTGTGCTATGATCAAGCAGCAATCTCCTTGTAGCCTGAGGAGATGCTTGATTGGTCATGCAGCCAAGGCGTGCAAGGATGATGCCACCAAATTGTGCTCTGATCAGGACCCCACAGACCCTGTGGCCATCCTGGCCTGCCTCAGGTGAGCCTTCTCATCTCTGCCACTGGCTGTTGCTGCAGTAGTGAATACCTCGCGGCAGCATCATGTGCTGGCGTGGAAGTCGCCGCAAATTTCAAGACTTGGCTACCTGTATTGTGGTTGGAAAGCAAATTAAACAGGAGACAAGGCGAATTGCTGACATGGTCTCTCCCATGTCTGTGCGCAGGGACCTGAAGGACTCACTGTCCAGCACCTGCTCGGCCGAGATCTTCAAAACGCAGATCGAGGTGCTTTATCTCCATGCGCCGCATATTGCATGCCCAACTCGTTGTCGCAGCAATCAGCCCACCTCGGCTATCGCAATCATCCCAAAAAATTGAGCACTTCTGCCACCTGAGTGGGGCACCAAGCATGGCAGTGGATTGATAGGGATTCCTGCATGCATATCTGCATGCATATCTGCTTGCGCACCAGAATAAACCTGTGGTAGAACGTGGGCTAGAGAGCCCACTTTTTCGTAGGGGAGAAAGCTTGAGACCACCTGATCTGCATCTCCAACAGTGCCATGCCTCCCCATTAGAGGGCAGCGTTGGGGCGCTCATTGTTAGCAATGACAAAGTAGCAGCACCTCTGTAGTTGTTTAGGCCTCACTCATGTTTCATTTGCACACCGGAAGGGGAAACGTTCAAGGGGTGCTGTGACGCGATAGGGCTCTGTTACAGCAGCTCTGACCGGGGGGTCTGAAACGTTGTCCAGGCAGCGAAGGACTACCGGACGGATGCTGACCTGCACGCAGCATGCGAGCCGGACGCGAAGCAGCTGTGCGCAGATGTGAACCCGGGCGAGGGGCGAATTCAGGACTGCCTGCGCGACAAGGCCGTCTCCGTCTCCTGGGAGTGCCAGGAGGAGCTCTTCCGCCAGGTCAGACGCTTGCAGCGCTCATGGCACCTTTTAAGCCAGGATTTCTGTTGCGAACCAGCGGTAGAACCCGCGCACACACCATTGCCGCCCGCTGTCTGTGCTCTGCAGAGCTGCAAATGCATGGCTAACGCAGAATACGTGGCCTGCCAGGTGGCAGCAGTAGCTGATGAGGGAAATTGTTTAGATGTTGGTTACTCCTTCCTTGCATCCGGACTGACATATGTGCGCTGCTGATGAGACTACTGTACACGGCAGGAGGTGGAGAACGCGGACGATCTGCGGCTGTCGCAGCGCCTGTTCAAAAAGTGCATGGGCGACAAGAAGAAGTTCTGCGCCGACATCAAGTTTGGTGCGCAGTTTATAACAACTTATTCACTGCCTCTCATTCAGCTTGCAACGCAGAGAATGCATTCACACGAATTCATGTCTCATAACCCTTCTTCTCATCTTCACTCCCAGTGTAACTTCTTTGTAAATTTGCTTGGGAGCTGCTGTCCTTAAAGATGATGATCAAGCGATACACGCATCCGCATGTCGTCACTTCAGTGTTGTGCTCACGGGCATGCGCACTGTGAAAATGGGCGCAAACCTTTCGAGGTGCCTGCTTCTAGGCAAATCTTCATCTTGTTGGTGAATTCGAATCTGAGCGCAGGCGGCGCGCGGGTGAAGGACTGCCTGGAGGGTCACCGGGAGGAGGCGGGCTTCAGCGCGGAGTGCAAGGACGAGCTGGAGGCCATGATGGAGAAGCGCGCCGCAGACTTCCGCCTCGACTCCACCCTGCGCGAGGTATTGTCATGCGCCGACTCGCGTTGTAATTCTTGGGAAAATATCCTCACTCTGTGCTGTTGGGAGGCTGTTAGCAGCGCTCATGGAGTGTGTTGAGCATAGCCCAGCTCTGAATTCCCTCTTCACCTTGTGCACGACTACACTGTACACCTTATAGACGTTCCTAGAAGTACATCAACTAAGCAACCAGCGAGTCCTGTTATTCCAGCCGCCCTTCCATATTTATTGCGCAGCATTGTCGAAAAGGAGAGGTAACGTTTGAATACAGCAGACAGGCTCCGGAGTGCATGCTGGGAAAATTCTGCACTGGGCGATCAGCGGGTTGTGGCCTCAAGGTAGAAGAGCAGAGGTGCTTCAATAATATAGGGTCTCAGAGCCTTGCAGTGAATTGTGTTGCTACTGCGGCAGGTGTGCGCGGACGACATAGAGGCGATTTGTGGCTACGAGCGCGACAGCCTGGACTCCGTGGAGGGCTTTGACGCGCGCGTCATCCAGTGCCTGCAGGTGCGCATGCACATACCAATAGATGTTTTGTGTGGGTGTTACCACTCTGCTAATTTTGATAAACCGTGGTGCTCACCCACCTGCCAGAACGTGGTCCGGCATTGTCATGCCAGCTGTTCACTAGGAGGCTTATATGAACTGCACGCAAGCTTCAGAAGCAGAGACCACGGCATAGCTTTGCCTCAGCCTGCAAGCAAGCAAGCAGCGCGGTTCACTGATGAAGCTGTGCCGCCCGGACAGGACTACCGCGATGAGCTGGCGACGCCGGAGTGCCGCAAGCAGGTGCATGTGCTGACTCAGCGCGCGTCCCAGGACATCCGCTTTGACGAGCCCCTGGCCGATGCCTGCTACGAGGACCGCGCGCGCCTCTGCGACGGGGTCCAGCCGGTGCGATCGCTCACCTTACCACTCACTCCTGCCCGTGTGGGAGTGCTCTGACTCCTGCCCGTGTGGGAGTGCTCTGACTCCTGCCCGTGTGGGAGTGCTCTGAGAGAATTGGTAGATGGTGATAAGCTGTACAGCATGCTCATACTCATTCTCAATCCACTCGGTCAATGGCACCAATTTGGTCATCCCTGGATCATGCATTCAGTGCACTGCTCGCAGAAACGCTGGCGAATCGGTGGCTTTTGTTGTTCTGTTATTGTCATGGCGGCTGCATACGTTTCAATTATGCTTAGAGTGGCAGCATCTCGTTCACCTCCATCTCACATTAATCACGCCTGAAGACAGCGTTGCATGGGGCCAGAATCATGTCCTCTGTTGCTTGGTGAGCGTTTTCTGCACAAGGAAGTTGCGCCGCCACCTGGCAGACGGTGTTTTGCGTTGCGGGCAGGGCAGCGCGCGGGTGATCCGGTGCCTGCAGGACGCGCGTGAGGAGCTGGCCTACGAGTGCCGGGCGACGCTGTTTGACGCGGAGGTGCGCATGGCGGAGGACATCGACTTCAAGTACCCCATGAAGCGCGCCTGCAGCGCCGAAATCCAAGCCTTCTGCTCCGGGCTCTCCCACGGCCAGGCCCGCGTCATCCGCTGCCTCCAGGCGCGTTCTTCCTTCCCTGTGCTCCCCGTTTGTGCCGCTTCTGGACCAGCTGCAGAATTTGCGGAGGGGCTCTGGGTAGGAATCACTTAGAAGAGGAATCACTTAGAAGAGGGTCTCATGATCTCTATTGTGGGACTGCTTTGCTGCTTATGGGCGCTGTCAAGGCACAAACTGGCTTATGATGGGGTGAAGTGTCATGATTATCCTATGAGGTTAGGTGACGTTGAGAAGTTGGGGGCTATGACTGTTGGTGTGTGGTGTGAATGTAGCCTGGATGAAGTTGAAATTCGTTCTGAATGTGTCCTGGGCTTTCTATCTTGGGGCACTCAGGATGACTGGATTAGAGCCTTTGGAAGCGTCCTGCAATGTTGAGGCTAAGATGTGCGGTAAGCCTTGTGCAGGACCACACGGATGAGCAGGACTTCTCGTCGGAGTGCAAGGAGGAGGTTGCGCGCGATCAAGTGCGCTCCAACCAGGATTACAGGTGCGTGTCCGCTTTCTTGCCTCCCCCGCAATGCCTCCAACGACTTTGGATCCCTGGACGCATGCAAGCATGGCGCAGCCATACCTCTGTTCTTGAAGAACAGGAAATGGCACAGTCAGCCAAATTGTCTGGATTTGAGGAAGAATGCACAAGTGGCCCGAGGGTTGGGAATCTTGGGCGTGCTATCAACTTGGCGGACTGCTCTTGAAATTGGCCCTTCGCTGTCAATCAGCGGCAGTGTTGTCAATCAGCACCAAGATACAGTACAGGGGCAGGAATACTGCATGGCAGATTCTCAGCAGCATGCAACTTCTGGTCATTCTCAACTGGTTATCACCCACAATATCTGTAGTGCAATGCTCATGATCTGCGACTGCGCAGGCTGAACTACCGGCTGAACACGGCGTGCGAGGCGGACATAGACACGCTGTGCGCGGAGGAGTGCAGCCCCTTCTTGGGCAGCGCATGCGGCGGCCGAGTGCTGCGATGCCTCACCGAGAAGCAGGACGCCATCAAGTCCAAGGAGTGTGCCGACGAGGTGCTGCTCAAATTTTGAACTTCAATTATCTTCCTGATGTTGTGGCGCTTGGATAGCTGCCTTTGTTAGCTCCTGTGTGCTTCAGTGGCGCAAAGGGGGATTGGGGAATCTGTTTTCGTGATGACAGGAGGCTTGCAGAGGGGAGAACACGCTGCTTGATCTTCCCCGTGTTTTGTCCATGCAAGTACTTCTCAATCAGGCCTTCTACACGCAGTTGTTTGGGTGCATTTGCCTTTTGACTCCACTAAACCTGGATACTCTTTGCCATATTGTCTTGCATAAAGGCATGCATGCAGCACGAGCTGTGTTGAGCGTGTCTGTTCTTGGCGCGCGCTGTGGCTTTGTCTCTGGCTGACCTCTCATGGGCGCAGAGGTCACGTGCAGGCTGCAAATGTTGCCTGTTCTTTTTCATTAACACTCTGGCGCGTGCCTTTCAGGTGTTCTACTTTGAGAAGATGGAGGTAAACGACTTCCGCAACGATGTGCTGCTGGCCGAGGCCTGCCGCTCCGATGTCGACGCGTACTGCAAGCACGTCGAGCCAGGTGCGCCCTTCCTGCTATACTTTCTTCCACGCTTTTGTGATGGCCAGGTGCAGCTTTGGATGTGTTTGCGGGAAGTGCCATGTGCCCACCATGCTGCCTGAAGAGGGCAAGCCCAGAAACAGCCACAAGTGGTGGCCCAAAGTGGCCTGCAAGCGCGCACCATCTTCAATACAATGAAGAGCTGTGTTTGCTGCATGATGCCTCCTCTGTGGCGTTCATTCGTGCCACTGCACTGCTTTGCAGTGCTCCTGGCCCCGTCTTTTTTCATTTTCTTCAATCATGACACCTTCTGTGCATGCTTTGCGGCGCGAACCCATTTTATGCGTACAGCATTCAGGCATCTACGCTGCACACGTTTGGCGCCTGCGAAGCACGGCTCTTCATGTCTGCAATGCTTGGCACAGAGTCTCTCTGCCATGGATGGGTTGGGCTGGGCCGCAGTGATGCTCTTCAAGCTATGCGACTGAGCAAAAAGATGTATACTGCTGTGCCGAGCAGGCGAGGGCCGCGTGCACCAGTGCCTACGGGATAACTTTCAGAAGCTGGCGGACGGCTGCCGCAAGGAGGAGCTGAAGCTCAACATCATCCAGTCGCGCGACGTGCGCCTGCGCCCAAAGCTCAACAAGGCCTGCTCCGATGAGATCACCGTCTTCTGCCAGGGGATCCAGCCTGGTGAGACCTGGTTTTCTCTCCTCAATTTCAATTCCTGCTTTGTGGCCGAGCATTGTGCCTTCTAAGCAGCAATGCATGACCTGTGTGGAAGGGAGGCCGCTCTGCATATGACTGTTTTCTTACAGTGGTTTTCAAAAAATTGTCACCTCCCATTCAGAGCAGGGCAGGCGTTGTAGCAGGGTCTTGATAATTGCATGCAGATGTCAGGAGCAGTGTCAAATGTCTGGTCAATGGTGCTAATCATCATCAAATAAACTCCTGAGCAGCAATGCCTGAAGACTTCAACTGACTGAGACCAAGCTTGATCAATGCACCTTCGGCTGGTTCCCCTTGGATTCCATAGGAGCGCTTGTGACCGGTGATGAAAGCTTTTGTATTCATTGACATCCCGAGGGATGCATGACCCATGATCGATAGGACTGAGGTCACATGCGCTCGTTGGCAAGCTGCTTGAAGTGTGTCATTCATGGCGGACATGCAACCATGCTGCCACGACAGACTCCTGCCAGCCCATGTCAAGCCACATTCAGCATACTCTTGAAAGAGATACTGAAAACCAATGCTTACAAAGAGTTGAAGCTTGCTCAATCTGCCCGTGCACTGTGTGCAAGGGCCTTGAGCATCGCTGGGCAAGAGGGGATTGATGTCCCAACCTATGCCGCCTTCTGACCGATGCAGTGGAAAGGAGTGGTTGGACTGAGGAACGCTGAAACATTTTCGGCACTTGTTTTGTGCGCAGGCAAGGGGCGCGTGTTCCAGTGCCTGCAGCAGAGCTTGGCGCAGCCAGATTTCGGCCAGGCCTGCCGCGCACAGGTCGAGGAGCGAGGACAGCGCATGCAGGTGCGCTTTGTTTTTGCCTATCCTCAGCAGGTCCCTGCATGCAATATTTCACTGTGCATTCCTGCGTCTTTCTGTGCAGTGTAGACAGGCTGCCAGAAGAGATCCTTCTTTGTCTTAGTGTGTACAGGTTGTCATTTGTCAGTCTTCTTCTCATGCAGTCGTTTGATTGGTGTCATGACCCTGTGACAACCATCAGGCTCAGGACGGATGGTAAACAAGAGTTTTGCTGTGCTTGCCTCATGCATGCACCAGGTCAGGACCACGTCAGAGCGCGCAGATTGAGTCGTCAGGCCCAGACGAGAAAACCCAGAATCTCATGCTGCTTGTGTCAATTGTCGCAGGAGGATTACCGGCTTGACTATGGAGTGGCTGAAGCGTGCGAGCCGGACGTGGTCACCTACTGCGCAGCAGAAAAGGGTCTTGCGCACGGCAACGCAGAAGTCCTCAAGTGCCTCGTCAAGGTGGGGAGATTTCTTTTAAACCAACAGAAGATTGCAGTATTATTAAGGCAGTGCAAGCTCCATATCTATAAAGAGAATTTGACCTTCTCTACCAAGCCTCGACCTCTGCTGCAGGCACTGAAAGAATTACTTCACATCTTTCACTTCCCTTGCAGCATTATCAGGAATTATCTGAGCAGGGTCACAGTGTCCAATGGACCCTTTTATGCTACAGCTGTTGCTGGTGCACCCAAGCCTTTCTTCCGCTTGCAGAGGCTGTGTGCATGCGGTTGGCAGCTATCACAACCGGTGCTTTTATCGTGTCGCTGTTGTGATTATTGCACCCTTCGGGCATTGTCCAATTCCTCGACTACTTTTCTGAATTTTGTTGCCCACCGTATTTGAGTGGCCGCGTTGTGATCTGAGACTTTGTTTCTCTTTAGTTGTTCCATGGCTTTTCCTGCACCTGATCTGGTGTGCAGCCCTGACGTTCTCAGTCAAATTTTGTCCTCGGAGCATTAGCAGGATGGCCTTGTCACTGGCGTATGGTCGTTGTTGAGATTCATAACTGCGGACTTTGGTAAGCAAGTAACACTTGGAAAACGTGTCGTTTTCTGATGGAATCTTGGTTCACACGTGGGCAGGCGTACTCGAAGCTGGCGGATGTGTGCCAGCGGGAGATGTCTCGGGCTGTGCGCATGGCTCTCTGGGAGTACAAGAAGGGCGCCGCCCTTACCGGGTGCGTTCAAAGTTTCTGCCTTTTGCTTGGTCAGCAAAACAGTCCTTGTGAGCATGAACTAGGGGAAGCTCGAGATGCCGTGAACACCAGAGCATGCACTGTGCTGTCCTGCTGGAACCCAGCGTGCATTGTGTTGTTTGGGCGATATTAGCGTCACTCCGGGTCGCAGTGGGTGCAAGTCTCATGGCTGCTCAGCCTTCCAGCTAATAAAGAAGCTGTGCTTAGACTGTAATGCGCCTCCCAAGTCAAGAGCGGCAAAAAATGCACGATCTTGGTGACGTCATTGTTGAACTTGTATCATGGGATTAGACCTCATGTTCTGCTATATCCACACGAGTTCTTCTGAGAATCTTGCACTGTGCCGCAGGGTGTGCGACGCTGATGTGGCGGAGATCGGCTCCTGTCAGACGGCGGTGTCCAACCCGAAGAACCGCGGCATTTGGTCCATCGGCGCGGTTGGCCGCTGCCTCAGCCGCCAGCTGGCAGAGAGCAAGCCACTCACCCTCGACTGCCGCTCCCTCGTCATTGTCGCTGCCCCCAAGGTCTGTGTTCCTTCCTTCCTCCCTTGGGTTTTCAGGCCAAATGGGTTGCGCAGATGTGTTTATGTATCATGCTGTGAAACAATTATAGCTTGAGTACCTAGTCCTGAAGAACTGGAGACGCGTACTAGAATAATTGTACAGATTTAAAGTTCATCTGGATCTGAGAGGTATCAAGATGAGGCGGCAAGGCAAAGATAAGCTGCAATTCCTTTCATCACAGTTAGGACATATTAGTTTTCTTCGTGCCAAAGGAGAAATTAGGAGTCTTTAACCACCATCTTGCACTGCTAACTTTACCCCGAGGTTGTTCTTCTCTTTGAAAGAACTCTGCCAGGCGCGAGGCATCAAGTGCAGATGTCTGGCATCTTGTGCACTTCTTCGTCAGTCTCATCTTGGTTCAATCCTGCAAATTTGAACTGGCAGTGATATGGAGCTGATAGCGCGCGATTACTGTGCCTGCAGGATGCGCAGGCGATGTTTGACAGCAGCATGAGCGCGGCAGCCATAGCACAGCGCGTGCAGGAGCTGCAGGCAGCTGCCGGCATCAAGGCCCAGCTGGTGGGAGCTTCACTCATTTCTCACATTATCACTTTCGTTTTGCCTGTCTCTCAGCCTGGTATATTGTTAGATACACAGTGCCTCTGTTGTCTGGTGATGCAGTAATGGTGGACTTCTGTAAGGTAGCAGAAGCATTGAAGCCTCAGTCTGGAGAGTTGTTGTGCCGCAGGAATGTTTTTATGCTTGTTCTCAGCTTGATCGAGTTGTTTGCTCAAGTTTCCAATCTCTGCCATATTCAAGTGCCCATTGCCATGGCATGTGCAAGGCATGACAGAGCCTATGCAGCTCATGCAGGCTCAGTGCTGTACTGTAACCGCCAAGCAGCCTCTGCCCCGGCTCCTGACAGCGTCTTTTTGCGATGCGCGCAGGTGAATCCTGCAGGCAGGGGAGCAGGCATGGTCACGCTGACCGGCTGGGTGGCGCTTGCTGCCCTTGTCTCTTTGGTGGTCGTCGTTGTTGGGGCCATTGTGTTTGCCTACAGGAAATTCAGCGGCCTTGACAAGCCTTACACCATTGTCACCAAGCAGGGGGATGTGTAATTGTCCTGCGCTGCAGATGTGACATGCCTTCATTCTGGCTTTTGTGGCAGCATTTTCCGGCTTATTGCTGTCAGGGAATCTAGCTTTTCAGTCAGCCTGGCACTCCCGCTGCTTATATAGTAGTAATGTATGCCTGAGACCTCCAGATGGCAATCCAGCACTTGATGGGCCACATTCAGCCAACTGTCTGGTTACTTGAGGCACAAAAAACAACAAAGGGTCTGGTCACTATGATGCTGTTAAACACTGGGGACAATGGGAAATCCAATTGGGACAGGTCTATGAATTTGTGCAAGCACAGCTGTCTTGTCCTGCCAAGACTTGTCAATTAGTGTGTCGTAATCGTCGCACTTAATCATGTCTGTGAGCCCGTCAAGATGCCAAGAGGTGGATCGTTGATCTTCATTACAGTGGCATTCTCATTTGTGTACTGTACTACTCTGCGTTGGCTGATGGCTGCTGAGGTCCACGCATGTAATACTTTCACAGCTCATGAACGTTGTGATCTCAAAGATTTGATTTATTTGCAGGAACTAATTCTGATCCCTGAGTTTAAGATGCCCACACAGTAAATTGACCTTCGGACGCAAAAATAATGCACTGCACAAGTACAGTACGTTTTTGGTGCTCTTAATGCCCCTCTAAAACTTGTTTTAACGCTCAGAAAAGTTTGTAAAGAGTCTCTGTGCAGCATTCCTGAGGGTCTGTCTCTCTGGATTATCAAGTGGTGCCAGCAGTGTATTTTGGTATAGTGGAACTCTCAAAGAAGTACTAGCCAGTGGCCTGGAGCCATTGCATCTGCATTTTGCATGATCGGCAGATAGGTCACCACATTTCCTTGGGCAGGCTCATCACAGCGTCGCGCTTGCAAATCGATACCCATACAACAAAGAGGATCTCCCAGAAAGCGGCGCTGTCAGCATCCACTGGAAACATCTGCTCTTTCCTCTCTTTCTCATTCTTTGCGGTGTCTTTGGCGAGGGCCAACCAGTGTTTTGACACAAAGCATACTCGCGGCCGCTGCAGGCTAGATTAAAGCAGCATAGCATGTGGGACCCAAAGCTGCAACATTGACAAGTCTCATTCACACCAGTCTATGCTGCATTTTCAACTGCCAAAATCCACATTGTACATATACAGCGTTGTTGTGAGACCCCCAAACAAAACTGAAACCTGTGCTAAGAAATCTGAAACCCGTGTAAAGAAGGCTTGAAGCAATGCTGCAATGACACATCTGCACTGCTGGCATGAAGAGGGAAACGCGGACTTTTGTGTCCGTCCATCTGATGTTCCCAATGGCATTGCAGCCAAAACACAGCCCACTCAGGAGCATCCATTCACTTAAACAAGGATGACATGCATTTGTCAAATTCAGACTGCATGCAGGCTTCAAGAGCAACGCGCTAGCATCGGCAATGGCTTGCTTTTGAGGCATGTTCCGCTGCAGGAGTTCGCTGCCGCCTCCTGCAGCCTGGTGCGCCAGCTGGACTGGCTGCTGGGATCTAGGAACGCCTCCTCAGCCTGGTCCAACACCCAAGAGACAAAGTGCCCAATGATGGGGTGCAAACAACCCAGCAGGCTCCGCGCGCCAGCAGGTTCATCCTTAATGAGGTTCAATCGCATCTGCAGTGCTTCCCTTTGATGCCCCGCCCTTGCAGCCGCATCCCACGGCAGCACAGCACCTGATAGCTTGATCAGTGTAAACGCCAGGCACTGTAAGTCTGAGCTGGGGCGGAGCTCCTCCTCGGCAAGTGCTTGCACCGAGCCATACATGAGGTCAGTGATGGGCGAGAGACTGCTTGGCATCTCCCCCTTTGACGCATCCAGCTCGTCGCGCAGACTTGGGCTATCTAGGTTCGGGCTTGAGGAGTAGCCCAAGTCAACAAAGGTGTAGGCCGTAGGACTGCCCTCGGAGTCAGGAGCCTGGACAGTGATGTTGCGGGGGCATAAATCGTTGTGCCATATTCCCCGCTCCTGCACATAACACACACATCTCTTCATGGAATCCAGGCATGTGGTGTATGATGCTGGCATCTTAACCCTACACTTATCTCACACGTGTTTCTGGTCCTCTAGCAACACCTCATATCCATTCCGCCGCCATGTGTGCGCTACAAGAGTTCTTGAAGCACTTCAGACTCTGAAGCACTCCAAACATATTGCACCTCAGCAAAGGCAGGTAGAGCGCTCACCCTCAGCTCGCAGACGGCCGTCAGCCCACATGAAGCCAGCGCGATAAGCTTCTGCGGCGGGAGCACGGGCACCTGTCTATCAGCCACCAGAGGGCGTCCTGCCAGCTCTGTGAGGACTGCAGGGGCCCCACTAAGGCAACCAGCAGGCGCCTGGGGGAAGAGCTGCAAGCTCCCAGCCAAAAGCATCCGTGGAAGATACGGCCAGCCAGCGCCTTGCAACGCTAAAACGGCTTCTCGCTCCCGAATTACCTGCAACAATGAGCCCCACAATAGGTCAAACATCTTGAATGACCCTCCAATTCTCTGCAAAGGTACAAGCAACCCTCAAGGGACACAATGCCATGGCCACTTTGGTATACCCACTCTTGCAAGCTCAGAAACCCCGCACAGTGCAGGCTAGAGAGCTGTGGGTTTGCCAAGCCCAAGAAATCATGCACCACCTCTGCCCTCACCTGGTGCCACTCAATGCAGTCCTTGTGAAAGCGATGGCGCATCTCCAACATTGCCGGGTCGCCACCGTGTCTGAGGACGAGAAAATTGTCGGCCCAAGGCCCATCAATGCCAAGCACCTTGAAGACGCCACCAGCAGGACCGGTGGGCGAAAGAGCCTCCATTACTTCAAAGGTACCCTCATGGCTACCTTTTGCTGATAGAACCTGCATGGCAACCAGCATCGATCATCTTTTAGAAGGTTTCAGATTTGCTTGAAAACCCTCCTGTATAATACCAAGCAATGCATATCCAGCATAGTCTTGTCTTGACGAACCTGGAAAACATCCTGATGGCAGAGGACGGGCCTTGTAGCTTCTGCAAAAACACCCAGACGCGTCTGACGTCAGCTCTGCGATCCAAGTGTAAAAGTGATTCATAGGGCAAGAGGGAAGGTGCTTTCCAAACAGCTCACATTCTCACCCTTGCTGACAGCACTGTCGAACAAGGCAAGCAGGTGATCGCCGAAATTGGCCAATCTGACGTAAGGATGCAAGTGTTCAAGCAGGCCCGGCTCACGCATCGCAGCAACAGTAAAGTCTGCTTTCTCCTCTGCCGTGAGGGTCTGTGCGCCTGCTATGGCAATGCGCACTGCCTGCTTCTCCTTGAAATCCTACATGGGCATAGCATTATCCTGGGATGTCCATTATCGTGCAGAAAATGTTGACGTTGGCACATACCTTGGAGAGCTGTGAGCGCCGCAAATCAAAATAGAGGAGTGACTTACCAGGACCATGAGAGAGCAAGTTTCGTGGGAATGAAGATACGAATAAAATATTTGCGTTGCGCCAAGAGTGATGTACCTGCAAGCACCTGCCTGATATAATTCGTCAAGGTCATGAGCTATGGTGCATAGCACATTCAGCATTCAGCACTTTGTATTTAGATAACCTTTTTGGGCTGAGTTCAGCAGGAAATCTCAATTCCAAATAGTATCTCACAGACGCTGCCTACCTAAGCGAATCACCACCGTCCACAATTATCTTGCAGTGAAGCGCTACTGAACGTACTGAAGGGTCTCGGGAAAGATATCCCGGGATATTCTCGGGCGACGATCAGGTCTGGCAAACGATAAATTCGGGAAAAAAATTGCATCACAAGCCGAAGCAAGAGGCATATTTTCTCTCGTTACCTGTGACTCATCCTCACTAAAGCTTCCCCTGACGAGCGACCGGAGTACGCGACAGTACACTACGTAGCTAAAAAAGCCGATGTTTGCAAGGTTTTAGGGTGTCATTTGGATCCTGAAGGCAGGCACAGCAGGCAGTTGTTCTGGAAAGTTGGATGCCCTGCAGTATATTTACTAAAAGGGAAGTACTTCAGCTCTGGTCTGGCCAGCTTTGTGGCGCGAAAAAGCAAACTTGCCTGGCTGCAGTGGGTGCACAACTCTGCCTGTTCTATGAGCAGTGTCACTTGCGCAAAGGCTGCAAAGTGTGGCAGCCTAGGATGCCTGCAGTACGCGTTTGAAAAAAAGCTGCCACGGGGTCGGCACTCTCTTCCATTCAGACCCGGAAAAGGTCATAGAATGTGCCATATGCGGCTGGGCTCAAGACATCTGCCTGAACGCTGCATGGATTGGCCACCTTCACTGCCTGCGCTTTTGCCATGAGAAAAGCTGCCCATGGGGAGTCTGTCCATGGCCATGCACTTGACAGCGCTCAAACGCCACTTTGATTGCCTGGTGATTGCGCACACGCATGGCTGCATGTTCGACCCAGAAGAGACTCTTGGCAGTGCAGTCAAGCCCGGGAGCCTGTCCTCCATTGAGTATGTGCATGAGGTCATAGAGTGTGTGATTTGGATCCTGAAGCGTACTAGGTGCATGTTATGGGATGAAAAGCTGGAAGACTTGCAGTTTGTTTACTCAAAGGGCGGACCTCTGCTGCCGGCACTAGCGAAGGATTTCATGAGTGCCTGTGGCAAGGCCCTTATCCGGGATTGCATGCCGTCCTATAACACTGAGGGGAATGATACACCACAGCTGAAGGTCAAGGCATTTCTAGAGAAGGAGACATCAGAAAGTGTGCATCTCGGCAGGGCTCTGTGTCTGACCTTTTCTCAGTTTCACTCTCAGGGTGTAAATGGGGATTTGTGGGAGACACGAGTTGGAAGGACTGCAGAGCAGTGGCTGGCAGCCAGGAGGGGTGCATTCCTGCAGGCATTTGTGTTTGCTGCAAAAGTGACCTCTGATGATGAGAAGATGAGAGCGGTTTGCAAGGTCATGGCTGAAGTGCCAGTCGGTGTGTTTCAGCAAATTGTGCGCACAGGCAAGCTGGAAATGTAGTGGGTTTTTCCTAAAGACTCAGTGACAGTATATATGAGTGGGTGGAAATGGGGCCGTGCTTACAGCGGGGCAGTGCTTTGAGGAGATTATGTGGAGATGGTGCACTTGAAGGGAGTCTGGTCACAGAGACATAAATTGTTGATTTTGGACGTGTGGATAGGCATTTGCAAGGCTCATATATGATGTATTTGTTGTATACTGTGTGGCCACAATGTGCCTGGACAGCACCATGGGGGTATGACATTGTAACATTGAAGTCTTGTAGGTTCTGTAGACCTGTAGGCAAGGGTGCATTTGCAAGTTGACAAGGCTGCAAGCCTGTGCATATCGGCCCCGGGTTCCGGTTCCAAACGGACCTGTGTATGCCCTATGGCCCTCTGGCTCTGGGCTCGCCACTCATAAATATTATTGTTACTATTATTATGATGTCCAGTACATGCCATTCATCCGACATAAGATCACCATCCACAAGTCTATAGCGGCGGTGACAGAATAATGAGAAAAAGTGCAAAAAGGTATGTAGGTCATAGCACCCACTAGGACTCGAACCCGGGCATTACGGATTAGGGGAGGGGCTCGAACCCTCTTAACCCGTCCAGGGATTGGGCTCGAACCAATTACAGCCTGAGGCCACCAGGAGAGCCGTGCGTTGCTCAGCCACTGCTTTCAGATTTATATATTGCCTTGCGTTTGAAGCTTTGTTCCAAAGCGCATTTGCCAGGCTTTTTACCCAGTGCAAAATTTGTTGGCCACAGGAGGTGGGTGTGATTTTGAGGCAGCCAAGTTTTGTTAAGACATCACAGCAAGGTGAACACCCAAACACAAGAGTCTGACTTCCTACTTGTGGGTCGGACTGTTTGGGCGGGATTTGGCAGCAGCAGTAATGCTTTAATTGAGACTGAAGTAAATTCTGAAGAGTGGTTTTGAGGAGAGGTGTCTCTTTTGGAAGCTCAAACAAAGTGACATATTGGCAAACGTCCCAAAACTTCAGCACCCGACGGCTGCTCGGAACAGTACGGTATATCGAAGGTGATCGACGTACTTGCGGCAGTCTAGTGGTAAATCAGGGGGATCAGCCTGGGAGAACTCCCCTTGGTATGATTAGAAGTCGGAACCAGCATCATCTGTGCCGCACGGCGAGCATGGCTCAGGCCACGTGACGAGTGTATCGTTCGTCCAGGCTTTGCCGAGCCGAGCTAAAACCTTCCGTAAGGGGAGCTGACCTGCCTTTCTTGTGCATGCTTTAGAAACCTTTGGCATCCAGCTCAAAGCCTGTCCTCACCGTCTTCGATCATCAGAGATCATCAGAGAAAAGCATTTGACAAATGCAGGAAGGGGCATGAGGCTGAAATGAATCCTGTATAGGCTCGAGCCTGTAAGAGGCTCACAAGCGGCGGGGCCTGAAGTTGGGCCCAAGCCTGAGGCTGGGGCAGCAGAGAAGGGCAGCATTGCTGGCTGCGCTACCTGCACACCTCTGGCTGCCCCTGGGACATCAAAAAATGCTTGAAAGCAGCGCGTCATGGCAAGCTGGCGTGCCTGCAATATGATTTCCGGAATGGGTGTGATTGGAGGAGTGCACATATTGCTGAAGCGGCAGCGGAAATGGGCACAACCTTGAATGCCTGCAATATATCATTGAGCGCGGCGGCGTTGCTGGCGTGTATGTTTGCTCCAATGCGGCATTGTCAAGCCTTGAGTGTCTGAGCTACGCCCAGGAGCATGGGGTTCCCTGGGATGAGGGCACTTGCAACTCTGCCGCAAAGATTGCCTGCGCAATGCCCACGAGCACAGTTTCCCCTGGGATCAGAAGACGTGCCGGCACGCATCGCAAAGAGATCAGGTTGATTGCCAGATGTATGCTCATGGGCATGGCTGCCTGTGGGACAAGACAGTTTGCAGCCTTGCTGCAGAGCATGAAGCAACGGAATGTCTCGTCTATGCCCATGATCACGGCGACCCCTGGGATGTAGCAGTCATACTAAGGGCTGCTTCAGCGGTGCCATAGACAGTCCGGCATACGCCCACCAACAAGGGTGCCCGTTCGATCCAGATGAAACAATCCACAGAGCGCTGCGTAGCTAGAGCCTGCCTTGCTTGAAATTGTGCGTGTGGTTATAAGATGCAAGTGGGATCCCAGAGGGAGGCACACCGGGCAGGCCTTTTGGGATGGACACTTTGAGGCCCTCCAATGGCGCACATGCCAATCGATATGATCAAACGCATTTTTGACTTTATAGTTGTTGAAGCAGATATGTGAGACCAGAGGTGATGTAAGCGAGTGACTGAGTAGGTGGGTTGCATCAGGCATTATGGAAGAGCCCTGGTGGCGCCTGAGATTTGCACAGGTCATTGAGTAATTTTTATGATTGCCAGGATCCCGATCCGATCCCGGATATCTGCAACTCAATGCATATCACCCATTGAGGCATCAAGCTTTGGATTAGCGAAGCTCCCATGCTGTTGTGCGTCTCTTCAACTTGTGCAAATCTAAAAAGCGCTATCCCTGTCTGACATGCACTTTCTCACTTCAGGAGCTCCTCCCATCCAAATTTCAGTCTGGGCAGCTTCCTCTGCCTGAGCAGCTTCCTGGTCGCCCCCAAGATGAGACGCACAGCAACATTTCGAGATCGTGTTCAAGGTGCCTGCGTTCAATTTTCACGAAATGCCTGTAGCTATAGCAAGATGAATGGCATATCGCTTGGCTGTTTGCTCAGCTGTTTGGCAAGTCGTCTTGCAGATCGCTCTAGCTGAGTTAACTGCTAAGCTAAACTGAGACTGCTAATAAACAATCTGACCAAAAGGTCTTCTATCTAGAAAATAATTCACGCTCAAAATGTTAGACCCCGCATCGGTGGCAGTGGGGGCGGCTATTGTCCCTTTGATGTGGGTAGGATCCAAATTATTTGGTTCACTGCGCAACCACGCCCACCGTGACAGGGGCGTGCGTGGACTAAAGGTGAAACAATGTGTTGAGTCGTCGGGACCTATAGATCTGGTTCTGCTCGTTCTTGTGGGCATTCGTTTCTTTGATAGCCAATGCCCCCATTCTCTTCTTAATCTTCCATCAGCTCAGGGGATCCTCCTGATACGATGAGATACAGCTCATATGTGGAATTAGTTCAACATTATTTCATTCAGGTGGTCATCACTGGCAGTTCAAGGGGCCTGGGATATGCACTGGCAGACCAATTCTTGGCCTTTGGGGACGATGTGATCGTGAGCTCCAGGACCGAGCAGGCCTGCTTGGAGGCCGCAGAGAAGCTCACACAGAAGTACCCCGCCAGAAAAGTGCTTTCATTCCCTTGCGACGTCAGAAATGCAGGTACTGAAGCTTCTCAGGTTTCAGTCCTTCGGAGACCAACTGCTGCCCCATTGACTTCATCAGCTGCCACTTATAGGCTCCTCTTTACACCAATAACCGCCTCTAGTGGATCTAGTGTGCCCATGTATGCTAATAAAGTGTCTTCAGGAAGCCGTTTGCTTGATATTGACTGTCTGCCTGGCGCAGATGAGGCCGTTGCTCTGGCCAGATTTGCACAGGAGAAGCTAGGCCGTCTGGACATCTGGGTCAACAATGCAGGTGCCGCGATGATTTGATGATGGACACCAGCATGCACAAGTCGTAAACATCTTGATGCAGAAAGAGCTTTGCACGTACATGCGCTGGCTGTCCTTGTTCCCAATGCATTTCTTGTTTTCCCAGCACCTGGGCTGCATTTTCGCTGCTAACCTTCATGCAAAAGTTGCCTTTCATGCGGCGTGTAGCGCTTTAGACACCCCGTTGTGGGTACATGTGAACCTTGTCTTCAGAGCGCTTGCAGATTTTTTACAAGGCTGGTGCTGGCTGAATAACTGCAAAATCGTCGGCTGCACAGGCGTTTCTCAGGTGCACAAGAGCGAGTTGCAGGAAACTAGCCCAGAAGTGCTGGAGCAGGTGCTCGCTACAAACCTTCTGGGATCCATATATGGCGCGCGCGCAGCACTGCAGGTGACTCATCGCCCTGTCAACCTTTGTCTTTCAGCAGTATTTCCCTTTTGTCCCGCTTGAAGAGTTGAGGATATTGTTCACACCATAAGTGTCACCCAGTTTGTTGCCCAGTGCAATCAGCACTACTCTCCCGAGGGGATCCAATTCCAAGCAGGCGCCACAATTCAGAGTACAGATGTGTGTTCTCTGTGAAACAGTGCATTCTGTTCATTTCTTCTCAATGCTCGCGTCTTTCTCTTCTCTGATGCGTGGCAGCTGTGCTGCATTGGTTCATCAGTGACTCTCCTTCTTGCCTGTTGAGCATCGTGAACAGAGAATGTGTAGGCCGCATCTTGCAACACAAACCTGAGGCAGTAATAGGGTGACACAGGATATGGCTTGAAGTAAAACCAGCCTTCTGGCCGTCATTTCTATGTGTCGCCAGCAGGGAGATTGACATGTTTGATAAATTGGCAATGCCCTTCACAGCACTGTTAGCACAGACACATGTCTGTCCTTTCTGATCCCATAGCACACCTCACTTCTTGGGTGCTGTACTACCAAGGATAGTAGTGCAATCTGAAGGTCAGGAACTGCCAGCGCAGGTTTTCAGCGAGCAGGAGAATGGGGGCAAGCTCTTTTTCATCGATGGGACAGGGTCGTGGGGAAATGCGACGCCCGGGAACGTTGCGTACGGGGCCTCCAAGCGCGCCATTACTCAGCTCAAGGTACGCTCAGCGTCCAGTCAACTTCCAATACCATGAATAATCCATTGGCAACACTGCTAAGATGCAGGCATCAAGCCAGAGCGAGCGCCAAGGAAGGGATGAAGGGCTGCCTCGCAGGTGCAGCAGAGTGCCTAAACAATAGAAAGCATCTCCCAGCCCAGGAGCAATTATGATGCTGCAAAAGTATAAAGGATAGCACCCCTGCAGCATTGCAAGCCACTGAATGCTTTGCGCTCGTGTGTACAGGTTGTTTACACTATCAACACCAGGGGCATTTCCGCTAGTTTTGGTCACAATTCCGGCCGTAAACGTGGTTTGTTTTGGCTTGCACTAGCCCCATCTGGCCACCATTTGGACGCTCAAACAAGCCCCTTTTATTCATAGTATAAGAGCCTGTGTTGCTGAACAACACACATTACAATTCTGCCAGCAACTGTAGAAACAGCATGGAAGCTGCTCCTTGATACTGCATATACAGGCAACCGACCACTTGCGTACGCGATAGCTTCGCTGCCACCCTGGCAGGCTGTGTTCTGCTAATTTAATGATGTTCTGCTTATAAGATGAATGATGTGATGACTGTGTCGTGCTGTGCAGGCCAGCCTGGTGGCAGAGACGAAGAAGGAGCGGGAAATAGCCATCCACATAGCCAGCCCAGGCATGGTGGCCACAGAACTGCTGCTGGGCGGAGACAGGGACGCGCGCGCCAGCAAGTGAGATCCCTGTAATTAGAGGACCATATTATCGCTGATGTCACCTATGACATCACTGTCACTTTTAATGATTTTACCGCCAGGAACAACCCGTTAAGACACTGGTGGATTCACTAATGCTGGTTGTTGATTTAGTGTCCCGCTGCTGCATGCGATTCGCTGGAGCTCAGGATGAGTTGGTAGCAGAAAGCGGGCTTCGCTGTCGTAATACGCAGATCAATAAAGGACCATTCTTGAGCATCTGTTTTTCTGGGGGTTCATGTTGACAGAAGCTGCGGTCTTCCTGGTGCATAAGCAAGTGATAGGTTGGCGGTTTTTTTTTGCATGGCTGTGGTTCGCGGATTGGCAGGAGTGGGTGTGAGAAATCCAAGATGTATGCGCAGGTTCATAAACATTCTTGCGGAGGATGCTAGCACGGTGGCTGCATGGATGGTGCCGCGCATGCGAGGCGTCAGAGGCAGCGGGAAATACTTCAAGTGCGCTTCTATATCTGAAACGCGCATCACGTTGCCTATCCTGACCTCCCTGAGCACTTGAACCTCTGTGTTGTTGTTAAGATGAAGCTTTCATGCCTTCTGGAGCACCCAATTTGAAATCTGGGTCTTGAAAGAGAGTGCTGTATCTATCTAAGTGCAGCTCATATGTGCTATAATCGCTTGTTGCAGCGATTTTGTGAGTGGGGTGGTGTGCCTGCAGGTTCTTGACAACGCGCGGTGTGATCTGGCGGTTCCTGACAGCCAAGGGGCGGAAGGGGCGCTTTCTGCCATAGCACGGTGCAAAGCAGGACTAGTGATCTAACTTGTGTTTATAGACAGAGAAGATGTGAATGTACAATAACACTAGCCATTTCTGTTCTACCATCAATGCTATTTGAGATGACTGAAGCTTCAATCTTGTATTTTTTGCACTCACACTGTCTTCATGGCATCGAGCTCTGCATGTAGCGCTGACTAGCACATACATGATGGTGTTTGGAATCTTGCTTCTAGAGATCTAGCTGTACAGGGTTGCAGCATCGGTGTTCATGCCTGGGCTTTGCATGAGTGGCTGGTATCGGTATGTGATACTGGCAGGTAGAGCTGAGTTCCGGCTGATTTTGGCAGAGATGGTATGTAGTACCGGCCAGATTTGGCTCTACCAGTGTCTGACACCGCCAAGTGTGAAAATCTCCCGAAGCCCTGTTCATGCATGCTACCGAGCACATGAATGTCACTATAAATTAATTGCTGTCTTAAGCCATCTGTAGACCTGACATATTCCATATAGGCCTTAGAATCGGACGATGCAGGGCGAAGTTAGGTCGATCACATGTGGAGGGGCCAAGACCGGGTCATTCCTAGATTCATAGATTTGGGCAGGAACGGCATGCCACCATAAGGCCTGTACATCCTAGGCAGTTCCAGTTTCCACTGCAGTTTCCAGCTGACGTTGGGTACAGATGGATGCTGCAGCAATTTAATTGGCTTGCAAAGCTAAAAGACATATAGTCCACATGTGCAGATATGCCTAGGCCTATTGTGCAAAGAGTTTTTACAGGAGATCAGGATGTAAGCCAAATCTTTCTAAATCAGTTGAGTTCCCAAGTTAGAGTTTTGTTTGTTGATGCACAAAACGACTGCGTCAAGGGACGCCTTGACCGCCTCTCAAATCTTGCAGACTCTCACAACCCTCATGCAATTGCAAACTGTGCTGTACTACACAGCAATTCACATCAACACAGCCTGGATCAGTTGCATCTGGTGCGCCTGACTGTAGGAGGCTTCGCCTAGAGCACCTCCCAACAACAGAGCATGGCGCCTCCTTACTGCTTCTAAGAGAACAACAAACAGTTGCCAGACCCCTTTGCAGAATCACGCATCAAAATTGGCAAGGGCTGTCAATGCCCGAGCCTTCGCTCTTTTGAGTTTGAATTTGAATTTGAGCCCTCCTCAATGCTCCCAGTGGTGGCTTCCTCTGCAGCTGCCGCCACCTGCTGCTCCAGTGTCCTGACTGCCCTCGCTGCAGGGCCCTCCCTCTCATCATCATCCGACTCCCACTGGACCTGCACAGTGCAACAAAAAAATTGACGGCCTCTGAAAGCATCAATACATGACTGTGGCAACCGCACCTGCAAAACATCCTGAGCGCCCAAGACATCACAGATGTGTCAAGAGCTGCGGAAAACCCGTACGGGTTTCAGACAGCCCTTCATAACCACCTGACATGCCAATGGCCTTGCATGGCCAGGCAGGGTAATGCAGCACTCTTAAGATTTCACCACGTTCCAAAGATGCACCAACAAGCCTTTAAAGAGCAAATAGAAGATATACGGCAGAAGGGTGCCGTCATTCCCCATCATGATGTAACTCAGGAAGATGAGTAGATCACATGACACCGGCTGATAAGGAAGATACAATGGGTCATTTACCGGTACCATCACACTGACCGTGAAGTCACACCTGCTTGGAGCTGCTGGTGTAGCCGCCGTCCCCGCCGGTCTGCGCGGCCGGCCCGGCACCGGCCGCCGCAGCGGCGGCTGCGGCCGCGCCCGGCTTCGCGCCGGCCGGGGCGGTGAGCCGCGCGAGGGCGTCGGCCGCGCGCGCAACTTCGAATTCCTCGTCCTCTATCTGCGCAGCTTCCTGCGCCTCCCCCAGCTGCCGCTTCAGCTCCTCATACCTGCAGCACCAGTATAACTCGCGATGATCCTTTCTCAAGTTCTCGAGCTTGTAGATCTAGATCTAGAAAGCTTAGCAAAAAATCAGGTGCTCTGTCAGATTCTTTGTGCTGCGCAAAATGCGCAAGAAACGCCAGAGATTGCAAGGTTTCTATCACTGGTTGCATGGGTGTGGTGACTTCAAATGCAGCAATCTGGCAATTCACCTGATAGCAGGTAGTCACTTTGTCAGGGCCGTAAGGCCAACTCAAGATGGCACTTTGAAGACTGACGCACACCGTCTGTCACCCAGTGCCAGGCATGGAAACATTAAGCATCACATCCCAACAGCGCCAGCTGTCAGCTGTATGGCCTGAAAAGTGAAACATGTTTCCGAAGCCGGAACTCATCCAGAACCTACTGCAGTGTGTCCATCCTTGAGAGCAGAGTGAGGCAAAGTACGCAGAGAGTCACAGTCATACCTTGTCATGAGCTCCTGGCGGCGGGTGGTGAATTGCGAGGGGAAGAATCCGGGGAAGTATTTTTGCAGGAAGCTGAAGATGAGAACGTGGCCCACGGGCGTCAGAGGGGCAATCAGAATTACTGCAAAAGGGATGAACGTGAGAACATCCCGCGCCGTCCGCCGCAGCGCCATCACCTGCAGAATGACAGCATGACAATCATTAGTAGTTAATTCGCAAGCAGTGCATGGGACTGAAGAGCACTGCTGGACATAGGGCAAATCATTGCTGAGATTGGCAGACGAATGCATGGCAGCTGTGCAGATTTTGCACATTGTGTCAGTCGGCTGTGTGAGACAGAGGTCTCCTAAGAACGGCGCAGATTTTGAAAAATCGGCGAGCAAAAGGGCTAACAATTCAAATTTCCCCATGAGACAAGTCAGCAAGCCCAATTGCAGCTTACAGCCTGTGCAAGTGCAAGCCACACAGTATGGCTTAGCATCAATGCAAGAACTAGAGTGGTCCGCACATAGGCGCTTGCTTAAAGAATCCCTAGCCTCTACTCCAACTTATCTGTGTATTTGCTGTTGTTTTGAGCGCCCCGGCCCCTCATTTTGCAGCTCGATTAGAATTTAGGCAGGCCATCTCTCTTTGGCCCCAAATATCAGGTGCTCCTCTAGATTGGGTGGACAAAAAAATGTCAAAAAAGAAGTGAAGAAAGGTGGCGCACCTCGCGGGGCTTGAGGGATGCTCCGGCGCCGGCGCGGTAGAAGAGGCGGCCGGCCGAGGAGCAGTCCTGCCCCAGCAGCCGCACTCCGCGAGTGAAAAACATCACGCCGTCACGCACCTGCAGGCAGGTTATGTCATTTCACTAATGTTAATGTTAGTCATTGCTCGTTATCTATTCCTAAGAACCAGGTACATTAAGTAGAACACCTTAGATTAATGCAGCAAAGTGTCCTTGGTTCTAGCTCTTCCTCAAGACTCATAGGAGAATCGCTGGCTGATTATGCATGGAATCTCTGTAAACGCTGTAACTCGGCCCATCAAGCGCTCCCGAGGCATTCGAGTTTGCCCCTACTTCTCGTATGTTGATGCTCGACTGGTCACCTGCTTAGGACTGTGTTTCTGAGCCTGCCTTTTCTATCACATGCCTTCATGCACAGCAGGCCACAATGCTCCCTAGTGTCCACAGCTCTTGTTCTTGTGAAGTCTAGGAAACATGATGACAACACGTGCAAAAGCGCACCGAGCACATCTCGACATGATAAGTTGGGATGTGTGATCGGGTGAGTCACCTTGGCAACTCCGTCGGAGACTGCCGCCTGTGCGCGAACCCACGTCCAGCCGGTACCGGCAAACACCTCCGCATCCCTGCAAGCAATAGATGTGCATTTTCATACTTCATTTCATTGTAAAGAGTCTCACCAAACAATGGACATAAACGAACGGCGGCTCTGAAAGCTAACGGTAAGCAGAGGACTTATGCTGTCCAAATGTTAGCTGCCTGAACTCTGCAGCGCACGAGCATGCGTATGTCGTGAGAGACATCCTCCGCGTCTGTCCGCGCCAAATGGCACTGGCAAAGTAAACAGCATGCCATTTCCTTGAGAATGCGCAGAGAAAAATGCCACTGGTGCCCTTACAAGTGCCATGGAGCGAACCGGGCTCGTCTTCTTTCTTTTTTGTAAGTGTCATGCAGTGGCTATTTTAGGTGATAGGAAGAGAGGCATTGGTGCAGTTTCAGGATATGGAATACAGGGGGGCACTGACCAGATGCCAAGGCAAGTGCGCAGGTACCTGAATCATGCCTGCTGTTTGTACGACTCATGCTCTGTAACTCATCACTCCTCACGCGAAATACCCGCCAAAGGACCACCGCACATCCACAATCAAGGAGTCACTCTATAGGGAGTAGGGTTTAGAGGTATCAAAAGGGGCGCTGACCCGATGCCGAGGCGCGTGCGCAGGTCGGGGATGTCTGCGGCCAGGCGGCGCAGGTCGGCCTCGTCCACGGCGAGCGCGTTCCCTGCCTCCACTGCTGCCCCCATGCCCGCTATGGGGGTGTCCAGCAGCGCAAACTCCGCCACCAACAAAGCCACCTCATCGCTCGTGCCCTACCCACCACAAGGGAGTTAACAACATCATCATCATCCTGGAAAATATTTGAGCGCCCCTGAAGCCTAGAAATGAGCAGCCGGCCTATCACTCATGCCCCTGCCTGCCAGCAATAATGTCATCGTTGAGAGCCTCTGACCCTCTGGTTACCAACAGCAAACTTGTGGATGCTTGACGAGCGATTGAGCTCTACAGAGCATCCGTGTGTTTGATTCATCACGTCAGCAGCAGTCAGGTGCCGTGTCTAATCCCTCCAGCCATTGCTGTGTCGAGAGAGCACCAGAGCGCCTCCTGACCTTGCGTGAGAGGAGAAGGGAGGGGTGCTGTGATTCTTTTGTTAGACCAAAGAACACACAGAGGGTGGCATGCGCAGTCACCTGGCGTGAGAGGAGGAAGGAGGGGTTCTGAGTGCCCTGGCCGATGTCCAGTGCCTCGTCCTCCAGGCAGCCGTAGATGTACTCCAGCTCCAGCTGCAGCGTCCGGATCGCCAGCGCTCGGCTCAGTGCCCCCACCTGCGTCAACGTTCCCCGTGCATCAGTCATGTGTTCGTCATGCGTTTGATAAGGACAGACGGCAACTCTGCACAATACGCCCTCACTATCTGAGCACGTCAACATGCAGCCTGGCTGCAAGCCAGGGCTGCGGCACTGGGATGGCTCGGGATGCACCCATGAAGCAAAAATCTTGACCACATAATCGCAGGGCATGCGGCATTTGTCCAGCTGCAAGCATTGCCATGACTGCCGCCATGACCATCTCGGCTATTATTCCCTCGGCTATTACGGCACTGTGGAATAGGTGAGCTCGGGCGGTTTTTGTAGGGGTGTGCGGCAGACCTCATCATCCATATCGCGCAGCTCCCCGGCCAATCGCGCGCGCCCCCCGATGCCCGCCCTCCTCACCTTCGTTTCCCTCACCTGCACAGACCAAGCCTCTCCTGAACTCTCTACTCAACAACACACGCGCACATGCATTGGAACTGGCCAAAGCGTGCTTCAAGTCGAAGCATAGTCATCCTGGAGCAACAGTCAGCAGCAGATGCACCCGGAAGGTGAGCTTCATTCCATCTTGCGAGCAGTCATGCATGAGCAAGAGCTAGGAACTGATGCACTCCAGCAGCTGAGCTTCATCGACTTGCAAGCACACATATCCAGGAGAAACGGCTAGCACCTTCATCAGGCGCAACCCGACAGCATGCAACAAGATGTTGACTTCAACGACCACCAAGAGAGGGGAAGCCAAATCAAGACAGGGGCACACCTTGCTGGCTTCCTGCAGCTTCTGCTCCAGAGCATCGATGTCCTTTGACAGTGCCGAAATGGCGGCCGCCCGCTGCGTGCGCGTGGCCACCGGGATCGGCAGGGGGCCCCCGGCGGAGGGAAGGGTCCCCCCGGCCTCGGCCCCCCGCCGGCCACCGCCGCCGTTCAGCCGCACCCAGAGGCCCTTGGCGTACGCCGCGCTGCTGCTGAGACCGCCCACCACCGTGCTAACTGGCGTAGCCCGCGCCTGCCGTATCAAAATAAGTGGCATTGAAATTGGGGTTTGCCTTGTCCATAGTTCCTTAAGATTTGGTCAGGCGAGGAGGGAGACACAGTCTTGATCCACAGAGAGCAAGCTTGTTTGGTTTTTGCTCCCATTCTCCATCAGGCAAAATGCCTGTGAATGAGATAACGACCCAACCATGAAAGTGCACGCCAGGTGCCTCATGCACTCCTGGCTGCATCAGGCGAGCTTCAAGGGTATCAGCTCTGAAGTGGGGCACCTCTTGTTTCTACGGAATTGGGCTTGATGTAAGGGGTATACACTCCAAAGGGGTTGGATCTTGCACCTGGCCCAAAAGTGAGCTTCGGGAGCTGGCAACATACGTATCAAAAGAACAACCGACAACCATGTTATGAGGGACCCAGGAACAAGAAGAACCCTCCTAGATGAATAACCAAACTCCATGAAAAATCTCATAAAAGAAAGAAAAAGCCTCTGCAAAATTATAAGAAGAAAGTCCCACACTTTGCAGGCCCGGCTGCACGGCCGGCGCGGGACGAACTTCTTGACAGCACGCTCGTCACCTCTTTGATTCACCAACGGTACGTGCTTAAAAATGAGAGAAACATGGTAGATCTCCAGAGCTTGAGGTCTCACTTTTTGAAGCCCCGGCTGCACTGCCTTGAGCTTGCGCGTGACGAATTTCTCGACGGCGCGCTCTGCCTGCTCGATGCGCCCCTTGACTCGCTCGGCCGCCTCCTCCTCGTCCGTCGACTGCCGCCCCGGGCTCAGCCGATACCGAGCGTTGCGCGCGTCCAGCGCCGCCTGCGCCGACGCCAGCCTGCGGCCATAAAGAATACGTTAGTTCCCTTGCCAGCAAGGGTGTTTAAGGGCATGCGTCACGCGCTGTGTGTGGAGTGCGGGGCAGCGTTGCCTGCACCAGTGCCAGCCTGCCACAACAAAGAATACATCGATCGCCCCCGCAACAAGCGGTTTGGGGGGTCTGCGTGCTGGACTTTTATCCACTAATGGGATTTCATCACGCTAAGCAAGAGACAAAGATGTTTAGAAGGGCAAGATGCAAAGACAGCCTTGCTCGGGCACAAAGACACTCTTAACTTTTTTAGCAGGCAGGACATAGGAGTATCTGAGAAGGAGAGGCAATCAGAATCACCCTTGCGCGCAGGGATGTACTGGTGAGTGCTGTGCATAGTGCCCGACGCTGACCTACCAAGAGATAAGCAACAGAGTGCACAAGACTCTGCCCTGCTTGGGTCCAATAGGCGCCTAGTGCCCAGCAGGGATAGATTTAACAAAAAAGTCAGGAAGGGCTGAAAGTGCAGAGTCACGCACGTGGGGAAGGGCAGCAGCCGCGTCTCCTTGCGCACGCGCTCGGCCAGCTGCGCGGCGACTTCCCGCGCGCGCTTGGTAATCCGCCCCTCCGCATCCGCCCCGGTGCCGGCCGCAAAGACGACCTCGCCAAAGCCGCTGCCGTTTGCTAGAAGACCCCGCAACCCCGCCTGTGGTCAGCAAGCGCATTCGGCCATCAGATAGTTGTAGCACTGACGCTCCTTCCAACAGTGGCTGCAAGCTTTCCGAAGCCCGAGATGCGCTGTACAATGTGCATGCCATGCCCATGACAACTGTGGTGGGCGCAAGCATGTCCATATGAACAAGTCTGGCAGTGTGACATGAAAAACGGCCTCTTGCTTTGATGCAGATCCACTGAGGAAAGCATGCAGGCATACAGATGTCTGTGCTGGCAGGCCTGGCAGCAAGAGGGTGCCTTCTGGGATGACAGACTTGGGTGTCAATCAGCCAGACTTGTCCATTATGGGACAATTGCCCCCTTCAAAAGCAGCAGCAGTACATGCATGCATTGTATGAAATGCTCAGAAACCACTCCTGGCAAGCACGGCAGTGATTAACGCCTTTTGGAGACAAAAGAGACTTGCCTTGAGCTGCTCTGCAGTCAGCTGCATCTCTCCAACCAACTCTATGGCTGCTTCCTGCCGCTCCCTCTCCTCTTCCTCCTCTTCCTCTGCCAGTTCCTCCTCGCTCCCTTTTCGCTTCCCCGCTGCAATGCAGAAATCAAATAGAATTCAAGTGTGTATCCTCAAATGCATAGTAAAGCATTTGTTATGTACATGTGACGGGGCTAAATCCAAACTGGCACAACACCCACCCACTTACTGAGCTTGACAAGCATGAGATAGATAATCTAATGAACCTGACGGCATTACTCGAGAAGAGAGGTTCTCCCAAAGGGATGATCTGTGCTGACTTCCAAGGCTCAAGCAAGGGTGGGACTTGGGAGACACCTCTGCCTGTGGTAGGTGACCTGTGGTGCCTGCTGGCATGCCTAAGCAGGTTGGTACCCAAATGTAACCCTTCTGTATAATTATATATTACCCCTTGGCTTGAGTGTGAAACTCAAGGGAGCGAACCTGGCCGCTGGTAGGGTTGGTACACAGGGGATGGCTGGGCCAGGAGGCCGTCTGCGCGTAGCAGGTTCCTGTACAACTTCCGCAGCCTGATCAGGATCTCCAGCCTCTGCACGCGTGGCGCCACAGCCGGCACAGCCGCATCCTCGTCTGCTATAGACGTCTGCGCCCTGCATGCACAATTTTTGTTGTTACAAACATTATCACACATTTCCCAGTCATAAGGACTAGGTACGTCAAGCAACGCTTGGTTTAAACCTTTCTGTCCTCTCGATTCTTGCACCTCCTCCACCAGTCATACCCATGCCCAATAACATCATGTTCATCCCTCACATGCACATTTCACCCCGGTGAATTCTTACTTCTATTTACAAATCACATCTTCCTACCAGAGGCAAGGTACCTCTGAAGGCAAGCTTCATGTAAAAGCTGGCCTATCCTAACCCTCATTGGACTCGCAGACTCAAGCAAGACCGCACCAAACGTTGGCACCACGCTCTGTTCGGTTTCTACGGCCCCCGCGAGCCGGGGCCCAGCCGGAGAATGAATAGGAATAGCACTTATTTCGATTGAGCCTGACCGGAACACAGAAGAACACTTTACAAATGCATGCCCTTAATGTCGTGCATATCCCTCTCGACCATCGCGGCAAGCTGGGTAGCGTGAATCTGAGATATTATACCGCAAATATCAGGTAGTCACACAAAGGCATGCTTCACGCACCTGCTCGCCGCTGCACCCCTGCATGCTCCCCCTCGAGTTCTGGCGATAGTGAGAATTAAGATGCCCGGGGTTGCATCAACTGGCCTGACAGGATCACTGCTGGAGCATGTGACTTGATTGCTTCTGCACCTGCAGGAATACTAAACTCAGCCAACAGAAATTAGAAGCTTGACTGCAAGTCCCTTCTATATAGCTACAGCACAATATCCAGCTGGCCATCCTCAGCCAATGGTGACGGAATGATAACGTCTTGGAAAAGTGCAAGTCAATGGAAAGCTTTTCGTCTGAGACCCCCCATAGTGCAACCGTGCAGTACTTCACGAATATCAATGCGCACCTTGCCGCATGATTGCAAGTAGGTAATATCTCACTGCCGAAAGGTGAGCGTCTTTTAGATGCTGATGAGTCAGTCAATCTGTGCCGCACGTGTGGCCTTCGAGCAGTCACCACCGGGCACTGGTGGGGGATGCTTCCTACATGTTGAGATCTATAAGTACCCATAGTGAAAGTTGCAGTTGAATCCTTGTCGAGAAACGCCTCGAAGTGGAGCTGATTCTTCGCACGTGCTACGTCCCAAACATCCTTGCGTTTTTAAGCTACTTTGCAAAATTGAGCAACGAACGATACATCAGCACTAAAATCAGACGAATTATTACTTAATGTCTCATCACAGCATCGCTGCATGTATTGCTTCCTCAACAACCTTCTGCTCTTTATCCTGTGACGTGTCTGGAACGGTCCCCCCGGCGAGCAGCTTCAACAGCGGGGGGTCCGGTGTTCAAAATTGTAACAACAGAAAGGGCTGCTAGCATACTGATCTCCGAGAAAATTGATATTAGTTAACATCAGGCTGAAGTTGCGTGCTCAGTGATGCCATCGACATAGAAGGCGCTGGGAACAGAAGATTCCCTGTGAGGAGCAGCAGTTGGCCAGAAATTGACACAATCTGCCCTGAGTTTGCAACTGCTTCTCGGACGGCTGATTTGGTGAGCCCCAGGAATAATAGAGTGTTAGTAGCAAGGCACTAAGTGCATCAAAGTTTTGCACCTATTGCCTCTTATTCTTGAACGGTGCACTTGGTGTGCTAGGGGGTGTACTGCCCTGACTCACAACTCATCTTGCTCGCATCTTATTTGTAGAGACATCCATAGGGGAATGTTCAAGCTTGATCAAACAATCGTGTTTACGATGTCGCCAAGATGCGACCGATCTGGATGCAAGGAGCTCCTCGAGGCCAGTGGCCAGATTTTGATGGGTGTCTCATCTGTGAGGGAGCACCCTTATTTACATGCATGAGCTGAGGTCTCACAGTGTGTACAGTCTGCCAATCTGCTGTCCCTACCGGTAGCAGCGCCATCATTTAAATGTTCTTTGGTATCAGAAAAATCGCGGGAGCGCATCGAATCCGTCCTCCGTGGGGCACACGGGTCACAGACGAACCTCCATGTCCGGCTACAGGTTCAGCGGTCCTATCGATGGCGTATGCGTGCTGCGCCGTGCTGCTTCTAGAATCTTGACATCCCACTTTTATGGCTGCAGGTGAAGGCAGATGAAGTCTTTCTTCTCCACCACCAAGAAGCACATCCCAAAGGTCAGCTCCAACATCAGGAGGCTCCACTTCCGCACGTTGCAGCTATTGACTCTGTTCTGTCCTCGGACGTCTGTGTAGATTCAATGGGGCAGTGTGCAAGTGCAACATCCTATGCATTCCTCGGTGAGATGTCGCTCACAGCAGGGCCTCCTTGGCGTCTTGCAGAGGAAGGTGGACAAGTGGAGCCACGAGGAGGTCCGCAGATGGCTGAACAACGTGGGACTGGCGCGATATGGCAACGCCCTCAAGGAAAGGGGCGTCCAGGGCCCGGTGAGTGTTCTTGCACCCTGACTTTTCGTTGCTTCCCAGACTCTTGGTGCCCTGTTGCCATCCAGGACTTTTTCCAGCAGCCCTGATCATTGATGTTTTATGTACATGTCTCATCTGGGGCCCATGCAATGCAGCACATGCTCGGCCAGCTAAGATACTCGATACTTGATACGTGTAACTTATTGAGAGTAATGCTTTGAACATTGCAGGAGCTTCTGAAGCTCAGCCAGCTGGATGTGTATGAGCTGGCGAGCAGCGGCGAGGACGCCTCAAGGTTCCTGGCAGAGCTGGCAGTCCTGCACAAGCGCGAGGTAATTTTCCAGTCACTGCATGACTCATCACTACCACAAAGCATGCGCCTTGTCTAAGTCAGACAGGACAGCAGCAATGCGCCACATGTCTTACTTTGTGTTTGCCGACCACAGATGCATGAGCAGATCCTGCTGCATTGCAATCCCTTTCACTCGAGCCAGAATGCCTTGGGAAAGTCAAACCTTATTAGAACAAATTTCTGAGTCCTGACACGTGTTGTGCAGGGTTGAGGAGTCCTTCAGAGATCTGACTGTGCTTGGGCTGTGCACAGGGAACATGTGCAAATCTGTCACAGGGAGCGACATCAACTCCATCAAGTGCTTATGCTGGCAGCGGCTCCACCGCAAATAGCACCCGGCCAAGCTCCGGGTCACAGGTGACTCACTCGGAGTAATACATGCTATGCTCGTCTCTGGAGCACCCTGCCTGTTTCAACTGGTCAGCTGAACTCCATCCGTGAGAGTTGTGCAGGCAATCTTTTTGGCAAGCACCTTGGAGTGTGATGCTGTTGCTTCCAAATTCTTTTGGCTGTGCATCATGGGTTCATGTGACTGGCAACACGCCGAGGCAGGCCTGAAGGAGATTGCAAAGGTGAGTTACTTGCACAAAATTGGTGTAAAACCGTGAGGATATGGCAGTCGCAGGGGACTGGCGGCCGCGAGTCATCGCCAGGCGATGGTTCAGCGGCGCTCCTGGAGGGCCTCTCCGACCGGCTGGCCGCGCTCGGCATCGCCGGCACCGGCCTCGAGGTCGCCGCGCAGGGTTCACCCCTCGTGACCCCCATCATTCGTGCGCGCCCCCTTGCTAATCCCAATTGCATCTTAATGGGCCTCAGAATTTAGACGACCTGCTGTGTGCATGTGGGCGTCATGCATGAATGGCAGGGGTGCGATGATTCTGCTGCACGAACTGCCACAAGGCACCATGCTTGGGTTCCTGAGGCCAGAGGGCATTGCAGGGATGACACGGACCTGTGCTGATGTTTCTGCAGCCCCCCTAGCTTGCAGCTGAGAGCAGACATGCTCTCCTCATTAGCTGAATATTCTGCAGCTTCCGTAAGAAGCCTCAGGTCAGCAGATGTCTGGATGTTCCCTTCACACAACTGCTGGAATATCCCAACCACAACAATTCCTGGCTGTCCATCAAACTGGACACATCGAAACTGTAGACCGATCATCCTTAGAGAAACTGTCACATGCTCCTATCGGTGGTTGTGTATTCATCAGGCGCTCTGTGGGAGCTGCATGAGCGCGCCACAGAGGCCAAGGGCTTCCGTGCGGCGTGCCTGCACCTGGACTCCTACGTCCGCTCCATCCTCACCGTCTTTGACGCCGAGGGTGAGTCTCTATCCAGGCCTGCACTCTCTCACAGAAAGGGGGTTCTGAAACTTGAGGCAGCGTCTGAAATAGCTCTTGCTGCAGAGCTGATCTGGCCATGACTGCCTCTCAGTCCCGGTATGCAGGCATTCTTTGACGCCAAGGGTAAACTCTTCAGCCTCACATTTAGAATTGTTGCGCTTACAATCACATCAGTTGAGCAGCTACTGGTCCGTGTCTCAGCCCCAGGGTGGCTGATCATCATATGTCACCTGTTCCGTTCATCATCAAAAGAGAACGGGCATTGAAAATGCACGAGGCAGTCCTGGTTGCAGCAGCAGGCCCGGGCACTGTGCGTGCTGTCACCCAGCAAGCAGTTGGCGGGTTTGTGATGCATCTGCTTACAATGCACATGCATGCAAGCTCGTGTAATGACCAAGAGCCTAGGGAAGCAGGGCAAGAGGAGGCCAATGGTCGGGAGTGGTCATATTTCTCGGTGACTGCTGCTCTGCGCTTGCGTGATGTGGGGCTTAGCGGACAATTGTGTTTTCCTCGTCTGAGAAGGTAGTTGTGCGTGCTGTTTCAGGGAAGCGCCTGGCTGCGCTGGGAGGCGGCCCCCTGAGGAAGCTGCTGGGCCTATTGCAGGAAGCCACCACGCTGGTCGAGTCCTGCTGCGACTCCGGTGAGTCATCCCTGACTAACCGCGATCAGTCACACGTTCTTAGCAAAGCTTCTCGGACATCAAACTCTTTAGAACTGTTGGCTCTTCAGGGATATAAAGTCATAATATATTTAGGATCTGCAAGAGGTGTTTTTCACATGCTTGCTTGCACCCATGGAGGTCGGTGCCTCATCTTCTCTTAATGTACATTGGGTGAAATATGGGAACAGTGAAGTATGCAAGAAATATATGTTTGAGACATCGGAATTGGCGAGTACTTCAATAATTGCTGGTGTTTGCACAGGCTGGCTGGCCCGCATGCTGGCTGGAGAGAAGGTGGAGTCATTCATCGCTGTGCACAACGCCGTTCTTCAGCTGCTCAAGGTGCCCTGCATGCCCCCTGCCCTGTGTAGCCAGACCTGCTCTGAATTGCAGCATTGTTGTGGGCCTTTTGAAAGGGAATTAATGGCTAAATATGTCCAAGGTGCTTCTTGCGGTTTCTGCTTTCAGCAAGCAGATCTCCACCCTATTGCGCCTGCTGCCATGTGCTTGACAGCCCTCCACGACAAGTTGTAGTAGCATTGCCAGCATGGCGGGGGCCTTGTGTTCAGCAGATCGTGGGCTGCCAGCTTGAATTTTGTTGCATCTGTGCCCTGCAGGATGAGCGGCTGGACGTGCTGCCCAATGGCAGCCACCTGACCTTTGGCAGCTACGCAGAGGAGTCCCGGCCCCTCAAGCGCGCACTCAAGCAGGTCCGCTCAAGGCAGATCGGGTCTCTAGTTAGAGTCTCCCAGCCGCATCCTTTTTATCTTCCTTTTGATTCTTCTTTTGCTCCTTTGTGAGTGGATCACCCTTGTCAATTAAGCCTCGCCCCTTTTGGCCTGCCTTTCATGCATTCTTTGCAAGCATGCTTGCGGCTGCACAGCTGGCAATCCTGAGAATTATATAACTTGGCCTTGATCAAATGTTCTTGGTCACACTAGAATTGACCTGCACGCCGTCTTGTGCACCATCTGTTATGCATGCAGGTAGTTTCATTCAGACCATGTCCTCTTTGCCGTCTCTCTGCGGTGCAGCGCGAAGTACCCAATACCCTGATTTGTCTCAGGATCTGCTGTATTGGAATTGTGAGTGAGTACAAGTGTGGAAGAGTGGAATTGTGAGTGGAAGTGTGAGAGATTGAGCTGATGCGAGCAGGTGGGCGGCGGCTCTGTGGAAGGAGGCCTGGCGGCTGTGCAGACTAATGACCAAGCCATGCGTGAGCTCGTCACTGTGCTCGATGTCGATTCCAAGGTGTGGCCCAAGCCCTTTCTTAACCTGGTCTTGCCATTAAGCCAAGGGTCCTGAATATCAGACTTATTTTCCTTTTATGGCAAAGAAAGAGGGGGAGGAAATGGTTTTGCCTTCGCCATTCCGCTCGCACTTGGCATGCATGCGGATGGAGTAGCTATGCCAAATCAAATTCTGAAGGTAGCTGACTGATGAGGGATCCCTGCTGAGCAACCGTTTCCAGTAATGCTGTGCAGTGTCTTCCGCGAGTGTTGGTTCCTGCCAGAGGCAGGAGGATTGGAGATGTAGGCAGGTCAAGTGATGCTGTCGAAGCCTGCATTCACCTGCACACATGCACTGGGAAGGATTGAGCATGCTTGCGCATGCTGTTCCTGTGCAGATCATTCTCAAGGAGCTTCAGGAGTCTGGACTGCTCAGCGAGGAGGCTGCTGCCGCGGCAGTGGCATCACCCAAGGCCGCCACCGCCACAGCAACATTTGCCAAGACTGCATCCGCCCAGGGACCGGTAAGCAGCATTTGCATTTTCACACCTTTTAGGATGGCCTGAAAAGCTTGCAGCTTTCCTGTCCAGAACACGGAACGCCTGCCGAGACCTGCGTAAAATTCGAGCGACCTCCTTCGGCAGCTGGACGAATTCAATCGTGCATTCTCTTGATCTGCCATCATGAGCTATGCACCAACGCTCTTGTTACGTTTTCTGAAAGACTCCCGAGCGCTGGCTCTGTTTCTGCGGCAGGGGGCGGAATTCGCAAAGGAGTACCAGCAAATCTTCAGCCAGGTAACAAGATGCGGCCACTTTCCGGTATAGAATTAGCGATCCGTATCATCTACTGTAATCTTATCATCGCTTCCTTGTGTTATTTTGTGGATTACATCGAGCAGGAGCTGGTTTTGGGGCCCATACTAAGAGACGGGGGTGTGTATTTGGCCGCAGTACGACAAGCACAGGAGAGGAACACTGAACGCCGAAGAGTTTCGGAGCGTCCTAACTGACCTCGGGATCTTGGTGAGTGATTCCATCGATGGGCAATCTGCCCGGCATGCGTTCTAAAGGGGAGCTTAGTCTTCACGGCTGCGATTGTCTCGAGATCGGTTTGTACTGCTGTACGAGGGGCTGTTGACGGACCAGCCAACAAGAGAACTCCCCTTTGCGGCACCATATATTTATTAGACGGCAGATTTTCAGCAGTTCATCGAGCCGGAGACTTCCTTGTATTGTAACATCCACACTTTGGATTCTGATGTCTTAGACGCCACACAGCGACAGGAGGCGGCCAAATGCTGGAAACTTGATTTTGGAGTGCTCACAAAATCTCAGATGCCGTGGTGTCCGACATGACCACGAGCATCAGAGGAGCAAGTCGTTGAGAGGTGCTGTTTGCAAATCTGCGCAGGATGGCATCCCCAGCGGCCAGCTGCAGGATGAGCGTGCGACGCAGCAGTTCCGGCAGGCGGACGTGGACCGCAGCGGATCAATTTCGCTGGACGAATTCGTGGCCTACTATCACACCAGCTGCGCTTCTCGCGCGCGGCTGGAACTGCGCTCATCCCTGGGCCCATCTGCGGAGAGTGAGTTGCACTTTTGCCACATGCATGGGGGCATTTCTACAGATTGCTTGCCATTTTCCTTCCTGTATGAAGATGCTGTATTTTGCAGTCGCCTCCTGAGCATAGGCAACAAGTCCTGAATGATGTACTAAGCAAAGGTCATTGCAGAATATGACTTAGAGTCATCTGAGCAGGGTGCATGTGGGTTTGACGGGCTGATGCATGCTTTGCAGGGGACCTGCAGAAGGTGTTCTGCAGCTTTGCCTCTTTCGGCGGCCGCCAGGTGGGCCTCTCTGTCACTTCTCAATAACTCCTGCCATGTCAGCTGCACTATCAGAACATAGACCTCCTTTCATGTGAGTCTAAAGCTCCTCAGTAGAGGATTAGATCAGTATGAAAGTCGCCACCTCCACTTGCAGTAAAAAGCCCAAGACCTCCAAAGCATGCAGGTGTCCAATGCACTATCGCATGTTACCTGCCCTGCTAAGTCTACTCAGGCTGGGTTTGAATACGGTGTAAAATCTGCAATCTGCAGCACGTGGACGGAGTGGCTGTCACAGTCTGCTCTCCTGAGGTTTGAGCAGGCTATGTTTACATTTGGCGTTGAATTTGAATTTTGATTTTGCAGCACGTGGAAGACATGGAGGGCAGCAAGTTTGCCAAGCTGTGCCGCGACTCCAAGCTGCTCAGCCGCGCATTCACCGCCTCCGACGTCGATCTCTTCTTCGCCAAGGTATAGATACCTCCTTTGCCTTGTGTACAAATCTGGACCCTGCACCGCCAGCTTGACATGCCAGAGGAGAAGGCACCTGCTAGAAATTGGCACAGATGCCACCGAGGCCTGGTGTGTGCCTAGGAGCAAGCCGCATTGTTGCATCGACTCACTGCTTTTTATCCTAAACGTGCAGCAGTCAAGGCTCAGTCCGGGACGGCAAAAGTGTGACCCGAGAAAGGTCTTGAACACTGAACACTGTGCCGGCAAGTCATACATGCATTCAAGCCTGCTAGAAGGCCGCAGGAAGGGCGGGAAACAAGGGCATCGGGCAAAAACAACCAGGGCAGTGAGGGTTTCTGCAGAATGGTGACATGTGCCGGGATGTGCGCGCAGGTGAAAACCAAGGGCGCGCGGCGAATCACCTTTGGCCAATTTGCCGAGGCTCTGGCGCTCGTGGCTGCGAAAACGAATTCGAATCTGGCTGACGTGGCATCCGCTGTGCTGGCGGCTGACGGCCCCTCCGTTACGGGCACCAAGGCCGAGTATGTCAAGTTCCACGATGACAAGGTGAGCGCACCTTGCTACACATATCCGCTCCATTCTATCTTTCCTTACAAACCTGTGACTATTTACCCAGCGACAGGCTCTTTGAGAGCAGGTGAACTTGCTGTAGGGTTGAGCTAGCTGGCTGAGAGAAACTTTGCACAAGGCATGCGCAGGATTTCTTTGCCAAGCAACAGCATGCAGCAGCAGAAGTGCTAGCGTTTGCATGCAGTGAGTTGGAAAGAAACACGCAAGCTCACGTTCAACCTTGACAGTTCACCGAGTGGAGCACCGCTTGCAGTGCATGGATTGGGGGCTCCTGACTGACCGCAGCAGAAACTCTGAATTTATCGTGAAAGCTGTGCTCTGCTGTGTGCGCAGTCCACCTACACAGGAGTGTACAAGAAGGGCGGACCATCGACGGTTGAGCCGTCCAAGGATCTCTCGGCGCTGCTCGACCGATCACCGGCGGACATCCGCGGCATCAAGAAAAGCGTCATAGCGCAGCAGGGCGGCTCGCCCCTGACTAATGCTGACTCATCGCCGGCCGCGGCGGCAGGGAACGCCCCGCGCCGGCCGCCCTCCATCAACACCACCGTGCTGACTAACCCCGCGCACGGTTCCGGCAGGTGCGGGGCGTTGCCTCCTGCTTTCATACTGGTTCTTGATATCAGTGGGAGTCAGAAAAAGAGGATTTCGTTCTTTTCTCCCGTTGAGCATACTGCCATTCAGAAGCTGGCGGCGCAGCAGATGGTGGCCTGAACACTGGCCATGCCTTGAAAGCCGGCCTCCATGGGATGTACTGTTGGGTACTTTTTATGTAGCAATTTGTCTGGCGAGAGTCTCTGGGCCGTTGCAAATAGCATTAGAAAACAGATCAGTGAATGCAGGCTATCCTTTGCCTATTGGTTTTCTGCAAATTCACAGCATGCCTTAGCCACAATGGTATCGGTGCGACTTGTTACCTGCATTGCTGCCCATCTGCTTTGGCAGAGGATACTTCAGGCAGGCTTGTCTGCAGCAACCTTACACGCTGTAGAAGTCATTCTAAAAGCCGCAAAAAATGGTTATTTTCTGGCTGAAAAGGATGGATACTCGAGGCCCTATCTCCCAAAATATAAAAGCTGTGATAATTCTGAGACCAGATTCGGAAAGCTCTCTACAAGCCTAATCTAATGGAGCATGACCCTGGTATTTTTGAAGTCAGGAAGACTTCTTAAAGTTTGTTTGAACATTCTCCAGCACTGCCAAGGGTGCGGGTTTTAGAATGAATACTACAGTAGGTGGCGTGCACAGTAGTTTGGATCATCTGGAGTGTTGACTTAACGATGTATCGCCCCTGCGCAGTTATGTCAACTCCCCGGCCAGCACGGCGTTTGGCGCGGGGCTGGTATCGCCCCCAAGCGCCAGTAGCGGGTCTTCTCAGGCGGCAGGCCACAAGCACGTGCTCCCGCCCACTCCCGACTCTGCTCGCCCCAACGACCGCATCAAGGTTTGCTTGCTCATGTGTTGACTGCTGCATGAAGAACTTCTGTGAAATGCGAGGCAGTCACAGCAAGTCGCATGCGCATGCACACCTTACCGCTTGGCACGCAAGCAAGAGGTCCGGGCTTTGGTGTGATTCAAGGTTTGATCAGGCGGCCGTACCTCTGCAGCACTCCCGCATTAACCAGAGAGTTGAATGTCGTGACAGAGGTTGAGAACGATCAGAAGTAGGAACATCTTGCATGCACACCGTATTCAGGCAATCCAGGTGTCAGACTTTATGGGCTGCCTTCACTTCTGCCAGAAGGATCCATTGCGCACTTGCTTGGATGTAAATTGACGAACTTAGATTGAAGGCCGGGGTTGCCAACAGAACAGCAATTAAATATCTGATCACAGTGTTGAACGTCTGAATGCGCAGGCGGTGTGGGATAATGTGGCGGACGAGGAGTTGCACGCGGCCTTCCGGGCCTTCGCGATCTTTGGCGCCGGCGGCACACCGAAATCCGGCGCAGCCGGCCCGAAGGCGCCGGTGCTGGACAGCGGAAGGTTTGTGAAGCTGGTGCGCGACAGTGGCCTGCTGGACGGCCGCCTGACCGCCACCTCTGTCGAGCTCATCTTCTCAAAGGTCAAGGGCCAGGTGCGCTCTATTCTTTCGTTTCCTCCTGTAGCTGTTCGGATGTGAGACAAGAGCGCCACTAATATGGAGCTGCTGCTTTCAAGCTCAGGTTCAAGGTGTATTTCACTTGCTGCTAAGACCTTTGCTACTTCGTGGCTGGTTAGCCGTGCCAGTTGCCACAATCGTCAGTGCCACAGCTGTAATTCTGTGCAGCAGCTTTGGTGGGACCACAATTATCTGCATTCATCTTCTTGCCAAGAGATTTTCTGTTTTAATTTAGTTCTGACAACTTGTCAGCAAACGGGCATAAACACCGCATGCATGTATCTGCATCTCTACAGCGCGTGCTTCCATTCACGGCAAAGGTGCCACAAGGCTGCTGAAGTTACACAGGCGCAATGGCAGCATAAACCAGCCATTAGTAGAATATGCCGCAGTTGTGATACTCAATACCAAAGAAAGAAGGGCATGCTTCATGGGCCGTGCAAGACTTCATAGTCTGTGAATCACCTGCTTCTGCAATGAAGACTCGGGACAACTGACTGTACACAAAGAGATGCCCAACTCACTTTGGGGTTTTGATCTGCTGCAGGGTGCGCGCAAGATCGAATTTGCTGCGTTTGAGAAGACGCTGCCTCTTCTGGCCAAGGAGAAGGGTGTGTCTGCGGAGGAGGTACGCCGCGCGATTGTGCTCAGCGGGGGGCCCCACCGCAACACATTAGTCACCCCCGACTTCGTGCGCCTGCACGACGACAAATCCACCTTCACAGGTGACTAAATCACCCTCCCGCCAGCTGCCACTACCTCTACAGTCATAGCTTGAACATCCGCACTGCCTAGACCGTATCCTTCTCACAGGGTCGAGCTGATAAATTGCACATTTGATCAAAGCCAGGCTGCTTGGGATCCGTTGCTCTGCTTTCAAGTTACATTGCTGGTGAAGGGCAGAGGTCATTTGCAACTTGGCTGAATGTCCGGAACTCGGGATTGGGCCTGCTCAGTCTGCGCTGAACAGAATGCAGACATGCCATTTGCATACAAACAATCATGGTAATCTGCAGTGGTCAGTGTTTCAATTGCACACAACAGATTGATGAGTGAGCTTGCTGTATCTTGCCCTGTAGGCGTGTATGCAAAGGGCGGCCCTTCAACAGTGGACAAGAAGATCACACTCGCCACGATCACCAACCGAGCCACCAACGAGAAGGGCATGATTCTGTGAGCACCAGGGGAATCGACATATCTGATCAGGGGGATTCGTACTACTGTGCTTGGAGCCACACACAGCTGCCTGCTTTGACACAGGCTGCAGAAGCTTCATATGTTTTCTCTCTTTTCTTTGCATGCAAGGCAGCGGGCTCTGCGGCCCATGCTGGTTCGAAGCTGCATTCTCTCTGATCTGAAAATAGTATATTTCTAGATACGGGCTCAAAAATCGCGCTCTTTGAACTTTCAAAATTGCAGTAAACTCCTTTTGTGTGAAGGCTGGGATTGAAACAGTGCACCCCTCTGGCAAGCCTGCTGATATATTCAGGTTTGACACCGCGCGTTTGCACTGGAACCTTGGGCAATAACACTGCTGGCCGCAGCTCGGAAATGCCATTTTGAACTCTAAGAAGGCGGAGAAATTAGATCGGTGTACTGGACAGAAGATGCGCCGCAAAGCAGACTGAAAAATTATCAGCAGATCTCAAGAGCTTGAGCAAATTCCAACCACAGCCGTGGATCACCGCAGTGCTAGCAGCTGGGACCAGAATTGCGGAACGGAACTTCACTGTTTGGCAACTTTATTGCATTGCGGGTGCCTGCATGCATGCTCGAGGTAATTGTGATATTTGCTGAACAATTCCTTCCAAAAGATTGTGGCACCAAAGGGGCGCCGTGGGAGTGGAAACACTGAAGCTGATCAAAGCTGCCTTTGAAAAAAGCAACCCAACAGTCTATCCCTGCGGAATCCCAAGCTGCTGCCATTTCCTCATGGGCACATTTTAGGCAAGGCTTACTTCAACTTTCAGCGGCGTACCCCACAAATTCCTCCCTTTCAAAAGGGCAGCCCTCTCTGTAAAAATAGGCAAGGCACTCAAGTCTTCCTTGTTTGCAGCGGCTGCCACAGTGTTCACATCCCTGGGGCAGCCATGCTCATGAGCATAACTAAGGCAGTCCAAGGCACCAATCTCTGCTGCATATTCACAAGTATGCTCATCCCAGGGGCAGCCGTGCTCATGAGCATAGTGCAAGCAAGCTAGGCTACCGGCTTGTAATGTAATACTAGGTTTGCTTACTGAATATACAGGAGTCAGAGGGAGTGCGTTGCACGCAACACGGTGGAAGGTGTGCAAATTAAGTAGTTTATGTCTTCTTCAACCATGCGATTGCAAGCAACTTCTTCAGGCACATCCTTCTCAATTGAATATCTACACAGTGAGCCTAGCCACATACACTATGTGCTCAACAAGACCCCTCGGGACGCGAGCCATGACCTTATGGGCAGTGTTTACCCCTGACCTTGCAATTCCTGCTAGCGCAAATGCCTGCTTTACTGCATCCCTTCTGGCTTGCATCGATTGCAGTGCAGCCCGGCCAACATGTGTCTCCCAGCACCCTGCATGAGATCCCTCGGTGCTCGCATACACCAGCAGCAAGCAAAAAGCCCTTTGATGTCTCTTTTCTTGGCAGTACTCTGACCAGATAGGGTCAGAGCACAGGCAGTCGGCATCATCAATGACTTCTTTGAAGCTCCGGGGCAGAAACAGGCCACCGTGTGAATAGATATAGCTGAGGGCCTCGTAATTCCCCGCACAAAATGCCCACATGCCTTCTTTCCCTGTGGGATCCCATGCACATCCCATGACCTCATGGGCATAGGCAATTTGCACGAGATTCACCCTGTTCTTTGAACAGTATGTGGCAACCACTGGATGGAATGGGCAACCCCTACTAACTGCATATTCCAGGCAATCATGATGACCTAGTTGGGCAGCAATCTTCACTGTGTCTGAATTCCAAGGGCAGCCATTCTCATGTGCATATTGGAGGCATGCAAGTTGGCCGTAGCTTGCAGCTCCAAAGCATACAGTGGCATCCCAGGGGCAGCCTTGCACATGGGCGTATCTGAGGCAGTCAAGATGCCCGGATTGCGCTGCTTTTAAATTCGCTGACATGTCCCAAGGACAGCCATTCTCATGCGCATAGCTCAGGCATGCAAGGCTCCCCTCATTTGCAGCTCCCTGACACACCGATTCGTCCCAGGGGCAGCCATTCTCGTGTGCATAGCTGAGACACTCAAGGTGCCCATTCCTTGCTGCTTCATAGCATGTGGCAACATCCCAGGGGCAACCGTGCTCATGGGCATAGCGCAAGCATGGTAAGCTGCCTCTTGTGGCTGCTTTGTTGCATATCCTTCTGTCCCACGGAGCGCCGTGCTCATGGGCATACATCAAACAATCAAGGTTGCCAGCAGCCCAGCTGCATGTTTCTGTATCAAATTGACAACCGTTTTCGTGTGCATAGCGTAAGCACCTAAGGCTCCCTTGATGTGCTGCCCAGTTGACGTAACCTTCGAGGAGAGGAATCCCTCTTGTGTGAGCGTACTGCAAGCATGGGAGGCTATCCTTGAGGATCGCTGCAAGTGCAATTTTGTCACCCAAGGGGCAGCCAGAAATGTGAAGCCATTGTAGCCAGGCCAAGCTGCCATGTTTGGCCGCCCTGTAAGTGACACTGGGGCCCCACTCAAAGCCCAGCCTCCTGTGTGCTTTGGAAAGGCTCTCCTCAGAAGCATGAAGGGCGTTGTCTGCATCTATATCCTTGCTCAAATCCAAACACAGCAGACGGAAGTGCCAAAAGCGCCGACACTCCTCGTGGTCATTTTGGCAAGCCGCCTCAAAGCTTCCACAGTGGGACCGCAGATCCACTGCAAACACAGCAGTCCAAAGCTTCAGTTCCTGTTCTTTGCCAATTGATGTCTTTTTGTACGTTGTGAACACTCCAGTGCCAATCAGCAGTGAGTTCTTGCAGCTGCCCTGTGGTGTGCCGATCTGTACAGGAAAAATGTAACGCAGCACTCTGTATAATTCTGTTCGAGTGTTTCGCAGACATAAAGCATTTCAGCATTTCAGCTTACTTTTGCTCCCACTGGCGGACTCTTTTGTTCAGGCAAATGCTGAGACGCGAACCAGATATCCAGTCCCAGTTACTGAGCAACGTCGTCTCCTTAAGAACGCTGAATGTATGATGTAGCAACCATACAAGCTTCTCAGAGGCAACTTTCAAGTTCCTCACTCGATCGTGCTTTGCATACAGACCTAAGCGTCTTCTCTCAGGCGATTTGCGCAATAGAAATAGAGGGCCAAATGATCGACCGAGTCTCACCAACAACGGTTCAGATCAGCTTAAAGCTAGGAATGGAAAAGTAGCTCTGTCGCCGACATCTGGGCACTGTTAGTCACTCACAGTCAGCCCTTACGAAGCTTCTGTGGTATATCTTCCTTCAAGAAACAATTGAAATCCAATAGGATCAGGCTCTCACTTAGACGGCGTAGCCTGGAAGACGCAACCGCCTCATTCAAGGCACAAGTCGACAGCAGCAAGACAATTACTGGACAAGAGACGACCGACTGACTTCGTTGCAGGTGCTTCTAGCAAATCTGATTGGACCTGCCGTTCAAGACTGATCAGGATCATAATCAATGTATTGGATAATGCAGAATACCGCTGGATCCGCATTTAGAGGATCGAATGCCCCTGCAGGAAGTGCACTGTGCGAAAGGTCTCTTCTAGAAGCCAAGTTGTTGAATCAGGGACGGCAGGAATATCCGTGTGAAAAAGACAGAGCTCGATCATGAGGCGCACGAAGCAGCACGGCTGGGCTCTTCTCTATCTTGAGCATAAGATTCTGAACCTACCAGACAAAGAGAAACCGGGCTGGTACAAGCTGGGCATGTTCAAGCTGAACAAGAGTGTCAGAGTCCTGGATCAAGCGACCTGTCATGCTCAAGGATGTCTCTGCAACAAAAGCGGAAAACCAATAAGAGGCAAAGGAGGAAAGAACAAGGCAAGGGGTAAGAACAAGCGGAACCGCATGGAAAGGGAATATGCTGGCATGTGAGGTGCATTTCCAGGGATGTGTGCAACATGTACATTGTGAGCGGGCGCTCTTGTTGTTGTAACCTTGGTGTGCAGCAACCAAGGACCAATACTACGAATAATTATTGGATCAAATTAGAGTTGCCTTAAAAGATTAAAAGAAGTTTCTGGTAATCCGACAGCGCTGCCTCAGCAGTCTACACCAACCAATTAAGATCCAGACCGCCAACAAGCTCGGCTTAGAAAGTTCATGATGGCCCACTCCTTTCAAGAGGAGCGCCAAAATTCTAAAAGCTGAGATCGCAATCAACCAGAAACGTTTTGAGTCTTGCAGTCTTCATTTAGTATGTTTTGGTGGGAAACTTCAATAATAAATGATTGTCAAATCAGATGAGGCTGGGCAGTAGCAGATCATAGTGGTTGCCACTGGAGTAAAGCAGCTTCACTGGTGCACGGGGCTTCCTCCCTTTCTTGGGTTCCGCAAACTCCTCTCCATACTTCACAATGGGAATGTACCCATTTCCCTTCCTGCACCACAGCAGCCACAACCTTAGATCATTTCAGGCAATCTCCAACTTGCCCAACATTGGTAAGGAGAAAGTGTGTTTTCCCCGGGTCAGGAAGCACTGCGCCATTGTTTATCTTTCCTTGGCCATGAAGCTGTCTGCTACTGCCTGTCTTTGCACACAGGTCCCACAAACCTGCTGAAGAATGCGATCTGCCTACGGTTCTATATTATTGTTCTTATTACACGCTTTTCCTGCCGAAGGCAAGGTGCGTCTGCAGGTCTCTATATAGAGCAAAGAAAAGAATAGTACCAAGTGTCCGATTTGTCACATAAGTCCAGCTTCTGTAACAGTGAGACAGCGGGGCGGGGAAACAGCACCGCAGACTTGCCAGCCTGCTCGTCTCTCAAATATACAAATTCATTCTACTATATGTCAGACTTGTGATATGATGTCAGACTGGGGAACGGCTGAGAGTGCAGAGATCATGGATGTCACTCAGAAGCTGGCTTCGAAGTTCTCTTGAAAAGGTCCCAAAAATCTGCAGAGATGAGACAGAAGTGAATCCTGAGAGCACACCTGCCGGCCTCCTCGGCGCGCTGGAAGACAAAGATGGGCGCCTTGAGCATTTTGCTGAGAATCAGGATCTCCACTTCACCGCCCCAGAAGGTGGGGGACTGCAGCCGCACACAGTACCTGCATTGCACACTCGGGCTTGGACCAGGCAGTCATTCACTCAGACAGCCAAGTGGAGCTACGAAATCCACAGCTGCTGTAAGCAGTCATTCAAGCGTTTGCCGGAACAGGCCGGCCGTGCAGCAAGCGCCGTCCCCAGTCAAGCTTGCTGCGAGTGCCGCGCAACAAGCGGGGACAGGAGCAGTTGCGCTGAGGCAGGGTCGATGAACCAACCACTCCTGCTGCAGTTGCTCATTTGAGGAGCACCGCCTTTCGACAAATTGGGGCTCACTTGATGCCTGACTGTGATCCGCAGCGCCCGGCATGACAACCAGATTCAGTGTAAGCCATCGTCCAGACCTGCACAAGCCTATATCTTGGGTGCCGATTTCCAGCAAATCACTGCACTCCTGCTTCTCTGTCTCCCGTCCACCACCTGCCTTTTGGCGAGTGAATGTAGCGAGCCGCTTATGTTCCCAGAGATTCAACCGGACCACAATGCTGAGATTCCCAGCGGGCACCATCGGCAAACATCGTCTAGTGAGGTGCATGCACAATGCACAGCCAACAGTATAACCTCTACCTGACGTGGTGCAGCAGGCAGAGTTGAGGAGCTTGCTGGCAGAGTACATAAAGTTCCATTATGAGGCACGACTTATCACCTGCGCAGGCCGCCCTCGAACGCCTCGATGCTAGGAAGCACTTCCTTGAAGCTGCGAAGGCGCTCAGGCCCGCGGCAGAGCGCGTCCGCCACCGCCCGCCGCAGCTCGTCTGCATCCGCCTCCTCCGTTCTGCCACCCACGAATTCACCCTTCGCGCGCGCCAAGCCCTTCACCTGCACCAGGCAGCAAATGTCAATTGAGTGCACCGGACAGAAATGATTGCTGCCTTGCCTGCAGCAGGGGGCAGATGAGAGGTGAAATGCGCCAGACAGAGGATGTCAGGAATGCCGAGATTTGGATATGCGGTGCCCTTTGCCTGCAGCAAAACCGGTGAGGTTCTGAGATCACCGCACAGGCACAGGATGCAGCACAATCTGTCAAGCCAAAAGCTGTTTATGGCCAAGCTTCTGATCTTTCAACCGTGACGTGCGTCATCATGCACAGGCCAGCTGTGCTATGTCCTCGTGCGGCACAATATTGAAAGGACGGAACCATTTGCAGCCAAAGGGGAGCACAAACCCGAGGGTCGATGCTACCGTCGGGAAGCCCAGACTGTTGAAAAGTGGAGATCAGAAAAGTCCACTGACTAAAACATGTAGTTCAAGTGTCAACGGCTACAGATGCGAAGGAAACCAAGGGGTGGAGTCACGTAACCATCAGGCTGAGTGGAACCCCTGTTGTAGAATAAAATCCGGGGTAAATCACATAGATGCGGCGTGGAAGGACATGCAGGTTGGTTGCTGCGCACCATTGCTCTGAAGAGGCAGCGCCCGTCGCCCTTGATTGGGACGACTCTGAGGTGGGTCTCAGGCTGTGAGCTGTACAGCTTGTGTATTTTCTCTCGCTCAGCCTGTTCCCGGTGATGCCTGTTCGCAGCCGCCTTCTTCTTGTGATAATCTGACGAGACACCCAGCTTTTCCAGGCTGACAGAGTCTCCTCCTTGCATCAAATTGTTGAACTGAAAACAGCATCTGGATATCCCTGGACCTGCAAGGACCAGGCACATCAAGGTAGATTAGAGCCTGCACATACTTCCAATTAAAACATTACACCATATTATTAACCTTTTGCAGGTGATTTCAGCATGATTTCCTTCATCCTATTCCTAGATCGCCTCTCAGTTGAATAAGAAATATTTGTTGACCACAACACGCATACGGCCTTATATGCGTGTGGAATATTACGTTGGATGAAAGTTTTTTATTATTTTGTTATCATTGTGGTAAAAGTAAGTGTGCACCTGAAACCGCAGATGTCGATCTGTCCAACCCAAGCTTAATTGTTGTGAAGGAGCAGCTCGTAGCTCCACCATCTTCACGTGATGGCTCCATTGTTTTGTGTATATATGGTAGTACAGTACTGAACATATATTTGACGAAACGAAATTAGCAGCAGTATTGCATCTCCAGAGCAAGATCTCCAGCTGCTGTTGCCTATTTTGCACCGCAGGAGGCACGCCACACAATCCAGGCAATCTTGAGGTTTTTCTTTCGTTATCAGGCAGTGGCACTTTGCAATCTGCAGGATCACATTCTTACACAACTCACTTACAACTGCAGCATCCATTTTGCAAAATTGTAGCATCCATTTTGTCCACCACTCAAGGGGGGTCATTACGTATAAGCTTAAGCTTCGTGTAGTGCACTGTAGCTGCGGCTGACAGCTGCATGCGTGGCACTGCATAGTATGTGCTGGGTCAAGAACGGAAGTTTTGCAGTTCATCAAAAGAACCACGCTTGCCACATTCTGCACAGTCTGCGCGAAGCCACACTGCACGTCCGCAGGACTTGCAGCACCACTCATGTCTTGAGCTTGCGCAAAATTGCTCGTCTAATCTGGTCTGCCATCACGACGCAGCCCTCAGAATGCAATCCAGCCGGGGCAGTAATCTCACCCATACAGCTCAGCTTGTGCTCTCTTGAATTACGCCGAACAGCTTCGGTCAACTCAGAAGCCGCTCTAAGACATATCAGACTGCGTGCGGCCAGCGAGCAGTCCCCTGCCATGCGGTGCCGCGGGCGAGTTTCTCCTCGCGCCAGGCCGCATACAGGGCCCCCTCAGATTGGTCCTCGCTCCACTCCAGCTCTGATCCTCCCACCACCACTATGTCCCCCTCCTGCACCCCCTTGGCTCGCAGCGCCTTGTTGATGCCTGCGCGGGGCAAAGCCAGGCATCAACATCATGACACCAGCACACGCAGTAAGATGGGGTTGCAATTCTTGACCCTTACGTATAATCATTTTGAGAAGCAGTGGTTTAGCTTCACCATTCCAAGGAGTAGGGAAGCCTCCCGTAGACCTTGGATGACAATAGAATTAATGACAAGTGAAGGTTGACAGACTGGGTGCAATCCCTGCAGCTATAGTGCAGCTGAAAGTGAATTGAATCAAGCGGCTGTGGTCAGCTCACCCTCTGGGAAAACACCCCCGGTCGCATGCTGAAAGAGCTTTGTCTGGGCGTGCTGAAATCGCCCTCTGTCTGGGCCATTACAGCACAACACCAGGGCACTTCTTCCTGAAGGATAAGAAGAAGCCGCTACATATAACCCAAAATTGCACATCGATGCAGCCTATCTCCTTAATCTGGTGCTTGCTCTCCATTCATGTCTGCATGTTTCTGACTGCATATCTCTTACGTCCCTGCTGGCGCGGGGTGGGGGGCCGTATTAATATTGAACACCATTCCCACGCTTCATTGGGCCTTGCTTGGAGTCTCTCAAGGGATAGAAATTGTGACAGATGCACCTTGCCTCGGGCAGGAAAAGCATGTAGAATAGTAAAAACCCCTTACTGAAAATTGGGTTAGGATGACTCACCGGTGGCGTCGAGGACCTTCTGAAATCGCAGCGTGGCCTCATAGTAATCCCAGTTAGTCATCGCCGCAAATCTGTCAATTGCCTCGCCCGACACAATCCAGCGGCGGTCGTTGTCGGGGTCGGCAGTCACCGTGAAGTCGCTGATGTCAGCCGATGACACCCTCCGCGGCAACTCCCTCATGTTGAGCGCATCCGTCGTCCTCACCGCCTCCTGAGCAAGGCAGCGAGACATGCAATGTGCATTTCGCTGATACTCATTGAGGATTTGGCACTGTGACACAGGTGAAGGTAAGAAGGCGCTTGCACATCGGTGCCCCAACGGTTCCCCCCAGCAAGCACAGCTACTCCTCATAAGTAAATCATAGCTGCCACAGACGGCACGCTGGGCAGAAACACACATCAACGCGGCCACTTGTGCATGATAGCAGGGCACAGCACGGATGCATGTGCAGCTGAATGGATGATGAATCGCAAGATGCATGTGCAGCTGGAGGATCAAACCAAAGAGCACTGCTGCTTTGAAGCAAGTAGCAAGCCTACAGCTGCCAGAAGGCCTCTTATCCTTCATCAGTACACCTCATAAATGTCGGAGCACAAGCACTACGGTGGCAGAACAGATCAAAAGCTCTGGAACCCCGCCATGACAGCATGCCGCTTTCTCAAGTACGATCCGAAGAAAGATACGGTGCATGATTGATACTGCAAGGGCGCACCACTACAGGCATAGCGTCCAGGACGATCCTGGTGCGCCTAACCAGGTCGCGGACCCCCTTTCCGGTGGCGGCTGAGACTGCGAAGATGTCCTCCGAGGGGACCCCCTCCCCCAGCAGGAACTCGCGCACCTCATCGATGTAGTCACCCGAGTCCGGTAGGTCTATCTTGTTGTATGCCACCACCTGCGCGCGCAAACCAGGACCTCATTCACAACATCTGGGGCGAGCACAACACCAGCGCCAGAGAGGACATGGTGAGCTTCATGGAAATAAACAGGAGGAACAGGAACAAGAAAGAGGAAGAAGAATGCTGCAAGGGATAAGTATACTATCAGCTATCAGATCTTGTCAGGAATCACTGCACCCCAGTATGATTCCATTGTCAAATCCTGTCATGGGCCAAAAAATGCCGCAGCCACAGTGGGTTGCTTATCATCAAGGCATCTGATGCCCCTATTCACTGCTAGATACAAACGCAGCCAGCGGCCAGCATCAGAAAACATTTTGTGCCATTTGTGCCATTGGGAGGGCATAACACAGTAAGGAGTGCAGCTGCCACACCTGGGGCTTGTCGAGCAGTTCGGCGTTGAAGAGCTGCAGCTCGGTGCGCAGGGCTTTGTAATCCCCTATAGGGTCAGGGGAGGTGCCATCGATCACATGCACCAGCGCTCGAGTGCGCTGACAGTGACGCAGGAACTCATGACCCAGGCCAACCCCCGCATGCGCGCCCTCCAGCAACCCTGGCGATTATAACAAGGGTTCAGCGGTCATGATAAAAAGAAGATAATGCGCGTCCCCTTATACTTTGCAAGGGTTCAGGAGACGCGTCAGGATTGCACAAGACCCTGCTGGCCTGGGCTCACACTTCTGCTGCCTGTTGACAGCAGCAGGGCGAGCATTGGATGTATGATATGTGTTGTTTCCTTGGCAATCACACTCCCATTTCAGCCACTCAGGAACAGGGCATCTCCCTGCTTGGATAAAATCCTGGTGCAGAGACCAAAACAATTGGTGTACAGGTCCATAAAACACCAGGTACACATCCTGTGCACGAGATACCCTGTACCTGGGAGGCCAATATCTTGTCTTCGCAAGCAACTTTAGCTTTGCTATTGATCTCGGTGTAGAGGTCCAGCTGTGTCTGCACACCCGCTGCTGCATGCGCCCGGATATCCTTCCAGCACCAAGCAAGAAGTGTTCCGAGGACGCAAGAAATGCCTGCCACTCCGCTGTCACTTGCTGACTAGATGACATTGCCTGCACACCTATAGCTATCTGCCGGACACAGAACAAAGCTTCTCCTTGGCTCGGCAGAATCTCACCTGGGATGTCGGCAAAGACTGTTGTCCGGTAGTCCATCTCGCAAACGCCCAGGTTGGGGACCAGCGTTGTGAAGGGGTAGTCAGCCACCTTGCGCGCAGAATTCTCATTATTCAGGCTCACACAACGACTTGGAAAGTTACAGCTGGCAGATAAGTTCACATACCGCATTCAGTCCTGGATTGAACCTGACTGATGGACAATTGAGCATTTGAGCATTTCATCTGGCTAAATGCTCCAATTGAACAAGTGAGCATTTGCCGCACGCTTAAATCGTTGAGCTGAAACACACATTTGTGGGATCTTGAGGTGCATCACTGTCCGCAGCGCTCACCTTGGGCTTTGCATTGGACAGCACACTCAGCAGAGTGGACTTGCCAGCATTGGGCACTCCGATGATGCCCACATCCGCGACTAGTTTCAATTCCAGCTCCACCCACATCTCCTGGCCCTCCTCGCCAAACTCCGCCATCGTGGGCGCACTGCAGCAAGAAGGACAAAGTACATCAGAGACACGTTACTGCACATGCATGCATGTGTGAAAGACAGAAGAACAGACACAGAATGCCACATGGAACACCCCATCACTTAAAAGCTTATAGGACACATCGGTGACTTTGGGGGGCCAGTGCAATACTTGCAGTCTGGAGTGCAGTGAGAGCACAGCAATGCAGCGATGCCGGGAGCAAGCTGTCATTGCAATATGTCTCAATGCATTGTGTCATCAGATGTGCATCATCTTTCAGGATTTGTGTCAGTAGCCATGCACAGGTGGACTCATGATCTCTAGCCAGCCTCCAGCACTTCAGATCATTGAGAGAGGCGTTTCATGCAAGTCAGTTGCAGCAGCTGGCACAGCGCGCACTTGTTGCGGCCGGTCTTAAAGGAGGCGTTCCCTCTGCCGCCGCGGCCGCCGGTGGCCAGAACGGCGCGCTCGCCCACAAACAGCAGCTCGGCCAGCGGCGGCTCGTCTTCAGGGGCGTCCCTCCGCCGCATGATTGTGCCGGGGGGCACCTACCGACACATGCACGGCACGTCAATCACAGCCCCTCGCCTCATCACTCCTCAATGCAACTGTAAATATGGCGTGCGATACATCAGGTAGCAACCCATGCTTCATCTTTAACACTGCTCTTAGCCAGTCCCGGCCGCTCGCATGAGGACCTTGCACAGCTGCAAAGCAATCAACATGTGCCAAGCAGTTGCCACAGTACAAGCAGAATACTGCACAAGACCCTTCCAAACCCAGACGCCATGTGACTGTCACAGGCAGCACTTAGAAAGCCCAGTGGTTCTGTGGAAATCAAGAGATGAAAGAGCGTGAGAGCAATGGCACATTCCCCACTGGAGAATTCATGACTAGCCGGAACACACCCGGATTTCGAGGTCAGCGCCGTTGGCGCCGTGCCGGTTGGATCCGCCGCCGAGACACCCTGGGGTGGCGCGGTAATGCAGCTGCTTGCGGAATGCCTGCACCACATTATCAATTAACTGGAGAAGCTCAACAATGGTGTTTGCACCATTGGAAGCGATGGAAACAGAGAGCAAAACTGTGCCATGGAAGTGGTGTGAGGTTCTTTTAAAGGGGAGCATACCGCCAGTGAGTTGAGCGAGTCGTCCACAACCGCCCACACATTGCCGCCGTTGCCGCCGTTCCCTCCCGAGGGGCCGCCTGAACAGGCATTACCAGGCGCGCACTTAAACAGGCCCACAATTTAAAGTTGGCCAGCGACGATCTCTAAGAAAGCAGTAAGGCCGCACTGTTGGTTTCCTAAGGTAATGTTGCAGCAGTTTAAGGGACCTGTTGTACCGTCCAAACGTGCTGAGCTGCCTTGCACCGAAGTTGAGGCCCCACAAACCACTTTTTATGGGCTCAAGAATGATTAGGCTTCGCACTGGCAAAAAGGATCAATCCGATATCCAGTAAACCTGGATGAAAAGAGCTGCAACCTGCTGTGCTGTGAGCAGGTGGCATCCCACTCGCCTCACTGCATTCATTAAAATGAAATTGATGCTCGCTCCGCCACTGCTGCTAACACCTCTGCTATGCTGCCCAGCAACCACAAACAGGGCACACTCTGGCACACATGACAAACTCTGCGGTGCAGCAGTAGCTATACTGATGAGGTGAGCTTTACACACCTCTGGGCACGTGCTTCTCCCTCCTGAATGCCACGCAGCCCTTGCCGCCGTCCCCGGCCTTGACATAGATGTTGGCGGTGTCGAAGCAGCGCATCTCTGCAGGCAGCCGCTTGCCGTCTCTCCTCTCCTGAATGCATGTGCACATGCGCGCGTCAGCGCTTATGTGATTTAAAAGGCCTCTGAGTGTGGCCATTCCACGAGCATTGTGACCAGATTTGACTAGGAAAGCAACTTCTATGGGTGTGGTCGGTTTGCGTGAGCATATGTGGCCAGGAAGGCCATTGCTGTGAGCGCAGCCATTCTCCGCCAAAGTCAAACATGCAGAGCGCCAAGATCAGGATTGGTGCTGTGGCACTGTCCAAACTCTGGTGCTTAATCCAGGGATAAAGAATGGCATTCTCAAACATTACGCGTGCAAGCCTTTTGACTCAAACAAGGATATGTTCGTGTGCACGAGCCTGACAGGAACTGGTTGAACGTCTTGAAGTTACCTTGGAGCTCTGTTTGTCATCGTCTGCATCCTCCACAAACCATTCAACTTGCTGAGAGGCCCCGGTGGCGTCATTCACCCACTCTGTCTCCCAGTCCTCCACTAACTCTCCGTCATCTTCCAGCATCTGTCAAAGCCAGATGCTGTCTTGAAAGATATACTTTTGGGCAGTAAAGAACGCCGAACAGCTTTCGCATATTCTCCGCAGAATGTGCGTGTTTGCATGCCATGTAATCACGGATCAGACAGCGCACCTGAGCTCGCTCTGGGGCAGCCACACGAGCAATTACTGTGGGGGATCTCTGTGACTGCTGGTGCGACCAAGCAGGCTGGCACCAACTGCTGCTGCAGATGCTCGCAAGAAAGACGGATTTTTGCTGCATACCGGGAGGTAAAGCACGCAAAGCTGAGAGTGTTGGCATTCTGAATGCTGTCTCAAGCTGCTGCCCATAGCTCTGCCTGGGGTTGCACAACCGCAGGCGCTTGCGCATTGGCAAGGTGGTAGAGTGTGAATCGCCATAACATCTGTGACTGCAACTGGTCATGCTGTCCAGCCTAGCTGACACCGGTCCTTCCATACTTGTGAACCTGCTGTTCGATATGCAAGTTCACTCTTGCAGCGACTGATCTTAGCGCTGATGGGAGATAATACTATCAACCCTGAGTTCGATTAAGGAATCTTGTTTAGCTGCAAGCGCTCTTCAGAGCACGTCGGAAGTGTTTAAGAGGCTGGCTGCTGGTCTTTGAAAGTTCCTTATCTCTATCGATCCTAGACCTAAGCTCTATTCTGACTTGCTAACACAGTTCTTCCAGTAGAAGATTGTTTTCTTTCAATAGAAAGAACAAGTTCAGCCACTACTGACTCCAAATTGGACTGCATGGGATCCTGTCCGAGACTGACAACCTCATCACCGCACCGACACCTACGTAGGTACGATTGCTCGACTCTTGCAAGTTTGGGGTAGAAGAGAACATTGTAACATTACGCTTACATCCTTGATTACGAACGGTGTTGCAGAAGGGTACTACGAGGTTTGTCCCGGCGGGATCTTTGTGAGCATGGGCTTGCATCCAGCAAGACCTAGCTTGTGAAGGGAGGTCTGAAGTTTTCAACGACGGATTTGGCCTTGATTAAGGTGCTCTAATGCAGTGAGGAATGATGGGCTCCTAGCGTGACTGTACACGACATATGCACGATGGCAGGCATGGAGGCTCACGTCGATGGAGCTGGGGGCGGAGCCCTCGAAAACGGGGAGCTCGAGAGCAATCCTCTGCTTGATGACTCTAACAAAAGAAGATTATATCTGGAGTACCGTGAAGAAGTCGTCAGGTAAGTACATGCTGATAAGCTATGCCCCATTAAGAGTTGGCAGAGAACCTGGCTGTCCAACTGATATGAGACTTTCTTGATGACCGCGTCTGTGTTGATTTGATTGTTCCCTAAGTCATCTTGAAACGTCTTTGTCGCACTGGTCGCCTTCTCGATGCTGCGTATTTGCCATTCACCTTAGACTGCAGAGCACATCCCACCAACCTTCACTGGAAGACAACAAAGCTGTCCGGTTTTTCAATGGGCAGCGAAGATCGTGGCCTCTACCTGACCCATTTTGATTGCTTATGTGCTGGATTACTTCGCAGAACTTGCTTCGCAATTTTAGGACGGCAAGTATATTCCCTTGACGGCATGGATTCTTCCCTTTGCGCAGGGTGGGGAGCCTGGCCGGCCCAATCAGCTCGCAGGCAGCGCTGGTATTCGTGTCATCGTTAGTTAGCCTTGCATTTGCCGGCCATCTTGGGGGGCTGGCGCTCAGCCAGGCGGTGCTGGCCTCCTCATGCTACAACATCACAGGCGCTGCTGTGCTGCTGGGCCTCGCTTCTGGCATGGAGACGCTGTGCGGGCAGGTGCGCGCATGGTTCTGGCATGTGCTGTGTGCCTCTCATCACCTCGGGGCAAGATTTGCGCTGCGGCCTTGCCGCCTACTTGCAATGTAGCAGTGAGTAGCTCTGGCGTGTGTGCTCGAAAGCCTGTGAGCCAAGAAGATCTTGTTGACCTATGGCAAATGGATGGCATCTTGCAAAAGTGGCCACACTGGGAAACCTAGCTACACAGCACTGGCTGTCTGTGCATAAATTTTGCGCGCAGCAGAAATCACTGCTTTTTGGTGCCACAATTCGGGTGCACTAAGGGACAAGCAACAGTAGGGTGTGACCCCATTTACACCACTGCCATCAGGGCCGCATGCACGAGATCAGGGTCACCTTTGCAGCAGCACTGGACCAAATGCAATGCTCTGGCGTGAGTGGAGGATGCATGATAGCGGGGGGTGCATGCATGCAGGCATACGGGGCGGGGAATTACGGAGCGCTAGGGATTGTGCTGCAGCAGGCGGTGGTAATTTCCACTGCCGTATTTGCGCTCATTCTGGCGCTGTGGACGCAAGTGCATCACCTACTCTTAGCGGCAGGTGCGCATGCCTGGGCATCCAATTCTCCTCGGAATTTGCCATGAAATCTTCAGTCTAGAACTGTTCTGGATGCCTGGCGCATGTCCTGTTCGCTTCCAAGGGGCTTTCCTGTACACGTTCTTCTGAGGTGAAACCCAGGGCTGCCGGCAACTTTGCTTTTGCTTTGCAACTTATTGCGCATGCATGTGATCAAATGACAATTGCAAGCTTCATCAACCCATTGCACACCCTCCTGTCCTCATGGCATGTGTAGAGTCGAGCATTGTACATTCAGGAAGCTGAGGTGGTTTCTGTGGACTTCCTACTTGCCAGGTCAGAGGAAGGAGATTGTGGATGGGGCAGTAATGTACCTGCTGCTGAGCGCACCTGCCCTCTACTGCTATGTCATCGCCGAGTGCCTCAAGCGATATCTCCTGGCACAGGCACGGTCTCTGTCTCCTTTTTCAAATGTGTTCTTTGTCTTGCACAGCCTTCTCAGGTGTTACAGAGCCATTGCCCACGGCGAGCTACAGTCAGCAGAGCGCACCCACATGCAACTTCAGTGATTGCCACAGTCCATGAAAGAGCAGGTTCAAAAGCAGAGAAATCGTGCAGTCACAAATGGGCGAGATCCCTAGAACTAACGGCCAGATATGGCTGGAGTTTGAGAGGCCTGGGGTCAAGAGAGGCGTGAGCAATGCAGCAGCGCTCAGTGACTTGAGAGGCAGAGGCACAGTCTGCGGCATGCATGACGGCAAGAAGTGCCAACAGACAATGTCCTTTATTTTTTTTCATTTTCTCCGGGCTGAAAGCCTGTGTAGCTTTTGAGACCCCCCCTTAACAGATCAAATCAAGAGCACAAAAATGGCTGCAGATAGCGTAATGCAGTGCATTTGCTTTCTGAAACTGAAAATGGGAGCGTTGCATGCGCAGGGTGTGGTGACGCCTGCCACGATAGTGACGGCCTGTTCGGCGGCGTTGTCTCCTTTGTACAACTGGCTCCTGGTCGATTACTTCCAAGTTGGCCTGGCGGGGGCAGCTCTCGCCAACGACGCTGTGCAGGTGGGAACATCTCGCAGCAACAGAAGTCCTATCAGCTTACTTCAGATCCAATAGTTTAGCTAGCAGGGTGGCAGCTTGCAAGTAACCCCCAAAATTGTCACAGCCTTACCTCTTGTGAAGATCCAGGAAGATGTCTGGAAGATGCAGTGCAGCCAAGCTGTGCACTCGCATCAGAACCACTGCCTCCAGTAACAGTTCAGAAGGGTCGCTGAGCATGCCAACTTGGAAGGGTCAGCTTTTTAAGGCACTAATACCGTACCATTGGCTCTGAAGGACTGTTGACATATGGTATCTATACATTACATTGGGGGCATATCAGTTGACTGGGTGCTGGACTGCAGGCGACGGTGTTGGTGGGACTTGTGAGCTACGTGGTCTGGCGGGATCGGCGGCTGAAGGGGACGCCGTTGCAGACCTGGCCTGGCTGGTGCGTGACTCACATTCATGCCAATTTATGTCTTGTGTCTAGTCTCATCTAAATTATCGTGGCATTCTGCACACATGCCAAACATTTGCCATCCTTGGTGGTTGAAGACAATCAGCTCTAGACAAGTTTCAAAAAGTCATCTGTGTGTCTGGGAATATGCTTTGAGTCTCAGGCCTCTTCTGTGAGTGCAGGTCCAGGCAGTGTCTGCACGGCTGGTGGCCCTACCTGAAGCTGGCTCTGCCAACAGTGGGCGCCTGCTGCCTCGAATGGTGGCTCTACGAGGGACTCATTCTGATCGCCGGGTGGTTCCCCAATGCTGACGTGGCGGTGGCGGCCATGGGAGTGGGATTCAACACCACCGCGCTCACGTACACCATCTCTCAGGGCATCGGAGGTTTGCTCCCACAACCCTGCATTTTCTTCTTTTTTCTTTTCCTTTTCTTCACCTTGCATCCCCAACGGTATTCTTGTAACGGCGATGAGATCGGGATTCAACACCACCGTGTTCACGTGCACAATCTCGCAGGGCATCGGAGGAGCGCCTTAAGCAATCTTCACTTTTCTTGATCCATTCGCTACTGCATGCATACCTGTGTTCTTGTGAGGGCGCGAGATTTGCTTTTTCCTTTTACCTTGTCTCCGGGCATGCAGCGCGTTGTTCTGGGGACTCTTTGAGCATTTAGTGTCATACGTCTGAAGGTACAGAGGCCTGCAGCTGCAGCGCAACCTGCGAGCTGCAGCACAACCTGAAAGCATGATGCACGCAGTGGCTATTGCACCTACTTTAGAAATTGGGTTTGCTTGATTGTGCCCAAGAAAGTCTAGAATGGGAGCTGGGTTCCTGAGTGAGGCATGGGATCGCAAGGCTCATCTATTACTCACGATCAGGTCATGTGCAAATTGTTTGTGATGCTGTGGCGTGGGTAGGCGCGGCGAGCACAAGGGTGGCGAACGAATTGGGCAGTGCAAAGCCCCTCAGGGCGGAGAAAGCAGCGTACACCGCCATCGCTCTGGAGACATTGCTGATGCTGGGGATCGTGGCTGTGGGGTTTGGGCTCAGAGACGTCTGGGCCTACCTCTTCACTGATGATCCAGAGGTTAGCGCCGTTCCTGCTGGCTGCGTCTCTGGTTGATTCTTTTGTGGGAGGAATCCCAGCAAGTGCCTGTGCGATCTACTCGCCTGGGAAGCCCTGCATTGCTAGCACAATATGTGCGTTCCATCGAGCGGCCTGAGATTGGGCATTGCTCCCACTGAGGAAGGCAGAGGTGCGGCTACCTGCTACAGTGGGCAAACTCTCTCAGCCAGCACCAAATCCTGGCACAGGATGTAGATGGGAAAGTCCAGCTCTGTTATCAAGATGTTATGATTATGCTTGGATCCGGCGAGTCCATCAAGGGGTAGAATCTTGGCAGCCTGTCAATGCAGCTGTCTGCAGACGCACCTTGCCTCTTTGCATGAAAAGTGTGTAAATAAAAAGTCGTATGTTTGGCTGTGTGCTGACGTGGCGGCTGATGTGGCGGCCAGGTGGTGGATGTGATCGAGATAATTCTGCCCGTGGTGTTCTTCTCGGAGATTGGGGACGGCCTCAACTGCGTCTGCGGAGGTGCGCGGGACACTCTTACCATATTGCTCGATTGCTCAGGCATATCTCTTTGCAATCTCTCGCGTACTGGCTGATATCTTGCGCAGTGTTGAACAGTGCATGCAGCATGTGTCACTAGCATCAGTGAACAAGAGATCAGCCAATAAAATTGCTTGCGGTTCTGGAAACGCAAGAGTTGAGGCATCCCGGTACATCCGAAAGCACTTGCAAAGTGGGGCAGGATAGTAGATCATGTTTGCATGACTGCTGTAGGACTGCCTCCGCATGCAGGAGCTCACCAGCTGTCTTGAGATGCGCTCGGCAGCGCTCCTGAAGCACACTCATCTCCAAGAATGGCATGATTTTTGTCGGGAACTTTTCAACGCGTGGCAAGATCTCAGCATGAAGCCTTTATTCTGCGCAGGGGTGATGAGGGGGGCGGGGCGGCAGCTATTGGCAAGCATTCTGAACCTGATCACATATTGGGGACTCGGCCTACCGCTGTCGTGCGTTTTGGGCCTGCACTATGGACTGGGCGTGCAGGGGCTCTGGTGGGGGCTGGCCACTACTACCACTGTGCAGGTGGGCGTTCCCTCTCTCCTCTGCTGATTGCTAGATTACTGCCTGCCAGGAGGAGATGATAATGGCATTGCAGCAGGATTTTAAGCATGCAGCTGCACAGCCTTCACCGCGCCGTGCAAAGTGAGAACATACAGCTTGCATGCCATGTCAGATCAGTGCTGAGCCCAGAAGTGGCGAATTGCCCAATCGCTGCAGGCCTCACCATATCGCCATACACGTTCTGCATTGAAATTCACCTCAGGTCAGGTAGATCAAGCCTACAAATGTTCTGATTAGTTGACAGCGAGGAGAGGCTGCGGTGCAGACTAAAATGTTGGTTGCTTGGTTCTGAACCATGAGTTTTCGGATGTGTCTGCTCTGAAATATGAAAAGATAGCACTGCTGCTGCGACAGGGGCTGGCTATGCTGGCAACGGTGCTGTGCTTTGAATGGCACCAAACACCGATTTGCGCAGGGTTCCTTGGTTAGATCACTATCATTGCACTGTGGAAATGATGGTGGCGCTACCTGCGCATGCTGCAGGGGCTGGCAATACTTTCGACGGTGTCACGCTCCGACATGGATGACACTTACCTGATCAGGCGCTGCCTGTGCATGCTGCAGGGGCTGGCAATGCTGGCTACGGTGATGTGTTTCGACTGGGATCAGGAGGCCAAGGCGGCGGCTGTGCTGATGAACACGCAGCACGACGCCCTGGGGCCAGAATCAGAGGCGCTGCTGCACCCCGCCAGCGAGGCCGGCAGCCTCGACGGCGGCGAACGATGATGTCAGCGAAGAGTCATCAGCCGTGTTGGTGATGTCAGCATGCGCATGCTGTCACCATGCTCACCAGGTGGGCTTATGCACACAATGGCACAATATTTGTGTTATCGAGAAAGAGCGGCAAGGCCGGCAGCCTCGGCGAGTAACAATTGTTAATGTCAGCAATAGCATTTTGGGGGGTTTCTGGTATAAGGCCTGTGATAGAGCATGCTGCTGCCTGGCTTTGGGGTGTGTCTGTGATTGTCCCGTGGGCTGATGCTCCCTGACTACAGAAATATCACAGTGGTCTCGTCGTGAAAGACTGGCGAGGCCGGCAGCATAGTATCTAGTAGATGGACAACCATGATGTCAGCCTGTTATTTTTGCGTCGTTTTTGCTGATGTCAGCGTGCATGATGTCAGCGTGCAGACGGCTGGCTGTCGTGTACCGGCGACCAGTACTTTGGCTACGGTATTGCTCCAGGAATAAAGATGATAACGTGTCTCTAAGGGGAGAAGTGGCGAGGTCGGCAGCCAGGACAGTCACACTTAACAATGTCAGCCAAGCACGTCTGATGTGTCTGTGTGTCTTGTCCCCAAAAGTTCAGCATATGGTTTACAGATCTCCAGGGAAGAGTCTGCCAGAAGGAAGACCATGTGATGGCAGCATGGTTGCATTGCCCATTGGGGATGAGGCCGGGAAGAGGGAAGTTCTCCTGAAGTATCTGGCAACCATAAATGCATTGGTTGCAATTGCTGTGTTTGCGAGTCCTAGGACTTGAGTCCACACTGTCCTGTACCACTGTCTTGCAAGCGACCTGTATCATATTTTGTGTGCTTCTTGAGAGCCCAACATATGTCCCAGTCATCTCGAGAGCTCAAGACCTTATTTTAGCTGGTATAGCACAGGAAAATTAACACCGTAGTCACCTGATCAGTGATGGCATAGTGTTGGAAACTTCCTTTTTACAAGGGCATGCATGTACTTCCCAGACAGTACTGCAACGCAGGAAGAACGACTTGGGAAACAGCATGCCTCCTGTTTTCAGGCTTACATGTTTCAAACATGATGTTTGCCCATTGTGGCTGCTTTTTTTGGACTGTGTAAGCACTGCAATTGGGATGCAAGTGTACATGCAATTCCTTGTAACCCAATTAATCCTAGCTAGGCATACTATGCTTAGGGGGCACTCTGGCCTCTCTTGTGACCTGGGGTGTTTTATTGTCATGTTGCAGACATGATCGGATCAATGTATGATGCATTGTGCATCTCTGGACAACCTTGAGGATTCCTGTGGAAATGCTGAGCATGTACTGTCTTTGCTGCACAGTCTTTGCATGTACTGTCAAGGACAACAGGTTCCATCGGTGACTGTATCTGCCCTGATCAGCTGCAGCTTCCCTCAATCCCTAGTACGTGTGCACTGCGGGCTTTTTTAGGTTGCTTCCATTCAACCTGTTCGCCTCAGTCATGTCTGATCTGTTCCAATGAACCGCTTGGAATGACAGGCCAGGGTTAGGGCCTGTTGTGACATACCGTACATGACACTTGTGGCGGATTCATGACCAGCATTATGCTGGGTGCTTGCATTCGTACTAGGAATGCTTTTCTCTCACAACAATGCATAAGTTGAAGAGCCTTGCTGATCAATGGTGGCAGGCATATATATGGCTTTCAGGAGCATGCACGTGCTTGTAAGCACCGCTGCAACCTAGGAGGAGCAGTTTTGAGAAGTTGCGTGCGTCCAGTATCCAGGCTTGCATGTCTCAACAATGTGGCTGCTTCTTTAGAATCGCGCAAGCATTGCAGTCAGATTCAATTGAACATGCAATTGCTTGCAATCTCGTTTAATCATTGTGCAATGTGCACTTCTAGCTAGCTATGCATACTCTATAAAGTGGCACTCAGGCCTCTTTGGACTGGGATGCTGACTCTTACCTATGCTACAATATGGTACATGTCTTAGCTGCGAGCAAGTGGCCATTACATACGTCTTGCTGCTGACATAACGCATCATGAAACAGATGGAAACAACCACAAACAGCCAACAAAGATGTGCCCAACCCACTCCCGCCAATCGCAATTTTTAATTTTATGACTGTGTGCGTGAAAGCACAGGTACAGCACCACTTTTCTCAAGCGGGCCCAAATGGAGGCCGCTTGGCTTGGGCATTGATAAGATCTTGGCGCTTCTTCATAAACTGCACAGACACAGCAGTAAATCATTTACCTGCAATTTTTGGCAACACCTGTGCTTCTTAGCTCCATTCAATTCAGTCAGCATGCCATGGTTTGATCAAACACATGCAGGCTCGGCGTGATGTTGTTCCCATAATCAGCTCTACTCTATCTGTCAGTCCAAAGCTGGTTAAAACATAAGTGCAGGACACAGAGGCGGTGTCCCTTCTTGACGCCGATCAGTCCTCTACTGGGAGTAGGCCCGATTCATCTACCAGTTCACTAGTGAATTATTCCTGTTAGGGGACCAAAGTTTGCTTGGAGCGCACCTTGTCCACTGTCTGCTGGACACAGTCCCGCCCTGTTAGCAGCAGTCGCGTCACCTGCACAGGTGGCAGCAGAGCGCATGAGAAAGTGACTGATGCAAGGAGTGCTGGACTACTCAGCCAGTGGAGTGCAGGAGACTTTGAAAGAAGCATGGCGCAGTTGTCAAAAAAACTCATGTTCGAAGGCCTCGAGCTGTTGTTAGGGAGCAAGATCCTGATCCAGCAATTACGATGACCACGAACAATCTCAGAAGAAAGCCAACCAACAAATGGCATCTCGTTCATGCCAAAGCTGCCTGCCATCTCCAAGATGGTTCCTTGACTAGCTGTGCTCAGAGACGCAACTTAAACCAGCACGTCTCGCATCCTAAGGAGCAAGAGGCTTATCTCTCTCCAGAACCGTCCACTAAACATCTGTTTTAATCAATCTGCTGGAGAGGGCCATGATGCGCACCACTTCTGGTTCTGTCTGGTGCCTGGCCAGCTCAAACTCCTTGCGCGCACTGTCACGGATCGAGTCCCGCCTGTCGCATCAGACGTAACATTCTTTTTTACTTTTGCCGATTGCAGGAAAACTTCAATCCAGCCAGCACAGTGGATGCTGGTGTCCGTGAGCATTACGGCAGAAGCAGCAAAGAACCACAACAACTTCTCACAGCCTATGCAATTTGCCTCTTCACATGCATGGGCAGGCAATTTGCCTCTTCCTGTGGAAGGCAATAACTGTCTGTCATTCCTGGTCAAATGGTACGCACCACAGCGCACCCCTCTCATCACTCCAGACAAACAGGCGTGAGTATCTCCATATGTCACGATACCTGCCGCATCAGGAACATTTTCCTTTTCAGCTGAGGGCAGCCTGTTCCCGACGTGTGTGTCTCCAGCGCATCAATGACAATTCAGAAATGGCCCACACTCTCACCAGTGTCATCAGCAAAGAAGGCCTGGAACGCACAGAGCAAGGGCTTCTCTCCTGGTGGTCAGCACATGAGGAGCCTGCTCGCTGCCCTTCTCCTTCTTCTCCTGCGCAAGGGACTTTGTCAGCCTGGCAGCATGGGGGTTGCCCTCTTCTGATGCGTGGCTCAATTCCGTACATGGTAGTTAAATGTAACTGAGGACAAGAAAAACAAGTCAGAGTAATCCACACCAGGGACCGGTCGAGGATCTCCTCCAGTTGACCATCCGATGGGCCGAAATGGATCTGGCTGCTGAGGCAGCGGACGCAGGGGATCGCCTGCGAGATGCGGCCGATGCTTCTGCAGACTGTCATCAAGCTTCACAGCTTCGTGAGTGCATGTCAGCCACGCCTGACCATTTCCTCACTATGCTTAAAAGCACCAGATCACAGTTCCAGCTATCTGGGGGCATTTCTGACACACCCTGCTGGAACCCGAACGCATGCGCCCTTGAGAGAACTCGAAATCAAGCGCCAAAAGCTACTGGAACTTCCAGGCAACAACCCCATATCCGAACCGGATGGCTTCTTACCGATGACATGGCAAATCTTCACTTTTTGATTATGCTGATTTCCCCCTGCCCAAGAGACATTTCAGCGGAGGCAAACCATTTGATCCTTCAGAAAGAAGTCGACAAGCGAAGAGAATAACAAAACTTAGCTGCACCATGTCGCACACACAGGCTCAGAGCGGCCTGCTGCACGACATGAGCCAGCTGAACGGCGCTGGCTGCGTGAGCACCCTGATGGAGCCGGACACCTTCTCCCTGTCGATCATGTGCCCCAAGTCCATGGTTGGGCGGGTGATAGGCAAGGGCGGCGAGACCATCAAGGCCCTGCAGCAGTACACCGGCGCCATGATACAGATCGATCAATCGCAGGATCCCACTCGGGTGACCATCGTGGGAAAGCAGGGCAGCATGCAGACTGCGGCTTCGATGGTCAAGGTGAGCATGTTTATGGATTTGTTTTGACCTGGTTGCACCCTAGCAGCGGTGCTCGTCGGCCGGTTCGGGTGTACTTGAAGCTGTACCGGACTTGGATTGCAGGACATCGTGGAGGGCAACTTCAAGGGCTTCGCGATGCTGCGCCAGATGACGCTCACCCAGGCGGACAAAACGCTGCCCGGCTGGGAGAACGCAATCAAGCCGCAGCCCGTCTACATCCAGGTGCGGACGCAGGGAAGGCTGGAACCTGAGAAGACGCTGCCGTGCTGTGAGCCTAAAGACAGGAGGCACTACAATTCGGGCGGGTCTGACTTGCTGCCTCTGGTGCTTGCAGGGCTACGGGTTCGTGCCTCCCTCGCAGGTAAAACCAACACCGCACCGCCTCCCGCTCTCGTTTTGCCTAGGATGGTATGCTCAGACATCGGAGGGCCGGCCCCGGAGCCTCCGCCCCTCTGGCCTGGGGCATCGGCCTGGGGCGTAGCTGCGTTCTCTTGAGGTTTTCATGTAGCGTATCTGTCATAGTGTCGCCCGATTGTAGTCAGGGGCCAACTTCACGTTGATGCTGGCCTGTACGTCAGCTGGCTACTGGCGAGCTGTGGGTTCCTGTGTGGCCTTTTGGTGTGCTGCTGTACGTGCCTGATTATAATTACTCCTGTAGTTTGTGGACGAGGACACGAAGGCTGCCTTGGCGCAGAGTTTTGGAGAAGCTACCTTCGCTCAAAATCACCTGAGTCAGGCTGATCCCCTGTCGCCTATGTTCCAGCATGGGGTGAGTCCACCGTTTTTCCAGCTTCTGTATACGGAACAAAAGCATTCGGAGATGCAAGACTGAGGGTGCCTTGATGCATGTTCCTATTACTGTACTTTCGGCTGCCCGAATGGCCGCATCAGGGCTACAGTTACTCTGAAGCATATGTGCCTTAATGTGGCCATAGGCATTCACCAAGGCTGCAGGACTTTGTATAGATCTGCCAGTAGTCCCCATGAAGAAGTTCTGGCTCTTAAAGAGGAGCAGCTAGGTTGTTGAGGCTTCTTCTGTGGTCATCCAGGTCTCGGCTGCTCAGTTCAATGCGCTGGCTGGCAATGGCGGGCTCCTGGGCAATGGAAACGTCCTCAAGAGTGCTGGCCTCACCTTCTCGACGCCCGTGGGAATGAAAGCTATCAATGGCCTCTCACCGCTCGCTGCAGCAGGCATGTTCTCATGCCAACAGTGGTGCATGAGCACAATCTTGGGATCTTCTTTCCACGATCCCCCTCCGCCTTGCGTCGCCAAGCCGTGACTGGCACGGATTTTGTTATGCATGCATCCGGACTTCACTGCACACAATGTCCTTTGCTGCAGCTGCTTCAGTGGCTGGACTTCAGTGCATGGGCGGCTGAGTGCACTACAGTCAATGGACATGCCTGATCAAGTGGATCATGCTGTAGGTGATAGTGAGGATGCCAAGAGCCCGGCGACTCGCCGCCTGTTCAACGGCATTCCCATCGCAGCCAATGGATGCAACACAGCAACCCCCATCCCCATGCAGCAGCAGGAGCGCACCCAGTCTCCAGGCAGCGGTGCTGCCGCTGCAGCTGCGGCCGCATCTGCAGGGCAGGCAGCGTTGATGTACCGCTCAGCTCCCGCCTCGCCCCACGGCATCAACACTGGTGCTAGTGCGTTTCTCGTCCTCCCCTGTTCCTGTCTGTTCGTGGCCATTTTTGCATGTGGTTCTGTGAAAGATTGCACGCTCCCCCCAAGTGGGGGGTGGTAGACACACGCATGAAGGTGTCGATGGCACACTGTGTCGGTCATGGCATGCCATCTAGGCTCCCATGCACATGTCTGTGAACCCCTCGGCCTGCATCTGGATTGCCCCTTGTAAACATTTGGGTAGTCTGGTCTATCTTCATGTGCACCTATGTGTATCTTGTGCTGAGCCACCTCACTGGTATCAAATGAGAGTGTTGGTTGTGCAGTTGAGCGCCAGCAGCTGGGCGCCTCGGTGTTTGACTTGCGCAGCGCGCCAACATCGCCAAGCTCTGCTGCTTTCAGCTTCAACACCAACGGCGGCTTCCAGCGATCCAACGGTGGGACTCTCTTGCCTCTACTCCTCAGCATCATGTGTAGCATGTCTGCACGCACATATGTGAATGTGCCACCTTTTCATGACAGGCACAGCAGTCGAAGATACTGTTTGTGTCGTTGTTGTGGTGTGTCAGCTGCCTTGCCTGTATGCACTCTCAGTATGAACACATGCAGAAACTTTCAGGTTTGTGATTGTTTTTTGTTTCAAATGTTACCAGGGGTTGGAGCCATTTCAAACAGCATTTCCTCGCTGGACCTGGGCGGCATCAACGAAGACTCTGCTCAGACCAACGGCGACATCTTTGGGCAGCTCGGGCCACAAGACCACTTCCTGGCTGCTAGCACAGGTGGGCAGTGAATTCATTTTCACCGCGCTCCTCTTCACTCCCCTTCAATGCATGATTGCAATCGTTTCCAGTCCTGACAATGCACAGCAGGGTTGCAATTTGGTACAAGCCTGCATCCAGCAAGATGCTGCATTAAGTGACATGATCCTACCTTTGGAAACCAGATCCTCATGGAGCCATCCAGCGGCACCTTGCACAGGCTGCTGGCACACGCTTCAGGCATCATGACGGAGGGTGTTGACACGCTCTGTGTGATGTGATGGGCAGGCATCAAAGGGATGACAGCCGAGACCACAGCAGCGCTGCAGGCAATCAATGCGCGCCTGGGGCTTGACTCGTCGCTGGGCATGTTTGGGATGGGCGGAGGGAACCCCTCCCGCGCCGCGCAGTCCCTGGACGGCGGCCCCCGCAGCGTCTCGATGGGTGCGCTTGGCCAACGGCACGCCTTCTTCGGCGGCTCCTTCGGTGCTGCCGCAAACACCGCTGCCTCTCAGGTGAGTCATCGGTGCTGCAGCAGATTCACACAATCCAGTAGTCACCCATGTCGAGCAGAAGTGAAGCAAGCGAGGTGATGCGAGCGGTCAGGAACATTTAGGCGAGTGCTGCAGACCAGTAAACAGACTGCACAGTGAAAAGGAAGCTTTCGGCTGCATGGGATGTCATTCGCAGGCACTCATTCCTAGGTGATCCAGCGGCTCCTGCCTCTGCATGCATGCACAATATATTGGATCCGTCACTTTGCAAAGAACATCTCTTCCTATAGGACCCCCGTGAATGTGTTCATGCATTTGACCTTCAAGTGGTTGGCGCCCTTGTGCGAGCCCAGGTCAGGGATGTCAACCCATACAGTTGTTTGAAGGTGTGGGTGCATGCTTTGGCAGGTGGCTGCAGCTCAGCAGCAGCAGCTGGCGATGACTGAGGCGATGACTCAAGCCATGCTGGGTCAGCTGGCGGCCAGCAACCACCAGGCAGCGGCGGCTGCTCAAGATGGCCGCGGCACCCCAACAGCAGCTGTCGCCAACGAGGAAGCTGCTGCGCGGCTGCAGGCTGCTGCGCAGGGCCTGTCAGAGAGTGCGCCCCTGCTCCCCTTATGTGCATTCACATTGAGACTTGGTTGGATTCATGGCTATAATCTGCTCTTCACGGGTAGTTCTGCGCTTGAGAGTTGGCTGGGCTGGGGCCCACTTGAGACTGGGCGGCAAGCCAACCTGTGTTGTGGAAATGTGTTGTGGAATGTCTTAGAAAACTTGAAAGTGGAGTTGTGTTGAGTGCGTTGGTGGCTGTGCAGGCAGCCCGGCGTCATCTTACGACAGCACAAGCTCGCTGTTTGCCTCGGGTGGTGCAAGCCCCAAGCTGCCGACCAACTGGGTGCAGCTGAGGGACCCAGAGGGTCGCCACTTCTTCATGAACATGACCAACTCCGAGACGCAGTGGGACTTCCCCAAGGCCTGAGCTGCCTCCACTTCTTTCTATGTGAGGTAATCAGTCCCCATTGCACATGGAAGTTTTGTGTACTCTATTGGTTCTTGGTGGCTTTGTGCAGATTGCCTTTGGTGCTGCTGTGCAAGCCATGATATTTAAGTCTACTTTGGGCTGAACATTTCTGAAAATGATGGGTGTCGGGGCGGTGGATTGATATGGTTGTGCACAGGGATCTGAGATGCAGTGTGATGATGGTCAGGGGCTCCTTGTATTGTGGTGGACACATCTACCGCAAAGCGTTATGGAGTAGTAGCTGCCCGTTGTTTGGTGTGCCCTGCACCCAGTCGGACATTGATCATGCCTCAAGCCAGCACCAAGCTTCACCCCGCCCTACGCAATCCAGATCCCAAGGGACTGCCGCACTGGGCAAACCCCTTTTCTAGGGTGCAGCGTGCACCTCTTGAAGGTACCGGCTGCGCCGGGCACTTTGTGGGTCTCTCTCCCAAGATCGTGCAGTTGCTTCATTGCTTCCGCCGCATGCCACCTCTGCGTGGCTGATCAAGAATCGGATACTTCATCGATGTGCTTTTCCAAAAATGTGTAGTAGCGGTCTATTCTATCTGCACGCAATGCCCCCTGGGTGGAGGGGCCTATAGCCTGGCAGTTCACTGCGGGGGTTTTGCCTTGTCTACTTTGATGAGGGCCTGCTGCAGGGGACTTCCCCTGATATTCATTGCACGTCCCATTTCATAGAGGGGGCAACAGTTCTCGGGGAGCAAAAGCAGGAGGAAAGCCAGGAGATAGCAAATGTGGTGTCCTGGACATGTGTTTCATCTCACCTGGGATTGGTTAGGATCAGTCAGGATCGGTCCTTGTGAAAGTGCAGTAGTATCTGGTTTTCTGCTGACTGTTAATCTGCACATCCAAAATGGGAGCGGTCGGGCAGAACTGAAATTTTCTCAGGGCAGCTTTTGGGTAGGCTCTCGTATCCTTGTCTGCCTGTGATGGCCCCATTCCTTGAAAATTCCTTGTCTGTCAGTCAGCGCCTTAGGGGAGCCGGCCTGGGGTGGGGGGACGGGTCGGCTCTGGGCAGAAGAAAGTGTGAAATGTGGAGAAGTCCTGACCTGCCCATATGTGCGATGCCGGTGGTGCTCTTGTACTGCTTGCGCCCAAAGCAAGATTTGTGTGGTAGTTCTTTGGATGCGCAGCTTCGAGGAAGTGTGCTGGGGAACCCAGCATTGAAAAGGGAGTTCAAGGTGATGGTCTGTGCGGGGATCTTACATCAAGGCATGGTCAGTGGAAAGGCAGCAGGCGTGGCACAATGCTCAGAAGGGGCAAGGCTGCAAGCTAAATGGATCCAGCATTTGTTGTCGAACGAGGTTACCTTACCCAGGTGTGAGCGCCCTTTTTGCCAGCCTGTAGGATTACCAGACACCCAGCATTTGGCAGCACGAAGTGTGGGTTGTGCAGGCTCAGCGTCCCTTTGATTGCTTTTGGAAAGACTGTTGTGGTCTCCATCATTCTCACCCGCCCTTAGGTATGTCTTTTCCTTGGGACTGCCTGACTGGGAGCACCTGCGAGTAAGTTATGAGTAAGCCTTGGCGCGAAAGCTGACAGATCCCTCAAAACTTTCAGAAAGGTTGAGGAGCAGATGTGTGTCAAGAACGTGGGCATCTTCCTTGGAGGTTTCAATTGTGCAGTTGGCGGTTGCGAGTACTTGAGCCTGCTTAGATTTTGCTTTTTCCTTGTGTGGTACCTCTTTCCCTGGTGTGTGGCTGATCACGTTGGATTGACATCAGTGCAGACTTATTGCCGATGTCAGCAGCAACACCGCATCATGCGCATCAGTTTCCCCAGTAGAGTGAGAAGCGTGAATGGGTTGTCTGGACCAAGAAATTATGTAGGCCGGACTTTATAGATGGTGTTCTAGGCCATAGGCATGGGCCCATTTTTGCTCCTTTAATTGCAGTAGTGGTGAGGGCTGGCACCACTTTCCTTTTGTTTGTATGAATGCCACCTGGGAATCAACAAGCAGAACTTTCTACGCCTTGTGAGCAGTGCCTTGAGGTGAAAGGCTTGCCCATTTTGCAGCATAGCGGTGTGCCCCATTGAAGACTGTGACCAGCTGATTGTGTGATTGCTAGAATGATGCTGGATTCTTGTGCATCCTACCCTGTGCCTGCTACATCGCTGTGTGATGATGGCATGCCCTTACTCGTGCATTTGTTAAGCAATTGACTGTAGGTTTGTCATATATATTTGCGCGCTGAAGTGCACTTGGCCTGCCTGCTCCCATGCTTGGGTGCGTTCCCAAGCATGGGTGCGCTGTATGTACATGTTGCTGAACAGCGCTATTAGTGTGAGCAGATGTTGGTTGCTTATCGAGCAGACACCAAAGGCGCCAACCCCTGCGTGCATTCAATGTTTTGGCACTAAGGCAGTATCGATATCAGGCCGGCCACCTCAGATCGCATGCACATCCCATGTGTGATCATGGATTGTAGACCCGTCGTGACAATCTCCTACTCGATGCATCTATGGGATATAAGGCCTTGAATACGCAAGCAATGGCATCAGTGCATACCAGTCAGGATGTAGCTGATCGGTGCCCATGCATGCACACCGTCACGACACAGTGTACACTGTACACATGTGGCACAGCTCGGGTACCAGACCTGTAGCAGCTGTGTAGGCTTGACTCCCTTGTCTTTGTTCAGCCAGCTACACACTCCTGAGAAATCACCAACATCGATGTGATGATGAAGCTCTAGCCAGTCGCCGAGAGCAGTCATCATCAAGCTCCGCGATACCCACCAGGGACAGCTCAAAGAGGCAACTCCCCATGACAGTCCAGCTTGGCAAGCGGCGCGTCTTTGACATGCAGAAGTGTGCATGAAGAACAGTTGCTGAAGGTCCCAATCTGTGAGTTTGTTCAAGACACGATTAATAGGTCACCCTTTCGAGACAGCAACCACTGCAGTAGGACTCGCAGGTTGTATGAGGTAAGGTCCTGAAAGTCCAGATCGCAAAGGGCACTGTCAAGAAGCACTTCAAATTGTGTCAAGCTTCTTTTGGCGACGGATGTGTTATCAAATTATTTGCTTTTTGCAGTTCTAAGGAGGAGAAGCCTACACTTGCGTAAGTCCTCCTCCAACTGTGCACTGTGCAAACCAAACTGCAGAAGACCGTTTGGCGTTTGTAGTTGATTTGGGAATTGCTGGTATTTGTTACTTTTTGCATTGGTTCCAAGGAATGGTATTGTGGGGATGATCCGTGGCTTCCAATGTGTGACATTCTTCAACACAGACATCACAGTCACTCAAGAACGGAGTTTCAGCATGAGAGGGAGTATGCATGCTGCGGAGAGAAGTCCTTGGGACATATTAAATTCGATGCTGTACCGATCGTGGAAATCGCGCGAACAAAGCAGCAGCCCACTTATGTGCTGATGGTGGTGAGCCTTGACGTTTTGTGCTTATGTGGCTTGCAGCGGCGTGCAGATCAAGACCCGCAAACGTAACATCGCTGTAGCTCTCGACCCTGGATCTTTCGCTGACGCTGTAGTCACCATCTTCGAGGATGCCAAGGATGGTGACGATCTCGAGAAGAACCTTTCAGCTGGCGTGAAGGTTGTTGAGGGCACCCAGCTCGACTTCTCACGATACGGCGACACTCTTTTCGAGGTCTTCTTCGCTGGAGGCCGCCTTGCAGCAGGAGGAAATGTTGTTGAGGAGGGCAAGAAGCTGGACACCAATGTGAGCACCCCCATCTATCCAACCTGCAGAGCCCCTCTGCTACATCGCTGTGTCTTGCAATGCGTGCCATGCTACAAATTTCATGTTTTGAAAATCAACTGCCTGCTGTGGAGCTATAGCTGGTGTTGCTCGTTTCAGTCGCTCTGTTTTGCAGTCCAGAACTCATGCTCTCCGCTCGCATGCCACAGGTTCTGGCAGCGGAGGCGACGAAGGATGCGATTGTGCCCTACATGAAGATGTTCCAGATTCTGCTCAGGTGCTGCATCACGGAAACATTAAATTGTTTTGCATGCATTCATGCCTACAGGCCCACCCAGCCTCCAGGGAATTAGAGTAGTTTGCACGCAGGCGCTTTCTTAAGGGACCCCTAGTCAGTGAGTCATCTGTGAATGTGCTGTTGTTTCGAGTTCCATTGCCCCTTGATTTGCAGCTCGATTTGGATTTGGGCAGGCCATATCTCTTTGGCCCCGTTTTTTGAGGTGTTCCTCTAGATTGAGCGGACTTACCAGTGGCCTCCCTTTGCTGGGATTTCTTGCACAGCGGGAATTATGCCTATGTCGAGATGCATCGGCATTGCCCTGTGAGCTACCCTAAATGCTTGAGCATGTGTGTACACAGTAAATGACATGCGTCTGAGCGGCGGTGTGCATGCATGGCACAGGAAACGCCCATTCCTGATCAGGCCGCTGGAGAACACCCTCATCAAGCTGCTCAAATCCCTGGACTTCTACAATGACGAGGGGCGCATCAAAATCGCCATCGGTGCGCACATGATCCTGCTGTCTGATTGACAGCCCCATCGTGCCGCTTGCACATCCGCGTCACCCAAGCATGCAGCGGCGTGCGATGCATCTAGTCATCTTTCATTTCTCCTCATTATGACTGCCTGCTCACCTCTCTGCATGCCGCAACCATACATGCATGCCATGCAACGAGGCTGCACCCCCAGCTTCATGGCAAAATTCTGCGCTATTGCTGCATCATGAGGCTCACTTTTGCAAGTCATGACTACCTGCTAACATCTTTTTGCATGCATGCAGCGACGGCGCGCTGTTTTGCGATGAAGCTGGGGGTGCAGCCGGACCGGATCCTGCTGCCCATGCTGAACGACCGCATGGTGGCCAAGGGGCTCATCCTGCAGTACGCGACGGCCTTTTTCAGCGATTACCTTTCCACCGAGTCCGTCGATGACCTGGTGGCGCTGCTGCGCAAGGCGCGACTGGACGACCACTTGCTCGACCTCTTCCCTCCGCAGAAGCGCACGCTGAAGGACTTCGACGAGCATTTCAAGGTGGGTGCCCTAGTCCGCACGAAAGTAGTTTGGAAAGCAATGGGAGATCTTATTTGCCAAGACCAAAACAAAATCTTGAGAGTCAGCTGGCAAGAAGAGGAAGGGAGTGGTGGGCATTTTCATGTTGCACAAATGGTTGGCAGCTCTTGCCTGTTGCCAGTTGTCTACTGTGGCCGTCAGGCGGGTGCTCATTTTACCGGAGCTTCAGTCGTCGAGATGACACTGGTTATGTGTGCATAACAAGTGCATACCATGGCAATTTGTCAGTCACGGATTTGTGGAATTTAAGGCTATTGTTATGCACGCGCTGGTATACAGCCAAAAAAACCATTGCTTCTCGGGCTTCCGCCTCCTGCCTTAAGCAGGCGGTGCATGCACATTGTGGCGCAATATATATCAGTTGAAGGGGGTTCGCTCAGGTGCCTGATCAGGAATTCACCGCAAGAACCTGCAGAACCTGAGGTTGTGGCTGCTATGCGCAGGCGGCTGGGCTGAGCAAGCTGGTGGAGTACAACAAGAAGAAGGTGGAGGAGCTGCACCTGCAGGAGCTCAAGGCCAGCCTGGCCGAGACGATTGCGGCCGACCCGCCGCTGCCGCCGGCCGACGCCATAACCCTCGTTCAGGACAAGAAGAAGGAGTGGGCGCTCCCCGACCTCGAGATCTCCAAGGTGAGCTCTTCCACTTCTCCAGTGGAAATACAGATCTGCTCATCATGATCGTGTAATTGTGTGAAGGTTCAATAACCCGATTGTCAGCACTTAATTGCTGAAATGGTGCCGAAGCCGTGCTCATGATGCTGAGTCTACTGCCACTCGTTCTGTCAAGCATGTTGGGAGAGGACCCGACGGTGGTCAGCTTGGCTCAGTGTGCTGGACCAGTAATATTCCAATGGGGGTTTTGTGTCTAAGTAAAGCCAATCGCTGCGCGCCATGCGGGAAAGTTGATGTGACCTATTCCTTCTTGCTTGGTGAGTATGCAGACCATTCAGGGCGTTCGGACTTTCAAGAGTCTAGCCCAACTTGGACAGCTTGGCGCTCTTAACCTGCAGCCTTTCTTCTGAATGCTGATTTCCGTGTCCGACCGCATGGGCTGCTTCTGTGGGAAGGCGCTCTTCTCGAGCTTGGAAGTGAGGTGATCGCTGAGTCACCGCTGCTGCACGTGCGCGCAGATAGTGTGGACGGTGCTGATAGAGGCGGTGCCGACGACGGGCAAGAACGCGGCGCAGATCAAAGCGGCCGTCGCCAAGCAGGTCAAGGCTTACAAGGCGCTGCTGTCCACTTTCTGCTCCTCCGCGCGCGTGGAGGCCGCCCTGATGGTCCACGTGCAGGTGACTGCTGCTTGGACCTCCGGGCCGTGCTGAGTCATCATTCTGAGTGGTGATGTAAATGCCGGTGTGAAGTGACCAACAAAGAAGGATTTTTTGTCCTCCCCTTGTTGCAATGCAGCCCGTGCAGAGCGTGGGCGAGAGGTATCTTGTTGCCTTTAAACCCTTCGATTGTGACCTGGTTATTGCTATGCGGTCCCTTCGGTCCCTCCTTCATATTCCAGGTCTGGAAAGAAGAGGGGCAGATCTGGTCATGTTTGTGGTTGCTGAATGAAAACTGCAGAGCTCTATGCCCACATGGGAGGGCTTCCTCTGTATGCATTCTGAGACCTTTTCTTGTGCGGTAGTGAGTCATGGTCCATGAAGGGGTAGGATTTGTGGTAACCTTGACCTGCAGCATGTCTTCAGAAACACTACGCCTCTGGCGCTGACTGGCAAGGACAGCGTGTGATAAAAACGACAAATAACATGAGAAGGGGTGGCTGGGCTGTGGTGCAGGTTGGGTGCTACGAGGACAGCAAGCTGCTGAAGCTGTTCACGGACATCATCCGAATCCTGTATGACAATGACATCGTGGCAGAGGACACCATCATGTGGTGGGCCAAGAAGGGCGCGCACCCCAAGGTACACCCCACTATATCGATTCTCACGCTCTGCATGCACAACATTATATTTGGGCGGCTTGATGCATGCCCGGCCTCCGGCGCTACAAAGCTCCATAACAGCAGCTGTTGAAGAGGAGGCCTTGGATTGGTGTGTCTGGCAGCACCAAAGTGCGGCCGAGCCGCCGCTTGTCCTCTCCTGAGCCTTCCATCATCAAGCACACCTGTTTCGTCACAGTGCATGTCCCAATAATTACGCTGCACAGTGCTTGCCTCTTGTGATGACATGCCTTGTGCCTGTGGCCTCCGTAGCTGCGCCCCTATCCCAGAATAGTCCTTGCTTGGCTCGTCTACTCGGATGATTCACTGTGCAGATGCTCTGTTGTAGTGTGTCTCTTGCCTTCACAGAGGATAATGATGCAGACCAAAGCTTGCAGAGCCTACGGTGCAGGACAGTGCTGCGTCTGGCCTCAATCATCATTTTCATCAATAATATAACAATGCTGCCATGTTACAGGGCAAGAACGTGTTCCTGCGCGATGCTGAGCCCTTCATCAAGTGGCTGGAGGAGGCAGAAGAGGATGAAGACGAGGAGTGATTGCGCCTGATCAGGCCGCATTCAAATTTTGAAATCCGTGATGGATTTCACGTGATACCAATAGGTTGGCAGTGAAGGCCAGCTGGACGGGATCGTGCCAATAAGGTCCCTAGAGCCTCTGCTGTGTGCTGCAATGAAGCGTGTGCTAAACAATTGGCCGCTTCATTGGGGGTGGTGACTGGTACCTTGCTGGAAGGCTTGCCTCTTTGTTCTTTTGCAGGCCTGTCGTTTGCACAGGAGCAGTGTAGGCAGCATGCATCAATCTCTGCCGATGCTTTGTCGTGGGAAATGTCTGGGAGGTTCCCACTCCAGTGTATACAGTGACCTTAACCAACTGAGGGAAGTGTTGCGGAAGAATGTGAGTGTTTATGGATATCGCATTGGCAGCTTTGAGCCTTGCCGTGAGCAGACTGCATGCATGTTTGTCGAAACAGTATTACCTGCAGGCTGCGGCAATATGAAATGCCAGAACCGCTGAGACTCCCTTGCAGTGCCTCGACCATGTTTGTGATGTGCAAAATGCGCCTGTTGCGATTGCATCATGCAAGCTGCAATTTGCATGCATTGTTGGCGCCGGATAATGACCAGCATACTGGACATGGAGTGCATGCATGTGCAAATATCTGGTATGCATGTGGCGTGCTTTGAGAAGCTTCTGCCCTGAAGGGCAAACACCCAAGAGTTGCATTGATGCGATCATGTGAAACACGGATATGTTCATCTCCGCTACATCACATGTCGACATCTGCTTAAGCGGGGTCAGTGGAAGCTTCCACTGACGCCTAAGACCTTCTCCATGTACTGCACAAGAAAGCTCAGCCGCAAACTAGAGATGTGTGGCTGGCTCAGTGAAAACTCCCAATCTCTCACATTGTCTGGCCCGCTGCAGTGAGATGCTTCAGCTCAGCTAGCCGCACGCTGAAGCGAGCACCAACATGCCTACAAACAGTCTTCCGCTGCACAGCTCCTCTGTCTCTGAGAAGAAGTCCTTATTCCTCCTCATCAGCAGCCTCTTCGGCTGGAGCCCCTCCCTCTGTCTGCACTTCCAGTCCCCAGCGAGCAGGCCCAAAGGGGCCACCCATCTCCGCCTTCAGGTTGTCATAGGGGTATTCCTTGTCAACCTGCACAGCACAAATCGCCTCTGTCAGTCAGTAGTCAGTGTCAGTCAGTAGAGCACACACATGCAGACAAGAGGCTTGCGTAAGAACTCGCCAGCATGGCCACACCATAAAGGCTTAAAGCCTGGATCTGTGATCCTGCAGTGAACTTAACGCAGTGAAGTGAATGCAGGAGTCACGCAAGCATTAATTTGGGTGATGCCAAGTATTAGAACAGGCTAGATGGGCGCACGTAAGGCTTCTTTGATGCTTTGTCGTTGAACCTCGCCAGCTGTCCGAGCAGGAAGTAGAAGCCCAACCCTCCAAGCAGGAAGCCCAGCGCCTCGTACTGCAAACACATAGCTATATCAGCAGAGGTGCCCGGGCACACGGTTGGTAGACACACCACAGCTAACATTGAACAATCTCACGATTCAACAAACATATTTGCACACCTTGGGAACCAGGGGAAACTGGTCGAGGCAGTGCTCTGGCTGTGCAGAGCCATCGTCCCACAAAAGCTCATCGTGCTCAGGAAGCTGCATAGGCACATTAAAAAAATCATGACAGCTTCTGCGTGATATACAACAGAAATTGTACTTACTCTTGGAAGTTATGTCGACACTCCTTGACTAGCACAGTACGCAAAGTACAGAGAGCTGAAAAGTGCAGAGAAGAGCCAGGATACTCTTGAAGAATTAGTACATGGAGCTCTGCAATGTTCTCGGACACTTACAGCCTGATCGATCGCCCTGCCCATCTTGACAGGTCCTCCCCCCTCCCCTCGGACTGGCAAGACAGCCTTTGGAGCCATGACCCTTTGGGCCAGGAAACGCATATTGGCGAGGCGCCCCGCCATCGTCGATCCTAGACAAAATATTTGGGGAGTGCGATTTTTCTCTCAGCACACCCTCTGTATTGTACGACACCACCTTTTCTGGCCAAGATAGGTCTTGTCCAAATCACCAGTCCCTCCACTTTTGCTGCAGCGAATGTGCCTCAGACGTCAGTCACTCATCCCTCCCATGTCACCATGTATCACGAGGCAATCCCTCCTTGCACCATTCCAATCGCAGCAAGCATGGCACGATTTGCTTCAGGAGGTTAGTAATATTATTGCCAGGTGTGTTGACATCACGTGGATGGCAAGCTGTATTTCGGAAGTGTCGCATGTTGTGCACAGACTCAGAGTGTGCTTGATGCCTTCACATAAAGGATTATATAGCGCAGATGCACGTTGCTGCCCAGCGCTCACCTAGATTCTTCTTGTCCAAGGCGGGTACTGCTTACATCGCCTGGATGATCTTGACGATTTTAAGAAATTTATATGTTCGACTGAAATTGATCGTGTGAAAGGTTTTTCTCTCTGCAGCAGGTCCTTGGACCCAGGATCGTCCCTACAGAGTACCGGAGTCTCGTCATTTTTGGTGCTCAAAAGCTCACTACAAGGGCAGCGACGATGAATGGGAGAGATCACACAACGGAGTCTTTGAAAGTGGTGCGCATGCAACGCTCACACGTTCCCAAGAATCTCATAGCTCTCAATTCCCTGATCCAGTGCCACTGACAGACGTAGTCCCCACCAGAATTGAGTGATCTGAAAAGGACTGACCTCATGGGTGCAACCTGATGAGAATGGCAATGCTGCTTTCCCTTTTCTACACTTTCCTGAGAGGCCAAGTGAAGCGTCGATTGAGATCTGCTCCCCATTGCAGGCAGTCATTGGGGCAGGGGCAGCGGGGCTGGTGACAGCAAGGGAGCTGAGAAGGGAAGGCCATGAACCGGTCATTTTTGAGCAGGGCAGCAAAGTGGGCGGCGTGTGGGTGTACACCGACAAAGTGGAGGAACCCCATGGCGCATCAAGTGGGCACCAACTGGCCTGCCCTCTCTGCAAGTCACTGAATGCCTACACCACCCAAAAAAATAAGTGTTTTTCTTTGGTTTGAGATTGTTCAGCAACTTCTGCATTCTCGCTTGTGAGGTATTTCGTCAGACTAGCATGCTTTAGCTCTGCTGTGGGTCTCACAAGCCAGGAGTGCATTGCCCCGGCAGCCTTAGTGCTGCAAATTTCAGCATGCGCTGTTCTCTGCCAGTTCAGACCTCTCGTCTTGTGTGTATCCTGCAGGCCGAATAGGCGCGGCCGAGGAGCGCGTGCACAGCAGCATGTATGCTGGGCTGCGCACCAACCTGCCACGAGAAGTGATGTCATACACCGACTTCCCCTTCACCCGCTCCTGGGGTGATACTCGCCGATTCTGCGGCCACGCAGAGGTGCCTCCCTCAATCATCCCCTGGTCTGTCAAGATTGCGGCTCACTACCTCTCTAAATGTGCCTTTACAATACTACCTGATTGTACGCACTGAGGTCTCATGCAACAATCGCACCTGAAATTCTGATTCAAGAGTCCTGAGGCTATTGCAAATAAGCGCACCATGCAGCTGCAAGTCAATCAAGCCGTGAAATAAATATAAATGCGCATTGAGTGCTCAGGTGGAGGCTTATCTCGAGGCGTTTGCAGCGGCGTTTGATCTTGAGAAGTACATCCGCTTTAACACCCCTGTGCTAAGCTTGACACCCTGCGAGGCCGGCAGCCCTCCTCGAGCAAGACTTGGCTCGGACACTGCGCCCACAAATGGGCACCAGGCCGGCCATCAGAGGGAAGCCATGCCGGGTACGGAAGAGGATGGGAAAGGCCTGGTTGGACTGCCGAATGGACACGCTGCTGTTAATGGGACGTCAAACTCAAGAGAGCTCCCGTGGCCAAGATGGCGCATGACCACTGCACCCACTGGTGACCAAGTGAGCACACGTCACTTCCTATCGACCATCTTCCTCTTCAGCTGCTACACCATGTTTCATAACAGTAGGATACCTTGAAGGCTGGCCCATGCTTGCGCGTTCCATCTGCAGTTGCATGGCGCAACAATAGGCACAGTGCTGCGCACCAAGGGATCCCTTTCACGTGCATGCGTCCAACAAAAGATGTTGCATGCATGCAGGGTGATGTGTCCACATCCGGGGATGAAGTATTCGATGCTGTGATTGTCTGCAATGGACATTACAGCGATCCCCGGAGGCCGGACATCCCGGGGATGGCTGAATTCCCTGGGCGGCTGCTGCACAGTCACAGCTACCGGCGGAACGAGCCCTTCGAAGGGATGACAGTGGTGGTGATCGGCGCATCGGCCTCGGGGGAAGACATCAGCCGAGAAATAGCGCATGTCGCCGACAAGGTGAGTCATCCTTTACTATGAGGATTTGCCGGTGAACTGCCCAGAAGCCAATCAGCGCCAGCCGTTCTTCTTGGCATGAGGCTGTTCTCTATGTTGGTTGGTTTACTGACACATGTGTGCGACATCCAAGAGAGAAGCAGTGGCATTCAAACGGCAGTTTCCAGCCTTGTAGCTCTTCTTGGTGTTTGCACTCCCCGCACTGTGTTTTTCTTGTGGCCTCGTGTGCAACGAGCGCGCAGACACCAGAATGATGTTGCGTGACTGCAGTCATTGCCAGCATCTTTTTCACAGCAGGCAAGATTGGCTGAGTAAGTACAGGCTTGCAAACATTACCCTGCGTCTTTATACACCACTGCAGCTTGGCAGGTTGTACAACCAGCCAGAGAGATTGCATTCGTGTACAGTACAGCAGAGCGAGTGTCAGTGCAGGGAGAAAGTTCTGCCTTGCAGGCGTTGAAACTTTGTATGAACATCACAAGTACCTCCTGGCCCAAGAGCATCCCGGGTCAAATTGAATGCACATGAGTTACTTGTGGCTGAGTCACAGGGTGCCTATTCAGGTGTACCTCTGCGCGAGGAGCTGGCAGAACCCGGCGTGGGCGGCCGAGACGGTGGAGCCGTTTGGGGCCCGGCGCAATATCTGGCGGCGGGGCGTTCCCTCCCGCCTGCACCCAGACGGCGGCGTCACCTTCCAGGTTTCAAATTGACACGTGACAGCTCTGTACTCAAGAAAATCACTAATCCTCCGATTAATATTATACGGTAGAAGTGTCTAGGTTGTGGCCCCCCGGCGCATGCATCAGACAGCCTGAAGATCTCTAGGCAGCCCTGTGCAACCCCAAAAATATCAAAGCCTGATGTGTGCAGAGAAGACCTTAAGTTCATAGGGCAGTCTTGAAAGGGCAGGGCAGTTGTGCGCTGACTTGGTGACCTTCTTGGTTGACTAAGGAAGGCGACTGAAGGAATGTGAGTAAAAATGGTGAGTAACAAAGGTGACTTATGTCCAGGGTGGCAAAAGGGTGGATGCGGTTGATGTGGTCATGTTCGCCACCGGCTACTGCTACAGCTTCCCCTTCCTCGCCGACACACGAATTGACGGCGCCGAGATAGTCACCGTTGAGGACAATAGGTAAAGCGCTCTCTTTAAAAGAAAATCTTGTATTTGCTGCATGATAATAACCTGCGAGACGGCCCTTCCTCAGGAGGCTCTCAGTTTTGGCTCTAACTCTGGCCTTGATGGCTGCTTTTCTCTTTCTCTCAGCCCAAATCAATGCGTCCTCATCTCTCTGTTGCTCAATCTGGCGGTTGATCTCTTGTCATTGCCATGCATGCGGAAGTCTCCTACGCAAGCAAGGGCGCGGAAGGAACCCTTCTTTATTGGTATTACAAGACCCTTCTGTGCATGTTAAACTTTGTAGCGCTCATTCCCTGCGCGTGCATGGTAAGGTCTGCCTGTTTCTTCCGCATGTATCAAGGATATGCGCATCTTGACTGCACATCCATGCCGTTACAACAAGCTGCCTATTCGAAACAAGCCAGCGCCTGGTTTTGCACGCAGGGTCTCTCCGCTGTACAAGCACATATTCCCTCCATCAACCGCACCCACCCTCTCCTTCGTGGGCCTCCCCTGGAAGGTGGTCCCCTTTGCACAGTACGAGCTGCAGGCGAAATGGATTGCGCGCGTGCTGTCGGCTCGCGTCAGCCTGCCAGGTCAGCGGCACATGCTCGCTGACATCAGCGCCTTCTACGCTGACCTGGACAAAGAGGGCGTTCCAAAAAGGTGCGGGCATTCGATTTGATCCTGTGAATTGGTGACTGTGAACTTCTGCAACAGGAAAAATGAGAAGTGTTCCCTAAATGTCTCTTCCTTCCAGACACAGGTTGCCCTGTTGCCTGTTGATGTGCTAAGGAAACACCGCTGCTCTGGTGTACCAGGATCCAGTAGAGCAGACACTGGAGAGGTGCTTAGCCATCTTGGTCATGGCCCTTTTCTGTGCATTTGCACACCAGTGCTGTGTGCGCTTTGTCATGATGAGTGCACAGCGCTGTACTGCAAGGACATTGCATGCAGCAACGGCAAGACATATTTGCTCACGGGTCTGTCCTTTGGGTTTGAGGGGTGGCTCTACTGCATCACTTGGATCAGCGTCCTGGGCTGGGCGCTTCAGCACCTGCTGTGGCCTGTAGGCACATGCACCTGCTGGGGACAACTTGCTGCCTGTAACAGGTTCCCAGCCCTGCTGAGCAGTCTACAATTTTTATACTGTTTGTATTTTTTTGATAAGATAAAACCCATTTCCTCCCAAAAGTCAAGGTACGTCCTGCAGACAAGCTGCAGTTGGAGGCTGCCACAATCCTACCCCTCGTTGGACTCGCCAGACCCAAGCAAGACCCAATCAACCCTGGGCACGGTACTCAGTTTTATACCGCCCCCCGCCAGCCGGGGCACACTTTCTGATGTGTAAAAGAGTGTGAATGTGATTTTGTGGTCTGCAGGCACACGCACATGCTGGGGGACAAGCAATGGGAGTACAACGACTGGCTGGCTGCTGCTTGTGGGCCAGATGTGACACCACTGCCACAGTGGCGCCCAAAAATGTACAAGGTGGCAGGTGGGCCTCCGGGCTCCTGCTGCGTGCTTTACACGATAGGCCGCTGAATGATCAACCACCCAAAAGGATGCGCAGCTGCTTGGATGCGTTTCTCAAGGCAACTGCGTGAGCAAGGCTGCAGTAGAAGCAGGGCAAATGTCAGAGCATTGGCAGCCAAGGTTCCACAGGGGCATCATGCTGTTTTCATCTTCATGCAGTGGCTTGCTTTTTATATGGGGAAGGGAGTGCGCAACAAGCGCTGTGCTGCCTCGATTCAGTCCAGGTGTTGCATGGCGCGGTCAATTCGTTCTCCTGAATGGCGTTCCTTGTGTACGGTTCGCAGGTGACACAAAGCGTGCCGTTCCTGAGACATACAGGGACGTGTGGCCTGAAGCAGAGCTTTTGGCAGAGGCTGCAGCTGAAGCAAGCCGGCTCGGAGCGCCAGTAGAAATTCAAAATCAGATCGCCAAAACCACAGTGGTGTAAGTTTCTGGGAGGGGATACAGCGACAGCCTTTAAGAATTGAGTGGAAAGGGGGTAGCGATAGCATCTAGCCTGATTTGGGCTGAAGGATGTCACATCGTTTGTGCACTGCTGAGTCAGCAGTGTCAAAGGTGGGAATGGATATCTGCTTAGCTAGCTATAAACAGCATTGAGGGAAGTTCTGGTTGTGCTGGTGTGACATTGTTTACTCTTGACTCAGGCTGCCACGCCAGAATAGGGCGCCACAGCACTTGCCAGCACTGCAAACCATGCCATCAGTAATTCAGATCTGATATCATCGATGTGGCAAGCTGAAGCGCCTTCTGAAGAAATTTGCACTGCAGTGGTGGTGCTAGTTCCATGTGCAATCAGTGCATTCAGCTCAAACTTCCTAACCGTTGCGTAAAATCTAAGATAATGGGCCTCATGCCATGTTAATGTGGCTGCCACCCAGCAGGCCAGCTTCTTCTTGGCTCGTTCGTTGCATCCAAATTTACCCCAATTCGAAGCCTTCCACGTGCCACTCTCGAACGAAGGTCAAGTGCGCAGGACGACCAAGCAATCGTTGAAAAGCGCGAAAATATGTGCTTTATTCGGTAACGATCATTCACAAGCTTGCTGCAAATACTTGTGCTTGTGCTTTCGAGGGGGTGATAATAGTGATTACAGCTTAAAGTTGAAGCTTGTAAGGCTATCAAATTTCATCAAAGGGACCGAGAAATTCCTTTATAATAAGTTTCTACAGATGTCCCCTTGCCGTTGATCATGATCTATACGATACAATCCAACAGGGTACACTCACATATTTTAAGATGACGCACGCTATATTCAGCAAGGCTTTCAGGTCGATTGGAGACCAAGCATATTGCTCGACCTGGCATGTTGTGGCAATACTACAAGAGTGCATCTTCTGTACGCACAAGCAAAACAAACTTGTCTTGCAACCCTTGATTGATAATTAGCCATCAGCCAACAGCTAAATTTGCTGACATCTTGAGCATATCTAACATACTATGGCAGTATCACAGTGTGTGCAGCACTCATGGCTTCAAGTTGTGATATCAACCAGGTTGGCATATATGATGCGCGTTAGGTGCATCCTAGTGTTGAGCTGCAGGTACTATTCTTAGGATATGTCCATTTGCCACGCATGCCCAGTTGTGCGGCAATGGGATTGCCCCTGCGAATTGGATCATGTATTGCCAAGGTGTTTTCAGTGCTTCACTGCCAAGTGAGGTCAAGACCCTTAGCCATAGTCCAGGTCAGGGGTCGCTGCACCATTGCCGAAAGCCACATGGGCGCAGCCACGCAGAGGGCAAGGCACAATTATTCCGAGTCCCTGATTGGCCACCGAGATTTGGGCTAAAGTTTGCTGGAGATTGCGCTCAGCGAAACCCCAGTGAACAACTTGCTGTTTCGCAAGTTAATCGCGCAGCTGCAGCCTTCACGAGTGCTCAGGATGCAGACCATGAGCTTGACCAGCACTTTCTGCGGCTGCAGCACTGCATTCCGTGCCAGTTCTGGCAGGCAGTCCCAAAACAGGTTGCCATGCCTCGTGAAAGCCGAGGCTGCAGACACTCAGGTCTGATCCAGTCTGAGAATTATCATAGTTGTTTTCGCTGCATTTTGTTGGTGATCCTTGTCCCGGGTTGTTCGTTGCTCTGGCAGAGTACAGCTCTGCCAATCACAAGTGCCAGAGTCGTACTCGGCATGCTGCTGGCGGGCATAGCAATGAAAGGCTGTTATTCATTGCAACACTTTTTGCGCGGCTTGATTCTTCCAAAATATCTTGGTGGTGTAGCTCAAACATGTTCAGGGTCTTGTGCTGTTGAGACTTCGTACTCGATTGCAGCATGTCAGCTTCTATTAGCCCGGCACAGAGCAATTCACGAAGGGCATTGGCATCCAAGCGGCGTGGCGATCTTGATTTTAAGAGGAATCAATTCCATCTGTCCGGACAGATTCACATGCATAGGCCGACGTGCGCGTTGTGGGTGGTTGCAGGGTTCACGCCGAGGTGTCCTCTTTGGTCTGGCTGGAGCCTCTCTGCTCCTTTCAAAACCGCAGTCATCGCAAGCGGCTTTCGGAGAATCCGCATCAATCTTTAAGTCGAAGCCAACCAACACCACAGGTCTGCTCTCCTGCAACCTGAACGCATGCCTGTGAGCAAGTGCCATGCAAGTGCAGCAACGTCAGCTGGCATTCACGCTGACACAACGAGCTTCTTAAAAGAATATCTTAATGTATTGCGTGGTTTTTTCTGCGTCATGCCCTTCTCAACAAAGAGGCTTCTAGCCTGAAAATTCCTGTTGCTATCGATCTGCAGGCTTCATTCCTTACAGCGGCGAGGGCTTTGCTTTGCTGCTGCCCTCCAAGTGGAACCCCAGCAAGGAGCGGGAGGAGAGTGGCGTGGCTCTGAGGTGCACTAGATTGCTCGCCTGCAGCTGTTGCTCCAGTTACCCAGGGGATCTGTACTTGTGTGCGTGATGACAATCAGAGAGCTTCAGTGTGATTTAGCAGATCAGAGGGAATTTCCAAGTTCATTGAGCTGGGGATTGATGATGATGTCGATGAATCTATGCAGGTATGAGGACAACGGCGATAACTTGAACCATGTAAGCCTCCGCCTTTTGTTCTGCCATTGTTGCCACACTGTCACTTCCTGCTCACTTCCTGCTCACACCTAGTACTGTATATCCAGCCACCTGTGCTTAGGCCCAAACAAAGTACTCCTTTTTGTTGGAAGAACCTCTTCACAGCCATTCTCTAGATTGCTGAGGGAGCCTCTATTGCTCAGAACTTGCTAGCTGCTTGTCTGCACCCGCGCTTCGCAATAGGCAGGAACTGCATCCAATAGTAATAATACTGCGAAGAGAAGAAGGAATACAGCGGGTTAAACATGATGGTTCCTAGCGTTGTTGGTTTGCAGGTGACTGTCATCACGCGCAAGTCGGACAAGAGCTCCATTGACCAGTATGGAGCGCCGGACGAGTTCCTCAACTCCATCAAGAACCTGCTGGGCGAGCAAACCTTCAAGGGTACAGCCTCTCGCCCACCTCACCTTCTGCTGTGATTGCTCTTCCCTTTGTGACTCGCAGCTGCCAAATGGCTTGGGAGCCTGATCAAGCCACCCTTGCATGTGCATGTGGCAGCAAATAAGCATCAGCTGTCACTTCCACTAAGCATACTTGTACTGATGGGGTCTGTGATCTAAACGTGGAGCTCAACGCATGGGAATGCCTTTCAGCAGAGCATTCACTCCTGCCATCTGCTTGTTCCACATGCCTTCGTTGCCTCAGCCGTCTGGTATAATTCATTGTCGGTATTATTCATTATCGGGGGTAGTCTGTGGGTCAGAAAGAGTGACTGCTGGGTAGCTCCTTGAGGCAAGGATGGGACTATTGGCATCACACTCCACCTTGATTTAAGATCGAGCAATGGAAGGAACTGCATTTGAGCATGGCGTCACACTGTGCGCAGGCGAGACCATTTCTGAGGGCGGCTTTGCGAAGAACAAGGTATCGACTGCGGCGCTTCTGGACGTGCAGAAGGCCAAGGACTCCAAGGGCAAGACCTACTACAAATACGACATCCTCTCACGCTCAGGTACGCGCAGCAGACCGTACCTTCTGACCGCTTTACAGCATGCTTTTCCCAACTTGTATACCAAATTTCTAGCCATCATCAGAGTCCTGTTCTGTTGCAGAGTGAGCTCAAGCTCATCGAATCTCAGACTCCACAGCCCTGTGCATATCACCTACAACGTTGCATGAATATCACATGGTGCTAGGATCGGACAAGGTTAAAAGCTGCTTTGGTGTCTTTTTGACCCACTAAAAGAATCAGCTTATCACGTGTTCGGTCAAAAATGTCAGCGCACTAGCTGCATGAGCAGACGCCCCTGTTTTCCTAGAAGCTGGTGAGCTTCACTTGTCAAGTTGTCTTGCAGCAAAGCTGAACTCATTACTTGCTCGACAGCGTGCTGACAAATTGGGGGCCTGGTGGCTGCAGCTGATGGCAACGAGGGGGGCAAGCACAACCTGATCACCGCTGCCGTGGGCAATGGCACACTCTACATCTGCCAGGTAAGCCTCCCCGCCTTGGGCAAAGTTTGCAAAACTTTGACAATCGTCAGCCGTGATTGACGGCAGAGCAACTTTCACTGCAGACTAAGATGTGTAACGCGCGGTCTTAGAATCTGTGCAAGGCCTTCTGGCGGAGTGTCTGTCACATGTTTTAATCTGCGCTGGTTCCTTGCATTGTTGAGGTGCAAGACGAGCGTATGCTTTTACCTCTCCAGTGCAGACTTGGGGCTGTTGCTGTCCCCGATCGCAGCGCTTCACAGAGGTTGGCCTTGAAGCTCACGTGCTGTGTGTTTCCCAGGTGACCATTGGAGACAAGCGCTGGTTCAAGGGAGCCAACAAGGACGGCCAGGGCGTGTCTAACTCTTTTGTGGTGGCCTGAGGGAGCATTCTTCATATTGGCATTCCTTTTATGTACAGCGGGCTTGAAGAGCTGCAGACCTGTCACCCAAGAACATTTGTCTAGCTGTGAGTTATTCGATAGCCGCACCGGACAGGCTTGGGAGTGGAGGAAATGGTAAGACAGCAAGTTGAATATTTGAGAAGAATTTTGATCCTGTGCTGATTAAGCACTGCTGAGAAGGCTTCAGAGGGTTGATGGGTACTGATCTCATCGTTTGGCAGTATCGATGTGATCTGTAATGTAGCAATACTGCAGCTGGCTGGTCAACAATGTTCTGGAGATTTGCATGCGAGGCTGCAGATGTGCAGCAGCCGTATACATGTACGCAGGCAATGCTATGTTTCTTGTCACCTTGCCAGAGCTGCGCCCTCGGCCTGCCAAGCAGCAAGTGAAGATGCTGTGAAGGAGCAGGGATGAAAACTGGTCCAGCTGTACAGCTTTGCTGAGAGGTTTCTGCAGCTGCGAGGGTGGAGCTTCTTGGTGTTCATCAGGTTCTGCAGGGGCTTAGGTAACTGCAGCGCAAGCAGGGCGTGAAAGAGAGCTGAGCGAGTCTCATCTCTGGGATCCGCAGCAACCAAAGTCAGCAGCCAGGTGAGACAGAAGCATGCACTGCTTTGGCTTTCTGGATGTCTGCATGATGGTGAAGTTTTAGGAATTGGAAATTCTGCAGCAGGGCTAGCAGGATTGTCTCAGTGGCAGCTGGGGATTGTGGAGCTGCTGAGGGGGAGGCAGGTGCTGCAGCTCTGCATTAGGACAGCCCAAGATATTCAGCAGCCATCTTCATCTGACTTCAGCAATCGTCAGAGGCACCAGCTCGAGTTTACAGCAGCACCATCAATTGAGCAGCCAGGGAGGAGGGCAGTTCACATGGGAGTGGGAGATTGCAGTCCTTGCTGCAGCTGTACAGCCCAGCACTACAGGTCAGTCTAATGTGCTGTGAGATCAGCCTGAAGTAGTCTGCATGATCGACAGGAAGTGAAATGTGAATATTCGAGCTACTGCTCTGCATCTGAGCTGTCTGGGGATTTGTGTATAGTTCAACTCCCTTGCCCATGCTATCCACAATTTATCCTGGAAGATTGCAGGAAGTAGAGCTTTGTTGGGAGTTGTGCAGCGCAGAATTTGAGTTCTTTGCTCCTGCATCTCGCAGTTGGCTGGAGTTTTCGACCATTTTCTGCTTGTGCACGTAGGGAGTGCCTTCAATATGCAGACTATCTCCGCCAAACCCTTTGCTGTGGGCCAGGAGCTCAAGGTCAGGGCTCGCAGCACCGCTGTGTCCGCTGTCCGCAGCCCCGTGGTGGTCCGTGCTAGCCAGGACCAGGAGTCGGTGAGCTGGGCGATCTTCCGCTTGCTGTGATGCGGTGTCTGGACACGAGAGCTCTCGCTTGCAAGCCTCATCGGGGCCCTTCAAATGTTGCAATCGACTGTTTCTGTGCTCAGTCTCAGTCGCAGAGTGCAATCCGTGATGCGTTTGTGATTTTGGGAGTGCAGGCCGTCGCAAGGCGCGGAGTTCTTGCCGGTGTGGCAGGATCCATTGCACTGCTGTCCGGCGTGAGGCCGTCTGAGGCAGCTTTCGGCGAGGCTGCCAGGGTGAGCAAGAACTTCATACAATGCTTATGTTATTTATGCGGCTACTTGTCTAAATTGTCGTCGTGCTGCTGAATCGCAAGCCAGGAACTTTCGTTTGGACATGTGCTGAGCATGATCGTGATTGTTCCAGGTGTTTGGCTCCAAGGCGACCAACTCCACAGGTAAGCAATCACTGACTACAAGTGGAATATTTCCCTGCACGCTGCTGGAGATCTCTTGAGTTTCAGTGCACCCAAGAAGACACAAGGTCTGATAGTTGATGCCTGCAGCTGATCCCTGAACCTGAGCATTGCTGTCCTATGCCCACAGGTTTCGTGCCCTACAGCGGCGAGGGATTCGCACTCCTGCTGCCCTCCAAGTACAACCCCTCCAAGGAGAAGGAGTTCCCTGGCACACAGCTGAGGTGCTCACACCAATTTGACACATTCTGGTTCACTCCAAGCCTTGCGCATGTCCTGCAATGGTCTATTCCGTTTGCAAATCCTGGGCTGCGGGGAACTGAATTCTCACTGCACTCTGTCCAAGCCGCGATGCACCCCTTTGATCTGAATCTTCCCCTTGCACTGTCTGTTATGTGTGCGGCCTCGCTGGGTTGATAGGCTGAGGCATAGACCGAGCCAGGACTTTCTGTTTCAGGTTTTGTTTGGACTACTGTGCCAGCTATAGGCAATCCCTCAAATATGACAAGATAAACCCGGAAGGTATTTGAGCTCGTTGGGAGCAAGGAGGTCACGTACCCCTGCTTTGCGCAATAGGATGCCCATGTAGAGGTAACCTGAGGCCTTGAGAGACCCACAGCCGGCATTTCTGCAGAGGGTATTGATTCGTTTGTTGCAATGCAGGTACGAGGACAACGGAGATGCTGTCAACAGCATTGCAGTGATGGTGCGGTCGACCACCAAGAACTCCATCGAGGAGTACGGCACCCCCGACAAGTTCCTGGACGAGAACAAGAACCTGCTGGGCGCCCAGGTGTTCAAGGGTGCGCCTCCTCCCTCCAATGCATGCATGTGCAGGTCATTATCATTACTTAATCATTACACACTGCTCCTGCCGGAGGCAAGGTGCGTATGCAGACAAGCTGCAGTAAAGCCTGCCAATATCTCACCCCTTCATGGACTCGCCAGGCCCAAGCAATACCAAATCAATCGCGGGAACACTGCTCAGTATCTGTACCGCCTTGGGCCAGCTGGGGCGAGCATCTGCAGGTCATACACTGTGCAACATAGGCTCTTGCGTCAGGGACTCTGTGAGGAGCTCATTAGGCGAGGGATCACTGTGTATGTTGCTGCACGATGCTCGCATGCAAGGCAGCCCTTTCCAAAGCCTGGCGCTTTAAGACAATTTGGTGTTGTTGGGAGGTAGTGATAGCGTTTTGAATCCAAATATTCCCCAGTAGGAAAGTAGCACCCCACATGCGTTTGCCTCCATATGTGGATTCGTGGCTGTGGACTCCGTTCAACAGCAGTAACAATGGCTGTGCCTTCATGGCTGCACTTGTTCTTTGTCTTGGTCAGTGCACCATAGTACCGGGTTGCCTCACAACTGTGAATGTTAATCTCCAGATAGCTTGGAGCGTTGTAGCCTTCAACTAAGATTGCTGTCAGAGTCAGTCGGTAGGCCTGTGGGAGGGATGTCCGTGGGTAATCTGCAGCTTTCCCATGCACACTTATAAGGCAGCACATCACACTCTGCTGGATAGTGCTGCAGCAGTGCAGGACTAAATGCAAGCGCTGAGTGCCTCTGATGCTGGACGCAGGCGAGTCCCGGTCAGAGGGCGGCTTCGCACCCAACAAGGTGTCTGTTGCGTCCCTCTTGGACGTCCAGCAGGCCAAGGACAAGAAGGGCAAGACCTACTACAAGTATGAGATCCTCACCAGGACAGGTAACTTCCTCCTCCACCCTCAGCCTGCTCTGCCCATATAACTCGCTCGCACGCCCGCCCATATTGCTAACGTTGCTTCTACAGCAACTGGGTATGCCGATATGGTGTGCCAGCTGATGTGACTATGTTGACAAGGTACCGGTGTTGGCTGCCTGTGCTGCAGTTGTGATGCAGTATCACTCCGACCGGCTGATTTTGCCTGCACAGCGCTTCGGGCTGCATTTCAAAAAACACGCCTGGCTTTCTGTGATGTGCACTCTCTGATCCGCTTGGGTGGCGCTTCATTGCATTGCCAAATGTCGAGGCATGCATGTCTGCTGGATCAATGCCCGATGAGTGCTTCTGGCGCTCACATTGTTTCTGAAGTTCTTTTCAGCACTCAGGCTTGTTGGGTGCCAGGCCTCCCAGGTATCAAGCCAGAATGACGCAGTATTATCAAGCCTCGTTCCCTCTAAACTCAACGCGCTGACGAGTTCTCTGTCTGTGTTTGTACAGCTGACGGAGATGAGGGTGGTCGCCACCAGCTGATCACAGCCGCTGTGGGCAACGGAAACCTGTACATCCTCAAGGTGCAGGTTGGAGACAAGAGGTGGTTCAAGGGCGCTGACGCTGGTGCCAAGGGGACCTGGAACTCCTTCGTGGTGGCCTAAGCACGCCCTTCCTTTGAGTGCAGCCTCCAAATTCGGTGGCTGGTGCTTTGTGGGGAGAGGAATCCGCAGGTCAATCAGCCGCTGTCCACTTACTGCCAGCATTTGAAGGCAGCCTTTGCAAGCTTGCTCTGAGGTGCTGGATGGTAGACATAAGTCACTGCAGCGCAAAATGGGGATGAAATCATTGAGAAGATCATTGGAGGCAGATTTGGGAGATTTTGGGAGGAATAAGTTGAAGCCCAGTTCTGTGCCTTGCCTGTGATGTCAGCAGCCACTTGCGTAGGATGCAAGACATGACGCGATTCAGCGCAGTTGAGAAGAGAAATGTCCCGCCAGAACTGCTGTCGACACTGTAAGACATCTTTCTTGCAACTGGACCTGAGATAATCAGGATTCTCAGAAGCCCAGTCACACCATAACGTATTGGCATTGATGCCTCATTTCTAAGACATGCACAAACTACGATCGTCACTTACAAGAGGCATTAGAACACGCTTGGAACAGTCAAGACTGGCATTGATGATACCCAGCACAGCACTTAGCGGCACATGTATGTTTCGCTTGGAGACAACAAGTCTTCACATGCTTTGTTGCAACAAGCCAATTCTTGTCTGGGCATGCATCCACAGAGGCAAAAATCAATCGTCGTCCCCAAAGACAAGCTTGGTGCCCTGTGACGGCGCCATGAGCCCGCCCCTGTCAGCCATTGCCTTCTTGGCAGCCCACGATGGGTGCAGCTGCTCTTGCTCCTTTGCCCCGGATGTCACCTTACCCTGCTGCAACACAGCACATTGCCTCAGATTTCGAACACAGCTCTAGAGCTCCTGCATGTGCAGATCTACACATACGCGAGACTTCAGAAAACATGCATCGATTGCAATGACCACTGTGAATAGGATGAGGGCACAAGCTTCAGAAGCAAAGTCCATGCAGAACTCAGCATATCTCAGAGCTGGCTTCCCTTCCGGCAAACTTACTAGGGCCTTCTGCGCTCAGAAGACTCCTGTAGTCGGCACAAGAGACTGCCACTGAAATACTTGCCTTGGGCTGCTGGGATGTGCTGGTGGGCTTCTTGCTGAGTTGGTCAGTCTTGAACCCAGCAGGCGGGTGCCGCTGCTGAGCTACTGTGACACCTGGCCTGCCCACCTGCCCAGTGGGCTGCCCAAGCTGTGGGCGCGGTCCTGGCCGAGCACCCTGCATACCGGTAGTCCATACTGTGACACGAGTAAAGAACAGCCAATCGAGAATGACCTTGCATTGACCTTGCCTCTGGCGCACAGTCTAAGATGACCTCAAGTCTGCACTGATGTTTGCCCAGGAAGGCTCCAGCAAGAAGGCAGAGCGACAGGGATACCGTTCAAAATGCTCAAAGGAGGGCTCTAGTAGAGGCTGAATGGCACAGTGCTTACAGAGCCCCATCTGCTGATGCAACCCTGTTGTTAGGCAGCCTTCGCAACAAATGCACGCGCCTGAAACAAAGAGTACACGACTTTGATATTTGAAAATCGGGTCGTGCATGTGCTGACCTGTGTGGCAGGAACGCCACCTGGCGGAGCCTCAGCCAGAAGCTTCCTCGCTCGCTGCCCCAAGCGGTTCTTTTTCTTCTTGGGCGGCGGCTTTGGCTGCTTCTTCGGCCCCGTGGAAGCTTCCCCGCCACCTTCCAGCAGCTTCCTGCGCTTCGCTGCTGTCCTCTCCTCCCCATCCTGCAACATTGCTCACAGTGCTTGTGACGCCACAGCCAACATCTCAATTGTGCCTGAAAGAGCATTTGATTTAATGAGGGTATGAAACTCAAATCAGCAGCTGGAAAATTCACACCCTTCTCAGAACAGGGCACACGAGCAAGGAATGCGTTCAGTGTCTGGTTTCCACATGACTGTCAGGATGCCTGCAATACATTTCAGACACCTGGAGCACACCTCGGAGACTTCACCATTGCTGGAAGAGGGCGCCTCAGGCGTGTCACTCACAGAAGCAGCGTGTCCAGAGCTGCGCCCCCAGCACAACCGAGCTGAATAATCTTACGCAGTCAGCAATGAAGCAGCATGCAAAAGCTACCAATCAATTATCATGCAGGCAAGTTGATACGCCAGATCACACCACGACAATAGGGATCCTCATGTGATCGCCATTGAGCAGTGTCAAAATGCCATGGCAAGGCCCCACGAAGTTGTGACAATGGGTGCAAGATGAAATTGCAAACCTGGCAAGCTCTGGCGTGCCATCTGAGGCGCCCGACCCTGGCGCGAGGTCAGGCGCGGCCGCCGGCAGCTCGGCAGCCGCCGCCGGCTGCCGCGCACCTGCCTCCAGGCGCGCCAGCGCCTGCCATGCAGCCGCCAGGGTCTCCTGCACGCACTTGGCCGACAGAATGCGCGCCCTCACCAGCATCACTGCTTGCGCTTCCTGCAGGCAAACATCAAAGGCCTCGTATCCATCGAAGTTGCCTCAAGTTGTTAATAAAGCTCGCAGGTGCCTCGCAGAATGAAGTGCGCTTTAAGAATGCTTGGGCCACGCATCATGGCCGCTCCTTTGCTGATGCTGCTGATTGACACTGCAGCAGCAACAGCAGCGCAGGGCTACAAATTTGGAAGCCTGAAGGGTGCTGCAGACACTACCTGCTGTTCTGGCTTGCTGTCTTCAACATTCACGCTCGTCCCTTTCACCAGGCTTCCCGCCGCCTGCGTCGCAGTCACTAGCAATGAAAATTCCACAAGCAAAGGCAACTCGAGTGCTTTGACAAAGGAGCTCTTCAAGAGCCAGCATGTGGCATCTGAAGGGTTCTGACCTCTTTGGTGAGACCATCAAGACCAATTGCTTTGACAGCTTCCAGCTGGTCCTGCAGCTTCTGCACAGCTGCCGCCTGGCCGCCAATTGTGCCTCCATCTTTATCCTGGCTCTCCCGCGCATGCTTCAGGCGGCGTGAGACCTTCCTGATCTCAAACTCCTTGGCCTTCTTGATAGCCTGCGTTGCGACAGCCGTGTAGCTGAATCCAGGCCCCTCATGCATGCTCTGTGGAGGAGAAAAGAAAGCCAATGGAGCATTCCAAAGGGGCATGATTTGCGCATGGCTGTCACATACATCTGGCCTCCCCAAAGTGGAGGCTCTCACCTTGTGCAGTTGCTTTTGGTAGTGGTAAAGCTTCTGCTGTCTCGCTTTCGCCTGATCTTCTTCTTTGATATCCTTTAGTTTGCCCTTGCCCTTACGGTTCTGCATTCATTCGATCGAGTACGGCTCAGTACAACAGAGCATAAAATACATGCCAGTGCAAACGTCTGAAGTGGCTAGGCAGCTTTCTGTACCTTGTAAGGAGGACGCTTGCCCATGCAGGGATCGACAATTGAAGCTACATTCCTTAAATGTATCAATTCACTGGTACTTTCACTCACGATCAATACAATCTTTTAGATCAGAAGGCTGCTCAGGCCAACGATCCAAGAATGACCAAGCACAAAAAAGCTCACCAATACCCACAGATATGTCTAAAATTAATGTATTTGGAAGAACCGGTCTTTACGTGACCTCCGTTTGTGGGAATATGCTGTAAACACCATATCTTCCGAGGTCGGTCCCATACACGCAAGGTTCACGCGATGTTCAGGGCCAGCCTTTCCAATGCGAAAGCCAATACTGGCATCACATGCGGTGCACTGCAACTTTCCTGGCTCCCAGAACATTCCACTTACAACAGAGATAGACGAAGCGAAATCAGAACCTGTTCAGCCATCTTGATCTCCTCGCCATTTCGATGTATTAATTTCAAGACATCTGGTGCTTAGCATCGAGCATGCTTATGTTCTCTAGTCGCAAGGGATAAGGATTCTGGCGAATTGAATGAGACAGACATGTCTCATTTAAACAACTATTTTGCCTCCTATATCGGTCGCGAATAAACAGGAGATCTGTGAAGTATTCGGCGGATCTGACACAGCAATGATGGAATACATGAAAATCTTCCTGGCTATCATCCTGAGCAGGATTACATTGTGTTTGACACCCTCTTAAAATGAATAGTTTGCTGGGAATGCACATCTGAAGTGCATATACCGCAGCATGGAAAGCGACAGTGAAGGCGATGGGGAGGACCGTGGTGGTAGCTTGGTGGGGTTCCTCTTCGGCAATGTGGATAGAGACATGCAGCTGGAGGATGACTACATGGATGAGGTCAGTTGTGCAGATCCTGACCTGCCAACTGCCTTCATTGCTTGGTATTCAGCGCACAATGGCTTTGACACTTCGTTAGGCATATGAGACGGATGAGACATCTGCTAGTTGCATTGAGCTCACTGCATCTGCATAAATGCAGGATGCGCGGGAGGCGCTGTTTGCTCTGGGCGATGAGAAGCTTGGCGGAGATGTCCTGACGCTGCAGGTGTGGTCATGCTTTCGATGCGTACATGCCTATCATCTGATCAGATCACGCAGCAGATGCAGCAGTTGATCATCATATGGAAGAGATCAGATGCACGGATGCCACAGCCTTTGTAGACAGCCTCTATGCTCCGTAATCCGGGGTGCTCCCTGGCAGGCTCAGCACCTGGAGGCCTCGTCAGTAGACCTGCTAAAACTTCGATCATGCCTGCCCTTGTTTCAGGGAGATGCTGGCAAGGGCGGAGAAGCCAGCACCAGGGACAGCTACGGGGGGAAGGATGAGGATGCAAAGAATTACAGCGATGAGGAAGAGATGGCAGAGGATGTCAGTGCTCCCGCTCCGCAGCCGGCCAAACCCCTCCCCGGGTGAGCACCCTCTGACCTTGCATTCTTTGCATGCAGCAAATGTTCGGTGGTTTAGCATGCCAGTTTGCTACAGGAAAGAGCAGTGTATTCCGGGTATGAGCTCTCCGGCAAATCCGTTCGGTGGCTGCAGTGACAAGCTGCAGCAAATGCCGGCGAGCAGCTTCCAGTTGTAAGGCTGATGAAAAGGTCTTTGGACTGGGCGTTTTGCGCTGCAGTTCTCCCCTTGCCAGTGTCTTTTACTCTCATTGTATAGAGTGTGACATTCATGTTCTGCCCTTGCACAGGCTGCAGCTTCCGTTCGCAGGTCAGCTGCCCCCGGCGCCGGCCGTAGAGGAGGATGACTACGACGATGACGTGGACGCGGCCCTGGCACCCATCCTGCAGTTCCCTGTGCCGTCGGCCGCAGCTGCAGTGTCGGCTGCCGCAGCCGCGACCACATCTACATTGGCTGCTGCACCTCTGCCCGTTGCGGCACCTGCACCCGTAATGGCACCGGCCAGTGCCGTAGTTCCGGAATCGGCGGCGGCTGCGGCGACGGCCGCCCCCGGATTCGGCACTCTGCCGCTGCTCGGGCTGACTCCTCCGAGCCTGCCTCCGCTGCAGGTGTGCGCTGAGCGGCCCGGTCTCCTATGTTTTCTTGGAAATCTCAGATGTACATTTACTTTATTGTAAAAACCTGCACAATCTTGAAGGTGGCTGCCCGGCTCAGAATTGCCATTTCAGATTTTTGCAATGTTGGCTCACTGGGCAGAGAGTGGCATTGATCTTGTCGGGCGCTTCAGAACAAAGGCGAGGCACAGCATCTTGCAAAGAACTTGTCATGTCAAGCATGCAAGTCAACAGAGAGGACTGTGACGGTGTAGCTTCAGCATATGCAGTGCATGCTGTAGGGTACCGCTCCCGTGCAGCCCCTAGTAACGGCCGCCGACCTCCCACGCCTCTTCTCTCTGACTGAAGACGACGGGCCTCTGCAGCCTGCTTCGGTTGCTGCGCCTGCCAAGACTGGCAGCGCGCTGATTGCTCAGCTGGAAAAGGCCAAAGAAGGTGGGTCTCTCACTTGCACAGTTGCCTGCATGCAAACCTGCGTGTTGCTGATGAAGCTCTTGTGTACCTGCAAGTGATCCAGGGAGAGTATGCAAGCCAGGACCTTGAGGCACTCGAATTCATGCGTGAGCTGCAAGGATGTATATCCTTGTCTGCGTACCATGGAATGCAGCATGCCTAGGAGCTAAACAAGGCAGGACATCGTCAAAAGATGAGATTAAAATTTGTGACGGAATGACAATCTATGTGCTGGGGTTATAGCGGGGGTGGAATTGCCAGTTTTGGCGGATCTCGGCTCAACTGCAGTGCTGCGCTATTCGGAGCTCTTTGGCGGTGATAAAGAAGAGAAACCGCAGCAGGCACGCCTGCGAACGGAGCGCAAGCCGCGCCAAGAAAGGCAACCGAGTGAGTCATTCTTATCACCTCGCATTAGCTCTTGATTCTGTGCTAACGCTGTCATTCGGGATTTAGAAGAGCATGGCAGAAACCCTTTGTGGCCCAAGCATGCCCAATAACGGCATCTTGCTGACTCAGAGAATCAATTTTTGCCATATCTGTCTCTGGCTCTGATTGTTTCTGGAGTAAGTTGGTGTCTTGATTGTACTTGGGATTGAGATAGCTGTAACGAGTGCTTTGCCTTAGGGGGCGGGTGTTCAAATTGGCCAATCGTAGGGTGGAAAAGCATTTGATTGGAAGCGCAAGGCACCGACATTGATAGGTAGTATGCTATTGAATAACATCCGTTCTGTTCTTCTATTGTTGAGCGCAGGGAATCCATGCATGCCCAGGCAAGGCATTTGCTGAATCAAGAAGCAATCCTTGCCGAATTTTCTCTGAGTTGTGAAGGTGCCTTGGTTGTGTGCATAGATATTATATAGTAGGTAGAGAGTGCTATGATGTGAACACTGAGCGCAGGTATTGCCGCCATTTATAAAAACGAGGCGGCGTCAGATGACGAGGCGGCGCTGTTGTTTGCTGAGGAAGCTGCCGAGCACGAGGCAGACGTGTGGGCGTCAGACGGCGATGACGAGGCAGGGCCATCGGACCAGGAAGCAGAGGAAGGGGAGGAGGAGGAGGGAACAGCACAGGCTGCAGACGAGCCCGGGCGGCAGGGGAGAATCCCGCTCCCCGAGGATGAAGCGCCAAGCACCAAGCCTCCGCCTGGGAGACGAAGGCATGCATCCCCTCCACTAAAAGTTACAGACATGCCAAGCGCCCACACGAAATTCTCCTTGCAGCAACTTGCATTTGTTCACCTTCTTGGAGTGAGATCCTACATGTGATGAGCAGGCAAATGAAAATATGCTCTGGTTCACCAGGGCATGGATCACCAGTCTGGCATGCACATCATCCGACATTGTTCAGCCTGATACATGTTAGGACACGACTAAGTCATGCATTGTAATAAAACTTGTACTTTGTGATTTGTGTTGTCATTAGCATGTGCATGAGTTGTGGCACTGCTTGGGTCACAGGCAGAAGAGGGTGCAGGGAGGGGACCCGCTGCTGTCAGAGAGGGATGCAAAATCAGGCTGGGTGGACCCAGGGGATGCCGTCGCATCCCTGCCCCAGGCCTGCTTCGAGCCGGTGTGCCTCTTGCTCCGCACCCTATTTGCCTTCACTGCCAGAAATGCAGCCTCAAGACAACGTGGCACATTTTCTAATGCAGCAGAGGCTTGTTTTGGCCCAAACATGGCGGACACTTTTACAGCCACGGTCATACAAAGCCGTGAATATGTGACATAAGGCGCTCTGTTGGCCTCTTCAGAGTGACATATCCTCTCTGAAGACATTGAAACACAATCTGTGATGGTGCTTCTCACTTTCGAATACTGTCCAGCCAAAAACATGTGTATCAAGTCCTTCAAGTGGTACTTACGTGAGTCATTACACGAAGACTTACAAATGATTGCATAATCGCAGGTGTGCCAGCTGGACTGGGAGCGCAGCATTGCATGGGAGGCCAATGCAGCAGAGCACAGTACGGACAGCGCAGGTGCGCACATGACACGGCTTAGCCTTGAGGAAGAAGAAGAAGAAGAAGATACACATGACGCTGCAGAGGTCCTGAGCGCCGGTGAGATTAACCTCACACTGCTTGACTAGATAATAACAACCCATGCGCACTTTCTACAACGAGACACCCTGCATGCTCCAGCGGGTACAAAGACTGCGGCCCATCGGCATGAAGAGCTGAAAATGTCCTGCAGACCTGGTGTCTCAGCAGTATCCTTCATGGAGAGATGTTGACAAGCTTGGACCTCCATGCAGACCGCTTGCCAGTGTCTCTCACCAGTCGAGCATGGCGGTCTTGACAGGCTTCTCCTGTGCCTTGCAGCAGTGAGCCCGGCGCCTCAGCCCACACCGCCCGAGGCCAATTGCCACAAACCCATGCAGGTGGACGAGCTGGCAGCAGCCTCTAACTCAGCCGCTCCAAATGCGCTAGTCCCTGCAGATGCCGCTGCACATGCTGCGCTGCCGATTGGGGCTGCAGTAGCGGTGCCAGAACAGGCGCTCGTGCAACAGACATCCATGCCAAAACAGGCACCGGAACAGAAACGGGTAAATGTCATTCCAATCAATGTCTTGCTGCCAAATGTCATTCATACCAGTTTAAATGTAGCCCCAAGAGAGAGTCCGAAATTTGCTAGCTGTTTTGGGTGCCTGCTGCCATGTGTATCCTTTCTACTTCATCCCTGGGTTTTCATACAGCTTCATCAATTTCAGCCACTCACACACACAAGCAATGTTGTAGTGCCATGTGAAATGGCGCATGCACTAAGAGGCGCCAGAGGCTTTGATCCCAATCGTGTGTTTCTGCCAATACAGGCGCTGGTGGCAAAAGAGGTGGCTGTGCCTAAAGAGGCACCGGAAGAGGAGTGGTTTGGGCTGGATCCGGATCTGCTGATCGAGCCACTGTCTGTTGCAGAGGTCTCCAGCAGAGGTAAGCAGACAAGCGCCACTTGCAAACTGGTCGTCCTCTGAGATTGTCCGCTTGTTTGCATCACTTGCTGCAAGCTTACTCCGATGGTGCAGATTGCACGGCAGGGGTAACTTGTGAGTCTTTGTATTGGCGTGGGCTGTCTGGTGGCGTAGGCAACCAAAGCGCAGCACATCAATAGTGACAATGCTGCGCTAATTTCTTTGATGGATTCTCTGCATGCTAAGCTCGATCTCCTGGCATGCAGAGCACAAGCAAATGGTGCACCACCAGATGTTGCGGCTGGAGGCATCTCTGGCAGAGGCGGCTGGAAATGCAGCAGCAGCTGCAGAGCCAGCGTCGGCAGGAGAGGCGGCAGCTGTACTCCTTCAGCCAGGCACTGCTGCCAGTCTGGCAGAGCTTGCCACTGTGTGGGTGAGCTCCCTGTGCCAATACCTCGTCAGAGTGCCACAACACTGCAGTAGTCATTCTAAAACCCGCACCGTTGGTTGTGGGGAAAACTATTCATGGCAACATGTAAGGGTGTTCCTGACTCCAAAATCATTAAGGTCATGCTCCATTGGATTGGGCTAGTTGAGAGCTTTCCGAATCTGGTCTCAAAGTCATCATAGGTTCTATATTTTGGGAGTAGGGTCTTATTTATCCACCCTCTTTGGCCGAAACTAATAATTTATTGCGGGCTTTTGAATGACTACTACAGTATTATGCTGTGCGCACAAGTTTGGCAGCATGAGTGGCCGCAAAAGAGACGCTGGTGCAAAAAGCAGAGAAAGCGGGTTCCATGTCTGTCAACCTTGCTAATGCAGCTCAAGGCAATGACGGTTGTCATTTCGCTTGCTGCCTTTTCCATGCCAGGGAGCACATGCTGTAGTAAAAGACAGACAGAGCATGGTCCATGTCTCCTGATCTTCCAAAGGCGCCTGGGAGCAATGAGACTCTAATGAAAATTGATTGCGTCAGTTGCCTCGGGAATACCAGAAGACATGCGGGGCCTGCTACTTGTCACATCACTGTCAAGCCTGCTCCTATTGAACCTCACTATTGCTGCAACGTGCAAACCTCCTGACAGCGAAATGTCACGTTGCAATGCAGGCGCGGCAGGCGACGATCCCCAACAGGCGGCTGCAGGGGGGCGACTGGCTGGCTGACGTGGCATGGGACGCTGACGAGGCGCGCCAGATCAGGCAGCCCCTCCTGCTAGATGTGAATGACCCCAACCTCATCTTCGAGCTGCGCCGCGGAACCGACCTGGCAGCCTATGCCAACGCTGCCGCCACGATTCTACCGCCGCGGCCCAAGGTGAATTCATTGCTTCCAACACACACACACACACACACAGTCTAGCAAAAAGAGTAGCAATGTAGCAAGAAAGGAGCAAGACACAAAAACCGACCCAGCCCACGGGAGTGATTGAGACTTCCATGCTAGTCGCCCTACAAGATCTGCACAAAATATGGCATCCATACCTGGGCTTGTAACATGCGTGTGCTTGGCAGCGCGGCAGTGATTGTTTTGCTGTAACGCTTCAAGGTGAAGGCTGTGACTGTTTGCGGGACGTTGAGTGGCTCTGCCGGCTGTGTTGGGTGCTCGCTGCGCAGCCTCAGCAGGGAACATGCCGGCCATAAAGTCACAGGCTCCTTCTCCCATCATTGGAGCCTGGCGCACCATCAGAAAAATGTCTTGTTGTCTTCTGTTAGCCAGACTAGTCTTTCTGAACCCGGAGATGCGTGTCTGGCAAGATCTCAAGTTGCCTGCTTATGGTGTCAAAGATGTCATCATAGTGTCAACTAGCTCAGGCGCTGACCGGTGTACTGCAATATTTTCTGGGCGCTAGGCATGCCTCAAGCATTACAAGGGGCTCCTCTCTTTGCGCAGCAAGCATACATACTCAAGTCCCAGCCGCAGTTGTCAATGCCAAGCGGCCTTACAAGGACTGCAAAGCCGCCTTATCGGAGGGTGCTTTCTCTGACAGCGAGGAAATATGAACATATCTGTGTCCTTTCTGACAGCAAGGAAATATGACAACGGGTGAACGTGAGTATTGTGTGTCTTTTCTGACCGTGAGGAATATGACAACCGGTTCACATGAACATTTTTGTGGCGCAGGTGGCGCCTGTTCTGGCAACTGTGGTAGGCTCTGGCGAGGGCGCTCGGCTGCTGGCTCGCTATAATGTGAGTAAGGACGCAGCCTACAGCGCAGGAGCACGCAAGAAGGGGGAGCGCGTCCAAATACAGGTTGATTTTCTTCCTCTCGGCTTTTCCCTTGTGCACTTTCTGGGCATTTTCCTTCATTTCCTTCCTGCAACTTCACCACAAGAGCTGACCTCCTCCTGGAGGAGGAGGTCAGCTCTTCTCCTGCTGCTTGTTGCTCTCTGGAAGATGTATTTAGTCTTGTGCCGCCTTACTTGTGGAATGTGCAATGGCCAGTTCGCCCAAACCTGGTACTGTAGTAGAGGGGCACTGTTCACCAATCAATATACTCGCTAATGCCAACTAGAAGTGATGACCTCCTGTGGCTACTGCTCCTCACATGACAGATGGTGGCCGACTGTTTTTGACCATCATTCCGGTCGGTAAGCCCAAAGCCAGAAGCCCGTAGGGCATACATGCAGGGCGCCTGCAGTCTCATCTGCGGGGCCCACAGAAGTCTGCAGCTACTGTTCACAGTGGGAACGATCAGAATGTTTGCAATGTGTGACGGCGTATGGGGTGTTGTTTGCAGCTGTGCAAGCATGCGAGGCCGGCTCTGTTACTACCAGCGCTGCGCCTCACAGGACTGATGGTGATCGCCATTGCATACCTGGGGTACTACCCAAATATTTGCAGTACCTGATGACTTGAGTGTTTGCATTGCAGCTCTGCAAGCATGCAAGGCCGGCTCTCGCGCTGTCAACGCTGCCCATACAGCAGCCGAATCGCCATGACGTAATGCACCGCCCAGTCAGCACCTTCCTGCCGGCTCCCGCCCCCGTCCAGATCAAGTTCAAAGTCAGCGGGGAAGGTGCGGCTTGTGTCACTCTCTGCACTTTTGAATCTGATACATACCCGGATGTCTTTATAGTCAGAAAATTTCCTTCTGGGTTGAGCAGACTTTCAATGCCGGTGGAAGTACGTACCCATAAGCATGTCATCCTGTCATGCTTGACTTGAGGAAATGGAGGGCTAGGTCAAACCTGAACTTGAAGTTCGGAAGAGGTCGGCAAGGTGCAGAAGAGACCTTGTGCTTGACTGACCCAAGAGCAGAAACTCTTTCGTGCAGTTGCCGATCTCTTCTGGATCTCTTCTGGAATCTCTTGGGAGTCATGTTTTACTGATCAGGCCCTGGGACTGCTTTCCTCTTGAGCCTCGAGCTCTGATCCTAGCGCATGCATTCACAATGGCAGGTGATCCGCATGAGTTGTTGATTGATTTCAAATCAAGAATACTGTAGTAGTCATTCTAAAATCCGCACCCGAGGCGGTGCGGGAAAATTTTCAGAGCAGCTTTAAGGGGTCTTCCTGACTTCATATACACCAGGGTCATGCTCCATTGGATTGGGCTGGGCTTGCTGAGAGCTTTCCGAATCTGGTCTAAAAATTATTACAGATTTTAACATTCGGGAGATAGGGTCTTTTCAATCCACCCTTTTTGGCCAAAAATAATTATTTTTCGCGGGTTTCAGGATGACTACTACAGTAACACCTTGAAAATGTGCGTGTGCAGTGGAGCGGAGTACGGTGAAGCTGGCCAGCGTGCATCAGTCGCTGGTGCAGAGCTTTAGAGACATCAGCCTCGATGAGGTCAACGCTGATGACCTCTGGGCTCAGGTCCGCAGCGTTCCCTCTCACCTTCGTTCAAATTCTGTGAGGGCACGCCGATGCCTGACACATCGTTCTACAAGCATGTAAAAATTGAAGTTGAAACATGGAATCCGAAAGGTGAGATTTGAACCAGTATGGTGTCAAATGTGCATGTGCATGCGCACAGCACAGATCTGTCGCTTTATCAAGAAAGCAGCAAGGCTTGACACTTTGCCGAAATCACTCAGTGCAGAGATCTGTATAGATGGCATTAGGAATCTGCATGTGTCCATGTCAGCCTCAGTACCTTTCCCTGACTCATCCTGAACACCCTGCAGAAAATCAGAGGTGCAAGAATTGTGTTCAGGTGATGATGCTTTGCAGGCAAAGGCTGGCAAGTTTGCGGATGCAGCAGAATTGCGGCCCGTATTCTGGCTGCGGGCGCAGTTGCCGCGGATTCTGCCCGCCGATGTCAGTCTGCGCCAGGTCAGAGACCCTTACTACTTCCTTTTTGTGGAGTTTTTCGCCCACCCTTGACCCCGAACCCTCAATGCAGCATTGCTTTCAGAAGATTCATGGACCCTTCTGTCTTTCCTGCGGGCACCTGCACGTGTAGCAGGTCAACCCGGCACCTGAGGGTCCTGTGAATGACATATGATGTACATATCCATCTTTGCTCAAACTATGCATATCTGGGCTTCTAGATTGCATCCTTCAAAGAACTAAACTAGTGGAGGCTGCAAGTCTCGTGCATTACAATCTTCCCACCGCCACTGTCTACCTATGCATATCAACATGTGCATATCTGGACATCACCCAACTAGCATATGGCCTCAATAGCCATATGAATATCTATTTCAATTGGTGGGCAAGTCGGAATTCTTTTCCTAGTAAGCTCGTTTTGTGGGTGCCAGGCTGGCGTGCCCGCCAATGTGAGCATTGACCTGGCGGTCAGCTTCCCTCAGCTTCGGCCGCTGCCGCTCGCCAACCAGGTTCCCGACCCCTCCAGCGGCGTTCCCACCAGACCCCCCGGCGCCTTCACGGTGGGGGCTCCACTCTTCCTTGCATTCCTCTAGACCCAAACGCCTGAAGGCCTTTGCACTCTGCTGTATGACAAGCACTGCAGGGCAGTCCTGGCTCGGTCTATGGGACCCTCAATCCCTTAGAATTCCGAAACAAAAGGGGTTGGCAGAAGTTCAACTTTTGCCAGAGCGATACATCTGAATGATTGGGATGCTCGCAGCAGTCACTCCTTAGCCCAGCAGTATGAGGGTAGAGATGGTGCTCATGATAAGTGGGGCATTCTGGTTGCTGCAGTTGTCACCATACAAGGGAATAGAAACCTCCCCAAAAAAACGTGCAGGAAAGTGGAATTAGCGGGAAGACAGTTCTCTGCATGGCCCTGGGAGGGTCATTAGGGCTTAATGCTTCTCATTAGAATCCTCCACTCTGCACTGCTATAGTGCACCAACGCAGCCATGCTCAGTCCACTGTGCGCTGCTCAGTTTACTGATGATCCTTTGTGTGTACTTTGCTGCAGACGAGCAAGGACCTCACTGCAAAGGATGGGCACATTGTGCTTCTGGAGTACCTGGAAGAGAAGCCCCTGTTGCTGTCCCGCCCAGGCAAGCAAACCCAACACATCAACCATGTTGAAACAAATAGATATGCACAAGACACTGCGGACATGGGATGTTTGTGTACCCAATGCAGTCTGCTGAAACTGCATGGCAGCCCTTCCTCGGAACGCTGGCGCCTGCAATTTCTTTAATGCCTGCAGCCTGCCCTGGGTTTAGATCAAAAGGGATACCTTCTTTGTCCTGACGTGCTTCAGCCTGCTTAGCATGCATCGCTTGTAAAATGACTGTTGGGGTGGCACTGCAGGCATGGGTGTCCGGCTGACTACCTACTACAGGAAGAGGAACGCCACAGACAACGTGGACCTGCAGAAGCTGGCAAATGGTGAGTCACCCCTTCTGGCCCTTACTCATTGTTCCTTACTCATTGCTTTATGCATGTCACCCCCATTTGCTTCGCCTGGCAGGATTTTGACGTGCAATAGGCTCACAGCAGTTCCCCATGATTCCTGTATATTGTAGCATCCACTATCTGAGTTATACAACTCAATCAGTTAACTAAGTAAACTTGGTAAGGTTCAGCTGGGTGCATGCGCGCAGGCAAGGAGGCCTGGAAGACAGGGCACGTTGAGGTGATGAGCCCGGATGATGACTCACCCTTCCTGCTGGGAGACATCGCCCCCGGATCCGCGCGCCTCGCCCTAGACACCAATATGTTCCGCGCAGGTGCAGTATTTTCCCTTTGGGCGTCTCCCACTCCCTAGCCACCCCTATTGGTATCCCCATCTCTTCGAGAACAGCTCCATGCATGCATGCTGCTCATAGTTGCACCATTCGGTCAGATCACTTTTTGGGGACCGTATATACGGCCGAATATACGGTCATACGGTAAAACAATACACGGAATATGGTCAAAAACGGCCTATTTTGACCCAAAACACCGAATATACGACCAAATATTCACCGTATGCCAAATGGCCGAATCCGTATGGTGCACATGATGCTGCTGCAGCATTTGGGAACCCCAGAGGCCTCTGCAGAGGTAGACTACACTCTCCGCCACAGAGTGATAAGTTCAGCAGAGATCACATCATCTGATCACAACATAGGCTGGTCTGAATATGGCCCCAGTATCGAAGGCACATAAACTTACATGTACTCAAAATGGGTCCTCTATGCTGCAGCATGCCATCCTGACAGGAATGCAAAGGACAAGCCTGGCTCGATACCGTGGGTGGTGTCAATGCAGCGGCGTCCCCTCCAAGTTCCCTTTGACTTCCTTCATAAAATCAGAGATTTTGACTGCTAATTGAGTGTTTGGTGCATCCGTGCAGCGGCGTCCCCTCACGCGCCGCGCCACTCGGATTTCCTGCTGGTGCGGGCGCCAAGTGGCGCGCTGTCGCTGCGCCACCTCAGCGGCACGCTGCTCGCCGGGCAGCAGGAGCCTAATCTAATTGTGCCCTGGCCGCGCAGCAAGGAGGCCAGGTGCGCCGGATACGCACTTTCTCAATAATGAGTCAGCAGTGACATACACTGACACGTGCATGATGTAGGCCTGATGGCACGTTGATAAATCAGAGGGAGGGTGGTTCCTCCCCCTGTAGGGATGGGAAGGTCCTCTCACACTACATCATTCTCACAGTATCCGTGAGTGTTAGTAAAGTTTTTCCAACATCAAATGAGAAAGCAGAGAGTTTCTGCCCGTTCACCTAGATCTCCACAGTAATATCCCCTGCTAAGCCATTTCTGGCTCTGCATGCACGCATTCAAGGGTCCCCAACGGGGTTCCGACCACTTTTTTTCCGGTTTGTCGAGGGAGGAAATTGCTTGCATCACAGGGACATAGAGGAGAACCGGCTGATGGCGCATGTATGCCGCCTGCTGTTCAAGCGGCAGCAGAAGATTGACAAGGGCCGCGGCGGCAGGGCCGGCTTTGGGCAGGCCGCGATCTCATGGGAGGAGCTTCGCGCCGATTTCACCCCCGCCATGATGACCGACTCCGTGCTGGCCAATCGGCTGCGCGAACGCTGTGACTGCCAGCCGCGTGGGGTGTGGCCTCACCTCGTCCCTCGTGCCTGAATGAGCTGATGAGCTGTCACTGCGCCTGCGAATGTTTTCTGGGCGATCGGGTATTGAGTGCTCGTTGGTGATAGGCAGCAGGCAGCAGACTGATAGAAATTGCGTGCCAAAGCAAGTTTGAGCAAACCAGCTCTGCGACCGTTCATCTGTGGGTGTGCGATTGATCCACCATGGTCACCTCAAATTTGGTGACGCAAGCCATACGCTTGAAGAATCCTGTCCAGCATTGAAGCTGGCACATTATGTCATGTGCATGCATGCAACGATTGCTAGTCTGCTGCAGGGCGAGGACGGCAGCGGGGACGCTTGGGTGCTGCGTCCGGGGGGCCGCATACCGGGGGAGACCGAACTGCGCAAGGTATGAGCGCTGCAGGCAAACATTCACTTAGCCCGATCAGCAAATCCGGCAGCTGCCAGTGACGTGATATGCCCACAACTTCACATGTGTCGGGCCTTCATGGGATGAACATCCGCAATGAAGACTTGCACTAAGAGCTGAACCAAAGCACGACCCAAATAAGAAAATGGTAGAATTAGACCTGTTAACGGTGTTCATCGCTGTGCACACTAATGATGCAAGACGCTCGGTGCATTTGAGAGAGTGGACCTAGACTTTGAAAAATAAGCATGACTGAACTTAACTATCTGTGCTCTGTGCGCAAGGTGATGACGCCAGAGGCCTGGTGCGCGTACGAGAGCATGCGGCGCGGTATTATGAGATTGAAGGATGCCGGTCTGGCCATTCACGCCCCCCTGGCGCAGGTCCCCCCCGATCGGCTGCGACTCATGTTCGAGGCGTTGCCTCCCTCGCCGGTGCGCGCAAATGTCCCCACACATTCAGGGTTCAGGGTGTGTGAGGGTCTGGCCTTGCGCATTCACAAAGAGAGTCGCAAATGGTCATCTTGTGGCGTTGCCTTCCTTGTTGGTGCGTTTGGGCCTCCTTGCTGCACAGGGGTATGCCTACATTCCAACCAGAAGTAGGCTTGCCCCTTTGCAGCCATGTTCAATCCTCTTTGCCTTGCCTGATCAGACAGCAGGCTCACAGATGCATTGTAAGCAATACCAGATGCTACTTGTGCGAAGGCCTCACCTGGTCCCATAATTGACATTTCCCATTGTGAGCAAGGCACGACAAAGTGCATGTGCATTACAGCAAAGCAAATTACAAAATTTGCCCGGCTTTTGCACTGGGGTACAGGAGAGGGACTCAAGTGTTGTGTTGTGTTCCACAAGTCATGGGTTCCAGACCTGTCTCCGGCAAGCTATTTTTTGGGTCAGGTTCACGAATTTTCTTTTATGTTTCCAGCAATTTCCATACTGCCATGCGCAGGAGAGGGAGGCGGCGTTTGCAATGCACCAGGTCACAAGTTCAAGATCCACCTCCTTCGGGGTTCACTTTTCTGTCACCTTAGAGCATGTAATCATGTTATCTTACAGGAAGCCTGCATGCCGTGCGCAGGAGAGGGAATCGGCCTTTGCAGCGCTGGAATTGGCTGTGCAGGCGACTCCGTGGGGCCTCACAGAGAACTTCAACGCGGCGATGCGCGAAGGCCGCGGCCGGCTGGCGCTGACCGGGCCGGGGGACCCCACCGGACGCGGCTCCGGCTTCTCCTACCTGCGCGACGACCGCAAGGTGATATTGGGTATTTGGGGTTTATGCAGTGGTTCATTTCAGAAAGAACGGGCTTTATCAAAATTGGGCCTCTCTCAAATCAAAGTCAAGAGAGGCCTCGCCAGGTTGCCAACGAGGCTGCCATGGCAGGGCTGCTGCGTGAGGCATCTAAAGAGAGAAGAGCGCTTGAGGTTTCTTGTGCCTTGACAAGGCTCGCTGTGAGTGTGTGTACAAACAAGCCAAGAGGCTGCCCATCAGCTCTTGAGCTGAGGAGTAGCATCCAGTTTTGACCTCGCGGCAATGCACAGGCTTGTGGATCAAGATCTGTTCTTTTTTCCCAATCAACCCTCATTTTCTGTAGCGAATGGCGGAAGACACAAGACACGCCTTACCTTACCTTTGTTCTCTACATCTCTCAGGGGTGTCTGACTTGTTGGCACAGTTTTGGATACTGCTGCGATTGCCCCCGTCTGTACACAAGTTCTCAAAGTGTCAAAGGCAAATCTTTTTAGCAGCATTCCAGAAGCCTTCAGTAGCCAGGCTTGTGAGCCCTGCACGCTACTTTTATACAAGGCAAGAAATGTTGAGCTTCTTTTCTGTGTCAGGCGGCGGCAGAGGCCGGGCCGGTGCCGAAGCGCGAAGTAGGGCAGATCACAGGGACCAACTCGGACCTGCGGCGACTAAGCATGGCCAAATCGCGCGAGATTCTGCTGTCCCTGGGCATGACTGACGATGAGATCAAGGGTGCGATGTCTCTCTTATTTCCCTATTCAAACATGCTGTCTTCACAGCTTTTGTCACTGTACAGGAAATCCCCCTTGCGGAGTCTTAGCCACAATTCCTTTCCCGCGGTCCTGTCACTGCTGCACCACATAGCGCAAGCACACCTGCGACTTGACAGAGCTGTACATTACATTATTGCATGGCCATATTCAGTGTGAGGGTTTAAGGTAGTTGTATGTGTTGTATGTATTTGACCCGGCTGGCGGGAAGCTGTGCGTCATCAGTTTTGCATCGGAAGTACACAGTCCCTTAGTAATTCCTGTAGAGCAGAGAGCGGTATACATACTGAGCACCGTGCCCATGGATCTGGCGAGTCCATCAAGGGGTAGGATATGTGGCAGCGTTTACATCCAATTTGTCCGCAGTAGCAGCGTGTTATTATCATTATAGTAATCTAAGATCATGGGATTTAGATGACACCTTTCTTGCAGGGCTCTCGTGCTGGCAACGCATGGGGCACCTTCATTCTGGCAGAAAAAGCGTGTAACAATAACGATATAACATCAGTAATAAGTGTATGATCATTTGACGCTCTTCTTGCAGGGCTGTCGCGCTGGCAACGCATAGGGCTGGTGAGGGATTTGAGCGGCGCTGCGATAATGGACGGCGATTCGGCGCTTGGGCAGCGCTACGCGCGCGCGCAGCGGCAGAGTGCTCTTGAGCTGCTTCAGCAGTCCGTGTCCAAGGCCCAGGCCATCTTTGCTGCTCAGGTGGGTCCCGTCTCTTTGCCATGAAGTTGTACTTGAAGTCATGCCACTTGTTTGCTGGCATAAGTGAAGCCGCAGCTGCTGCAGCAATCCATGTCCAAGGCTCAGGCCACCTTCGCTGCGCAGGTTCGGTTCATTCTCTTCTGTCGTGGCTGAATTTGAATTTCTGTTTTGTGTTTTGTGTTTTGGGGCCGGCCGGCATCACAAGCGCTGCTGCGCCGCTCTATGGCCAAAGTCTGTGCTGCGTATGTGGGGCATGCCCAATTCTATCATCCAACTAGTATGAATGCAGATGCGGTGCCTTCTTCCTTCCTTTTTTGAAAAGATAAATTTTGAAGTTAACACAACTTGCACCACGTTCCATGGGAGCAGCGCGAATCCACACTGGGGCATGTCCTGCGTTCCTGCACACACAGCAGTCTTTGCAGAGGCGGCTAAAATGCTGGGGGCATCTAATTTTAACAGCAACTACATCAATGGACATGTTTGCTACCTGCAGGCTGAGCTGCTCGCTGGCGGGAAGGAGAGCGCAGATGACAGCGGCTCCGAAGATGAAGCCGCGCCAAAACAGGTGACTGCTAGTAATTTTGTCGTTTCCCTCTGCTCACCATGTGCGGACCTGGATCAGGGCGATGTGTGAAGAGCAGTCTAAGTGACATTTTCACAATGACTGCAATCTGACGATTCTCTTGCTTTGGAAGTGCGTGAATGGAAGGGGAAATCCGCCTGATGGCAAGGGTGAAGAGTGTCTGAAGGGACATCTCTCCTTGGAATGGTTGCAGTATGACCCTTCTGACTTCAAGCCGACATCACTTGCAAACAAGGCCTCGCACCAAGAAAGGCGCCGGTTCAAAATCAAGGGTGCTTCATAAATCTAAATGTATGTCAGGGTGCATGTGTGCTTGACTTATCTTCTATGGCAGAAGTGCACTAAGGCATATATCTGAACCGAAACAGGCAGCAGGCAAGGGCCGAGCCAAGAAAGGCGCCGGTGCGAAATCCAAGGCGGCCGGGGCGGCGGCCGCGGCGGCGTCGACGGCTGCACCGGCAACGGAGGCGCTGCGAAAGATGACAGAGGAGGCCGAGGAAGCAAAGGAGCTGGCCGACATGCGCGCGGCAGGGCTGCTGTCGGGCAAAGGGGCGGCAGGTAGTAAAAACTACCCTCGGCCCCTATCTATCCATCTTGTAGTGGGAAATCGTGGAAATGCACACGTGCTAGTTTGTGTTATGCGAGGCGCAAGGCCGGGTCGCTGTCGGGCCAAGGGGCGGTAGGCATGCAAAATTCTTATGAAAACCCTGCTTTGATTTTGAAGCAAACACTTGCCTCATATAGGAATTGAGATTGTGCCGGAGGTTCCAGAGGATAAATATAATTACAATTGCAAGTACATCTCCCACGAGGCTTGCTTAGAAAGGCAAGGAATGCCAGTTTTGAGAACATAATCTAGATCTGCATGTTTGAATCCTTGCTAGTAGAGATGAGCATGGCCTTCTCATGCACACTCCGGGCGGGAGTCATGAGGATCATTTGCCTGGGGGAGCAAGGCATGTCATCAGTCATCCTCCTTGCCATTTGCCACAATTGTGCATCACTTGAGGGAACACGAACAGTAGCTGCAAGATATGGAGTGCCTTTGATGCATTCAGTCACGCATGCAAAAGCTGCTGTTCCTATTTTGTTGCGAAAGAGCTTGTACCCATGCAGTGCTGAGGGGCCAAGCAGGATCCAGCAATATCTCGTTTGATTTCTTCCTAGGTGCGGCAGCTGCCGGGAAGCTGGAAGCTGCGCCCGGGGCGCGACGCATCCGCCGCACCGTCATCATGACTGATCCCACAGACGGCGCTCAGACCAGCCGGGAGATCATCTACAACGACCGTGACAAGGTGCCCTCCTGCCTGACATTCAAAGCTTCTTTTGGCAGGATAAAGTGCAGTGTCCTTGGTAGCGACTCAACCTCTGGGGTCCCTTGATGAACATCGGCAGATGGAAGCTCTGTTTCAAGCAGCACACCAGACCTAGAAGGCACCCTTCATAGCCTGCTGTGCGCAGTACTTTCTGTCCAATTGCTTTGAAAACGATGGCAGGACGTGCTAGGCTGGCTGTGAGATCTTCATTGATCAGAGGGCCGGGAATTCGATGCATCTGAGGCAGTCCGCCGGTACATAGGAAATTGAATTATCATGCCCTCATGGGAGCTCACAGAAGGATGCTTGTGTACATAATATGGTCGGTGAGCTCAATCAAGGAAGCTTTCGTGGATTGCCTGCTCGGCTGAGCTCACAGGAAGAACCTTCTGTGCATTGATGCTCACCTCCGCTCACGGAAGGAACATTGTGATGCCTGTACAGGTGGCGCTCCTAAACTCGATGTATGGTGACGGCAACGCGGGCTTCGGGACGCGCCGAATCCGAGCCGGCAGCGGCAGCCGCAAGGCGCTGCTGGAGGGGGCGGGCCCCCAGCTCTTTGCAGGGGCCAAGGCACGCAAGGGAGGGGCCCGCAAGTCCACCATCCAGTGCAAGGCCTGTGGCCAGGTGGGCGCCCTTTCCCAAACTGATATTTGCATTGCTGACTGTAACTCATCTGCACGCCTGGTGCCAACATCTAGATGTCTACCTCAAATGTGTGAGTCAGTGTGAGGTCTGCTTCAGTGTGCGAACAGCCTGAATTCCTCGTGAAGGCAGACTGGAAGACTGAGGAGGTAATGTCATGTTTGGCCTTGTCTGAGAATTACGCGGGTTTTCTGTCCTACTAAAACACCTGGCTGAATTCCAAGCGCATGTGCTGTGCTGTGCAGACGGGCCACAACTCGAAGAACAAGCTGTGCCCTCTCTACAGCATCACCCACGCCCAAGCAGCTGCTGATGCGGTGAGTTGTACCTCTAACTGCCCCTGCACAAGACCCTCAATCACACTTATCACTTGAACACATGAGCGGACACACCCAGAAGTGCCCTGTGTGGTAGAGAATTCAGCGACTTGGCATGCATGAGGGGAATGATGCCCAGCCACTGAGAAAACAAAACCTTTCCCAAGAGGTTGCGCAGCTCTTTTCCTCAGCGTGCCAAGCTTTGGCCGACAAGTCTTGCCCCTTGCCAATGTGTTCTGCGACGTCCTTTCATCGAGATCATACGTTGGCTTTGCGACCAGTCGAGAGCGTGCCACGCCCCCTTTTTCTAGCAGTCTGAATCATCCGGCTTCGTCGCACACACGGCATGAGATAATGGTGCGTCTCTTAAGTCTTGTAGTGTTAGAAGGCATATACTGCCAGGAATTGGTCCTGCCTTTCCAGGAATTCGGCAGAACAGCTAGTGCGGACGTGGCGGCTATTACATGATACGGATGACAAAGCACATGCTGACATTGTGGGTGTTGCCTATTCAGGACGAGTACGAGGAGGAGGGAACGCGCTCGCCCGGCAAGCGGCCGTCAGTCACCCTGCGCATCGGCAGCGGCATGCTGATGTCGCCCGGCAGCGCGCTCACCACCGCAGCCGACTCTGACGGCGATGAGCCGCTACCCAGGGTGCAAAGCCCTTCCCTCTTGCAGAATTAATAAGGAAGAAGAAAGAGAGAACAAAGGAAAACAGCTGCAATTAACACACTGCGCGCTGGCATGCTCATGCCTCCCGTCTCTGAAACTGATGAGCCAGCACCCAGGGTCAGCGCCCCCTCATTGCAGCAAGCTTACCACTTGCTACCATAGGTGAATATCAAAAAGAACATTTTGGTGGTGCACATTGGGTCTAGCATGCTGGTGGTGCATAAAGAGCTGCAAGGGCAGCCATGCAATGTGCATGGAGCAAGAGGGGGATCACATGACAATGTGTAATGCAGAGCAGCTTGGGAGATCGCGACAAGCTTTGGTGACTCAGAGTGTGTTGACCTCACCCTGCAGTACTCTGTTGACGGCCAATCGCCTTGTAAGGACGGTGTTCTCTGCTAGTGCCAAAGACGCAACACCGTTCTTACCAGATGATTGCGATTGGCGAGATGCTCTGGATTAACTCTGCCTCACGCTTAGGCACCAGAGCTCCTTATAAGAAGGGACTTTACTATCACTTGTCAACATGCTGGCCTGTTGGCCTTGAAGAGACCAGTTCTTTTTTCCCCCGACCTTACCTAGCTTCAGGTGTTTCTCTACTGTTGCGAGTGCAAAATACTAATGTGTCCCCCTATCAATGCAGGATCGTGGGGGACGCAGCAAGCGGCAACTGTCGGACGGCAGCGCTAAGGAGGGACCCCCCGCCAAGTCCCAGGCGGTGGAGAGCGGTGGCGGCGGCGTGGGGCCCAGGAAGATGAGCCTGGCAGCTCCTGAGCCATCGGTGAGCCCCGGTCCTGTAAGCTTTAGCACTCATTGTCTGCAGACAAGGCTGCTCTCTAGCCCTAGTCTTATCTACAAATTGTGGTCTTTCTCCCTTTTCAAAAACATAAAGCATCCCTACACAGCTGATGGCCGTTGTGCATGCCATGGAGCCAGAATGTGTATTTGCGGAACGTGCACACTTCAAAGACATGTTGACAAGCCACCTGAACATTCAACAATCTTCTGACAGTCTCTCTCTATCCAGGTTCATATCTCAATTTTTCAAGTACGTTTTCACTCTGTCAAGAGTTGGACAGTGTCTTCCCAGTAGGTCCACTGAGGCAATTATTCTGTTTTTTCAGCCGGAGCCGCCGCCGCCGAAACGCGCGGCGCCAAAGAAGGCCGCGGGTGAGGTGAGCGCACGCAAGGCGCTGAGTCAGCGTTTACTCGCGCCGGTGCTGTCGGCCGTCAAGCGGCGATGCGGTACCATCCTTGATCCCTTCAAGGTCAGCTCGGATTTCAGACCCTTGTTTTAAAATTTGATTTTCACATGTTTTGCCTTCCTAAGCGGCAAGGTGTGTCTGCACCCAAGCCATGTGAAGCTTACCACAGGATCTACCCCTTCCAAGGACTTGCCAGATCCAAGCAAGACGCCCAATCGATGGTGGGCACGGATCTCAGAATTTCTTTCAATGCTCAATTTGGTTAAAGGATTGGATTACACTTCATAAACGGTTCGCAAGACATGCTCATGCATATATCTGGAAGATCTCTCTTGCAATATCTATGTCATAGTGCTCGCAACCTCAACAAACTCTTTGTTGTCTTCAGCGGCCGGTGTCAAAGATAACGGTGCCGGACTACAACGATTTCGTGGACGAGGCGGACGAGATCAGCCTGGAGACCATCGAGCGCAGGCTCAAGGCAGCCTCCTACAGCTCCTCCAAGGAGTTCATGGCCGACATCAGCCAGATCGTCAGAAACGCCGTCGCGTACAACAAGCCCGGCCACGGCAAGCAAGGCGGCGCTGGTGCGGCTCCCTGATTATCACCTTATCTCCCCAGACAAGGGGGAGTTTGAGGGCAGCTGTGTTAGCAGCTGCAATTTCCAGAGTGCCCGAGTGCATCTTCGAGCGCGCATGGGTGTGGGGCATGACATGGGCTTAGCCGCGGATGGCACGCCGGTGCAGGTAGATTAATTCTAATACTGTTGAGAGATAGAGTTAGAGATAGGTGAGATTTAGGGGCAGGCTGTGGTCACTGTAGAGCGCAGCAGCTCCGCAACAGTCAAAGGTGCTAATTATCTGAGCATGTGCTATCCATCTGAACATGTGCAAGTCAGGCGCGCACAGTGGTGCTTAAAATAGATATCACTGTGATACCAGAAGAGGGGAGCATGCCAGCGCCTTGAACACCTAGGGAGTGTGCTGTAGGACCAGCTATGAATCCACATTCAGCAAAATTGGAATCGCACCCACCTCAGGCGTGCTGTTTTTGGACAAGGCAACCAGAACTTCGTTAGCATTCCAGTATCTGTCGCATCTGATCACCGTATTGGTTACAAACAGGGTTATTTTTAGTGGCGTTCTGAAGCCATTGTGGCTCTTAACAAGCAAACAAGCCATTTTTTGGTGTTCTGGCCACTTCTTGGTGGACACTGAGAGGCCACATATTGGCTTCTGGAAAAATAAATCAAGAAGTTCAGGAAGCCACATTTCCAGTGGAATGTAATGCATACGAAGATTCGCTGCAAGATGAGAAGATGCGAATTACCCCTTATAGGAAACACTGGTCACAAGTAAGAATTTGGTGGTGTTGCATGCAGACATCATCCAATGCGCGCAGCAGATGCGCAACGCAATCCGAGAGGAGCTTGAGGACATTGCTGAGAAGATCGAACACGCAGATGCGCTCGTGGCCCTGGAGGACGCCGGAGGTAAAATATTTTTCTGTCCCCTTTTCTCTTTTTTTTTTAAAGACAAAGAAAGTGGCAGAGAGCGGTGTCTCCTCTCACCCTGCACATGATCTATCCCCGCTTCTCTGTGTGGTCTTGGGAGCTCCGTGAAAGAGGGCAGCATTCCTTCGCACCCTGTGCAAGATGGTTGGTCAGTGAGTCACTGCGTGTTATTGTAATAATATGGTCCTCCTCGCAAGGCCCCTGCCAAATTAGTTCTCAGAAGCCTCCCAGTATGGCAATAACCTGATTGTGCTGCAGGAATTCCTTATATCACAAGCCCATTCGGCCCAACAAACCATAAACCATGTGATGGATACCTTCCTGGGCAGATCCCGATCTGTTAAGGCTGATGAGAGTCTCTAAATTGGGGTTTGGGCTCTTGAAAACCATTCCCAGCCAAATGATTGCTTCAATCCAGAACAGTATGAAGACAGATGTGAGGACACATTCATGGTTTAGCTAAAGTGCACTTTCAATCTAATGGGATTCGTGCAGGTGCTGATGTCAGCGAGGGAGGGGACGCCGATGCAGACGGGGACGGCGCCGAGGCGGCCGGCGGCGGCGGCACGGCGGCGGCCGCCCCGGCCACGGAGCTGTGGGTGCAGTGCACCAAGTGCCAAAAGTGCGTTCTCCTTCTTTCTCTCTTGTTTGCTTGATTACATTGATCTCTTTCTGAATTTGCACTGAAATAGGAGATGTTTATTGCATCCTGCCACAGAGCTGTGGGTTCAGTGCACCAATTGCCAGAAGTGCCTTCTCCTCCTGTGCTCTCTTCTTTGCCCAGAGGCTTTCTGTCGTTCTTCTGGCATGTGTCCTAACATGGACATTCTGATTGCATCCTGCCACAGAGCTGTTCGTGCGCGCTGACTTGGCACTAGCAACATGTGCGCGCGCGTGACATGTGCGTGCAATGCTGACGTGGCGCGCGTGACATGTGTGTGCAATGCTGACGTGGCGCTCGTGGCATGTGCGCGCAGGTGGCGGCGGCTGTCGCAGGCGGTGTACGACGCGACGGTGAGCGCTGATGACGACGATCCCTGGTACTGCCACCAGAACTTTGACCGCCCCGGCGCCAGCTGCGACCAACCAGCCGACGAGGAAGGGAGCGTGTGAAGGACTTGATGTTCGTTTTTGGAAGAGGTGAAAGGACAAAAGAGGGGAGCTCTACAGGACCAGAAGAGCTGTATGGACCGGGTAGCATCTGAGCGTTGAGCTTTGAAATGAAAAGATAATTGCAGGAAGCCCCTGCTGCCTCACAAACAGCGCAGCTCTCAACAGGGATGAGCTAGTCAATGGCGAGGCATGTGTCATTAAAGGGATGCTGTCGAGGAATGATGTGTGGGTCGAACGGTTTTGGGGCAGATATTTTGGGGAGAGCTGAAGGATCCCGCCCCTTGGACAGCTGGCTTTTGGGCAGGGCCGGGCACTTGGGGAAAGGTGTGTATTCTAAGGAAGGGGAGCGAGTGGGGGAATAGATTCTTGACAGGAGGATGCCAGAAGTCTTGTGAAGAAGTTTGCAGGAGAGCGTGAGAAACTAGCAGCCCTCCGTGTCCCTTCCGTAGCTGGCCTTAGAAGAGGAACGGACCAGCTGGAGGCAGGAAATGTTCACAGCAAGCGGATAAATGAAGGGAGGGGAGGATAGGCAGGCAGCTGTGCAGGAGAGATGAATGTGCCGGCAGCACCCACCGCCCCTTAAACAGCTAGCTTTTGAACAGGGAGGGGACTCTTGGATAGAGGAGTGTATGTTTGAGGAGTCTCAACCTGTGTGTGTGCTGTTCGTGTCGGCCTTGATCAAGTCATGACGTGTCCCCGGAGGTGATGTCCACTGGAAACTCAGCAAACATTCTATACAGTTCGAACTCGTCACAACCTTGAATTGAAGGTTCTTGTAAGTGAATCAACCTTGTGCAAGATATTGAGCGCATGCACGTGTGAGAACGTAGAAAGCAGAAGGTGGCAGGTATCTTGGATAAGCCGATCATCTGCCTGTCTTTAGTCACATCCAGCGCAAAGGCTGGCTGGCGGGGGGCGGTGTAAATCTGACCACCTTGCCCACGGTTGATTGGGTCTTGCTTGGATCTGGCGAATCCAGTTGCAACAAGGGGTAGGACTTTGGCAGCCTTTACATGCAGCTTGTCTGCAGACGCACCTTGCCTACGGCAGGAAAAGCGTGTAATAATAATAATTCTGCGCGAAGGTTCGGGCGCCCTGTCTGTGGGAAACCTCTGAGACTTGAAGCCTCAGCTATTTAGGAGCCAAGAGAAAAGCCTGATATTACAACGTGTCTATGCTTAAGCTTTATAAGCTTTTGGGTTGCACTACAAAGTAGCTTGCACAGTAAAGAGCATGCCTAGAGCAGGTATGGATGCATTGCTCCTTGTCGTCTGTCGGAGAAGAGTTCGAAACCATGGAGGTCCTAGATAGGTGCGATCGACATTTTGGGGGTGCTATTAGTCACGGAACGATTGATGTGGAACTTCTCCCAGGCTAATGTGGTTATGCCTGCTTATTGTCATTACAAAGCCAAGTTGTGTCATCTCGAAGGTAGCTTAGGTCGGGTAAGGCCATTCGCAGTTGTGGCAGCCGAAGTTTCCCGAACAGTGGTGCCGCCTGGGGCGACAACTGTCTGTTTGTAGTAAAAGACAGGACAGGGCTTGGGAGCACCGATCAGCCGTTAAACCCGAGTTTTGGCCGTGATCAACATCGATTTGGACATTACCAGACAGCAGCGGATCATCGCACAGTTAAAAGGTGGGTCAGCCAGTACGTGCATCACGAGCGCGTATGTTGCCTTGACGCTCCGTTCACGTCAGCGGCTCCTTGTTTTTACTGGGTGTATAGAAACGGTGTGAGGCTCCCTGGGAAGCATTTAGGGTGCTGCGATCATTAGTATACAGCAGTTCATCGGTCGTAAGCTGTCCCGCGCTCACGTATTTGCCTGAGAGGCAATCCCTCCGGAATCCCTCGGGGTGATAGTACACTAGACTATGAATCAGGCGGCCACCGGAATTTCTGAACCTAGCTTGTCGATACTCGTTGAGGGAAACCTTGCAGAGGCGCGTGGTAGGCTGTGTTAGTCACAAAGCCTAGGGTGCGGAAGCAACCAACCTACTCCTGCATCATCCATACACTGGCCAGACTGAAAACATGTAGATAGGGCGTGGATTGTTGTTTGAGATTATATATGAGGTTTTAGGAGCGTAGTAGAATGTTTCTAGTGCCCTACACGCCCTACACGAAAGCAGTGATGAAGCATTTATTCTTTGCATTATTGTCTCCCAGGTACTGATCTGTATATACTCGGGCCGGTCTAGCATTCTGTATTATTGTTCGTGCAGTTGCCGAGATCATTAGGGCACATAAGGAAGAAAAAGAACGGTTGTTTTGCTTGTCCACCTCCACACTGGCTTGATCCAGAGCAGCAGGAGCCTTTTTTGTGGGTCAGGCACATCGTCATGCTTTCCAAGCTGTGCAATCATACCTATAATTGACCAAGTGAACCAACAGCCAGCTATTTATCAGCCTAATCATGCTGCTCTGACCGATAGTGAACTAGTACCGTGAGGGAAACCAGAAACAGCACCCCACTGGGGAGTGAAAGAGATACTAAATCCAATGCTGTGCAGGGGTGGACTAGTAGCTGGAAAGCTAGGGAGATCAGGGAGTGCGCTCTCTTCTGGCAGTATGGTGCCTCAACCCAGGGCACTGCTCGTGCTAGGCCTGCTAGCACTCGCAGTGACGGCTGATGCACAGTACAGCAGCGGAGGCTACAGTACAGGCACCGCTTCACAGGTGTGCAATCCGCGCCTCCTCCTCTCTGCATGCAGCCTGAGATAGACGATTGTTTGCAAATGTATTTGCGTGAAGCTTGCATGCATGGATACATGCGCCGGCGAACAGAGAGCTTTGCGATTTGAGTCTTACCTGCCAAAGAAAGCGGCTGACCTGAAATGCTGCGGCAAATGGGATTGTGATGTTTGTGGCCCACTGCTTCCAAACCTAGCATGACTTTGCTGGTGCAAAACAGCCCTGAGAGGCGCTTTTGCATCGTTGTGCTAGTGCATCAGCACCAGCATTGTTTTTGCGTTTATATGGGAATTCAATTGATGTTATTTATGCTGGAGTTTTGACCCAGCAGAGGCCTTTTACTGGCGCGCAAGGTCTGCAATACAGGTTTGATGCCATTATACAGATCATGGCAGGTTTGAGGGGAATATTCATATGTGTAACTGTGCGCAGGGCTCTTCTGCCGGCTACCCCACGACTCCCAGCACCGTGACCACCGCCGGAGGGGGTTACCCGAGCTCCGGCGTCACCGGAAGGTACTCTAGTGGGGGGACCTACGGCGGCAACAGCGGCTCTACGGGCTATTCCACCATTGGCAGCTCCGGCAGCTCGTCGCCCCTCGACACTGCTGTGCAAGGCTCTGCCGGTGCGCGGCGTTCCCTTCTTCTCACAAGAATTTTCAAAGGCGCACTCAAAATGGGAAAGGAAATGCTTACGCTTAGGAGTGAATCCTCACAAGTGAACATCAAGCAGCAGTACACTTGATGCAACCAAAACCTCTGATATGCGCTAATTTTTGTTGCTTCAGCATCCAAGTAGATGTGCCTCTGGTGTCTATTGAGGCCAAACTTACACTTCAAGAATTTGATTTTGAATATGGACATGTCATCGCCACAGGCACCGGCATCGGAGTGGCACCGTCGAACGGCGTGGCGGCTGCACCGGGCGCTGGGTTGACCTACACGCCCAGCACTGGCAGGGGTGGTTCGAACATCTATGGCAGCAGCGGCACTCAGAGCCAGTCGGCTGGGACCAGCTCCTACCCCGCTTACTCATCCTTCACCCCGGCTTCCTCTGCTGCCGGCCAGGCCCCCAGGTGCTTACCATTTACTTGCTTCCTGTGCACCATCAGCCATAAGCAGCCTGCTGCACATTCTGCTTAGAAGCTGGAGATAGGACGCCATTTGCCAGCTGTATATCGGCTGCATGAAAGTTTCTGCTCGCCTGCCATGTACCAACCTCTGCGCAGCATGTTGCTCGCCGGCCCCATTTGAAGTGTCAGTCGATGTTTGCAGCTTTGTGCACTGTAATAGTTTGCTGTGCTTGGCATCGGGGCATTTTGTCGACGCACCATGTTAGAAACAAAGACACCAGGTCGAGGATCAAGATTTGCATTTGGATCGCACATTTGCAAGCTGGAGATCAAATGCAGATCCATCGCCCTGTTTTGTCCAGGCTTGATGTGCGTGTTAGCTTCCAATGTTATGCATGTCAAGGCCGGGACTGCAACAAAGGAGCGCATCCAATGCACAATTTGATGGTGCGCGAGTGGGAGCCTTGTACTCGAACACAACAAACCTATTGGGAAATATGTGTATCAGGGTGTGCAGATTGAAGCGTCATCAATCCACATGATTTGTGACTAAGCCAGGGGTGGATGCACTGATGCGCAGGTCGAGCCAGGGGACGTACGCCGCGCAGAGCCGGGACCCCTACTCGGCGAACTACTCGCCGACCACGGTCTACATCGGCGGCTCCTCCGCCTATGCCCCCCGCGCAGGCAATTATTGCTTTTAGAAAATTACATTTTTTTACAATTCCTTCACAGCTATTCGCCGTGCTCTTGCACAGCCTCCTGTCACCTTGTCACCTCGTAGCTCACCACATTCCTGTACATATTGCACAGTGCAATCCAAGCATATTTCTACATACTTTTTGGCGCTCGCACTGCTTTCGCATCAACAATACAGTGCGTCTAATACATCTGCACTTGCTACGTCAGTAACTGAACTTCAGTAATTAGGGTGTGGGAGGGCACGCCGCTGCCTGGCATTATTTTTTATATTATTACCTTTTTATACTGCGTGCACAACCCATAAAAAGTGAGTCATGGCCGGGGGTTGAACCTGTGACCCCCCTGCGCAGGCGCGTTCCCCGTTACGGCACCAGCCCCAGCCCCGACCGTGTCGGCGCTCGCCCCCCTCGGCCCGCTTGGGCCGGCGGCGGCCGCGGCGGCGCAGAACACCTCGTTTGGCGAGACGCAGTTTACCGGGGTCGGGCCTATCTACAAGAAGCAGGACTCGCTCGAGCCGGTGAGTCAAATTCGCTGCACCAGAAGAACCGGCTCTCTGGAGCTGGGGAGTTCTTTGAAACAGCGAGGCTGTGTCATTTTTGCACAAAATGCAAATCACTGGCGTTTGGCACCTCTGGCAACAAGCAGGAGTCGCTTGAGCCGATGAGTGCTGCTGCGGCTCCCTCGCGTTGGAACATGGCGTGTTTATGTACTGTATGATTCCACCAATGGTTGCTGCAGCAGTGAGAGGCCCTACTCAGCTAAGCATTTGGCTGTGAACCCATGCTGCAGTGGGATCGGTTGCCTGGCAGACAGCATGAAAATGGCCGCTTGGGTGTCAGGGGCAGATCTGTCTGTTGAATAATTGCCTCTGCAACGCTCGATCAAGGCTGTTATGTGCCAAAAAGCTTTGACCAACCTTCTGACCTGAATTTGATGCTCCCTCCTCTCCTGCAGTGCTGTGAGCACTGTGGAATGCAGCAAAGATAGCACACACTATCCTTCTTGTCAATATATCATGCTTGTTATATGCGTCTTTCGATGTTTGACATGTGTGTTATCCCATGCGCGCAGTTCTATGCAAACCTGTACGGTATCCCGGTGCCGCAAGGCCAGTCAGACCCTGACATCTTCATCACCCTGGAGGTCCTGGGGGAATCGACCGATGTGGGCCTCTACTGCAACCCCGGCTGGGGGCAATACGCCGATGTTAATGCCAACTACCCGCAACCCGGCTATGCCATCTGGCAGTCAGGTGCAGCTTCTTTTAATTCCCTTCGCCACAAATTGTTGCATTTTATGAGCTTGGAGAAGTACTGTAAGTAGTGACAGAGACTGTGTCCCCTGCCTCTTCAAATGTGCCACGTTTAACAAATTTGCTTCCTGCCTCTCAGAAAAAGCTGTTTTCTGCCATATTGGTGGCTTTTGTATACGTCACATTGGTGCTTGGATCACAGAGAGAAACTATGACCCAAACCACCTATTCATGAAAACTGACTAGCCTGAAACCTGGCGCTTTCTTGGGAATATCACAGCCAGGTATTGTGCGAAATCGAAGCTCAATGAGAGTGTCTGTGCGCAGACCTGTCAAACGATGTGGACACGGTGTTCATCAGCAAGAATGACCGCCTGTATCGGCCCCCATACGCGCGCGAGCCAAACACCACCGCATACAACAACTACCAGCCCTACTTCATCTGCTCGGTGCGCGCCACCTGAAACCCCTCGAATTGTTCAGTTCGCAGCCAAGTCAGGAACAGTAGGGCTCTGGGCGCTAAACGAGGCGTGGAGCATGAAAAAGAGGTGTCAGCTGGAGTGTCGCTATATTGTCAGTTTGTCCCTCAGGCATGTCGTGGGATTTTGCACAACCAAGTGAGCGCAGCTGCTGGAAACAAAGGGAAATTCAGACATGCGTATTATGGATGGACTGCTCGAAGGGGTACGGTTGGGGGGCTCGGAAATTTGTATGCATTGATAACTAACGCGCGGTCCCCCCTGTCGGCAGGTCATAAACATGGACCCCGCGCGCCAGGTGGCGTACAGGATGGAGGCTGACCTCATCAACAACTCGGGCGCCCTGTCTCCCCTCGAGCAGCGAGCCCTCTCCAACATCTTCAACAGGTGGGTGCCTTGAATCCAAATTTGACAAAGCAAGTCTCAACTAGTAGTAAGAACAGCGCGCTTGCCTTCCGATACTCATCATAAGGGTCCACCAGGCATAGTGTGGGAGCCTTGTAATGTCTTGACATTCAGCTGTTCCAGATTGCAGCTGCTGCATCGGCTCCGAGGCAGTCGGCAGCGGTTGGCAGGAACCCCTGGTAATTATGCACCATTCTGCCACTGAGGCTGTGAACGGTACTTTCTGACGGGGTTTTGCCAGGCAAACCTGCAGCTGCTGCATCGGCTCTGCAGCTGTCTGCTAAGTGTTGTTCTTGCCCACGCTCTGACACTCGTTCCTTTTGAATCTGCAGCTGCTGCGTGGGCTCCGCTGCAGTCTGCAGCGACTGGAAGGCTCGCAACGCGAAGGAGGGAGGCAAGCTGTTCACCGATTGGTGCCGTTTCCCGGGGCAAATTTGCACGGCCAATGGAACTCTGCTAAGACTGGACATGCGCGGCTATAACCTTCAGTGCCCCTTCCCCGCCACTGACCTGGCGGTGTTTACTAGCTTGACCACCCTTAACCTCGGCCGCAACCCTAACATGACGGTGCGCCTCCCTTGCCCAACTTGTTGCTTTCTTTCTTTCTCAGCGGTCTTGTGAGAGCAGATCCCCGGATTTGTGTGGCACTGGTGTGGCACTGGTGCAGTATTGTCCCAGCGGACAGCAGCAATTCCTAATCTTATTGTCCACAGCAATGCTATCAGCTGCATGGTGAAGAATTGTGTCCATTGTTTGCTGAAAGAAGCGTGCTCTTTTGCTTACAAGTACCCTCTTGCCGCTCTCGAGATATGCTTGAAAAAGGGCGTTGCAGCAGTAGTTCTTTCATGACACGAGGAGCTCATGTGTATATATTGGGACGCTAACATCGGTATAGTGAAGTTATGTAATTTCGCATTGCTGCAGGGGACGGCGATAGATGTGTTCTCTGCTCTGGCGAACGCGAAGAGCCTGCGCCATGTCAACCTGTACCGTAACAGCGGGCTCAGCGGACCGTTGACGCCGGCGCTGTCCGTAACGGGCGGAGGTCTGTGCCAGCTGGCAAAGCGGTCACTCAATACTCTGACCATTGAGGGCGTGGGTCTGACCGGGGGCGTTCCTGCCTGCCTGCTGAACAATGGCAGCCGCCTTGTTGAGGTGCACTTGGGTGAGGCAACTTTTCAAATTTCAATGTCCATTTGCCAAATTGCAGTATGTGCCAATGTCTGATTTCCATAATTTCAGACTGGCTTTGTCTCGATGGGGAGAATTCTCAATCAATGCAACCTTGAAAAGTTGTGATTTCTGTGGCAATGCCTGTTGCATCAAGCTCCCATGCACCAGCAGGAGCCTTTCTGGCATCTCTGTGCAATATGATGGATTGCTACTTGGCTGCAAGTGATTGCTGTCCTGCATCTGTTATGTGTGCTTTGCTTACACGAGTTGTCTTCTGTGCGCAGGTAACAACAACCTCACTGGCTCCATTCCCAATGTCATTGCGCCCTCTTCCAAGCTGCAGGCAGGCTCCTCTTGCCCTCATCTTTTTCTATAACAACACCCTTGTCACTTGTCTACTCCAGCCTTTATTTTTTGTTCTTGGAATATATGAACATGGCAAATCTTGGCAAGGAAAGCATGGCTCAGCATTGCAAGTGAGCTGGCAGTAAGTACTGTGCTGTTGTTGCCTGCCCATGATGTCCACTCACAAGGCTATGAACTGAACTCGATGCTCTGCTCTGTATGTTCACATCTATCCTTTCAAGTCTCCTGCATTTAAGAGCCCAAGTCTCAATCTCATGGTGACCCGAATTCGAATTCGGATTCGAATTCAATTCAATTTCGAATTCTACTGCGCGCAGGTTCTGACAGCGTACAACAACCAGCTTACGGGTGTGATTCCTGCGTCCATCGGCAATGCAAAGCAGCTGAGCAACTTTGACATTACCAACAACGCAATCTTTGGCACCATCCCGGCCTCCCTTGGAAACATCACCACCCTCAAATACGCCATTCTCAAGTTCAACAAGCTCACAGGTGCGCACCGCTCTCAAACCTGAGAGGCACCTTTAAAAATGTTTGCACGCGCTTGCAGGATGCTTATAATTGTGTCAAGTAATTGGTCTAGGAGTACAATTGTATGCCACCCTCCTTAGGATAAGCGCGGAAAACTGAAACGAGCATATTTTTTTTGTTGTGCATGCCATGCATTCTGAAACATCGCACATCAGTTTTTATATATGCAGCGTTTTCCTGCTTGCAGCAGTCTGTCACCCGTGTGGCCTGTGGCTCTTATTGCTTTGCTCTTGCCGCAGATGCCTTGTCTATCTATGTATTGGCGCATTGCCCTCAGCCATCTGGGTGCTATCTTTGAGAATTTTTTCCTCTTTTTACCTTTTTCTTATTTTTCCTTTGTTTTTTGCTTTCTTTTCACCCTCAATTAGCCGCAGGGCTCCACTTCACATGTGAGAAGACGATTTCTTTCAGCTCATTTTTCGCTTTCTTTAACATTCAATCAGCCGCAGGGCTCCACTTCAAATGTAGGAAGACGGTGTTGACAAGCTTGTCCTGTGCCATCCAACAGGCAGCATTCCGAGCGCGCTGGCGACAAACACAAACCTGGAGACTTTGGATGTGAAGGGCAACCGACTGAGCTTGCTCCCAGACGAGTGGATAACCGGTTACCCCACTGTGGTCAACTCATCATTGGTCAACGTGCGCCTCTCCTTCAACAACTTCTCCGGCGGCTTCCCGGCGGCTCTTGCAGCTGCCCCCCAGCTCACCTTCCTTGTCATCAACAACAACACCCTCAGGTGCGCGTGTTTCCTTCTCCTCTTGTTAATTCATGTATGGTGGTATTGGCTTCGGTCAAAATGTCCGTGGTCAACTCTAAGCGAGCGCCTTGCACGTGAGTAAGGTTACCATTTTTTGTGCACAGTTGAGTCGTGAGAATATTCCATTGTGCACGGTTCACTGTGCGGCTGTCGTCATGCTGAGGTCTGGTGCAGACTTCCTAAGCAACATACGGCATCATTTTTCTGTGGCTATCGAGGAATCATTTACTTGCTTGTTGCTAATTTTAGCAAATTGAAGGCAATGCATCGTGAGACAGCGAGGTTCATCAAGTCAAGCACCGCTGCCGTCATATGAGAAGCCCTTTGTTCAACCAAAGGAAGTATGAAGTGTACTACCTTGCAAAGATGCGTGGTGACTGATATGTTGTCGGGTTGCTGTGCTGCAGCGGCCCGCTGCCGACCAATGCCACAGTGGGCAGGGACTATTTCCCGGCCCTGCGCGCGATGAACATTTCCCACAACGCATTCTCCGGTTCGCTGCCCTCTGCCTTCAGCAGGAGCGGAGTCTTCACGGTGAATCCTGCTCTTCTGTTGCTGCGCTTCTCCCCTCTTATGTGATGTGCTGTTTCTGCTGTCTTCCAGTTTGGGCTGTTAGACGCAGAGCTAGAACAAGTACTTCTTGTATACTTTTTGCTTATGTTCGCCATCCGTATTTGCACGGGACAAGATCGGGTGGGTTAACTTTTCCCACCTGCAGGTATGAGAGGCTTGACTGTTGGCTTTCAAATTTTCACCTGCACTCATGCAAGGCGCATATCTCCATGTAGTAATGCATGCAACTCTCAAACGTGACCATTTACAATAGAAATTGGACAAGGAAGTCTGGCAGACCTTGGCATCCCCGTGAACACTGCTTGACGCTCTTTGTGGTGTGCCTCGTGCTGCAGCTCAAGCCGCTGCAGTTTGCGGACGGAGAGATCCTGATGCATGTCTTCGACGTGAGCTACAACAACTTCAGCGGCCGTCTTCCCAGCTTCCTGGACTTCACAAACGTGCCCGAGTATGCGCAGCGCGGGATCTTCATCGCGGTAAGTTCCTTTTTTTTACTTGTCCTTTCTCAGGACTGGATTTCTTGTGCTACTACATGTCGGAGTGTGTGCCAGTCCTCATAGGATGCGTTAGCTATACAAGGCTGTGCTTTCCTGGCAACCTGCTGCATGGCTGACCCATCTCGAATGCTCAGTCAGTACAAAATCTAAGGTGTACATTGGGGTTGTTTCTCCTCACAGTTGCCACCTTACCTTTTAATGCCCAGCCTTTGCATTGCACATGTCTTTTTTTTAATTGCTAAGGCCTTGACTGCTGCCCTATTGTCTCTTTGCTGCCGCTTTGTGGGCACCGTGTTTACCAAATTCACAACCCTGTACCTCTAGACTATGTGGAATCATCTGGAATGGGTACTTCTCAGAATCTGGTATAATTGGCTGCTGTTCTGCGCAGGGAAACAATTTCACCTACTCCTGCAACGCGCAGCAGAGCTACATAAACGACATCTGCCTGCCGGGGGCGGCTCCCTCGCCGAGTCAGCTCCCCCCGCTCGGAACAACCACCCCTGGATCGCGCACAGCTGTCGGTGGGCTGCCCAGAACTAATGCCACCCTGCCCTCCAACAATGGAAGCCTGCCCGGCCAGATGGTCTACCCAGGTGCGGAAATTTCACATGTTATAGATGAAAGCAGTGCAGACATGAAGGCAGTGCCAGAGCCCGGGAGTGAGAACTGAGGGCTTCTTGGCACAAGAGCAATACGTGCAACAAACAAGACACTTTGAAAATCTCTGCATGCCTTGGCCTTTGTGCTGCTTTGCCCTCAGGCCTGGAGTGAGATATTGCCTTGTAGAGCCTTCAAGTTGCCAGAGCTTGTCCGTTTGCAGGGCGCACTCGCCAGTTCCTCTTGTTCTATTCCCCTTGCTTCTGCTACATTCGACGTGTCAGGAAGGCTTGAGCTCTGCTTGAGGCCCAGGTTCAGAGAAATTCACAGCATTTGTTGTCTGCGGCTGTGATGTAAAAATTTGCTGCGTGTTGAGCAAATCACGAATGGTAATGCGCACCTCTTCTGGTGACACAATGTCGAAAAGATGTGGATGCTGATTCATGTTGTATTTTGTGGGTACAGGTGGCACGTACCCCAATGGACAGGTCAGCCTGCCAGGAGACCCGAGTGGCAGGACATCTGCCAATGCAGTCTCAGCCGGTCAGCCTGTTGACATCCAGAGGTGAACACCTTACCTGTCTTTATTGATCCTGCACACACATCGGTATGCTTGCTGTCTTGGTGTACCCTTTGCACAGACGTGTGCACTTGCTGCAAAGCCTGGTTCCCATGTGCGCATGCTCGTATGTGAATTTTAGAAAATAAGCACCACCACTATCTGCTCCCATCCTCTGTACAGCACTGGCCCAGTATCTGCTGCAGAATAAATTCAGCACTACCAGCGTCTATCTTGCTGGGCAAGGGCAACATGGTAGATAATTTGTGAAATTTGTGGGGTAGATCCAGCACTAAGGAGGCAGGAACTACCAGGTGACGAGGCTGGCATGGTTTTGCTGTGCGCAGGGCGCCGCAGAATGGCAGCAAGCAGGGATTGAACGGCGGCCAGGTCGCTGGCATTGTGATTGGAGTTCTGCTTGCTTTGGCGCTCACGGCGGTCATTGCATTTCTGGTCGTCTGCCGGAGGAAGAGGGTATCCGGCGCGCCAAACCAGGTGAGACCTCAAATTCCAATCTTAAATCTTTGAAACTTCTGGCAACCGCATTGCCTTCAGGTCTGCATCTCTCATTGTCCAGTATTTAAAGACTTCCTCTGCTTGCAGTGCCTTGCATGTCCTTCTCGCTTGCAAGCACGCATGCAAGCTGAATCATAGGACTTTCAGTTTTAAGGTGCCTCTAAAAGGGCTTCCTTGCCTGCATAAAGATCTGCGCTCTAGAATAGGCAGTGTGTTGATGGTCGTGTAGTAACACTTACTCATGCGTCGGTTTCGCGCCAGGCGGGCGGCAAGAGCGGCGGGGGCCTGGGTGGCCTCAAAATCGGCGGCGGCAACAAGTTCGAGCGTTTCAACGACGGCCTCGAAATGAGCGAGAGCACTCGCCACATGGAGGGCTTCGGCTCCGGCCAGCGGTGAGCGGCGTTCCCTTCTCCGCGCGCCGGCGCAAGGGGAAAGCGGCGTTCTCTCCCGGGCACAGCCGCAACTGGGGAGCGGCGTTCCCTTTCTCGCGCGTCGGCCAATGAGCGGTGTTCCCTTCTGGGCACACAGCCACGACTGTGGAGCGGCGTTCCCTCCGCTGTACACGGCCGGCAAAGGGCATTCCCTCACATGCGCGCACCCGCCGCCGAGCCGAGGTGCCATCCAGTCAGGGACGTGCCCGTTGGGGCGCTGACTGGATATAGTTGCCTGGATATTGGGTGTTGCAAGCGGGCATCTGTTGCATGGGGTTCCCTTGGGTGGGTGTGAAGGAGTATATTTCTTCTTCATGAGTGCAGGGAGACTCCTTTCCTCCTTGCACACCGGCAAGCGGTGTTTTGCTGCAAGGCTGCAAAGTGCTCATCATGCTGCCTGCTGATTGCGCTGCAAACTGTTTCTTGCAGCTTACGGGCTCTGAGAGGGGTCTATGGGCTATCCTTGAGGAAGGACTTCAGAAAATGAATGTGGGCATGTACTTTACTTGAACATGACATGACACATGACAATGGAGGTTGGTCAGTGACAGTGCATGAAAGTTGTTGTTGCCATGGAAAGCTTGGCTTGTAGAAAATGGTGGCAGATTGGAAGGGAGCATGCATGCAAGGATCCTGGAAAGGTGAACACCATATGAGTGATTGAAGAACTTGTTTTCACAGCTGAGTTGGCCATATGGCTTGACTCTGACCAGGTTTAGACCGATGTTGACATGATTTTTGTTTGTAGCTGCGCGAACTCGATGAGAGAATGGCTGAAGTGTCTCAATTCAAGCTTTTGCATATTTGATTGCAGTGCTCATCTGTTTGTAGGGATGATGCCAGCGCACATCTGTAAAGGATGCTGCACAATACAACACTGCCTTTGCAATAACTGTGGCGCCATATGCTGCATGTCTGAATTCCAAAAGGTTTCATTATTTCCTCATCATAATACATTTGTCGCATCATGAGCTACACTTCATATCACACATCATGGTGATAACAATATCGGGAACCCTGAATATAAAGCTTGTGGAACAGTCAGTCAGTCAGTCCCAGTCAAGTTACATAAATTCCAGTAATTTGGCTGATCTCTGTTCTGTAAGACTACAATAATCCCCAGGCGTACAGACGTGTTTTCCAGTGCACATTCTTCCACTTCTGCCTCACCTCTGCCCACCAGCCTTGCCTCTTCACAAAATGCCAGCCATTTTCAGCTGGTTCTCAACTGAACATGTTCATGCCCTATTTAGCGATGTGTACACTCCTGCTCCTCTTGCAAAATCAAAATAAATCAAATTAAAATATTGAGACTCTCAGCTTGAGAGACTACAACAAGCAAATGCTTGAAGGCTTGGTCATGTGCAAGTTTCCTCAGCTGCTCACTGATCATGAGCCTCACCGAGGCACAACTCTGCAACAAAAGGTTGCTTTGCAAAGCTCAAATTTTCCCAGAAACTTGAGTTCTGCAAGCTCTGCCACCAGCACAGGTTCATCTTCTGCTCGCGCAGTGCACTCACATCCTGCGCTATGCTTTCCCAGGCAAGTGCTCAAGATTGACCCTTCCCATGATAAAACCAGCCGACATCAACTGGGAAAGCTGCAGTCGTTCTCCAACAAGCAAGATCTCCCTCTAGGCTGCTTGAATACACTCCATCTTATGCTGGCTCACCCAGTGCCTTCTCTGACAGTTCCTGTCGCAGTACCTGACACGCTTGCAGCGCTGACAGAGCTGCAGCTTGTGATTATGCTCCCGGCAGTTGTCGCATCTGCATAGTATCACCATCCATGTTCATCCTCTGCATATAGTGTGCTCAAATATCCTTGACAAGTGTTTCTGGAGTGTTTCTGTCCAGATGAACGCAGCATGTGGACAGAAACCTCCTCAGTAAAAGCTTTAAAAAGTCTTGGGATCATTCGCGCTAAATCATGTAAAGAGGTTCAAGCGCTTCGGTGAAAAGCATGACTTTGCTGTATATGTGAGGGTCGGCAAGGCACGGCATGCTGTCATAGAGACATCTCACTTGAATTCCAAGAGCTATCAGGAGTGACTGGGTTACCCAGCAGAGCTGCTCACCTAACATATGCGAGTGATTCCATGACTTCCTGCTGCGTGAATCGAGGAAGCTCTCTGTCTGCAAAGGAGGGGTCAAGCTTGACGCTGTCCTTCATCCGCGCTGCCATTCCCAGGGTCATTCAGTAGCCGTCAGCCTCTGCCAGATACTTGACGTGCAGTGGCAGCAGGATCCCAGTCTTTCTGCAGCGGAACTCGCCCCAGCTGTCGAGCAATTTCACGCCATCCTTGGCCTGATCACCAATGACTTCTTGGCATCCTGTCAGGACTATGAATGACCACTTTGATACAGTGGAATCTTGATATGATTGGCGCATTCTGTGACGGCAAAATTCATCACAGTGGCCAATTTTCGCACTGTGCCTCGATGGGGATGCCCTTGCTGCGACCTGGGCAGCTCAAGGTTCCCAGCTCCTAGCAGGGCTGGATTGCTATTAATGTCTCCAAGTATCAATATTGGCCAGCTTGATGGTGTAGTTGCAATTGCACAGGCGTGCCCCTTGTGCAGGGCCAGCACTCCGTCTCACACAAAAGGCAAGGACCAGCGGAAGACGTCAATGTCATTCCTTCAGATTTGGGATTTTTAGGTGCATGTGGCACCACAAAACAGTGCACACAGCGCACCTTTTTGGCACATTCGAGGAAGGTAGACACTCGAATCCTCTTGTCTGGCCGGCTGCCATTGATGAGCATGAGCTGGCACTGCATCAAACGTAGGGGGGTCGCCTTGAGCTCATTGTTTTGCTCGTCAGCGCATCTCAGCCCTGGCAAGAGTTCCTGCAGCAAACGTTGACATATTCAGTATCAGTCGCACTCCCAGTGCAATGCTTAGGATGGGCAGCACAAGAACATGTGCACCTATCACAGGCGCTCGTGCCAGTGCTTTGTATCAGACACACTACAGATGGAAGAGGATGACCCGCATGCATGGCTGCATGCCAACATGCAGTCATCTTTGAACGTGTACAAAACAGAAGCTCACTTGCAGACAAGCGCCAAACGCGCAGAGGGGCATATGACAGGATTCCACTTTTTATGACTGTTGCACGGCAGTGAAATTGAGCTTAGGCTAGGTACTGTACCCGGTAGGCTTGCACTGGGTCGCGCTTTATGTTCAATTGGTAACTGGCCGCATAGTGACTGGTCCAGGGCCAGTTTTCACTGGGACTGATTTCCTTCATCCTCCGCACGTTGCTGCCCCTGTCTGAGACCACCCTGGAGTTTATCTGTGAGGGCAGGTTGTCCCGGTTCCCTAACAGTGTAAGGCCGTGGGCGAGGGCCATGCGCATCACTGTCTCCACTTGGACCGCTGTCAGTCCGTGCCTGGACCAGGAACAGAATCTCTGAGAGGAAGATTCAATCCTCTTGATCTCGGATTGAGATGCGTTGAACTGAGATGCAACGAGAAATCTCATTGCACTGATGACGCTGCGGGAAGATGCTAAATGCATCATAGAGGCTCTATGCGATTTTTCCCTGGCGTGCATGGCAGCAAGCTTGCAAAGGTGCAATTCAGGCATTGACAAGCAAATTCGATCAGGGGAACTTGAACACAGGCACTATCAGGTCTCACACATCATGCTGTACATGACTGTGATGAGTTCAAGCAATGGTGATTTGAAAAGGAGAGAGTATACCTTTGCAGTATGCTGTCCCAGTCAACATCGGTCCTTTTGAGGGCTTCCAGGGCCACAAGAGCAAGAGCTGTGCCTCCAGATTCGTCACGATCATCTGCCTTCAACGAAAAGAGGGGCAGTGCTATCAGCATCTGCATCGCACTGTTTATGCGTTTGGCCTTGTCTGTAATGCGCTCCCGGGTGGATGCATCCTCGTAGCTCAGCTCTGGAATTATGTACACTTCACCTGCAGAGCCAGGGTCCGGGTAATTATGTAATCCACTTGATCCTAAGGCACCAGCTTGACCCCTAGGTGAAGCAAATCTAGTACATGACATGCAAAACAGGGATGCGAAGACAGGCCAGGCCAGCTATCAAGCTGATGTCAGGTACCCATGCACAGTAGATGCTTGTGCAAGTTGCAAATGGTGTTACCAGCGGATTTAGCAACTGTCTGATACATGCAAGGAAGCAGATGGCAGCCGATGCAGGCACAATTCAGCGCTGAACTACTGAGCGCCAGCACATGTCTCTAAATGCTCTGAGCAGTCCCCCTATACAAGAGGGACTGCTCAGGAGTGCGAGAATCAAGTATTGGAAGGATGTAAACCTGTCGCGGTGAGGGGGAAATTCGGCGAAGTTAAGTTGGCGTACAGCTTGACCAGCATTCTGATGTCATGGTCGATCCTTGGACACCAGGAATCTGAAGCAGGGCACCCACACAAAGCACATGTTTGTCACAGGACTAAGAGACTGCCTTTGTCAGCTGGTGTGTTAAAACTTTGAAGTGAAGAGTTCTTACCTTGCAGGAGGCATATCTTGAATAGCTTGACCAGGCACTGCAGGGCACCCACACAACGCAATGTTGGTCACATGGGTTTACATTGTGCAAGACTGTCAGACGGTGCGCTTGACGTATCAAAGCGAAGAATTATACCTTCACCATGTTGTCGTAGTCTTCTTGCCTTCCTGAGAAGGGACGCGTTATTTGCAGCAGCTGCATCATTTCCAGTTGCAGCTGTTCGCCTTCAATGACAGTCTTCATAGCACCGCTGCGTTCTTCAGAGCTGATGGCCATTGCGGCACAGTACGAGCATTTTCCTCGAGAAAAGTCATCACCAGGTCTGTTGAACATTCCACATACATGGGATCGAGGAAGACTCATCCCTGGAACAGCATGCAACACTTCTCAGGAATAACCTGTAAGCTAATTCTCCGTGATGGATTTCAGATAATGAAACATTGAGGGAATACACTTCACGTCTTGCGGGAGATGGGAGGTCGACCTGGCTCGTAGAGCGAGGGTCTCAGAGCTTGCAAAACTTCAGGGGTCAACATGGGGATCAAACGGACGTCAATTCCTGGGCCTGGTGTCAGATCCATGACGAAAATATCGCAGAGCACAGATTTGAAGGGGCGGACAAGTTCTTCACAGCGATTTGGGCCAAAGTTTGGGAGTTTCTCTCCCAATCTGAAGTCCCACGGATCTCGGTGCCCAAACTGCCCGAAGTGCCTGCCACAATTGGGCAGCTTCTTAGAAATGATGGGAAGCTTCTGAGGCTATGTGGCACCTCTCTCTGCCCATTGTAGTGACAAATCTGGCTTCGGGGTTAAGTTCTCAGCTAAGGCCATTTCGCTACCTTGCCAGACTTTGAAGATTTTTGGGGTGTCCTTGAGCATTCCTCCCAAACCCCAAGGGGAACTTTCGAATCCCTCCATGGATGCCTAGGGGCTGTCAAATCCTGTGCCAGGTTCATGTCCCCCTCGCACAGCTAATGCAGCATCACTAGAAATTTTAGTTGTTTTACAGTTCCCATGGATATAGGATTTGGGTGGGTCCAGCAGCATGTGTGCCATTTTCTGCATTTAGTTCAGTCATAGCAGGGCTGAGATACATCTCCAAAACACCCAAAACTTTTTATTTAATGCCTCGGCAATATGCGCTGGCACGTTGTTCAGTGGGATTTCCTCTGTTCTCGCCTGCCGAGAACCCCTGCCACTATGGATGGTATGCTGGTTGATAATTGCGATAGTATCCAATAACAGCCAAAAAAATGAAATGATAAAAGAAAAAACAATATTGGCCTGATGCAGAGGACATCCTCAGAAGTGCTTGAGCATACTCGTGAGGATCAATAGCCTGTGTGCAGAGTAAATCTTTTAAATGGTTCTCAAGTCTCTTTGAGAGTTTATTGCAGACGCTTGACCATGTGAGGGGCTTCGTGGAACCTGCAACCAAGCTTCAGGTGAGTTGCAGTTGCATGTGCACCGAGTGCATGCCATGGGTACAGAACATCACATATGCATGTTGCAAGACAGCGGGCAAGTACTTCTAGAATGTGTGGCAGTACTGTGGCAGCAAGGGGAGTCTTCGTTGATTACAACGTTTGATCTTCTCAGCACTTCTATATATGTCTTGCGTGGCAATGCTACAGAGCAAGGAATGCCCACCCTAACACCGCCATGCACGAATGGACCCCACAAAAAATGGCGCAGGAATGGTTTCCCAGTACAGTAGCTGAAGGTAGTGTACTTTGGTGACAGCAAGGGAGCTCACTCCCTGTCGACAGCAATAGGTGCAGCATTTTTTTGAAGTTTTTTGCCTGGTGCAACAGAAGTGCTCGACAAATTATCATCAGGCCCATAAAAGCAACAATGGCATTCGATGCAAGCATTTGCAGCACAGTCAGATCTCTGCACTGCTGCCTGAGCACCCTTCTCCTCAAAGAATCCCCAGAAGAGAACAGCACATTGCTCTACCCATGATCAGCCTTTCCATCTTGCAACAAACCCGAGACGCGCCGAGCTATGCAGCCTGAACTGCTAGCAAGCGTTTTTCAAGAGCGCAGAATACCACGGTGCAGCAGCGCTGCGCATGCATGCATTCACGATGCAAACATCAACCTGCACTGCCAGGCTAGTCCAAGGTTGTTGCGGATATTCCCCAATCAGGTCCCGCTGCAGAAAAGATGCGACGCCGCCTGACGGTGGTAGGACCCCCCAAGTGCATGGTTTGGCAAGCAGGCTGGAGGGTACGCAGCGTGATGGTGGCAGGACCCCCCAGGCGCCTGTTTTGGCGGGCATGCGGGAGGCAACGCCGCCTACTGGTGGCCGGGCCAGAGGCATGTGAGAGGGATGGTGATTCCCTGGACGTCGACTGAGGAGGGGATGGCGCATGTGCCGATGTTCTTGGTGATGTTGTTGCCGAAGGGGTTCGCCAGGTGGGCGCCCAAGTTGGCCAGCGGGCCCTGCAAATGACAGCACAGCCTTCTCAGTACTGCAGGCATCGATGTCTGCTGCACCAGCAGGTGACTTGCAAGATGCCGGTTCTTGTGCCGAAGCTGACAAGGTATGACCTCAGATCTATCATTGCAGGACTTGATCAACCAAATCATGATTGGCAAGGCCTGGCCAAGGCCAGAATCGCACTGTCACAAAGGTCACCAAAGGAGCCTCCCTAGCATGGTCTAGGAGCAAGAAATGATAAGTACGAGCACGGCAAGCCAGCGAGAATGAGAAATCAACTCAGGAATCAAATGAAGAGTACCTGTCCGGTTGCCTGTGCCTGGATGATGAAGCCCACGAAGGCAACCATCGCGAGCCGCCCGTTCTTGATCTCCTTTGTCTGCACCTCCTGTGGAAACACACAGACAGGTTAAGATGTACTCCTTAGTGCCTGAATATAAAAAAAATAGGCACTGAAATTCTGTATGGGGGTTTCAATGAAAGTACTGACCCCACGAAAATAAGTAATCAGCACACGTGCATATAAGTCCTGCCTGGGTCACACTGAGGCAGTCCTGATCCTGTAATGCTTGCGAGGCTGGGTGCTTGATAGTGTGCAAGGTTGCTACATAGCGATGTGAACAATGACACAGTCAGCTACACTGACATATGATGAATGTTGTTGAGTAATTTGGCCACTAATAGTGACTAATGTACCTTGAAGTTGCCCTTGGAGAAGCCGAAGGGGTCGAAGATGCCGCCGGGGTATCCGAGCTCAGGGTTGGGCACCTTGTTGCCCTTGAAGATAGGATCCTGCACCGAAACAAACCGGTTCCCTCAGCTTCCAAAATTGTAGTAGTTGTGCCAGTACAGTGTGCATGACAGTTAGTGCATGGCACCCTATTTCTCATCTCCCTGTTGGCCTCCCTCTTATACCCATCATTGCTGCCCTTCACCCGGCCAAATGACCCCCGAAGCACTCTCCAAAGCACTCAAGTGCACCCATACTGGATTTCTTTCAGCTCGTCTTTTAGATCTTAGTATGACTCGATAACAGGTGTGCTGCAGTGAGCCGGCCACTTCCATCGCTTGTGAGATGCGCAGCAAAAACACATACGCAGTAGCACCAAGTGAACAGAACCTGGAGCTGTGATCTACTGTTGAAGATTGGCCCTCCACTGGTGAACGCCCACCACTGCCCTTCCGGGAAAGAGGGCCATGAGCTTTACATCTCCATTAACAGATCCGGCACGTCTTTACGCAGATCTTTGGATCAAGACACGAAGACCGTGATCACATCACGCCATCCCTCCTAACGGAGGCTGAAGGAGCAAAGGCTGACTGCATGCAGCTGTCGAGTCTGCACATCCTTGGCTGCACATGTTTGCCCACCAGTCTCGTTACAAATGCACTTGGAAATTAAATAAATGGGCTCACCTGGTTTACAGAGTCCTTCTTCTTGATGTCCTGCCAGCGGCGGACCTCTACCCAGTGGAACAGAAGGAACTCCCACGCCAAGAGGCCGCCCAAGTTCACCTGGAAGCACCAGCCGCTTAGGAAAGATTGACCACCCACGTCTGTGAATCGCGGCAAGCACTTTTCCTTTGCCGGACAGGACCATCTCATGCGCTCAAAAGCATGCTGCGGTGACTTATGGGCTCCATGCCAAACTCGCTGATTGCATCCCAATGACTTGCTGAGTAGTCGTTCATAGATGCAAGCAGGACAGTTGCATACAAGGCTCCTTCATGAGAACGTCCATCAATTATCCTCACAAACCCACTCCATGCTGCACAGCTTCCCAAGCCCCCTCTGCAACGCTGCCCAGGGTCAAACGAGAGCACCCCTTCTGAAGTTTATTGCACGCTTTGCAAATTGGGGTGGGATTCTCTGATTGAGTATGTTCCGTTGTCAGTCCCTGAGCTGGGCAGCCCACCTTGCCCTCTGGGCCGCCAAAGTTGATGCCGGGCAGGTTCTCGGGCAGGCCGGCGTTGTAGAAGAACACACCAGGCTTCACGATCTCCTGCGCCAATATGCCAGCAACTGCCAACATCGCCCATCTCGCGTGCACCAGCTCTGCCTGTCTGTACCTGCGCGCACACCCCAGATGCAATCCCGTCAGCATCCTTGCATGTGCCACGGCCCAGGGGCCTTGGAGACAATGCCTCGCGTTTGCCCCAGTAAGCAGGATGTGCATACTTGAGATGTATTAACAGGAGGCAGGCACCACAGGGGGCCACTGCAGCTCCTTGGAATGAGCTGACTATTGAGTGGCAATGTGAGGAACAAAGGAGACAGGCAGTGTCCAGGGACGCACCACTTCAGGGCCTCGGGCTTGGCACCCAGGCCGAGGGGGTCCCAGCCGTAGTCTCCTGCTAGCTCGCCATTCAGGTACGATGGGGCCTCCACACCTGCAGCCCAGATAAGAACGTGGGTCAAGTGAGGTCCTCGAGCGAGGCAATCAGAATTGGTCTTCTTAGATGGACGCGAACCTCACAAACTACACTAAATACGCATTGAGATTTGACTCAACGATCGGATCAATTGACTGCAGACTAAGAGTCTCCCTTTGCGTGGGTAGACCTCAGTCTTATCCACCTCGGAAGACCCCCAACTGAGCAGGAGACTCCAGTGCATCGGCGTATTGACAACATTGTCAATTCATATCAATCACTGCATCTGCATGCAAGTCTAGGTTGTGGAAACGGAATTTTTCCAGCACTCCTATCTCCTGTCGATCAGCTGTCGATCTCGAACAGCGCCACAGCTGTCTAGGACAGCTGAGCAACGCACCGGGAGCCCACAGGCGTCTGCCTTGTGAAGCTGCTGCCGAGACTTGGAAGGTGGATCGGGGAGCAGGACCCGCGCGAGCCTTGCTCACCACCTTCCTGCCGGTCAGGAATGCCGGGGCTGCGTTGAGAGCTGTGAAGGTGGCTGCCATCGCGGGCAACTGCTGCTCCCTGGGATTTGTTTCACGAAAGGAATGCACCTGCAATCCAATCTGACAGTGACTGCGTTCGCTGTGGTCGCTTGCTCGCAGCCAATCACAACGTTACCCGCAGCAGATCTGCTCATCCAAATCTTCGCATGCCCCTTTTAAGCCGAGGCGACGTTACGCGTATCCCCCTGCACATCACATGCCAAATCTAGAGCCTTTTGGGCTGGATCTTCAATGACAAGATTCCCACCTCTGTTGTCGAACGCACTAGCAAAGTCTCTTCTGGTGCATTCAATCGCAAAATATCGAGGGAGCGCATTTCCGGGGACGGGGCTGGGGAGTTGATTGGTGAACTTATCATCAGCACATCTGAGGGACCTGCGGCTTTTCCTGGGATACAAGGTACGAAAGCCGTGTATCTATATGATATTAGTCATTCCGGAAAGCTTCCCGGATTGAAGAACGTAGCTTTGACATGCTGGTCCCCAGATCGCTCATGTTGGATGCCTGTGTCACAATCCATTTAGGGCACAGCGGGGTCACATGACGCTCTGCGCGTGAGAAATGAAGTACTAAGTCTGTCTCAATTTGTACTGACTTTTCTCTCTCCCCAGCCAGCGACTTGAAGCTATTCTGTATGTCGTCAGCACATGGCCACTTGGCAAAACAGGGCCTCGATGATCATCTCCAATGCTTGAGACATTGAAAAATGGGTGCCTGCTCGCAGAGGACACCCTCTGTGCGCACCTGCCATGGCTCCAAAGCGCAAGGCCGCTGCTGCTGCAGCAGAAGCAGCACCTGAGGACCCCCCTGCCGAGCTGGCTGCACCCAAGCGGAGAAAGACTAGCGTTGCCAAGCCCACGAAGACTACAACCACTGCCAAAGTGCACCCCCTTTCCCTTGCGATCACCGCATGTCTCCCTGTCACAGGAAGATTGGGTGTTACTCATGCCTGTGTGCCTGCATCCACTCTGCCATGAAACTCTGTCTAGTATCAGAAGCCATAGACCCATCACGAAAATGATCTCAAGTCTACAACAGTAACTTGGTTTTGATAGCGTTTTTGTCTACGTCTTGATTGCAAGCTGGCCACTGGAGACATGTGGAAACCGGGACCGAGGAGTGGAAAATTGCCATTCAATATATCTCAAGTACTCAATGAGCCTTGGCCCCGGCTGGCGGGGGGCGGTACAAATACTGAGCACCGTTCCCACGGTTGATTGGGTCTTGCTTGGATCTGGCGAGTCCAACAAGGGGTAGGAATTTGGCAGCCTTTACATGCAGCTTGTCTGCGGACGCACCTTGCCTTCGGCAGGAAAAGCGTGTAAGAATAATGATGAAGATCCTGGACACCATACTTTTGCATGTTGTGACTGAAGCTTGGCCACTAATGTTCTTCAGAAGCCGGCACCGAGGAGCCGTAAGAGTGCCGCCGCGGCCGTAAAGGAGCCAAAGCCCGCAAAGGAGGCAAAGCTCGTAAAAGCAGCAAAGCCGCCGGCGCCGAAGGCTGCGGCTGCGAGGAAGGGGCGCGCGTCGGCTGCTGCTGCTGCTGATGTCAGCGCTAACAAAGCGGCCACGTCAGCGCGCTCAGCCAAGCGGGCCAAGCTGGCGCCCTTGGCAGTGGTGCAAGAGGACACCGGCCTGCCGCCTGTGGAGCACCCTTCCCACCTCAAGGCATGCACCTGTTCATCTCAACACATGGTCCACAACAGCTCAGAGAACTCTCTCGCCAATACAGCAGTCTGCCCTTTTTGGGCCTGGATCACAGATCAAGTCACTCTCCTGTGTCCCCCACTTTTGCAGTCTTCAGACATGTGCACTGATACCATGGACACTGGGGGTCCAAGAAATGGCTTTGAGTACACATTCAACGAGGGGTCTTCTGGTGCTAGCCAATGTGGACCTTTGGCTGATCTCGTAATCCTCTGGCCTTTAGCAACCAGATGTTTCCTGGATGGTGCGATGACATTCAAGGCAGGGATGCTGAAAGACAGTCCTGGCTCGGTCTACGGGGCACGCAGTCACTCTGAGGTTTGAAAGACAAGCGTTGGGAAGAACGACAAATGCGCGCGAGCATGACAACTGATATTGTATGAGAAGAATTTCACTTTTTGGTGTCAGTGTTGGTCAGCAGAGTCCTGACTGCTCATGGCAGTCGTAGGGAGCTGCCAGCCAAAGTCCCCAGAGTGAGCCACCCCTTTCTGAATTTGTAGCTAGCAGCCTGGTCTTGTAATCTTCATTGTTTACATCATCTTCGTCTGGGTTCACACCTAACCCCTCAAAAATAGTGGAGTCGGAGCTTGCCTTGTGGAAGGGGATCACAGTATTTGTAATCACGGGACACTGGCTGCGCGTAGGTGGCAGGGGAGATGTTTGTATTAGGAGAGGGTGACTGCGGGCAGCTGGGCAAGGGGGAAGATGTTGCGGACGCACCTCGGCCCGCGCCGTCTCCAATTCCTGGCAAGCTGGTGAGTCTCAGCTTGGTAAAATTTTGAAGGGGCAGCACGCGTAAGATTGTCCCCAAGGAAGTAGCTGCAAGCTGGTGTGTCCCTTTGGCTATAGGAGGAATGATTAAGTTATCCACGGGAAACCTCTATGTCATAAGTGCCTTTGCTGCAGCACTGCTGATATCCTTTGACATTGCGCCCCCTGTTGAGTGTGCAGGCTGGTAGGTTGGTTTGCAAAAAGGCAAGCTCTGTTGCTAAGACCTCAGGTCTATCCGTGTGATATGAGGGGAACCCATGTATGTTTGCTCAAGGCTCCCAGCTTCAAGAAATTGTCCACAAGACAAGTTTGCCATTTGCTGTCAAACGTTGAGGAGATGATGTTCGTCATGAGAGGGAACGCCGTCGGCTGCAGGTGGTCCAGGTGGCGGCGGGGGGCATGCACAGCGTGGCGCTCACCCCTGAGGGGGAGGTCTGGACCACGGGGGTGAATGATGAAGGCGCTCTGGGACGCGAGACAGGTGCACATCCATCAACATGAGCATGAACATTTGTACTTAGCCTTCAGGCCGTTTGCAGCAGCTTTGTGGGATTTGCCATTGTTCGAATCAATGCCATGCTGGCATGCATGCATGGTCAAGTCTCACAGGGCTGGAAACTTGAACACTGTATTATTATACACGGGACTCTTGTGACCTCGAGTCTGATATCCATGTTGCGTCTTGAGCTCTGTTGCATGCTGCCAATGCCCGTGCCCAGGCTGAATGCCAAGCCCTAAAAAAATAGCATAAACGTCCTTAGCTGTTCTCAGTCTTGGGATCTTGATATTGAAGGATCTTCCCATACGAGTGCAAAATTGAGACTGTTAAAAATGGCGCAGGTGGAGAACTGTGGGAGCAGTCAGGACTGGCAAAAGGGAACGCCTCGGACGCCAACACCTGGGGCCCTGTCAGCATCCCCTCTACCCACTGCAAGGTCGTCCAAATTTCTGCTGGTATGCTGCTCAACCCAATCTTCCTTCATTTGCCCTCTTGATGTGCACCCCTAGATGTCGACACGGTGAGGGTGCAAGTAAAGAAGAGCAAGATTAAATTGCTGAGAGATTAAATTCCTTTCTTGCCCCTGGCTCATGACAACTCTATCAGATGGCAAGAAACTGTGAGTGGCAGGGAAGCATTGGTGACACATTGTGGATCTGAGGTGCTGGGACATTCATTTGCAAAGCGGTACCCATGACTCTCTTTTCTGTGCTCCTGCACGCAGGCGACAGCCACACGGTGGCGCTGACTCAGCAGGGCGCCATATGGGCGTGGGGTACTTTCCGCGACAGTTCTGGCGTGCTCGGCTTCTCACCCTCCGAGCGCATCGCCCTGCTGCCCACCCTCGTGCACGAGCCTGTGACCGCGGATGAACAGGCGCTCAAGATCGCCTCAGGTGCCTCCACCCACCTGGTTCTGGTCAAAGTTGATATCCTGAGGTCCACGTTCATTGCAAGATTGTCCTAGAGTGTCGCTGGCTTGCGGTGTCACTGCAATTTGGGTGGGTCTATCAAAGACTTGCCTAGGTGGCGGAAGATGCACCGACATTGTCAAGACCCGCATTTTATTTTCGGAATCACCGCATGCGGTGACCCTGGTCAAGAGTCAGCATAATCACCTGTGTTGCCAGAAACATGCGACAATACTCATCTGGCAACACATTGCCGTTGCAGCTACACACCATGCAACTCCCTACCCTGGTAGATTGCTCTGTAGTCCTCGAAGAGCAAAAGTAAATGTATCTACGCTTGAATCCAAATTTGATTTTGAATTGGCAGGCGCGGATCACGTGATGGCGCTGACCCGCGGCGGCGCGCTGATGTCATGGGGCAACGGGCAGCAGGGGCAGCTGGGCAGAGTGGGCAGCCGCATGCGCAACCTCAAGGATACACTCCTGCGCCCGCACCCCATCCCATTCACCCGCCGCATCCGCAACATCGGCGTCGCCAAGGTGCGGCCAAGCAACCTGCATCTAAAAACTAACTTGGAATCCTCAATATCAGGATACTTACTGCAATAGGAACATCTGTGCCGTGCAAGAGTGTCTCTGCGTATCAGGGGCAGCTCTACTGGAATTCGCCCTTGCTTGAGGTGTTGTTGGGAGGTTGTCATATGGCATTGCCGAGGTGTGTTCACGCATTGCCGCTCCCTTCAGTGAACCTGAATGTGCAGCTCTCTTTAGCGACCCTCGTGGTGTTGCACAGCCTGGCCAGTGTCTCTAATTGAAAGCCTCAGCAGCTGCCCTTCCCGCAGCAAACGCCGATGTACCGTAGTCAGCCCCATCTTTCCCGATTTGAGTTATTTCTTTCTTCTAAAAAAGGTGAAAGCATATATTGCAAAAGAGAACCCCTATGACAAGTTTGAAACCAGTTTGGAAAGCTCTCGCTGAGCCCGACCCATTGATGATGATGATGATGATGATGAAACATCATTTCAATGAAGTAAAGACTCTTTAAAAAACAGGTCCAAACATTTCACGCAGCTTGAGGGGTGCGGAAAGAATGGTGCTGACTACGGTATGCACACCAAGACGCGGGAATGAAGAAATGGACTTCATGTTTCTGGCGCAGGTGGAGGATTTTGCATGCGGTACGTACAGTAGCTTTGCGCTGGCGGCGGGCGGCCACGTCTTCGCTTGGGGCCTCAACAACTACGGCCAGCTCGCCCTGCCCGGCCAGGTCTTTTTGTTCGCCCACGCCATGCCCATAACCATGCTTCTAGGACATCACAAGCCACCCCTGCAACACTGCACTGCGAAACCTCAACGGCCTTCTTTGGCAGTGCACCTCTCGTAGTCTGCTCCTGGCAGCTAATTACTTGCCCCTCCCTGCATCGGTGAGCAATGCACACGGCAGGTTTGACAAGTTGCAGAGAAGGGAGTGAGGAAGCATAGAGATGGGTGCCTTTAATGGTGTGTGAGGGCCAAATACCGACAGTGAGGTACTCTGCTGCGAAGGACTCTTGCCAGGGCGCAGCACTGCATTCGTCAAGTTGTGTGCCTTTCAAAATCAACACCTCCTGTCTAAATTCTAGTAGTACTGTATTTTGAGGCCAATCTGTTCATTGCAGGTGCCGGTCCCTGGTCCAGTGCTGGTCAAAGCGCTGGAGGGGAGGGAGGTAACGCTGGTCAGACCGGGGCAGCACCACACCCTTTTCCTGACAGCTCAGGGTGAATTACTAAGCGCCGGGCGGCCCACCTACGGCCGCCTCGGCCGCGCGGGGCTCAACATTGCGTCGGACGAAGCCGTCCCCGAGCCCGGGACTGTGGAGATTGAAAATGCTGGCGGCATTGTCGGCCTCGCAGCAGGTGAGGGTCTGTTTCACGATATGGTTTGAAACTATAAAACTACAAAATATATTTACAATTTTCTAAAATTAGCCACGGGAGTTTGTATGGCTGCATTGAGCAGAGGACTGCAGGGCTTTCCCGCACGACGAAGTATAATACTTTCATTCCCGCGAGCTGGAAAACAATTTCTATGTGCGGGGTCTAGACCGGTCACTACGGTATATCTGAATGATGAGTCAAGCAGAACCGAGGTTGCTCCGTCTTTGCTGTTGTGTTTCTTTTGCTTGGGTGTTTGCTGCACCGGCTAAACTCTCAAGCGGCATATGGGGTGTTCAGAGTTGTGTAGTTGAAGTTTCGGCTGTGGCGATCTGATCTGTGAGAGGGAGAAGAACATACTGAGGCCACTAAATAGGCTGGACTGTGATGTCGACTGGCACTTCCATCTATATGACAGGCAGGACTACGATGGACTAGTATCCTACCTGTTCTCCAATAGGTGTGCCGCTTGATATGCTTCTTCAAGATTTCGCTGCTGTCTGCCGTGACACTGGCAGACTAGGCAGTGGATTGGTGGGCAGGTGGGCAGGTGGATGTACACACTTTGCAAGGCTGTGTCTCAACGCACTAATTGCTCTGATTGGCGGTGCGGCCAGGGCTGGCGGTGAGCGGGGCGTTTGACGGCAGCGGCAAGGCGTGGATGTGGGGCTTTGGCACCAACAGCCAGCTGGGCAAGGGCAACGACGATGGCGACGAAGAGGTACTCACTTGTTTCCCCACACTCCCGCATCTGTCAACTTGGAAGCATTCTCATAGCTTCATGGTATGCAGAACATGCACCTGTGGTCATCTTTATCTTGCAGCACACATTTATTGTAGGAAACGGGATGTCTTGCATAAAAGAGACCTTCTAGTGTCAGCAGTCACAAAACCCACTTTTGATAGGTTTGGCAGTACTTCAATGAGCTATACAGTGGAACTGAAAGCTCAGTTTTATGTCTGAAAGTACTGACTTCCTCTTGGTGGCCCGCAGCTGCCGCACATGCTGGCAGAGACCAAGCGCTTCAGCGGCCGAAAGGTGGTACAGCTTGAGTTCGGCGGCCAGCACGCTCTCCTGCTGACAGTGCCGGCAGTAGGCAATGCCGCGGCTGCCCCGGCCGCCGCCGCCGCCGCTGCAGCGGCAGCCGCCGCGCCGGCGGAAGCTGCTCCAAAGGAGGGGGAAGCTGCCGCAACGGGGGCGGAGGGCGCGAAGCCGAACGAAGGGGGAGTGGTGGAAAAGGAGGAGCCAATTCTGGCGGAGGAGGGGCCGGCGCCGGCGGCGGAGGAAGCTGCGGATGAAGCTGCGCCGATGGAGGTTGGCGATGCTGCGCTGCAGACAGAGGAAGCTGCGCAGGCGGCTGCGCAGCCCGCCGCCAATTTGGCGCCTCCGACCGTTATTGTCAAGAAGGCCAAGGCCCGGGCAATAGCCAGAGGTGGGCATGCCTTTACACTGGTGTAGCATTTTTATGCTAGTTGTCATCGTACAGGCTGTGTCAGAGACTGTGTCAGCGTTAGAAGATGGTGTTCTGTTGATGGGGCTGACAGCAGACCTTTTTGTGGGATTTTTAATATTCTGTATGATTGGTTGGGGTTGGAGTACATCGGGAGACCTCTTCAAAAGGACTTGGGGAGCATCAGTCTCACAGTGTACTTCTTTGGTGCGTGCAGGCAAGGGTGCCAATAAGAAGAAGAAGGAGGCCGATCCCCGGCCAGAGGAGAATGATGCTGATGCCACTGCTCCAGAACCCGCAACAGCAGGTGAGGACCACACAGCTCCTCTGCTGTGCACTTGTGACCTGTACTGGTGACTTTACACCCATCTCTGATGCGCAGCGCTTTGCAGTGCTGCAAGCATTCAGGTGCAGCGCAAATGCACCACCCGAAACATGACGGAACCGCACACCCTGTCACAGTGTTGCTGAGCCCTGCGCATGCCATTTTCTTGTCCTTTTGATATCAGCCGATTCAGTCAGCCTGTTTGGGGCTGCGACCGCAGGAGATGCTGCCACTGCCGAAGATGCAGCACATCCGGTGGCAAACGGTGTCCAGCCAGAAGAGGCAGATGCAGCCGCTTCAGCCGCTGCGGAGCCTGCGCCAGAGCCGGCAGCGGAAGCTGCGATGCCGGGCAATGAAGCTGTGCCGATGGAGGTCGGGGAAGCTGCGCCGGCAGCAGAGGAAGCTGCGCTCGCACCCAAGGAAGCTGCTGCAGAAGTTGCGCCACCGGCTGCCGCGATCAAGAAAGCAAACGGCCGTGCTGCTGCCAGAGGTGCGATTACTTCTCTCGTCTCCTTGACATTTGCAATCTTGTAGATAGGAGCAAATGGCAACAGAGCTGAAGATTGTCTCACTGCCTGAAGAGCATCTCATGCAGGTAGGGACTGAAGTTTGCCTATACGAAAAATCACAGTCTGAGTGCGTCAAGACTATCACATTTTGCAGGGTGAAATACACTCTTTCCTGTGTGAAAGAAATACTCAAACAAGCGATTTACTGCAGAGGGAACGCCGGAAGTTGCTGGACACAATCGTCTTGAGCATTACTACTTTGCAGATGTCTGCTGAGCACAGAGTTTTGCATGTATTCAGGTGCAAACGGCGCCAAGAAGAGGAAGGCGGCGGATGCTTTGGACCAAGCACTGGCTGCCTCTGAGCCAGAAGCTGCATCAGACAAGGAAGCTGCCTCAACAGGTGCTTCATTCTGCTTAAGATCGAACCCGCCCAGTATGTGCAAATTTGCGAAACTTGTGAATGTTGTTTGGACCCCATGCACACCAGCACGCTTCAGATGCTCCACAGTCATTTGGATTTGCTCTGTCCAAGTCGAGGGGCTGTACATCCTCCAGGCTCTGCCTTTCAAGCTGTCCCGAATATGGGCAGCGGTGCAACAGTTACTGTATTGCACATATCAGAGGCAAGCGTGCTCTACTCTATGATGCCTGACAAATTGTGTGATTGCCCGATGGCTTCTCTCCAGCGGTGCATATTTTGTATTTTGTCAATGTTGGGTGCAGGACTGGACGGGGTTGCAACGGATGCAGCAGCACCTGTGGACAATGTGCAGCAATCTGACGTGGACGCTGTAGCAGATGCTATGGCACAAGACGCTGCGGTGCCGTTGCCATAGACGGCTGGAGCACGGTTGAACATAGGGACACGAGAAGGTATTTGAACCAGAGAATACCGATCCTTGTGTGTTAGTGTAGCTTCAGACCTGTTCCTTCTAGCCCCCTGTCCAGCAGGCGGATCCAAGGACCTTACAAAAATAATATACATGTCAAGCCAAATTGAGTAGACTTGAGACAGGACAGAAGTCCGATTTCTCTTATGGCATGGGTCTCATGCAGCCTTGCAGTGCAAGGCACCACCTTCAGTAGCATGCATCAACAGGTGCAAATGTGCACATGAACGTGCTACTTGATCCCTCGGCTTTAGTAATTTGCAGTACTTACATCTCTGACATCAGCATGAAATCTTTTCAATTCGTCATGCAAGACGCATGCTTTGCCCCTGACCCCACTGCCATATGGCAAGTTCCCTATTGCTGGTTCTTGGCACAAAGTGCCTGCACTGAAATTCCCAACCAAGCACCCCTGAAAAGCAGATTTCTGGACTCTATGCACTCTACACACACAGCACCCAATCTACCTATGTTTGCACGGCTGCATGACACCCTTGTGCCAGGCGGCAGTCTGAAGATCCAAGAATACAACTGAGCGCTCTACATAATGTACAATTCAACACAGGCATTTGCAGCACATGCAGGTGCGTCTGAGAGGGGCAAAGCTGTGTATTCAACCTACAAAAGTACAATTTGTTCATCTACTGGGGCTAAACTGATCATTGCTTTCTGATGCATAAAAAGAGCAGGCGCCATGGCTCATACCATTTCCAGCACCATTCTACATTCACTGTTGCCCGTTGGGGCATCAGAACGCACCCGGATTTCACCGTCTTTTTTAACAGGCGTAAAATGATTTTTGGCTGTGTCATCTTGATTCAGAGCCACGTCCGTCCATCAGAGGCAGGTCTTGCGCCAGAGCCCGCAGACTCAAACGCTGAGAGCAACCCATGTGACACCCGATGTGACCTCAGAGTGCAAAGCAGCACCTACTGCCCTGGACAGCTCCTCAGTCCACATTTCCCGTGCTCCATAGCCGGCAGATGCCTCCTTCTGGATATATTCAGGATCCTGTATTGCTGCACCGCCAAAAGCGCGAAACACTGACAGCAGCCCCGGTGCTGAGCAGCAGTTTTTTCCACCGCAAACGGGCGGCTCCATCAGCCAACATCATTGCCGGGGGCTCTTGCGTCCTCCTCTTCACTCTCAACCCACAGCTCCTTGATCCCCGTCAGCACATCCTGCAGATCCTGCACAGCATGCCGATTCGAGTTTTATATCACATTTACACGACCACATGCCCGATCGCGTATGTAATCGCAGAAAAGGTAGCTGGGGCTATCAGCATGTAGGTTTATTAACAAATATCACTAACGAGAACTCCCTGATCACCACATGCACAATGTTGCATTTGGCGGCAGCATTGAGAAGCCATTGCAATACAGTCAGAGGCCCCTGGCAAAGGCAACACCATGCATTGAACTGCAACCCTGCAGCACAAGCTAATGCACTGCATCCAGCCACAATGCGTGCATGACGCAGCTTGCGGTTTTGGAGGGCATGACACCTACTCTGAACTTGCTGTAGTAAGCCAGGAAAGAAACAGACGAGACACATGCAGAATACGTTTGCATGCTTGGGTAGGGCGATAAAATCCCTAATTGTCATTGCCACGGCAACACCATAATTATGAGTCCAACATGATCCTGAGACCCCCTGAAGTATAGCGTATGCATGCGCGTGCGCGCACCTCGTGGCTGAAGCCGGTTTGGTGGCGCACGGCGGAGAGCGGGTGCTGTGCCGCGTCGAGGCCGCTCTCACGCACAAGGCCATGGTATATCAGCTGCCAGTTGCCAAACGTGGCCACTGTATCCTTGATCTGCGCCACACAGCAGTGCTCGTCACAAGATTGTACAGATTATATAAGATTATAAGATCCTATATTTGCGGAGAGATTCTGTGCTGCACCCCGTATAACACCCTGCAGTCTATTGCCAATCTGCATCCGGCTGGCGGTAACAGGGCGGCAGCAACAAGGGCCGAATTGCAGGGTGTGAAAAGGGCTACCCCAATATTGGCAGGGTTTTCAGCGGGCCAAGTAATCACTTGGAATCATGGCAGCCCTAAGGGTTGTATGTCAGTATTCTCTACTACTGACAGCCTGCCTGAGCATGTGCAGCATGGACAGTCCGCACTGAATTCCACTGCAGGTACCAATTAAACCTATCAGGCAGACATGCATGCAACACAACAGATGACATGACCGGACCCGGTCAATTTCACCAGGCAACACTCCAAGGACACTTCAGATGATAATAGTCATTTCAAATCTTCTTATGGCCTGCCCAGATCCATATCGAGCTGCAAAAGCAGGGGAGCTTGCCACAATGGCAAAGTCATTGCTTGCTGTTTTGACCCCGGGGAGATCGGTGCGACGGCGCTTATAGATGACAAACCCCGTGCAGCAAGGCAAGCCCATCCGCAGATGCGCAGACTTCACTCAAGTCTGACTCCGACTGAGCGTATGCACAGGTGATGAGTCAGCGGGGTGAGTCACCCACCTTGGGGAATTTGTGCGCCACGGCAAGCACTATACGCACGAATGTGAACTTGCGCAGGTAGTTGCGGATGTCCCGCTTGAACAGATTTGCCAGCAGTCCTTCGGGCGGGCTGTGCGGATTGTGTGGCTCATCGATCCCCAGGAAGAAGCGCACGCGGCTCTCCAGCAGCATGTCTTTGACCAACACTAGATCTGCAATCTCCTGCGGGGGAGCGCAGTGATTTTTTGGTATCATTCCCCCTGTATCCAGAGGGGTTTTCAGGATTCTACACCCTGCTGCAGACAAGGGTGAATTTTCTAAGAAATTATATCGAGTGCAGGCATGGAATTCTCCTGTTGACCGTGTCTCAAGTTGCTCCACTGCATCGCTGCCATAAACCAAAATTACCAGTCTTCCACAATGAAGCTTCTCACTTCTCACTTGGGCTGTACATGCAAGCCATTCTGCGGTGTCAAGCGGTTGCCCCTCATCTGTACACAACAACAGCACTGGCAGGAATAGCTGCGGAAGGGTTCTTGGTATCTATTCTTTCGGTGCTGCATTGCAGACATGTGTCTGCACTGCAAGCAGGGAGGAGTTCAAGGACTGCTCTCACCTCAATGTTGTCGTAGATGTCTTCTGGGCGTGCCTTCTTGACGTGGCTGACCATGGCCTGCACGAAGCTGTAGCTCTCCTGGGGGCAATTCCACAGCACCCACTTCATCAACGCACGCGCCTCCTGCCCACAAAAAACACACCTCGTCAGCGAAACTTATACTCAGGATTAAATCCTGAAAGACCTTGCACCCCGACAGGAGTCCAGCTCAGAGGGTCAAGAAAGCAACTGCCAGTGAGGTATCTCAAGGCCAAGAAGAAAGGCCTGACGTCACAGCAACATGCGCATGAGTTTAGCGCAGCTGCCGCCGCACGGTTGGCTGACTGAAGCAGTCCTCAAGCACGTGGGACTTGCCACCTTTTGGTGTCCTTCAACTGCATATGTAGATATTTACCACGAGGGTGAAACAAAAAGAGCTGGGCAGGGAATGCTATACCACCATTCTGACATGCCAGTCCTTGACCGCCAAGTGCACAGCGTCAGAGACATTTTAGCTGCAGGCCAACCATGACACAGCTTAGGAAGTGCTGTCGTGCCATTTTCTTCAATTTGCCGAGAAGTAATCCAGCACGGTGACCAGAAAGGATTGCCCACAGAGAATTGAGGCGTTGATCTTGTGCAGAGGAGTCAGCCGCGCACCGTGTCGTTGAGCAGTGAGAAGGTGAGGAAGAGGTCCATCATGGCCTCGGATGTCAGCCGGTAGAGCAGGTCGGCCGGGCCCGCCCGCCGCGCTTCCCCGGCCTCCACCGCAACGTTGTACCGATTCTCCCCGTTCGCTGGGCCCTCCGACGGGTGCTGCATCCTGCGCAAGAGAAACACACCTCCCGTCTGCACTGGTGTCATATCTTTCTTGTAGCATGAATTGAACAGGGCAAGTGGACTCTAGGACACAGCCTGCCCCAGTGCACACTCCCCTCGTGAGTGGGGACCCCTTTTGCCACCAACAATCATGCCTAAGCATAATATTTAATGTCAACGTTGAAAGGTCTTGAGGGAAGCCTCCTGAAGCTCATTGGATCTTTCTATCCCATAATCAAATTAAAAATTATTTCCCATAATTAAAGAGAGCAAGGATGTGGCCCCAGCCATCATGGCCCCAGCACATGACATGCAAGAGAAAGCCAAGTTGATCTGATCTTGGAACCCCCCACGCATTCTGAGGTGGCGCCCCGCACTGCTGGCAAAGTCATCAGCATGATGACAAAGCATTTGAGGATCTTGAATGATGCTCACCCCTGCTTTGCGTTTAAACTCTAAGAACACTGCACATGTTGGAATGCCGCTCTTTCTGCACCTGGTGCAGGCCCCGACCAATTCTTAGGATGAGCATTTTTCAAATTTTTCAAAACCACAAATATTTGAGATGTAGCTGTGTTGCGCCTGCGAATGAGGGTGGGGCCAGGATGACAAAGCGCCTAAAGCTCACACAAACTTGGAGTCATGGCCACGTTGCTGAGCTCTAACCCCTGCTCACGCCTTTCTTAAATTGAAAAATACATGAAACCTCCGATGTAGTCGCACCTGCGGATGAGCGAGCCCAACAGGGCGACAAGCGATTGCAGCTCGGTGTGCGGCGCGGCGTCGCGTCCGATGCTGGACTCGGCCCAACGCTCCAGAGTCTTCAGCAGGGGCCCCAGAATGCCCTCCGTCAGCAGGTGTTCCCTCTGCACCGCCCCCAGATCCGCGTACGCCTGCGCGCATGGCAGATACACTTGTCTTATTTGTCACCTTGCACCTTTCCATCAAGGATAGGTGCGCGCATGGCAGATACACTTGTTTTATTTGTCACCTTGCACCCTTCCACCAAGGATAGGTATCTGTACACCTGCCGCGTATGTGAGAAACGCTTTATTTGTCACCCGGCAAACCACGCGCCAGTGCCTAGAAGGATCCATTGAAGCCAGGAAGGTGTTAAAATTCCGAGGTGGATGATGTTGTAGATCTGCTCATTCCAACGCAGCGGCTGCATCCTAGTATTCTGTCACTGGTCGTATCAAGTATCAAACTTTTTATAACTTTTAAAGTTTCAAAGATGCATGCGAGACTCACCCGGATGATGTTGTAGATCTGCTCGTTCCACAGCCGCGGCTGCATCTGCCCCGGCTTGGTCGGCCGCGGCCGCAGCGCCACCGCGCGCCGAAGCTCCGTCACCAGAATCTCCACCACCCACGCCGCGCTGCCCTCCTCGGTCGCAAACTCTTCGCGCGCCAGAGCAATCTCTCCGCCGCCATCGTAGCGCACCGCGAATTGCAGCGCGTCGATCACCATCTGGCCCACCCACTCCCGCACGTCCTCCTGCGACGGAGTAGTGTGCTACAGTGTCATTGACCCGCTCTTCATTGACTCAACTGCGCGGCTGCGGTGCAAGCCCTACCCAAGCCTTGGGGTGCCCCATGGACACCAGTGGGACAGCACTTCCCTTCATCTGCTGCTGTGGGGCTCCAATCAGGACAACTGCTTTCCATCTGGTGCATGTTATTGGCATCTGCTCATGATGCAAAGGCCATGAACAAGAGGACCACGGTTGGTTGTCTGTGACATGCAGGACAGGACCCCCAAGTGCTTCAGAGCTTTTGCACCTGCTCGTTGCGTGAGATGTAGGTCTCCAGGAAGTGCCCCGACAGCTCGCGCGACGATCCGCCCAAGCCCAGCGCCTGCAGCATTGACCCCCCCCTTCAACCCACGATTCCCAGGCGACAATTGTGATCAAGGGTTCAATTTCGGTGATTTGGTTCATCAAAACGTTTGTTGAATGGATGAGCCTCACAACGTGCACAGTCCCATTTGTCACTTGCTGCGGCTAATTCGGTCACAGTGTGAGCTGTTGGACATCCGATGCTAGAATCCTCCTTCTAACCAGCACAGCACATTCCCGTATCAGGAGCCGATCGGTCCACTTCAGCCACTGTGGCAAATACGGGCGCCCTCCCGCAAACGTAGAGCCCGTCAGCCACCGCAAAATAGAGCCGACGGCTCCGCCGCCACGGCGCTCTAGAAACACGCTGCAGCCCAACGGCTTCCCCGCCAATATTTGAATACGTTCCTCCCGAGGGGGTATTTAAGGGGTAATGATAGGATAAAAAGAGGACATGAGCAAGCTTCGTGCCTGCGAGAAGGCGGCGAGGCCGTCGCCGGAGGCCAGGGCGAGCAGCATGCGCGCGGCAAGGGGCGTTGCCTCAAACAGAGCGTTGAGCGCGGAGCGCCACTCGCGCATGTCATCCCGCAGCGTCGCGTTCGCGCGCAGGTACACCTAAACAGGCAACGTACAAACAAATTTGAATTCAAATATAGCAGAGCGCAGCGTTGCAAGCGCGCGCAGGTACACCATCGGTGCTCCGTTTCAAAGATAAATTCAAATGTAGCAGAGCGCATGATCAAGTGCGCGCGCAGGCACGCCTGCACCTAGCAGCCAAGTCACGGACATACGGCGCACGCGTCCAAGCACATAATATACTCAGGACATTGGTGTATGGCTTCCTCTGGGAGCATCTGCTGCGCTGATTGCATTGCAAGCTGCTAGCAAGACCAACGTGGAACTCCAACAGCAGCCGACCGATCCGCTCAAGTCACAGTGGCCAGGCAGCCATCTTTTGTACACAGCAAACCCCACTTGATCCCCTCTGACAAGACAAACCGCTGAGCCCACACGAAATACGCTGCAGGTGCACATAATTTGCAGAGTAGACCGAAATCTATTTCAATTGCACTGCATGAGCGCATTTCAAAGTAACGCCTATGCTCTGCAAAAGCCCTTTGGACGGGTCATGTGGTGTCCCCATGAGGGAATTAGGGCTCGCATTCTCTTCTAGAGCGTGACATCAAGCAGTGTGCACTGCCCCAGCTTGGGGTTCGCTGGCCACCCCCGGCCAACGAGGGGGTTCGATGACCATCCGTGGGGAACACGGCTGGAGGTATTAAGGTGGCTGCTCACCAGGAAGACGAATCTGATGGCAAGGTTGGTGGTGAGCAGCGCAATGTGCTCCATGTCCTCATTACGCCCCGCCCTCAGACTTCTGCGCGCCGACCCGCCAGCCGATCCAACGTTGCTGCCGGCACCTTGATGACATTGCACGCAGCCACTCAACAATTTACCTTGCCGCGTCTGTGAGACATGCATTGTTTTACAGTGCCCTGCACTTTGCGGGCAGTTTGGATGCAGAAGAACGCCGCAATGCATAATTGAACGAGCACGCCAACCATTCTGGGCAGAGTCGGCAGTATTCACCGGGTCCTAGGATACAACTCCTGGGGCTTTTGTTGGCACGTCAGGTGCCTTGAGCACGCAAGGAAAGGTGGTCATGCTAAGAGCATCAAGACCTCTGACACCTTCATGAGTAAGCCAGAATCCTGCACTTGCCAGTGAAGTTAGCGGAGGCACGCGCGCATCGGCGGCAGAGCCGGCCATTACAAAGAACAGATCCTGTGAGACTGGGTTCGCTGCATGCATGGAGACAGTCCTCGTGGCAAGACTCTACCCTGCTAATGCCCTGGCCTGCCCTGCAGCCGCCACCGATTCAACTGCACTTGCAATAGTGAACCTTTACACAGAGACCTTCAGGAGACAAGCGCGCACCGGCGGCCGAGCCGGCGGAGGCGGCGGATTTGGTGGGGGAGGGTTCGGTGCGGCGCAGTTTTCGCTGGCATGCCTCCAGATTGGCCTCCACCAGCCGTCGCACAAAGCGGAAGAAATCCGGGTCCAGCAAGTGCACGTCCTCAATCTCTGTGCGCAAGCACACCAGATTGTCAGATCCCTGTCAAAGATTCGTGCCATGTAAAATGGCTTGACGGGAGGGCTGGCCTGTACCTCCCCCGACGCAAAACAGCAACAGGCACTTGGGGCCTAGAATCCCAGTTGAATTTATTGTGGAGTCTAACCAAGCCATGGTTCTTGAATTCTCTTGTACAAACAAAACGAGAAGGAAGGATTGACTCACAGACCGGTCAGTTATTAGATCTGTCTCCGGCTGCTCCAGACAATTCCGTTCAATTCAGAGCTCTTCACGGGCATACTGGCACAGATCCTGATCCTGGTCCATGTACCGGCCAGCAATATCTACAACACTATCCAAGGATAACAAAAGAGAAGAGAGCAGGCGCACCATCCAGATTGGACTTGATGACCTCTTCGAGGATGGAGGGGCAGGTGGCGGCCATGTTGGGCACCGGCACTGTGGACAGGCTCTGCCCGCCGCCGCCGATCTGCCGAGCCGACACCGCGCTCTGCGCCGCCGGGTCCGCCCCCGTCATCCCCGCCTGCAGAAACAAACACAGCATAATTACTCAGTCATCACCCTTCAAGTAACTTGAACCCCAGATGACTAATCGGCAGATTGTTCGGGCATGCCTGCCTGCGCGGCGGTGCAACCACCCTCAGCCACCACCCTTGAGGTGTTTCAACCCTCGATGACTAAGCAGGTGTATATTCATCCATGGAAGATGCTCACGAGGGCGACAAGGTCAAGACCAAATGTGCCGCGGTGCTAAAACACTCAGCCATATTTCAATATAATTTATACCCAAGCATTAAAGTGCATGCCTTTAGAAAAACGCAGGCACATGCCATTGATGGGTGGGATGACCATGACACTCAACCACACCTGTCTCAGCGGCACACCAGAAAGCCTTCGACTGCATGGCAAGCAGCAAAGACGCCCCAACAATCCTGATTGCTACCACCAAGATTGCTGGGACGGCTTTTGGCACCCACCACACACTTGAATGGTGAAATCATCTGTCACGAGGTGACAAGCCCTGCAAACTCGGCACAAAAGAGGCATCACAGCCTTCTGTATCCAGGCCCTGACCATAGCCTCTGTGCTGATTCGACTTTGCAGCATGTGCTGTGGGCAGGCTATAGGTGTTTGCAAACCCTACCTCGAGGCCCTTGGAGAGGGGTCCGGATGCGGGGGTGTTTTCAGGGGTTGGGGCGGAAGGGACGCTGGCCTGCAGCAGCTTCTCGATGGGCTCCAGCTCCTCGCTGCGCTCGTAGAACAGCATGTACGCGCTGTGGGGGCGGTCAAACTCCGTCACCTGACACATGCAAATTTAAATTTGAATGTTTGGGGCTAGTCAAAGTACATTACCTGACGCATGCAAATTCCAATCCAAATTTGGGACCAGTCGACTATCAACGCCCGACGCACGCATTGAAGTTGAGTTTTGGGGGGTCACAGAAAGCCTGTCACCTGACGAACGCGCATGCATACAAGTACGTCCTGTAATTGTTACAATTGACACAGTTATAATAGAGGGGCATGCGCAAAGAGAGAGAGAATTCCTGCAATCCACATGACCAGCCTAGCTGAAAGTTGCAACACTGCACAACTTGTGCAGCGGTGCGAAAGACAAGCCTGAGATAGTCAAGCAGAGGAAGCCAGAGAGGTCATGAGCGGAAGGCAGGGATTCAGAGATCCACAACAATGCATCCAAAAAAATCCATATTTAAGCTAAGAGATGAGGTGCTGGTCTGCTGGGTCTCTCGGACCGTCTTCAAGGAATGCCCATATGCACCTAAGAGCACTATAGCGCCTGAGATGTCTTATGCTTTGTTGCAACAGCATGCAAGAGGAGAGGCTGGCATGGATGACCTCATGGACATTCATGACAGCTTTTGAAGCTCACGATCCGCAAGCTTCCAGTAATGAAAGGCTCGTGGATGGCAGCATTGTGGTATTCATAATGGATAGCACATACACGCATGGAGAATGTGCGAATCTTGAGATCTTGTCCCCTGGCAGGGATTACACGCTCCCTGATGGCCCGCAAGCGTCTGCTGGAACAAAAAGGAAAAGGAAAAACCAAAAGGGGGAAAGGGGAGATAGATACCCTCGTGCCCCTAATGCTAGAGAGGGAAATGACCTGTGCGAGCAGACTGCTGCGATCGCCAAAGCCGCTGTCCGAGTGCTTGCCTCCAAAGCAGTCTCGGTCGAGGTTGGCAATTTCCCACGGCTCCACCTGAAAAATAACATGGTACAATCAATTTAATGAACCCAAATTCGAAGTTTGCAATGAGCAGGCGCCACCCCTTTCACCACGAAACTCTCACCTCTCTCATGCTTCCACATGACATTTGCTGTTGGTGTAGTCACTACTACATGCCATTTTTACCGCAACAATCAGGTGACTGTGTGATACGCACGCTTCCCAAAAGGCACTCAAAATAGGGCCTATATATAATTTCAAAATTTTCACTGTAAATGTCGCTTGAATGTGTCAGGGCTGCACCTGGTTGTCGTCAAAGCATAGCCACTGCCCAGCTGCGGGGCCCTGCCCCTCCTGCTTCCTCACCTGCAGCCCAAACACGCGCACAAATCATACTCTGATACAAAAGAACATCTCAGCATCCCAGTGGTGGACAAGAGAAAGCCGATGCTGCCACAGCAGTCCTCACACCCGTTGCACGTGTTGTATTGTGCATTGCCTCTTGTCTTCCATAAGACATGGCCAGTTGCGTGCTCCACGCTTCTTGACCCTAGAAGCAGAGCTCAGATTCCATGCAATCCGTAGTGGCAGGCCGGCTTGCCATATGGGTCGCATGGGGAGTCGATCTCGGCTTTTGGAGACGAACACAATTGAGAATTGTCATTCTGGACTGCACAGGTGTACGCTGCAGTGCAGACTGGTGGCAACAGCAAAGCCGGCCGCCAAACAGCTCACATGGCAAAAACCCAGCTCTCCATATTTCAGTCTTTATGGTGTGGGGAACAAGAGTGCAAAGCACTGCGAACCTTGATGGAGGAATAGTAGTGGCTGGCAAAGGCAAAGCAGCTCTGTTTTTAACAGCAAACACATTTGACGCCTGTCATTCTGGCCTGATCAGAAGTGCAATGCACTGCGCACCTTGATGTAGGAGTAATAGTGGCCGGCAAAGGCGCTCCCCGAGTGCACAACGATCCCCTTCAGAGTGTACTGGTACTGCTTTGCATTTGGCGGCTCCTTTGGGGTGGAAGGCTCGGCGGCAGTTGACATGGCCGACTCATGGCCCTCGCTGGAGGCGGCTGCGGCGGCGACGCCGTCGTCGGCAGCTGCCAGGGAGGTGGTGGCAGCTTCCGAGGAAGCTGCCGCGTCGGCTTCCTCGCGCGCGGCCAGGCCGTCCACTGTGTACTTGTACATGTCCAGCTCCTGGGGGAACTCAAACCTGCGATTACACATGTGCAGACGAGTCGTAGCCTGCCTGCAATATTTGCAGCAAGGAAAGGGATCTTATATGTGCAACAGGTTCTCCAAAATGTCTCTCTTGAAATTGTGCAAGAACTGGCCACACACCTTTAGAAATGCTGTACTGCAATTGTGCAGGAATGAGTTGTTCCTCAGAAGAGCTCAAGATTTACTATATGCTGTGTCAGATTTATCTTCTGCAGGATGCATCGAGTTGCTGCTGGCATGACCAGATGCTGGAGGGCCTAAGAGCTATCTGTTGCTCACAGCTGTGCACCGGAACAGATAGCTTCTGATGCCTTCCATGACAACTTGACTTGCTTTGACTATTGCTTTGAAGCGGCTGAGTCACCTGTCCTTGATCTTCCAGCGCGTCATGGTCTCATAGTCGAACTCGAAGCGCTTCAAGTGAATCACCAGCGTGTGTGGCAGCACCTTGATGCAGTTGCGCTTCACCGCATCAACCTGCAAAAGACCCCGCACACCTTATCAGCTCTCCTCTTATACTTTGGGCGCGGCATTTCTTCTACTCCTCATCTACGTCACACACTAAGTCACTACCAAAACAGCGTTCTGACGGGCACGTTGTTGCAGCAAGAAGGGCAACGCATGAAACTGTGGCATTTCCACATTGGCTTACTTGTTTGCACTGAGGGCTTCTGATGACTCGTAAAAGAATGAAAAGTGACAGATGTTGTGATGATATAGGACTGAGCACCTTTTTGCCGGCCTGCTCGCAGAAGTATTGGTTGTCCCCTTCCATGAGCTCGCCCTGGCAGTAGAAGTCCAGGCTCTCCTCCAGGTTCTTCTTCCCCCTCACATCCAAGCTTATCTGCGCACAATGAACACGTTGTTTGCATCAGCCGATTTGCTGCTGGCATCATCGTGACAACCTGATAGTCTGAATGGTTTCCTTTGGAGTTGATGTCGCAGGTGTTTGCATGCCCAGCATGACATTTCAGAAACAGACTCGCATGCACGCAGATAGAGACATTGTAATGGTGCACCACGACACTCCATCGATCATGCACAGCCACATCCACAAGTTGCCATGCTGGGCCGGCCACTGTCCTCTGGTGCCTTCAAAAGCTGGAATGGAGGAACACCTCGAAAGCCAGGTTCACATCCTTTCTCCGCATGCAGTGAAAAATTTGCAATAGAGAGCATACGCGCACATACATGGCCTATCTACTTCACCCAAAAATGGGCACATCTCACAAGACTTGTAGCACCAGGATCATAAAGATGGTCTGTATGTGTACAGTGATTGAACTCCACGCCCTTTAAAGAGTTTCTGATCTCCATCAACCCATGTGACTCTAAGTCTCTGAGTTGTGCTTCTGCTTTTCAACCTTTATGCGGGCAGGATACAACCGGCGGGGCCAACTTCGTCAGCATCACATGGTACCAGCGGACTAACAAGTGCGGCTGTCAAGTCACCTGGTAGAAGTCCTCTTCCTTTTCGGAGCGGTAGTTGACAGATCGGCAGATTATCTGCTGCGCGAATGTCCCACCCATCACCGCCTGCATCGCCGGCGTTTCCTTGCGCTCACGCAGATGCTGGTCCACCAAATCCTACATTGGCAACACAGCTTATTACATCACTGTCATTTGATGTTGCTGCCAAAGGAGGCAAGGCGTGCACCCGGATGAGTCATCCAACCCATGTCACACATGCAAACAGTGCTGTTTAGGACTGCGTTGTCAGCAATGAGAGCATGTTGACAATGATGCAGAAAGGACTACAGTGGCGCTAAGCCAGAGTAAGCAGAAATAATACGATATTGACGTTCAAGGCAGCAGAGCTTGTTCAGGCGCTGACAGAAGCATGTTGACAGTAGAGTGGCTTGCACGGCTGCAGGCATGTGGACAGCATGCAAGTATGGAAATTTTGCACCACTATCAGTGCCGTGATTGCCAAAGATTGCAAACCACCCCACAGGCCTGCAGCCGCCTTGCCCTCTCTGTTGGCTCATTACATAAGGTAATACACTAGGCAGAAAGGGAAGAGGTGGCATTATCGCGAGGCGAACTTCAATGCGCTTGTCACTAGCTACATTAAGCTAGAGCAACTTCTGACCTGCATGCGCGTGAAGGGCAAATGCGCTAGACCCCTAGTCCCTATGACCGCGCTTAGTCACCAGCTCAGTCCATGGCCAGATCGAGTGCGGGGATGAGTCACCATGCAGGCAGCTAAAAATCTCCTATGCGTAGGTGTCCCTAGAGCCGCGCTTTGTCATCAACTTAGTCACAGGCGAGACGGTGGAGATTGGTGCCTTGCTCTGTATGTGGCCAAAATTTTGAGTGACAAAAGTGACCGAACACCTTGTACTTCTGAGTGGACCTATGATGAAGCCGCATGAGATTTGTGGGTACCCTTCACGTTCTTATCCTCGAAATTATGGCTGCAGCTCCAAAATCCACCCTCACAGAGCTTGCCTTGAGATTTGTGCAGAGGCAAAGGACAATCTCTGCTTGAGCTCGCATTTATTGATCGCGCTGTTCATTGCTTTGGATTTTGGCTGTTTGCAGCTACGCTCATCATCAGTCATTGGTATGGTCGCATGTGCAGGAGTTCAAGGTATCAGAGCAGGATGACATCGCAGTGCTGAAGGGCACTCGCATGCCGCCGAGCTTCATGCACGCGGATGCAATCGGCCCAGGCTCTACTGTATACATCACAGGATTTGCGTCTCCAACAGCCATGCAGCCCGCAACCAGCAAGGGACAAGTCTCCCTGGGCTTGGAGGTCTTGACCGTGACGGCGCACGCTGACCAAGGTCGTGGCTCTGGCTCGGCCGGAGCCACGAGCAAGTCCACGGCAGGAGCAAGCTCTTCTGGCTCAGCAATAGCAGCAACAGACGCCTTGGTCAGCGCGCGGGGTCACGATCATAACCTCCAGGCCCAGGGAGACCTGTCCCTTGCTGTTTGCGGGCTGCATGGCTGTTGGGGATGCGAAGCCTGTGATGTATACGATAAAGCCTGGGCCGAAGGCGGGTGAACAACCCGTAGGCGCCCCTACCGGTCGCACGTAGTCAATAATTCGTTGAATGGCCGAATCAAGCAAGGTGATGAGTCATGGATGACTAACCTGGAGGCGGGTGAAGAACTCATAGGCGTCCTGGTGCTCGCGCACGTTGAGAGGCTCACCATCGTAGTCCTTGAAGGTGCGCCAGAAACCGGCCGGCCGGTAGAAGTGGCAGTGACTCAGCGCCAGGTGCGCGAACATCCGCTGCGCGCAAAAAACGACACAGAGCTACCTCAGGGTCGCATGGTTTAGGCAGGACCACCACGCTGATAGATTCTGTCACTAGTTTTGGCATAGACAGCGGCAGACTGCAGGTAGACCATATGGCAGCTCAACACCTGCGCTGACCTTCCGGCAAGCTCCGCAAGGTCTGACGGGTGCGAAGCCAAGCAGCCCTCAATGAATTGTTGTCCAAATCATGGCACGGGGCTCGCAGAAACTGACGCATGCAGGGTGTGCACTTGTATGCCTCCTTGTAATGAATCTAGACTGGGGCAACAACTTGTTCGCTAAAGAGTATTTGGGACGGCGACTTGCAACCGGGATGCACTACAACACGCCGTGACTGAATACTGTAACACTTTATGAAGGAGTCGGCCCCGGCTGGCGGGGGGCGGTATAAATACTGAGCACCATGCCCATGGTTGATTGGATCTTGCTTGGATCTGGCGAGTCCAACAAGTGGTAGGATTGTGGCAGCCTTTAACTGCAGCTTGTCTGCAGGACGTACCTTGCCTTTTGGCAGGAAAAGCGTGTAATAACCAAAAAAAGAATATAAAGGAGTGCGCGCGCCTGGAGCTGGTAGAAGGTGGACTCGGTGCGCTCGGCGGGCGGCTCTTCGCGCGCGCCGAGCACGAGCGCGCGGATTGAGGGCTGCATGAAGAGCTGCTGGAACACCGCGTTCATGTAGCACGTGGCTCCCGCGTTCTTCAAACCCACAAACCCGCTCGGCTGCCTGCAAGCTCGCACAAGAAAATGGTCAAGATTGACAGCCAGCACATTGAGGTTCTCGAGCAAGTGAGGCAGATCTCAAGGCGTCGGGGAAATGACCGGAGCCTACACAAGAGACTGCCACGTGCACTGCTTGAACATGTGACTGCGTCGGAACACAGCAGCTTGCTCCCTGCAGCCTTTCGCGGGGAGCCCTATCAAACTCCAGCAAAAGTCCTGAGGACCACAGAGGCAAGAGTGCGGTGTGTGCAAGCCATCAGAAACACCCAGAAAGTGGTGTTGGTGGTTGTTCAAGGGCACATATCAAAGCACTGGCAACCACTGCATGGCTTCCGCCGTTTTAAAACAAAGCTTTGAACTCGGACTTCAAGGGATGTGGTCTCGTGAAAAGGGGCCTCTGTGGTGAAAGATGAGCCTTTGCAGGAAGGCTCACACTTTCTATCACCTGAAACGAAGAACAGTCGCCCTGGCTGCATGTGGGCATGGGGTGATTATACCTCAAGCCTTTAGATGGGTTATGAAGATCACCTGGTGATGGAGAGGCCGGAAAGGTTGACTTCAGAGTCGGCGAAGGGCTCCTGCTGGAAGTGCAGGCAGGTGAGGTGCTGCAGGCCCTCCTTGAGGCACACCTTGCTGTTCTCCATCAGGTCAGCCACCAGCTCCAGCGCTGCCTGCGATATATATCCCCTTGTTAACATAATAATATAGGGGTTGATTGCAGGGTATGCCAGTTCTCCCAAGTGTTTGTTTCCCGCAAGTGATCTCTTTTTGTCCATCTGTGCACGGGGCTTTCAATGTTTTGGCATGAACAATTTTAGATGGTGGGATCCTCTTGTTTCACAGGTCTCCTGTCCAACCCACCCAACGGAAGTTAGAGTTAGCAAGAACGGGTATCACTGTGCATGCTGCAAGGACTGCCATGCAGCCCGCGCTATTCAAACCGGCTAGACCTTGCCAAGCCAAACCTGGTGCGCTTGCGTTGCAGTGCGCACGCTGACAACTTTTGAAACCTGCTTTGCACTGAGCGGGCGTTTGGATTTAGCCCCAACGCAACATGAGCACGACAAGGCTTGGCCGGGTAAGTCTAGCCAGCGAGCATCCCAGGCAACGTGCCTTGTTTGTCACTCTATATCAGAGCCAGCAGGGCCTAGTCCCTTATCGCATATCACTATCACCCCTTCTCACTTGTGTCAACTATATCAAAGCTTCCGCTTTTGAAGCTGCTGCACAGCTCTAGGCTTCCACCCCTACTGCCAACCAAGCTGTGCTGCGATTCAATTTATACACAATCCTTGATTTCTTTTATGCTGATGTCAGCGGTGATGTCAGCGGGAGGATTTGCTGACCTGGCGAGAGGCTTTGGTGGAGCAGCGGGCGTTGAGGGCGAGGTAGAGGTCACGCTGCGGTAGACTGGCCACGCAGAATCCCCTCTCCCCATGTATGCGCGCCAGTAACGCAGCCGCCGGAAACAAGTACTCTGCGATCACACATCACATCTTCTCTCTGGCTATCAGATTCCAACCACAGAAATTCCAGCATATTGCACCATACAGAGACGCTCGTACAGCTTACAGTGTATAGACGGTATAGACGGTATAGACGGTAGTATGACGGCTTTTCTGAACAGCAGGACCGGCGCAAATTTAGGGCAGTCCTGCACCACCTCGTGAGCCCCAGAGGTTTACCCCAAATCACCAGTTCCCAGTTGTAATTTGTCCAGATTTTGGTGCTGATCAAAAACCCGCAGAAAAGTTTGTGGCTTCAGAGCCAAGTACCTCACCCTCGCACCAACCATGAGTACATGCACCATGTTAGGGTGAATGAACCCTGCAGCCTCTCTGAAAGGCCCATGATCCTTCTCTGCAGGGAAGCATCTGTGAAGAGCTCCATGCTTACACCCCGACCCTTCTGACTGGCGCGCATTCGCTTCTAGCAAGTGCGCGCACCTGAGAGCAGCTTAGCAACGAGCCCGCTATCGGAGCAGGTGCCAATCGACCGCCGATCGAGAGTCTGCACAAGTGCAAGCGTGAGCTTCAGTTTCCCTTCCAGCCGCCAGCCGCCGGCGCCGGGCGGCCGGCCCGGCACGTTGTCGGCCATGCCGTCGTCGGGAGCTGCCAGCGCAGCTACCAGCTTCCCCAGCAGCTGCTCCGCCAGCTGCACTTCGGCTTCCCTCACCTGCCGCACAGAATCCCCGCACGGCTCAGCCTTGATCTGTGCTCTTGTGTCATCTTCCGATGCATATAGGGAATGTCCACGAGTTTTGATCTGGCCTGTTTGTGGCAAAGCAGCTAGCCCTGGATTGCCGGTGCAACACTCGGCAAGATTGTGCTTGGAATGGCGTCGGTAACAATCACAGATGTTGCCATCAACATCCCCCGCGCATGCCAAGCAGAAGCAATGGCGAGCGATGTACCGGCAACCCAGGCCGCATATTCACCTTTTAAACCCCGGCGCACAATACACCGTCTGGTCTGCTAGGCATGTTGGGCTGCAAGTGCCAAGGCCAGGCTGTACATGCTTTAAATGCCATCCGTCGGATTACAGCAGTCACTACTGACTTCTACTGGCTTGGACATCCAGTAGCGGCAGCCCGTGACAGATAAAGGCAGGCAGAAACTGGTTGGAAGAGCGCGCCTGCTGGGGTTTATCCGGGATGCTTCGCACGAGGTCGCAGAACAGCTCGTAGAACGCATCGCAGTGGTGCGGCACAGCGTCAGCCGCCGCCGTGGACCTGCAAAGAAGCTGCCAAGCTTACGGATCATGCAATCCTGTTACGGGAACGGGTCAGGACAGCTGCCAAGGAAGTATGGGTCACCGCTGACTAACAGGAGACAGTGAGGGGTAGCGCAAAAGATATCCAAGCAGGGCACCAGTCATATTCACAGCACCATGATCTGGCAAGGATCACTGGCATGCATCAAATGCCTGCATGTCCAGAAGGATATGCAGAGACGAATCCAGGGCAAGGCAGGATACAAACAAGAAAGGCACGGGCTTCGCTCAGATCTTGCTAAGATTGACATTAAGTGGTGAGATAATCTTTGACCTGGACCAAACGCCTGAAAAATCCTACACCTGGACCAAAGGAGTCACCTGTCAAGGAGCTGCAGCGCAAATGGGTGGCCGATGCCCTTGCAGGAGATGAGCTCCATCAGGAGCGCCGTACGACGGCGAACCTCCTCGTGGCGCACATTCAACAGACCCTCCACCATCAGCGTGCGCGCGCCTGCAGTGCAGAATTCGAATTCAAATCTTTTGTAATACAACTTTAAAAGTTGAATTCAAAATAATACCAGCATAATGCCTTGGCCAAGCAGGCCCGTGCATTGAAGGCATCACCCAATAGAACGCCATGCAGATCAGGTATCAAGAGGCACCAGAGGCTCTCACAAATCTAGTTCAGTGTTTCGCACTACATTGCTGCGCATGCATGGCTTCAGATGCATGGCATGTATGAACCAAGTTGCAGCACAAGATTAACTTTGTCTTGCACAGTGGTAGGGCCCTTTTGGACATGATTTGAGTGCGCTTGCATTTAGCCATGGTATGTGCGCAGACAGCCAACTAAAAGACATGGCATTCTCAGGGAGCACCGACAAAGAGCACATATCTTATGGTTTTCAGTGCATGCAGGACAAGGAGAAAATATAGACGCGCACCCTCATAGGAGAGCAGGCTCTCCAGCAGCTCGGGTTGCCACTCCAGTAGGCTGCGCAGCCCATTCAGGGCCTCCACAAAGAGGCGCACATCCTGCTCGGGCAGGGTGTCCTCTTCCGAATCCTGCATGCAATATATATATTGTGGGTTATTTATGTGATAGATTCTCAGGGTTAGATTAAATACCCCAAATAAAAAACTCTGAAGCCTAAACAGAAACTCCAAGAGATTTGTCAAGGAACGCCAGAACCCCGGCTGGAGTGCCATACACCCAGGGGCAGAGGTGGGAAGTGCCAAAATAGGATCACGGGACAACAGGCACTGTGCATGCAAAACCTAAATATAGGTTCCACCCTGAATATAGGCGCACAGGCACAGTTGGTGACACAGCACATGACAGGACAGGAAGGAGAAGATGCACGAGATGGCAGGTTTGTGTAGTAATCCTACCCTACACCCTTATTACCCCACACCCTTATAACCCTGCCAGAAACCCAGAATTATAATAGAAATTACAGGGGTTTCTTTGACGCCAACATGCAGGACAACGTGCAGGGAGAAAAGCCCACCAGGGCCGCTTCCGCCGGGGCCGCGTTTGTATAGTAATCCTACCCTACACCCTTATTACCCCACACCCTTATAACCCTGCCAGAAACCCAGAATTTAATAGAAATGACAGGGGTTTTCTTGACGCCAACATGCAGGACAACGTGCAGGGAAAAAAAGCCCACCAGGGCTACTTCCGCCGGGGCCGCGTTTGTGCTGTAATTCTACTTTACACCCTTATTACCCCACACCCTTATAACCCTGCCAGAAACCCAGAAATATAGTAGAATCTACAGGGGTTGTCTTGACGCCAACATGCAGGACAACGTGCAGGAAAAAAACCCCACCAGGACCGCTTCAGGCGGCGCCGGAGCTCCCCAGCCGCGGCAGGCGTGAAGGGCAAGGTGCACAAAGAACACAAGCATCTCCTGCAGCATGCCCGGATCCGCGCTGGCTGCCGGGGAGGCAACGCCCTCGCTGCCCGGCGCCGCAGCCGCCGCCGCTCCAATCGGCGCGCTCCCCTGGCCGGCAGCCGCCCCTGCGCAGGGGGAGTGTTTGTTGATGCTGCAGGAATGGAATAAAGAATCACACAATGCGTTAGTCATTCCTGTACAAGACTGGTGATGCGGACGGGGCGATGTGGGAAGTTTGGAAAATGCAGCTGTGTGGGACAGTGTGCAGAATTCATGAGAGCAGGCTGTGAGAGAAAAGCAATAAAGGTGGTCTACCAGCACGCAGTGAAACGAATTTTGCTCCCGAAGGGCTTTTGTACCCTGTGGGTGACCCATACTTTTTGACATGCGCCAGCAGTGTCCGCCACTACCGATCTCTTCAATCATGAAATCTACCCTCGGGATGTGCAAGCATCCGCGCTTATCACTCCAATGCTTGTGAAAAGTAAAACCTGAGGAGGCTTGCAATCCCGGAGAGATATCTCATGTATCTCAAAAACCAACAGAGGCGGACACGCGTTGCAAGTTGTACAGCACCCAAAACCCGTCCCACTCCGTATCTACCAAATCTGGAAAACGAGTAGGCAGATTAGGAGATGTCTTGCCTGTGCTGGCAGGAGCGCTGTCTCTCTGCTCCACTGCACCAGCGCTTGCCGTGCTGGCAGCAGCGGGAGCGTTCGACACCTCCATAGCAACTGCTGAACCTGCACACAGGCAAATATTGATTTGTCTAATTTGGCGACCTGCCAGCCTGGCAGCCGCCCTTCCTTGTGCACCTTGCGCATGCGGTTCATCAGCTTCTCAGCACAGTCTACAGGACAGCAGCTACTGCCATCAAACCATTTTTTGGCGAAACAATACAGTAGTAGTCATTCTAAAACCCGCAATAAGCATTGATTTTTGGCTGAAAAGGGTGTAACTAAGACCCCGTCTCCCAAAATATAAAACCTGTCATAATTTGGAGACCACACTCGGAAAGCTCTCGACAAGCCCAATCCAATGGAGCATGACCCTGATATATTGTCAGTCAGGAAGACCTTTAAAACCCTTTTGAAAAATATTAACACCGCCGAGGGTGCGGATATTACAACGACTACTACAGTAAACCCCCATGTCATGCACTGCTCCAACCACCCAGCATATTTATCACAAGCTCGTCCTGCCACGGGCAAGGTGCATCTGCTTGTCTGTAGGCAAAGGCTGCCACAAATTGTACCCCTTGAGAAACCTGGCAGATTCAAGCAACACCCATTCAACCGTAGGCCCGGTGCCTTTCATTGATACCAACAAGTAAGGCATGCATAATCTACATGCAGGGCTGTCATGCAAATTATGCATGTATCAGATATAGTCCATGACTGCTCCTGGGCCATAGGATTGTTGACTTGTTGCTCCATAACGTGCACTCACGAGGGAGCACCTTCCTCTATACTCTCCTGTGGGTGAGAATTCATGGATTAAGAATGGTGCGCACCTGCAGGCTTGCCCATGGACATGTCAGAAGCTGCGCTGTCGCTCTGTGCAGGGCGGCTGAGCGGAAGCTGCGGGGGAAGCTGCGGGGCAGCCGCCGCGCGCTTGAGCAGGCGGCTGAGCAGCAGCTGCAGCGTCGCATACAGCTTCCGCATCAACAGGATGTCTGCACAGATCACAGAAAACGTCAAATAATGTTCAAGGACATGTTGTCACCACGCCAAGTGAACACCAACCTTTTTGCCATGGCTACAAGATCTTGGTCACAGCACTGCCCCCGCCATGGCAAGCATTGCAGCTATGAGCACAGTACAATGCGCACGGCTAGATAAATTATGACTGACCCGCCCTGAACGCATTCAATCCACATGTGCACAGCGCTGGGCCCGCGCAGATTGCACCCGTCTTCTAGCCGGACGGCCAGGAAGTGGAGCCGACAGCGACATGATTTGCACCTCGCATCTCTGGGTATCTCTGCACATCCTAGGGATAAGGAATGCGTGTCATAGACAGTGAAAGATTGAATAACCAGAAAGCCTGGCAATTTCACGGAAGCGTGTCAGCACAGCTGGCCTGGCTCAGCACAGGGCTTGATATGCCTGCAGATCAGATGGCGTCCTGAACTCTGTTCTCGTTGGGAGCAGGATTGTCCTTCTGGCACGCACCTTTGTCGAAGGCTGCGCTGTTGACCTGCAGGGCGCGCAGCAGTACGCCCACGCAGTTGGAGGCCAGCGCTGTTCGCTGCAGCGCACTGGCCGCCTGTAGTGACTCAGGATCCTCAAACACCGGGAACAGCAGGCTGTTAAGAGCCTGCGCGGTCAGTGCCTTCCCTCAGAACTTGGTGCAGGACGTCACAAGCTTGTTTCGTCACAGTGTGAAGATGAGGGGTTTTGAATCCAGACTGCCTGACAGCTCCTCCACAAAGGTGAATTTTGACTCAGACCTTTACAGAAGGTGAGCTATGATCCCTACGACCCATAAAAGTCATTGTCTGGGTCGCCATAACCAGAGAGACCAATGGGCAGACCAGCAGCTTGAACGGTACTTCCTTGTTTTAGCTCTCAAAATGGCTTTCCATAGCCGCTGGCCCACTCCAATGGTCTTTATAGGCAATGAGTATCCAGAGAGTTAGTTTCTTCGTGTTTCCTCAATCTTAGAAGTAGAATTTTAACATCACTACCAAACAAAACCCACAGGACCCTGACGTGCCAGCTTGACCTGCTTAGCTCAAAGACACCTCTTAGGAACAGCAGGGATGCAAAGACAAGCCTGGCTCAGTCACACACTCTACCTATGTACCCAGTTGGGAGCCGTGTGCTTATGGAAAGTAATGCCATACATGACACTGTGAAGCCTAGCGAAATCACCTGCAGCGTGTAGAAGAGGCGGGCAGGTTTGGCGATGGGCTGCCCGTCCTGCCCGGCGGGCAGCAGGAGGGTCATGAGCGATTCGGCAGGGGTTGGCGAGTCGATTGCGCGCCGCAAATCCCCCAGGATCCCCCGGTCTGTGGGCAGCATGTCCAGCAGCTGCGTCGCCGCGTGCCGTACGCCCGTAACGGGGCAGAAGTCGGCAAGACACAGCAGCACATCGTAGAATCCCTCCTGCAACACAGGGATGCATGGTGATTTTGCCAATGCAGAAGGCAGGTGTTCATTGAGCTGACCGCCTGGATGCCTCATGCATGCGTCTGCGCAGACGCACGCATGCTCAATCTTGCCCGTTTGACTTCAGCAGTCAATGGCCAAGGGGCGCCTTGATATTACTTTGAGAAACAGGAACAGGGTGACCACAGGAAAGATAGTCACCTGTTGCGCAAGCAGGAGGGCGGGGGATGCGGAACGCTGCGCGCCGGCCTCGTCGGGGGCGAGCTCGGTGTAGGAGTTGGTGTGGGGGGTGAATATGGCGTGGATACTGTGGCCCTCCGCCAGCCCCGCGTCCTGGATCAGCCGTGAGTCGCTGCGCAGCTCCTGGCCTGTGCGAATTTCACATTTTATTATTATTAGAATTCTTACACGATTTTCCCTGCCAAAAGGCAAGGTACGTCCTGCAAACAAGCTGTAGTTGAGAGCCCACACAATCCTACCCGCTGTTGGACGCACAAGATCCAAGCAAGACCCAATCAACCGTGGGCACAGTGCTCAGTGATTATATTGCCTCCCGCCAGCCGTGTTTCAACAAATATTTGACAAAATAGGAAGGGAAAGAATCCCTCTTTCTCGCATGGACCACAGGATTACAAGCAATTGTATCAAAACCCGGCAACATTCTCCATGAGTGCGGCCACACGCCCTGAAACTGGTTCCAATGGTTGTCACGCTGCTGATACAGAGTACAACAGCTTGCAGCGGTATCTGATGCCCTGAATAGCATATTCCTAAGATGCCCTCGCACTTCCATTAGTGGCTGTCAAGAAAAAGATCACGCTGCACAGGTAGCGAGAGGGTTGCTGTGCCAGCCAGTTGCTCCCCGGCATCGCCATCTACCTCTAAACGGCCATCACTAGAAAATCTGGAGGCCATTTGCATCCCCACGGTAAGAGTGCATACCCTCCTTAACAACCTCTTCAGCTGGAAGAAGGCGCACCACTGAACAGCAGGCGGACATGAGGGGCAGTCGTGGCCATCTTGGCAGCAACTTTCCGCCGTAGCACTCCCACGTAGTCATTCGTGAAGAGGGGGATGCGGCCGCGAGTGGCCCCCAGCATTTTACCGCCCTGGCCGCCCTGATCACAGAAATGGAGTACTTATCTTCTTAATTTTCTGTATTTTTTTTCATCTCTCTTCTTTTTCAATCTTCTTCTCCTCTTCTTCAATCTTCATCTTAATTTTTCAAAAGGCGCGCTCCCAACCCGCAAAAGTGCAGAGAGAAGGCCTGCCTCTCAATCTGGTTTCTGAGAAAGCAGCCAAGAAATCTTAATTCAACATTTGGTGGTTGTCCAGATACGTTCGTTCAGCAACGAGCGCAAAAGGGTTCCCTTCTCTGCCTGCAAAAGGTGCGTGCCTAGATGGCAGTCTTGGAAGGTGTGTTACAGGAGCAGGAGCATGCACCATTGCATGGACTGACGCAAACCAGGCACGTGCTGCCAGGGGCCTAAAGCATATGGCCTTTATAGCAATTCTGCTTGCAAGGTCTCAGACCTCCGATTTGCAGATCATCACCGCAAGCGAAGGGTTGGCACCCGGCACACAAAATAGCTACAAGCCATTGCATGGTCTCAGATCTTCACTCTGCAGGTTATCAAGGGCACAAGGAGGAGTGAGACCAGACACACAAAATAGCTAGAAGCATATTGCATGGGGCAGCGGGCGTTAGCATGGGGTCTTGCCTGCATGTTGACGTCCACATGCGTGGGTTGCCCCTGGAAAGATGCAGCGTGGGCCGGAGAGGCGGGCATGGACGGGCCCTAATCACCACAACAGACCGCTCTCATGCAAAATTGATATCAAAAGGGAGCTTCTGGCAGCTAACGCAGCACACAACGATCTTCAAGGTGCCAGCAGTTGCATATACGGCGCCTAAGAAAGCACTGTTGCATACGTCAACTTTCAGAAGCTGTACATGCAGACACTGCACAGGCCATAACAGCATACTGTGCGAACACTCATTCTCAACATCTTGTAGCCACACGGTTAGGTAGCAAGGGACTCTTTGTCACGGTAAGTAACAATATGATGATGGACCTTCCTGGCAACATCATCCTGCCATGCATGTTGTGGACAGACAGTGGTGGACAGACACCCTCGATCAGACGCTAAAAAGAAAAATTTGTAAGCATCTACTAAGCCTTCGAATAAAAGCAAGACAGAAAGTGCATTCGGGGGGGCACCTGGCAGTCCTCCACCAGCTGCTGCATGACGGCCAGGCAGCGGACGGCGCGCTGCGCGTCCCGGGCATAGCCGGGGGTCTCCTCCGGGGGGACCGGTCCCCCAAAGGCCCCCCAGTCCGAGAGGCCCTCCGGCAGTCCAGTCAGCGCATGCGCCGCCGCCAGAAGCCTGTCCAGGCAACTCCTGCAGCCACAGAGACGCTCTTGCTGAACATGTGACCAAACCTGAATGCGCCAACACAGGCATAAGCTCCTGCCTGCAGAGAAACACACCGAGCCAGAACTTTCTTCGAGCAACCTTATTGTGAAAGCAGCCCCATTGTGATGTCATCCGAGGACTGCGGGTCCAAAGTGATGCTTATCAACGAAACTATCTGTTAAAAACAGCACCAGGCGTCCCCAAAAAGCATACACAAGCTCTTCAATTCACCCATCCTTTACATGTGCATGAAAAAAGGTGACTCAGTGCAGATACCTGCAAAGTCCCTGATACGCCCCCGGAAAAGTAGAGGAGGATTCGAACCGAATCGGGCATTTTCAAGGAAAGCAACACAAGGGCAGGTCACCTGAGGAGCCCGAGTCGCACTTCGGCCTGCTTAGGCACGAGGTTGTCTGCCAGTCTGACGTGCATGTTGACCAGTAATGTGCGGGCCCTGTCAGCGATCAGGTGGGGGGGCCCATCTAGCACCACAGACCACAGGTACGGCAGCCCTGTGTGCATGAAAGAAATCTGGTGAGTCACCCAATTGAAGGTATCCGCATCTTGCCCATCACACCAGCAACGATATGACACGACACACAATAAACCCGTTCAAAACACATATTTATATTTAATCTGCGAATCATTCTCCCTCCCAAGGCAGAGAAATATTGGTTGTGAGCATTTGCGCGCATTGCCTTGCCCGCCGCAATGCTTCTGCAGATGGGTGACTAACAGACTGCCTCACGCAAAAGTGATTAAGCATTGTCATCCACCTGTTTTGGCTGGGGTGCACGCACTTGCACCCGACCGGATTATTTCTGAAAACCTTTCATGTAAAGACATGTAATGACAACTATATGCACTCACCCTTGAGGTCGAGGTCCCGGGAGAGCAGCACAGTGCGGATGATGTTTCCCGGCAACACAGGGCTGGACTCCTCCACGCGCTCATTCTGAAGCTTGCCCTCCTCGAATGCAACCTGCACGCATGGCATCCCTTGTCAGCAAACCAGCAATGCAAGGTGTGCAATGCTTTGCTTCAAATTTGCGACCCTCGGACCTGCGCGCAACTCGGATGCAACCCGTGCGCATGTCTCTACACTAGTCAAACCAGCAATCCAAGTTACGCAACTCTTTGCTTCAACAGTGCCAGCCTCAAATCTGCACAGCGCTATTAGAGTCACACTGATAAGTATGCGCCATCACAAGCTTCAGTTTCAAGGGAATACTTACTCCTCAAAGCAAGTACCTCTATTTTTCTGGCAGCATCAATGGCAGTCATGTATATTGAGAACACAAACCAGAGCAAGCACCTCTCATCTTGCAGTAGCCTAGTAGCTTATTAATGCAGTAAAAAAGGATAAAAGAATGCAGTAGAAAAGGAAAAAAGCATGACAACAGAATGAGGTTGGGCCCAACCTTTTGCAGGAACCACTCGAAGCACTCGAAGGCTTTGTGTGCAATGGTGGCAGGGTCAAGGGTGGGGAAGCTGTCAGTCAAGAGGGCTGCCATGTCAGCCGTGGTAATGAATGTCTTGGACGCGCTTGCATGCAGTAGAGAGAATGCCATCTGCGGATCTGACTTGATGCATGGTCGCGCAATGAGACACGCCCAAAGCCTGCGCGCAGTGTAAATTTCATTAGTGCATGAGTCTTGCAGCACACTCCCACTAGCGTTACTGAGCACGCATGCTAGCGGTCTCCCATACACGCTATAGTGCAAATTTCCCACAAACTGCCAGTGTCGCAGTGGCAGGCATGCAGCCATGACAAATTGCGGACTATTGCAGCCATCTTTGCACGCATGCTTACGGCTCCACACACCATCTTGGAGGTCTGCTTAGTGATCAGCTGGAAGGACAAGAGGTCCATTCTCTTTGCCTGATACACAAACACAGAGAAAGTGCAAAAGTAAAAAGGGGGGAGAAGATCCGGTGAGGGCGCGCACCGCTGCAGGTATTTGAGCCGCAGAGGCTCGCCGGTGAGAAGGTTGATGGTGTCAAGGAAGGTCACATACTGCAGAGTTGCATTGCCCTGCAAAAGCTCGGCCTCCTGTTCTGCGGGATCTCCCGGCGCGCCGTTTGAAGACGAGGCCGCTGCGGCAGCGCGAACCTTGTCCTTGAACGCCTACAGTAATGCATGAATCTCTGCATAATATTCTCAAGCTCAATCGAGGAAGCGCAGCCTTCATAGTCCTACCACTTCTTGATGATGTTAGTGTCACAGTGTCCGCTGTTCGTAACATCCCTTGCAATGATGCATCGACTTGCAGGTCGGCATGGGATCTGTGCTGGTCAACGCATGCACAGCTACAATTTTGCTGCCCGGGGCTCCCGAGAAGAACAAACTTTTATAACACTCAACATGGCACGACAGCGGGTGAACATATGCGCGCAGTGCAGGTGCAGGAACGGCGGAGCAACGTGCGGTTCGAACTTGATGTGCCGTGATAAGTCCGCATGCGGGTGAGTCACCTCCAGGCTGGACACAACCACCTCCACAATGTTGAACTCGCTGTCCAGGGTCTGCACCGCCTGCGTCCGCAGGTCCTGCAGTGCCAGAAGGAAGAAAATCGAAACTCAATTATATTAAAAAAAAAAGTTAATTTATGAAAACTGTTTCACATTCAAGGAGGCTCGTCATCTTGCATTCCAGAGGGCCAGAGTGCTTGCAGGAATGTGTGGGTCTGCAAGAACACAGCTGTGCAAACTGAAGCAGTGCGCTGGTGCGCATTACAGGCATGCTACGACAGCCAAATTGCCTGCAAAAATGCGAAAATGCCAGTGAATTTGGGGCAGCGGGAGGATAAAGTCAGATATCACGATTTTTGCAGTTGGGCAGGCTGTGTATATCACAAGGAAGGCAGAGGTGTGGACAGGAGCTGACCTGCTTGGCGCCTGTGACCCTGGAAGGGAACGCCTCAATCAGGCTGTTGAGCACAGTCAGCGCCATGGGGTTGTCATCCCGTTTAATCTGCAGCGCAGCAGTGGATTGTGAGAACTGTGTTTTGCGGCAACTTGCAAACATGGCGTGTTTTATATCATTAGCGTTTCTCATGCCCGTGTCCTTGCGACCATCTTCTACATCAAAGCAATGCAGCATGTCTCCCCAAAATGGAGGCATTAGGAATCGATGGGCAATCTTGCTTTGGTGCTGTGTTCATTCTTACGGATGCTTGCAAGAAGAGAGGGATGGCAATCCTATGCATCAACCAGTAAAGAGGGTGGCACACTCCCTCCATGCACCCAGAACAGCCGTGTTGAAGCCAGACAGGATGCATGCCTGGTGCTCCTAGTGATAGCACCCGACCTGGTAAAAATAGGGCTTGGTTGACACCCTAACCCAAAATCTCGCATCCTACATGAGTGGGGTCTGAGAATATATGTGGGCGCATGATCCCCACCTGGCTGATGCAGCGGCGCATGTAGTCCCAGACCAGGGGCGTTCCCACCTCGTCCACGCTGGCATAGTGGTGCAGCGAGTCTGACAGCACGCGGCTCTGGGCCACCTCGGCCGGTGCGCCAGGCGCGAATGTGAGCCCCCACAGCAGACCCAGCACCCGCTGCGCCAATGTGCCCTGTAGCGGCAGAGAACATCTCAATAGAAGTAATACTAGTAAAAATTAAGGCAGGTTTGGTTGGCTCCAAATGGCGGGGGGCGGAATGACCATGAATGGAAGAAAAGTGTACAGGCAGCTCAACAGCCATTCCTGAGTAGTGTTGAGACATGCGTCTAGCCTCAGCACCAGTAAGTCACTACAGTTGAGATGCCTGACGCTCTCTGCACAGGCGGGAAATTCGCCAAGGCAGCCACAAATATCACCAGGAGACAATTCTAATTCCCCTTACAACGCCCACTCAGTCCTTTTGACAAAACGCCGAAATGATACAGCGTCGCAAAGTAAGGGCAGCCCAAAAGGATGCACGACAAGGCTGTAGCTGCAAAGTCAAAGTAAACAGCTTTGATTGTTTACATGAATGGACCATGGGCCCCAAAGATGGCTCAAATCAGATTTTGCAAGACAAGAGTCCACAGAAACTCAGGGCATTGTATCATCATCGTTATACATGAGGGGAACTCAGCTCAAAACTGCCAAAAAAGGCAGTGACAACGCACCTTGGCGTCGGACTTGGCGAGCTGCTTGAGAAGGTCCATGGCCTTGAGGGTATCTGGCGCAGGCCAGCCGGTGCACGCCTCGAATTTTGAGAAGAGCAGGTCGAGCTCGGGGCCGTGCAAGTCCTTGGCTAGGTCTCCCAGCACGCTGTAGACATTTGTCTTCACCGCCTCAAATGTGTCCACCTGTGTGCAAGCAGGCGATTGCAATGGGTTTAGCGAGTACTAGTGTCTTCATGATGCCTAATTGATTTCAGCATGCGCTTGGCTAGAGCGTGTCGGGTTTTTGGAGCCCTGTGTGCATGATGGTAGGCGCAGCGTTAGATACAAAAGCCTGCTTGGCGACTAGTAGCCCAGAAAAAAGTTCTAAGTCTGTCTCAAGGAGTGCGGGGAACTAAACCCAGTGACAGACACTCTGGCCTCGGGGTGCTGTCTGGGAGATCGCATGTGAGAACACCACAGAGAATGCAGGAGAATACCCAAAGCTGAAAAGTGCCACCCAGGCGGAAAGCGCCAAAGCCTAGCGGCAGTAGGCACGACACTTGCCTTTCTGAGTTTTGCTATCGGTAGCTAAGGGGCCGGCAGCAAGGCTCTCATAAAAATATACCCTGCACACAGGAGGAAGAGGTTTGACATGCACCTTCTCTGTGAGGTTCCAGAGCAGCTCGAGGTGGTCTGCGCGCAGCCCGTCCTCGGTGGCCAGCGTCTTGAGCACTTTTTGCACCTGGTCCACATACTGCCTCTGATGCAAATGCGCCCGCAGCAGAACCTGCACCATGCCCTTCTGCACCAGCCAGCCCACCGCGTCCTGCACAACGCAAACATTCACTTTAACAGTCAAACTTAAACTCAGTGACGAATGCACGCAAGTGATGGTGGGGATGCTTGCATGGGATAATGTGGGTCGTGGCCAGTTATCCCTGCTGGAAGCTAACTAACTAATTAACTAACTAACTACCCTCCCTTGCTCTCAGACTGAAATGTCACACCAGCTGTGCCCAGGGTCTTCAGTTGCCTTCCCTCAGGATTCGGACCCCTAAAGTACCCAGAGAAAGGCCGCCCCCAACTTGAGTGTTTCCTTTAAAGGGTTGCTCCTGAACATTGAGCAGGCAGACTCCGCCCAAGCGAGAAGGACAGCGCCCCACCTTCCCACCGCACAGAGGGCGGTGGCATGCGCTGGCGTATTGTGTCCAGGGACGTCCGTGGCAACGTGTACAACCCCCTACGTTTACAGATGGTGGAGCTCATACAAAGCCCTCACCTTCATGGGCTTTTGGCCCTCCGGCCCTGGGCAGACGCTGCGGACGTCCTTGGCCCGCTGCAGCATATTGTTGATCTCGCGCACGGCCGTCAGGTGCTTGTTGAACACGCTGTGCTCCAGCAGACGCTCCACAAAGGCCCGCTGCACCGCCGACACCTGGAACCCGCATCGGCAGCGCTGATAAGTTCACACCCTAGATCCAAGCTCAGTACGGGTCGCAGCCCTTGAACTGGGAGTTGCAATGGACACTGCTTCCGAACCTGCTGTGCAACTTGGGTGCGTACCCGCAAGCATCCCTTCATTACCCGGGAAAGCCACAGAGCTGCATAGGCTCCCTTAGCACTGCACGAAGCTTGACTCAAAACATCCCTTGCAGCATGCTTGGGCATGTCATCCTGGGTTCGCTGCCCAGCTGTGGCCAAATGCAGGCATGCATGCATGTGAGCTGGGCAGCGCACCATTTTTGGCAGCGCACCACGTTTTGACAAGGCCTTGCCGTGAGCTTGTTTAAGCTGCAATCTGAGAAGGATGACTCACCATCTCGTCAGCGCGCACGGGGCTCAGCGGGCAGGCGAGCACGATGTGAATCTGGCCGAAGAGCGCAGAAACGCCGTTGAACATGCGGTCGCGGCCAGAGTCGCTCAGGGCCTCAACGCCGTCGGAGAGGCGGCCGTTGATGTGGCGGTCCAGTAGTGCGCCACACGGCTCCGCTAGCGCAGTCCTCGCCCTCGGAGACAGGAACTGTATCGCCTGAACGCCACATCAGGCTTTGTGTCAGCCTGCTGTTTCCTCTGTCACCTCTGTGATGAGTTTAACACATAACTCCGCCAAGATACTCTAAACACGTGGTGGGCGTCAACGTCTCCATTCGAGATGAACAACTACCCCCTCTCTTTCTGATCAAATCGTATTTTGCGGTGCAAAAAAACTGGACAATCAGCATCACGCCCACTTACATCGTTATACGATGTCGAACTTTTGCATACCTTTATGAGCGGATCCAAGACCATCTTCAGCAGCGAGAAGGAGCAGGTTGCGAGCTCGCACAACTGCAGGCACCACACAGCATGACATGTCAGGCATTCATGCATCCCCGACATTGCTAGTCTCCAAGTAGATCCCACTTGGTACCATTCCAAACTCACTGCCAATGACTCAAGGTCAGTGCACGGGTGCAGACAGGGGGTTTGAGCATGGCACAGCAAGGCCAGCATGCGCCTTGCAAGCTTCAGATGTGTGACAATGCTGATGGAGGTCAGCACAGCTGCTGAACTGTGCACACTGCTTAGTGCGCTGACTGTACAGAGCAGCGACCATAGTAATGTAGTACTCATTCTAAAACTTGCACCCCTGGCGGTGCGAGAAAATTTTAAAAGCAACGTTAAGGGGTGTTGCTGACTTCAAAGCAGGGTCATGGTCCATTGGATTTAACTTGTCGAGACATTTCCAAATCTGGTCTCCAAACTATCATAGGGTGTACACAATGGAGACAGGATCCCACTTTCCACCCTTCTAGATGACATAACTCATTTTTTGCGGGTTTTAGAATAATTACTACAGTAACGCATGGCCTTTTGCTGTGCCAAAAGTCAGGAACAGCCTCACCTTGCAGACGGCGTCAAAGCCGTGCTTCTCTGCAAACCAGTTGAGCAGCGCAGCGAGCCAGCAGAATTGCTCCCCCATCATGTCCTCTGCTGCCTCCAGCGCCTCGGGATCAGCGTCCACCAGACTCACAGCCGGCGACCGCAGCGGCAGGGCAAATCCCTCCTGCAATCCCTGCATACAAATTCCCAGGAATTATTTCTATAGCACCACAGTGTAGCACCACAAACCAACGTTTAAATAGTGCGCAGTGCTCCTGTTTGCCCACTGCAAGCACCGCGGACTTTGAGAGGGTTATGTGAAGGTCCCGGGGTGACGGCACCGCATCTGGGCAATCCCAGAATTCGGAACTTTGCTCCCAGTGTTCAACAGGCTGGCCGAAAAGGTCCAACATATGTGCTTGAAAGTTGCTCACAGGCAGAGGCGCTTCAGGACCACTAGAAGAACACCCCGGGGGCACCCCTTCTGCCTGCCGGAGATGCATGCATTTCTCACGACGGGCATGGGAACATTAAAGGGGCATCTACTGCAGGGACGTTTTGAATGATGTGAAAAGGGGGTTTCCAGGGGGCCGTACCCTGACCCCGCCGGGGTCCTGGTTCTTGTTGTGCTGGTGGAAGTGTGTGGCCGGGTCAAGGATGCGCGACAGCGCCTCCAGCAGTCCAGTCAGGTCCTCCTCCAACTCCGCACATGTCTCCGGCAGACCGGCATACCTCACCAGCGCCTGCGCATACCCCAAAAAACCCTGCCTCATTTCCCCGTGTACGATTCATGCACCCTTGCCATGCAGGGGTTCTGTCAGATACAGGTCCAGGGTGTGTATTCCACATACATCAATCCCTGAAAACTGTGCAAGGTCTGCTGCTCTGAATTTGCTTCCGTGCCTGAAAGCATGCATGCATTTGTGCCCAGCAATATTCCCTGCAATGCTGAGAGTCACACGCTCTGGTATAGCGTCCGCATGCATGCTTTTTGAATCAGCTGAACTCCCTGCAGTGCTCACAGGGTCCTGTCACAGCACGAGCAGGAGAGGCGTGGCATTGAGAGGGGAATTGGCCGCACACCCCGAGGTATGCCGTACATTGGCACCAGCCAATGTAATGAAATGTAATGAAATGCCGTTGGCGTTCAGATACAGCAGGGAACTTGAAAGAACAGCAGATGGAGGAAACGGAGGGGTGAATGCAAGGGTCTTCCATCCAATATAGGTGCAGGAAGGCGCACCTTGAGCTTCAGGGCAGTCAGGTCGACCATGTGCATGGCAGCATTGAAGATGTCCTGCTGCACGGTGTCGCTCCAGTTGGCCACGGCCCTCTCGCCAAAGCACTTCTCAAAGGCGTACGGCGCTGTGTCCCTCATCAGCTTCTTGATGTTGTGTGTCTCCGCATTGCCGCTGCCAGTCCTGCACTCAGGAAAGGCGACAAGTGACATGTACACCTTTGTGTGCAATTCCTCCACATGCTCACACACGAGTGGAGCTTTATCCCGCGATGGATGCTCAGCGGCATGCGCTGATGCCAGAGTACTCTATATACGCGCAGGAAAGGTCTGGAGCATCGAATATGGTGCTGAAACTGACTGAGGCATGTGCATCATGGAACCAACTTGTTGATAAAATTGTCCCTGGGAAGCACTGGCATTCTCGTCTCAAAGCTATCTAAGGCAGACAGTCGTGGCTTGCCTGTGTGCCTCACGGACGATGGTAGCTGCAGCTTGCAGGCAGCTGGCAAGATCTGAAGGGTAGACCATCCAGCTGGGGAGCCGATACAGACCCTCGCAGAGCTTGTTATACTCCGCTATCGGAAATTGCTGCATGGCAAAGGGATACAGAGTGACGGGCGTCCCCGTTGGACTGCTCATCTCGAAATCATCCTCGAGCTCCTCCACAAGATCGCTGTTGGAATCATCGTTGGAGATGCTTGACCCGCTCAGGGCAGCATCCATGCTGAGACGCTGCAATAAACCGAGCGTATCCACTTCCGTTCAATTTATAAGGTGCGATGATCCTTGCCTGCACATGCACCTCCACCATCAAGATGTGGATCACAGATTAGGCCAGACTTTGTGCAATTGTCATTATCACAAAGTATTTTGATAGCAGTTGATCAACAGTCTGGACGAATAGATTAGCAGAAACGATAAATATGCTGTCTGGAATAAGGATAAAAACATCAGTGGGGTTGGTGGGCTTTCTTGGTCAATGGTGCCCACAGTACACCGCAAATCAGTGGTAGGCACTATATAAATATGCGCCGTATCGATTGCTGCCGTGCTGGGCCATACCTGGTGAGAATACCTGCAGGTGGAAGATTACTCAGCAGGTCAGCAGCCCAACATAAAACATAGTGCCAAACTCCGACTGCCTCCGACGGGCGCTGCAAACTCCTCTAAATCTAGACAGCTGTGCCAAACTCGCGATCAATACGAGAAAGTCCGATCACGGATCAAATGGGAACCATCGCATGCAAAGTCATTCTTGGCAGAGTCCACAGCACAGCTTGGGGTTTGGCATGAGCGAATGAGTTAATTTCCATATCTCGCCTGGCGATACATCCTGGTAAATCCCGGCGATAGCTTGTTTTGCCCGATGCAGCTTCTCTAGCTTTCTTTGGCCTCTTTGCAGGCTTGACCGAGCAATGCTTGCGCGATCAACGACGATTTCTAGATTTTGATGCATTATATTCTTTTGAAATCATCGTTTGGGATGCCACAGACGCGAGCCCGGCTCAACTCAATTCTTCTCTGATTGGTCTTTCAATTCATGTGTAAGGCACACTGTGATGTTGTTTAATGCGGTAGATGTGTTAATGAAGGGCATCTAGCACTTCTGGACATTCACTCTAATCAGATCCGCTGTTCGTACTGCAACAAGCCAAGCACGGGGTCTCTCTTGCTGGTGTTGGAATTCTAGTGGTCTCGCAGCGGGGTCGAAGCAGATGGATCTCCAGGATGTACGGACGACCGGCCCGTCGTTGGCCTCTCTCCTGCAAAGCATGGCCAGAAACCACCTGGACTTTGATGGTCTGATCCTAGGTGAAGACCTGCACCATCACGGTCAAGTCATTGTCACTTGGGCTCATCAAACGACGCTTTCATTTTTACCTTCGATAATGGACATTACCAAGTGTCAAAGCGCTGAGGGAGGCCCCTTGTGTCAAGCCACTAAACACAAGCCAGGTCCTCCCTGCTTGCAGGCAGCTATGAGACCCGGACAACATCCACAATGCACGATGATCGCGCAGAGGAGAAAAGTGCCAGCTTGGAGGCAGGCATCACTAGCTTCCAGAGCTCTGCATCTGTCTGCTCGTTCTACAACCCCGCAGGCCAGATTGACGGTGAGCTGCACAAATGGGAATACCTTCATGGGGGGATGGGGGAGGCCTATTCTTGCAGCAGCCCAGATACAGCTCAAGAGTCTACTAGCTTGCAACCTGCCACGCGTGCAGAGCCTTCTTGGCATGCAGGATTTTCTCTCATGTGCTGAGATGTGCATGGCCCTGTCACAAGGGCTTACAAGGAACAAGCTTCATGTCCACATACTTGCACACATACTGGTCGCTAAGGTGCCAGCTTGGCCTGCTAGGCACGGAAACACATGAAAAACAAAGCAGGGATGCAAAGGCAAGCCTGGCAAGCGGTCATAGGGGCACTCGGTTTTTCAAGGTATACAGAGACCGGGCATGGGCAGGACATAGGCAGGAACACCACCTGATCAGAACACAATTACGAGGGGGATCTACATCTAGATACAGTACGCTCTTGAATTCGTGTGAGCAAGGTCTGTTGCTCCATGCAGGTGAGAAGCTGGCAGCACTGGTCCTGGAACAGCAGGAGACGGTGCTGGGCTGGTTTGTGAGCAGGAGAGCAGTCTGGGCAAAGCCCTCGGCTAGAGACAGCGCTGTGTGCGCGCACCTGCCCGTCTGCCTGGCTCGCCTGCAGCCACAAACAGCAGGAAAGTGAGACCTCTTACCCCAGTACAGTGCCCTGCAGGGCATGCCTCTCTGGCCCATTTGTTGCTGCACACAAGGGATCCTGCAACCATTTCAGACAGAAGGTGCAACTCATCTCAGTGGCTCGAATCTTTGCACCGTGCGTGCTGTATTATTCGCTGAATTTGATCTGAGCCATGCACCAATCTGCATGTGCCCCTGGAAATATGTATGCAGATCATGCACAAATCTCATGGTGCAAATTGCCGCAGGATTAGGCGCTCAGGAAATTTCTTTTGCGCAGGCCGATGCTGTTTGGAGTGTTCACTGCGGGAGAGGACCACAACGGCGCCACATTAGGCTTCCAGCACCGCATGTACCAGCAGCTTCCGCAGCAGGAGGGCGACTCCGTGGCAGCTTCCGCAGAAGCTTCCGGGGTGCCCCCGCCGCGGCACCGGCCGTGGCCGGTCCCCATGCGCATCATCAACCTCGGGTCCCTCCGGGGGGCGCGCGCCGATCGGGATTATGAACCCTTGGCGCCAGTGGCTGGCCTCTCACCTGTGGAAAGAGCTGTTCAAATTCCTAAGGATGACAGGCAGCTCTCCAACGGTGCGGCCCCATCTTACGCTGGGGCCACTAGCTTTCTTTGTCAGTTGGGCTCCTACCAGTATCCTGTCTATGATGTTCGATTGCTTACATTGCCCTGCTGATGCGTGGTGGTACATTTCCCTTTTAATGTGTTGCCCATATAGTGCAAGATGTACTGCTGCCCACTACTGCTCATGAAGCGACAAGTGAGGCGTGTAAGATATCCGATATTGTTGGAATTGACGCAGCTGCCTGAATGCTAAAAGCGGTCCTTTCTGCTGCGCAGGAACCAGCACCAGTGTCAGCGGTCCTGAGGCGTTGTCTGAGAAGGAGCTGCAGCAGATTGCAGTGGCAGATGTGCAGCGCCAGGTGGCAGGCGTGGAGACAGTCTACAGGGCGCTTATGGCACAGGTTAGTAAGCTGTCCTTTTTCCCGCCTGCTTTAGTTCTCACGGAGACATTGCTTGGGCCACTTTGTGGCTGGCTGACCTCTGAAAACTTGTGCGGATTGATGTAGGACCCTTCCTGGCGTGTGTCAAGAGTAGCTGCTGTCTTCCAGCTGGTCGATTGGACGCGCACGGATTCATGTGCAGTGCCTTTTGCCATGTATTCTCGGCTGTCCTGTGTCGAGTGCTCGGATGTGTGTTCCCACAGGTGGCGTCTCTGGAGAGTGCTGTGAGCGCAAAAACAGCAAAGCTGACAGGGGTACTAGCGGACATTGATGACATGTCCTGAATCACATGAGATGTCGGGGATGCAGTGAACATTGTGGAAAACTCAAACAATGAACTGAATTTCGTGCTGAGCCCTGCACAGGTCACAATGGCATGTGCCATGTGCTGAAGTGTATGGATGATCTGGCAGTATCACACTGGTGGTTTGGTATGCTTTGCAGTTGTCTTGGCAAGAAACTTGTGAGCCTGTACCAAAGACTTTGCCGTGTCGGCTGCTAACAATCAGGTTGCAGGGTCAAATGGTGGCACCTGGGGTTCAGGAGGGATGATGTTGCAACAAAACTTATTGCCTGAATCTGCTGGCTATAATGGAGCCCCAAGAGTCCGAGCGTGCGCTTGTCTTTCTATGGAATTGATCCAAACCGCCGTTAAATGTGCCTCCGATGAGTAAGCTTGCAGCTCATAGTACACCAGCACTTTTAATGTATGCCTAAAGCAAACAAAACTGCAACAGGGATAAGTCTCAAATAGCTGCTCAAGTGTCATACCAAAGTCAGAGTCTACGAACACAGCTCATAATGCAATTTATCTTATTTTATCAGCCCTTGTCCCGGCCGCGTGGGCGCCGCTTCTGCACGAGTTCAAATCCCTCCTCGTCGATTACGGGCCCCTGCCGCTGAGCTGGCTGCACGGCGTCAGACGGCGTTGCCTCCATCCCATCCTCGTCCATGTCTGAGTCGCTGTCACTGCTGCTTGCCTCTCCATCTCCTGCTAGCACAGTGCCATCCCTGTCCACCTGGCAGCAGAGGCAAATCTTTATCAGTGCTGGAGCAAAATCACACAACTTGCTAGTCATTTGTGGAGCAGGAGTTGAAGCAAGCGAGGAGAGATAAATCTGCAGTCACACTCAAATCCTGCTGTCCTCATTCCTGTGGAATAACAAGTGCAGCCCGCAGCGGCCGCGTGGGCAATCAATTCGAGTCAATCTAGTGAGGTGCCTTGCATAATTCAAGAACTCGCCTTCGGCTCGCTTCATCAACTGCTGGATGTTTCGCGGTTATCATCATCAACCCTAGGGTCCCAGAGGATTATCAAAGAGATAAATCCAAGCCATGTGATCACAGCAGCTGATCGACTTGACGCCGATTGACCAACAAGAAATCATCACTTTCTGTAGATGCATGCATGACTGCTCCATGTCAAACCAGCACATGTCAGGGGATACTTCACCCCTCCCCTGCATTATGCTGGTTTACATGAAGAGCCACAGCTGCGCCACCAACACCAACCATTCATCAAGATTCACACAGCCTCCCAACAACCAGATCAAATGCATCTTCTGTTGCCTCCCAGTGTATACAATACTTTGCTCAATTTCATCTCAAAGAACTCTTTGCTGGCCACTGAGATGTCTCACCCGCTCTTGTCTGCTGGCTGTTGGGGGCAGCGGTGCGCTCTGCCGCAGCCTGTTCAGCGTGGCCTCATTTCTGGCCAGCAGCTCGCTGTGCAGCAGCACCAGCACCTTTGCAACCTGCATGCACCCAGACAGGTGCTTGCATTCTGGACCACATCGGACCAAGCCCAATCTATTCCCTTCCACCAAGACCCTGCCCTCGGCGGTACTACATCCTTCCTACATCACAATGATATCAGATGCCCCGTAATCAATCCTGCGTCCAGGCTGCCCTGGTGCTTAGTCCACATCGATCTTGCAAGGTCCCCTGTTGACTCAGATGCTACAGATCCTCGGATGGTAACAGTAGGTGGCTGCCATGTATGGGCAACAAAGTAAGAGCGCAGAGACAGCTACAGGAGCAGATCTCTGCATTACAGTGTCCAGGCCAGGCAATCTGCATCCCCGCTGCCGGGAATCTGAAGCATTCAGGAAGTTGTGCTTTTGGCCAAAAGGAATGCAGGAGAGGTCAGAGAGCAATTTCCAGTCCCCTTGACTCATGTCCTAGCGCACCTCGTAGGGGCTCCCATCCTCCAGCTTCATGTTGAAGTCCTGCTCCATGCTGTCCTCAAGCTCCATCCCGAGGTCATCCGAATAGTGCTCTGCAGCCAGGCACATCATCATGCTCGTTATTTCTAATTTTAATATATTGTCGTTTGAGGCTTTTTATAAAAGAGACAAGGCGAGTATGCAGATAAGCTGCATGCGAAGCCTGCCTAATTCCTATCCAAAATCCACCCCTTCTTGGACTCGCCACGTCCACAAAAGACCCAATCTACCGTGGGCAGCAGCATGGCTTGGTTTGTGTAAATTTTTACGGGTCGACGATTCGGAAACCAGAGGCCAAAGGTGAAACATGCAGGGCTTCTGCGGCCGCATCTGGGGAATCTACAAGTGTCTGCAGCCTGGCACCACCGACAGTTCTTGCCAGGCTTAAGCAAAAACGAGACTGGATATGCATGCGCAAACCACGCGTTGCCTGTATGCAGTATTTTCAATGGATAGTGCAGGCAAGATTAAATCAGATTGACTTTCCTTGCATGCAGGAACGGATTGGCCGGGTTGCAGTGGCACTACTTAGGCAAGATAGGGGATGCGTTACAGGGCATGAATAAGCGCACCCTTGTTCTTGTAAAACCACTCCATGGTCTCAGCCCAGATGTTTTCAGCCTTCTCCACCGAGCTGGCGCCGCCCCACTGGCCCTCAACAGCCAGGCTGAGGGCTGTCCACCTTCTGAACACCAGAGTTGCCCCCTCCTCAAACAGGGGCCTGGCCTCTGGTGGCAGCTGGCCGGTGGAACCCCCAGAGAGAGCTCCGTTTCTCAGCAGCATGCGATTGAGGCGGTAAGCAAGCTGATCCCTGCACATTAGCACCAGAATATCGTCCCCAGACAACACTGATGGTGTCTGGGTGAACACGCCGGAAGAGCAGGAACCGGAATCCACCGCATAAAAGGTAGAAAAACATATGAAAATGTTACAGAACTATTCCTACCTGAGAAGTGATATCAAGTGGGCTTTTAGTTGTTTCAGATCACTCTTGGATCGCCACGAAGTTGCGGGATTTTGTAATGACTTTTTCGTGTGGTGCTTTATTGCTGGATATTCAATTGAGGTAATAAGCTGTTTTTAGCAGTGCATTGCAACTTGATGATAATTGTTTCAATATGCAGTTGCTTGATTGAAAAGAAGCTGCCGCAGAGGGTATAGGCAGGCAATAATGGTGAGGAGGTCTTCGAGCGAGGCATTTGCCACATTCCTGGCTCACAAATCCTGTTAATTGCGCAAGATTAGAGAGTGGCAAACACTCATGTTAGAATAAACGTAACAAGAAGTTTCATTAGGGGATTTACTCACTACACCGCGAGCAGTCTTTTGAAACCTGATACAGTTTCATCTATTTCCTGTCAACGAGTGCAGCCCTCTCTTGCCGCAACCCACTGGAGATTTTATTGAAGTTTTCTACCTATTCAGTAAGTGGGCAAACGGTTCTAACCTTCTTGCACGGTACTTTCTGCGGAGGTGCTGATTTGGGAAGCAAGGTCTCACTAAATATGGAACAGTACGGCAACACAGCGACTTTTAACGTAGAGTCGGTTTTGCAAAAAAATATCGTGAACTCGGAGTATTACCGGGACACGTGCATGAAGCTGGGCACCTGGGAGGAGGTTGTGGATGAGATCTATTACAGTGTTCAGGATGTTGAGCCCTGGATGAGTGGCAACGCTCGTGGAGCGTCCTCAGCATTTTGCCTGCTCTACAGGTCGGTGCGTTGTGCCTTTCAGAGCAAGCTCACGGCGCACCTCACTTTTGCCTTGACTTCCCAATAGATTGTCTCACTGGGTGATAGGCAAGCATTGATCAGCCCTCTACAAGTGTGACTATAACATTTCTTGGTGTTTCGCAGGCTTTTTACGTTGGTTCCATCCAAACCGCAGATAAAGAACCTCTTGGATCACACTGATTCGCCATACATTCGAGCGGTGTGCTCCCTACTAAGTCAACCACTTTTTAATGTGCTATTTCCATCAACGAAATCTGTTTTAGGCAATAGTGACTTTGCACCATTCACTGCATTGACCTCCAGAACCTGACAAACAGAGCATGTGCAGGTTGGATTCCTGTACCTTCGCTATGCGGCCAACCCACGGACTCTGTGGGAGTGGATCCAGCCGTATGTCAGGGACAGCGAGGTTCGTTTTGCATGCCTACTGTCTTTTGCCCCCAAAGTGGCATACACTCACCATTTCCGTAATGCTTCTGCTGCCTGTGCCCCATCTGCTCGTGTGCTCCATTCTCTTTGGGTTTTGTGCCTCAACGTCAATTTTCAATGCTTGCGGAAGCTTAGCCTTGAGAGCTGCAGCGTATGATTTTACAGTAGCATTCCTGTATTGCATGAAGACAGCGAACTCAAAGGCTGTGATCTGGCGCAGGAGATCGACCCCAGCCCGGAAGGACATGGCAAGACTGTGACAATGGGCGAGTTTGTGCGTGATGTTTTCCTCGAACAGGTGCGCATAATTTGCCTGTGCCGAGTCTTTGTTGCTGCACTGATTTCTGTGGTCGTGCTTGTGGACAATACCTGACTATGACCTTTTCGAGAACGTCCATGCACTGCATGCAAGCAAGGTGGAACTGGCGGGGCACGGCTCCTTGAGCTAAACTTTGAGCGCCTTTCACATGTTTGCATTGCTGATCCAGAGATTGCCTGCATAGAATGGCAGAGCTGTTGGAAAGCATCCTGTTGGCATTTCTTGATGGCATTTGTGTTTGCTGCTGCAGGTGGTTCCCCATTCCTTGGTGACCCCTCCCCCTGCCCTGACCACACAGGTGGCAGCATGTTGAGGTGTAGATGGGTGCGCCATCATCACATCTTTACGTAGCCACAACCAGTTCTTAGGAAGCAGGTCTCGGCATTCATATTGCATACATTCCCTGATCTGCGCATGCCTTTTCAAGGAGTTTCCTGTGTGCTTTCCGCCGCCACTCTAGGCAGCATGGTCACATGATGGTCAGTATGTGCGTGCAGCATTCATGTGCACATGCAAGTTTAGGGTTCCTGCAGCAAATCTAGGTAGCAAATAATGAGAAAGGTAGCGGGTTTAGGAAAATTGTGCCAGGCCATGACTGACACATGTTTGGGGTCCCTGTGTGGCTGCGCAGTACTATTTCGAGACGATCTTCCCGCGCATCCCCAAGCCGGTGCACGACGACTTTGTGTCCAAGCTGACCGCGCTCGGGCTGCCCAGCCGGGCAGTGGGCAACGCCGGCCAGGGCGGCACCGACCGCCGCGGCATCGAGGAAGCCAACCGGCGGCCCGCCTCCGTCAAGGCCTCCCTGTCAGTCCCCCCTCGCCTCCTGTGATATTGAATATTCTTGTCAATGCTCTTCATGTAGCTGCTCTGTCAGGATTGAGGGCCTTATTCTTCATTGTTGGCTTTTCAGTCTGCTTCCGATGAGGGGAGTCTCGTGACATCTGTGCAGAGTCTCACCAGTGCAAAGTGCAACAGGCCAATGCATTGCTGCCAGACAGAGAATTGGGCAGGATAAGGGAAAGCATCCAGAAATGTGTTTCGAGGCCTCACATCTTGGCAGCTGTCTTGCTGTCTTCATGTGCAGGGCATCCCTTGTACCGATTCCCACCGTGCACTCATACCTGCTTTTCCATATTCTGAGGTGCCTGACCCTGTGCAGGTCTGTGGCATTTGGGCAGCGTGCTCCAAACCGCGCAACGGCGCGAGAGGAGGGCCGTGGCCTGGGTGCCGGCATGAAGGGCGGCTCTGGCGCGGCACTGCCGCCGCCTCGGTCACCTGCGCGGCCCCGGGACAGGTGATTCTTGTCCTCCTGAGCGGAACACGCCCCCCTACAGTTTTGGTATTCTTGTCACGTGTGCCAGCTACTGTGCCAAATAAGCTTAAGCAAGACAGGTTACAATGCCTATGTGCTTGCTTGTGCAGGCCCCTGCACAAATTGTGCTTGGCATGCACTGACAAATATGTCATCAGTTCTGCCCTGCTCCGCGGCAGGTATATGAGTGAGACAAAGTGCATCATTCAGAGGACTCATCTGTGATCATCTTTGGTGTCTTGCAGGGACGTGGAAAGGGAGAGGAGGCCAGATGGGGGCAGCAGCAGAGACCGCGACAGGGAGAGAGACAGAGGGCGCAGTGATCGGGACAGGGATAGAGACAGGCACTCCTCACGTGACGCCAGGTGTGACACAGTGCTGAATGCGGCTGACAGCCTCAACTATCGCATGCATTGCATCTGGCCCCGTGAAGGCTCTCGAGCCTTGCCATGGCTTCTGGCTCCCTCAGTAGTACCTGAGCTGGGCCTGGCTTTCCCAGATGAATATCTCAATCACGCCGCAATGAGTTCACCCACAGATGGGCAGGAGGTGCAGCACAAAGTGTGCTGAATCGTTTGTTCAGTAGGGCATGCAGGAAATTTGCGGGCTGTCTTACCGTATGCTGGGAAGGCGAGGTCACAACCCACCCTCCGAAGTTTCTCCTGAAATCCATGTTTTCAGGCGTATGTTGCTGAAAAGGGCTTAAATGTGGCTTCCTGCAATGGTGAGTACTGTCAGAAGTCAGTCAAATGGGAGATTCGAATGTACTTTATAATGGGGTTTAAGTGATTAACACAGATATTAATCTGATATTGAACAAGTCTTGTGTGGTGCAGGATCGGGGACAGGGACCGTGACAGGGAGAGGGAGAAGCGGCGAGATGATGCAGGAGACAGGAAGCGGCACAGGGAGGAGGGTGACAGGGACCGGGGGCGGGAGCACAAGCACAGGCACAGCAGCCGCGATCGCGATGGGTACCGCCGCTGATGTCAGCGCCACCGATGTCAGCGCGCGATGTCAGAAATGTCAATGTCAGCGCGCGATGTGAGGGATGCTGATGTTACCAACTTGTGTCAGCATAGCTCCATGTCGATTGCTATGCCGCAGCGGACCTTGCTGGTCAAGCGAAAACGGAATGCAGGACATACCAAGGCAGTGTGAGAGCCCAGTATTGCGCAAACTTTAAACCTTAATTGTTGAATTGAGGGGGCACCCACAATTTGTGATATCGGCGCTGCATTGTGTTCTGGCCAGGCGTGCTTTTGCCTGATGTGTGCCATTTGCTGGGAGGCACCTACATTGACGTGAATCCTCCACTGCCTGGCAGGGTCCCACTGATTTGGGGTGTCTGATGGTGAAATATTAGATATCTGCTGGTAGCATGGTAGCATGGCCCACACGTGGCCCAAATCCTAGAATTTTTAAAGGTTTGTTTTTGACGACGGTTGCATGCTGCTGTCAGGCTGATAAACATGGATGCAAGATTGCATCCCAGATGGGATTGCCAGGAATGCGATTGTAAGCCATCAATCCATGGCGGCACTTCTCTAGTTCTTAAGACATCACTGTCAGTGTGAGTCACTGAGTTACATAGGGGCCCCCGGACTCGTACTGAAGGGAGAGGTTGCCAGATTAGATCCGGGTCCACCCGCCGGGCAGGCAGACAGGAAGAGTCTGGACAGAATTGGGGGACAGCCCGAAGCCTTCGATTGAAAGAGGATTGCGCCGTTCTTGCTTTCATTTTGCCGTTGTGCAAGACGCATATTGTGCCGGTAAGAGCTATCATATTACTGATGCGACTGAGTAGACAATGAGTAATATTTGAGTTAAAATGATACCTGGGGATCCCAAGCACATCTGAATCAGCAAGACGGACTCGGAGAAGCTTTGCAAGCTACTGAAGCAAGCCGCAGATCCCGACCGCATCCAACGGATGTGGTTCTGGAAGGCAAAACGTGTGCAGCAAGGACTTCTTCTGTGCTTCTCCTCTGGCGGAATTTAGCTGCTCCACCAAGCTGGAACTCAGGCTGCAGTAGCTTTTTGTATGTTAGTGACCTCGCAAGCCGGTGTAGATCTGAATGATAGACTCTTGCGACTGCAGGAGACCTTGAGAAGGCACGGCCGTTGAAGGAAGACTTCGAAGCCAAGGCCAAACAGAATAAAGAAGCGAAACTCAAGGAAAAGGAGCAGGTAACAACTCTGCCTGCAGTCTATGTCTATAGGATGATAACAAGTGCCATTTTCGTCAACGCCTACTCACTTTTAGCACCCCTGAATGCCTCCTCTGAAGTGCAGGATGGACGCTGACGAAGTCAGGCGCGACGTGGAGCTCCCACGTGAAGGGCTTCTGAGCTTGATAGCCTGCACAGGGAGCGCCTACATAAATGCACGCAACACGATCTATGCTCTCATGACCCAGCATGATGGAGTTCTTGCCGGCCTAGGCCCAGGGCATTGGTTTGATAGGGCAAGCTTTCTGGTGGGGGAGGGGATCTCGTGTGTAATATTCGTTGCGGAGCGCACGGGACCACCAGGTGGAGACGACGATGCGGTCCTCAACGAATATTACACACGAGATCCCCTCCCCCACCAGAAAGCTTTCCCTATCAAATCAATGCCCTAGGCATAGGCCGGCAAGAACTCCATCATGCTGGGTCATGAGACCATAGATCGTGTTGCGTGCATTTGTAGGCGCTCCCTGTGCAGGCTATCAGACTCAGAAGCTCTTCACGTGGGAGGTCCACATCGCGGTGACCATGCGGTCACCATCCACTCCATTGAGCAACCGGGCAGGCAGGAGTCATCGGAAGGGGAGGAATTTGCGCACATACAAATTCCATGACTTTGAGAAGTGATGCAAGACATCAGTATGCCAAAGCAGTGTGGGAGACCCCATGTTGCCCTACCCTACTAGCAAGCCTGCGGTGTCAGGGTCTGACAAATAGGCTTGAGCAAATTGCCACCTTGTACTTGACAACCCGAGGCACTCTATACAAAAGTAATCTGAATCACATATGAACGGAATCCTGTGTGCTGTAGGACTGGGGATAGAGACCTTGACAAGGATAGGGACAGGAGATAAGACGATGGAGGAGACAGGAAGCGGCACAGGGAGGAGGATGACAGGGAGGTCAGCATTCGCAATTCTAGGATTGGCCATCATGGTCGCGGCTGCTGTGGCTGTGCTTGTGATCCGGGGTTTAGAGTGCCACAGACCTTGTTCGTGCGACAAAGTCTGCATGTCTTCGTAACCTGGGCTGATGCAGACCACATAGGAAGGGCGCAGTGGCTCTCAATTCCGCTGCCTGTAGTACAGTAAGCGAGAGTGCATGCTTAAGCTTACTCATCCTTGTCCCGGGAGTGCATAGCCAGATTCAAGGAGGCAGCTCTGGTCCAAAGCGAGCTGAAAAAGTGACTGTGAAGGCTTTGGCATTACTTATATAGCTTCCTAACTATGGCTGGCCCAATTACGGTTAAGAGGTATCCCGCATTTCTGGGGACTGAACATCCTGACAATATCCTGGCTGTCTGGTGTGCACATGCTCATTCCATCTTCGTTTTGCTTAGAGGAACTCAAATTTGGCGCCAATTGCTTGTTGATAGAATTCGAGGATGCAAGGGAGGTTCTGTGCGCAAGTAAGGGAGTTGAGCATGGGCTATGACACAAATCCCTGACTGTATTTCTGAGCTCGCTGAGGGCAGAAAAAGCCTGGAATTCCAAGTGCAACGCGCCGGACATGTGACATTATGCGCGCATGCGATTTTACCTGGTCAACCCTGACAGAAACTCTATTCGTGACACTGCTGCCGCAGCACCTTGCGCTTGCCAAGGCTGTCACTACTGCGCTGGCTGCCTGCGTTACTTTGGCTTCATTGGCGTGTGAGATGGTGCCTGCATTGTGCAATGCAAGCTGCTTGACGTTTGATAAGGGTAATCACTAATAGTGGTTCATTGTACTGGTACTACTAACGTTAACGTTGAACTTAACGTTAGTATTAGTAAACAGTAGTTAGTATTAGTAATTACCCCTACCGTTTCAGGCGTGCTGTCAATGGCCTCTTGATGTAAGCAGTTCCATGCTGTGTGGTTCCATTTCCTTTAATGTAATTCAAAGATAGCTGCCTCTCACGGCAATTGCACAGTCACTGTAATCACGGTGATTTACAACCCCTGGAGATGCATTGGAATTGGGGCCCAATATGCAACCGCAGAAAATGCCTAGGCCTCGACAAAACATGTATTCCTCTGCAAGATTCTACTTGTGGTGTCGGGGTCGCCACAGCTGCAAGTTGCTTACCTTATGTAGTCTTTCACATCTTGGAAGGGTGATGTCCAGCAGACCGATCTGATTGGCAACCCATAGCGCTGAGAACGAACAAGAACTGTCCCATTTGCATTGCAGCAAAACGTTATTTGCCCCTGTATCTTGGTGCTTCGGCCAGAAACCTTATGGAATTCTCACAAAGGCGGTTGCCATTGTTCAAACAGCCAGCGAGGGCAAGAAACAGGTGGGTTCTCCTAGAAGCAGAAAATTCTATCCTCTGCACAATAGCAATTAAGGCTACTCTATTCAATTGTGAGTGTTCATCGGAAGGCTTTTGCTGCGATTTTTACAGCACCTTTCTGACTTTGCCTCGCCATTCCAGCAGATGCGAGGGTGATGAGCTTGATGAGAGAAGGCGGTTCACATTTGTACACGGTGCTCGTGACAAAGAAGCAGTACGGAATGCAAAAGGGGTGCAGCTGCCCCTAGAGATTTGGCGGAAGATTGCAGCTGATCACTTCTCGCTCAAGGAGTGGGTGGCCACTTGCGGCGATGTTTGCCGTGCTTTCAATCGTCTCCAGCCTCGTGTCCTCGACACCACGATCTACCCACACTGCTGGAAGTTTTCTGAGCTGAAGTGGTTCTTGAAGCACTGGGAAGAGGCACAAGTGGCGTCACTGATATTCCAAGCACAGGTGCCCCTCAAGAGCTCAATTTTATCTGGCTGTCTTTTAGGAAGAGCCAATGCAACAGATTGTGCGCGACTCAGTAAGCTTCTAGGCACAGCTGTTTTTCGATTCATTTGCAAGCCAAATGATGCAACTTGGCCTTAGCCTGTCCTCATACGCTTGCGTGGTGGGCTTGCAGGATCTGCGCAGGTCCCTTAAAAGTTTCGGAGCGGTCCTGAGGCATATATTCCAAAATGCAGGAACAAGCCCACATGCATTGCAAAGGCTAAAGCTTGCATTGCATTTAGCAGAACCCCACGGGAACACCGTGATGCTGGTCAGGCCCTTTGCAGAGCTTGTGCATCACTTATTCAAGTATCATTGTGGCAGTGTGTGCATTCTTGACCTCGCAGCGATCTCTCTGCCGGCCATGCAATTTCCCAGGAACCTCACTGTTTTGAGGCTAAGCCTGGATGAAATAGGCTATGCCCAGGTGAATGCCATTTGCCAGTTGACAAAGCTGCAGTCTCTTGAGCTTGAAAATCGATCAGTAGCGGATTTTCTCCCTTGTTTGGATTTGCGCATGCTGACGGGTCTGAAGGGTGTGCGGCTGAAACGAGTGCTGCCAGAATATCTGCATCTGCCAGCGGGTGTAGAGGCTTTGGACACCTGGGGTAATGCAACAGACATAAAAATGCTTCAGTGGCTCTTGAAGCCTATGCCTCTCACCACTTTAGAACTAGAAATGCATCCTCAGGAGGCCGATGGATGCAAAAGTAGGCTGCAAGAAGTGGCAGGAATTCAGAAGGGTCTGCTGACTCTGCATATTGGGTGCAAAAATTTTGGCCCTGAGGATTGGTTTTATTATGGCCGGCCTCTTGCAAGCTCTACACACTGTTTTCACACACTGAAGTGCCTTTCTGTGCAGGGCTGTTGCAATGTTTCTCTATTAATACCAGCGTCCTCATGTATAGAAAATTTGGATGTCCAAGCCAGCAAGCTCTGCATAGACTTTGAGGATCCGCAGGGGTTTTGTGAGAGAGTGACACGGTTGAAATTGCAGTATGGTCATGAAGAGGGACGAGATAGTTCTGACTTTTTTTTCAAGTTGATGGTGAATCTTGGCAAGGCTAAAGGGTTATGGCAGAGCATACAGCTCTCAGAAACCTCTCGGCAATTCTGTTTTGACAAGAACCCCCCAGAAGGCATGTGCGACTGTCAGCATTGCGCACAGTGCCTGGGGAAGGATGACTTTGTTGGGTTTGAGAGGCTCGCAGCAATTCCACAGAGTTGAGCTGAGCAGTGATTAAGGGAACTTAGGGAAGGGCCTTGTGAATTGACTCAAATAGCAGTATGAGCGTGCTCACTGGCACTCTTAAGGATCTGGAGCAGGCGCATGTACAACACTCATGAAGAGTCAACTCATGATCATGATTAGATACTCAAGAGCTTCCAAGGGATTTTGCACGGGGTTCCAATTGTGTTTCGTTTCTTTACATTAAGGATTCCCATCTTTGTCTGCAAGGCACATGAGGTTGCTGTGCAAGGTATTTGTGCATTACGCATGAAACTCACAAGTTTCCATTTACAGTTCTTGAAAGATCTGTCAAATTTTCCAGACATTGCTGTTTCAGTGAGCCCCTGAGACTTCAAACAGAAATACGGACCGATGGGCTGCAGGCTGCAAACCTAGACTTGCTCATTTTCATGCACCTTTCAAAAACTTTTTCATGCATTCACAGCCTTTGTCCCATCCCCTACCATCAGATTTTCCTCACTTTGCAAGCTGCGAGAGCGACTTGTGAAATGCAGTCGCTGTGGAAGTCTTGGTCAGTTCACGCACAAGCATGGTTGCATATGTGGAGCTGGGAAGACTGAATGCCAGCTGCAGTGCAATCTTCTCCCCTGCGCCAACCTCCTCACCTGCAGAAATACCTCTTCTTATTACTGTCACACCCCGTCTTCAAACGTTCCCTATCCCTATAAAAGCTGTGTATCAACAAAGCTTCCCGGGTTCACAACAGATGTCTACAAGCAGAACAAAAATGCATGCACAGTTGCCCCATGCCACAGTTGAGCATGCTGAAGCCCAAAATTGGGACGGGCAGAGCAACACAGAATTTCAGAAGCGAAAATGATACATGAGATCAGCAGGAGCCTACACTTCTCTCCCAGCATGGCTTCTTGCCGTCTGCAAAATTGGAGACAGGGTGACCCAGAGAGTGACCGGCAAAAGAGCCAACCTGCAATTATTAGCGAGCAACTGATGGTTGTTATTTACCTGATTCTATTGCATTGACGGCCGGGGGAGCGACGCCGGTGAGACGGTCTAGAGTTGATAAAGCGAGGGGCGCGTCGGGATCGCTGTACCGAAGGAGGCGCCAGTTTAGGTCGCGCGGCCGGTGCAGCAGCCGCCGGTAGCCGCCGGGAAGCGCCGTCATCGAAAAATCCCGCACCCCGTGTGGCGCGCTGTCGAGCGGAATGCCGTCCTTTGCTGCAAGGTCCCTATAGACCTGCAAGTGAAGCAGCGTGTTCTTCACTTCTCAGATGATGCGCAGGCATGCGTGGGCATGAAGAGAAACGCGAGAGCATCCCACTGCCAAAAGCACTTTGCTACATGATGCAAGAGTTGCCAGAAGATGACACAAACCTATACCATGCCTTTCAGATATGAGGAGAGAAGAGGGAGATTCCGATGTTGCCATGTATGCATTGACATGGATTCCCAGCTGATGAGCAGTTCTTACCTGAGCGGTGGCATGGCGTGGGTACTGCACCCTGCACCCAGGGAGGGGTAGCACAACATCGTCAATGCTGTAGCGCGCAGAGGCAGCTTCCTCCTCGGTCACAACATGCGCCTCTGCCGGCAGCCGCCCCCGCTCCGGCTGCTGCGCCAGCTGCTCGTCAGCAGCCTCGGCTTCCTCTGCACGAAGTAATATAGGGTTACCCTGAGGGAAGAAAACGTGGCACAGGTTGTAAATTCGGGCTTGATATCTGAGGCAATAGGCCTGAACTAGCAAATATAGGCTTTACAGAGCACAAGCCCTTTTAAAGTGCAAGCCTGATGCGTTTCAGCACCAGCCATCTGATTTGGTGCATTTTAATGGGGTTATGGGCCAATAGAGGGTGCAAGCTGGTCCGAGTAGCTACGGCAGCAGCAGTGAAACTGAGCGGGGGCAGTTTTAATACAAGTTCAGGTCACAGCGTTCGAGCCAGTTTTGCACAGAGAAGTGCATGCTGTTTGCCGGCCTCAGCAGTATAAGTGCGCACAGACAGTCCAGTAAAAACTTGCAAATAACAGCTTTTGAAGACCACCAGGAAGATGCGCAGAAATGCCCACCCTCTGGGGCAGCCTCGGCAGCGTCCCGCGGCAGAACCAAATCCCCTGCAACGGCCTCTTTGGCGCCGAACGTGCGCACTCGGTGGCTGGCGGCTTCGTTCCAAAGTCTGCTTTGGTAGGCATGCACGTACATGGTGCGCGTGTTGCGGGGGATCTGCTGCAGCGCCTGGCAGAAGTTGGCGCCCTTCTGCTTCCTCAGCCCCTGCGCTCAGCCGGCGGCTTTGAGAATAGCAGCTTGCACTGAGCACTTGCGCTTGAGAGTTTACGGGCTCACATACCTTCTTCTGGAGCTGGTAAAACCTGTGCTGCTGCTCAATGCTAGAGGCAATCATAACAAATCAAGGCATTTGCAATAAGTAGATGATTGAAATCTTTTGTCCTGCAGGGCCGTGCATGCAGTGCATGTGGACGGATAACTTTGCCAACAGGACGTGCTGCTTATACAAGGGACAAGCTGCGACAACAATTGTGAGCAGATGCACACTTGCTTTGCAAAATGCTCTGAAAATTCCGAAGCAAAATTTGCCTTATGTCAGGGTGACTGAGGCGTGGCTATGCACTGACTCACCTCGAGCAGCGCGCGCTCAGCGGTGAGGTGGCGCTGCATCAGCTTGAGTGCGCCGCTGACATCACCCTCTTCCAGGTACAGCCGCCGCGCTTCGTCATTATCTGAGCGCTCACCCTCTATCCGCCCCAGTATCATGTCCACCGCAGCCTTCCACTCGCCCTTCAGCAGCAGGGCTCCAATCCTGCAGTGGATCACATTTTGGGTTACTGGCAATCTTGTGCTATTGAAGATATCTTGTATGGGGTCGAGTGCCTTTTCTTGTCTTCAAAGAAGCCACCACGGGGTAACAGCAGAGCAGCAAATTCTGCAATGCCACAGCCGATCATAATGCTCCCAAAAAACACCCTACAAGACTCTGCACCGGATGTCTGCGAAGCACAGCATCAGTACCTGTCCTCGACCTGCACTTATTCTGCAATAATTGCCTGATGACAAGGAGTTGCAAGGGATACCTATTTTATACTCCTTTTGCAGAGATTTGAGCATGCTTCGAGTTGTGGCCTTCAGCCCTTCAAGAGGAAAACAATCTGCACTATGGAATTTTTAGATTTATTAAGGATTCAGGGTTCACCTGGACAATCAATAGCCCTTCAAACCCAAAACCTCTAACAAAGGGGCTCCTGCACCTGTGCGTGCGGCCGCCGGTGCTGCCAAAGCGTTGGAGGCCGAAGTAATTGATGAACCCGTCTTCCCGCACCGCTTCCACCGCCGCAACCACATCGTGAAGGCTGCCCGCGCCCACGTCCCTCAAAGTCACCTGAGAAATTCAAATTTGAAAATGCATTTAAGACGGAGAGCAAAGGTGGCATATTATTATATCGTGCAGGCTTCCTGCGCCCAGATCCTGCCCGACATCATCCCTTGGCGAATGCATCAAAAAATGATGACTGCTATACAGTGTTTATCACCTGCAATGTGCGGGCTGCCTGTGCGATAAGCTCCCAAGATACCCAACCCATTCTCTTCCAAATCAGAGATGCATGCCACCGTGAAAGCCATGCATCTGGGATCATTGATAGGCCACAGGTAAGTTCTTTGTGAGTAAGTTGAGCACATGCAATAACATAAAGGGGGTTAAGGAAGCAAAGCACCTCGAAGCGGTTGCCCTTCGCATCCCCGAGGTGCAGGGGTTCATCCACGAGTTCGAAGTCTCCGACGCGCATTCCCCGTAGCCGCCCATTTGAACTCGCCAGCCTCGACGGCGCCACCTGTCGCCAAGTGCAGGGTAATCTATGTTAATTTATTATTCTTTGAGGGTAAATAAAAAAGAACAGACGTGCTTCCCCTAGACCAAGATACACCCAGACATCTGTCTTCAAGCTGTGAAACAGCAGCGCATCCCCCCTGCCGCTGCTGCATCCCCCTTTGATCCGTGGCTTAAAGGAGAGACAAATGACACTATTGATAATCAATGCACTTATCTGGCGGTCAACTCCATCCTCAAAATGACCTGCAGGCTGCATGGGCCTGATCATCTGATCCTCTCATGTTCGCATCTTAAGCAGTGCCAGGCAGAGCCGCAACCCCCGATGAAGTCTGGTGGTCAGGCAAGAATGGCAACGACTTGCAGCACTAAGAGGGTTCTCGGGTGGTTTTATGTATTCTCAACATTGCAAGCAGGAAGCTTTAAAGAGATTGGACAGATACACTCTAAGCAGTCACCTTGAAAGCGGTAACTTGCTGCACGGTGACTGCACGCTTGTCCTTGGTACCGGCTACGCCGAAGCAGGAGGGTGAGCAGTGCACTGCGCGAGCCAGCAACGACAGTGCATGGCCGCTGTCCATGTTCTCCTGCCAGCAGAAGGACACTTTATTTCAGATTATCCTCTTTGAGGCTATGAGACTTGCATGACCCCGCTTGACTAGTGTTGGCACTCGAGGGCATGCTTCGGCACAGCAATTTTGTGAAGCATCTCCACCGGTAAAAGGCCATGCAGAAATTTCACATGCATATGAAGGACTCAGGCTGTTTTTGCTGCTGTGCTGCACTAGTAGTCAAGACTAGCCTGTCAATAACGCTGTAACCTGAAACAGAGATCTCGAGAGGGATGATAAGGCGTTGATATGTGGGTCCACCTTGCACAATGCGAAACGGCAGTACTTGGGGCCTCCAGGCAGAAACACTTGTTCGTTGTTCCCTCCTGATTTTGCAGCCTTGGCGCCGCCGACGCCGTTGGCCGCCTCCCGTTTCCGCTTCCTTCTCTGCACATAGAGCAACCCAATTTGAAAATGGATTAGAATTTGAAAAGGGTTGACCTATTTTCAGATTCTGATTTGCTTCGGTACTGCTGAACCTCACAGTCAGGTGAAACCATACATGTGGGTGTGCGGGCACAACATGGCCCATGTCACCAGAATAGGGCAAATGCAGCAGGGCAGCCTGAATGTGCACACATGTAAGTGCTCGGTGACCACAGAATAGCAGCACCTACAGCAAAGTGTGCACAGCATGCATACGTCACCGAGCAAGTTCTGCCGTCGGCAATGGTTACCATGCAGGGAGGTCACCTGTGCATGATAGCAGAGCCGCATGCAGTTCTCTCCATCCTCGCCGGCAGGCATGGTCTCTGTGGAGCATTTTGGCAGCCCAGGCTGCTTGAAAAAGTGGTGTACTGCTGTGCGCTCGTCCTTGTTGCTGCTGACTGCAAAAGTGATGGGCAGCGGCGGCTTCACTCTCTCTGCGCTGCTGGGCTTCTCTACAGGAGCATCAGCATCGCTTGGAGCATCAGCCTCCGCCCATGACCGCTCATAGGCCTCTACTGCTGTGAGAAACTGCTGCACTGCTGCGACGCCTTCGGACGGCAGCAGCTTGTCCAGCCCTGACAGGAGCTGTGCATATCCAAGAAGTGCAGCGATGTCTGCTGAAGCGTGTGGAGGTGCCTCTGGGGGTACAACAGCTGCTTCAGGAGCTGTGTTGGGCTCAATGTTCCCTGTCTCACTGCAGGCTGGTGCTGGAGCGGCAGGGCTTGGCGCCCTCTCCGAGGTGCTGACTGCTGTCGAGTTGAGCTGGACGACATTACCATTGCAGTCGATTTCGTTCACGAGGAAGTCACTGTACCTGCAGGAACAACGGCCGCTCAGATCGCGTTCAGATCAGTCAGGAGGATCCATAATTGAGTCCTGAGAACTGAGCAGCACCGCAAGATAGAATTGCAGATTCAACAAAAATAAACAGATTGCGGTTTCATAGACAAGATTGCAATAACCTGCTGCACAGTGAGCTTGCCTTTGCTTAAGGATTGCACTCAGGGGCGGTGTCGATGTTATGTAGCATGATATGCCAACGTCTTCTTCGATTGAGCTGCTCATTATTCCGCCTCTGGGACTGAGTGCAGTCTATAATTTCAAGAATTTAACCAACGGTCACTGGCTGCGACAATCAGTGAATAGCTATTTAAGGATTTTATGAAATATGTCCTAAGTATGCCTGTTCTCGCTGTACTGTAGGCGAGAAGATTGATGACTGTCATAGATGCTTCTCATGTCTGGAGGTCAAATCATGCTTAAAAGTCAGAGTTGAGTTTCTAAATCGGTTGGGTGTGATTATATAGCCTGAAAAATACAAATTTGTCACTGCGTTTGTGAACGTGGCAGAGTGGTCTAATGCGACAGACTCGAAATCTGTTGGGGAAACCCGCGCAGGTTCAAATCCTGCCGTTCACGGCCTTGCGTTTTTCTTTTTTTTTCTCCCTCAGTCATCAGTGAGCTGTGCACGTAAAACAGGTGGGCACGGTAAGCTGCATCATGCAGGCTGCATGTGCATATTAAAGCACACAAGCTCTACACATCTCTGTCCGGTTGGAAGCAAGATTTCGTGATTTACAGCGGTACATCCTGATGCTGTGCACCAATTCTTGTGTACATTAAGCAACGTCCCTTCAACTCCATGCCCCCACTTGAAGGCAAGCTTATCAAGCATTCCTGAACGGTACCACTCGCGCACAATGATAAAACTATCTGCCTGATTGCAAACAGGCATACAAGGCTAGCAACTGGGTCCTAGAAGCCCGACAGCAGCACGCTCCAGGCCGGCAGCAATATCAAAGCTCGCAAGAGCTTTAAACAAATCCAGGGTCCAAATAAGGGCCAACAAGGTATGCCTCAAGAGTTCATCCTGACTCCTGCAGTCACTGTCATCTGGGCCACCATTGGAATGTGCTCTGGCCGACATTGTCAGGCTGCCCTGTTAGTGATCCCTCCGTTAGCAAACGCCTGTACCTGTGTGCCCTCCTCCTAGCCGGGTCCTGCCCTGCCGGAATGTGATGCCTGCACACAGAACCACAGCCACAACCTCACCGCTCGGACATACCCTGGCTTCACTCTGCTTCATCTCCTCAGTGCATGTTCCTTTGTGGCTCTGCTAAAGTAGTTTGCTAGCATCTGCTGCGCCTTCTGTGCTGCAATTCGTGTGCTGCTGGTGAAATTCTGCTGGATAAATGCACAGGAACTTGTGCCACACATAAGTTGCATGGGGCCAAATTGATACCCTGCTGTTGGCGGGCCGAATAAAAATTGCAATTGCCATCGGAGCACCAGATCCCTAGTTCCAGTTTCTCCGTCAAATAATTTTTGGCATTTTCATTGTCAGGCTCTCCGCACCTGTGCCGCTCCGGCCGATGCGTCTGCACCGGCTGCGGCGCCGGCGCCAGTGGCACAGGAACTCGCGCCTGAGCAACAGGCAACGCCTCAGCCTCAGCCGCCGTCCCCAACAGGCGGCCAAGCTCCGGGTACGCGGTAGCGGCGGCCGCATCCGTTGCATTCAAATCGCAGCCACAGCCGCGCGCGGCCCTTCGCAAGTCCAGCACGTGCTGCTTCAACCGTATGTTCTCTCTCTGTGCATCCAAACATCACAGCATGGCTTAGCGCGTTCTGCTTGAATATAAATTGTGTTGCCATCAGTGATAAGAGTCAAGGGCGTGCATGGCCCAGCATGATGAATTGTTCCGGTCAGTGTAGAGCATAAGGTCATAGGAGGTGAGAGGCCTGAAGGATCCGGATCCTGACTGATATTGTTGCGCATGCATGTCCTCATGCAAACATTTTTATGCAGAGTAGCCAGGCAAGCAATTTTCAGCGAGATACAGGTGCAAATGATACCGTTATTTCCTACATCCACACATCACTGAAGAAAATTTGTGTTCCCTTCAGCGCGTGATATGCAGTGGGGGTGTCTCACCTCCAGCTTTTCATTTGACAAGCTCAGGTCCAAAATAATCTGCGCGCAGCACCACAAAGACATGTAAGCCGTCAAATGGTCCTTGAGTGCAAGACCTGCAGCAGGTTGCCAACCTCGTCAATACAGAGATCTTCACAAACCCCAGCCTCTCACCTTTTCCTTCATTGCTTCTCTGGCTTCGCTCGCAGTGGGAGGAGCTGCCTGCATGGTCAGGCTCCTCCCCTCCCTCCCCTGCTTTGCTGGCGTCCATTCTGTCTGCGCAGCCCATGCATAATTTCCATATCACCAGCATTATAACTCATGGCACAGCAAAGCTCCCACTTGCAAGCTACCAAAGCATGTCAACACATCAAGACCATGCTCTTCCAGGTTTTCACCTCTCCTGATCCTTGCTTGCACACAATAATCCAGGGCATGTGAATGGCGATGCTTACCTGCAAGCTGAGAAAGAAGAGCAGCATGAGCAACCCTGCTATGAAGGGGCGCGAAATGCCACTGCTGGTGCCTGGCATTGGCTGGAAAAACATCGCGCAGAGTGCCTGCGCAATCTACAGGGCTATGTCTTGCTGCAGGAAGTGTTGCCTCCTCTGATCAGCCCCTCCACCACCTGGCAAGCTTCCTGTGATGTGCACTGCGATGCCGGGGCTGCAGCAAAGCTTGGTCCGTGCTAACGCTGAGAGGTGCTGGAAGTGTGCGAGATAGGCGCTATGTCATTGGTTCCCGATGTCGTCTTCAAGCCTTCCACTACATAATGACACTTTCTCCCCGATTAGGATGCTGATCTCAAGACATCCCAATAGCTGGCGCCACTCAATGTCCTACACGTTGACAGAGCAACTCCGTAAGCAATGCTTACTTTCGGGTATTCAGATTACGGTGTTTTCCTCAAGTAAATGACCTGATGGCCAGTTCAGGTTCAGAAGGCAATATGTGATCTTTACGGTCAGTTTACAAAATTGTCCCATTGACATGTATGACCATTGCATCTTCAGATGGTAATATGCAAAGTAACCCATCCACAGGGATCACCAAATTCCGTGAGGAAAGAGCACCTTATGTCACCTAGTACTGCTCCAAAACTTCCCGATCCGTGAAGGTCCGCCTTGGAAACGTTCTGGTTGTGCAGATCAAGTATGCAAGCATAGACGCATGAACAAAACACAGAATGAGAGTGATGTCAAGGACGATCCCTTCCAGCAATGTTGAAACTTTTCTCCTGGCCCCAAGCTGGTGCCTGTCTCCAGCGGCGGAGATTTCTGCATATGCATGACGTCGTCTCATGTCAGCGAAGAGACACATCGAGAAATTTGGCCCAGATCAAGCTGCATCTCACCTCTAAAATTCTCCTTTCCCACCTGCAACAGTGTGCTGCTCTGTCTTGATCGCATCGGATCCATTCTTTCTGGTGAACCTGGCAGTCCCCTTTACCTGGGATCGCTAGGCAGATGTGATCAAGACACTGCACACTGTTGTAGAAGAGACATTGCAGGTCTCGCAAGTCATCTGTTTCATAAGGTACGTGCAAGCTACCAACAAAATAGCCTACACGCATGGCTCAAACTGGATAGTGGAAAATGGTGTCTTGGGGTTTTCGCGCCATCGTCGCACTATAGGACGCACTGGCCATTTGCAGAAGAATGTTCGTGAGAAAGAAGAGACTCGCAGTAGATAATAGAGATGCTGAAGAGTCACCTCTTTGGTCGCTAATCGAATGCCTTTTCACTGCCGACTCACTAGCCATCTGGTTATATAGCATGATCCTGGAGCCCACACCCCTCGTAACACAGACACTTGTTGTGCAGGTCTGATACGATATGATGCGGGACGGAACAATTAAAATATTGACTTGCACCTTGATAGTGTCGGGCTGGTGCAGCATGGAAGTATCAGCTTTGCAATCTGCTCCAGCACCCGCACCCTTGAAGGGCCTGGCTTTACCACCGATCAGCACAGCACCAGGTGAGTTCTCACCTTCACTTCAACAAAGTAGGGATCTACACACTGATGTAATGTCAGAACCTGCATAACCACTGATCAGCCATCGAAGGCTAGCAGCGCTCTAACCTTGTGAAAGGCAAACAGGGTCTGCCCCTCTGCCAAGCAAAGCTATTGGAGCGTCATCCTCTGTGAAAGAGGCAGAAGAGTTTGCAAGCACAGAGAAGCTCCGGGCGGCAGAGGGGCCAAGATCGGCGCAGCCCCTAGAGCTTGGGCAGCTGGGAAAGAATGCCAAGGCCCCTCCACCCCACACCGCAGGTTAGTGCCCTCTGCAAAGATCGCATATGTGCCCTGCTGACTTGAAGTTTCACTCTGTATTATAGCACTGAGTTCCGGCAGCCTTGTTATTCCCACGACTGCTTGCATTACCTATCCAAATGCATCCATTTTTCATCCGTGCTGCGACTGGAGAAAGCTGCACTGTTACGTGAGGCTTGAACCAGCTCCCTGGGCGTCAACACTCGGCGGCTTCACATGCCCCATCACAGCAGCAGATTGACATTACAGAACCTTTTAGAAGCCTTCTTTGAGCCTTTTTCTCATTTATGGGTCACAGGGGGCATCCCTCCTGAGGCGTACCATGGCGGTCCATCCCCATACCTGCAGAAGGTAAAGAGTGTCCCTCCAGCGCCCCACACAAAAACACCACCTTCTGACCTCGGGGAAAGTTTTGACCCGGCATCAGGTGCGCCGTCCCTAGTGTCCTGTGCTGTCTCTTCAACGATTGGTCTTGCGGTGCTTAAGTACTTCTTTGCACAACCATTAACAGTGTGTTGTCTGCAGTGCATTGCAATGCATGTTTGCGACTCCTAAGTGCAAACTGATCTCTGCACGGCCTGCACCTGTCTCTTTGTGCCTGATCACTTTTGAAGTTGTAGGCGCTTCGGCATCTTTCCGCACAAGGAAGCTGCGATTGATGTTGTTGATGAGTGAACTTTAAATCCCCAGCATGCAAAATACCCCAAATTCAGCAGCACCTTGCATGATGCAGGCAACAGCACCTTATACTGGCGGTGATGACATCCTGCCTGTTGGTGCTGATGTAAAATAGGAGCAGCTGAGGAGTCAGAAGCAACCAACCTCAATAATTGGTGATTGTTCACCAGCTGGTGGGCTCACTTCACCATGTGCTGGGGTGGATTGCAGGGGGGACCTTCACTAGTTCATCTCCCCCGCCGCCACCGCCCCCGCCCCCGCCGCCCCCGCCGCCACCACCGCCGCCCACCAAAGCATCCACCCTTGCCCCAGCTGAGGGAGCTAAATCGGAAGCCAGCAGTGCGACGACCCCCGTTGATAGCGCCACTTCCCCCGAGGCACAACCGGCGTGTTACGTGGAGGTGCAGATGAGCACTGTGTGGAAGAAGGGCGAAGGTGTATACGCCAGTGTCATCCAATTGGTGAGCCCCTCTGAAATTCCTTGTGACAATTCTTTGCCAAGACCAAGAATTCAGCCATGGATGCCATGTGCTTGCCATGTGAGCATGCAACGTGTTGGTGCTCTGCAGACAAGGCAGCGTTGCCAACCTATTTTCCAAAACTGCGCACAGCATTGCCTGGAGGGCACTGTGAGTGATATCAGCACTGCTGGCATATGTATCATGAAGCGTGTTCTTCAGGCATCAGAGCGTGCGTTTGGGGCTGGTGTTAAGCAGAGAGTGCATTGCCTGAAGGTCCTGGCTTCGTCCATATTCTAGGAGTTGACTTGCTGTGTGCACTGCAGTACCTGGGGAATCAAGGGGCCCTGGACATCTTCCCAGTGTACAGCCTGGAGGTCATGAATTCAAACTACCTCTCCATGGATGGTGCTTGGAACTGGAACATCGATTCCTTCAGGAGCACAGAAGGGAATATGTGGGGCACTGTCAGCGATGTGAGCTGCTCTTCCGTCCTGAATGCTCTTGCTCACTTGTCTTTTCTGACATGTCATCTTCTTTGCGTTTGTCATTGTAGATCTTGACAGAAGTGTTGACATAGTGTTTGTTACTATTCAATTATGCCCTGCCTGCAGCTGCTATGATGGAAGCTGTATGTGCAACCGCCCAGCTCTTCGATTTATTTGTTGCAGCAGTGATGTTGCCTTCACTAGCGTGGGCTTACACTTATGCAGTGCCTGTAGTACACAGTTCATTGCTCTTTGCTTGAAGCCTGGGAGCCATAGTTGCACCATATGGTCGAAAAACTTTTGGAGGCCGTATATACGGTCATACGGTATTTTAAAATACGGAATACGGTTAAATCTGGCCAAATTAGCACTAGGGTGAACAACACCTAAAGATCCACCCTGCATGCAGGGGTGGGAGGCATTACTTCCATACAGAAAGAACAAGATCAACGTGGGCGGCATTTTTGTGGGCAGCTCGCAGCAGAACTTCTACCCGCGGCGCATCACCATCAATGGAGAGCCCTGCTACGTGCAGCAGGTCTGATGAAGACACTGCAGACACACTAGTAAGAGGCTTTCCTTTGGCAGTGGCGCGTAAGCAGAGAAATTGCAAACCAGTCAGCAATCACCCATTTTCAGCAAGGGCACCACAAACCACGCCAGGGAAGCTGATGCAGTGCCCAAATAGGCATGAATAGTAAGGGTCCAACATGCCTAAAACATCCAGAGAGTCAGCGTTGCGGGCTGCAATCTCGTCAGGTTACGCAGGGCTTGACTTACCCTGAGTGCGCACCCGTTGACAGAATGCATGCAGGAGAAATGAAGGAAGAGGCGCCAACATGGGTGCCCTCCCAATAAGAGCTGCAGACATTGCCCAAATCCCGGAAACTGTTAGTTTTGGCATCCGCTGTCCACCATAACTGCAGAAAGCCATCAGCAGCAATTTTGCATGGGCAGATCGCGAGGAATTCTGGCGCCGAGGGCGCAGATTGTGAATGACGCTCATTTTCAGCCTCTTGTCAGAGTTGTTGTCTCAGAGAGCGAGCGGGAGCTTGATTGCGCGCATTCCTGTGTCTCTTTAATGCTCTTGGAGTCTTTGCTGAGCGGGCAGACTGCTGCCACTTCTGTGAAAGGCAGGTGGCGGCCACCGCTGAGCTGTCAGTCATCAAACCATACTTGTGTCCTCAGACAACAACACACTACGTTGAAAAACTTCACCTCGGTTTTCTGGGTCCCACAATAAATGCAAAGCTCTGTCCCCTTTTTAGAACTGGCTGGCTACCTTGTGACTAGTGACCGCCCACAGGATTTGAGCCGTTCATTTAGAGCCAGACGTCCGCCACGTTTGGCAGAGATGTCTGCATGGATTCGTGTGGGTGGCAGAAGACACAGCTGCTAGCGCTAGAACAGTCTCAACTCAACTGAAAGGAGGACAGGGCCGGCCGCATGCTGTTGAATGTTGCATGCTTTGTTGCTGTCAGTAGTTTTATTGCAACCCTTCAGGTTTCCAGATATATCAATGTCCACGGCAGAGGGCTCATACACTGAATTGACATATTTTGATGCATGTTGATGGCGTGTGTTTGGTTTAATCCGCAATCCCCTTTTTACGAATTTTGCAGTTTGCATGTGTTTTTCTTCTCAGGGGATTGACAATCATTTATAGTAGGATGTGCCCACTTTTATTGGCTAGGCCAGAAGTACCTGCTGCATGCTTGCTGCGCTAAGAACATGCTGATTCCCACATAGTGTGCATTCCAATGCTTTTCTGCACAGTTCCAGCTGAGCACTTGCTGCCTAAGGGAATAAATAGGACCATGGCCGTGTCGTTACAAGTTGCTTGTTTGATACTTGAACCAGTGTAAGCAAAATCATCAAGTTACAGATGGATTCCAGAAATTCATCATGATCAGATCTAGATGGTGATCTCTCGACTTCATATCTGTGATGGAAGGCCCTGTGCAGAACCGAGTTGTCACACTTTGAACAGTTCACGCCTCAACTCCCTTTTGTTTATCTTTCCCATGGCATTCCTGGGGATGTTCTCTACAATCTTCAAGGTCCTTGGGATCTGATAAGGCGGGAGCCTCTCTCTGAGCCATGTCTCTATTTCCTCAAGCGTCACCTGTTCACACCATGACAGAATTCAGTACAGAAACCCCAACAGGACAAGGTAAACACCACAATCACGCGAGCCAGTTCCCAATCAGCGCAATGTCCACCTGGCAGAGAAGGTTGCACACTTGTGAAGAACCTACAGGTGAAGGAACCCGCAGCCCAGCCTGTCTCCTCCCCAGCAGGCAGCACATCACTGGCCTGGACATCTGCAGCAAATATTGTTCTGAATAAATGCTTGTTCACTGGTGCCAGCGGAGGGGCCCAATGTTATTAGGATCATCTTAGCAGCAGCGCACCGGGGCGCCTTCGCATGCAATCACAACCGCAATAGCCTCCCCTAGGGAGTCATGCGGCAAGCCGAGCACTGCACACTCTCGGATGCGGCTGTGCGCCAGCAGTGCATTCTCGACAGCCAGCGCAGACACCTTGTAGCCGCCGCTCTTTATGATGTCCACGCTCGTTCGGCCCAGGATGCGCCAGTACGGCGGCGTGCCCTCCAGCACCGCTGTGTCCCCCGTCCTGATTCGACAGGGATGACTACCGATCAGAATGAGGCTTGCTGATATGTGTTGCTGCACATATACTCTTGCTGCACGACGCTCACTTGCGAGGCAGGCACTTTTGTATGTGTCTGGCGCTTGTTCTGCCACGATGTCTGCATCTCTGTTCCTCTAAAAGACATTCACACAATGGAGCTATGCAATGGAGCGATGGCTTGCCCAATGCAACAAAATTGGCTGACATTTGGACATGCAGCAAATGTTATTGCCCCCTTTGTGCACCCACCATCATCAGGCATCTTCACATCTATGATAGCTGACGATACTTGCGTCACAGAACAGAGCACACCTGAACCAGCCGTCCTCGTCAAAAGCTTCTGCCGTGGCTTCTGGCTTATTTATGTACTCTTTGAAGATGTTTGGCCCCCGTGCGCGAAGCTCCCCCGGGCCCTCCACAGCATCGGGGTACTCGTTCGGCTTTGCCGCGCCTAGTCAGACAGCCACAGTGAATTCAAAATATGAAATCTCGATGACTGACAGCTGCAAACCCTGCTCATGTACGCTGGTCAAGCATGCATGCCATGGCTCATAACCGCCCCGTGACTCGATGGACAACTGATGGAAAACCTACAACAGACGGCAAATTTGTGCTTTGTCCAGTATGAGACGACAGCTGAGTGATATCCTGCTGGGAAAAGACATGAGCTGTCTGCGCTCTTTTGCAAAAGGAGGCTCCTTAGGTTATGCATCTTTGGCCCACCTGATTCGGCTGTTGGCTGGGTATCTTCCCTGACAGCTCGCACCTCCACCCCAGGCAAGGGTAGACCCACGCTGCCTGGCCGCCGCTCGCCGCGATACAGGTTGGACAGCATCATGTTTGTCTCTGTCATGCCATATCGCTCCAGCAGCCACTGACCTGCACACTGAGGTTCGTCCTCTCAGAGCTATGGAATACACCCAAACAAGGGTAGAGCTCAATGCATCTCTGGTATTAAAGCGCCAATGAATGAAGACCAGCAAGCTTTCGCATCAACGAAAGCATGCTGTCAATTTGTTTAGGCCCAGAGAGGCTTTTACATAAGGAGCTGTGCACGTTAGTGGCCCAACAAACACCTTCAGTTTTCATAGACCCTCTGTATCATATTGTTCCAAGAAGGCTTCAGCATGTCATATAGCAGTTGTGACTGGAAGATTCTGTGCTCCAGCCCAGTCACAACCCTAGCATGCACGGCTCAGTTAATTAAAAGAGAGATGCTGACCTGAGAGCTCATGCCACTGGTGAATGACGGGCAGCGGGCAGGCAGCAGAGCCGCTGACAGTCAGGCGAAGCCGCGCTGCCGCCTTCCTCGCAGCTTCCTGCTCGCTCGGCGACATGCTGGCATAGTGTGACAGCAGGTAGGAGTACATGGTGGGAACGCCCATGAAGACCGTGACTGGATCCTCCTCCCTCTGCAGGTTGGCGCAAAAAGTGATCAACTGCATGCTAAAATAAAGTGCGCCATCTCAATGCCCCATTACCAATAAGCAAGCTCACTAATGTCGGCACTGGTGTGGGCATGTGTCCTGTTTGCGGCAGTTCCAATCACATTCTAGGACTTATGCGTGCAGGCTGATGACTTTGGATTGCCCACAAGGGAGCTGTGATCGACGCCTGTCCAAGCTCAGAAAAATAATATAAGAATTTAGTGGCATACTTGTAAGGAAGAGCTGGTAGATGAGAACTGCACATCCTGTCGGTGTGAGAGACATGAGCTCACACCATGAGGCGTTGCCAGACTTCCCCCGGGGAGAACTTGGGCAGGAACTCGACAGCGGCGCCGGAAGCATGCGCGCAGTAGAGAGCGTTGATGATGCCGTGCACATGGTGCAGCGGCAGCGTGTGCAGTATCCTGTCCTCCTCACTCCACTCCCAGGAAGTTGTCAGAGCCCTGATCTGCGCCGACAGGTTGCCATGTGTGTGGAGCGCGCCTGCAGTGTGACACAGCACCGCCAATAGACCCAGGTAATGGATGAGGCTCCATTTTCAGATGACCCTGCCTACATCCACAGCTCACTGCACAACTTGTCAAGGAGCTGAAAAGCTCTAAAACAGCAGCATGGCATGCTCAGGCAGATGCAGCAATACGAGATTAAAATATCCTGCCATTGCATGAGCATACAAAATTTCCACTTTGTTTGCAACGGCCTGACATTACCATGATTATAGGGTGTTCCAGCGCACCTTTTGGCCGACCAGTGGTTCCGCTGGTGTAGACAATTAAAGCATCATCTCTATCTGACCAGTCTGCTGCAAGCTCCTCAAGGCCCTGCGCTGCAGAGACCCTGCATTGAAAAAATTGCCGGAATGGGTGCCGGCATTTATGGGGATTTCTCATCATGCTTGCAAAACAGCAAAGGCAGTACAGTACATGGCTGTGAAGAACGCTCTCTTTAATGACAGGTGAAGTTCACCTGTGGTAAGTTATCATCTTCCTGCCGCATGACATGCAGGTGAGCGCCTGCAGCTCTGGCTATGGGGTCCATTCGGTCTGCAAGGTCTGGTGTAGTCAGCAGCACGCTCGCCTTGGCGTCTTCCAAAACATACTGAACTTCTCTGCAAACAGCAAGTGTGAAGCTTTTCAGGCCCAGATCAGTACGCAGACTCAAAGATCCAGTCGCAAAATGGCACTACTGCGTGATTAGCTGCAAAGGCTGAAGGCATCGTACTTGGCTGGATGGCTCAGGCACAGAGGAACAGCAGTCCCCTTGGCGAACCAGGTGCCCCATGTGCCCTCTACATATTCTCTTCCAGGAACTGCCATGATAGCAACACGCGGACTGCCGCAGCTTCCTGCAAGAGAGTTTGTTTTTCCTTTATATCCAGTTGGGGGATGTAGCATGGCTCAACTGAGGATGAGTAGGACCATGGATTCAGATGATTCTCCTTTCCAGAACTCAGCTGCTATGCATAAGACGATTGCATGGCGATCTAGATATCCACATACGGAGAAAGATACCGATTGCAGTAGCCTCTGTGATGATGCTGGCAAGTCGTTGGGACCCTCGCAGTACATCCCCATATCTGCAAACAAGAACCATGAGGCACATAATTATAGTAAACAAAAGAGGAGACGGTTGGGCTGTTACATCAGTCTGCCCTGCGTAGTCCAAGGATATCAACGCCTCGGGAGCCAAAGTAATAGCTCTGAAAACGTGGTTTGGGTTGTATTTTCAGACAGACAAAAAACCTTGCCTTGTGACCTGAAAGCATTCATTCAATTCCTGTCCAACCACAATTGCAGGGTGCAGTTGCGAACAAACCTCAAAGTACATCCCCCAGCTGCAATGGCGGTACGTCCCAGAAATGCCTGAGCTCCTTTTATAATATCCATTGCAGCTTGGGTAGATCTATAAGTGCAATTATCATGTTAGAAACAAAGACACCAGGTCGAGGATCAAGAATTGCACTTGGATCGCACATTTGCAAGCTGGAGGTTAGTGCCAATACTGGATATCTGGGCGTGGCTATCGAGCGTATCCCACAGAATAAATTTTCGTTTTTTAACGGCGGGGTCATTCAACATGTGGGGAGCGAGTGCAAACAACAGCACAGTGTAAGATTGCATGTTTTAGAATCGAAATGACACAAAGCAAAACAATCCAAACAAGTAAGCACCGTGCATATGCATCCAGCAGTAGACAATGAAAACACTTGGCAATATTGTAATTGGCATGACTGAACAATTTGCATTAATGTAATCTAGCCAGCCATGCACTCAGATGGACGAATGATAATGTATTCAAGATATTCTCAGCCTGACGCCCGGGCAACATATTCACTGACAGGTGAGACGACTATCACCGAGTTCGCTCGTCTGTTGCTGGCTACCGTCTGGCTGGGACCAAATTTTGGCCAAAACGTGCCTTTATCAAGGTAGCTGCATGCAGCCAAACGCATCTTCCGTGACCTGCATAACCTGCTAGGTCTGTGCAGGATGCGTCAAGGCTGCTCCAGAAATCGTGAAATTGCGCCTCAACTTCTGTTGATGTTGCCCATGGCATTCCTGAAAATGCCCTCCACAATCTTCGATGATTTCGAGATCTGAGAAGACGGGAGCCAATGTTTGAGCCATGTCCCCAGGTCTTCTAGCATCACCTGTTCACACCAGTAACAGTGATTACACCATCTACACGGATAGACTCCTAAGGCCAGCCGACAAGAAGACATGCTGAACAGGCGTGCACCTGATGGGCTCTGGAGGTGTCTTGACAGACTTGCCTTCTGGAGTTTTGTGGCTTTGCACATCGTCTGGTATGTTCGGCCTGCCTTCCCATGCTTCTGAATACCTGCAACGACACAGTGATGACATTAGATATATTCCGCAAACCATGCTTCCAACTGGGGCATCTTGATAACTAGAGAGCGGCTCATATCCGGCACGCACGATCTCGGGGATCCTGCAACCATGTGGTTCGGTTTGAAAACCTTTTGGAAGCACGTACGCACCCTTCTTGCTTCAACTTGCGCTGCCAAGACAGGGCTCAGCACAGTAAGCTCGGGATCTTTCCACTGTCTGTTGGAGCTTCCAGCAAGGCATCCTACACAGAGGCCACCTGCACATCAATAAACACTATTTAGGAACCCTAAGCTGCGGGAAAGTCCTCTCACACGCCAGTGAGCTTTTGTTAATGCAGGGCGGGTGAGACCACAGCCAAGCATGCAGAGGCTGAATCAGTGTCGTGCCAGACCGGGACGCTCTATTGCACAGTATGCAGAAAAAGACCCCACCAGATCTGAAAATCTCTCTAGAGATCCATCTGAAAATGAAACTCCCAGGCATTGGCACACGGTGGTGGGCTTGACAGCCTGCAGGCATGTTCTCCTGCTTCCTCACAGGTGCAAATGAGAGGTGCCCGACGCAACTCATCACATCAGCAGCAGCGCACCGAGGCGACTTCGCATGCAATCACAGCCGCGATAGCCTCCATAGGGAGTCATGCGGCAAGCCGAGCACTGCGCACTCCCGGATGCGGCTGTGCGCCAGCAGTGCATTCTCGACAGGCAGCGCCGACACTTTGTAGCCGCCTGACTTCATGACGTCCACGCTCGTACGGCGGCATGCCCTCCAGCACCGGCCCTGTTAGGACAGGGATGACGACCTATTAGAAGGACATGCAGCCACTGACCTGCACAAGGGCCTCTCAGAGCTGCCAAATACCCATATGCTGGCCCCGGGGTAAAGCTTCTTGCAATTTGTCATCAAAGCGCCAAGAGAATGCGACAACAGTATGCTAGACATGCTAATTATGCTCGACCGATCTGCAGCTGCATGCAAGGCTTACGACTCGCCTAGTAAGCTCAACACTTAGGTAGCTAGCTAGTGGTCAACAGATTGCAATAGAAATTCTGGCGCAGAAGCATGCCAGTGACAGCTCTACCTACACTTCACGTATTATGTGCAAGCCTCATGCAATGCTGGAATACCGTGTGCCATACAAATATATACATGAAAACTGCTCCTTAATCCTAGAGACCATCTCTCAAGCAACGCACTCTGTCATCCTTAAGATTTTGTCTTGAACCATCCTTCCGCTCTGCATCCCTTACCTCTGAAGTGCTGTACGCCGCCCGTATTGTCATGTTTTGGCGTGCCTTCTTATAACTTCGGCCGCCCATTGAGAAATGCCTGCAAAACCAATCCAAAGTCATGCCAATGCGCAAGGAAGGCACCCCTCAGATATCAGGTATTACACAATCGATTTTTGAAGTTCTGATTATGTTAAATCCTTGAACCCGAAGAAAGTTGTTTCCATCCAATCACCACTTATCCTGTCTCAGTGTCAGATGATCGCACACTCTACACAGCTTCGTTGTGAGAGAAATTCACATTCCAATGTCTTGCTGGCCTCACCTTGCTGCGCAGGTGGCGTGAACTACACATTGAATGAGCGTCGACGTAGCCCAGCTTTGTGCGGAGCTCCGCAACAGCCTGCCAATTGGGAGCGGGCGCTTCGCCTGCCGCCTGGCCCCCCATCTGACGCACCACGACGTTCATATCCTGGTCGTCGAAAAGCCCCAAATTATAAACCTGCAAGATTCAGAAAGATCAGGTACAGGGGTCAGCTCTTGCACGCCAAATCTTAAAATGGAACAAATCCGGGATGTTCCCTTGTGAATTGCTATTTAAGAATACCGTCACCTGATTTATTCCTTTATGCGCCTTGAGCTCTCTGGCGTTTTCCCATAGACGGTCCCGACGCTTAACATACTCCTGCAAGCCCAATCTTGAGTCACCATAAGATTTAAGGAATTCCTCTCCACCGGGTAGAGCTTATCTTTACGCAGGTTTCACCTGGTCGTTCTTGTTGACCAATTCCTCTCTTGGATGGTATTTGGCGTGCCAAAGTGCATAACCCCTGTCCGGGTTTGCTAGCACAGTATCAATAAGGTCCATGAAAGCAACCTAAAAGCAAACTGTGACTGGGCGCTTCAAATTCCTGTCCTACCCTTCAAGAGATAATTTAGGAGCTTCCATCTGGAAGCTGCAGGCTGGTCATCACGACCTCCCCTAGAAGGGCGAGGGTCTTCGAAAACCTTCCAATAAGTTGATCGGTACAAAATGGGAAACGAAGCATTAACATTTCTTTATAATGGCAACAAGCTATTCAGCATGGCGTTGCCAGGAACATGTATTCTTAATCTCCGCGATATTGGTTACGATCGTGCCTTGGCCTTGGCTCTACGGGTGTACGCTAGAGATCAGGGCCCTTGTGGTTCATGTTTTGTTATAGCGTGTTTAACTTGCGCAGAATGCGCCTTTGTGAAGCACTACAGGCAACCTATCGAAATGCTTTCGCCTCAGTACATTCTCGACTGTTGCACAGCCCCTGCCTTCCCTGGCAACTCTGGCTGCTGTGGAGGCCACGTTGAAAGCGTTCTTGAGTGAGCTTTCCCTTCGAACACTGTGTGCTGGCTTGGATATCCGCCTTCCATGCCCTTTCTAGACCCCTTCTGCCAACAATCATACCTCATGTAACACCTAGTACTGAAGGACAAATGACCGAGGAGCTGGGTATTCTCTTTCAGGTTCTTAACAACAATGGGATCGGTTCCCGAGAGTGTCTATCCATACACCGCTCGGCACTCAAACTCAGATGGCCACTTATGTTCTCATCTTGACAAGAGGAAACCACTTGCGGCTTCTCCTCTAGGAGTAGTATCCCAATTAATGTACCCAATCGTGCGCTACACCGAACTGGAAGATCGATCGTTAGCCAGCATCTTGCATGTAAGATCCTTGCATCTCAATAATCACTTGTCATGAAATTCTTGCGCTGTCCCAGTCTATATAGAAGAGTGATGAAATGCAGCTAATTTATTGTTGCTGTCTTATATTTGCAGGCATTGGATCAAAAGGGGCGTCTTGTTGCCAAGATGTTTGTCAGCTCATTTCATGGATTTACACGATTGGACGAGTGTCAATACCTGTGGGCTTGTCCCCCCAGATTACACAATGGGGATATGGCTGCCTGGCACGCAATCCTCATTGTTGGGTGCTTTCGGACCCCAGGACCCCAGGGCGAGTTCCTGCTGTATTGCCAGAACTCCTGGACCAGGACATGGGGCAAGGATGTTCGCAACTCTCCACCTTTAAACATATTGATGCAGTCAACGTACATCAGTACACGGGTGTGCATTGCTTCAAATAAAAACTGCAATTTGCAGTACTCGCGTCGACAAACCAGTAATGAGATTTTGCATGTGCATGCAGGGATGTTTCATGCTTCCTGTCCGGTGCGTGGAGGGCCCACCGATATGGGCAGCGCGGGGAACAGTAGAACAGCCACATTGGGGGCATCTTTTACGTAGAGTGCGAGTAATGCTGTGCTGCTGGAAAGAAGAAGTTGAGATGTGCCCTTGGGAGGGAATGCCTGAGATGCAGCCACTGTACAATCTGTACCAGTGTTTCAAGGCCGCAGCGCAACTAGGACACATTCACTTAAAATCGCACCAGGTTATCTCGGTAAATGAACCACCCTTCCTGGCAAATCATCTGGGCCGCAAACACCTGATACGCTTGCTCCTCATCATACGCATGGCAGCAAAGTTCAAAAAGCTAACTCGTGATCATCTGCAGCCCAGATCCAAATTGGTGCCTATAATTGTAACTGGCAACATGTGCATGCACCACCATGACATTTTGCTGCGTTCCGCACAGAGCCAATTACAATGTACAGACCAAAGAACCCCGGGATTTTTTATTGTTTAGGATTTAAAGGGTCCGGCTGTCAAGGGTTTTGCTGCGAGAAGGCTTCTCCCATATCACTACTCTGCTCCAGGGTGTCCACAGTCTCACAAGCCTTCACCAGATTTTCTGCAAAGCCCTGCCATCAGCAGACCGCTCGTTGATGACCGGTTACCTCTTAAAACCCTTGTGCAAGGTTGAAAGATGAGATTTCGAGTACGTGCAGCGCAAATAGCCAGCTTGCCTATCTACCTAATCGCGCCAATGTTTCTGGACAAATCAGATCACAAATGTTTTAAATGCAAGTCTGATTGATTTTTCTTCCTGCCAGGAAGAGAGTTGACTTGCATTGCATGTCATATAATAGGGTGCCTTGTGTAAAAGCTCATCTGATGCCTTAGGGCCCAGAGACATTCGAGTTCCTGAAAAGGCCCTTTTCAAAAGGGTGTGTGAAGCAGAGAACCCTACCTGCCACCGATTGAGCGCGGACATGGCAAAGCCAAGGTAGGGAGCCGTCACAACAGCCGCTGCAGTCGCCATTGTCAGCGCCAATTTCGGCCGCTTCCATGTGATATAGCCCAGCAGCGCACCTGCAGCGACAGGACTTGTCAGCAGTGTTTCTCAAAAGATGCTGATAGCCGATGTGGCTTCCATCCAATCCTTGGAAACTTTGGCTGAAGCCACAGAGGTGGCAGAAATCAGGAGTTTGACGATATTTTTCAGCAAAAATGAGGTTTTTCAGGGGTTGCTGAAGCTTACACAGGGGAGTATTTAGATTCCTGCACCTCTTATTTTTTTAATAGCGCCGATATGTGCCCTCAAAGTGTGCACCAGACAGTGGCCAGAACGCCAAAAAAAACTGCTTGTTTAATTGGGAAAAGCCTCATCGGCTTCAGAACGCCACTAAAAGAAACCCTGCTTGTGAGCCTGATGCACAGCTGACCAAACTGCTGACAAACTTCTTACAGCAGAGAGAACCGCTAACACTCCAGCAAAGCGGTGCATACATTAGAGCGGGTGATTTCAGCCCCACTCCCAAAGAGGTTCAATGAATTGGCAAAAGCCATGAGCTTGGCTGGACATGAGATTTGAGGGAGAATTTTAGCTAAAACTGGTGGTTTTCAGGACATTTTGGGTCAGAAAGGGCAAAGTGTGGCTTTTGCGCGGGTTGGGAGTAATTCAAGTCCTTTTTGTGGATTCCAAACGCACATGTAAAGGCCTGCAAATGGCCACAAGTCCACCCCTTTAAATTGTTACAGGCCACGTTGGCTTGCGCAAGCCGCTAAAAAAAAACATTGCTCACCAGTAGCGATGGTTGGCAGCGTGGTGGAGAAGCCAAGGCGCGGCTGCTGAGGAACTGTCATGTACGCCTCGCACAGGTGCTCAAATTGCGGCGTGCCGGCCTCGGACCACATGCTGCGAATTGCCGGCACATGCGCCGCTCCCACGACGCCGACCACCCTAGCGCCGTTTGCCGACTCCGCCGTCTCCCACAGCCGCCTGGAGCAAACACAACTCCCTATTACATGCATGGGAGTGAAGTGGCACATTTGGCAGCACAACAGCTGGAATTTTAGATGTGCAGAAGACCTCGAGCCGCCAAGCTCTGGACTTTGAGTAGCAATAGCATCTGGAACACAGAGCAGAGCAAGGGCGTGCAAGCTTTCTACTTACTGGCCAATCGACTTCAAGTCGATTTGCCTTTGTGCTCACTTGCCTTGGTGGAATGTATGCAATTGGCGCCCCTGCAAATTTTGGTGATGAATAAAACCAGCGGTTATCAGCAACAAACCAATCAGGGTCGATTGGCCCTGTGGCCGCTGCGGGCACAACTTGTTATCGTATCCCACGCTTCTCCTGCCAGAGGTAAGGTGGGTCTGCAGGCATGCTGGAGTCAGATTCCACCCCTTGTTGGACTCGCCAGATCCAAGCAAGACCCAATCAACCGTGGGCACGGTGCTCAGTATTTGTACTGCCACCCGCCAGCCATGGTGTTCCCCTTATATGCATGGCAAAAGAGTGATAGTTGTGCAGCACAACAGCTAAAATCCTAGATGTGCAGAGATTCTCGAGCCCCCAAGCTTCGGGCTATGTTCGAGTAGGAAAAACATGTAGGTCAGAGCAGAGCGAAGGTGTGCCCATTCAATAAGGAAAACAGAACATGCATCAGATGGTCCTGCCCCTCCCAAGATGCCACAACAGCTGGAAGGGCAGGCACACCTGTCCCCTCTTAGTCAAGCGGGTGCATGCTCAGGCCAAAGGGCACGCCTCAGAGGAAACACATGTTCCTCCATTTCTGCTCACACTTCACAGCACCATGCACAGGAGCAGTTGTACGGTCACAAACCACCTCCAATCTAGCAAAGAGCTCTGAATGCCGCATTTCATATATTTGGTAGATTTGTCAGGGCTGAAGCAGAGAGGGGCTTTGACACGTTTTGCATTGGCAGCTCAGCTGTACCTGGTGAGGATGACATCCCGTTCGCGGCCCATGACTTCATTGAGCGCCTCGATGCTGGGCTGCAGCCCTGCCGCTCCCTTGACTCCCGCCAGAGCCTGCCCCTCCAGTTCCCTCAGCGCTGCATCACCCTCCTGCACAAACATGCACGATGGCGTCTGTCAAGAGCACCAGAAGCTTGAGCGTCCGTGTCTCAGCCATGGTGAAAGGAGACACAACCCCCTCTTGTGAGTGGCAGGCACAATGCTAAAGGTTTGAGGTGAGTGATAGCAGCGATCCGCAGGCTGAACACTTATGTTGCCATATGCTGCCCTCGTCATGTACATCGTGTGAGAATACAGGAGATTCTATTTGCCAAATACACGACCCACCCAGGGAAGAATGCCAAGCTGTAGAGCGCGCAGCTTCATCAATGAAAGGCACAAAGTGGAATCCAGCTCAGGAGAGCTTGGCGCAGACACAAGAAGTCCCACACAGCTGTCGCACCCGCAGCGCCTTCTGGCGCAGGTTCTCGACCAGCTTCTGGCCGCAGCCGCGCACAGCCAGAATGTCACTGGCCGGGATGGCCTTGCCCTTCGCGCCCGCCTCGACGATGCGCCGGAACGCGCGAACCACATCGTCGGCGTTTTCGCAGCCGCCGGTCTGCAGCAGCCGCTTCCAGGTGTTCGTGTCGGCCAGCGACCTCTTCGGCTTGGTCCCGCCTGGGCATCCACCGAGCAGCTGCTTAGTCGCTTTCAAGCAGAAACACATCGCATAATTGCTCGGTGATTTTGATCAAGACATGCATCATTTTTAGCCTCAGAACCACACGTCACCACACCACAGTTTGGAGTTGCTGTACAACAGGAGCCTGTGTGCCTAGCCAATCTGGTGGCTACTTGAAAGCGTGTTATATTTGCAATGCGCGCCTCAATTCCGAACATATGGCTTTTTGCAATTGTTTTTGCATTAACCGCATAATTTTTATGCCTGAGAGGCCGAAGGGATGCTCATGGCAGTGCCTGCATTCCTCTTCTGGTCTTGTTAGAGTGCCAGGGAAGCAAGGGGATTGCACTGCACCTGGTAGGACATAGTCATCCAGGCCCCAGTCTTGGTCTTGGTCCTTGGCAAAGGGAATGTCATCACTCACATCGCTGCGACTGAGTGCTGAGTCATTTCTGGTAGCCGCTGACGTGGCACTTCCGGACGGGGCCACAGCAGTACCGGTGCTGCTTGTCCCACTGCTGGGAGGAGTGAGCCCTGCGCACAATGGAGCCATATTTGGAAGGAGATAGAAACAATGATGGCGTCCATGTGTGGAAGCTCAGATGCTTTGCCATGGCCCACAGCAAGCATAGGTGCATACAAGGGACCCCATATAGGGTCGCCATGTATGCTGCTTATGCCCTCATCCATAATGGAAGAGCGCTTAGAAGCACTGACAACAAAGGGAAAGCCAACATGAAACGCATGTCTGTCAACAGCAAGATTGCGGGTTCAAAAAATTGACGTCAGTGCTGCCATGGTGCCAGTGGACTGACAAAACGCTCTTCAAGTGAAGGTGCAGGATTGGGGCTGCAGACCTGTGTCAGCGTCGATCCGAGAGAGGGGGGTGCGGCGCGCGCGGCTGCGTTCGGCTGCCAGCTGCGCGGCTCGGAACATCAGCCGCCTGATGGTGACCTCCTGGTCCCTGTCTCCCAGCACAATCTCCGCCCCAGTCTGCGGTGACGAACACGTCTTAACACTTGCGTACTATATCCATACCTAAAATGTACCTAATATATGAAGTTTCAGACACCTGTTGGGAGCCACCTGAGGCTCATGCGTCTCATGGACAGTCTCTCATTGTCAAACTTCAAGCCTTTGTGACTTCAACTTACTTTTTGCCTCAGAACCGGCAAGACATTGGAAGGTGCCTACCAGCACCTTTACCGCTGGGTCAAGCAACAGCGTTTCCAAGTGCTGCATGGACGAGGAGCTAAGGATTACACCACACCTGCTTGGCTGCTTCCACAGCCTCTCTGAATTCCATACCAGCAGGCGCCCCCAGCAGTGCACCAGCCACCACATACATGGTTGACAACAGGTAGAGCGGAGCTGTCCCGCTGAAAATCATGGGGATCAGCTGCGCAGAAAAAAAGCCTCAGGAGTTTGCTAACACCCTCCCAGGCCACCATCTTACTCAGCTACTTTGAATACAGCCAATGTGGAGGTTTCAATGCGCGACACACCCAATCGGCATTTTATCATGGTCAAGAATTTTGGCTGCTGGTCAAAATACAGGGGCAGAACTTTGGCGGTGAAAGCGATAAAAGCATGTGCACTTTGACCGAGAAAGACATCACAAGCGTCACAAGGAGCGTGTGGGAAGCAGCACCTTGCGCTTTGGCAGGGTAATGCGCTGCATGCCATACTTGTCGCCCAACTGCATCTCACATACCAGCGCCTCATAGCGCTCCTGCAGAGAGATGCCATGGATGGTTAGCTGGGAAGATCAACCTGAAGCAGTGTGTCATTGTCTGTGTCTGTCCCATTTGGAAGTGCCAACAGTGAGTTGAGACAAGTACTGGGCGTGCCTTGTCTAGCTCCAAAAATACAACTCTTGGTGTCAACTCCAGTATCGCCGATCTCACATCCTCAGCAGCCTGTTGGAAGGCATCCAAGACGTTTGATGTGGGACGCACGCACTGAAGATCACATTTTTATTGCCCTACAAAAGCTGACTGGAAGCCTACAAAAGCTGACTGGAAGCCTAGCCCCAGCGTGCGTATGAATCTGCTCGACATCTTTGATGGGGTGAACAGCTTGAGTAAAACCGTACCTCTCTCGATACGTGCGCTGCGCCGATCAGATAGACCTGCAACCGGCAGATCACTTTCAGTCTCCTGTGTCCATGCCGTGGCATCCGAATTACGCAGGGGCTTCATGGGAAACAATTCATTATATTGAAGAAAAAACCTTCTGCTAAGAATACCTTGGAGCCCGTGGGATGGTCGAGCACGACAGCAACGCCTTTCGGAAGTTCATCCGACATGCTGAAGTCAACTTCAGTGATAGGTGTATGCGTTCTAAGGACGGGAAGAATGATTGCTCTTCTGCAACTTACTTTCAAGATCAAATGAGTAAATCTTGCACTGGATTACCTCTATTCTGCTGTGGCATCAAGGATATGGCAAATCGTGCGGCAAGTCAAGGACAAATGGGTTTCCTAGCTAGGCAAGGTATGGTGCTTCTGTGCATGTGTAGAATCCAGGTCTCAGGGGAGAATTTTCCTTCCTAAAACAATCCATCAGCACTCGCCATTGTTAGTATTCCCTCTTAAGTTAATGCGGAGATTCCCCTGGACATGCACATGCCATTTGGGGTCAGCTTGCAACTGCTTATGAGCTGGCAAGCTTTGTATATATATATAGCTAGTGATCACTCGCACTGCGGGCTGAAAATTTTACTTTACTCTATCATGTTGGCATTGAAGTGAGAGACTACAGCATCTGCAGTAGCCTCGGCATTCCGCAGGTCAGGCGATTGGCATCCAGCTTTCTCTTCACAACATATAGGATGCATGCAGGCCAGAGAAAGATATAGACAACATCAGTGTGCTTGTGAGCCACCATACAATGAACTGCCCTATTCCTCTGCACATGAGAGGCCGTCTTGTGTAAGGCAAGCAAATCAGCGGAAGCAACCAGGCAGAGAACAAGCTCACATGAAGAACACCAACATGCCTGTCACATCTAGCATTAGACCAAATCCTGCGTTAGAGAAATTTATCCCTGCATAATTCCAAAACACTGCATGCACTGCTCATTATTCTACAAACAAGAATACACAGTACAGCCGCCACTGTGCGCGACGCATGCTGCGGGTTTCACAGAGATCTAAGTAGTGACTGGAATACATTTGCTATTCTACTGCCCTTCACTGAGCGGATTGATGAATAAATATTTCTTGGCTGCAGAAGCTGTAGACTGGCCTGATCAACTTGCATGAGTCTGCTGGCACAAGCCATGCCTTTCTCATGCAATGGCGCTCATAAGTCCCTCATGGAATGGTCAGTCCATGGCCTCCTGCCGTTCATCACATCACGCAACAGCAGGGCATGCATCTGCTCTTCACCTTCTGTGCCTGCTCTTTCAGCTGTGCCTCCTGCATTGCAGCAAAACACGGTTTTTAGTGGTCATTGACTTGAAAGAAAATATTTTTGGACCTGCCAGTATCACGGGCATTATTGCGCATGGCATCCTTGAGGACTGCTGTGGCCCTGTGTCAAGGCAGCCCTTCAATGACAGATAGCCAGCCTTACTCAACATGCCTGTTAAACGCTTACCACTGGGCGCCTCTACAGCGCTTGCACTACAGTCCAAAACTACTCTTCTAAGCACCCCGCCAGTGTCAGCGGGAAGCATGCCACGACCAACAAATCTAAAGGGGTTGATATCTTTACTGGTTGCAGGTCGCACTCCCGCCCATTGCTTGTATTTCAGAGCTCAAATTGCCCAAACGTTCTATGGAGTAATCATGCCTCCATTGCATGTCTATGTGTGGCCCATCTGGGGGTCATGTGAGTCCGCAGAATAGCAGACATTGAGCAGCATGTGGGAAAGCACCTGCGCCTGCAGGAGAGTGTCGACTGCTTCTTCCAGGACCTCAACGCGCGCCACAAGGGTGCCGCCGCCGCTGACCGGCCGGGGGCGTTCCCTGCCCAGGTGCTTTTTCAGCTTCGCCTCCAGTCCGGGCACGTGCTCCTCCAGCACCCGCACCCGATTCAAGATAGGCACCGACAGCTGCGCCTCTGTGCCCCCGGGACCCATCTGCGCGCAGTCAATAGTAGGCATTTTCACTTCTGGTCACCGTTCTTGCAGTATATCGTACACTGAACGAGGTGCGCGTGCATGAAGCCATGCATTGGTGCACGCATAACAGCACACAGGTGACTGACTGGGGATTCCCCCGAGCAAGGCACAGATTGCACGACACAGGCAGCATGTATGGATTGCCAAGGTAACAGTGTATATACAATGTATATTTTGTGCTGCAGAGAGCGGCTACTTTTCATCTGCTGAGCAGGCACCTGAGTTAACAATGCACAGGGAAATGCTGTGGCTGGCATGCGATACTGTGCCAGTTAGACTGATTGCATTGCTAGCCTTTAAAGATGAAGCCAAGCAAGTGACATGCCTGCAGTCCAGAGGCAAAGGCGCCGCGTCCGAGGTCACCGCTAAAGCTGGCATCCAGGTCTTCGCTGGAGCTGCGGCCGAACACCTCCTGCGTGCTGGTAAAAGACCCATCGCTGAAGGAGGCATTGCTCTTTGGGGAATAGTATGCATCATCGCTGTCACCTGCACACCACAAAGACCATATTGAGCTCCTACCCAATCAGCAGATGCTCAAGTGGCGCCGGAATTCAATTCACATGATGCAGGAAACAGCGAGCACTTTGTTTATACATGCTGCAAGTTATGAGACAGTGTGACCTTCACATGGACTGCTGCAAAAAGAATGATCTGCTGAGCTGATGCGGGAAATATCATACTGCTTCAGCGAGCATGGCAAGTGTGGATAGTGCAAGCGCAGAAGCGGCACGTACTCATTTCAGAGCGCATGCTGCTGCGCCGCGTCATGATGGGCCGCAGGTCTGCAAAGCGGTCAACCTCCGCGCTCCCTGGATCCCTGTCCATGTCGGGGCCTGCGCAGCATTCAAGAGTCCCAATAAACACCAGTAATGAGCGATAACATACTGTCAGAAGCACATGTGCTGTCCGCATTTCTTTCAGAGATGCAGCCTCGGGCAAATGCCTTCAGGCAACATTCAATGAAGGCAGTGTTTAGGAGAGCCGGTCCACTATCTGGGTGCACAACGATCTTCCATGACGCCAGCATGTTGTGCAGAAAGCAGCATGCCGAGAGAACCCACTTGTTCCATTGCTCTCCTCAGATTCCAAGATGTTCTTGGCTGCCAGGCGCGCGCGCTCGTTGGCTGCCTCCACCTGCACGCAGCGCATCAAATCAGGGCAAAACATCGCATCTCCAGGAACAGTAACAGAGAACAGGTATGCACACAGGACTTGTAAAGGTAGAAGATCATCTAATAGACAGCAGAAGGGTTAATAATTATCAAACTGCGAGCCCATGAAGTAACAGATCTGTGACACCAGAGATTCCTAAAAAATCGTGTTGCTGCATGCGTATTAGTGTGCGCTGAGCATGGCAGGGCATGTCACCTGAGCCAGGATTTTGGGGTCCTGCCAGGGGCCGGCATCATCCAGCAGAGTTGCCTTTGAAGTGCCTCCCAGGTACTCTGGCAGGCTCTCTGCGTCAACCCACTTCAGCAGAGCCGGCACAAAGTCCCTTGGGCACACCTGCAGCACAGCCAAACACTGTCAGTGTGCAAGCTCATGAAGCAAATTTGCACTCCTAACACACAACGACACACAGACAAGCATCCACACGAATGACCTGTCTTGTTTCATATGATGCAGATCATGTCAGATATGCACTCAGAAGCTCAATTTCACGCGCAAGCTTACTTGCAAGAGCCTAAATGACTGGCGCACGGCCCGTATGCCCTGTCTGGCACGTCAGCCGGCTGAGCGAGACTGAGCAGAGAGCAGAGGTGCCAGGACAGGCAGCTACTCACGCACCTCAACTTTCTCCTGGGTCTTGGGGTCGATGAAGGAGCGGATAGCCTGCCAGACGAACTTGAAGATGCTGGGGGCATTGATGATGCATGTGTGGCCCAGCATCTCCGGGTAGTTGTTCTGGTCTATGGACATAATCCGGCTCAGCATCCTCTTCACCTCCCCTGTCAGGTGCTTCAGGCCCACGCCTGCGATGTAAACAATAACGATTTCACAACACACCTTGGAGATCTTCAAGCACCTTGCACATTCCATTCCTCTCCAAGTGCTGGGTCTCAATGCAAAGCGAACCAGGCAAACAGATCATGCTGTCCAACGCTCTTTACAGAGATATTATGAGACATGCTGCGGTCCTTGGACCGCAACCTGCCCACAAGAACACAGAGTAGAGACAAAACCTACCACTCACGGATCTGCAAAGAGCATGCTGCAGTCCTCGATGGAAACCTTGTACAAAGTATGCTTGATTTTCATAATACTCTGAGGCGGAGTGTCTACGCGGAGCGCACCCTTGACATCGATGATGGCGAATGTCTGGTCAATGTGGTGGCCTGCGACGAGGCTGCAGGCAGGCATGATGACGCGAGCGCAGCGCTCGTACTCCTGCACGTGGAACTTGATCATGCGCTCCTCAGTCGTCACCGCCTCCAGCTTCTTGTAGTTTATTGCCCCCAGATGCTGGATGTAAATCGGCCGCCCCTGCGCGCGCATTGCATGCACCGGCTTCAAGGGCCTGTTCTGAATGCCTCTATCTTGGACTTCATGGAGCTTCCAATGCATGCAGGATACAAAATGCACTGTGTTGTATTAGCCCTGCAGGAATATGCAAGTGGAGTCTCAATGCATGCAGGGTGCAGAGGAGCACTCACAAATTTGTCCGTCTTGTGATAGCCCTGCGGGTAGAGTGAGATGAAGGCATCGCGCTCCTGGAAGTGGAAGTCGTCCAGGATGGTGTCCACGCCAAACTCAGCGCGCCATTTCATGCTGGCAGCGTACATCTCCTTGGCGCGCTTGAGGTCATGCTGACGCGCACGCAGGAACCGCCGCAGGAAGTAGTTATCTGTGCATAATAAGTTATCAGCCAAGGCTGGAGTGCTCACTGCCGGCTCGCAGCAAAGTAGCTTGGGGGCGAGGCGAGGGGAGCGCAGTGCAGCGAGGCGGAACAGATGCGCACTCGACTATCTCCCGTTGCCACCACATGCCGATAAACGTAAGAAGACAAATTGCTATAGCACATATCTAATGTGCGCATTCAACTTCTCATGGAACACTCGCTCTAAGAATAGCAAGACTCTCAAGATGGGTCACGCACCAGTATTGGGGTTGTAGATCCCAGCCCTCTTCAGCTCGTCCTTGAAGAGTTGCAAGAGCTCCTCCTGAAAGAGTAATTCACAGTTCCATCAGTGCTAATGCACCTGATCCTGGTTTGGTCCAGCCTTGGCACAAGGGTGGGTGTCAGGTGAAGACGACAACAATTTTCAACCTCGTCGAGCACAGTGACTTGCGAAGTGTTTGTGATGACTAAGAACTTCGAGTGTACTGCGCCGAAACCGTTTGAGTATCTGGAGGATGACATAGTCAAGGTACTGCAGTTCTGTCCTTTCCTTGACCTGCAGGTCGTTTGCAATTCCTCCGAGACCCACCTCCTTGGCTGGTGATATTCCCCATTCCTTCTTGAAGTTCTCCTCTTCAGCGGAGCAAGGCGCCTCATGGGTTTTGTGCTTTCTGAGGGAACCCTTGAGGGAATTCGACCTCAACCTTAAACTCAAACTGCTTTTCCGCTCCAGACCAGACTTATCCTCCTCGTCAGGCGTAGATTGCCGGTTTACTTTTGGGGACATCCTGGGGAGCTCAATCTACATGTGCGGTCCTATCTCAGTCAAGACCCATTGTGCACAACGCTGAGCCCCTCTGCAGAAGCGCCCTCCCTCCGTCCTAGAGGCTTGGCTTCAACGCTGGCAACCACTTTGATCTATACGAGTGGTAGGAATATGCTTCAAGTCAATGATGATATCACTCGTCGCCCGATGAGCATCACTCGTCGTGCAGCATATTCACAGAATAAGTATGAGAACCCCGATACACGACCCGAGAAACGACGCTAAAAGAAGACATAGTTACGCGTCACTTACTTATATTCAACGTAATTCAAGACGTGCACGATAATTCTTGGTCGATGCATTGCAGTTCGAGAAACATGGCTCCTCAGGAACGCCACCGAATGGGTACCACCGGTACCTCTTCTACAGCAACTGATCATGCTATCCGCATTAAGCCTAAAATCCCGTAACAACGATGCTAACAGTGAATATATTCGCATGATGTTTGTCTTGGAGGAGAAGAGCGTTGGATGCTTGCTTGCACGCGACTGCCAGCCTTTGCAGATCCACAGATCCAGTGCAAGATGTAAAAGGCGAAATGATCTGAAATTTCAGAGGTGGAGAAGTGGGCTTCAGTCTTGCCGCAATGTGACAAGATGCAGTCTTTCACAACGCAATGCAGCAGATCAAGGTGATTGTGGGTCGGCCTCTCATTGGTGTGACGGTTATAACGTTTTATTCTCTACAGGTCCTAATATGCTTGAGCAGTGTCTTATTACATTGATTCCTTGCAGCCCCCCCACCAACAAAGAGAATCCCAAGGACAGCCATCCGCATGGCTGTCCCAAGCAAGGGCCGCATGGCTGAAGACACTATCCAGTTGTTAAAGGTATGCAAACACTGGCCTCTAGTAAAACGCAAAGTTCAAAGATCGCCCTCCTTTGGGCTTTACTGGAGCAGGCTGTCAAGAAGCACATTCATCAGCAGTGCTTGTGCGCTGTGCAGGACTGCCAGCTGAGCGTGTACAAGCCAAATCCCAGACAGTACATCGCCAGCATCTCGCAGGTACGCGTAAGACGGCATCTGCTTTGTGCAGACTGATGGGGGATCCTGAGGGAAGTTGCCCATCCCAGGGGCTGTATCTGTCTGTAACTGCTTGGTGCAACTAGGCTTCCTGTTGTAACTCCCCACGGGGACCATGCACATTTGCCATTGCAACGTTGCAAGCAGCGATGCAGCATCTGTGCAGATTGAGCTTGAGGTCATGTCACATGCGTGTGCAGATGCCAGGCCTGGAGGTCTGGTTCCAGCGCGCGTCAGACGTTGTGCGCAAGCTGATGTACGGCGACGTGGACTTGGGCATCGTCGGCTATGACATGTATGCGGAGATTGCGCACGGCGACTCCGGCCTCATTGTGCTGCACGACTCGCTCGGATTTGGCAAGTGCCACCTGGGCCTCGGCATCCCTACCGGCGGCAAATGGGCTGACATCAACTCTATCGATGATCTGCGCCGGTGCGAGGGACCTGCTCTGTCTTGGCATGGTTTGAGTCAGTTTCACATGGAAAGGGGCTTGCGGCATTGGTGCATAGAAGGCAACATTTCGCACAACATGCAGTTGGATGGGGATGATCATCTGTATTGTCTCCGGGGAATTCTAAGAAATGACAAGCCATGCTTGCATGTTGGACGGCCGGTCCTTAGACGGGGGAGTGTCTTAATAAGGTGGCCCCTTTGTTTTGCAGGATGCCAGTGTCTGAATGAGGTGGCCCCTTTTTTTTGCAGGATGCCAGAGTGGAACGAGACCAACCCCTTGAGGGTGGTGACGGGGTACCACAACGTTGCGCGCAAGTTCTTCTCGGAGCAGGGCTTCGAGCACGTGGTGCTGCTGAGCGCTGACGGTGCGCTGGAAGCCGCCCCGCTCATGGGCACCGCTGACATCATCCTGGACCTGGTGCGCGCCCTCATTTCCCCTGTTTCCCCATTCTTCCAGGCGGGTGTCAAATATTGCCTCAATGATCCTTCCTTGTCACACACCGGCACCCTTCATACTTGCTGAGGCTACTCTTCTGCAAAAAAACTATAACCCTGCAAGGCTCCGTTTTTTTAACCCTTGAGATATATGTGTGCATCTTTGCATGCTCGATCCAGGCATTGCTGGGCAGGACCGGCCGTTTGCGTGGGACTCATCTGTTGGAGCTCTCTGAAAGTCCCATGTCAGGCAGTTGTGGCTTGAATAAGCCCGCACATGCCATGGCCTCGGCCCTCTCCCAGTGCAACAGAGTAATGCTGTTGTGGGCCAATGTAGGAAAAGTGTAGGTGGGAAGCTGAAATGGGTGATTGATTTGTGTAGGTGAGCACAGGGGTGACCCTGCGGGAGAACAATCTGAAGGAGATCGAGGGTGGGCGCATCGTGGACAGCCAGGGCGTTCTGGTGGCCAACAAGCGCGCTCTGCGAGAACAGCCGGGCCTCCTGGCAGTCGTGCACGAGCTCATCGAGCGCCTGGAGGTGCCCTGCCCTTTCTCGCTGCTCAGTGCACCCTTGAGTTTGGTCTCACCTTTCTCTAGCCCCGGTCTTGTGATTTCGTGGTGGGGGTTTAGGGGATTGGGAAGGGTTCTTGTGTGTATATATCTCTGCCAGTGCACGGAGTATGCTGCCTGCCATGCCGGGCTCAAGCATTTGAGCAACTTCCAGTGGGGCTGCGCTTCCTGTAGCTTCGTTTGGGAAAAGGAGTGCTGTGAGGTGCTGGTTTTGTGGGTAAGTTCGGTAGCGTGCTGCCCCCCACCGCACAGGGCACATGTTTTTCTGTCAACCTGATCTTCCGCATGCATAATGCTCTGCTGAAGCTCAGCATGGCAGGCAACATTCTTCTTGCGACTGCGCTTCCTGTGGCTTTTCTGTCAGAACAAGCGTGCTGTAAGGTATTGGGGTGATTGTGATTGTATTATCAGGGAGAAAGCCCTCCTGGCGAGCAGAATCAAGCTGAAGCAGAGCCGGTATTGGGTGAGAGAGATTGACCTAAATTAGGCATCTCTACTGGTGTGCAGGCGCATTTGAAGGCAGAGAACTACTACAGTGTCGTTGCCAACATGCGCGGAAGCTCGCCGGGGGAGGTCGCCCACAACATCCTCTCCAGCGATGGCCTGAGAGGCCTACAGGTACCATTTCCCTATATGCTATGCCAAATTTGAGAATTTGACTGGCAGTTGCTCTTATGATCAGTCCTACCATGCCTCCATCGGCAAATTACTTGTAATCCATTATTGGCCCAGAGATTCTTTAGACCCTTATGTGGTTGTGCTGTAGGGGCCCACCATCACCCCTGTGTACTCAATGGACCCTGACAGCAACGGCAGTGGGGCAGCAGAGTCCCCATCCCTGTACTCAGCGACCATCTGTGTGCCCAAGAAGCGCCTCTACAAGTCTATCAAGGATTTGCGAGCGGTGCGCCTTTCTGGTCTTGCTCAAATCAGGGGGCTTCAAAATAAGCCCCTGCTCAATTGCAGGCAACATGGTGACATCAAGCAGAGGTGTCTGTGTTTTGACCGCATGAACATCGCCAGTCACGTACAGTGCGATGAAAGAGCAGGCGCACTCCTGTCGGCGTGGCTTGGCTGTAATGTTTCTCGAGAGCTCTGTCTAGCTATTTGACGATGGCTAATGGGAGCCTGCGTGGTGCAGATTGGAGGGAGCGGAGTCCTAGTGCAGCCCATGACATACATCTTTGATGAGGAACCAGAAAGGTGGCAGAAAGTGCTAGCAGCTCTTGACATTGACATAGGAGACCCTCTGCTCGCCAGTCTTGAGCCATAGTTTGGTGTTTGCACCAAGAGCCTGGGTCTCAATGCTCAACAATTTGTGGGACGGTCATAACGTCGCATCAATTGTACATTTAGATATATTGTAACCTTGCTTTCTTCAGGGATCATTGATTCCCAATGGGGGTGCACGGTGGAAGTGCCAGATCACCTTCTGCAGCTGCGCAGCTGCATGCACCATACCAACTGCCTCAAGACATGTGTAAATCACTGTTTATGCTCGTTCCTCGTGGCATGCATGTGTATTTGTGCTCTACAGATCTTACGAAAAGCCCAATTTTTGTCTAGATTGAGTTACATCTCCCCATTTCTGTCTATGCCATGTGTGTGACCCCATCTTTGGGGCAAAGGTATGGTATATCCGATACATCCAATTCAATTATCTGGTGACCCCTCGCACACTCCCACTCATGCACTCTCAACAAACTTCTTTATATACATCATGATCACCTGCAAATTCATATCAAGTTGACCGCAGAAGCAGCGGTGTGCGGGCTTCAAGCTTGCCGGCAAGGCCCTAGCTGCACTAAATACCTCATTCGATTGTGAATATGCCTACATGACATACAGGGCATTAGCACGCCTGACAATAATGGCACGCATCCAAATTGGATCTGGATACAGCCAGCCCTGCGACAGATGAGTTGCAGCTGGCCACGAATGCGCATCCATGCTGCGCAGCGTTAGGTTGCCATCAGAATGAAATTGGTTGCACCACTTGGTGGTGAGACTTGTAAATCGGCAGCGACAAGACTCACCACAGAAGCAAGAGTGGTCAATGTCCACCCCCACAGAAGCTTCGTCAGAACCTCGCTCAAGAGACACCACACGGCTGGTAGAAGCAGACACCCAAGGATGTCTGTAAGTGTCATCTTGAGAAAGTCAGTGAATGCACTGGCCGGAAAGTATGATGGCGACAGCAAACTATGTGTTGGCAGGCGGCTCATATAGGCAGACGCAGTCGTAGACATTCCCACCAAAGAGTCTCTCTGCCAGGTGCTGGTTCTTGATCATCGCCAGCTTGAGCGACGCACACTTGAATTTGGACCTGCACATCAAAATCAGGATGTCAGACCTTGGGCCAAGAAGCGTGGCATTCATGTGTGCATTCCATGACAAGTTGAGGTAATCTGGCACTTGCAAGCTTGACATCCATAATCTAGAGGCTCTGGAATATTGATCTTCTCGGCCTGACTGACACCAAACGTGCAGAACATTCCAAATAAGAGCAAGTACTGTGACAGCACACATTTGCAATTGAGAGTGTAAACAAGCCGAACAATCTTGCTTGCGTTGCGTCACTGGAAGCAGAGCACTACATGATAAGAATGCTAGAACAGGTGCGGCTCGTCGCCAACCAAGCTTTTAGGAGCACAGAAAGTACAAGCTGCAGTACCTGTAATTGGTGTGGATTGCGCGGCCCATGCCCTCAACGACGACAAGATCTGTGCCCACAGTGGCGTCCGCGAGCGCCTCTGGCACTCGGCGCAGGTCGAGGCATGGGCTGCCCTGACCATTGCCGCACACGTACAGCCGCGCCTCCCTGACAAGGCAACCAGGCACATCAAGAATATCGTAATCAAGACAATTTCAAGGTATCTGCTGGAGCCGTCCATTCCTTGCCAGCTATCGTTCACACCATTGCAAGATTACATAGCAAGAGAACAAGGAGGTGCATCCTGACGGAACATCCCCTCACTTATTTTTCCCAAGTTGGAACATGCAAGACAAAGTGCTGATCCCCGCGATCTCTTGTAAGAAGTGCAAAGAGTAAAATGCAACACCCAAATGGTCAGGTGTTCAGCATTGCCGATGGCGAGGCAGGGCAGTGACCTGGTGCCAGGTGGCATCTGCGCGCGGCCGGGTGACTCATCGCGTCCGTGCTCGAGCGCAGCTGGGGAGCTGGCAGACAGCATGCCCTGCTCCATGAGGCGCCCTGAGGAGGGAACGCGTCTGCGCAGGCCCGGGTAGGACGGCACGCTGCTGCCACTCTCCCTCTCCGCCCGCTGCGCCGCCGCCCGCGCTGCCTGCAGCTCGCAGAGATACGAAACACTGGTTAAAGCGTCCTTTACAAACATAAATAGTCCGCAATAAGCACCATTGTCTGCTGCTTGCCGTGGAAATCAGCATTACATCTTGTCCTGTCGAGCAAGGCGGTAATCTAAGTTTCTCTTTGGGCTCCTGTTGGCACCAACTGAGAATTTCACCGCCAACGGAGGATCCGCCTTGCAGTTTTTGCTCGAGATCTATTGCCAGTTAGGCCAATGCCACATAGCTGCAGCAGCAACATCAAGCAGATCAGGGCTGGCAGCGCACCTTGATGACGGGGCAGACGGCGGCGACTTGATTGAGCAGGGCGCGCAGCTCCGGCGCGGTGATGTCATTGATTGCCGGCTGGCTGTTGGCGCACATGACCACCTCCGCGCCCATTCGCAGCAGCTCCCGCGCAAATGGGATCATCCCCAGCACTATGTCCGCGCCTGTCACCACAACAGTCATTCAAGCATTGATCTATCCGAGGAAAGCTTAGCAAGAACCACCTAAGCCTCCTCACAGCAACCATTGCAAGGCATGCTGCTTGCACCATCAAGTTGAGTTGAAAGGGTAAAAGTCTGTGCTGGCTTTCTCAATAAGCGCAAGCAGTGCAGTGTGGCCTCAGGAGAGGTGTCGTGGAAGGTGATAAGAATGTGAGGCATGCAGATATTTGGCGCCCGCCGGAAATATGAGGAAGAAGGCATGCCTGCATTATCGACGAACATGATGACTCGCCGGAAGGGCGAGCGGGGGACTGCGCTGGACTCGCCGAGCGTGTCGGAGCTGCTGGCACCAAACCAATTGGCTGCCAGGGCATCGAATGTGTCCACTCTCCACGGACGCCGAGACAACTTCGTCCTGGCTTCCCTGCACCGATCACCGCATGGAGTCACATGCTGCACTTCCTTGGCATCTCCCTTGCACAAATGGGATGCTTGAATCTGATTGGAAAATGTTGGCGCCGGTGCTTCTGTGCCGGCTGGTCTTCAGCGGTCTTTGCAATTCCTGGTCTTGTAATAGTGGATACTGGGTGAACAATGCCCTGTGAACGGGAGAGACTGGTCTGAAGTCTTACCCCAACAATCCAAGATACTTACAGGACGAGACAAAAGCAGGAACGAGCCACAACCAAATGCTCCGCCAAAAGAGATGCTCTGAAAGGGCACAGGGTCTGTCATGCGCGCACCGGTAGATCTCAAGGATGGTGCCGTTGTGGTAGAGGTCCACACAGGCCTTGGCGCCCCAGTCGAATATGTTGGCCGCGAGGCAGCCCTCTATCAGCGCTGTCAGCCGCGGCGCCGGCGCCATCCCATCCAGCTCTGTCAGCAGATCTGGAAGCACCTCCAGCGCTGCTGCATTCTCGCGTGCCTTGTCCAACCTGCAACACAACATTGCCGCCTTCAGGCAGCATCCGGCTTGCATCCTTTATACCCGCAGATCAGCCTTCCCAGGCTTTGCTCAGAGCAGCAGTGTACTGTTGCGGCAATGTCCTGCAAAAATCCTTTGCAATTAAACCAACCATCAATCTGCCCTGCATATCAAAGGCAACTACCAGAGCTCGGCACATAAAACTGCTTGGGAGTTAAGCAATCCCTCACATGACTTCACATGCTCGTAAGCAGTGCGTGAGTAAATATCAGCCCAGAAAAGTGAGATTCAGGGGCAGGGCAGCACCTGTAGACATCGGTGAAGCGGAACTCTCGCAGGCAGTCCTCGCGCATCTCCAGCAGGTCAGACAGGCCCAGCTGCCCGTACGCGCCCGGCTCGCTGCGCATCTTCACCAGGTGCGCCTCAAGCGCACGGCCAAAAGCCGCTGCCCGCCTCCGCCCATCTGCGCACGGATCAGGGTGACCATCAGCTGTGAGCATGCAGAGAAGATGCCTTGGTGATATGCACATCTCTACTGCGGAGATCGCAGCCTTGCATGTGTGTCCCATACATCATACATCAGCATGACACCTTTGCCACGAGTCCAGGCTATCCGATACATGCATTTCCGATGAGTGTGATCTGCATGTCTTTCACACCATCTGCAAATAATGCGCATTGCACTTCTTGGAGTGCTCTTCTTGTTTCAATGCCAGGCTGCCTGCATGCTAAGCAGGAACATCAGAGAGTGAATCCATTATAAATATGGGCGCAAGGCAAGGCGCGTACCGGGCTGGCCGTCACAGGCGGCCGCCTTTTCCACAACGGTGCCGACTTGGTCCAGGAGCACGCCCAGCCAGTAGTCCATCTCGGCGCGGTCGCCCCAGATGTCCAGCGTGTCCGGAGTGTAGTGCACCGCGTCCGCTAGCAGCGGGAAGGGCTCCCTGCGCGCACTAGCTCACCTCAACCAAATACCAAACCGAGAGATTTTGCAACCTCACAAGTGCATCGGTCACGCATGTGCATCCCAATATCATATGTGGGAGAAATTCTGGAGACCAAAGACAACACTAAAAATGGGAATTCTCACAAGTGACAGGAAATGGCTTTAATGTCCTCAGAACATTTTTATCAGGCCACGCTTGGCTCTGCACATGGAATGCTACCACAAAGCCTGCCGGGTCTCCTCTCAAGAGGCCCTGCACTGCAGCTGTCATTAATAAGAGCCCTGATAAGGAATACCAGTGGCGCACCTGGAGGGTGTGTAGTGCAGCACGCCCAGGTGCAGATTCATGCGCGGCATGGGGGATGATGAGGGCGAGGGGGACTCGGGAGCCAGGAAGTCTGAGCCGCTGCTGTCTCGTGACAGCCCCATGCCCGCCTGCGCCCTGCACAGCCCATACAGGGAAATACTTGTGACTGCAGGTGACTAAAAGGAATGTGTGTAATAGAATTGAATTGATGTAGCAAACAACTGCACATTCAGCCGATGTCAGAATGCGGAATTCGACCAGGGCAGTGCATGCTATCCGGCAAAGGACTAATGCTTCCCATGAGACACGTTCAAGATGCTTGTGACTACTACTCTCCTCCACCAACCGCGCTTGATGCGTGACTTCCTCAGCTGATCCTGCTGCTTTCTCGGCCACTAACGGCGCGGTAAAAGTAGCTGCGAAAGCAGCCAGACAACCAAGAGAAGTAATGGCATGTGCGGGATTGCTGGAAGAAAGAGCGCACAGATTTTGAGGGGCCGGAGCCAGCACAGAGCACACATACCGCAGCCCTTTGTGTGGTATAGTAGACAAAAGCATCCGCCCACCTGTCGCGTTCGGAGCGCGCAGCCTCGGTGGCTTGAGTGCCTAGGCGCACAAAGCGCTCCACCCAGTCGACCTTCTCAGCCACGTCGCTGAATGCCGGCCCATGGATCTCACCGCCAGAGTATGGCGCGCCCATGCTGAAGCGCTCCACAAAGTTCGCACGCACCTGATGAATGCCATAGCAAGCGTCACACCATGCCACCCACAAGTACTGTGTGAATGCAGATGTAGCGACTGACAGATGCCTTGGGTGGATAGGATCACAGTGAGTTACTGTATTCCCTGAAAAGAGTGGGTGCAAATGATCTACTCCATTAAGACTTGAACATGTTCTCACCAGCACATGGCAGTGCTGTATCAGTCATACTGCCAGCAGGATAGCTTGCAGCGCACCTTGCGAGGTTCGCGCGAGCCAGTGGACGCCTGGTTGGGTGGGGTCATGGGGTGGACCTTCAGGAACGCGCCCACAGCGCCTAAGAACCCCTCGTGCCTCAGAAATTTGGCCGACATGGAGCCCTGAAATGCAGACAGGCCCTTCAGGCAAACGTTTGATCTTCCAGGCTATACACTGGTACATGTTGCACCCTGCACGTGCCTTTAAGAGAGCTGCCTCTCTGAAGGTGCGTTGTTGGCCATCTTGCACATACATTCCCGCTGCAGAGTCCACTCCTGCGCTGACAGGGAAGAAATTATTGTCACCTTGGACCAGAAGCGGATGGCGTAGGAGATGGTCTCCATGGTGTAGGGGTGGCCGCGGATGTAGAATCCCCCAAAGAACACGCGCTGGATGCCATAAGCCTTGGCATTGAGGTAGGCCAGGTGGCTGATGTTGTAGGACACCATGCGCGTCAGTGCGACGGCGATGTCTGCCGGGTCATAGTCCTCCAGGTCCTTATTCTCGGCCACCACTTTGCCGAAGGAAGATGCGATGGTGCTGGCTGACAGCCCAATTGCGCTGTAGTCACGGTCTCCGTAGATGTCACCCACCAGCATGTCCACCTGCATACATCACTTCATGCGCGCTCACAACCTGCACATGCCCCCAAATGACTAATATCTTCTCCCTTCTACAGAAGGCGCCCAACAGACACAAGATTGTCCTGGCACTTTAGTACCTGGCACCCGCACACATGACTTGGCTGCTCAGGTGGCAGCATGAGGAGGTTTCCTGCAGTGATGCAAACCCACCTTGGAGTTGTCGCCACGGCTGCTCAGCTCAAGCATCTCGTCGAAGGAGCGGCACTTGGTGAGCAGGCGGCAGAGGCCCCAAAAGGTGCCCCCTCCCAGGGAGGACCCAGACACGCGCTCGTACTGGCCATCACCGTCCACTTTGAGCATACTCACTCCCGAGCCGATGTTCACCAGCAGATACGGGTAGAGGTCCTGATCAGCTGCACCCGGTGCACACATTTGATTAATGCATGAATTGTCTTGCCATAAGGGAGCTACATCACAATTCTGAACAATGCCCAAGGTTGTGGCATGCTGAAATTTGGAGGACCATTGCAAGCACAGGAGGCAAGGAGGGGAGCGCACTGTTGGAGGGCGCAAAGATGGTCTGGCTATTCTCGTACATGAAGGCCTCGTGGCGGATGGCCTTGAGCAGGAAGTTGGAGCCGCTGACCAGGCAGTCCATCTCATCCTCCTTCTCCAACAGCACCCCCAGCCGCTCCTGCAAGCATGCAATTCTTCTAAGGTTGCAGAACACGATATGATGATCCTTTCAAGTGGATAACACTTCCCAAACCCATGCAGGAGGTGTTTGTGCCTTGAGACGAAACATACTGCAGCTCTGGACAAGGCACTGTGCACACCTTTTATTTGTCGACATGCAACTCATATATGTTGGCAAGAAATGGCTCTCGCAACTTTTCCAACGAAAATGTGCATCTTGGAAACATCACATGCATGATGAAACTTGATCCATGAACACTGCAGCGGTGATAAAGAAGGTGCAGCAGCACCTCAAATTTGTCGGCATATTTGAAGGCGCCGCCGCCGGTGGCGACAATGCGCACGCGGCCGTCCGGCTCGCCCTTGCCGTTGTGGGTGCGGTGCAGCCCCTTGGCCTCAATGAAGTCGATGCAGTCGTCAATGCGCTGCGTCTCAAACTTCACAAAGTGGATCTTGCCTGCGCACACCACACAAGCTTGATAATCAGCATGCTGCTTGTGAGGACACCAGAAATGACACAAGAAATTTGTAAAATCCAACTTGTTTGTCCAGGAGACTCCCGATTGTCCCTTCTGAGAACAAGAATGCTTCCTGAATTGCACGAAGGAGCCTCACCTCCGGCCTGATTGCGTGTTTTGCCATTCTCCCAGCCCTCAGCCTGGGTGTCCTCAGGTGAGAAGTACACCAGCTTGATGAGGGAGCCTCCTATGTCTATGGCGATGTGGCTGATAAACTCTGCGTTTTGGTGAGGAAGCACAATGCTGGGTGCATCCCTTCGCTTTGGGTCTGCAGCAGATCAGTACCACCCCTCAAATTGGCACTCACACCATCGTTACAGTCACCCCTGGACCATAACATGCATGGGTGCACTCATTGCCTTCATACAGCGCCATCTCTTTGTGTCTCCAACACACCGAAGTCCACATGGATATAGCTGCAAACCTGTCTGCAAGCTGATGACTGCGTCGGTCAGATCCAGAGCAGCTGATCGCTTTGATGGTGAGCCAGGGGCGTCTGCTGCGCTATCTTGCAGCTGAACACCGCTGAAGGGCGAGCTTCCAGGTGGACAGGAAGCGGCTGAGGTGCCCTGCCAAGGAGGGTGAGCCATGGGTGAAGATCCAGATCAGCAAGCTCTCTGTCAATTGCAATTCAGACATGTAGAGATCGCCAATGCAGATTTGAGCACTACCCCAGCTTCACAAGAGGGGATGTGGTGCCCCACTGTGTAAGGACAGCCAACCGACATGAAGAGAGAGGGGTACCAACCTTCATAGGCGGCACCATACCGTCGCTCTCCATGATTTGCTAGGAATGTTTCCTCTTCTATAGTTGTTATTCGCTACATACGCCTCCCAGCTCAGAAAAGTCTCATGCACAGGCACATCTGCACATAGTCGCGTGGGAACAGGCAGACACACTTCATCAAAGGACCTGAATCGGGGTAGATACTGATGAATGTCTCGTATGTTCCAATTCCCGCTAAAATATTCTTGATTTTTAGCATTCCGAATACAAGACGCGTGTTTTCTGCAACAACTGAACTTTCGAGAAGCGCAGCACGAGCTCAAATCAAGTCTGACACCTGCCTAAGTGAGTCCCTATGAGTGTTTGCGGTGGCAATTGCACACAGGAGCATTAGATCCGACATGGAAATTCCTTACGTTGGAACGATGAGTCATGCTCAGCTGCAGGCCGCATGCCCAGGACATGATCAAGGAAGAATTCCACTCCACCAGCGACTGATGTCTACTGCAAAAATGTAGGCAGAAAATGTTGAACATCAGTCTAGGTTAGCTGGTCGACAGCTGGTATTCATTCTTGGTTTGATCAAGTCTGCATGGTGTGATCAGAAACTCCTTCTGGACGCAAGCTGGTATTTATCGATGCACAATCAAATATGGGCAACCTTAATCACTCTGTGACTCCTAATGCGACATTTGATGGGTCAGCGTAGCCAATTGGGGAAGCAGTGTTGATGGTTCAAGTCGAACAACATGCAGATCACAAGACGGAAGATCGACAATGTGAATAAGCCCTCAGCCGACGAAGAGCCTGAAGAGGTTGAAAAGGTTGACCTGCCCAAGGAAGAAGTGGCTGCAAAGAGAAGGGGTCTGTTCTCCATCTTCTATACACCTTGATGAGTGCTGAGCTGATCATCGTCCCTTGGAAATTACCACCTCCCCACATCACATGACGTGCAGCATGTTCGTGCGATGTACGACTACGTGCAAAGTACTGACGCTGAGCATTTGTGCATATTTCCAGGGATAAGATGGAGCCTGGTGCTCCCCTTCATTCTTTTGGGAGCAGTGGTGGGATTATTTGTGCCTTTGAGCACTCCAGGTGATCCACTGAAAATGCACAGTGTCTTTCTTGTTGCCCGTCCCCCAAAATGGCTTATTTTGACGCCCAGATGCCTACACACGCAAACACCTACGCGCCTTTATTATTATCTATTCAGGCGAGCCTCACGTGGTTGTAGCCCCCAGCTAAGCAATTATTTTTGGGGTCACAGTGGCCAATCATCCTGCAGTCCGCCCTTTCAAGGCAGAGCTGCTCTGCAAATTGGCCCAATTTCAAGGCGACTACGCCGACAGGATGCTGTGGGGGACATATCGACCTGGCCTCTACCTGGGTGTGCATTATGCTCCCACCATCTCTCCGAATTGTATGCCTTTCTGCACGCATGCACCATGCACGGTGCACTTTGCAAGATGCACGGAAGATACATGAAGTTGCTGAAGGCCAAAACTAGTGGGCGACCTGTGTGTGTACTTTACCTATGCAGGAATGCAGACAAGGCATCCCCGACCGCTTGTGGCGGGATTGATGTGGTTTGATCCTGACCAGCCCCAGCCTCTGGAGAAGATTCGGCACCTTGCGCAGGAGCGGGATGGTGCGACTCCAATCTTTGTTGGCTTGTGTGGCTTGTCAGGCCAGAAGAGCCACCTCCAGCACTTTACTTTAAGCTGAACTCAATGTATGCTTCTCTATGTGGTCAATCATCAACGGGATCAATGATGCTCATCCTGCCTCTTGTTCTCGGCAAAAAAAATTACTCTTTGAGGCTTCGCAACAAAACGCATTAAGCACTGCATCGGTGTGATGATCTGATGTGGAGTGCATCGTGCTGCCTTCAGGACTGCAGAAGTATGGGTGGGAAGCACATGATGGGGAGTCTTTTGGGAGGCAGGAACTGTATGATGGCAATGTGCACCTGACCACTTCCTTTGCAAAGAAATTCTGCGAGGTGGGGACATAACTAGTACGGCTGGTGGATTTGGGCATGCAATTAGAAAGGTGCATCTGCAAGGGACACTTCAATTTCACATGAGTTCACATGACAGAAGGGTGCTGTCTGCAGGGTTGTACTGGTGGGGATTGGGCACTGAAAGTGGGCGCCAAGGCTATCAATGATAGCCTCTCAGAGGCTCCTCAGCGGATATCTCTCCTCTTTTACATTGCCGATGCACGGGTGAGATGGCCGTTGTAAACTGCACAGCTGAACTTGCACTCAAGAAAGTTCCATGATTGCTCTGTCCTTCAGTTGTGTGATATGGGGTGCCTGCCAACATCTTCCATCCTGTGGCACCTTGATCACCTCGACGACAGTCTTTGTCATGTTTTCTATGACTGGACATCCAGGTGAACAGCACCAGCGTATCAATGTGATTTTGCTGGAAGAGCATGCGAATGCAAGGTGTGCTCACAGGCGGGGATTTCCACATTGAACGTCCTACCTGACGGACTGCCTTCTGGGGCGGACATGCAATTGGCGGCAGGGGAGAGTGAAGTGGTTGGAAGCTGGGCTCTGCACATGCACGATGTTTCGGGCAAAGGTCCGGTCAAGTACCATGCACCACTGCATGTGCGCAATTGCCTATCTGGGGATACCAGCGATGCAAGATCTCTTCTCTTACTGCTGCCATGTGGCCCTGCAGGGAGGAACACCGCCAAGTTGAGGCACTTAGGGGCGCAGACAGCGCACTTTCACAATCTTACCACGACTCTGGTTGATGAGCTGGCAGAGTCTGTCACAGTTGAGGTGCCAGCGAAGCGGCGTGGAGGCAGCAACGGGAAAAGGGAACGCCACCAGCTGAGCGACACTGTAGATGCTGTCCCCAACCTGGCTGTCTTCCAGGTCACCGCAGAATTGCCACTCTCACTGGACTTTGTTTTCACTGGGTCATTACCACCCAGCTCTCAGGTAAGTTTCCTCTATCCTTACTTCTTTAATTGCCCAGAACAATCAAAGTTCAAGAGCAGCATTCATCCATTTTCTCGCTGGCAAGCCATCCATCTTTTGGTTGTCAAAGTGCTCAAGCGACACTTGAGGTTGACGGACATTTCATGTACGAAATCTTCACTTTGAATGTGTCCACAGGGCGTATCTCAGATGCTCGGCACGGCCGCGTCAGGATTGTGGAGGTCACTAGGCTCATTGAGGCGGTCTTTGCCATACTGTATAACTGATCTGCCAGTCTCAATTGCAAAGGAGCCTCTCCTGCAGCGTGTGGCTGCTTTGTCTGGTAAGTGCCAATTCCCATTGCTTGGACTGTGCAATATTTGTACCTCGCTTACATTTTGCAGTCTCCTTGTTGTATTCAGATGCCCTGCGCATGTGCATACAGCAATTTGGTGGTGTGCATGCAGACATTTGCATGGTCCCCTTTTGCAACTTTTGTGCAGGGAGCAGGCTGACACAGCTTCTAAGGGAGCGTGAGGATGCTTTTGACGCTCGCTTCAGGAAGACTTTTGGATCCTTCACTTCCGGAGCACCTGCAGGTCGGTGGCCTTCAGTTACTTGTGACCCAATTATTGTTCATTAGGCACGCCTATCCTGGTGGCAAGGGGAAGATTGCATCACCGTGTCCGTCTTTAGGCCTTGCACTATTTTCTTTGCTGTTTATTGTTGCAGGGGCACTCATTGTTTGTATGGGTTTATTGGGTACTTCTTGTCTGCATTCTAAACTATACCTTGTCATGAAAGCAATCCCTGAGCTGTGTTTAGTGAGCAACCTTCTGAGAAATACCCAACCAGAGCGTTTTGCCTAGGGAAATTTGACGAAATACTGTTTTGGTTGCAGGCACGGATGTTGTGAGCAAGGCGGCCCTTAGCAACACCCTTGGCGGCATAGGCTATTTTTTCGGATCTTCAGAGGTAAAGTTGCCAGATCAGGGCAACAAGATTGTGAGATCGTGGCCTGCCGCCCTGTTCACTGCTGTGCCCAGCCGCTCCTTCTTCCCCCGTGGCTTCATATGGGACGAGGGCTTTCACCAAGTATGCTCTTTGCCCCAATACCTTGCATACATCTTGTAAACATCGGCATGCTGTACTGCAATGCCTACAAGGAAGTTAGTGATGAAGGTGTTTCAGATGTAACTTGATGATGCACTTCACCCAAAGATAAATAGAGCAACTGCCAAGGATCAAGTACAGAGTGAGTTGCAATAAACCTGCTATCCTACATCTGAATGACGAGCCTATATGAAATCTCTGTGATTGCAGCTCCTGATCAGGCGCTGGAATGAGCGGCTGAGTCGGGACATTCTGGGGCACTGGCTGGACCTCTTGTCGGAAGAAGGGTGGATCGCGCGGGAGCAGGTGACCTTCTAGATGTAGAATCTCAGGGAATCCTCTGACAGTGCAGATTCGTAGTGACTTTCAAAGCGTAACTTACATGGGTAGTTTGCTGTTTTTCCTACAGCGAGGTGCTCATAAATAAAAAGTCCTGATCCAAACACAGAAAGGCAGAAGTTGTGCAATCCTTCTGATATCATGCTACGCTCCCTAAAATAGAATGTCATGCAGATATTAGGAGAGGAGGCCAGAGCGCGCGTACCGGCAGATTTCATTGTGCAGAGCCCGGACGTGGCAAACCCGCCGACTCTGTTCCTGTCACTGGCCGACATGGCTCGGCGCATCGCGCAAAGTGGGGTCAATTGGGACAATGCTGGAAGTAGGGAGGATTTGGAGTTCCTCACTGCAGGTGCGTGCAAGCCCTGCCCATGCAAGAAACTGGACAGAGAAGCCGGCACACCATGGCAACATCTAGTGCAGTCTTGGACATGGGCAGGTCGGCCGAATAGCAGAGAGAGAGGGACTTATCTGGCGTTGAGTGTGGGAATCTCTTCTCAGCCCCTCTGCCTATAAAAAGGGATTGTAGCTTCTGTGATATTGCAACTGAAAAGAAGATGCTTAAATGGACGACTTGCAACTGGAAGTTTGGATTTAAACGCACTCCTGCAGCTAAAGATTCCTTTTAAGGCGCTAAGACGACTACCTGGATGTGTGATACAGCCTATCCCCGCATGGAGGCATGGTTTAAATGGTTCCAGCGGACCCAAGCCGGGCAGCTGCCGGGAACCTTCCGCTGGCGTGGGCGGGGCACTGCGCCGGAATGGGACACCGAGCTCAACAGGAAGACCTTTGCTTCAGGTGCAGAATCTTCCTGTCATCCTGATCACCTGCCAAGGAAGAAAGCTGCACAAGCAGCGGCTGCCCCAGCTGTTTATGGTTCCTGGTTTGGCACTGGAGACCCACTGCAATTACTGATGATGACTGTCTTTAGGACTGGATGACTACCCGCGCTCCAGTCACCCCTCCGACGCCGAGCGCCATGTGGACCTGTACTGCTGGATGACACTTGCCTCGCGTGCGCTTGCCTCTATAGGCTCCACAATAGGTGTCACGGCTGATAAGGTGAGGGCTGCGCTGCCCCTGTGTGCGGACCGAGCTATTTTCCTGCTGTCAGCTGGTTTTAAACCGCCTTCGTTGTTCCTGCTTGATGCCCTGTACTTCAGATCCTCCCCGACACTTTTCTGTTGTGAACCTAGTGTTGAGGTTAGCACACAGTTGCGCTCTTCCTGCTTGAGCTCTGCGGGATCTGTCACTCCGTGATAAATGCGCAAGAGGTCTTTTAGCATTGCTGAATTCTGTTTCTGTATGCAGGTGGCGCCCATTCGGAAGGTGCACACGCAGCTGTCTGATGTGGCGTTCCTGGATCGCATGCACCTGGACTTGGGAGCACAGCAGTATCGGGATTGGGGCAACCACACCGAGGCGGTGGACATGCAGGCCCGTTCCTCAACCAAACTCCATGCCATGCTGTCCTTTCCTGCTATAGTTGGAACCTCTTTTGATGCGCCTTTTGATGGTGCAGGAGAGCACAATAAAATTAAACCAGCAGCAAATGCTGTCTGTGCCTCTCTCCCGCAATATTAGCTTCAGCTGCTGGCTGCTGTGAAATTTGGGACACCAGTGAGTATCTATTGGTAATCCAGGCGCGTAATCCATGATAAGGTACCAGCCCCCTGACGAGCACGTGCTGAATTCCAGTGGGCGGAGATGCGCACTCCTGAGGGGTATGTGGTGAGGAGAACGTATGTGAGGATGGTTGGCCAGCCGGGACCTTTGCCACAATTTGTGCCTCACTTTGGGTGCGCTCCTCTCGTCAAATTCCTCATGCCTGAGAATATTGGACCTGATCTATATCCCGACCAAAAATTTGCCTTGTCGCACTCACTTTCAATGGATGGGCACTACGGCTGGTGAGTTTTGAGGCCACAACCATACAGCACCAGAGGTACTTACTAAAGGATCAGGCATGCTTGCATATATGGAAGTTACTGCAGGACATCAGGACCTATGCGGCATTCAACCGGTGGGTTGGTGCGCAGGTATGTGGGCCTATTCCCGCTGTTGCTGCGCATGCTGCCGGGTGACAGCCGCCAGCTGGGCGCCATGCTGGCGCAGCTGCGCGATGAGAGCCAGCTGTGGACGGCGGCCGGGCTGCGCTCGCTGAGCAAAGCCAGCTCGCTGTACAACAAGTACAACACCGAGCATGATGCGCCCTACTGGCGCGCGCCCATCTGGCTCAACGTCAACTACCTCGCCCTTGCAGCCCTCAAGCACTACTCCCGGGTGCGAATAAAGAAGAACAAAGCACAAATGTTGCCTCAAAGGACTTCTTAAACCTTACGTTAGACCTGGTCTGACTGACAAGCTGTCCCAAGTTGCGTTGTCAATGGGTGGCATTGGGCTGCTGCCTTGCCATCTGGCGGCAATTGTGGTGGCAATGATGGCAACTTCTTGGGAACTGTAAGGCCTGATTTTCTGCATCAAATATTGGAAGAGGTGATGTTCACTGTGTCTGCATGCCTTCATTTGTCGGCAGGTGCCAGGAGAGTCGAGGGAGCTGGCGGGGCGGATACATGATGAGCTGCGCGAGAACATCCTGCGGAATCTGGTGGAGCAGTATAACAAGACCGGCTACCTGTGGGAGAATTACAGGGATGAAAACGGTCGTGGCCAGGGGTCTCACCCTTTCACTGGATGGACTGCTCTGGTTGTGCTGATTGCAGGAGAGACCTACTTTGACATTTGACTTCTTGATTGCGGCAGTTCATGGTCTATATAGGCTTGGATAGGCTTGTCAATTGTGCGATGGGGAGGAGCCTGGTTGCACCACATGCGAGTCACACTTGTAACGAAATCCTTCACGTGGAGCAGGTTTCTCCACATTGACAGACTTTGTGCTGGTGGCACCGTCAAGTGCATGTACTATATTTTCTCAAAGCTGTATTTGCCTCGTGGGAAAGCCCGGCATAGGCAGCATATTAGCATTATGTAATGCATTACTGAAACTAACCGACATCACTTATTCCACAGCACTGCATTCCATCTTTTACTTAGGGCATGCCATGCACACCCCAGGGCCTCTCAATTGACTGCTATTCTCTGATAGAGAGAGCAGGCACCTAGACATGTCTGGATGGATACATCATATGGAGACCATCATTCACCACGTGATCTGAGGGGCAATGTAATACCAAAGCTATCCCTCTTATCAAGAACTTAGCTTTGAACACTATTTTCAATCAAACCCTGCAAGAAATGTCAGCCGAGAGGCACTTGCACTGTCAAGCATTTACATGAAGATGAGTCAATTTGAGGAAGCAAAATACAACATGGACATTCAACACCAACAAAGTGGCTATTTCAGAATGAAAAGCACAACAATGTCAATATAAATCACAGCATGTATAGAAAGAGCGTGCGTCTGTATATGCACGCATGGGGAAGCCTCGGTTAAAACAAGCTATCTACGGACCTACATAAGTTGGTTATTGACACCTCACTCCCTGATTGTCCAATTTCCTCTCTACACGAGTGCATTCCGTTAGGTATAATGCTTAAGCTGCATTGCTCCTTTGATGCAATGGGCCCCCATCCAGTCACTGGCCCACAGTGTGTATAAACCAGAACATCATATTGGTGCAATGATTGGTGCAATCAGCCATAATCACATGATGTCGCAGCACGCGCATGCCTGGGCTTTCTGAGCTGGGCTATTTTGCTCAGCTGGTCCATTTGTCATATCCCCCAGCTTTGGGGTGACCTGCGTGCATGCGTCTACTTTGCTGCTGGAGGCATTCGCTTCCAAGTTTGTGGTGTTGCCTTCTTGATTAGGTTTTGTCAGCCCCGACTCAGCAACTCCCATAACCCCTGCCTTGGTTTCGCTGGGAGCAGACAGCTCCTCAGCCACCTTCAACGCCTCATCTGCACCCATTAAATCAGGTGTCAAATTCTGCTGAATGCAAATTCACTTATGCTGTTGATGTCAGAAACCACTTACACACTTTATGCTGAATTAGCAAAGCGCACTTTAGCATATTCTTCTTGCAACACTCACATGCAGACACAGAGGTTCTTCCTTGACTAATTTGGGTGAGCCCTGGTTTGTGACCATGACTGAAATGAGCTGGCGCTGGCTTGAGACTGACACCCAACAAGCACCAGTAGTTCAGTTGCTTTCGGCTTCCTGTCAGCGCTGCAACAGAAGGTACACAAATCGCACCTCCTGCAAAGGTGCCGTCCTCTGCATTGTCCTCAATGGGCACATCATTGCCGACCCAGCCTTTTTCCAGATCTGTCAGTTTGGGTTTGGGCTTGGCGCTGCGCGGCCGCCCGCCGCTGCGGCCACCGGAGCTGCTGCCGCTCTGAGACGAGCGCTCCGGCGTTGCTCGGGGCACGTACCGCTGCTTCCGCGTCTCCGGCGCTGCCGTGCCGCTTGCCTGCGCGCCTGCGCGCGGCTTGGGTATGCGCGACTCGCCCAGTGGTGATGCGCTCCTGCACAACCATTGCAATGCTTCGTTGAAGATAGAACGACTCAATGGCAGCTTTGGGAGAGCGCTTTGTCAACTGTTAAGAATTTGTCAGCAAAGCTACCGATGCATGCCTGTGCAAATGCACCTCAGAAAGGGGTCTAAATGTAGGCCAACTTTCTGCACTACATTAAGGCTCATGCAGGTTCCAACCTTGAATGCTCAACTTGAAAGTTGAAGACCCAAAATAAGGAGGACACCACAGCATGTAGATATTGTTGCTTACCTGTTCAGTGATGATGCACCGGGTGTCATTACGCGCTTGGGGCTGGGAGGGATCGCCCCGGGAGATGGCAATTTTGATGGGCTGTTGCCTTTTGCACTGCCCGCGTTTGCACCAAACCCATTTGTCCTGCGAGACACACAGTAGGTATGTTTAAAATTTGTACACATTCAGCGTTTCATCTGACCTGGATGTAGTGGGCCAAAAACTTGCTGCAATCAAAGTACAAGTTTTCGGGCAATTCCAGCGTTTTTTGAACAGCTTCATGGTCCACAGCACAACCACACAGGTGAGCACTGTCAGTCTGGCAAAGGGCCACAGCTATTTTGCCTAAGCCGAACCAGTAAGAGACGCACGATGAAGCGGCTGGAGACTTTGCGAGTGGGGAGCGGGGGATCTTGGAGTCTCCCCAGCGATCAGCAGCAGGCAGCACAGACAGGCGCGGTGGAGAAGGTGTGAAGGACTCCAGAGCTCCCAGTGTGCCTGGATTAGATGTCTTGATCTCCGGCATACTAGCCTGCCCCTCCTTTGGCTGCACTGGTCCATCTGCATTGCTGCCAACGCCTCTTCTACCCCTATGTAGAGTAGCAAACCCCAGTCCAGTAAGCCCCAAATAACAAACCATTAGACAGTTCGGGATGCAGGGGAGCAAACCAAATATAAGCTGCAAATACGGATCCACGTAGGACAGCCTTATACTGTGGTGCAAGGTGACCGTTAAGTGAAGGGACTCTCCAATAAAAATGCTGAAAGATGCAAAGCTTAAGCAATTTCGTAAACCATGCTAGCTTGCATTATGCTGGTAGACTGAGTCGATAAAGCGCTGCCACACCACTGCGCCTGGGCCACTGGCGCGCTACCAGCAGGTTCTGGTGAGGATATGCTGCGTTTCCTCCTCTCCACGGCTGGCTGCAAATCTGCCCTTGCATGGTTGGATAGCCTGCAACATTCTGGTTTTTTTCAGAAAAGACGCTGCGAAAGGAGTACATGATCCATAAAGCCAGATTTGCAGAACAGGCCTACTCTGCCTGATTTGACCAAATCCCGCACCTTTCAGAAGGAGCCGATGACAGAATGGCATCGCGAGGGTTCCTGAAATTTTCTCCTGGCTCAACAGACCCCTTCGGTCTCTCTTCAGGCGCCTCAGACGGCGAAGCCACAAGCCTGCAGAAACCCGAATATAAGCTGTACTCTCATCCAGAAGTTAATGGGTACAGGAATAGCAATCAACCATGGTGATGGTTTTGGCAGTGCAAAGTCGTTTACCATTCATCTTCCGCAAGCCCTCCTGTCTCCAGTGTGAGCAAGCTGTCTTGAAGCGCGGAAGGCTCTTGTGTTTCAGCGCCATCAGACGTCTCAGCTGCACATCGAAAGTGAAACGCTAAAACTTAAAGATACTATTGTGCTATCATCGTATGGACTGCAAGGCTCAAGAGCGTGCAACTAAGAATATTCATGTTGCTATATGCACAGGTATCGTAGAATGGATCGGCTGAAACGGTGCAGGGTGACAGGGTGGACAGGGTTGAGAAGCGCACTTCCAAGTCTTAAAACATCGTCCAACTGGAGCTCGTTGGTGTCCAGGAGAAAACTTGTGTCTCCATCTTGAAAGGAATCGTGGAAGGATTTCTCAATCGCATCGCTGTTCGAGCGCTGCAAATCCATCTGTAAGTATTACGGTTGCCAAAAGCAACCGGTTGCACCACCGCCAAAGTCTGGATCCGTTCTTTTTAGGTGACTGCCCAAACAGGGCACTTTTAATGAGCCGTCACTTCTGATAAAGTAAGGGATGCAGTTCTCAATGTTCAACAAGATACCAAATTGGCTCCATCACGATCTATATGATGACAACAAGTGGGGTCAAGCCACAGCTGACGGCCAACATTTCAACGCGGTTGGGCATAAACTTTCAAATATTAGAGCTTATTTGATCTACAAAGCATCTTTTGCATCGGTTCGTTTCAATCAACTCGTCACACGAATTTCTCTTTGGTCGACGGCGTTGAGGAGCCCAGTCATTGCTGAGTCAGCTCACCCAGTCCCACATCTTGTTGCACTGTCTCGATCGTTGCGAAAACCAGAACAATATCAAATTTTTTGTTGTTTCAGCATCCATACCCCAGCCCTGGTGCAGCCAAGCTTGATTTTTCGTCAGGTTGAGATGCAGAGTCAGGTGCGCGATCTATCCACACAATATTCATGTGAATGCCTTCAGTTGCAACAGGACGAATGCAGGAAATGCCAGAATCAGAAAATTGTGATTTCTGTTCCACAGGCACTGAGGCAGCCTTGCTTCCAACCTCTCTCAGCATCGAGAAGGGAACATGCCAGTGGAAGGCTTAGCTGCGTGAAGGTCCTGGCAGCCAAGCAATACAGCACGATAAGAGAGAAGTGAGTGGGATGGTAGCCCTATCCCTGGGTATTGTGCGCAGAATGCAATCTTCTATGTTGCCTGCCAAAGGGATGGTTGCAGGTTTGCTCACAGATTCTTGCCCTGCCCTCAGGCCTCGCGCTCGTGGATTTGTTCAGGAGGACAATTCTGGCAAATCCAACATCTTTGGCGTCGAGGTGAGATGCAATCAAGGACTCATACTTCAGTTTGGTTTGTGACCAGTATGGACAACGGCCACTTCTTTCTAGACACTTGCTAGTGCTCTCAGAGGGCAGTGCTGTCCCCTAACACCGGCATGTGTGGATTACGGCAGCCGCGCAGCCTCTACACCAGCAGTCCTACGGCGGACCGGGCTGCCAGGCAGGGACTGGGAGGCCAGCAAGGATTGATTGTGGTGGCAGTCTGCATTGCTGTGATCGCCGCTGTCACATTCCTCGGGAAGGAGGGACCCCAGACGCTGGCTCAGGTACGTACTCTCCTTGTCGATGGCTCGCACGCCATAGTTGCAGATCTGAAAACATTTGCAAAGCTGCATGTCACGGACAGACCCAACTGCTGTGGTTTCCCCATATGCTTCTGTTACTTGAACATTGATCAGAGCAAGACGAGCAAAACGTCAGCAAAATTGACGGACAGTTCGGTTTGTCACTTGTTGCCACATGCCTTGGTAGAAAGCTTGTTTGATTGTATGTATGTGTTGGCTTTCCCTGCAGGTTTCTGCCGTAGCGGATAGCAGGGACTCGCTGAGCGCTTTGGCAGCCTCCATCAAGGCTTCCATTTAGGAGAGAAATATGATTCCATGTCATTCCTAAACTCTGTCATGGGAGTGGAAGTGCTGTTGACCGCCTGTATGGCACATGTCAGCTGCAGCATGCACCCCAGAACTGCAGGGTCAGACTTTCTGACTTTACGTACAACATGCAGCACTGTGAAATTTTTTGTCTGTGTCCAACCCGTGACTGCTTCTGATATTGGCCAATGAAGGTCCTCAATTTGTCTTGGGGTATAAATCTTGCAGATGAAGCATGCAGCTACTGGTGTGCACTGCTGGCAGCTGCATGGCTTTGCCGATTTCACCATATGGTATTCGATGAGCCATCGCAATCATGAAGATTGGCAACCACCTGTAATCTTGCTATTCCCAATGATCCACTCTGTTCCAGCATCTGCACCTTTGAAAATGCACAAGATATTAAAGCTTTTCTGCTCTTCATAGTCATTGCTCATAACTCTGCACAGTGTGCTATATGGTACTGGATATACATTGTATTATAATTACATGGAAAATCGACCATCACAGAACTGTCCCAAACTGCACCCATAGAGCAGGCACAACACACTGAGACTCCTTAATTAAAAAAAAAATCCTGGTGACCTCCAACACATAGAAACAGGCTGAAAATGTCAGCATGTGTTCCGCACGTGCTGGGTAGGGGTAATTACTATACTAACGGGGTCGGACACGCCGGGCAATTGCGCGGCCCGCTCTGCGATGCAATGAGAGAAATTGAAAAAGGCGCTTAATCTCAGTCCAGAAGCATTCCGCACGCCCGCGCCCGTGCAAATGGAAGTTTTCTATACCTGAGAAGAGCTTGTGGGTGTCCGTGCTCGTCAGTGTGGACGGTAGCGGGTGGAGTGGACCCCTTGTACAGGTTCACGTCATCCTCATTAGCGATTTCTGGCACACTGGAGCCCCAATCTCTGACATCAGCTACAGCGGACGGAAGATATACTTTAAATATTACTCTCTGCCCGTGGTCTTCGAGATTCAGGCAGTATCCTGGAGGTGGGGCAGCCTGAAGCGATCACCCGGGTAAGCGATGTTGTGCACTAAGTGGCTCTGCAAGGCGAGATTCTCGATGTACATCATGAGGCATCGAATATGTCATTCTAAAGTGCCAAAATCCAGCCTGAGACCAACTCAAAGCTCGATTGTCTAGACAGGATCATACTTTTCTGCCTCAAGATCTAGGCCTTCTGAACGCACACACAACGATATCTTTGTGCCTCTCCTCAGGTTGCAAGTTTCTCGTAGCTATAATATGCTGTATGCATGAGGACTACTGGTGCTTGCAGGGCCTATGGACAGCAGTCAGCCAGCCATGTCCTTCAGGGACATCTTACATCTACCTGCAGATCAGCAAGAGCTTGTCCGTCAGAATCTTCTGCATACTGCTTTTGTTCAATCAGTATCCAGCCTGAACAGCTACGCAAATGCAGCCAATGATGACGTGCAGCTGCCTGTGGAAGGCCACCGGGGGAGCATCCCTGAACCGCCTCTTCTACCCATGCGCATGGCGGAAGAGCTGCAACGTGAGCCCATCGACAGTCTGATGCGCTTTGATTTGGCCCAGGAGTGGTTTTCAAGCAGCAGCTCAGCTCAGCAACAGGGGCCACGCAGGTCAGCAAGACACAACATTGTGGAGGGGGAAGCCTCAGCCTCAGTACATGAACCAGCTGGTCAGGAACGACTATCAGAATCAGAAGCGCCGCATGCACAACAGAGACTCTTAGAAGATGCTCAGAGAGCATTCCGGGCAGCAGCAGAGAGTCTCATGGCTGACAGCCATATCAGCGCACAACATCACGCACTTGTATGTGCCATGTACAGCAGCGCTCCCGATGATGGTGTGAAAGCCGAAGCGGCAGCTTTTATAGACTACCTGGTGAGCCAGCTGCAAACCATGATACCCCCATCCTTCAGCAGCAGCTATTCATGGGGTGATCATGCAGCAGCGTTCCACAGATTTAGCACAGAGCAGGATCTCTTCGACCGGTGGCAGCAGGCGCTGCTTGGCTGTGGTGTAACTGAACCCCCACCAACAGCCGTGCTGCGGGAGGCCTTGCAGTATGCCATTTCTCGTGTCTACAGACAGCTTCGCGGCGCAGCCTCCAATGAGCACCCTGCAGGGTCCCACCCTGTGAAGGATCCAGATCCAATAGAGCGTCAGAAGGTACGCATCTGTAGCCCTTTAAAAAGCTCAGCTTTGACATTGTGTTTTGTCCTGCGTGCGTTCCCTGCCTGACCAGCTTCGCCTAACATATGTGTTAAGATTGTGTGAATGGCTTCTGATGAATAGCTCCTGACATGTGGTTGTCTGCGCTTACAGGTGTATTATATTGCAGGCTACATTGTCATCCAGCTTCTCGTCACAGAGCACCGCAAGGCCAAGAAAGATCCACACAGGGCGTTTCGCATTGATTGGGACTACATGCAGGCTTTGGAGCAGCTGACGGTGAAACGGCGCAATGATAGGACCTTGCCCGAGGGAGATATCCCTGAAGAAGGCAGCAGGTGGCAGCGGGCAAGTCACTTACACCGCAATCAAAGATTTTTGCAATGTCCAAACAATTTAGTTCTACAGCACTGTTGCATCTCTACTGTTGCATCTCTACTGTGTAGCTTCACAATATTTGCACTCACATTTATTCCTCCCATGCAGGAGATAGATCGCGGAGGGCTCACCTACGCAACCACAGACTTCTGGCTGTGGATGATGGATGTGGAGTCAATCTTCCGGCAGCTCGTCAATATTGAGTCTGTGTCTGCTGAATGCGTCAATGCGGCCCGAGGTGTCCTGCTTGGCAGAACTGAACTCCGGTCCCAACTTCTTGATTGCATCTTCAAAAAGTTTGCAGCACACTTGGAAGCTGAGGGAGTTGATATTGCAGAGCTGGGTTTGAGCAGATCAGATTTGGTGGCCTCTGTCAACCGTATTTTTGTTGACATCATTCAAATATACATCAAAATCAGAGCCAAAGCCTTTGGAAAAGTAGTCAAGCGGCGGCTACTACAAGTCAGGAACACCGACGCCTTCAGGACCCAACAGAAGAATAGGGAGGGCAGCAAGGGCAAAGGTGTGCATGCAACAGGGGCTAGAAGTAAAAGGAAGATTGGGGTAGAGAAGCTGCAGCTCAGTAGGGATTTGATAGAAAAGCTCCAGAGCCGAGAAGCAGTGCATGGGTATTTGCAGCATGAAATTATCCGCTGTTCCGTCGGTGGACTTGGTGATTGCTCTGCCAGCGCAAGGCCGCTCGATCATCTTGAGAAGAATGTACTGCGGGGTATACTAGCCATGTACTCAGCAGATGGTGTGGCCCCGGCAGTCATTACACAAAAGGGTGGCTCAACAGGTCTTAAGAAGGACATCCTCAACTTGTGTTACAGTACCATTCAGAGCCAGGCTGCATGCATATATGATCTGCAGCCATTGCTTCGAACATTAAAATGATCACAATTTTAAATGACACAGCAGCAATGCAGTGCAACAGCACCCTATCCAATGTAATGATATCCGTGATCGCGAGCAAGTCTCCCCTTCATGCTTTAACCCCCTTCCCTTTGCATGTCATCTTGCCTAAATGTCAGAACTGAGAGACATGGCTTGCTGCCTCTTGGAGGCTTTGCGCTTAGGCTTGGGCAACGTATAAGCGCCCCTCTGATGCTCCACAGACATGAGATTTCCTAATTGGGTCGCTCTAACTCATTCTGCAAGCTGCAAAGCATTGGGGTTTCTGTTGGGTCCCCCTGCACTCCGCAGCTCGCTGAACTCATGCTCTGCGTCGTTGCTTGTGAAATCTTTCCCTCGCAAGTAAAATTTTGTCTCTGGGAATTGCGCAAAGAATTCCCGAACGAAGCCCACAAAGCCGCGGGTTGCCAGATGCATGTCCATATAAGTTGTAATAGGAATAAAAAGCTGCCTCACCTGCAAATATAGTTGGAAGCTATGAGACATGAGGTGCCACAAGGTACATGCATTGCATTGTGAAACTCACAAGCGACGAATAACTATGCAGCATTGATACCTGATTGCTTCAAATTTGAAAAGCTATAGATGACGCACCTTGCGGCAGTCCTGGTACCAGTATGAAAACCATGCTAGTGCAGCCTCAATCCTTCCTAGAAGAGACTGCCAGTCAGAGTCAATCATCAGCTTTTTCCCATCAAAAAAGGCGTCCCACAGAGTTGCGCATGCTTTTAAATAGGCAGCCGTGCCCTGAACGTACTCGTGGCAGGAACGGTCTTTCAACCGCAGAACAGCCGCGGACATTGCAAAGCTGAGCACTGTGGTGGCTGGAGACACCTGGGAAGCATATCCATGCATGCAATTCATATAATCAAAATTTTGTAACATGTGTAATAGATCTCACATTTCTGGTTGTGGGGTAAAAGCTTTCTTCACCTTCATTTTTGCAAATGTGTCTGGATAGACGGCCTCGCGGGTAAGATAATGCTCTCCAATGATATCACGTGCATCGTCTGCCTTGAAAACTGACTCCACCACTGCCGAGCTGAATTTGTGACCCAGCCAGACCATCTGTCTCTCTTTGATCAGAAAGCTCGTCAGCAGAGCATTCCGCAACTTTTGCGGCAAAGCAGCGCTCTGAGTCAAGTCATGCATGCCTTACTAAGTGAAGTATCCCCTCAGGTGCTTCACATGCAGTGCAAGAAATTCAGGTCCTTCCTTGAAACTGTTGATGTCCTCACCTTCATGAGGTGTGGGAAGTCTGACAGGATAAACATCTTGCGGCCTGTAAATCTGTTCATGATGAACACTGGCATGTCGGCCGGGTCCTCCCCCTGGAATCCAGTCCAAACCTTCTGCAGAGTCCTGTTCTCACTGGCGCCATCGCACAGTAAAACAACCGTTGACAAGCCTCTCACATGCAGAGCCTCAACTACCTCCTGAATTGCCTCAAATAATCGGAACCCGGAGGCGATCCTGCAATCAGTACAGGAACCCTTCAACTGTGACGTTCTCTGAGGTCAGCTGCCAATACCAAGCTAAGCATTATTTCTACAGCTTGTTTTCGAGATTGAAAGTAAAGCCAGACCTGTAGGTGTAATAAGCAACAAAGTGCTTCCACTTCGCGCAGACCGACTTCGCCACAAAGGCCAAAGCGCGGTTTGCCAGTAGCAAATTCCCACCATCGCCCTCTCTCTCCTGCGCCATCTCCATGTCCATTTCATCCGCAAGACCAACCAGGTTCATGCTCGCTTGCTCCCACGCCAGGCCCTCCTGTATCACACAAGCCACAAATTCACAGAGAAAAGAATGCATAGCATGCAGCAGTGGAACACTCAGATTGCATGCTGCTTTTAAAAACACTTAAGAGCACTGAGCAAGAACTGAATTAGGGAAATTATGACTTCAATTGCAATTAAATTACTTCCACAAGCCACAAGAATGACACCTGTATGTGCAGCTCGTCAAATTGCAACATGATATGGCGCTGCTCTGCTTCTAGCAGGCTGGCATCTGCACCCTATATTTAGGGTGTAGGGCTCAGGGTTCAGGGTTTAGGGTTTAGGGTTTAGGGTTTAGGGTTTAGGCTCAGGGTTCAGGGTTCAGGGTTTAGGGTTTAGGGTTCAGGGTTTAGGGTTCAGGGTTCAGGGTTCAGGGTTCAGGGTTCAGGGTTCAGGGTTCAGGGTTCAGGGTTCAGGGTTCAGGGTTTAGGGTTTAGGGTTCAGGTTTAGGGTTTAGGGTTTAGGGTTTAGGGTTTAGGGTTTAGGGTTTAGGGTTTAGGGTTTAGGGTTTAGGGTTTAGGGTTTAGGGTTTAGGGTTTAGGGTTTAGGGTTTAGGGTTTAGGGTTTAGGGTTTAGGGTTTAGGGTTTAGGGTTTAGGGTTTAGGGTTTAGGGTTTAGGGTTTAGGGTTTAGGGTTTAGGGTTTAGGGTTTAGGGTTTAGGGTTTAGGGTTTAGGGTTTAGGGTTTAGGGTTTAGGGTTTAGGGTTTAGGGTTTAGGGTTTAGGGTTTAGGGTTTAGGGTTTAGG